TCTTCCCTCCGTGTCGGTTCCCTGTCTGTTTCCCTTTCGTACCAGGTGGGGGAGGGTGTAAGCAGTGGTTACCACTGCTTCACGACTTAACCATTTTCGGCCGCGTTTCGGGGCTCGCCGCCTTTCCGCGACTTAACCATTTTCGGCCGCGTTTCGGCGCTCGCCGCCTTTCCGCGACTTAACCATTTTCAGCCGCGTTTCGGCGCTCGCCGCCTTTCCGCGACTTGGTTGTTTCTGCCCGCGCCTCGGCTATCGCCGGCGCCCGGTCTGCTTTCCGTGTTTCCGTTCCGTCTTTGTTATTCAGGGCAATCGGTAGTGGCCCGTTACAGTCGAGCTATTTTGGGCGGACTTGGCCGCCCAGTCGAGGCGCGAAAAATAATTTTTTGCACCTGAACTCGGCGAGCCCCGACTGCACTCGTGCCTGACTCGTGCTGATCTACCGATTGAGTCTAATGGATTGAGTTCATGCATCATCTCTATTACTTGCCGCTCATCATTCGTCCCATCTACCTTGCATACCCATAACAACACCTCTTTTCCTTGTCATGGACACCCCCCACAACCGCTCCTCTATCGACACCATCATCCTCCTCTTTGCAACCCTCACTGCGACGATGGCTTACCTTCATCATGTTCGCAAAATGAGGAGAAACAGGCCGATGCGAAGAGTCATCCATAATGGCTACTGGAACGTGGAGCGGCAGATAGAAGAATGGCTTCACCACAGACATCATGGCATTCGGACGTCCCTTGGCCTTCACGTCGACGAGTTCCTTGATATCAAAGACTTTCTAGAGGCGAATGGGATTGAATTGGAGACAGAAGGAGTGTCAGCAAACGCAAGGCTGGCGATGGCGCTATATATGTTGCGCAAAGGAGCGTCACAGGCTTCTGTCGCTGAAGACTTTGGCCAGAGAAGCGAGGATACAGTTTGGGGGTGAGCCTTTCAACTCCTTTTACCTCAACAAACCTCGACAATCATAGTGTAAACAAACGCTTGCTAACTTCAATATGATAGCTCCTTTTGGACGGTGGTTGAAGCATTGGTCAGAGAAGATATCTTCCGCCAGTGGATCAAGATGCCTACCGCCGAAGACGGCCCACATCCTATACTGGCGGATTACTCGCCGTTCGTTTTCCAGCATGCCCTCGGGGCAGTAGATGGAACACATGTCTATGTGAAGGTCCCCCAATCCAGCAAAAAAGCCTACATATCGGGCAGGAAAGATTCGCCTACCATGAACGTCTTTGCCGCCTGTAACTTCGACCTCGATTTCATCTCCATCTTTGCTGGTGTTGAGGGCTCGGCACATGACTCCAGGGTCCTGTCAATGGCCAAGTCACAAGGTCTCTTTGATCTGCCTCCCGAGACCTACGTTTTGGGTGATGCTGGGTATGCACTCTCGGGCACTATCCTGACCCCTCACCGTACTGTGAAGTATCACACGTGGGAACCCGGAGCAATGTAAGTATTGATTGCACCTTTTAAATATGTCGACCAAGGAAAGCAACATACTAATCTATCTTCTAGCCCTCAGTCTGCCGAAGAAGAGTTCAATCGGCAGCACGCATCTCTGCGAAACTGCATTGAACGCGCCTTCGGTCTATTGAAAGGCAGATTTCACATCCTCCGCGACAAACCTCTACAACAAAAGCCCAAAAATCAATGGAAAGTCGTGGTGGCTTGTGCAGTGCTCCACAACATGCTCAATGCTCACCGGCGCGGCGGCATGGATCCGATGGATCAGGAGGAGATGGATGAGACGATGCGTCGTGAAAGGGAAGATAGGCAGGATAGAGGTCGGAGGGATCGCACAACGGGAAGTGAAGACGAGTCGTTGCTTGTTGGAGTGGATGATATGAGGAGTAGGCGCCAGCAGTATACAGATATCCTTTGGGAGAGGTTTCAAGCACGACGGCCTCGGCGAGGACGGCCTAGTGGGCGAGGACGGCCTAGGAGACAAAATCAGAATCGGGGGCAATATGAGTAGGTACTACTGTTGCGTGTATGCACAAAATAGCTTTTGGAGAGGATGAAGCAAGTTGAATACATTCACACACCACCGCCTCTCGAAACTTGATTATCCTACTACTAACCCTCACCAACTCCTGATCTCCTCAAGGATAGCATTCTCTAGAAGTTTCAATTCGCACCCACTCGCCAACAGCTTCACTTGCTCAGCGCAGCCCTCATCTTTCAAGCACCTGGCCATAATCCTAGCTTTTGTTGCGTCCTCGAAGTCCTCCCTCTTCTCCAACCAGCTCGCGATGGTAGACAGTCGAACACTTCCAGGGTTTGAGACCTGCGCCTGTTTTGACAGGTACTTGTCCATTGATCTCTGCATCCCCAAAACTGCCCTTGCCATTCCATCATCGTCCAGATCATCCTCCTCTTCCTTCTTCCTTGGCCACCCACGCCTCGCCCTTTTCTGCTTCTTATCCACTTGACTCTCTTCTTCATGCTCATCTTCCTCAGAACCGTCATGATCGTCTTCACTATTGTCTCCCTCTTCTGTTGCCTTTCGCTTTCTCTCAAGCCTTTTCCACCTTTGGCTGACATTGACGACCTCGGCTCGGTGGTCCTGAGCTGCTCGTCGGCCAGAAGGGACGGACGAAGGAGAAAGAGAGAGCGAGCGAGATTGCTGGAGAGATGAAGGGCCAGAAGGGGTCTCACCAGACGAGCGGGGGAATCTTGGACCAGCATTGACGCCAGACGCCGATTGGCCATCTAGGATGTATTGCATGGCGTCGAAATGGTGGAATGGTGTTTCCCGCAACTTCTTGTAGGCGGGACTGGCCTGTAAATAAGTCAGTAGAGATACACACCAGCCACCCTTGCTACTACTCACCTTGATCCTGTCCTCCCATTCCTCCTCGGACAGCTGGAGCTTCCCGTCATAGAAGTTGCGCCCAGATTTGCTCCGGGCATCAGCGATAGGCTGATACCAATCTCTTGTAAGATGGTACCATCTCCTCTTCCAGTAGCCGGGGGTCTCGATTTTGACGTTGACGCCGGAGAGCCTGCTGTCCTGCTTGGCCCTCCTAAAAATCTCCATCCAAACCAGCTCCTTGATCTCGAATTTGGTCATAGCCTTTTGTTTCTTGAACTTTTTGTCGTCCATCCACTTATTGGCCTCGACATCGCTTGGGGTGAGCGATGTGATGGTTCCCTGCTCGAAATCACTGGTACAACAAGTCAGCCCGGAGACTTCAATGGACAAAATCAGAAACGACTGTAATCCACTCACGTTCGCAGAGAGGAGAGGTTCTCAATCAAAACCTCGTCAATCACCCGGTGCTCCTCCTCATTAGCCTTCGCTGCAGGCTTTTTCTGGTTGCTTGCATGCACATTTGCACTCTGGGAGGGCGGAGCAGGGCTGGCCGACTTATTGGTAGGTTGTGGGGAGGTCATGGTTGAAGTCTGTAGAAGTTTGAAATGTGGAATGAAAAGGGAAATGCATCTTCGATGTTATCGATTGTCCGACGAAAACCACCTGGATGGTTTTCGTGGCTCTGGCTGGCGCCAACGGAAACCATTGTAGGGTACCAGACTCGAACAGCGCTACCGATGAACCCCACTTTCATTACAGTGACGTCATATAAACTCATTTTCTTCGGACATAGCCGCACTAAAACCGTCGAGTGAAATTATATGGTACTCGACTAGAACGGGCCACTACTGATTGCCCTGTATGTCTGCCACTTCGCTATCGCCGCCCGTTTCTCCGTCCGTTTCCGTTCCGCGTTTCCGTTCCGCGTTTCCGTTCCGCGTTCCGTTCCGTGTTGTTCGGCCCCCTTTCGGCCCCCTTCGGCCCCATTCGGTTTATGCTTGTGTGTTTCGTTACGCGACTGATCTTGCATCAGGGACAGAGGACTTGGGTGCATGGAATCATGGATCTTTATCCATCTTCTTCTCATCCATCCGGTTTTCCTCTGTCCTTGTGCGTATCCCTTTCTCGTCCTCAGTGTGCCATTGGGCTTACCTTGGCCAGTGTCCCTTCTCTCTTCGTGGCGTGTTTCTCTTTCATATATTGACGGACATTGTCCAGGTGAGCCTTGCTTCTTTATCATGATCTTTATCCATCTTCTTCTCATCCATCCGGTTTTCCTCTGTCCTTTGTCCCTTCTCTCTTCGTGGCGTGTTTCTCTTTCATATATTGACGGACATTGTCCAGTTATACATGCAAAGGGGTTTTAACCACTTCTCGAATCTATCGCCCAACCCGACACAGTGAAGGACCGCGCCCTCGGTCCTTACACCCGTCTCTTGCCCTTTGCTGTATAGCTCAGGTGTCTGTGTGTGCGCGTGAGTTTCCTTTCTTATTGTATACCAGAGTGCATAGCTAAATCCTGGGCAGTAGTAATAGCTAGGACTGACTTCTGCCCAGAGTCACCGCCCTCTTGTCTGTGTGACATCTATATGTATTTGGGGTCCTGTTTCACTTCAGGTTACACCGCCCCCGCTCAAGCCCTCGTTGTTCTCCGCCGTTCTTTGCCGTTACCCGCCGTTCCTCCGTCCTGCTAGTCCATAGCCGAGACTGCCGCCGTTCTCCCCTCCCGTCGCCGCCGCCAGTGAAGAGGAATACCACCTCTTACATGAACGAGAGAGCAAGCCAAAGCGAGAGAAAGGACACTGGCCAAGGTAAGCCAAAGCTGCACACCGAGAACGAGAATGGATACGCACAGGGACAAGGGAGAAATCGGATGGATGGAAAAGAAGATGGATAAAGATCCAAGATCCCATGCACCCGAGGTCCCTGTCCCTGAGCAAGAGCAGTCGCGAACGAAACACACAAGTCAAAACGCCGAAGGTGGCAGAAACGGAAGCAATGAACTGGAACGGACGGAAACGGACGAGAACGGACGGAAACAGCGGCAATAACGAAGTGGCGAAAAGGAGACGGAGAAAGCGGTGATAGGGAAAGTGGCGCCGCGAGTGTCGGTGATAGCCAAGACGCGAGCAGAATTGGTTCCGAAACGCGCTGGAAATGGTTAAGTCGCGAGAGGCGGCGATCGCCGAAACACGGCTGAAAATGGTGAAGTCGTGAGCAGTAGCCCACTGCTTACACCCTGCTCAAAGTCATTGTGTCCTTGCAGCAGCAGATGGGCGACATGTTCGCCGCTCAGCAGAGCACCCCCAGCATCCAGCAACAGTTGCTCGACCTGCTCGCAAGACAGCAGGAAACCCCCGCTCCTGCCCCCCGCACCTACTCCCTCCTCGGACGGCCCCGATTTATTTCGTCGACCAGACAAACTGGTTTGCCCCCTCCTGACCCGATATACCCAAGACCCTTTCGTAATCACACGACACCTCCTCGCCCTCGAAGAACACCTCGCCAGGGGCAAGGATACGATGAAGGATATCTTCTACGAGCGCTGGGTCATTGAGGAGTGCAACCATTCTATCTCACAGGTCGGTCAATGGCTGGAGTGGTCTCGGGAAGTGGGAAAGACGACCGTGTCCTTTGGGCAGTGGAGTCGGGCTTTCAAGAAAAAGGTCTTGGCTAGGGACTGGGTAGATCAGGCGAGACACGCAATCGTCCAGAAGCGGATGGAGGGGAAGTCGGGCCAGAATTTCGACACCTTTGCAAACCTCGTCCGCGATTATCAGCACCTCCTTCGCGACTCGGACGAGCCTCTCGCCGAGATGGAGGTCAAGAGGATTCTGGCGGCGGGACTGGACTCTCCCTACCTTCTCAGGGAGGTCAGACGCGCCATAGAACAACGGAGCTGGACTTTCAGCGCGATGCCCCTCTCTATGATATTGAGTTAATGTCCGAGACAGTCGACAACTGCGCCAACCAAGCTATCTATCAAAGCCAATATACTGCCCCGCGCCCTTCCTCTCGCCCAGCACCGAGACCCGCCCCAGCCTCTCCTGCTCGCCCTGCCCAGCTCAACGCCATCTCAGTCATGCCCAGTGCGCCGTCCGCGGCAGAAGTACACGCTTGGCTTGACCACACCGTCCGCTTGCCGCCTGGGGTTGATGGTACCCGCGCCAGAGACTATCTCAGGCAGCGAGGTCTTTGTTTCCGCTGTCGCCAGCATGGGCACATCTCCTTTGGCTGCCCCACCACTCTCCAGCAAGTTGCATCGCTGTCCCCTGCCCCAGTTCACACCGCCGTCCCGGTTCAGGCTCTCGCCAATGCTCCTGCTCCTGCCTCGTTGCCGTCTACCCCTAGCTCCACCAATGGGTCAGTCCCTCTTCTTCATGTCCAAGCTCGCCTCAGTGCTGATGGTCCATCATACCAGTCACTAGTCGATTCTGGTGCGGCCGTCAACGTCGTGGACAAGACGTTGGTGGAGGAGCTTGGGTTGGAAGTGAGGGAAATGCCGCCTATTGTGACTAGAATGGCCAATAGCACGTTTCAAATATAGCCGCTTATTTTTCTTATCCTTATTCCGGGATCAAATATTTGGCTGGGAAATTTGAAAGGGTATTTTCGTTACCTCGCGTCTCCCCTTATTCACTATTTCTTGGTGTTTACGTAAATGGCGTGTTGCGTCTGCTCTCAGCGTGACTTCAAGTCACATGTCATGTGCCTGTAGTCTACTTATACATCCACACCCTTGCCGCGCGCTCACCTGCTCAACTCTCCACTTACAACACACCCCCCCACGATGTCTGAGCTCGCGCGCATCAAAGAAGATCATCACGAAATCCTCGTGATACTTTGAGCCCTTGTTCTCTTCTTCGCCGCGTGGAATCTCGACGATGACTGGGGCTCTCACGCTAATAACTTTGCTGAAGTGATGCTGTCTTGCACATTTTTCCTCAAGATAGATGGGATCAGGTGAGCTGGCCATGTTGACGCGGAAAACGAATATTTTTCCATCGATTTAAATGACTTTGTACAAGTGAGCAAAATAAGAATAAGAAATAAGATAATAGGTCTCTCTTATCTTATTCCTTCTCTTACTTATTTTCCCATACAAAATGGGGAAAATGAGACGCGGCTCGGCTTAAAATAAGAAATCACCGAAAATAAGATAAGGTAAGCGGCTATATTTGAAACGTGCTAATGAATCGTTAGGACCTCGAATAACTCAGAAAATTTTCATGGATGTCTATGTCGGAAACACCATCTATCGCGATTCGCCCTTTGTGGTCATGCCCCTTGGCCCAGCCAACCGCATGATCCTTGGCCTCCCCTTTCATCTTCAGCATCGGTTACTTGCAGGCGCGTCTGGGTTGGAGGCGTTGTTGGAAGAAGGAAGAGCGACGAGACGAAGAGAGCAGGACGGCGAAGTGGTGGTCGGATCTGGCTTGGCGCGTATCAGCGAGGTGTCTTTAGAGTTGGCCTCAGAGCTGGTGACCCGACGCAAGGAACTCACTGCTCAACTGCTCACGGACTTTGCCGACATCCTCCCTCCCCAGTTGACCGATGTGGCCAGCTATCCCAAGCCCGCCCCGTCTGTATCCCAAGTTCGCCATCACATAAACGTTCTTCCCAACACCAAACCTGTTGCTCGACCCTACTACCGTCTCCCCCTTGTGTTCGGCAGTGCCTTCAAGGCCGAGATTGACAAGCATGTAGACGCTGGCCGTCTGCGCACCTCCAGCTCGCCGTGGGCTGCCCCGGCGTTTCTGATTCAAAAAGAGAATGGGAAGTTGTAAACGCCAGTCGCCTAGCGTTTCACTGAGTCGTTGTCGACGGTTTACTTGTCGCTGAGAAGCAAACAAAACCCCTTGTGCATGTAACTGGACGAGAACGATCAATATATGAACTTGGAAGCACAGAAGATGAGAGAGAAGGGAATGGGACAGAGATGAAAGGGCGATGGAGAAAGAGATAAGATTCCATGCACCCAAATCCTCTGTCCCTGCGCAAGAGCAGTCATGAAACGAGACACACAAGCTCACGGAACGAACCACACAAGGTACCTTCGGCCGAAGGGCCGAAAGCGGCAAACAACACGGAACGGAACAAGCGGCGATAACCCAAGTGGCGTCGTGGGTATCGGCAATAACCAAGACGGGAGCAGAATTGATTCCGGAAGGATTGATCCCAAAACGCGGCTGGAAATGGTTAAGTCGCGGAACGGCGGCGAGCGCCGAAACGCGGCTGAAAATGGTTAAGTCGTGAGCAGTGCCCACTGCTTACAGCGTCTAACAGTTTTTTGGGTCGGCCTCGGCTTCGCGGACCATGTTTCTGCAAGCCTTGCCCTTTTTTTTTGGGACAGTTGGCCACCTGGTGGTTCTTGTCCCCACAGTAGAAGCAGAAGTCTGGAATGAGTCAAGTTGACTGCTTTAGACAAGTTGGACGTGGATTTTGCCCTATTGTTGTCTTGGTTGTTGTTTCGGGATGTGTTGGAGCTGGAGCGCGAGGTATTAGAATGCTCGCTACAATTTCTATTGTAGGAGTCGGTATGCTCGTTTCGCTCGATGCACTGTTTGTACAGCATATCGTCCACACGGATGGTAGCTGTGATAAGATCCTCGAGATCCTCGGGTCTCCCTGTGGGGATGATTTCTTCCTTGATATCTGCTTTCAAGCCTTGGAAGAAGGTGGCAACAGCTGTGCTGTTGTAAAGGACCTAAATACCAAGTAAGATCAATTAACCGGATGAGCAGCAAAAGCCATTGCATCACAATTCCAACCCTGGAATCATAATGCATTGTTGGTATTTGGACTTGTTAACTCGCACCCCGGGACCTGACCACTGGATCCTTACAGCTGTTGACCCAATCCAGAATGGCTTGGTACCTGTGGAAGTTGGTGATGTACTGAGCTGCAGAGGTACATTGCCTGAGGTTGTTCATCTTGATCTCAGCCATCTTCTTGTTGTTGGTGTTGCCGTAGACCTGCTTGAGTGCTTTGGCAAACATGTCAAAGTTGGAGTGCCATGGTGGCCTCTTGTCTGTGGTTAAGCTCTCACGCGAGTAGGTACAGGCGTAGCCCACCTTGGTGGCTTCATTGGGGAAGCGAGATGGCTGGAGAGTGAACACCATGGACAATTGCGCCACAAAGGTGTTGAGCTGGTAACTCTTGCGGGTAAAGAATTCAGGTGAAGCAACCTTGGGCTCTGATGAAGTTCATCAAGCGAGGTGGTGGCTTGGGTCAACCTTTGTTGAGTCCCAGAGAGGCTTTCATTTCTCTTCATTCCCTTCCTCTCTTTCCTTCCTCTTCGCCAAAGATTCCCTGTTATTCTCCTGATATTCTGGGTCAAAAAACTCTCCTGAAGGAAAATTCATTTTCTTCCTTCCCCCTCTGGTCTTTTTGTCAAGCTCTTATGCAGCCCGCATGCACTCATTCTCATCCTGAAGGATCTTCTCCCTCGCCAAAGACGTTTCAAGCGCCTTTTTGGTACTTTTGAGTACCTCAAAAGTGTCGAACTCTCCTCTTCGAACGGCATGGTTGTTGAGGTGTACGACGCAGACAGAGTCAGGCGTAAGAGGCTGACCTTGGGATGTTTGTGGAGGGGGTGTTGTGGGCCGGGCGCCAGTACCGCTCATCATGATCTGGCGGTTGGGCGGCCAGATTCCAGATTTGCGCCATGCACTTGTCAACTGCCTGATGTTGGCCATCTCTGACCAGGCTCGCTGGTGCCACCCCCAAAACATCCCCTTAGAAACCCTACTGCGGTCGGAACCGCGCACATAATAATCCAACTGCCGGTGGTAGGCATTCTTCAAAGAATTGAAGAAATCAACATCGAGTGGCTGGAGTTTTGCGGTTAATTTGGCTGGGAGGACAACGACAGAGATCTTCCGATCCCAACAGGCCTCAAGGAACTCCACTTGGTAATGGGATTCATGCCCGTCGAGGAAAAGAAGGCGCCAGTCGCGCCCCTTGTTGGCAATCTCTTTTGTGGACGGGTCGAAGATGGTCTTGAGCCACATCAACATAATGTAGCTGTTGGAGAAGCCCGAGTCGGTGACGATGGCCTTTTGCGGGATGCCCGGGACTTGGTCTTGGAACCACGAGTCCTGTACAGAGGCTCCTTGGAAGATGATGGTAGGGGGAACGGGCGCGGATCTCGTCCCAATGCAGGCAATCGATGTGATGTGCTCGCTAGAGCTGGGCACTGCCTGGCCATTGCGAGCATGGCCTCTAGGGGCGACCCGGCCTGTCTTGCGATGGCTGGTGAGCTCGAAACCCGCTTCGTCCATATTGAAAACGCAGTCGCTTTTAAACTGCCCCTTGTCGTAGATATCTTTGACCTGTACATGCAATGAGTTGAGCTCCAGGGGTCTGCCATGCACTTACGCGTTGGTAGAATTTTTCACAGTTCTCTTCTGTATTGGCTTAGAGCCGCCCGAGCTCACTATAGCTATAAAAGCGAGAAGCAAGTCGATCCTTATGTCGCCGGATGAAGCGGTCACTCGAATGAACGCCAACTTTTTGCCCATTAAGCCTCTCTGCTAGCTCTTTGACATGACCCGGGGTAAGAAGAGTACCCTTGCTGGCGTAGTCATTGATCTTTTGGATCAATTGCTCCTCCTGGACTTTGCTGAGGGTGCTGCGAGCGCCGTCTGAGCGTGAGGCGTGGATGCCTCTTTGCCGGTTGGCTAAGGTGGATTTTGGGACTTGAAATTCTTGAGCTACCTGTCGTATGCTCCTGTCGGGGTTCTCTTTCATGTGTTCGATAGCGGCAGTGATAGGGCTTGTCATTGTGGATGCATGGTAGAAAGAAGTCTCAGAGGTACTACAGATGAAAGTGTCCAAAAGAGTGGTGTGTCCGAGTGTGATGTCATAACAAGTAGAGTTTGTAGAGTGTTGTAATGAAATTAACATCGATGGGAAATTACAAGAGGGCTACAAAGGAGTCCTTTTATATCTTTCCATCCATCGATGTTTTCCGATCCTTCCCCAGATTTATTCTGCTTGCTGAATCAGCCTCCACTGGCCTATTTGGCAGAGTGGAGCTGATTCCAAATAACTATTTCAAATAAAGCGGTATTTGTACAGTAAAATGATAAAGAGTCTTGTTCTGTGATAAAATGTTCTGGTGTTTGATCAATGATATCATAAAGTGGCTAGGTGTATGATAAAAGCGGATATGTATCTGATAAGTGTCCTAGTATGTGATAAAGGTGTACAATGGTGCAATAAGGTGTCATGAAGCATACTAAATGGCATGTTGAATGATGCCAAAGTTGCACCGTGAGGGTTGAGCTGCGGGGCGGCCATCTCCACTTGGCTCGCTGTTACATAATAGACTGCCTGACAGGCGGAAGGTGGGCTAGATTCTAACAGAAGGCTTCTTCAATGTGTCTCTTCCCATAACTTTGCTATGTGTAAGAGGCTTGCCTCATACCCTTCCTGATATACAACCCATCGACCCTTTTGGCTGCGACTCTCTGTCTTGATTGTTTGGACCGCATACAAGTAAGCATTAGTGGAGGGCAGCCTGTTGCGTTTGAGTGCCTTGACCCAGCAAATGAGAAGCGCTCCTGCTATGCATGCATGCAGGAGGCGGCCTGATAAAGCTGTGGGACAAAGGGCAGAGAGAACTCAAACAAACGAGAAGCACCTCCACTCTTGTTTTACGTAATGTGTAATGCCACGTCATTTCAGAGTTTCGCGGAGCTTCGCCGCTCGGGCAGATGGGGACTCGTGGCTTCTCTTTCTTTGCCGGTTGTCGTTCCCTGTCTCTCGCCCTTTGCTGTATAGCTCAGGTGTCTGTGTGCCTGTACGTTATAGCTAGGACTGACTTCTGCCCAGTCACCCCTTTCTTCTGTCTGTGTGACACATATATGCATTGGGGTCCTGTTCACTGTTCAGGAACACCCCTTGTTGTCATCGATAGTGGAGAGGATACACACCTCTTACACTATGGTCTTGGGAGGCTTCAAAAATGTATGCATGAAAGGGACAAGCATAGTCTGCACCAGCAGCTAATTCTGCGTGTGAGCATACCCGAAGCTCAGATTTTACTTTGAGGAAGCAATTTTTGGTTGATTCAAACTAGATTCACACTAGTATGTTTCAAATATCAAAAAATCACCGCGGGTGATTTTTCATCTCGGACGATTATTTCCTCCGTCAGGCGTTTTTGGCTGGCAGCAAAAATGTCGCGGACGAAAAAAACGTTTTGCGGGTTTCAGGCCAAAGTGATTTTTGAAAAATCACCTGAGATGGTTTTTGCCAGGAACGGCACATGCATACCATGTGCATACCACATGTCTACCACGTTGACTTCTTGCCCCCACGCGTAATAAGCGTGCTGGGCCAGCCTATGCAACTTTTGCACTTCATCCGAGCGTCTGCTGAAGCGTAGCCACAACCAGCAGGATGTTCACGATTTGTTCATGATTGTCTCAACCTCCGCTCTCCTCTGACCATATCTGACATGTCGGTAGGGGAGTATCAAGGTAGTAGAGAGGATGGTGTGGGTGTGGGACTGTTGGTAAGATGGGAGGGGATGGAGCGTGCTGCTGAGGGGACAAGTTGCGTGGGTGGTCAAAGATACATGGCAAGTGAAAGATGAGTGAGTAGAAACAAGGATGAGGACGCCAGCAGGCGGGGACACAAAAAAGTTTTGAAAAACATATTTTTGATCCTGCATCTCACAAAAAATGGTTTCAAATTTAAAATCGTTCGAGATGAAAATCCCCAGCCAAAGACTCCCCTCGACGGAAGCAAATATTGTCCGAGATGAAGAATCACCCGCGATGATTTTTTGATATTTGAAACATACTACTGTAGATCCGGGAAGATTTACATGTGTGTCAATTCACATAACATGTTTGAAAGTTGACATTCAAGGTTGTAAATCTACATACACATCTGTAAATTTACATACATGTCTGAAGGAGAATATACATAGATGTTGATGTAGCATTCTAGCCATCTATACGCCTGATAGACTATCATTAGCGCTCTTGCTTTGTTGACTGTTCCCTCATACAGCTGTGCAACCTACTTGCTCACACCAGGACCCCTCTCCTTATTGTCTGTATTCCTTGTTTCCAATATTTCCAACATGCTGGTGTAGTATCCAACCCATTTCTGTCATGTCAACCAACAACATATCATCCCCTCATTCCTTCTGTGCCATAGTTGCTTAGTGTATATGATATGATCTGTCTATTGTCCCCATCATGCTTTCATGTATATAGGAACGGCTGGGTGCAGGTAATAGAGAGCTCAACACACACTCTTGACTTGCTCTTCCCTTACCTTCCTCTTCTTCTCTAACCTTCACAACTCCTCTTGACCTCAGCCACCTCACATCTGTGTCATCCTGCTTAAACACTTGAACTGGGCCCCTATTACACTTGGTGTTACTACAGCTGTCTCTCCAAAGCAGGTCTGATCGTGTAACGGGGTAGGGACAGGGTTAGGGCTGTGTATAAGGGAATCATCTGTCAGGATAGTCATAGTTGATAGGTTGATGTTGATTGTTGTTGTAGTTGATGGTCGGAGGAGTGTCAGGAACCCATGGGTATATATAGAGAGCTGCTGGACAGTAGAGATAGTTTCCTATGTCATTTATTATAACATCTTCTTCCTCCTCCCTTCACTTACTCCTTATTGCCAACTACTCTTACTCCCAACTACAAAGGCAACTCTACAGGCAGCAAACGCAAGCGAGACAAATACAGTGGTCCAGGCTATCCATGATCCCAACTCCTCTAGTTGAGCTGATACCTCTCCACAAAAATTGCATTTACCTGACACCGTCTGCTTTCATGAATTTTGCCGACTTTATCATCAGGAACATCAGCTCAAGCTGTCTGTATTCTTTCAACAAGAGCACTCATAGTAGTGGGCACCGTAGTCTATTACTGAGTGGATTTTTAACCCTCTTTCTAACTGCAATTCTTGTGTATAGAGCGGATGAAGTCAGTAGAAGAAACCAGGGGGCAATATTTCTAGACACTGCCAATGAGGCATGGCAGCTACTGTGAAGGAATTCTTCTCAATCATTCTACCTTACAAATGCAGGGATGGGCTTGGGGATCCTATAGGACATACCCAGTAAATGGCGGAGTCGCTATATGCAATTTGACGGCCACCACAAAGGTCAACAAGCAGCAAGGCCATGTTTTGGTGTGTTGTCTTACAGCCCCTCATGAAGTCAACCGTAAAGCACGCGGAAACTGGAAGATCAAGAGGGGTCAATACTGACGCCAAGTGGTGGTATAGTCTGTATCTTCTATGCAGTAAATTGTCACCAAGGTAAATAGAGTCTATCGGGAGATATATCTTGAGAAAGTTGGTAGGGTTCTATATGAGATGTTGTCCAGAGATTGTTTGATTGAGGAAACTGAAGGGATGCTATGAAGCTGCGATTGAGACAGAGCATGCATGGGTACTGTAAAATCCTGTATGCCACGTGTCGTGGAAGTAGAATCTGCATAGCCACAGACACAGCAAAAATACAAGCATGATAGAGACGAAAAATTCCGCAAAATGAGTGTATAGGCAATTCTTTAATGTTTTCAAGTGTACATTTCACTTGTCAACTTGTACCTTTATTCACTTTGTGCCATAGTTGCATCACGTAGTTGCCCCCTCTGTCGTCTTGTCACTCATTCATGTATATAAGAAAGGCTGGGTGCTGGAATTGAGACTTCATCTCTCTTCTCTCCCCTCCTCTTCTTCTTTAGCCTCTACTGCTCCTTCCAAAACCTCATCCAAGCACAACTGTGTACTCCTCTTCACACACTTGGACTCAACCCTCGATTTCACTTGGTTAACTTCAGCTGTCACCCCAGAGCAGGCCTGATCACCACACTGACAACACCAACTCCAATACCTATTCTTTAGTTGTCCATTCAAGTAGCAACTTGCCCTCTCTCATTTCTTTGTCCATCAGGCATTGTATCACCACTACACGGAGTCCAACCGTTACAGGTGTATAGACCTGATAAATAGAGTGCTGACACACAGAGTTCAAGTGCTATGTTCAATTTGGTTGCTGACCAGGGAGGTGATGTAGTTGGATGTTTATGTTGTTTCTGTGCTGTAGAGATATCAAGGAATAAACATCAGTAGCAATAGTACAGCAGGTTGTGCAATCATGATGAGAATTGATCTGAGAGATGAATCAAGCACAAAACAACAAAATGTGGCATGTCATCAATGAGGCATATGTCATCCTATACTCCACACTTCCAGACCAAAGCACTGAAAAGGCACTGCTGAACTTGTCTTGGACTGTTGTAGCTGACAGAGAATGTCATTGTCATATGCAGGACAGGTAGCAGAGGAGTTGTGTAGGAAGGCGGAGTCTAATATGAGACCATAGCACCCAGCACTTTGTTTGATAATTCAGCTTTTGACTCCTGTTGATCTCTGGTGTGAAAAGACATACCCGCCACCAAATGAGATGAAGTTTGATTCACATAGTGCAAAATACTGATTTTTACCAGTCCATTTGTAAGGTGACACATGCCTGTTGTCATCCACTTTGAAGAGAAATCTAAAGAATGTCAGCATAAAGACAAATGAGATCAAGAACATCAGCTGCAATAGCCTATAGCAGGGATGTGACTTACGACTCTCCACTCCCAAAATAGGACCCCTCATGTCTTACTATAGGCTCATTCATATAAACACCAAACACATTATCTTCACCTTGCACAATGAGGATGTTGGCCATATTGGGATGTTTTTGGGTATTCTTTTCCACCAGCCCATACAGTGTAGATAGGGAGGCGCCATGTTGCTCCATTGAAACTATGACCAATGAGCTTGAGACTAATTGGATGAGATATTGACTTACATAAAAGTGACCACTCATTTATCAACCTTTGCCGTGGTGGAAGATGATGCTGAAGGCTATCGGCCAGTGGCACAGATAGAACCTCATCAGTGCTATCGCGTCGCCCTTTCAAAACCACACAGCCATGATATTCTCTTGGCTTCATATCTTGCACAGAAGGATTGTGCTGAGCAGTGAACCCTGGGGCGCCTGTTGGTGCCACATAGCTATGAGCTAGTTGTTCAGCTGAGGCGAATGGGGTCTTGTGAGTGATGTCTATTGGTACTGGAAGTGGTGGTGGAGATGTTTGATGTGTAGGCACCTCATGGCAACCTCCGGGGTGATACCCAGACATATCGGAGGTTGGAGACTGAACTTGCGGAGCAAGCACAGACTTCCACCTTGAGGCAAGCTTTGTTGTTGTTGCCAAAGTATTGAAGAGTGTGGAGTGGGAGGTTTGACCTGCATGACTGTTGGTAAGGTCATAAGATGGCTCTTTGCGCACCCGGGAGCTGGTAGGTGAAGTTGAGCTCTTCCGTTGCACGTTTTGTATCGAGCCAAGCGCCGTATTACCCGAAGACTGGTGGGCAGGATGGAAGACGAGTTCGTCACCGGTATCAGTGAAGACAGGAGGTGACGTGGGACTTGTTGCAACGGTAAAACTAGACAGCCGTCTAGTGCGGGCGTGAGGTACGTAGTTCGGAGAGATCTCTGTGGGCCGTGGGGGGAGGGAGATATAGGTGGCAGACGGCGAGGAAGAGTGGCGATCTATTGTGTTTGTTGGCAGATGTGGAGGGTATGGAGGGATTTCTGTACTCCCAGTAGCCAGCGGGTCGAACGCCGACGGCCAGGTAGGCTGGGCTCCCGGTGATGGAGGTGGCTGCCCTCGCTGAGGTTCTGCGACGTGCTGATCGTCCTCGTACGATCCCAACAGATCCGCCTCCCCCAAGTGATGGACTGAGTGAGGGGTGGGAGGGGCAGCTGAAGTGAAGGCGCCAAAGTCGGCGGAGGAGGAGGTCGCGTGGGATTTATGGGAGTTGCCGAGCGAGGATGGGGCATGGGCAGGATCTGGAAAGGTCATGGCTGGAGGGCGGCCGAGATCATGAGTCGTCGATGGCGAGGGGGAGGTGGTGTCTGGTGAAGCAGCAAGAATGCCCCTTCTCGACATCGACGCCACCCAAACGCCACCAGCAGGGCGAGCGCGGCGGACGGCGCGGCGGTCTGTGCCGCCTTGCCAACAACAGCAACGAAAAGTTGTTCCCAAGTCCATACTTTACGAGGACCTTCACTCACAGACACAGATAGCATCAGCCTGCAACAAACGAACCTTTTCCAGGTCGAATCACCTGCGATACGCCCAGACTGTATCCAGCAATCTCGCTTGTTCATACACATCGCATCACCTGTCGCCACAATGGGGCCTAGAGTCAAGAGAACGAAGAAACAGCCCATATCGATAAGCTCTTCGGCCATTCGACCTTCCCCTACAGTCTCCCACAAGCTCACTCAAGCCAAAATTGCTACCTTTCACAACCTCCTCAAGAAGCGAGCAACCCTCAAGCGGCAATTAGATTCGAGTCCTTCCGCTACCGCTAGCGAGGCCGTATCGTCTTCTTTGCAAGAGGTAGAGCTTGAAATAGCGGAATTGGGAGGATTGGATGGCTATCAGAAAGCCAGCACTCTGGGACAAGCCAAAGAGAGGGGAGGGGACAGCTCCAAAGTACTTGTTGACTGGATCAAAACCAGGGGGTATGGGAAAGGCGACATCAGGTCAGTGACGTACCCATCGAACGATCTCCTCATATTGACACCTCAAAGTTTATTAGAAATAGGTGCCCTTCGCCCCGACAATTATTCATTCCACAAGTGGATACATAACACGCCAATAGATCTCCACTCGCAACACCCAAATATCCTTGAGCAAGACTTTTTCGACAGACCGCTGCCTGCGTCCGAATATGAGGCTTTTGACATCGTGAGCTGCAGTCTGGTACTGAACTTTGTTGACGAGCCTTTGAGGCGAGGTAAGCATCATAATGCATACTGACATTGCTGTGCAAGTCCGCTCACTACGACATCAGGTGAAATGTTGTATGCGATGCGCCGTCAGCTGAAGCAGAAAGACAGCTCTTTATTGTTCCTTGTCCTACCCCTGCCTTGTCTGAGGAATTCTCGCTACCTCACAATACCTGCGTTTGTGCAGCTGATGAAGGTAGTGGGCTTCGACCTGGTCCAGGAGCGCTACAAAGCCAATGGCAAAGTGGGATATTGGCTTTGGCGGTGGGCAGAAAGCGTCGGCGATGCCTCTCCCTGGCGAAAGAAGGCTGTCATGCTGGATGGGCCTAAAAAGAACAATTTCGCTGTAGTATTACCCCAATAGGAACATGTCTTTTTGTGGATTCTGAGAAGAGGGTTCAACGGGGCCACGTCTACGCTGTTTATGCATTAATGAGAGTTGCATGGGACGTCGCACTCATTTTGTGTATGCATCTCATAGACATAGTAAAGGGCTGGATGCTGTTGTTCAGCATGGCTGATACGCAAGGACCACTGTGTCGTACGTCGGCGCAGCAGTTGTACATATATATGATCAAGAATTTATATGAGGTCACTCGCGCCGACAGAAGACGCGAGTCCGCGACGCGTTGTCGTCGTCGATGATAATTTGAGCTGTTGCCTTTCACAATCTGATTATGATGTCTCAATATACTTGACTCGGGACTACAAACCTCTATCGATCCGTTGTCGGTGAAATCCAACCCAAACATACCCCATAACCCTATCGACTTCATATGCGGAAGGTCAAATCAAAATCAAAATCAGCATCAAACCGCGGTCTCGCCCCTTCCGCCGTCCCTCTTCGCAGCTTCTTCATAATCAGCTGGTTGGGCCTCTAGATTTCATAACCTTACTCAGTATCTTTGTGACCCCATTCCACTCGATTTTCCAAACTTGATACTGCGTCGTCAAGGCTATGAGCACTCAGCAGCCATTGCGCCGGCGCCAGTACTCTTGGGCGGTCATTGTCTCCTTCGGCTGCCTGGCTATCGCCCTATCCTGGGTTGCCTTCTCGATATATCAGGAAGATGTCCGTGTATCAGGCTCTTGGGGCTGTGAGATGAGCTGGATGTCGCCTTCGTACGCGCCTCTCCAGTGGCCTCAGAGACGCATGCGCCAACGATACGGGCTGTATCGATACTTGGAGCAGGGCATCGACATGGGCAGTCCGGTGAGTAAAAACCACCACACAATAGTTCTATCTCTCAAACTCGTATAGCCACGCGGTCACCCTGTCATTTTCGTCCCGGGGAATGCAGGGTCCTATCAACAGGTCCGTTCCATCGCTTCGGCCGCTTCGAGACAACATCAGCACCAGGGAGGATCGACAGCTGTGCACTCCAAGTCTAACCATATTGATTTCTATACTGGTGAGTGCTGATTTATGCGGTCCAAATTCAGATGAACCATACTGACTTGTGCGTCAGTGGACTTCAATGAAGAGTTCTCCGCTTTTCACGCCCAAACCCTGCGCGAACAATCTAAATTCCTACAACTATCAATTGAACGAGTACTGGCCGAATACGGCCACCTCCCAGAGCATTCGAAACCGACCCAAGTGACTTTTGTCTCCCATTCCATGGGTGGCATTGCTACGCTACTGGCGCTTGACTCCAGATGGGCTTCTATGGTCGACGCTGTGGTCACCCTATCGACCCCGCACATGATGCCTCCCGTGACCATCGAGTACGATATGGACGCTATCTATACAACCATATCCCGGCACTCTCAGCTTGGTATCCACCCTCCTATCGTCTCGATCTGTGGCGGTATATCAGACACTCAGATTGTTTCTGAGAGCTGTGTGCTTCCAAACACCCCAGGCTCCGAAGACCTTCGCCTTACTGCGTTCACCTCCGCGATTCCAATGGTGTGGACCGGGGTCGACCATCAAGCGATGGTATGGTGCCATCAAGTCAGATGGACTGTTGCCAGCCTTCTTCTTGACTGGGCAAACGCAAATGGCGTGGACGGAATCGATATCGCCAGAGAAAGACTTGTTGGACCTCGAGCTGCTCCTCTATCTCTTCCTGATGGGAACATTATAACATTCCCGATCTCGTCCGCAACTTCACCGACCATGACACTCTTGCGGCGAAGAACAGACGCCCTGTCGTTACAAGAGTGTGATGAAAAGGGGAATTGTTTTCCAGTAGAGTTCCGATCCGATCTTCTCCCCTTGCCTCGAAATACCTCAGCCCCCTTTCCATCACCGGGGGAAGGTGTCAATCTTGACGACGCAATACTCTCCAGTGACCTGAATATCACTCTGTCGAAGGGTATGTTAGAAGTACGTTCGGTGCAAGGCGCAAGGAAAGACTGGGTTGTCTTTGGTCGGCACGTGTATCGTTCGGTGCGTGGTGGCTCCTGGGGTAAGTTCGTTTCCAGAGTTTGCCTCCAACAGAGCCTGACCATCGTCTTAGAGCGGGAAGAGAACGACGAGAACGTTACGCACTACACGTTGAAATTCACGAGCCCTCTGTCCGACTCCTTGTTGACGTACGACCTTGAAGCCACCATCGGACAATGCGAAGGTGCGTCTATGGATTCCTGCTTCCGTACATTGGCAAGCTTATGTGTACTTTGATAGGTCAATACCCTATCATCAAACATACATCCATATCTGTGCCGTCGTTGCAGGATACTACATCAGAAGCGCGTTTCTATCCCATTACATCAATATCCTCTGTTCTTCGCCTGCACTCGCATGTGCCTCTGGGACCCTTTCTCTCGTCTGAGCGTGTGAGAGGTGTGGAAATCGAGGTCTTTCAATCCCCCACCTGCCCGATACAGATGATCAGAATGTCGCCATGGCACATGGGCGTGCTCGGCAAGATTGTGACACGTTACCGAATGGTCGCGATGGCCTGGCCGGTTGGGTGGGCGTCCGCTGTAGTGTTGCGACAAGTGGCTTCTTTCCATGTGACGGGTGAGTGTTGGCATGCAAGCTTGTATCTCAGCTGGCACCAACCCCATAGGCACTATTCCTTCGTACGACAAGGCGTTGACAGACGTTGCTGTGGATTGGCTTCCTAAGAGCTTGGTCGGTATCGTCCTCATGGGCTTTCTGCAGACCGCTCTATCGAGCTATGGAAGGAGCCATACCCTCATCCTGGGCACCACCGATCTTGCTTTCATACCTTTGCTGTTCTTCTTCTGGGTATGGTCATTCGGCGTCACATGCTTGGTGTGGTGTTGTGTCCTTGTCACTGTCTCGTTATATCGCAAGCTGCCTGCAACTCTTCCTTTACGCTGGATATCTAGTATCGAGAGAAACCGGATCAAGTAGGTGGTCCCTTTTGTTTTTCTTCTCTTGATGGCTGACTAGTGTTGATCAAGACCAAGCGAAGGCCCGGAAGAACCCCACCGACGCCCTTCCACCAGTCGATCCAACGCTACCGTGCTAGGTGTGATCGCCTTAATCGCAATAGCCAGCTTCTTTGTCCCCCACGAGGCTGTGCATGTGGCGGCATTCATGATATTATGGACCATATTCGCGAATGAAGATTGCGCTTCACCAACGGTATGTCTGAGGTCATCGGGAACAGGAAGGTAGCTGATGTTAAGTAAAAGGCTCCCTCGTTGTTGGCCGCCCTGCCCGGCATTCTAGTCATTTTAGCTGTGTTACTTCCGTTCAAAGCTCCGCACCTGCTTGTTTGGGGTCGCAACTTGTATAGCCACCGAGAGCGTCCGGTCTATTTAATGGAGAATCTGTGGTACGCAGGCCCTCCTATAGCAGTGGTTGCGCTCTTCCTTAGAGGCGCTGTCTATCGGAGACGGCCTAGGTGCGTAGTCTTGTGATGATTGTGTTTGTGCGCTCATATCGATAAAGTCGGCTGCTGCTTTGCAAGGTTTCTCTGATATGGCTGTCCTTTTCTGTCGCCTTGGCAGGTGGGCGATGGACATGGATCATCCCACCGCTGGCCAACCTGTTCATTTGCACTCTCGTAGGGCTTCTCTGGTAATACGACCGTGTCTCCTCGTGGGATTGTACCTAGCATCATGCATCACACATATAGCATTTTTGCAAAAACTCTCGTTCAAACTAGATTCTGGTGCATTTTACGAGAAGCTGCCGGTTTACCGCCCGGCGCGGCTATGTACTTTACATCCGGCTGGCGGCTTATGCCGAAGCTCGGGCGGCCGGGGGAGATACACTCTGGCCAGCTCTTCGCGTCTCTCTTCTCTCCCACAATCCAGATGCTCACCGTACACAGCTTGTTGCCCAGGCTCAGATGCTTCACCGCGCGGCAGCAATACATGTGTGCTCGGCCGAACGCGTATAAGACCCGCACATTCAGCGCAACCAGCCCAGCTGTCGCAAGATCACCGTCTAGTACGGACATACCAAAGGCCACAGCACAAGGACGCAAAACACTGGTGGAGCTTCCAGGCGGCAGAGAGCTCCGATAGTGAGCTGCGATAGAGTCTATTGTACACCTATACTGACTGCTCCAGTGACAACACTTTTCTGTTTGACCATTGCCGTTGTCCCGAATGCTGTCATCCAGGGACCAAGCAAAGACTCAAGACTCTATCTGAAGTAGACCAGAATTTTTACATATTCAGGCAAATACTCATCAGAATAGATACCCGACGATATCTCGCCCACCGAGCTCCATATGGATGCACAAGGACTGCGAATCTCTTGGTCGACACTGGAACCACACGAGTCTTTCTTTCCAATGGAATTCTTGAAGCGAGCCTCTTACGATCCTCCCCTTCCCCAAGTTGAGCAGGACGCGTAAGTCCTGATAGCCTCGCTCACATGAGGCTTATGTATGACCAGCCGGATCCTATGGAGCTCCAAGATTGCAGCATCTCCTCCTTCTGTATCCTACGATGGTATCATGGATTCTCAGGTCGAACGGAGCGAGGCAAACATCCTCAAATTACTAAACAAAGTTGTGAGCAACAAGAAACTTTCCGCTGCGCACACTTAATCGACGAACAGCATGACTTTGGTTTCTGTTTTGTGACCAACGTGCCCGCTACTGCTGAGGACACCAAAACCCTCATAGAAAATATCGCTCCCATCAGACACACACATTGTATGCCCGCCTTATACCCTTCGAAGATGGTGCTGACGGCTCAAAAGATGGCGGATTTTGGTCTTTCACAGCCGACCTGAGTCACGGCGACCTGGCCTACAGTGCACAAGCCCTCCCTGCCCACACCGACTCCACTTACTTTACAGATCCCGCTGGCCTTCAAATCTTCCACCTCCTGTCCCACCCTGCCCCCGGCACAGGCGGCACCACCCTCCTGGTCGATGGCTTCTACACCGCCTCTCTCTTATCGGCCATCCACCCCGAATCGTATGATACTTTATCGCGTTTAGCGACACCGGCACATGCCTCGGGCACGGCAGGGACAATGTTGCGCCCGCCAATGAGCCAGCCTGTGTTTGTGCATGACGAGCATCAGCGATTATCTCAGGTGAGATGGAACAATGAGGATAGGGGAGTTCTCGGACGGGGATGGACGCCAGAGGAAGTCACGGGGTGGTATAAGGCTGCGAGAGAGTACGAGGCGTTGCTGAAGGGCGAGGACGCAGAGTACTGGGTACAGCTCGGTCCCGGGACTGCACTGGGTAAGTCCGCCTGGAGCGTGGCTGGTCAGTGGCTGACCATCAGAGCAGTGATCGACAACTGGCGAGTCATGCACGGCCGTTCCGAATTCACCGGCGCGCGAACCATGTGTGGTGCATACGTCGGTGCCGACGACTGGCACTCTCGACGGAATGTGCTTTTGGAGAGACATCGACAGCAAAGAAAACAAGAGTCCGCTTTAGACGACGTATGGAGCGTCGGCTGGTGATTCCAAATCAAATGCATTGACAGAATCCTCTAAGCGTCTATCACAATATAACTCCCACAAGATAAGAAAGGCAAACTCCCAGACGGAACGATACAGTCTTCCCAGTGTCCAAACAAATGCGTCCTGTAAACGCCCTAACATGTACAACTTGACCGACATCTCAGTCATGTTCCCACCGCGATGCCCCTATTCACCCTCTCAAACTCATTTCCCTCCTCTATGCCCGGCGACCGCACATTCACAGACGGTGGCAGTCGAAACTTTTCTCCTTCCGCAGACAAACGCCTCTGCCTGTTGCGCGAATGGTGCAGCATGGCCGGATCACTCGGCGGCGATGATGTTGTGGACGCCGGCGGGGAGGGGTACGGCGCATTGGTATGGGCTGCGGGGAAGGGGGATTGAGAGAACGAGCTCTTCATGGCGGTGGTGGTAGAGGAGGGCAGATTAATGTTGTAGCTGTTGTTATAGACCGGCCGGGGCGAGTTGTGCGTGCCCTTGAAATCTGACTCTGAGTCTTGCTCTTCAAGAATTCGCTGATCTCCGATGGTGGTCGGGAGCATCCCACCTCGCACAGCCTCGACATGCCTCATCTTTTTCTCTCCCCGGTCCACATCGCGCTTCGCGCTGTTGTACATCCAAAGGCCGATGCCAGTCATGATGATGCCCATGGCTTGCACCGAGTGGACAGGCTGCTTGAACCAGATGATGGCCAGGCAGATGACGGCGATTCTCTTGACAAGCGAGGCGATAGAGTAGGTGACGGGTGAAGTAGACGACAGGAGCGCGAAAGCAATGATACTTTGGGCAAAGTGCACGGTGCCGTTGAAGAAAAAGTAGACGAGGACGGAGGTCTCATTTTTCTGTACAGCTGGCGCGCTCCAGAGGTTGAACAAGCTCCGAGCATCCGAGTAGACCCACAAGGGAAACATCAAGATGAATGCCATCCCACTCGAGAAATAGAGCAGATTGATCTTGTCCAACTTGGCCGAAGCACCCCCGCTCTCGCTCGCGCCCGAGCTAGAAGTAGGCATGATCTTTTTGAAAAAGATGTTTTGCGAAACAAAGACGAGGGTAGAGCCGAGGGCGCAGATGAGGCCGAGAAAGTTGGAAAAGGAGATGTCGAAAGAACAGGCGAGCATGACGCCGAGGGTGAGGGGGAGAAGGGAGAGGTAGGTGGAGGGGGAGTAGGAGACTCCAAATAAGAGAGAGTAGGCCATGACTGTGAATAGTGGTGATAGCGCCTAATAAGTATGTGAGCCAAGGAGGGATGCTTGAATTGTCCCGACACTGACCTTGATGGTGTGCACCGTACTGACTGGAACTCTGCTGATCGCCATACTTCCGAAGATATGGCCCCCGACCTGAAACACCGCGAGAGGAAGCGTCCCTCTCATGATTGCCTTTGTAGGCCGCCTCAGTCGCCCCGCCCATCCTATCGTCTTGTGACTACAGATCGCGCAGCACAGAGCGACAAAGAAGAACTGCACCAGCGTCAAAGTCACGGGGTATTTGAACCTGTTGAGGATGACTTTGCCCGTGTTGTTCGATATAGCCGAGCAAGCGTACCAGAGGAAGCATAGCGATATGAAGCGGATGGTCGCTGTACTCGGCGTGGCAACAGCTGGGAGGGCGGCCAAGAGGGATTTAGAGTTTGAAGTGAGATATGGGAGCGAGAAGCGGCGGGAGGGGGGCGAGTCGAGCGGACAGGCTCCCGTGGGGAGGAGGGCTGGGTCTGGGAAGGAGGGGGCGGGGGCGATGGCTGAGCGGTAGTGGGGGGGCGGGAGGGGGGCGGTGGGGACATCGAGGGAGGAGGACTGGTGCGCGAAGGGGGCGCGGTGGCGGGAGGGGGGTGGGAAAGCCATCGGAATTTCAGGAGACAGGAGACACGAGCCACTGAGCCAGATACCACTATACCACAATTACTATGTTTACTTAGAAACAATTTAGTATAGAAACAGGTTTTCCCATGTACGTTACGTTACTCGGGTAGCGGTCACCCCCGCCCCGTCACCCACCCCTTGTTTGGCTCCCCTGGCCCTGCTCTCAGCCCGTCCCTCCAGACTCCAGAGTGCAGCCTGCCCTGCTCGTCCTGTATGCCCAGAGGGGCCAGAGGAAGGGGGCTTCCTGCATTCTGGGCGTGCATCTCCGAGCATGCGGGCAGCGGTCGGCAGCTTAACTCACCCCGCTGCCCGGCGGGTGCTCTTAAAATTATTAGCGTGGTGAGTCGTCGATGAGTCGTGGTCGAGTGCACCAGTTGTCCTCTGCGCCTCCTGGTTTGTTTGCGGGCTCCTCTGAGCTACCACGCGCGGGGAGAGCAGGGCCGAACCCAAAACAAGCACAAACATGGAACACGGAAGGCGCAACAGATCCATGGATCCGATGTGCCGTCTCCATGGGCCATGAGCTGATCCACACTGCAGGGCGACAGGCGCAGACATGGGGTGTGCTGCATGTATGCACCGTGGGACTGTTCGCAGGGCGGGTGGACATACATGGGCCACGGAGGGGACAAACAAGATGGGCGGGCTGCGGCCAGGCGCGAGGTCTCCCGTGTCGTACTACCTGTAATTGTTGACTTCTTATTCTCCAGCGCTCGCCATGTTCTATTAATACTGTATTGTTCAAGTATTGTTTGTCATTTCCATCTCCTCTTCCATCTCCATTCTCCCTCTCCCCCTCCTGACGCCATCCCCCCTGTCCCCTGTCACACACAGACAGCATCCCACACCGGCTCGCCACACAAGCCATCCCTCGCAGGCCACACTCCTTCCCCCCCCTGCTGCTTGCGGTGTCCTTCGACGACCCTTAGCCCCTTCCATCTAGATTCAAAGGGTTGCTCTAGCACCCTATAAGTACCGCCATTCAGCCACCATGCCACCCGCACCTCGCAACATCATGCCTCTCGAACCCACCTCTTATCCCTTCCTTGGTAACGCGAACGACGTCCCCCCTTCACCCACCTCGACCACAAAATCCCAGGCTCCCATTCTTCCCAAGCCCGACATAGACAACAACGACATCAGCAACAGCAGTAGCAATATGAGCGCTAACAACGCAAACGACTACGAGTTCTTCCACTCCAAGAAGTTTGCATTGTGCTTCGGGGCGATGTGGTGGGTCTCTTGTTCCAGGATGTACGCGATGTATGCTCACTTGATACAGTCTCAATGTCATCCTTTTCGCTTTGGACCAATTCATCAGTGAGTGCATGGCGTCTCGCCCTTGAGTCGGGGCTGACGCGCGTGCAGTCACTGCCGCCGTGCCAAAGATCATCAATCAATTTCAGTCTCTGGACAAATGTACGTCATCCTCGACATGTACCAGGGCTAGCTAACGAATATATCAGTGGAATGGTATGATTGTGATGCCCGAGAATGGATCTTGTACTAACCGCTTCAATCTTCACTCCAGGCTCAACACGGCGTGCGTCTCAAACCTCTTCACAATATGGGAACAAGGACGAGGCTGACATGTCTTGTAGTTTCTTCGTCCCATGTGCCGGCGCCATCCTCATCTACACCCAAGTGCGCATCCCTCCCTCGCTCACGGGACAGGATTCTGACCAGCACATAGCTCATGACTATCGTCAGCCCCCGCTGGATCTATCTTGCAGCCATTGCTACTTTTGAAGCTGGAAGTGCCATCTGCGTGCGTGCCATTCCCGAGACGATTAGAGCTTGACTGATAAGACTTCTCCAGGGAGCAGCGAGTAGCATGAACCTATTGATCGTTGGTCGAGCCATAGCTGGCTTAGGAGGAGCTGGAATGTGGAAGTACGTAGATTGCTGTTTGTCTCTCCGAAGTCTACTGATCTTGTGTAGCGCAACGTATCTCATTGGAGGCGAGCTCATCCCGTTCTCCAAACGCCCTGGCTACTTTGGTCTCTTCGGTGTCGTTCGTTTTGCGAGCCCAATGTCGAGTGACAAGTGCTAATCCTTGACGTAGAGCTATATCCTTGCCTCTGTGATGGGACCGCTTGTTGGAGGTAGGTCTGCCTGGAACCTACATCTGTTTCAAACTGACACCAATATCAGGCGCTTTCACTGACATGAGCGAAGAAGGGTGGAGGTGGTGCTTCTACATCAATGTATGTATCTCGGCGCTCAATGGCTGTACTAGCTGACAGACAATCAAGCTCCCCGTTGGTGGCGTTGTCCTCTTTCTTCTTCTGATCTTTCTCCCCGATACCGCCCAGCTCATTCCATTCGATGGCCAATTTGACCGCCGACCTACATGGCTCAAGCTCCTCCGTATTGACTGGCTCGGCGGGGCGCTGTCTGTTGGATTCGTGACCTGCTTGGGAATGGGTCTTCAGTGGGGAGGGGTCACGGAGGACTGGGATGATAAAAGTGTCATCATCGTGAGTGAACCCCATTGAAATATCATCTCCAAAGGCCAAACTGACCATGTAAATAGAGTCTCTCATTCTCCCTCGGTCTCTTCATCCTTTTGATTTTGTGGAGTCTTTGGTTTGGTTCGAGGGCCATGATTCCCATGCCGTTGTTCAGGAGTCTGCATTTCACGTGCGTATATCGTTCACGAGATGAGATGTGTGAGCTGATATAGAGTAGTGCCGGAGCTTGGGTCGCTTTCTTTGGTATGTCAGCCGCAGATATGCAGGGCACCTCAGCTGATGGGCGTGATAGGATATGGAAATGTGGTTGTTTACCTGTACTACCTTCCGCTCTATTTTGAAGCCATCAAAGAGTACGAATTCTCCCACTACTTTAATGGGAAGGGATATGTGCTGACCATGGGTAAACAGGAAATCAGCTACCGCCGCCGGTGTGCTGCTTCTCGCTTTGCAACTTACAAGTATGTCACATCTGCTTTGCAAAATTTCATACTGACTGATCACAGTGGGTGTCTGTCTGGTCTTTTCTGGCAAATTGGGCGAAGTCACGGGTCAAGCCAAATATGTCATCGTCGCCGGCTCCTGTCTCCTGGCCACCGGCGCTGGTCTGTTCACCACCCTCAAGGCAGACTCGTCCATCGGCCGCGCTGTCGGCTTCGAAGTCGTCTCGGGCGTGGGGCTGGGTCTGGTCTTGAACATCAGTATGTTCTGCCCGATATGATATGACGACAGGGGGTCGGAGCTAACGGGGACTCACAGTGGTCGTCCTTGTACAGGCAAACTATCTCGATCGACCTCAACTTGTACCGCATGCTACCAACCTTTTCAACGTGAGTCCCGGCGGCAGTTGATTTTGCCCTTCGTTTGCTAAATGACTGCAGTTCTGGGGTTTCGTAGGCCGCATCGTGTCCATGTCGACTGCTACGAGTATTTTCAATAACAAGGTCAGTCTCCACACATTTGCTCACAGTACAGATACTGACTGTTTCATAGCTTCGCATCGGTCTATCCTCCATCGGACTCTCCGAAGCTGTCGAGGTACAGATCGCGGCCGCGCCCAGTGCCATCTGGACGCTGGATGCCTCTCAACGAGCTGAGGTGTTGGTTCAATACACAGCTGCTCTGGTCAAGGTGAGCTCCGTCCGCTTTCGTCCAATTCGAGTCCTAACTGACATTGCATCCAAGCCATTCTGGTTTGTCTTGGGACTAGGTGCCATGTGCTTTATCTCGAGTCTCTTCATGAAAGACATCGATCTGAAAGCGGTCGCTCAGCAAGGGCAGCAGGCGGAGATCAATGGCGGGGATAGGGATGGACACGAAAACTATGCGATGCAGGGGAGCGATGTGTCGTCCATGAGAAAAGATACGAGCACGCAGGACGAGAGGAAAGGAGATTTGTATCGGGTGTCCACAAATGAGATTGGACGCGTATAATACTTTTCGCAAGGTGTCTTCTATACCTTCACTTCATGACCACACATATACGTAGACAAGGGACTTTTACATAGTTGAACGACAAAAAATCAGTATTGCGAGCTTCGAATTCTGTACGAGTAGAGAGTAGAGTACCGTACTCGTACAATCTTGAAAGCTGAAGGCGCTCTCAGAGCGCTGAGCAGATGTACAACCATTCATGTATCCTGACACGATCTCCTGTTCAAACTCGAGAGCTGAAGGAATGTCCTTTGTTGACAGTTTGCGGCCTGAACCTCAAGTAGAAAGGAAGAAGTGCATCCGACGCGTCGTCCTCCAGGGATCCGTTTGACTGTGGTGAGAGGAAGGCTTGAAGTCTGATCAAGACTTTCAGCACTTGTAACCATATTATTCTGCAGAGATCAGGGTGCTGACTCTGCCACCCTACCCCCCTAGCTTTACCCTTCCTGCTATTGTCAAATCCTCTATTTGTCCCCAACGCGACGGGCGTCAACAACAACACACTCTTTTATTCGCACCCCACTTGGATTCTCAACATGTTGTCGGTAGTAAAGTTCCTGGTTGCTACTCATGGCATAGCGTTGGGCTGGGGCAAGGCAATTGACCTCGGCGCTAACGACCAACAACACTCCCCAGAAGCTCGATGGATCACGCAGTCTTACCGCGTCGGGGAAAGCTTCACCTACGACTCGGACATGCTTGCCATCACCAAGATCTCTGAAGCCAGTAACGTCAGTCCGATCATAGTGACCTCAACGCTGTATATTTCTGTGTATCACGGCACCACAGACGAATCCGCCCACCCCACCGCCACATCAATGTACGATGATGAGGGTGTCGTGGCTGTGGCGATCAGCACCAGCAGCGGAGCTACGTCGTTGATCGACGTATCTTTTACCGATAGTCATGTGACCCCACCTAGTACAGCATCCACAAAGACGCATAGCAGTGCTTCTTCGACAAGCAGCGCTACTGCAGACTCGCAGACATGGGTGGATGCTCACAATAGACCTCGAAGTCAATATGGAGCTGCGAATCTTGTCTGGGATGATCAACTGGCAGTCGTCGCTCAACAGCATGCTAACTTGTGCAACAAAGAGCACACGTAAGTCTACAAGCCTTTGATCGGTTCCCTTTGGCAAGCTGCTGACCTCGCGGGCAGCAAAGCGGCCGAAAACCTCCAGTGGGGTTCCGGTACGGGAACTCCGCAAGGGGCAGTAGACGCATGGATGGCAGAAGCAGGGGAGTGATACCAGCCGGTCCTCCAACAACACCAGGTGCTGACGCTGATTCGGTTATAGCTGCATACAATTGGAACAAGCCAGGGTATTCAGGTAAGTTGTAACCCTTTCTTATAAAGCTACTCGCCCCCCACATGATGATGACGGGAACACTGACCAACTTTCGTAGAAGCTACTGGTCATTTTACCCAGGTTGTGTGGAAGGTCCGTCATTCTCGGCAAACTCATGTCAACTCATCTTGTATTTCGTTCTGACGTTACTGTAGGATACCAAGCGTGTTGGTTGCTACATTGCCCAATGTCCCCAAGGCTCAGTAGTCGATGAAAAGTACACTGTAAGTCCTTCGCACTGTAGCCTTTCTGTACAGGAGATACAGAAGGATACTAAGTATTCGTATTCAGACGAGCTTCCAGACAGCATGCGAGTATGATCCCGCGGTAAGTAATCCTTCCCAGTTCGTTGATTTTAACCAATGAAGCTGATCGTGTGGTTTTGTTAGGGAAATTATGTCAGTAAGTTAGGCTGTCGCTGAATATACATTTTAGCTGACTTAAGTCATAGATGAAGGGGAGTTTGCGCAGAATGTTGGAAAACTTGTTAGCTAAGGACTACCCGAGGCAGATGGCGGATATGGCAGCGAATAAAATGCACAGCATACCCAGTCCGCATTATTGACATATCTTCCGATTTCCGATCATCTGCGGTTCGCCTCGCTAAGCTCATCTAGCTTCCCTCTCTCTGTTGGACAGATGATCTGCGAGTCCCATACCAGTCCTGACCAGGTCCAATCTAGTCGAAAAGGTTTCGGCCAGAACGAACGCCGCGAACGAGGAGTCCGTCCAATAAGATAGATGCGCCGTCAACATGTCTACGAAATATCATCAGTGACCGTGCTGTAGCTGCTGAAACCACCATTTACCGAGGTACTCGCTCACGCCTGCTGATGGCAAATAAAAGTCTATATTGCCGTGAGGATTCAAAGCTGAGAATCTTCTCTCACCACGACTGCCTTCCAGACGCTCCTCCCCAGTAGGACCGGCCATCTGAGTTGGTTTCGTCTTGTCAATGGCACATATTTGTGATGTGATTTACTGACTCACCTCGATCCCGCTGGGCAAACGAACAGCACCTGGCCTGACTGATGCTGCATCGCCCGTACGCCCTCCAAGCGCGCTTGGCAAGTATCGCGATATGGAGCTGATACTGTCTGTGACTGGCGCATAGAAGGGTGAGGTGACCGAAGTTATTGCGAGGGGTGAGGTCGTGGAAGCAATTTTGGAATCGACCGCCGCGTTGAGCTGATAGCTGACACACAGTCAGTCAATTGCGCAATTCCCTGACAAGACTCACGCGATGGGATCGGTGTGGTAGAAGATGTTGTACAATCTGAACGGATCAGCACTGGGTTTTCTCCTCTTTTCAATCCAATTACTTACGAATCAATCGACAAGCAGCCGAATTTCCCAGATCTATCAAGCTAAAAGTCATCAGCACCTTACTTTTACACAAATCAACTTTCGTAGCCTACAGCTTCGTCAGGAGGCGAGTCTATGTCAAACGTCAGCTGTGAAGGATGGCTGGGGATGGTCCGCTTCTCACTCATTGTTCTTTCCCTTCCCTTTCTAGGCATAATTTGGGCTTGGTCGAGGTGCAGGAAGATACCCAAGGGACTCCCGCAAAGGAAGAGATTGCTGGTATTGAACAAAAATCTGTCTCTCGTCTCCGAAAGGATAGACTTGGGAAGATCAGATATGGTAGGAATCTTTGTGGGTTGGTCAGACAATATGTGAGCCACCAAGGCTGAGCCGAGCTACGACCGTTATTAGCAATGGCATGTCACAGCTCGACCAGAAGCTCACCGAGTGTCCCACAATATGCACCCTGCCATTTTTCTCAAAGCCCGGGTTACGGGCGATCCACAGGCGGTACAGCTTATTCGCTTGTGTACAGACAGCCTCGATCATCTTCTGGCGATGATGCGACATGAAAAGAGGAATATCCAGCAGCACCTGGTAGAGGTCGCATCAGTGTCCGCTTTCGGGGGCGATTGTGACTTACCGCATTGGTGAGCTCTCTCACATACGGAATCGATCGATTAATGGTGATGTCTGGGATTCATCAGCAACAAACAGAGATATTTTTGATCTCTCCCACCGGCTATCGTGAATCGGTTGTCCATTCCGTGAGCTGCATCTTCTGCTGTCTTCTGGTCGTCGAGGTCAAGGGACGCCCGCCATTGGACAGGTAAGACCTAGAACAGACACTGAAGTGTGAGTATCGATCTCATGACCACGACTGAAGTACTGACTTGACAACGGCGATCTCGAATGATAGACGCCAAGGCTGGATTCGAGCTCTGCTTCCTACGCAGATCAGTCAGCTTCAACGCTGCCTGTTTCTGGTTAAGCTTACCTGAGTGATTGTCGAAGCTGATTACCTGCGTATCTGATCATAATGATAGTCAGATCAAGGCACCTTATCGTCTTCGTCTCTATACGCACACAAAGTTATAGGCCTCGTATTGGGCTGCCAACTGCTGTCCTACACCGAGTGTCAATCGTGAAACGACACAGCAATGACAGGCTTACCGATACCATGGACGACTAGGATCAGGTCAGTACACGGCGAATAGTCTTCTGTATCATGGATCTGCATAATGTCAGTGGAAAGCAGATCGGCACATTGAGACGTACTAAAGGGGCGTTCTCCTCTTCTCGGGCTCTTCTGTCGTCGGGAGACAGACCGGGAGGTCTTTCCCCAATCTTCTGATTATGAACCTCCTTGAGATCCTTTTTCACTCCCTCAAGCGTCTGTTTCGCATCTTTCGTGATCCCCTTCATAGCTGCTTCTACGACAGTATCCTGTTGTGGTCTTTGCTTGGGCAGGCCAGCGAGTCTAGTAGACGGTGACTTTTCGTTGACACTCGAGCGATTGCTGTTGTGGCTTCCTCTTCTAGATGCAGCCTGACTCTTGCCTTGGGAGTTGACGTCGGTATGCTCTTTGCCTGAAGCAGCGCAGGCTGCCGCAAACCCTCGGTAGATGTATGTTCCCGAGGCTTTTGAGCGTATAGAGTCCCAGAGGGCCCGAGCCATATACGTCAGAGTCCCTGAGCTATACATATCATTAGCAGAGTCAGTCATAAGCCGTGATGATGAGACTTGCGTGATGAGTCGACCTCTGTTCTCGTTCTCGAATATTACACCCAAACCTTGACCAAACCTGGGCGGCAGCGAGTATTTCAGCTTTTCTTCTCCAGCTTGGCCTAACGATAAGGCCGTAGATAGCTCGTGTTGATAGGACGGCTGATTGAAAGTCAGCGCCTGTCCTCCGTCTGTACGTGGGCAGTGTGACAAACCTGCCAAGGTTGTATTTCACTGTTGACAATGTCAGCCACTCTGCCTGACATGAAGGGTTGACTCACAGATACGCCTTCTCCAGCTCTTCCGCAAGCTCCCAGCAGCAAGGTTTAGTCTCATCTGTCAAAAACCAAGTTCCTCTCAGTACGGCAACTCTGGGGCCGGTATGGGCCCAGAAGACGGGGTGAAGCGATAAAGTGCGCAAGGAGACTTCAAACAACGAGTCCTGGTAAAGTGAGCGAGGCCTCTTGCAGAGGAAAGGTGTAGCGGCGTACTTGACTAACAGGTACCCCTTTGATGACTCCCAAATCTTGGCTGTCCCAGGAGGGTTCTGCCATCAGCTGTCGAAACTCCTTTTCCAACTCGAGCTCGGGGGAGCTCTGATCTGATGTTTCTGATACTTCTGATGTTTCTGACCGAGCTTCTCCTTTTCTCTCGCTATGCACTTTTGCATCGACTGGGTGTGTCTGTTCCGCGACATTGCCTTCACTACTTGGCTTCGGTTTCGCCTTGTTGCTCCCTTTGTCACTCGAGCCACTGCGCTCTTTCGCGCGAGTGGCAGGTACGCCTTCTCCGTCTTTGCCACCCCAGACTTTGACGAGACTGTCCCTCTCGTCGGAGGGTAGCGCGTGCCACTGTTCATCTATGCGCTGAGACTCGGGCTGGGAGAATGCCTTGTAGACGGTGGATGTGGTGGTGATGGGGGTGGGCAGCAGATCGAGATGCTGGGCGCCGGCATGGACCCAGCGGAGGTCGAGCTGTGGGACGGGGAGGAGCGGGGGGGACGCTGGGCGGGGGGGCTCTGGGGCGGTGGCGGCCATGGTGCAATAGGGACAATCCATCCAGTATTTGTCCACATTGCATCCACAATCAAGTAAGTAAGGCAGTGACATCACCACAACGACTGCTTACGTAATACAAACTCAGACTTGGTTTTGTCAACAGAGGTTCATATCTCCATCATATCTATCTCGTATTCCTCGCCGTCTCTCCAACTCGGAGCTTTCAACTCGACAGAATGGTCAGTCCACCCGCAAGACTCGAGCGGCTAGTGCTGACAACCATCGTGCCAGTCCAAACACCACCCCGATCTGCTCATGTGCCGCCGACAGCCCGGCATTGGTCAGTGCAGCTCTCGCTGTGCAACTTCCGTCCGGATGGCTACTGATGTCCCCCCCTTAGCTATAGGACGAATGTGCGAAAAGTGCGACGGAAAATGGTCGGTATCAGCTTCCACGCAAAGTATTATTGACTCACCGTCGTCTGTAGTCCCATCTGCGATTCTTATGTGCGACCTATGACTCTGGTTAGGATCTGTGATGAATGCTCCTGTGAGTGGAGTGTAAGAGGCTGTAGGAGATATTACTCACTTGATGTCAGTCGGCACCACCGCGGGCAAGTGTATTGTTTGCTCATCACCTGGTACGCCTTGACTTCCCTCATGTACCACGTATCGCAAGCTTACCAATATACAAAGCCATATCGGATGCATACTACTGTACCGAGTGTACGCGCCTGGAAAAAGATCGTGACGGATGTCCAAGAGTTGTCAACGTGAGTCGTGCTTCCAACTGCCATCTGCCAAGTTTGCTGATTCATCCTCTTTTGGCAGATGGGAGCCAGTCGAGTGGATGCTTTCTACGAACGGAAAAAGCTAGGGTATGTCAATCAGCGTTCAATGTGGCTATCAACTGACACTTGCTCATAGGATGGAAAGTGGAGGATTCAAAAAGGGATAACGCACCGTTGTCGGATCATGAGATGCAGCATTCCAGGTATATACAGCCTCATAATCTCGTTCTGTACAAATGACACCAGTTCACAAGTGGCGAGCAAGACAGGCAGTCTGGATCAGGTGGGTACGGCGTGTCAAGGGGCGTTTCGGAGAGCGACTACTTGGTAAGATGGTGATTGCCAAGTGTTGCCGGGGCAGAACGCTGCTGTATCAATAACCAGTCTGAGGCAAGACCACAATACTTTGTACATTCGGCTATAGAATATATGTGCCAATTATCCACTCGGAGATCCGAGATTCTCCTGTCTCCTCTGCTCTTTCAATACTAAAAGTTCCGTCAAGATGAACTTATCCCTGACCAATTACAGCTATTGCCCCGATCACTGACTCCCCATCAACATATGGCTTCTTAACGACTGAGGTCGCCAATAGGAAGAAGGAAGTAGCTCGTGTCTTTGGTAAGCATGCCGGCCAGAGCGGTGTAGGCAGCCGCGGCGGCAGTCATCTGATGTACTTTAGCACGAGTGACTACTGGACCGCGGGATATACGTACAATACCGAAAGCACCTCCAGCGGTGGTACACTTGGTGCTTGGCGCGAGATAGCCAGCAGCCCTGGACAACATCAGCTCCAGCTCGGCCATGTGGGAGGTGAGATTGACGCACAGCAACCAGAAAGTGATGTCGAGGCAGACAAAGACAGAGATAAGAGCGATGGACGATCGGAGAGATGCAAGGACAAAGACCACGGTGACGAGAGCCCAGGTGACGAGGTAGAGACCCAAGGCATCGTCAAGCATAGTGGGGTCCGTGTAAGACTCGAGAACCGCGAACTGAGGAATGTAAAGGACTGACGGCCGGTCAATATACAAATGATCCGCGCGTCACATCTGAAGACTCACTGCCGAAGGAGATCCAGAAACCACCGTAAGAGCAAAACGCAGTGGCCTGGTGCGCCAGTCAGCTTGGGATCGCACGCGTCTCTGAAGGCAGCACTCACACCAAAGGTGTTACCACAAGCCCACTCTTCGATACTAGTAGTTGATTAGACGCAAATAACGTGAAGAAAGATGATGCCAGGGTGGAATAGGAGGTGAGGAAGATCTCGTCAGTGAGATCCTTTCAATCAAAGGGCTCAGTGACATACCCGACAATGATCTGGGAAAGACCGCCGTAGCCCATAGCCATACCGAGAATGACGTTGTGCACAGTGATGCCTCGGGTGCCAATGTTCAGCAGAGAAAGCAAGAATGTGGTCGCAGCGAAACTGAGATGGCGTCAATATGCGTCTCGAGAGCGTTTGGCCGTAAATCTCACCTGAGAAGACCAAGGGGGGCAGGGTTACCAAACTTTCGGTGGAATACTGGGAAAGCGGGCCTGCGATGTGATTAGTGTCTGAGGAAGACGAACCGGTACCGTCATCCCCACCCCTTTTCCACCCTCTGCCCGACATTTCTTTTTTTGGAGAGCTACCACAAAGACTCACTGAGAATTATCCTCGGGCGATCCGCCGGGAGTCACGACACGCCTGAATCCCTCGCCTCCACGATAGCCCCCTCCGTTGGCGGAGGCGGTCACGCTAGCACGGTCATTGGTGATGGTACGATCAAAGGTCGCGTCGTGGGGCAATTTCGGGTCGGACATGGTGGGGTGTGGATCAGGCGGTGGATGTGGATGCTGGTGGTACGAGGGCAGACAGCACGGGGGATGGACAGGAGATAGGAAGTGGAAGATGCGATGCGAAAGAGAGATTGATAGACGATTTGTGATATGTAACTGTGATAAACACGACAGCGGTACCCGCGATACCCGACTGCATCCACCCCAACACAGAAATGCTCCCGCGCAGCTGACCTGGGTCACTGGGTGGCCTCACCGGCTCGCAAGTTGGCGACCTTCTCGTACTCGCCGGTGACCAAATTTTATCCCCCATTTGGTCTGCTCCGCACTTGATCTTGGCTCCCACCGTGAGATCTCCCCAACAGGCAAATCAGGAAACCCCTGTTTGCTTGCCCCGTCGCTTATCGCGTTATCCCCCGCAACAGTCTGTGCCTTGCCCATGGGCTCTCCGCATACGGCTTACGTCCTGGATCACCGTCATCCAATCACTCGCCTATGAGTCATGCCCATGGCAACGGCACTGTTCTGCTCGTGAGAACCCCACGTACTGCAAAGACCAGGGAACAATCGTTGTATCTCAACGTTTGAAGGATGTTTTCAGCTGCAATTTCACGCATGGACTCTCGCCCTGTATTTTGCGTCATGTACGATGTGCAAGTGCTCCCAGCTCACAACAGAGCTCACAGACTTTCTAAATGTGAGACAGACAGGACGGTCATGCGCGAGTCCATGGTCGTCATGGTATCTTCGGTAAACGCTCAAGCTGCGAGCCTGCGGTGCATGCTAATCTGCAAAGTGCTCTGTCTCTATAAATTATACGAATATACTTGCTCTAAGAGTACGGCTACGGAGAAAGCGAAGCAGCGAAGGGGACGCTAGGATTTATCGGGTCGCTGGCTAATGGGAAACCCGGAAAGCGTTCATCGGTTCTTGCCGTCGGGCGCCGGCGATGCAACGTCGATTGTGGCATCTCGGTCAACATAATCACATTCATGTGAAGCGTTTTCCACCCGGAAAGCTATTCCTATTCCCGGGGGGTTCAGTCAAATTCTGGCTTCCCAACTGTATGTCTCGAGCTCGACTATACGCCTCAAGGAGCGACCCCAAAGGCCCCAAAGAGCATCTGGTCGTCGGTCAGCTTGCTAGTCCTCGAGGTTTGGTCTAGTTCCTGTAGAGTACGTCTGTGGCCTCTGTAGGGGCCGTGGGCAGAAAGATTCATGAAGTCAAGGACACCCGCTTGGTTTCTGAGACGGTACTGATCGATAGCTACGATCGCTTGCATGGGCTTTATGGTACGGAGGCCCATAGAGTATCAAGAATCAGACCGTGAATACACTTCCTTGCCGTATGTATCACCTCCTGCGATCCAAGGGCAGGTAGAAACATTGCAATATACCAAACAAGTTGCGACGACCCCGTATGACACGACGCCGTTGCGAGATCGCAGGACGACTCGTATAAAGTATTTACATTCGTTATGGAAACCACGAAGATGAGAATGAACAATAATCATTCCCCAAGATCTCTCTGCCTCCCATCTAAATCTTCACCACATCCATCCCCGCAGTCGTATGCGAATGACCGGCGCCCCCCTCGGCTTCCCAGCACACCTGCACACCTGCCAACCACTTGTCCTTCAACGCCTCCTCCACTGTCCACCTCGTCTTGGGGTCGGGATCAAGCATATGCTTGACGATGTTCCTACATTCTCTTGGGATGAGATTGTTGAGCGGAGGAGGGGTGCCATGATGGACGGGAGTGTGGGAGCCCTCAACGGAGGCGAGAGGCTTGTAGGCCTGTACGTAGGCAGCAAAGGTAGAATCGCTGGGTTTGGCGACTCTCCAGGGAAGTTCTTGGAATTGCATACAGTAAAAGACGATGGCGGCGGCCCATACATCGACCATACGCGCGTCGTATTCTGAAGCAAGTCAGCAAAGCTGGAGGACGCATGTGGCTAGTTACCCTTTTGCTCGAAAAGCTCTGGCGCAATGTAAGGCTCTGAACCGCACAGACCCTTACTCAAGTGGGTCTTTTTCTCCCAGCACATCCGGAAGACGTCAGATACGCCGAAATCGGTGATCTGGGTTATATCAGCATCAAAACCTTCCGCACAGAATAAACTTACCTTGACATGTCCTCGTCCATCGAGCAACAGATTCTCAGGCTTGATATCTCTGTGCGCCACACCCATCGAATGAAGGTAGGCAATACCCTGCAGGATCTGCTTGAAAGAACATTCGACTTCGGCACTGGACATGCCCCCCTTCTTGATGGCAGCGTAGAGATCGCCACCCGGGCAATACTCCATCACCTCACACCAATGATGCGCCTCGTCTTGGACAAGATCGACAGTCTCGACGACATTGACGTGGTGCAAGGTCGAGGAGATGCAGAATTCCGAAGTGAGTTTCTTGACATAGTCCTTCTCCGTCTCATTCTTGCGCCTCTTTCTAAACTCCTGTTTTGGGTCAGCGCCAGTTCATGACGTTAGAACACGACTCACCTTGACGGCATAGAGCTTTTCCTCTCGCCTGTCCCACTTGTGTGCCAGACGGACGATGGCAGTGGCACCCTTCCCGATAGCTGCTCGGTCACAGACACCATACTTTTTGAGGAGAGAGGCGGTGCTGGCATTATCGCCCGCTTCGCTTCCTCTTGTGGATCCACGGTCTGAACCCCGTGCGGATCCAGCCCCGGACGCCTTTCTCGACATCTTGTTGCTCTCGCCCAGCCCAACAAGGTCCTTGAGGGTAAATTTGTGAGCACCAGCGTCATCCTTTTTCGCTACCGCAGGCGCGGCCACAGGTTTGCGGCTGGGCGAGCCATTGGAGCGTTGCGAGAGACGTCTTTGTGGTTGAGGGGGCGCAACAGGAGGCGTAGCTGCGCCCTTGCGGTCGATGACAGGCTGGGCATCGCCGATAGCCGAGTTTTGTCTTTTGACGCTAGGCGCTCGACTGCCAGCCCGCGAAGGCGGCCTCGAGTCGTCAGAGACATTGGGGGTGAGAGGCGGTGATGCACCAGCAGACACACCAGGGCTGGGACGCCCGCTGACGCTTCCATTCGCAGGCGGATCGCGAGGCAAGTCCAGGTGCAGCTTGGACTTGTCTGCGGCCTTTGCGTCCCCAGGGTGAAACATTTTGTGGAAAAACGACTTTTTTCCATCACCCGGTTTGGCGACTGAGCTAGACCTGCTGGGTCGTGTAAGGACCTCGGCTTTGCCCTCGCGCTGTTCGTGATTACCCGCCGAGGCGGAGCGGACACTGGGGGCGGAGGCGTCATGGCGCTGGGGCATGGGAGCAATCACATGCCCCTGTGCAGAGTTGGTGCGAGAGGCTCGTGAAGAAGGGCCGTCAGAAGTCAATGACCTCGATGTAGGCATATTGGGGGTGTTTGAAGCTGTAGGGATGGGGCGGACTGGAAAATGTCAGCATGGAATGTAGAATGTGGAATGTCGATCGTGACGTACTGTTGGGGAAAGGAAAAGTGCCCTCGAGGCCATTGCCAGCGGGATGAGGCTGCTCGGGGTTTGCAGACGACTGGCTGGATGGAATAGGAGACAAGACGTGATGGTCGATGACTCCGTTGGAGTTTGCCACAACGGAGGCGAGAGGAGGGGCGCCATGCGAGTGCCCCTGGTCAGAGTCTGAGAAGGTCGGCATGGGGGAGAGGGAGGGGGTGGCGGCGGTGCTGCTGGTCGCAGACTGGCTTTGGGAGGAGGGGGGGAAGGCAGAATCCAGCATATAGGGCAGATCCTTCACATTGACGACAGCTCCCTGGGAAGGGAAAAAGGGGGTTGTTCAGCATGTGGGGGCGTCGGGGGGCGGGGACGTACTTGGGGTATATCTGCAGGCTTGACGTCTTCCCCTGCGTTCTCCGCCGCGGCCCCGGCCTGGCCATCTTCCTGGGCTACTGACATGGGAGGGGGCTGACTAGGGGGTGGTGGATGGAGGACAGAAAAGGTGGTATGAGGTGTGCTACTATGTACGGGGGATGGACATGTTCTGTGCAGGACGGGAGGGATGCGGTCAGAATTTGTCCATCCATTTATTAGAAGTGGCGACACAAATCTCCCTTTTTAACCCCAAACTACCCTTGACCCTATTCTAAATTATTCTTAACACATGCGGTTACGTCAGCGAGTGCCACCGAGCACAAACGCCGCCGAGCACCGCATTGTTTGTGTCAGTCGTTGGGTGATGTCGCGTGTCTGCGCGTCCAACGTCAGCCTGCCACATCGCCCAGAGGCTGCTTCCTAGCATTATATACCTTGTATCTCATCCCCAATCACCCTCCGCTGATCCCTCACAGCCACTGCAACAGTCCAGACATCCCAGCCTTAACACCATGGACAGAATCAAATCGGCCATATCTTCCTCATCAGAAGGTGCCAAAAAGCTCTCCAAGGCGTTCCGTGCCAAGACCGACCACTCGGCCCTGGGCGGTGGGTCTCGCTTTGGGATGGGCAATCCTTTTGCGGACAATGCAGATAGAGAAGACGTGAGTTTGTCGCTTAGAAGTGCGGTAGCTTACTCTGTGTGCGATCTCTTGTTTCCTCGTTCTCGATTCATGTCTGCACCGACGAATACAGACCTCGCTACCTAGACTTCATCTGATCATTCACGGCGTGGCTGTGAGTAATCTGGTAAAGTCTTGTTCCATGATTGATGCCATTTTACAGCTCTTTTTCACTCTCCTCGCAGTCTGCACTATTGCAGCTGTGGCGGGCTTTCAGGGGAAATGGTTTGGCGTCAGTACGTCAGACGCTGCGCTATCTGTAGGATGCTCACAGCTTTTTAGCTGGCGGTACCGGCTTCACCCTCTTCCTCGTCCTTCTCTCCTTTTTCCTCTCGGCTACGCTGCTGGGTATCCCTCTCATCTACGACCGGTACGCCGAAGCGCTTGTACTAATGGTAAGCTGACCCGTTGACAGATGGGACAAATTGAGGCGATCCGCCCAATTCCTATCCCATACCCGATCACTCTTGATTCTTCACGCTTTTGGCACCTTTCTCATGCTGTTGGCGGCGTTCATCGTTACTATCTCTGGTAGGTTGCATTGGCTGGAAAAGAATGTTGTCTAACACTATATCTCAGCCTGGACAGCGAAAGGATGCAAGAACGCAGACGATGACCCGCATGAGGACCTAGGAGATGACTATAAGAATGGACTGGCAAGCTGGTGCAGGACCAAAAAGGCTTCGGCTATATTTGACTGGTTCTCGTTTGGTATGTGTCGTCGGCCATCCTCGAAGCGTCTCTGACGTTTCATAAAGCCGCATGGGCGGCTCTCCTGGTACTCACCGGCCTTGCCTTCCGAAAAGAACAGCGCAACAACCGCCGCGATCCCTCCTTCCTCCCTCCTGAAACCAACGGCATTTCCTACTCAAACATTGTGCCCGAAGAAGAACGCTATGGTGACAAACCAGACTCGTACCCTATACAGGGTACCATGCCCGCCACGAGTAACGACAGCCGCCGCGAAGAGCAGCCGTACGACCCGACGACGAATTATGGATACTCGCAGCCCTCGCGTCCTGCGACGCAGCAGCAGCTGAGCAGGCCGAGTGTGGATGCGTATGGGGCTTTCGACGGGGATGGGATGCCTGGGGGTGAACAGCCTAGTCGGACAACGCAGATGGCGTCGTATTCGGATCCTTGTGAGTATGATCTTTGAATCTCTGAGGGTATCTATCTGACCGGTCGCAGATGCCCAGATACGATCATCACTCCAAACCGGACAGGGTCCTTCACAACCCGCCTACAGTATACCTCCCGGTCCCCCTTCCTATGCGGGATATCGACAGCACTGAAAACACATTCTGAATATTACGATGTGACACGACTTTTTATGACTGAATGGTAGATCGTCTCGACATGTATCATGGAAAACAAGTATATATTGATCGATGCATGCGGTAGCACTTCTTTACTTTCCTCCCCTCTTAGAGACTGACAGCCAAGCCAAGGGCACCGAGAGCCAAAAGGGAAACGGTGTCGAGAGCGGTGCTGATAGTGTGGTAGGTGGCAAACTTGGTGTTGTTGGCGGCCATCTTGTCGGAAGGCTGAGCACTTGGTCAGCTTGAGCCGCTGTACATGAGAAACAACTCACGTTCTCGGCGTCATAGTCCTTGCCATCGACCCTCTCGAGCCTGGCCCTCTCAAAGACGGAGCTGCTGGCCAAGGGGCCGACGACGAGCCAGTTCAAGAGCTGGGGCACGAGACCGGCGATGATGAAGAGACCCTGGCGACCTTCCTCGGACGTGAGCCAGTGGGGCGGGACCCTCGGGGACGAGATGAGGGAGGGGTGGAAGTAGAGGTGGGTGAAGAGGAGGGCAGAGGTGGTGAGAGAGGAGAAGGAGAAGTAGGTAGAGGTGAGCTGGGACTGGAGAGTGCCAAATGTCTGCCTCGGGAGGACTCTGTAGGTCTTGTAGGCGGCCTGGGGGGATGAGCTGGGGACGGGTGGAAGGGGGGGGGCTTACGAGGCTCTTGTAGACGTTTGCGCCGAGGGCTGTGCCCCATGTGAGGAGGTAGAAGCCCTTGAGGGAGAAGGGCGCGAGGGCTTGCTGGAAGACGGCCATCGTGGATGTAGATTGTAATAATAATGATGTATGGAGAAGAGAAGTATCCCCCCAAATGGCGATGACGCAGCGGCACCCCCCGCCTCACTGACGTCACCCAACCCTGGCTCACGTCACTATATATATATATATATTTATATCTATCCATGCTGCCCTCCATTGCTTTCTCTCCCACCCACCATGTCTGCCTTCCGCTCTCTCGCCACCAGCACATCCTACCGCGCCTTCTCCACCTCCGTCTCCAGGCAGAAGACCCTCACAGAGACTGTCAAGGAGACCGCAGACACTGTACGCCGCCGCCACGATCCCCCGTGGCCCCGCTGACATCCCACAGGTCAACAAGAAGGTCGGACAGACCCTTGCTTCCGGAGTTGGCGCTACCCAGAAGGCCACCGATGCGACCAAGAATGCCGCCGGTAAGTACTGCCCCTCGTTTTCCCCGGCATGGCTGACCGGACCCCAGACAACGCCCCCACCGAGGGCGAAGTAAAGTCTGCCGCCAACGACCTGGGCAACAAGACCGCCGAGACCGCCGAGTCGGCTCGACAGCAGGGCAACCAGAAGCTAGGCCAGGCCGCTGGGGCCGCCAGGGACGTCAAGGACGACGTCAAGAAGAACCTTTAATGTAGTAAAGCAAAAACAATTCGGGATATATAACGTCACATTGCACTGATGTATCACTATGACAATACATTCATTATGCTACTACACTTGTCACGCCCTGCTATCTCACCCCGGCTGCCCCCGACGCAAAATCCAACATTTGCCCTGCCGTCTTGGGCGCTTCTCTCCCAAACACACTGTAGATGTTTTGCCCCGCCTGCATCGGTTGTGGTACTGGTGGTGGGTAGGATGGCTGCGAAGAGTATATTGTGGGCGAGGGATGGCGCGCTGGGTGTACGGTGTTGGGCCGCCGTCCCTTCAGAGTATCAGCCTGCTGTTCGCACTGCTATGCGATCCTTACCATTGCCAGCACATCTTGGTACGCGGCGTCACGGGGCAACGGCGATGGCACTGCATCCTGTGCCCAATCAAAGTTGCGGATATTATTGCTGTGAGGCGGTATTGGTTTGGCTGCAAACGCTGTCAGATATACCCCGAGATACGCTCTGCAACTCACTCGGCCGATGCGTCTCGACAAGCCCCTTCTCTCTCGCCAGTTTCCGACGCTTACTCCACGTCGCCTGAAACTCTTCCCAGTGTATTCTTTCGCGTTCATCCTAGCACAAGAGTCAGTCGCGCGTCACAGGCGCATAGTAAGGGCGTACCGTCCACGACGACCACACCAAGTGCTTCTCTGCGTCCTTCATCCGCCTATACTCTGCTACTTGCGCCTCATACCTCTTTGACGCTCCTTCATGCAAACGTTCTCTACGTTCCTCTAGTGTCTTGTACAGATAGCCCAGCGCAGGGTAATTCTCTGTTGCCGAGCGTGAGTCTACAGCAGTGCAAGCGAACACGTACCATTCAAGATCATGTCTTCCTCTGCAGCTGCCTCCTCCATCTGCTCAAGGTATAGGCAATTTCTTAACTCGGCAAATTTGACCTCCAGCATCAATAGCTCCTTCATTGCTGCTGCAGGAGGCGCGGGGCCATGTGGCAGGTGTTTGCTGTATCCCACTATTGGTATGGGAACTACTGTCCGGGACGTCAGGATCTTGCTAGACCGCCTGTTGAGCGACTCACCCGACTCGAGATGGTCCCCGGAAGCTGGGTCTTCCTCCCCCTCCCCAGCCATATTGGCGTCCTCTTCAGCGTACCCGTTCAATTCCGGCTCATCTGCTCCCTGCCCGTCCATGGCGGCATCCGAGACCTCTACCTGCTCGACGTGTCCATTCGCCTTACTGGCGTCTTCTTGCTCGTCAACAGTGTCCTCGGCGGCACGCATCGTCACGTCGCCATCCTCCTCTTCGCCCTCATCCAGCAATCTCTCCGACGTGTCGTTCTCTATAGCACCATTGATGGGATGGCCGTTCCCGTTAGGTTGGGGCGAAGGAGACTTGTGCGGGACATCCGAAGGTGGGGGAGTCAGGGAAGCTGATGATATTTGAGAAGCGGCTCGGCTCGGTCTGCTGTAGCATCAGCGACAGCTCTAAATGGGTGGAGACACGATGGGGCCAGAGTCCTGCGCCCATCTGCCCGACGCGCCCTGTCACTCACATTCCACCCTGTTCCTCCTCCGCATCGTCTCCCTCGTCGGCTCTCTCTTCCTGCTCACGCTCGCCTTCAGTCGGGTCTCCCTCCTCCTCTGTCAGCTCGCTCTCGTCGTCTGTGAGCGGGAGGGTGGAGCTCGTTGCGGGGCTTCCCTGCTGTGGATGGGGGGCGCCTGCTGAGCTGGGGGAGGAGAGAGGGGAGGATGTGCGGCGGGGGGGGCCGGCGGGGGACGGCATCGGGGCTGAGGGAGAGGACGTTGTGGCAGCAGGAGACACCCTCAGCACCAAATAACCTCCCGCGCGCCTATATCCATAGTCACATTCATCCAGGTAGGCGCGCAGCAGCGGAGGAGGCCGCCTCTCGAACCTGTATGTCAGCTCTCATCAGTCTCTGGAGGCATCAGGTCGACCACGAGGGTAGCCCCTACACCACCCCTCGTTCGAGCCTCTACTCCAAGCTTCTCAAGGCATACAGTCAGCTCCATGTCAGGAAGAGGCAGGCCAACCACGAGGATAAAGGGAAGGGCTCTGACGGCGACGGCATCCAGAGCCGAAAACAATTGGCGGATATCCGCCAAGCGTTCTTCTGCAAGGGTACCTTCGTCGGTCTTCGGGACCTGGCCGCGTTTGACTGGGGACATGGAGGTCTACTGCGAGGTGACAACCAGAGGCAGCTGCAGATCTCGGACATGGGTGTGCAGTACTTTGAGGATAGCGCCATAAGTGACCCAACCCCCGCGGTCGCTTTCTCGTGCCGAATAACGTCATCCAAGACAAACAAAAACGGAACGATGCAGCAGGTCGGGATGTTTCGTGCCCGAGATTGGAAGGTTTGCCCTGTTGGCGGTCAGACTATGTACTGGTTCAGCCGGTGAGTGCACATGTACGTGAATACCGGATTGTCCATTGACACTTGTGTCAGGCTACATTGCTCTACCACCGAATGGCCTCATAGCAACACTCCGTTCCCCAATCTCTCGCAGAGGAGCCATTGGTACCAGGGTCTGCCGTACTTTACCAATACTGGCAGCAATACCCAGGGCATCTCCTACGGCACTCAGCTGTCATCGGCAAAAGATGTCTACTCGACCGCAGGCGTCCAAAGTCGTTTATACACTCACGACGGTCGCCGGTTTGGAGCTCGTGTGGCCGTCAAGAGTGGCGCTCCGGATGGACAGGTCCAACGTCTGGGCCTATGGGCTTCAGACGTCAAGGACACCCATTATCTGGACGTTCTGCCTGAACACACCATGCGCGCCCTTGCCGGTCACCCCCCATACCAGGGTACGTTCTTCTTGGCCCGAGCTGTCCAAGTGCCCCGGGACTTAATGGAGATGGTCTTTCCAATGGTGGAGGAATGGTATGTTTGTCTGCTTCATCCCATGAATAGCAACTAACGACTGTCATCACCAAGGCTGGACCATTTCTCCTCCCCTGGCCACATTAACTCCGACATTGAAGCTGTCCAGTGGCTGAAGTACCTGAAGGAGCTCCGGCTAGTCTTTATCCAGGACATCCCTCACTGGAGGCAGCTCTATCCAGAGCACAGCATCTTCCGTCACCCCATCTTCACCGACCCCGACTCCCCCTATCACGCCTATGAGAAGGACGCCCTCGCGTCCACGCTCAGTCGTGACCGCAACCCTCCCCTGCGTGATGCTAGCGATGCTGCCAGGTCCCAGCACACCATGGAACAGGTAAATCGCAACACACACAGGCTCGACGATGTCTTCCAGGTTATGCAAGATGTTCTAGAAAAGGTGCGGGAGGTGAAAGAGGATGTTGATGAGACGCATGAGGCGTCACTGGAGACCCGTATGTCTGTCCTGAAGGTACAGGAAACTCTAGGGAGAAAAATCAAAGGATTGGCGAAGGGGCAGGACCAGATCCGGGAGGGGCAGGTCCAAATGAGAGACATGATATGCCAAAGCATAATCCCGAGTCTCTCCGGACCCCAGGATGATGCCGTGGCCCAGCTCCTCGGGACTTTTGCATCTGCTTCTTCCTTTGTCTCCCAGCTGCCGGTTGACGGAGCTGTATCTGGTCAAGCATCCTCAGGGTCTGGGCTAGGGTCGTCCTCTGGTGCCGCTGCTGCTGCTGAGGGCAGCCCGCCTCCAGGTGAGTGGAGATTTTGTTCACTCATTCTTCTTCTGTCGTCATCTGATATATTATTGTCAGCAGCGCCCACGTCTGTTCCCACATCTGTCTCCGCGTCTGTCCCCACCACGTCTGGACCTTTTGCCCCGGTCGTAAAAGGATTTATATCCAGAAAGGTCAACAATATCGTGGACGCTATGACAGAGTGGGAGACAGGTCTTGCCGGTCAACCCTCAATCAAGGAGCGATTCCCTTACACCTTCCATTGGGGTAAGGACCTGGATTCCCTTGCAGAAAGGAAATATTGGGAGAAGCGACGAGCGGTCGCAAATATGGTGAATCACATTCTCAACCACCCAGACGTCGGTCCACGTCTTGTCCAACAACCACCCACAATAGCTGAGGCCGCTACTGTCCTGGACAGATGGAGACTGGCGAATGGTCATAAGTCCTGGGGCAAATTCATGAAGGTCGCTGGGGGGTTCGTCCAAAATGACATGGAAAAAATAATAGGTGAGCCCCTCCATCCCCTCCTTCCCTTCCTCAGTCACTTTATGTAGGTCCGTCCATCTTGTAGCTAACCATGGTGTAGCCAATATAATTCAAACGAGCCTTTATCGTCCAGCCGGACCGGATAATTGACCACCAACGTATCTACCTCGCCCTCGTCCGCCCTCGCTCCTCGAACGTCTCTTTCACCGCTCTTGTCATTTCTGGACGGTTTTGTATCATGATGCTTTGCTTGTAGACTTGCCTAGCTTCCCTGACTTCTTCCTGGTGTCTATCTGTCCGTTCCCCTGTATCGTTTCTCTGTGTGTTGTATGTGAGTCCTGTGTGATCCTGTATGCAAAGCTCGCGTGACAATAAATACATTTCACCTTGTATGACTCATAGATATACTGATGAGACACGGGATGGTCCACATTTCGGCAAAGCCTCCGGTCTCTTTGCACGCCTCCTCCATTCTTCATTCGAGGGCGTCGAGCAGCGAGAGGATGTCCGATTGGGCATGCCGTAGCGTAGGATGTAACCCCCCAATCCGATGAACGGACTGATACAGCAACACCAAACACGCACCACCCGACCCACCCCCACCCCGCTCCCCTCTGCGCCAGCGCCTGTGAGCCTTATCCCGGGCGCTTTCCATGTCCTGATAGCTGACTCTAGCTCGCCGGCTTGTTCTTTGATGGAAGCGGATGAGGAGGAGAGGTCGGCGGCGAGGTTGACGATTTCGGCGAGGAGGATGAGGAGGGGGTCGGGGAGGCCGAGGTAGGATGACCACGCAGAGGATTCGGGAGGTTCAGCGGAGGAGGAGGCTTCGCTGGGGTGATCGGACCAGAAATTGAATCTACATGTCGTCAGCTACCTTTCGTGTCATAGCGAGATGCTCACATAGTCCGTCTACCTCTCTCAGCGATACACCGCCCAAGGTCCGCGACCGCAAACAACCACAACGACAATTGCTCGGGCGTGTTGAGACTCTTGAGTGTGATGCCGGGATGATGCGAGCCGAGAGCAGAGCGGACCAGTCGATCACCAAGGGCGAGATGGGCGCATGGCTTCTTGGCGCCGCTCCGAACAAAACAAACTCCATAAACTGCAAGTCGATGACGCCCCAAAGCCTAATTTATGTCAGCTCAACACCCATGAAAGATGAAGAATACCCACAGATCAGAAAGAGGAGCCTCATCTACAACCACCACATCCCTCAAAGTCCTCAACGCATCTTCCACCCACTTGGCATCTGCATCCACTACCGCCGTCACCCCTTTAGCATAGTCCTTCATCCTCTGGCTGATCTGCCCTGCCTCATACGGCGCTTCCTTTCCCTCCCCTCTCCTCCTATCTCCCCGGCGCGAGAGGTTGATGCCGACATTCCCCATAGGATCCGGCGTATTCTCGCCGAGAAGTTCGTACGGCGGTTCGACCATCCCCGTTGCTTTTCGACACAAGTCCGAGAGACGGCATCTGGGATAGTACTGTACTGTGCCGAGGAAGAAGACAGGAGAGCAATGTAGGATGCTGCGACGGCGTATTTGACGTTTCGGAGGGTGTTGGACGAGTCGTTGAAGGCGAGGAGACGGGCGCGGACGTATTCGCGAGTGTCGGAGGGAATACCGACGAGCCATGATTCGAGTACTCGGGCGTCTTTCAAGACATCAGTAGGTGAATAAGCCTTAGCCAAGAGTACTCACAGAGATCTCCGCCAGGGATACACCATTCCTCGAGAATCTGACCGCTCCAGGACCCATGAACGATCCAAAGAACGCCGGATCCCACAACTCGTTCGACGTCGCTTCCTCACCCTTCCCCCGCGCTAGTGCCGGGTCAAAAGCGAGCGCCCCACACTCTGTCGTCGCCAAAAAGTGATTCGCCAAAAAGTAGATAACGTGAGATAACATAACATGGAGAGGGAAGAGGAGGGGGGGAAGAGAAGAGGGAGAGCCGATATTCATCAACCAAAAGCGCAAGACCACCAGGAGAGACGAGACGCTCCGGACTCAACCCCGACTTATCTGGCCATAGCTTGTGCTCTGTCTCCGGACACCGCCACACTAGGCCTGAGCCCATTCCCATTCCAGAGATAGACGATAGGGTTGCCGGAGAGGCCAGTGGCGGACTGGATGACGGACAATACCTCGCGCGATCACAGTTATGTGCTGAGGGATTGATTCGACCTAGAAGAAGCGTTACCGTCCGTCTCACCAGGTGTGGATGGCGAGCCCAAGACTCAAGTGGAAACGGGGCCAAACAGAGTACGTACTGTAATAAAGAGCCATAGTAGAGACCTTCAGGAGCAGAGCATGATTTCCCTCCTTCGTTTGGTAGGTATCGTTGATCTATAGCATAATCAGCATAAGCCGGAAGTCGTGAAGGACATATTACTTGCCGGCTCTTGCGGAACGAGTGCGATATGACTTCGGTAACTGGAAACGTTGATGTCCATAATTTCTACTCCGTCCAAAGTAACTCGTGCGACCAGGGGGTCGTAGTAGCGTTCCAACATCTGAATGGTAGTAGATTTACCGCAGCCAGATGGCCCAACAAGCGCAATGCTACATGGTCAGGTTGGTCTTCACGGAAGACAAGCAACTCACTAGCTCCCAGCGGGCACATCGATACTCAAATCCATCAACACTCTCACTCCGGGCCTTGTCGGGTACAGGAAGTGCACACCTTCAATCCTGACATGACCGCCCACCTCTCCCTCTCCGAGTGACTGGCCAATGGTCTAGTTAGAATCGATAGAAGGTCGGTCATCGATGATGCGGAAGATGGAGGCAGCAGACGAGTTGGCTCTGGAGGCGTCGGGGACAAGGGAAAAGACATTGCCGGCTTGTATGGCCGCATAGACCTGTTTGCAGGGTCAGAAAAGCTCCATCCAGAGAGAGGGACTTACGATAGTGTTCAGGACAGTGAAGAACATGGAAGTGCTGTATCTCCCGGAGATGATCCAGAGGGCGCCGATGTACAAGACCAAAGCGACAATCAAGAAGGTCATACCTTGACTTGCCGCATAGAACGCTTGACTGTAGATGGACGTCTTGCTGAGACGGCATCAGCATCGACTCAATATTCCAACTCTTGACTCACAAGTTGACCTTTATGGGCTCCAACAAAGCATTCGAGTAAATCACCCCCACATCATCTTCCCTCGTAAGGCTCGCCACAGTCCTTACAGCGCCGGCAGCCTCGCTAGCGAGATGAGCACTGGCAGCGTGCAGCTTCTTCATGCGTTGACAACCTTTAATCGAAGCCAACCGCCAGATACGAGCAGCGGGACACAGGCGATACCAATCAGAGCGAGGACTGCAGGATAGTCAGCCAGGGCCGGCTAGAGGACAGGGTACTTACGAGGGCCGTAGCAGAGACCGATGATGCGACCACCAATCAAGGTCGTTCAAAATTGCACTACTCGTATCGTACCGAGTGTGGGACCAGAGAGACCCTGGACCTTTTGAGGTTGGTCGGCAAGGTTGGACGTCACAGCGCCAGCCTGTCCAAACGTCAGCTTGAAGCCAGCAGCCAGTGAGCCAGGCATACAGAGTGAGTTCTCCTCTTCACCGAGCCATCTGATATCATGTCTCAGAACGGCATGGAACAGCTTCTGCCTCAAAGTCGCGTTCAAATCCCATCCAGTACGCGAGGATCCGGAAGCTTGCAGGAACATGACCAGTGCGGAACAGATGGCGGAGATGAAGAAATACAAACTGTCAAGTGTCAGTGATGTTTATTGGGTTTATAAATGACCCACGCTTTCCGGTCAAGAGCATGTCGCAGCTCTCCAAAGTTTTACCGAACAGGATAGCCAACGAAGGGTAGACCATCCCCAATCATACAGCACCCAAAAAGCCTACACTCATTGTCGTCAGAACGATCGAACAAGTCTCGATACACAGCATAAAAGTAAGTCCTTCCTCTTTTCAGCCTTGTTGATCTTGAGCAACCTCGCATAGAGCTTGTTGCTTGAACACAGCTTTTCATCCTCTTCAGCCTCTGCCTTGCGCCTTGCCTGTTCCTCATCCATGGCGATGTCGCAGCCCGCTTGAGAGGGATCTCGTCCTCAAAGACGTCTTCAATCTCGGCTTGTACGGGCTTTGCTCCAGGGGCGAGAGCATCGACAACTGCTTCTTGAGCGAGTTTCTGGTTGTTGACGAGTTGGGCGTACTACAGATTGGTGAGCTGGGGTACACCGAAGTATGACGCATGGACTCACAACACTGCCTTCGGTAGCCAACAGTTCGTCGTGAGAACCTTCCTCGAGGACCTCTCCGGCACCCATCACATAGATCCTATCGTATCGGCATCTCGAATTGTACTACACCGAGTCAGCCAGAGTAACACTGTCAGAATATGCGACTCACGATAAGCGATGAGCGATGGCAATGGTCGTCCTCCCCCGAGAAGCCCTGTCCAGGGCATCCTGCCCAATCCCCTCACTCTGCGTATCCAACCCCGAAGTAGCCTCGTCCAACAACAAGATCCTCGGGTCGGATACAATCACCTTAGCGATCGCCAACCTCTGCTTCTGCCCGCCGATAACAACATCCCTCTCTCCCCTACAGACGTCTCGTACCCCTCCAGAAGCCGCATGATAAAGCCGTGCGCATTCGCATCGATATAAGCTTTCTTGACGAGCTCAAACTTTTCTTCGGGGGAGGCGTGTTCCCATTTGGAGCCGATGAGACCGTGTTCGACGTTTTGCCGCGGACGGTGGTGCCAAACAGGGTGAGTTCTTGGGAGACGAGACCGATCTGTTGGCGGAGCCGTTTGAGGTTGAGCGTTTTGATGTCGATGCCGTCGAGCTTGACGGTACCAGCGATGGGGTCGTAGAATCGTTCGATAAGGGAGATGACTGTACTTTTGGCGCTTCCTGGCGCACCGACCAGCGCTACACAGAGCAATCAGCCTACCTTCTTTTAAGCAAGACAGATCAAAGCGACTTTCCAGCCTCAAACGTAGTGTAAAACCTTTGAGGATGGGCACGCCCGGCCTAGACGGATAATGGAATTTGACCCCCTCAAGACTAATCTCTCCCCTGACAGAGTCGGGGGGCAGGCCGTCAGGGCTAGCCGAGTCGATAGGCAGGGCACGGTTGATGGTAGAGTATAGTTTAGCGGCAGCACCGCGAGCTTTGGTGACTGCTGCCATCTCGGGAGCCTGCGTGTCACGTGGCTGTCGCCACTCGACCAAAGTGACGAACCAAACACCCAAACCTCCACCGCCCACGTCCGCGTCAACCCCACATCTTGCCACCATCTGGATATAACATCCATCCGTCCTACCTCCACGGCCGAGCTATACCAGCACCGCCTTCGAGTTCTATGCTTGCTAAGCCATTGCGGACAAAAACGGAAATACGCGGAGATAGAGAGAGCAAACCCATCCCACCACTTTCGAGAACATTCTTTCGCCACCAGGTTCGCCGATGTAGTTGACTCTAGAGGATTCGACGGAGGATACGATGAGTAAGAAGACTTGAGGTGCCAGGGTATATAAGGACGTGTCTCCATAGCAGTAGATACTCCGTCGATCCACTATTGTTGTCTTCTCTAGTACACACACTCTCTCTCTCTCAACACTCTCGCACAAACGCTATCTTCCTTCGGCATTTGTTTGGCCACTCACTTCGAGTTCTCAGACCATTTCGTCTCTACACCTCGGCGACCTCTGAAAGCATAGCCTAAGGAAGGTAGCCCCCTGACACTGCGGGGATGTCAGGCTGGACTGCAAAGCTGAGCGGAGGGGACTCACGAGCATGGCCATACTAAATGAAACGATGATGGTGGACATGAAGACGGTGATGACTGTTCCAGAGTCGACTCGGCCTTGCGTGACAAGCACACCACCATAGAAGAAGGCCAGCGCGTAAGCCGCGTAGATGGCAAAACCTACCCAAAGTGTCAGCTGGGTATATACGCATACGAGAAGAATGATACGTACACATGATACCCAAGCCGATACCTTCGGTAGTTGGACCCTTTGCTTATCCACTCTCAAAACCTGGTTAGACATTGGCATACAAGACAGGGCAGATAGTAGGAGAACTCACCCATGGCTGCCCATGGCTGCGATCGATCTTGTCTATCCGGCGCTGGAAGAGGACAAGCGTGTGAATAGCAGCTAGGTAGGCACAAAGTACCTGTAGCTATGTCGATCCTACCTTGTCTCGCCTTGTTTCCAAAGTCCGCCTCCGTCTTCAGACATTCCGGTCATAGGGCATCTCAATGGCGGCCGCTTCGAAAGTAATAAAGAAAAAAACGGATGAAGGATAGTGTTGGTGGTGTCATGAATTACGAGTTTCCAAGTTGCTGCAACATTACATGTCAGCCGGCACCACACGCCGCTTTGCTCACGTACCTCAGTCACTATCGGCCAGTCACTATCGGCCCCCATATCTGGCGGTATGAATCATATTCAGCAAACATCATGGGCCCTGATGGAATCTGTTTATCGATAGGCCCTCACACATTGAGGACTTGAAAGCTCTATTATGGGGCGTCGGTCAGCGCGAGTGCTCAGCGAGTAGTTGGCGAGTAGCAGGGGTAGATGAGACTTACCATGTCAGCTTGTCTGGACATATGTATGTATAGATAGATGCAGAATGGCGAAAAGGAGTGCAGGGTGATATGCAGCCATGAAGTAATGACGATGGAAGACAGAATAGAGAAAGAGTTGCATGCCCAATACATAACCACTGCCGCATAACTGCCACCGGTCTGGGCGATGAATCTGGGGCAGATCTGGGGTTTCCTCGGATCGCCGGCGCCCCCAGGGATCGCGGCGAAGACCGCAAGAGACTGAACTTCTGGCAGCGGCGTCCACTTCTTGGCCATGCATGTTGACGCTGAGCTCATAGAATTTATCAAGAGCTACGCATATACCGGGCACATAACCGAGCTACAGCCCGGACACCACTCGTGAACCACGGGGTCCCCCCTCAAATCCCATCGGCAGAGCCGTCTCTACGCAAGGGCCAACGAGGAAATGTCGCGTGGGCGAGACTTGTCTGCTTGTCTCTCTTTGTTCCATTCTTCAGCCCGAGATTTCAAACCCGGCTAATAGCCCTATAATAATCGCTCCGAGTGCTGGGTAATCCGGCTCCTGCAACAGGTGCCAGCCGATGACGGACCGGATTGATCATTGTACAGCTTGTGAATAGCCTTACTACCACTGTCCTTTTGAATCATTCCACTACATCTCTGTGTATAGACCCCAGTTCCGACCAGCAAGCCTCACGATCCTTCATGATGGGCTCCGACGTCGAAATGTACGGCAAGAACACGAGTGGCAACTCCAGCGTAGAAGCAACCGCCTTTCCTGTGTCCTCAAATCCCGACAAATCGCCAGAGTTTGATGATCCCGAGAGAGATGCAGTCTTTGGAGCGAGAAAAGAGGGCGAGGTCGACTATAGATCAGTTGGAATGTGAGTGCAGCACCTCGCCTGAGCTAAGCAGTCTGACGATCGTCTTTTCCAGGCTCAAATCCATCGTTCTTATGGTAAAGCTTACCATTGCCCTCGGTGTACTGGCTATGCCACAAGTTCTGCTTGAAGGTAAGCAGTTCATCGCGTGGCTGCTCCTTTACTAACTCTGCCACAGTTGGGGCAGTACCAGGCGTCATTAGTAAGTTTTTTTTTTTTTCTCCAGTGTTCTAATGCTCACCTGCCCCAGTCATCATTGTCATTTCATCATTAACCACCTGGTCGGGCCGCGTTATCGGCGTTTTCAAAGCCAATCACCCCGAAGTGTACTCTCTGGATGGCGTGGGATACGTATTGGCAGGAAACTGGGGCAGGGAGGTTCATTCCTTTGCCTATGCCCTCTTCATGATTGTCAGTGTCCCCTCTTTCCTCAGTATCAACCCCACTGACTGTCTCCCACTAGTGCTTGTGCGGTTCAGGTTTTATCACCACGTCGCTGGCTTTCAACGCCATCACAGGTCATGCCGCTTGTACAGTGGTCTGGGCGGTTGTCGTGAGTCTCAAAAATCGCATGACTATGAATCATTACTGATGCCTCTTCTATAGGCTGCTGTGGTCACATTTGCCTTTGCTTCGCTACAGACGCTCAATACAGTCTCCATCCTGGGTTGGATTGGGTTCTTCTCCATCCTGTCTGCCATCCTCATCATCACCGTTGCCGTCGGTGTTGAGGATCGTCCTGAAGCCGCACCTTCCACCGGCCCTTGGGACAAAGACATTCATGCTTTCAACTCTGAAGCCTCTTTCCTGGGTGGCATGGGGGCTGTCTCTACTACCGTCTTTGCCTACTGCGGTACCCCGGCCTTCTTCAATGTCATCGGCGAGATGCGTCAACCCAAGCGGTTCAACCAAGCTCTCTTTGCTTCCCAGGGCCTGTGCACGGCCCTCTACATTACCATCGGCGTTGTGGTATACTATTACTGTGGGCAGTACATCTCGAATCCTGCTCTTGGATCCGCCGGCATCATCATCAAAAAGGTATCTTATGGAATCGCTCTGCCTGGTCTGTTCGTTGGTTGCATCCTCTATACCCACGTCGGCGCCAAGATGTTGTTTGTTCGTCTCTTGAGGTGCGTAACAGCAATTTGACCCCTGACGATGGCTGACGATGTTTAAAGGGGGTCTGATCATCTCACGGGAACCTCATTCATCCATTGGTCCGTGTGGCTCGGCACTGTAGGCATGAGCGTAGCTATCGCCTTTATTCTCGCTGAATGTAAGTTTCCGAACTCACTTTCACTTTCATCGCTGACTGCAACCTCCCCCAGCCATTCCATTCTTTGGCGACTTTGTCTCTCTTGTCGGCGCTACCCTCGGCACCTTCCTCTGCCTCATCACCCCCGCTCTCATGTGGTTACACGACAACTGGGCCCTCCGCAAGGAGCGCACCTCTATCGGCTTCCGGTCACATATCGCATTGAGCGTGTTCATCCTGCTGGCAGGTGTCTTTATCGTCATCACGGGCACATGGTCGTCTGTGCTCAGTATTAAAGACTCTTACGCGGATGGTTCGGTCGGAAGTGCATTCTCGTGCGCCGACAACAGCAATTGAGGCTGGTCAGTGCATAAGGAAAGAGGAAGATCATCATTGTACAGTATTCCATAGCATAGGCATTGTGCATGCTGCATGCAACACCGACAGAGAATACATATCGTTGCGTGCCTGTGACGTCATCTTCATCTGAAGCTGTATTTGTGCACTCTCCTGCGAATCGTGATTCTTTCATCTACATTCATCACCAGCGCCCCCTCCTGCACCATGTCTGCGCCCACTAGCAGCTCCAGCAACACCGTCCAGCCGTCCATCTCTTCGCCAGGAGAAACTCCCCCACCCTCTATCGTCGCTGCTGGTACTTTCGTCCCAGCAGCCCCCGTAGAGCCCGCAGAGCCACAACAAGGTATGTGTGTCTGGGGCCCAATCGGTATAGACTGAAGAACAAACACCTGCCACTGGCCCTGGGAGCGGTGGCGTGGTTCCAGACCAGGCGCACAAGCTGCCGTTCAAAGAGCAAGTACGTCGTCTGGGCGCAGATGATCGAGTACTGGTGCTGATGAGACTTAGGTCAATGGCTACGCTAAGAAGTTCGCGGGTGCCACATTCGGCAATGAACAAGAGAAGGAATGGGGAGAGAAGAAGCTCGCCGGGGAGCTTTGAAGGCGTTTTAGCAATCTCTAGAACAGTAGCGTGATGACCATATTATTCATGCTCGAGGGTAAGAAGTGTTTGGTAGGCGGTGGCAATATGCGCGTCCATGCTCTAACATCTAACACAAGTAATCTAAAGCCTGTAAATCCTTTCCCCATCTCTCCCTCAAGTCTTCATCCTCCCAAAGGACCTTGCAAATGCCCTCAGCAGACTTTACCAGCCCCGCGGACGGTTGCCTCTTTTTTCTTCTCTTTACAGACCTCGAATGATCGCTGCTCGAGGTGTCGACAGGTGCGAGTAGAATCAATTCAAGCTCCTTGATGATCTGTCTCAAGATCCGGTCTCCAAACTGCTCGCCCCAAGTCTTGGAAACAAGAATCATTGAATCTTTCACCAAGGCTCCTAGCTTGCGACGATCAGAGTCCGCCAAGTCCGCCCTGTCAATACATGAATGTATCCAGTGCGGTAAATCCGCTGCCAGAGGTCCCTTGCCATCTACATCAATCGCTAAAAGGATCGGCACGAGTGGTGAATACCACTGTCCGGCGATAATGGGCGCTTCAGACGGGGCGTTCGCAGACGAAAAGGTTTTTGACAAGATGGAGCTGATAGCGGCTGTGCGACCTCCGTATGTGGATAGTTTGGCTCTAAGGGCGATGATGAATGAGCAAGGCCAGAGAGGAGCGGAAAGCGGAAAGTGGGAGATGGTCTCCAAGGCTACATCCAAAGAAAGGTCTTGGCCTGCTCATCTCTTCAGCTATTACTGATCCGATGAGACATATGACATACGAGAATCAGGTGCTGTCACACCGAGGCTTGTCAATTTTGTCCTCAAGTCCTCCGCCTTGAAACCTGACGAGTTGATGACATCTTGTAGATCATTGGAGGGGCGGATGACGTCGAATAGTGCTTGGTCATTGACCCTCAGGAGCTGGTCTGGGCAGGCATGCCCAAGAGCTAGAGACTGCAGGACCACAAGATGCAAAGCTGATAAGGGTCTACAAAGAGTAAGCTCGATGGGCAGACTCACATTAGCGAGACTCACCCTAATCGGAATATTTCGTCACATAACCACGCAATGACGCCGCCCAGACACCAGCTCAACAGCGGCTGGGAGAAATAGGAAAGACCGCTATGCAAGGTCTCTAAATCCATCTGACCGCATGTGACAGCAGCGATGGCCTGCTGAATCAAAGTCGGAACCAGGACAGCCAGATCTTCTGGTGGAGTTGCAAGTAGAATCTGATCTTCAATGCCATCAGATCCAAACTGGAAGCTTTTAGTGAGGGAAGACCATGGGAAATACACAGAGACTCACAATAGCCTTCACCCATCCATTAACGCAGTCTTGGTGTGTAGGAGTCAATGATCCGTATCCGAAGGCCCTCCTTGCGCGATGGAGCAAAGGTGGAAGATCCAAGTCGAATTCACGAGCGAAAGACTCGATCAACACCACGCCTTCTCCAAATCGAGTCAGGCAGCCTTGAGGGTCCTCTGAACGTGTGTACTCATCCAATTCCGCATAAGCTGTCAACAGCCGCTGCTCCATAAGATCAAGGAGCGATGTAGGCGATGATTGTGAGATCAATGACGAAAAGAAGAAAGATTGTGAGGACATGTATATGAGTATGTCCTCAGCTGGGGGTGTTTGGGGTATTGCGCGTATAGTCTGAGACATTGTCAGCATTGAAGCAGGACATTATATAGTTGCTGAGATACCTGGATAAACTCATGACTAGCGGGTGATGCAGAACCACAGGCATAGCTGATGATAAATGCAAGTGGTTTGATATGATGTCTTGACTCGGATCCCATTCTCTCCTACCGAGACATCAGCGGGATTCATTATTGACCATCGCTATGCGCATACCAGTAGCGATGGACCGTTTCTTGATGAAGCTATCGTCACCCCAGGCAAAATAGCCAGAGCCTCGCCTGAGTTAATGATATCCTCGTGGACCAAGCTTGCAATTAGGGTATCCTGCAGAGGCAGCACGGACCTGATTCAAACATTAGCCGGAACTACATGCACTTATCGGGCCACGCACCACCCGTCTGGAGGAGTAAAGCCACTGGATTCCTCCTCCTCTTCTGCAGCAGACACTATTGAAGAATAAGTCTGCAGGAGTGCCTCTGAGAAGGCTTGCATCGCCGGCAGTAAGCGGGCGATAGCTGACGCCAAGAGCGAGCTTGCATCAGACTGGTCATTGATGATGAGCTTTCGATTGACTCCTAAAGTCTTGACTCACCGGAAACATCCATTTCTCAAACTCCCCATCAGTGCTCTGCATCTTCCACCATTTAAGTAGTTTTGGTAGTCCCTCCACTGCCCATCCAAAGTCCCTGACATTGTCCCCGGTCCCTACAGCATGAGGTCTATCACCACTCGGACCATTGAGGACTCTCTCAATAGAGATCTCAACCAATGCGAACAGGAAATCACCGGCGACAGGGCAAGCACTTTGACCCAGTCGAAGAAGACGAATGTGAGGGGCAGGTGGTGTCACTGTCGCTTGGCTCTCTGACGGTAAAGGGGTGCGACTGTATCGGAATGAGCTATGCGTCTGCTCTAGAAGCAACGCTGCTACTTCTTTGAGGGGGAGAGCAGGTGCCGCGGAGGTGCCTTGGCCTGCCATGAGCACGGTTTGGGGTTGCGCCGCTGTTTCAGACGCACTTCCCTGTACCAAATCCTCCATGAGTCCACCGAGAGAGACCCTCAGTGGATTGCTGATTTCTTCGGGTAGCAGAGGAAGAAGCTGACCTGCTTCCAGCCCCACATCCAAGGAAGGGGCAGGAAACGGCGCAAGCACGGATAGTAGGCGGGCGACGAGGGATACTATCGCCGAGGGCGGTGAAGGTGTAGCGGCCAGCCGTAGAAGAGGAAGCATGACCGATAGACTGCTTGTTTCCCGACTCTGGCCAAGGGACGAGGGCCCGGCAGAGCTGCTCTCGACATAGTCGCTTGCCGGCCCGCCCAAAACGGCGGGTAGCAAGAGATCCGTAAAACCCGTAAAGTTGTTTATTATAATGTCTGAAATCGGTATCAGGGATGATATAGGAGGGAGGTCTCTTTCGGATATTCGAGATAGCAAGCTGATGCAAAGCGACCTTGCGGTGATCGTCGACGATGACAGAAGTTGCGACAGGTAAGACAGGACAAGCGATGGAGATGATGGTATCAGGAAGTCAAGCAAAGCGGCTATGGATAGGTGGTATCAGCGCATTCGTCTAGTACGTCATAGATCCCTTGCGTACCAGAAAGCTGGTCCTCGGTCAGCTCTCCACGTTTGACACTGCTCTTGAGCGTCTTGCTGAGCTAGAGGAAGCGATCAATATAATTCCTGTTGGGTATCGGCGAACCCACCTTGAGCGGAGGGGCCGCGATGGCAAATGCTCTGGACACAAGGGCATGGGCTGTGGGGGGGAGGTCGTTGGCCATTGCCGCTGCCAGAGGGGATGCAGAAAGCAGATGCACGACAGTATAAACCAGTATAAACCACCCCCGCCGGTGCGCCGACAACACCCAGTCGGCGAACGCCGACCATGCCGCGCCCGTCATCACCTAGGTCACTTTGTGCATTATTGTATCCCGGTCTTTCCTTTTTCTACTCTGACAATCATCATCATGGCTGCCACTACCAATAACCCCAAAGACAGAAACCTCATCGCCGTCATTGGAGACGAGGTACGTTCGCCTGCCGTCCCTCCGCTCACGATCTGAGCTCACGCCCACCCACAGGACACAGTCACAGGCATGCTTCTTGCCGGAATAGGCAATGTGGATAAAGATCACGAAAAGAACTTTATGATCGTAGACTCGAGTGAGTGGAAGGCTTATCGTCGAAGGTCTTTTGCTACCGCCAGATCTCCCGTTAACGACGATGCCAATCATCAGAGACACAAGGAAGTGTCATCCAGAGCACATTCAATAAATTCACAGAGAGGAAGGACGTTGCCATTCTCCTGATCAACCAGCACGTTAGTTGGCCGAGTATTTGAATCACAATGGACGGTCACTAATTAGCTAAAAGGTTGCTGAACGGATAAGGTCAGACGTCGACAAGTATACAGCTGCGTTCCCTGCACTCCTGGAGATTCCCAGTAAGGACCACCCATACGGTACGTGGTCGGGAAAGTGAGGTCGGGTCATGCTGTATGCTCACAACCGCCCGTAGACCCCGCCAAGGACTCGGTCTTGAAACGTGTACAGAAACTGAGAGGAGACTAGACTGGAAGCGACAGACCGGAAGCGACGTGGCTGTCACACGTACTGTAATATACTATGTATGCGAATCATTCACATATAGCTACAACACTATGAGTCGAAATCGCACGATTGCAATGTACATTGTTATCCCTCTAGCTGGGCGACCTCGGCCTTCAATTGATTCTCTCGTCTTTCCAACGCAGCCACTTCTCCGTCCATGGCATTACACGCCATCTCCAGCTGCGTTGTTGATGATACCAGATCCGACCATCTACCCTCTAGTCTTTCGAGATGAAGACCAGCATCCTCTTGAAACACACGACGTGTGCGGTTCGTTTCTGTGACTTGCTCTTTCAAACCTGAGAGCGTCCCCTGCAGTTCACTGAGCTGAGCGTTCAGCTGGTAGTTACGGACGAGCCACGCATTAGGACCATATGTGGAAAGGATGGAGGTGTTCTCAACTCTGCAAAAACATCAGCTCACAAACATACTTTCAGATGCGCAACGCACCTCAGTCCCATATGCCCTTCCCCTGTTCTGCCCTGCTCTTCGGCTTCTTTCAACTCCTCTACAGTGGCGCCTTCTCTGACAGTTGGTGGTTGGTATTTTGTGACATCGATCCCTTGCAGAGGGGCGGATGGGTAGTTGGCGAGCAATTCTTGAAGACTCTTTGATTTCTATGTCACGGCGTCAGGAATCGCGCCTGAGGTCGCTCACTCAAGACATAACCTACAGAGAAAACATCCACATTGGGTGGTAAACGTTGATCATTGTCATCTATTTGAGGGGTTTGACGAAGCTCCGCCTCGATGAGTGCTTGAGCAGCGGCCTTGACGGCTTTTTGTAGGTCAGGATATGACTGGGCAAGTATGGGGAGGGTGCGCACCTGGGTCTTCGACTTGCTTGTCGACGTAGGGAAGGGCATCGATGTTCTGATCAAAAGACATGGTGTGGGACTGGTAGACAGGTGATTGCGCGAGAGGTTCTTGGTGCAATCTTGGTGAATGCATCGTTGAATGCGGGATCAAAATTAGTCGGCTTTAAGTTCCGTCGTTGTCTCCTTGGGCAATTGCGTTGGGCGACTCTTCTGCTTCTCTGCCTCCATCGCTCATTCTCCTCCCCCCCCCCCCCCCCCCCCCCCCCCTCCCCCCCCCCCCCCCCCCGCCATCCCCACGCCTGACTGACCATGGGAAGCATGGAGCCCCTTCTCGGGGAAAGCAAACGACGAGTGGTAAGTCCACTCCGCAGATTCTTGTGGCAGTGAGGCATCCCATGCCGAGCTGCATCATGAAGCAGTCTAGTTGATCTGACCTTCTATAGTGCTACTTCTTTGACTCGGATATCGGAAATTATCACTATGGTCCAGGTAAGCTTTCGGATGCTCTCGAGCGTTTCGTTTTCGGCTCGGTCTCGAAAGCACCGTTGCACGTCAGGCATACTAATCGATCCATAAGGACATCCAATGAAGCCAACTCGTATCAGGATGTGCCATTCGCTTGTCATGAACTATGGGCTATACAAGAAGATGGAGATCTTTGTGAGCCCGGTCATATGAAGCGCTGAAAGGCAGGTGCTGATCATTCATCTAATAGCGAGCGAAACCAGCCACCAAGCGTGAAATGTCTCAATTCCATACCGATGAATACGTGGACTTTCTCTATCGTATAAATCCCGACAATGCTGCTCAATTTGCCAAAGAACAAGTTAAATGTGAGTGTGAATCACAGGTCACGATAGGGTCCACTTACGCCATCATCAGACAATGTCGGTGACGATTGTCCCATCTTTGATGGACTGTTCGAGTACTGCTCCATTTCTGCCGGAGGGTCCATGGGTACGTCTGATCCTTCTGATTTGTGGACAGGGGCTGATGGACGTGAACAGAGGGAGCTGCGCGATTATCTCGAGACAAATGTGACATCGCTGTCAATTGGGCGGGAGGCCTCCATCACGCAAAGAAGGCGGAAGCGAGTGGGTTCTGCTACGTAAATGGTAAACATACAGGGTCAACTGAGACGACACAATGCTGACTTATATGTAGACATCGTTTTGGGTATCCTGGAACTGTTGAGGTGAGTTTCGGATTGCAGCATCTGACTCGTAGCTCACCCGTGATCAGATATCATCAGCGAGTCTTATACATCGACATCGATGTCCACCACGGAGATGGTGTCGAGGAAGCTTTCTACACCACCGACCGAGTCATGACTTGCAGCTTCCACAAATATGGAGAGTTCTTCCCTGGTACTGGTGAGGTGCGGGATAATGGTATCGGTAAAGGCAAGGGGTAGGCACTTGACATCACCCCCATTCCATCATCAAGCTGATTACATTACAGATATGCTATCAACGTCCCGTTGCGGGATGGCATCAGCGACGAAAACTACAAGAGCATCTTCCAGCCGACCATACAAAGAGTCATCGAGTGGTACCAGCCGGGCGCCATCGTCCTTCAATGCGGCTCCGACTCTCTGTCTGGTGATCGCTTGGGCTCCTTCAACCTGTCCATGCGCGGACATGCGGCTTGTGTACAATTTGTCAAGTCTTTCAACCTGCCGCTACTGATGCTCGGTGGGGGTGGATATACCGTCAAATCGGTCTCGAGAACTTGGGCGTATGAGACGGGTCTGGCCGCTGGTGTTCAACTCGGCCGGGGTACGATTTTTCGGTCTGTGGATTGGCATGGAAGCTGACACCTCACTCAGACCTTCCCAACAACGAATACTGGGAATACTATGGCCCAAACTACGAACTGGATGTGCGCTCCTCCAACATGACCGATCAGAATACTCCCGAATACCTTCAAAAGGTCAAGGAGGCTGTGTTCGAAGTCCTTCGTGATAAAAACGCCGCGCCCAGTGTACCCATCCAATCGGTCCCCAGAATGAGGCATGATGATGAAGACGAGAACGAGGGCGAAGATGATGAAGACAAGGACCAACGCCGGCCGAGTGAGTCAGACATAGCCGTCGCTCGAAGCGGTCAGCTGATTGAGTGGTAGTGCGACTTTGGGCTCGAGAGAAGCAGCCAGAGACATCCTTATCGGACTCTGAAGACGAAGGCACCGGCGGCAGGCGACACCGCAGAAACTACAAAGAGGCGTCCCAGAAGAAACGACGTTCAGAAACACCCCTCAATCTCAGCGTCCCAGGTTCCGTCGTTCCAGCAGCCCCTGTACCAGCACCTGTTACACCTTCTGAAGTCGCCCCAGCTCCGCCTGCGGATGCTAGTGCGCAAGCGACAAGCTCGAATGGGCCCGACATTGAAACCTGGGCTGCAGGAGTCCCCGCCCACGAGAGCCAGGCAATGGAAGTTGATAATGCTGCGGCGTCTGCACCGGCCCCAGCCGCAACAGCCACGACGACAGGCGGGGAGCCTTCTGAGACGCAGCCGACTGTTGCGGCAGCAGAGCAAGGCGATGTTGTAATGCAAGAAGCAACCAATGGCGAATGACAGACAAGTGAGGCTGCAGTAGACGGTTCCCCGATAACCAGATATGTATGATTGTATACCCTTGGTCTTGGCTTGATTTCGAGTTGGCTATTGGCGAAACTAGAACGGATAGCTGCTGATTCCGCGCTGTCCATTGAGCATGACCCAGACTGCTACTGTCACTTAGTAAATCCCTGAGGTGGCATTGGCGCTGAGTTGTGTGGATGGTTGAAGGACTCTCGGTGTACATACTTAATTCATATCATAACTGTTCTACTCTTTCCATGCGATAATACCGAAAAGGTCTTTTCCCTTCTTCAATAACCCTTTTCCAGTCACTTCCCTGCTGCGTTCCAGCTAGGTCGTGACAGCTACCTGGCCGCCCATTCGCCAGAAGGTCACAGATCGGTGTCATTCCGCCGGCGGAAGAGCCAAGTCAAGAAAGGACAATCGCTGATGCTATAAGGGCACAAATTGCCATGGGAATAGTACCCATACGAAATGTATCTTGACTTGCCTTATATATCGCCTGTTTCTGGCATTTTAATATGGAGCGTACAAGCGTGCAGATGAAAATCGTGTCTACATTCTGCCGAGCCTGGGGTGGACCGTGGCTATACTAGATGATACAAGAGAATTATACCAGCAAACACCCAAGAGCAACATCTATATATATGTATGAACGTATAGCAGGGCATGACAGCACCCGCATTCAACAACACTCTGTAAACACACAAAACGTCATTAATATCTTTTACAATATTCTGCACGATGTCCTACACCAATTATAAGGCAATGGATGGTGTGTTACGCGAAAAGTCTGGCGCGATTTGAAGGAGAAGGGCCGCCGACATGACAAGCGCCCATGTCCTCCGGGCCCTCTACCTGCTGATGCAGCAAAAACCCATCTTTTGCACCCTTCAAGCTTTGTTCGCACCTAGCATAATCAATAAAATCGTTATTGGCGAGCCCGGAGACGTCGACTTTGAAATCCCAAACACCGGGTGTGAATAACATGGACCCATCACTCGAGTTTGACCGTGAAGTCAAAAGGTCGAACGAGTCGTTACCATCGAGGAGCTGAGGGGTAGACATGTCCATGACACGCGGAGCTCGGGAGTTGGGGTCATATGTGGCAGATTCGAGCGGCGCGAAAACTTCTCCATCATCCATGTCTGATGATAATGATGAGGCGGCAGACATGGTCGACCAGGTGGGAGAAGGAGGAGAGGATTCAGATATAGAAGAGCGGTAGTCGGATTGCTCGAAAGCTCGTATTCTGGCATTGTCGTGCCCTTGAGCAAAAGTATCCAGGGCCTCGTCATCGATTTCGTCCACCTCGTCGATGGGGGAGATGAGCGAGACCTTGGGCGGCAGAGCATCTTCCACGGACGCAATCTCTTGACCACTTGGCGTCGGCGGGGGTTGACGCACAACCGCCGCCGCTTGCCTCGCCGCAGTATGGGCAGTCCTCAACTCTTCGTCCGTCATGGTGAACCTCTCCACGTTCATGACCATCTTCTTTAGCTCCCTCAAGCTGATCCTATCTTCGGGCTCCAGAGCAAACAGCCCTTTGAGAATGTTGTTGGTTTCGACAGAGATGGGGAGGATGGTTCGCAGGACGTCATGGTTGTGAACGTAGGCGCGAAATGTTTCGTCAGACGGACAGGCTTGCCGCCAAGGATTCCTGCCACAGGTCAAATTGACGAGAATGACACCTAATGACCAGACATCGGTCGTCTCTGTTGAATATGACTCTAGCCGTTCGAAGAGACCACCTTGGCATTCAGGGGAGAGGTAGAAGGTGGAGCCGCTTGGGTGGCGTCAGCTGCGATACTCTCTAGGACAACATGAACACTCACCATCCAAAGTCCGTCGACATCTTCTCGGACGTCGCTAGTCCAAAGTCTGCCAAGCATATCTTTTCTCCCCCTCGTAAACAGAGGATGTTCTCGGGCTTGAGGTCTCGATGATAGATGCCCATTGAGTGACAATATTCAACCGCGCTGATTATTTGAAGAAAGATCTTTCTGATCAGAGCATCGTTCCCCAGATACTGGCTAAGTCAGTAATGTCCCTTCAGCCAGTGGAATAACGCACACGTTGTTTTTCTGTGATCATTCCAAAGAGGTCTCCTTCATCGCAAAAGTCCATCACGACAAAGACATACTCTCCTTCTTCTATCACTCGATGAAGAGTGACGATATTTGAATGACCGCTCGCCAGTTGATGCAGAGCAATTTCTCTTCGCTGAAAGTGCCTCTGTCGTTCATCGAGGCCAGCTCGGAGAAGACACTTGACGGCAAGGTACTCGTGGGTGAACTCGTCAAGAGCGAGGTAAACGACACCGTACGCTCCGACGCCCAGCACAGCTATGAAGCGCAGTCTCCCGTTGTCGATGGAATGGCCCACGAGATCCATACCGGAGGTAGCGAAGGTTTTGGATGGCATCATGAACAGATACTTCTACGCCGCAGGGGGATGCTTGCCAATCAGTAGTGGCCGGCGAGTGAAGAGACACTTGGAAGATAGGCCGCGGGGCGTTGTTTCGAGCCGAGGGCCGTTGGTGGTTGGCGGGTGATGCTTGTGTGCTGCTCTGGACAAGAGTGTGACTGGGATATATTTTGTGACAGCGTATGTGACGGGAAGGTGGAGAGAAGGGTTGATGGGGTGTTCTCGCCAGCAAGTACACGAAAGTCGAGGGGCGGGTGGAAATATAAGGCGCCACTCTTTTTCAGATGCCTGTGGAGATGTTGAATGAAGGCGAGGGCGTCGGTTGTCGAGGTGCCGAACAAGTGTAGAACAAAAGAGGGGTCGCAAGCCAAGTGCGGTGATATACAAGTGTGGAGTAGAAGAGGATCTGCTGCATATGTACATCCAGCTGCACCAGCTGCTCTGGCCTCTGGCAGAGTGCCTCGATTCCAGAACAAGAATTCCGCATGGAAGAAGTGAGGTACGGAAATCCATGAAGGGTTCAGGGTTGATTTACTTTTAGGCTGCGTTTAAATGCATGATTTGAATGTTGAAACGTGTACGGTGCATGACGTATTTGTTTGTTCACTCACTCCACTGCTTCCTGAACTCCTGAAGAGAAGCGCTACTCGGGAGGCGAAACCGAGAGGATGTAGCTGGTGAAGAGATAATCATCGAGCAGAACTCCCCACTCTATATCTTGCGTAGCGGATAACAAGCAGCTTGGCCAGCTGCAGCTGGCGTACATATACATACGATCAGGCAGCTCAGGCAGCAATGAAGAGAGATAAATGAACGCCCGAACCTTTTCTTTCCTGGATGCGTCAATCTTGGAGATAAGATTGGGTCTAATCATTTTGCTTTTTCAATTTTCAGCTTCAATTTTTTTGGGCGTCCCCCAAAAGCTTGCGATGGGTCTGCGCAGCCCGTCCTGCTGACGTTGCAAAAGCGGCCACCTCCGCATTATAAAGTGCAGCAGCCTTGACTAATTGGTCACATATTTACCAACACGATTGTTATCAAACGTCTATCCTCCAGAGTCCCCCCCACCGCGATGCTGCTGACCAAGATGCAAATGAGACGAAGACAGAGTCCGCTGGAGGCACAGTCCCTTCCTGCCTTCCCCCACAAATATCCCGCTATGCCCCATGCGCTCCTTGAACATTTCGTACGTCCTCACTCACGGAACAAACAGTGAACAAGTAGCTCTGAAAACAGAGAAAGCTTATACAAGGAATTAAGACTGAATTGCGGAAGGATTGGGTGGAGGAGGCGAGAGCTGCGAACATGCAGATCAAGCGACGAGAGCAGTCGCAAGAGGACCAGATGTGAGGGCGTTGCCGCATGATTCGACGTATAGACGCGCTGGAGGACGCTAGACTAGTAGAGTGAACGTTGCTGAGGATGACAGTAGGAAGCGAGCTGGCGCGGGTCGTGTCAGGCATGCAGACGCTACAGTCGACACCAAGTATGAGTAGGTTGAAGCGATAGGGGGCCAAGTGGGAGCTAGCCAGGATGAATCGACGGTTTCGCTTAAATAGATTAGCCCTGCCACACATGTCGCTATCACATAATGAAAACCTCTATGATTTGAGGGTCAACTCCCTTGAATTGGTGATCATCATCATGAGCAGTGACTGCAAGAGGAGGAAGAAGGGGGCTGGTTGAAATCTGATAGCTTAGCTATGGTAATACCGGGCATAGCACGGATGACATGACACGTCTCTCAGCCAGTTCAGTAGAGTAGAGCAAGACAACGAGTATTCGACAGCTTCTTATAGCCTCGATATGTACAGCTCGAACCGCCGTAGACTGCGTATCTTGAGGACATATCGTACATCTTCTACACGTACACCCCTACTGTACAGAACAGCGCGACAACGCCCAGACCAGCCAGTGAAGAAGCGCCAAGCGCGGTGGACAGCTCTGCTATCGGAAGCTTGGATCGAGGAAGACTGAGCTCAATAATCAGTCACGGTGTCATCAGCACGGATGCGACTTGCGTAGTGAAGAGAAAGGCCAAAGCAAGGAATGCGAGGAGGAAGACGAGGGCGATTGAAGGAAGTGTGGAAGTGGGGATGGGTGGCTGGAAAGCGGGGAGCGAGGCGTGGAGGTCCTGCGAGTGAATGTCAGATACAGCCTTGCCTGACGGAGCGACGCACCTTGATGGACGCGTAGGTCGCCATGGCTGCGATGTTCTAGCGATCAGGTCGAGTAGAGGTCTGGGGAATGCGATAGGGGGAAGTTGAGCACAGGGATGTCTTTGAGATGAGCTGGAGTCACAACATACGTTGCTGGAAAGTACGTTGCAAAGTACTGGCGCGCAGCGTGTCCTCCGCGCGCCTTTCTTAAGAAGTCGCCTCGAAGGCCGACGGGGACTTTTGCTTCCGTTGCTGCAACAAGCATCTCCATCTCACAAAGCATTCGAGCCCTCATCTCCCCGCCATCCTCCTCTTTCCCGCAGAATGCCCCCCCCAGCATCTGAATCCGCCCTGTTCCAGCACACTCCTGACCTGAGCGCGACCCTAAAGCGTGAATGGGAGCCAGGATGCCAGCCGGACGAGGTGTATGAAGAATACCTGCCCACCTGGAGAGCCTGGATGCGGAACAAGCTCGTGGATAGGCTGCGCAGGGAGAACGTGTGGATGGAAGAGTGGCAGAGACGGGTGCGGACAGAGCGCAGGGACAAGTTCTTCTACTATTCCGCCGTCTTTGGGAGTAAGTCTTGACGGGCGGGTGGTGTATGATAAACTCAAAGCTCATGCCCTGTATCTCCAGCCCATACATTCTTCATGATGTTTCTGCCAATCTTGTTCTTCTTTGGACGCCCGTGGGAGGCTCGAGGGTAAGCATGCCGGCGCACTGGAGATGACAGCTGAAGACAGCCCAGATTGCTGTATGTGGTGGGAACGGGAATCTACGTGTCCTCGTATGTCAAAGACCTGGTCTGTACTCCTCGTCCGTACAGCCCTCCCGTCATTCGCCTCAGTGAGTAGCGTTCTTTGTACAAGTGCTGCGCTGATTGGTACAGGTATGAGCACCCACCATCACGAATACGGTATTATCATCGATATACCCGCACTATTTCAGCTCACTCGATACAGGCTTTCCGTCTTCCCACTCGACCAACTCTACCAGTATCGCGCTCTTCTTTGGCCAATGGCTTTTCAATCTCCGTCATGACGTAGGCTACCTGTCGGTGGTTGTGGGATGGATCCGTGAGTGTCTTGTCTTTGAGATGGCTGCTGATGTTGGACACAGTGCTCGCCATATATGCGGCAAGTGTCATTGGCGGAAGGGTCTACACGGGCATGCACTCTACCGGTACGTTCCCTACTCGTGTCGCGTGGCTATACTCATGACGTGTCAAGCCGATATCATTGGCGGCAGTATCATGGGCATCGTATGCTGGGTCTTTTGGATCGTCGTGCGGGAGCCGTTCGACCGCTGGATCATGACTGGATCTTGGACTGGTACGTGAATGTTGAGCCAGTCTGATCAAACCTGATTTTTCACAGTGCCCGCCGTCATCGTCCCCTTCGTCCTCGGCCTGATCCACTTTCATCCCGAGCCGATGGACGACTGTCCCTGCTTTGAAGATGCCATTGCCGTCCTCTCTGTCATCCTGGGGTGTATTCTCGTCGAATGGGTACCGCTGGGCGGTGTCGCTCCTTGGCTGCAGGCTACCGATCCGGGAGCATTCTATCGATATGACATTATCACGCAAGTCCTTGTCGGCATCGCCCGTTTGGTACTGGGTGAGTGCATTGGGCCCGGTCTAATGTTTGCTAAACGTCGTGTAGGTCTCGGGATCATGTTTACCTGGCGATTGATTGCCAAAGCCACGCTCTTGCGCGTACTTCCCCCCACTTTCCGAGCATTCTCTCATATCCTGCATACTCAACTCCCTACTCGACGCTTTTACACTGCCGCCACGTGAGTGGCTCTTTCTTTTTCATCGACTCTCTTTGCCTGACAGTAGGCAGCGACTATAAGAATGTCCCCCGCCAGGCATTCCGACCGATCCCCTCTGTACTGGACCTCCAATCCGGGACGTCAAGCCCGGCGGCCTCGTCGCCTACGCACTCGCCCCTCCTCACACCCCAGCGTGTCCCGAGTATCAACGGAAAAGGAAGAAGCCCGTCGCCTATGGCGCTTTCGCAAGCTAATCTGCGACTGCGTGCGCTGAGAAGAGAGTCGGGGGGGGCTGTAGCGTCGAACGGTGAGGTGCGCGAGAAACCGCTCAAAGTGCGGACGATGGCGCTCAAGTATGACGCTGAAGGTGAGTGCGATTAGTGATGGAGGGCGTTGCTGACGGGAAATAGTACTCACAAAGGTCGGGGTGTATGGCGGCATAGGCTTCATGGCCTGTGGTGTCATTCCCTACTTGTTTGAGATCATTGAGCAGTCGATCTTGGGCTGATAGTCTGTGAAAAGAGGGGTAGAGTGTTTACAATACATACAAGAGATCTACTGATTAATGCCGCCACGGTTTCTGATTGCGAGCATTGAGATGCGGTCCACCAGCTGTTCATGCATCATGCTTTGGATTTCAGATCGCACGGCGCGCAGGGCGCAAGCTGCCGTTGGGATCTCTCTGGTGTGTGTATAGTTTGAGCCGTCCTTTTCCTCCGACCCTCGTGGGGTCCGGCCTCTACCCCTTGCCCCTGGCTTCTACCTCTGGCTAGCTATGGACCCTATGGGAAAGCACTCGACCCCGCAAGACGAGTCAACACACCGTGACGACGGGCGTAGCTGCGTGCCGTAGCGCGGCCGGATACAGACGGGATGAGTGCGCTTTGCGTGAGTGTCTTGGTGGGGTAGCTATCGCTTCACCGGCACCCTCCTCTCGCACTGGGCTCGGTCGGGCTTGCCCACTCGGACAGTGAAGCGTGCGCTGCATAGGCCATACGACATAGGGTACCATGAGGTTTCTGTGCTTTTCTCGGCGGGGTTCACGATGGCTCAACCGAGTGTGCCTCATGGCCCCGACAATGAGAGCGGAGAGCGGAGACGATGCGTTGCCTGGCACCACAGTCGGGCGGACTGTTAAACTCCATCATGCACATGGCGGCCAGCCGACGAAGAGTTGTCTCATCCATGTCTTGGACCTTGTAGAGCGGAGAGAGCTAGGGGAGGGACCTCGCTTTGCTTCCAAATAAAGTACAACATGGCCAATGCTGCATGCTGAATCCTTCTGGATCTACTACTGAGATTGGCTGACGAGATGACTGGCGATTGACGGGAGAGTGCCTTGGCTGGGGCTGCGACAGTGAAAGGCGACAGAGCTGGGAAGCGAGCGGGCCTGTAACCTACTACACACTGAGCGCATCGCTTGGAGGAGGACAGGGGGCAAGGCTATGAGAGGGCTCCAGTGAGCTGAGGCGGGCTGAGGCGCGGGAAGAGAAGAAAAGAGGACGTGGCTCAGATATGGATTTCTCTGGTGACCACATAGATGGCATCGGGAGGCCTCCACCCTCCACGCGACACCATCTCGGGCGTTGTGCGGGTAACGCCGGACGGGCGATGGGAAAGGAGGGCATCAGTTGCGCGTCGGTTGTGCCTGGGGAGATCGACGTGTGATGGGACCTGGATGGGACCTGGATGGGATCCCTCCTCCACTCTCCACCTGCGCCCGCTGTTGCCAGGTCCAGCCGCATCGCGTGGTCCTCGACTCTATTCAGTCCCCGCCGTACAAGTGGCACGGTATAAGTGTGCCAGCCCCCGTCCCATTCTCTTCTTTGTCCCTCAACCTCCCTCTTCTCCCCCTCAACCTCCCTCTTCTCCCCCTCAACCTCCCTCCCGCACTCCAAAATGGCCACCAACACCCTCTTTGCCCAGCAGACCGGCGAGATCGGTGGCTACAACGAGACCATGGCAGCCGCCGCCTTCGAGAGCCAAGCCGTACGTCCTTGCCTCGTCGCCGAATCGTGTACTCACTATACCTGCAGCTCTTCTTGCTCAAATGCCAGTATGCTTCTCTTGTCATAGAAACATTCTTGGCGTAAGTCCGAGCCACCACACCTGGCTCATATCGATCGTCCCGAACGCCGCGTCCCAGTGCTAATGACCCACAGCGGTGTACTCGTCATGCAGCTGTTTACCTACTTTCAGTACCAGAAAACAGACAAGCTCTGGACAAAGGCGGTTGTTGTTTGGTCTGCCGTGAGTCTCTCTTCGTCACAACACTCTGGTGGTGCCCATGCTGACGAGATCATAGGTTTGGACCATGGGTGCGTCGACTCATCCCTCGAATTCATCAGCTAACCATTCTCAAGTCATCACGGTCTACTACTGGGTATACCTGAGCTACCTGTTTGTGGACAACTTTGGCCTGTGGCTGCCTTGGCTTGAAGTCAGGTGAGTACAAGACGATGAAATATTCAACAGGTCTGATTGCTTTTACCAGGTGGCTCGCCAAGATGCCCTTGTTTGATGGTACGTATTGGCCTTCTTCATCCTAGACCGATCTCACTTTCACCCAGTCCTCGCCGTTATCCCCGTCCAAGGGTTCTTTGCCTACCGAGCATACTTGTTGATGAATCGAAACAAGATCCTCCTCGGCGTCCTTGGTGTAAGCGCCATCACCACATAAAGTGTGTTTGCTGACCCGTGTTGCAGTTACTGCTCCTCGTTGCGTGAGTCTGGGCAAATAGAATTTGAACATTGCTCATGCTATTACAGCGCGGGCGGTGGTATCGGTGTTACAATCGTCTTTGGTGGCCAAGAGACATTGTTTGGTGCTACAGCCAGTGGCCCAACGCTTATCAGTAAGTGTCTCCCCGTCTCTCCTCAGCTGTTGTTGATGATTTCAGCCTGGACCGCTGTCACCACCGGCGCCGATGTCATCATTGCCGGTTGTATCCTTGCTGGTCTGCTCCGTTCCAAGACTGGGTGAGTGTTTCTCTCTACTCCTCTGGCTGTATTGATGTCTTTCCAGATGGGCTCATACCGACAAGCTGGTATCTAAACTGGTCCGCATGACTTTCGAAGCTCAACTTCCCCCCACATTCCTTGCCCTCGCGTATTGTATTGAATGGTGTACGCCTATCCCCGAAATGTCTTTATGGTCATCTCACTGACTTTCTTTAGCCCAAACACCCTCCTCCCTCTTGGGAGCAGTATTTCAAGCTCTCCAGAGTCCCTGCTACATGATCGGTCTGCTGTTTACTCTCAACTCCCGTATCGCTTTTACGACTGTTGACAATGACAATCGAAGTCAGCAGGTAAGCTTCTTCCTTTCTCGAGGATGTAGACTTCGTTTCTAACAATGATGTAGACACCACAAGTATTTGGCATGAGTAACATCAACAACACCCGCCGCCCGACCGATGGCATTCAGGTGGAAGTTCAGACTTATGTTCATGTACGTCTCTCCTCACCTCGCCTCTCGTCTCCTCTCTCTCTCTCTTACCAAGAGCTAAGCTGACACAACGACTAGGACGACCAGCCGTATGAGTACAACCACGACAAGAAAGGTCAATCCAAAGCCGATTCATTGTCTGACGGGGACACTGAGAGAGGTGTGGTGTTTGAGAACGGCAGTAGGGCTCACTTGACTGCTGGATCTAATGCTGTTTAGACATCGAGCTCGTCTGGCAGCGACGAATCAGGGAGGAGGTGGGTGTGGGCCTTTGTGGGATCTATCTTAGTGCGAGTCTCGTCCTCGCGCTTGAGCAGGAGGTGATGTTGACAGGTAGTCTTGGACATGTACATACCAGACATAACACGAGAAGCCAAATGACGTTTTTTCTGACTTCTTAATTTTAATGCATCAGAAGAGATTTCCTATTGAGCTCATGACAACCGGGGACTTGGCAGAATTCGCCGCGCCTCTCCCTCAGTAGACGACGCCAGAGGCGGCTTGTGCCGAGCCTACTCCCTCAAAGCGCTCTTCATGTCTTCTGTATGCGTAACTGCACTACTGAGACATAGCCGGCAATCAATTCCATCCTCAACCTCACCTTCCCCTATTCACCCTCGAGTCCCTACTCTCGCCCGCCATGTCGTCAGCAGCGTACCGCAGGGATTCCAGCGCCACCAAAAACAAGCGAGTCATCACCGACAGCAACGTCCCTCTCGATGATGAGCTCAGAGGCATCAAGGTGTCACACGTAGTAATTCCCTGAAGTGGCATTGGCGCTGAGTTGTGTGGATGGTTGAAGGACGCGCGGTGTACATACTCAATTTATATCTATTCTACTCTTTCCTTATGCGATAATACCGAAAAGGTCTTTTCCCCTCCAAAAACACCTTTTCCAGTCCCTTCCCTGCTGCGTCCCAGCTAGGCCGTGACAATTCGCCGCCATCGTCACGGTTCCGGTACCGACAGGTATCGAGCTCGACATTCCGTTTCGCAACGCCCTAAAATTCTTTGCCAGGCTGAGCGAAGCGGTCTTTCACGAAGCGTTCGATACGATTTACTGGGCCCTCAACTCTCGCCGATCACGTGAGCACAGGACGTTTTGGGTCAATGGCCCACGAGACTACGTGGGAATCAACGCCCGAGATCCCCTGGAAGAGGGTTTTGCCTTCTGGGAGCTGAACAAGACCCCGCGCCCCCCTGCCAAGTGTGATCTTTGTGACAGGCTCTTTTCGCAGGAAAAGTACCTGTATATTCACGTACGTACGGGTCAGTGAATTGCCCAGTCATAACGCTAAAGGAAAGTCATAGAAAATTGATGCCCATGGACCCAAGACATTTGTATGTGAATATGCTGGTTGTGAATATAGGTGCGCGAGGGAATCGGAGTTGAAAAAACACGTACGTATCGGCCGGTGGATTGCCCAACAAAACGCTAATGGAAAGCATAGGTGAAGGCAGTTCATGGGGATAATAGCGAACAGGGGTGCAAGACAATGTGGGCGACCAAGGCAAAAATGAAGAAACACGTACGTATCGGCCGGTGGATCGCCCATCCAAACGCTAATGGAAAGCATAGGTGAAGACAGTTCATGGGGATAAGATGGTGCCGTGTAGCGAACAGGGGTGCAAGACAATGTGGGCGATCAATGCAAAAATGAAGAATCACGTATGTATCGGCCGGTGGATTGCCTATCAAAACGCTAATGGAAAGTACAGAGGAACAGACGTTACCCATAGAACAAGTTTGCGTTGTGATATGTATGTCTATAAACGGTCGTGTACTATGTTTTTGTGTTACTCGAGGGCTCCACTTCGTCGGACGGTTTCACCTATGTCATGTATCATCTTTATCGTTACATATCTCGACAATGGCCGATTTGATCTCTACAGCACTTGAGCATCACAACACGCACCCGATCAGAGAATAAAGTCGGTGGCGAGAGAGTTCGATGTCCCTCCCTCCGGGGCGCCTACATGCGCCTATATCCAGCAAACACCCCTCCAACGCGGATAGCCACCGTGGGAAGCTCTCTAAGATCCAGGAGGCGGAGCTGGTGGTGGAAATCAATGCTTATGCCGAGCGGGGTACCAACCTTTGGGTCTCACACGTCCAACAGCTGGGGGAAGCACTGGCTGGGAATGAACTGGGCGTCGCGCTTCATCCAGCGTGTCATCGCGACACGCTCAGTTAGCGGTTTTTCAAGTTCCAGGATAGCAAGCGGCAAAAGGCTGACACATTGGAGAACAGGAGAGATTTCTACGATATAGTGGGTCTGGTCGGCCTCATGTTTACCCTCAACTCCCGTATCGCCTTTACCATCGCCAGTGATGAGAGCCACCAGACGTCCCAAGTGTTTGGCATGAGCAACGTTTTTTCTCACTGATAATAGCTAGGCTGACGGTATTGCAGGACGACCAGCCATACGGCTACGACGAGACCATGAAGCACGGCCACCGCAAGATGGAGTCGATCTCGGACGAAGAGACTGCACTTGACCGCTTCCAGCGCTGTCTAAGCAAGACGCGCCATGTTGACTGATCTTCTTAATGAATGCACTTGTGTACGCTGCATCATAACGTATACTGTTGGGCATAGCTGTGATAGAGTGGTGCGAGATGCATGTCTAGGCGAGAGTCATGAGAGCGATACAGTCCACCTGGGTCGTCAAGCGGCCGAGCGGGTCGAATTGCTGCGCTATTGAGGATATCCAGGGTGGCATGCTCATCCCAGCCCATCCCATCCCACACATCCCCCAGCCCCCTCGAGTACAGCCATGCCCCCGGGAACAAGGAATGGGTGTGCATATGCGATGACGAGGGTTGGACCTGACACACACTGCAGCTTGGACATGACCCTGCGCTGTTCCATCCTGTCAACATCTTTCACATCCCCCTCTCCTCCATCCCTCCCCGCCGTCTCAGCATGCCCTGTGCGTCTGCCCTCCCGCTGTCGCATGCGCTGACCTCCCATGCAGTGCCCCGCTCACTGCTCCGCCTCGCTGTCCTCGGGCTCTTGGCGGGGCACACCTCTGCCTTTTCATTCAGCACAAGCACCCCAAGCCAATGCGGCAACTTTACCGTCCAGTGGTACGCTCCCTCTCCCGACGTACCCAAAGCCTGACCAGATATATAGGACCGGCGGCACCGCGCCATTCTACCTGCTATTCGTACCCGTGAGCCGTCTCTTGACTCCACATCTCGCCGTCACTCATGCAGATTTTAGGTGGAAGAAGTCACATCAGGTCATATCAACAATATCACCATACCCGACAGTCTATCAAGTCCCTACTCGTACTCATTCACACTTGACCAGCCGGCGGGTCTCGACTTTATGCTTGCCATGAGCGATTCGACGGGCTTTGGCAGCGGGGGATCGACATCTGTTCTGAGTAGGTACTGGGATATGGTATACTGAGTTGACGCCGTACAGCTGTGGGATCTTCGGACGAATCCTCTTGCCTTCCCAGCTCCGTCAACGCAGATTTCTATTTCTCCATCAGCCCCGACTCGAATCCGTCAGCATGTTCGTCCATGAGCGTCACCTGGCCGTCCAACACCACAGACCCCACCCATCTATACGGCATCATCCCCCATGGGTCGGCATGGGAAATTCCTATTGACGACAGCGGCACGTCTCAGGATTGGACGGTCAATATCGCTTCGGGGACTCAGTTTTTACTCTTGATGAGCGACGCCGGGCAGTACCAGACAGGAGGCAGCACAGACCTGTATACGGTACAGAGCGGCAGTACCGACTGTCTGGGAAATGACAGTCCGACCAGCGCCTCGGGAGGGACGACCAGTACCTCGAGTGCGTCGGGCAGCACAGCTAGTGTCTCTGGCGTAGGCGGATCTTCCTCTGGGGGGTCGGATGATTCTTCGAGCGGCAGCTCTTCTTCAAACCATACCGGGGCAATCGTAGGGGGCACTGTCGGCGGAGTTGCGTTTGTCGTCTTGCTCAGCCTAATTTTCTTCTTCTTTATCCGTCGCCAGACGCGCCGAAAGGCGGATGCCGAAGACATTGCGGCCAAGCCCTACAGTGTGACGCACGAAAAGGCCAAGCGGCGCAGGACGGTCGATCTGGGGTCGGGCGATGAGCAGGAAGCAGAGGAGAGGAATGTGGAGGGTGAAGTATACCAGCTGAGTCCATTCCGGTACCCGTCTCCACCTGGCAATGTCGCCCCAGGAGCGGTGCCGGAAACAGCTCCTCGCCCAACGCAAGAGGGCAAGATCCAGCCGTTTGTGGCGCCAAGTAGCACTAGGCCGAGCATCGAGTCTACGGCAGCTGCCTCGCCGCCAGAACAATCTGCCCAGGGCTCCAGCGAGGTCGAAAGGCGAGCGTCGACGCGAAAAACTGCCCCAACTGCTTCGGCTAATGCTTTGGCGGCGGCGTCGAATCACGAGAATAGACAGAGCGTGGTGGCAGAGGAAACGGAGCGGAGATTGATGCAGCATGAAGATGCGGGACAAGTCGAGTAAGTCGCAGGTGGGCGTAGTAGCCGACTCTGACACGATGCCACAGGGAATTGCCTCCAGCATACAACCAACTGCGGGCGAGGAATCCTGATGAAAGGGCTTGAGGCTGTGACAAGTAGACGTATTTGGTTGTCATATAGTTGGACGTATAGTGGAGCATCTGGAGGACACTGGACGATTAATGGGGGGACTATGAATGTATAGATGCAACGATAAAAGACGAGAAGAACAGGTGCCACATTCGGTGCTTCGGAAATTATCGCTTTGCCAGCCTCGGCGCGGTAAGCGTGATGTCCTCGAAGCCTGTCTCTTCAGTTATATACTTTACTTTACTACTTTACTTTACAGCCCCTGCCTCTCCACCCCGTCCCCACGACAGCCGCAAGCATCTCCAGCCTCTGGCGTGCATCCCGAATACCCAGCAGCGGAACATCGACCCAGCCATGTCCGGAAGACCAAGTGTTGTGAGTGTGGTCATGCCTCTTGGGGATCGTATGCTGATGCCCTATCAGGCCCGTGTGTACGCGCCCGTGAACGAGAAGCTGGGGAGATCCTGGTGGGACTATGGTGGGTGGCATCGTCAAGCCGAGCTGGGCATGCTGATCGATCCGCAGACAACTTGGTGGTGCAATGGGGCGTCCAGGACAACTATGAGATTGTGAGAAAGGTCGGACGAGGAAAGTACTCCGAGGTGCGTATGCTGCATGATGGCGAGAGTATGCTCATTTTCAGCCAGGTCTTTGAGTCCATCCACCTCCCCTCCGACTCCAAGTGCATCGTCAAGGTCCTGAAGCCTGTAAAGAAGAAGAAGATCAAGAGGGAGATCAAGATCCTGCAGAATCTGGCGGGTGGGCCGAATGTCGTCGGGCTGCTGGATGTCGTGCGAGACAGTCAGTCAAAGACGCCTTCGATCGTCACTGAATATGTCAACGTGAGTCTGTCAAACACGAGACGAATGGGCGCTCATGGGCGTGTAGAACACTGAATTCAAGACCCTCTATCCCAAATTCACCGACTTTGACGTGCGGTACTACATCTTTGAACTGCTCAAGGCGTTGGATTTCTGTCACTCCAAGGGCATCATGCACCGTGATGTCAAACCCCACAACGTCATGATTGACCACGAGAAGCGTACTGTGAGTCCGCCGCGTGTTTTTACTTGTATCGTCTGACGTTCTCTAGTTGCGGTTGATCGACTGGGGACTGGCCGAGTTCTATCACCCCGGTACAGAATACAATGTCCGTGTGGCCTCGAGATACTTTAAGGGTCCTGAACTACTCGTCGACTTTCAAGAGTACGACTACAGTCTGGACATGTGGAGTTTAGGATGTATGTTTGCGAGCATGGTGAGTCTTCTTTCCACTTGCTCAAGTGCATATGCTGACAGACAATCAGATCTTCCGCAAGGAACCCTTCTTCCATGGACACGACAACGCCGACCAGCTCGTCAAGATTGCCAAGGTTCTTGGTACTGACGAACTTTATGCCTAGTGAGTGGTACTCTTCTCGCCACCTGGATCTTACTGACATGGCTCAGCCTTGAACGCTACGACATTGAGCTTGACACCCAGTTTGACGACATACTAGGCCGATATCAGCGAAAGCCATGGTCGCGGTTCATCACTAGCGACAACCAAAGATATATCTCGAGCGAGGCTATCGACTTTTTGGACAAGCTGCTGAGGTACGACCACCAGGAGAGATTAACAGCCGAGGAGGCCATGGGACATGCGTACTTTGGTGAGTTGCCTTGGAGGTTTGTCGACGACCCGCTAATCTTGTACAAGCTCCCGTGCGAGAAGCAGCTGCCAAGGCTTCTGCCGGTCAGTCTTAGAGTGTACGAGGAGGAACGGGGGTCTGGCTCAGCCTCGACGTAGAGTGTATCAGGCGATACAGGATGTGCGGGACCGAGGGAACGCGACTCGTCTCGGATCTCGACTTGGTCTTTCCGGCTTTTTTCAACCGTCGTGTAGGCCGTTACGGTATATACAATACAGCTTTTTGTGCCATCATGATTTCAACTTTGGACTGTCAGGGATTTCATGCATCGAATACTGGCCAGAGAATGGTCCCCACATAATACCAAGTTAATTACTCGCGTGTAAATAAGCGGTCTGGTGTTCCCATGTGTTCGCATCTCCTTTCTTTTCTTTTCTTCTCCATCTCTCGCCGCCCACAGACCAGGATGGCCTACGCCTACCCTGCCCACCACCCCATTGCCGGCGCCTCCTCCACCTCCCTCGACATCGGCAGGCATTCTCGCGAACCGTCCAGGAACAACTGGGGCGTCATTACAGAGTTCAGTGTATGCTGCGCTTGCTCCACTCTCAGACCATAATGCTGACAGCTTTCGGCAGCACAAGGTCGCTGAAGATGACATCTACATCCGATTCTTGGAAGAGAGGTGCGCAGGTTTAAGCTTGGTGCGCCAGAGCTAACGTACATGTAGAGTGCGTGTAGAGAGAGAGTATATCGATGGCCTGCGCAAGTTGTATGACCGGACAAGGTCCATCGACTCGCTGCACGACGAGTGAGCTTTCCGCTTGCAGTGCTGCAAAGTCTGTGCTGATCGGTAACACAGTGCTCCCCCTCCACAAAAATGGGAAAAGCCTACATCCAGAATAGCGTGGGCAGAGGTCAGAGATTACACGCTGCGCGAGATTGAATCAAGGGATGCTATGCGAAACGCGCTGGAGGAACACGTCGTCAAGGAGCTGGTTCGGCTCAAGGTGAGCCACTGGTCATTGGGTGTCGGGGTGAGCTGACCTCTGGTAGGACCAACAAAGCAAGATCAAGAATTCTCTCAAGGAAAACATCAAATTGGCAGAGAGCGCCTATGAGGAGCATGCCAAGCATCATCTTCCAAAGGTCAAGAAGAGCTACGTCCAAAAGTGTCAGATCCTCGAAGTACGATGATACTAGGAAATGTGGTTCATACTTACGCCCAATAGGATCATCGGCGACAAGAGAATGCGATTGCAATGCAAGCTCGATTATTGTCTACCCCCAGTCCAACTTCTCCCACGACTGCCAATTTGCAAGAACACCCGTATGCGGCCCCAGCTGGCCCCTCCTACACCACTCCTCCCAGCGCAACCCCGCCTCTTCCGCCCGTGAGCAATCCTGCTCTGATCTCTGTCAATGAGATCGGTCGCCCTGGTCATACCCCAAGCTTCTCCGTATCATCTCCTGGAAAAGACAAGGAGAGGGTCGGGAACAGACTTCGCGCTGGGTCAGGCTCAGGACTGGAAAACAAATCGAGGGACGTATTCAACGACATTGCCGCCTCGGGCAAGAAAGGGTTCTCTGCATTCATCCAGAGACTTGGGGGAGACAAGGAGAGAGGGGACGACGTATCTCTCGCAGGCGGACTGGAGGGTGAAGGACTGCAGAGAAGAGGGACCACGGGAAGCTCCAACTCCAAAGCCCAAATGGCGATGCGTGGTGCCAAGGTGAAGCGCGACGCCGATGAAGCAGGTAAGTGTTTGCCTGATCTCACCAGCGATATTGACGCCCCTTCATAGACAAGGCTTATCGGACTGCCATCTTCCACCTCGAATCATTGCGCCTCAGAAGGGAAAAGATGCGAATCTCCGCAGTGACACACCTGGAAGAATTCAATGACGAGCTCAGCAAGACTTTGAAGACAGCACTGCAACTCTACATGGACATCATGCACAGCACAGCAGTTACAAACGCCCAAGCAACAGAGGTGGCTCAACGTGCAGTCAATGTTATCGATGCTGATCATGACAGTAAGCTGACTTGCTGAGAGAGTATCTGTTGCTGACACCATCAAAGTGCGCATCTTTCGCACAAAATTACACGCGTCTATGCAAGACATGTCTCGCGCCCCAGTACCGTATGAAAACTTTTATGTACGTGGTATGCTGCCATGATCATCACCTACTCACCACCGATGACAGGTCGGCCCTTGTAGATCCCTCATCTTTGGTGTCAGTCTATCTGACTATGACTTTGCTCGGGCCGATGGCAATGACCATGGATCACCCCCTACCATTGTCGAAAAGTGCCTCGCGGCCATCGACGCCCGAGGCCAAGACTTGGAAGGCATCTACAGAGTCAACGGCAGACATGCTGCCGTCCAGAAGATGATCCAAGGGATCGAAAAGGACGAGGCTTTATTCGAGTTTGACGAAAAGGACGATGTCTTCAGCATTGCCAGTATTCTCAAGCAATGTGAGTCTGAGAGACTTCGCTATATGTGCTGACACGACACAGACCTCCGCGAGCTACCGGAACCCGTCTTCAACCTTCCTCATGCAGAGAGGGTCAGGTACAGTAAGAGCCGAGGTGAGTAGCTGTATCTAGTGCTGGATGTTTGCTCATAGTATTATCAGAATCTCATATCTCTAGCAGCTTCAACGCTCTCCGCGGACGTCTGCGCCGATTGCCACCCATTCACCAGACTACATTCCAGGCTATCATCGAGCATCTCGGTCGAATTAATGCCAATTCCGCCACCAACAAGATGGGCGCCAAGGTAAGCAATGACACAAGGCTATACATAGGGCGCTAATCAAGCGAAAACAGAACCTTGCTGTAGTATTCAGTGGGTATTGCATGGTGAATATATTCCAAGTACTGACTTTTCAACAGACTCTGTCATTTTCGGCCAAGACTTGGTTCCCACTGATGGAAACGTCCTAGCCATGCACCATGAGCAGGTGGGTAGCTTTTCACCACACTAGACAGCCACTGACCTCTCCTAGGATACCGTGCTCGAGGATCTCATCACCTACTCTGAATTGGTGAGTTCAAAGTCCATTATACAGCTCATTGCTGACAAAAGCAGCTGTTTGGCGCCGATTCACCTCTTCAAGCACCACGAGTACTGCCCCCGGATTCTGGTCTCTCCCACTCTGGTGTTCTCACCCAGGATGTCGGTATCGATGGACCTCGACCTGGTACATCACGGACCAAAATCCGCATCGCACCCGACGATGGCATTCCTCCAGAGGTATCTACTCGCCCCGCCGCCGAGCGCCTGAATTCAGGTGGTCATTCTAGCGTGACCGTCACTGGTCAGCCAGATATAACTCCCGTGGCAGAGTTTGGACCGGGTGCTGCCCGTGGAGTTTTCACTCGGGACGAAGACTTGACGTTGCAATTTGACGCTTCGCTGATCCCCGCTTCCATGAAAGAAGGGTTACCGGAGAATATTCATGTGCGACCGCTTGCCTCTACTGATCTGTTGCGGCATCACTTCCAGCTCCTCAACGATCTTCGTCCATCCCCCGCTCTTGCACCTTCCGTCTATAACGCCATCTTTACCCACTTTCACACGGCCCCTGGCACGTACTACGTAGTCGTCATGGTCGACAAGACCACAGATGAGCTTGTTGCGTCTGGCACACTCATTGTGGAGCGTAAACACATCAATGGAGGAGGCGCATCGGGTCACTTGGAGGATATCGTGATATCTGGGAAAATGCAAGGGAGGAAGCTAGGGGTGAGGCTGGTGGTTGGTCTCAGAGAATTGGCCGTCTTGCTTGGGTGTTACAAAGTCATTTTGGACTGTCAAGATGCCAAAATACGTGAGCCTTTTCGCTTTCCACGATATTCAAAGCTAAAGCGCAGCAGCATTCTACGAGAAATGTGGCTTCTACCGGAGGAGCGCAGGTATGGCCTACTACGTCTCCTCAGGTGACGTCTCCCATCAAGGATCTCCCGGTGCTCTGGACGTCCCTGCAGCGTCCGCTAAACGCGGTTCTGGTGATACCCTTGCCCCTCCTCTCGTCAGCACCGGCGCCATCACACCCCTGTCAGATCTCACAGACACGGACGCGACACCGCGGTTGGATCAGTACTCGCATTCGAACGATGCTATCCTCGGCGAACCTGCGTCTCGAGACCGAGCAGCGTCCGATGCGTCATCTGAAGGCGGCGTCCTTTTAACAGTCCCGCCTGAAGTTGCGGCATCTGACGGCTCAACTCCTGGGACCCCTCGCACATTCACCTCAGCATCCTCTGGAACAGGTACCGGTGTGACCTACAGCTTTCCAACCTCCGACTCGAGTGCCCTTCCAGCCTGGGCCGCCGAAGGGCTGGGGAGTAAAGCTCTCAGGCGCACTTCCGCAACCAGTTCTTTGACTGGCTCGCCCGAATCCCTGGGACAGAGGGGCGGGAGCAGTGGAGGAAGGAAGAGGATGGGGTCTGGCCTGTCGGGTCAGGGCAAGGGGGAGTCAGAGGAAGGAGAAGAGCTGGATTATGCAGCCCGGAGAGAGGCCGCTGGCACGCCGTTGCCCCCTGGGGCGGCGCCGCCTAATCTTGAGACTGAGCCAGAAAGGATTTGAATGGTCGGAGACTGAGATTGCAGACGATCATAGAATTGGACAATATAACTAATTTACGCCGCCTTATCGCCTTTGGTAAAGCGGCTTCCGGACGTTCTAGTTGTTGGATTGAAATACGTATATATACTTTACGGAACTCTGGTTCTTTGTTATAGATTCACGAATACAAAGTGTACTTTACATCAGTCATGCCCATGTTAATGTTTAAAGCGGCTGAAACACATGACTCGATCGCATAGAGTACAGCATTACATCTGCTTCGGCAAAGATAAAATAAGAGACCAATCTGAGAGAAAGAGGAAGAAAAGAAAGAGACTCTAGGTCATGACCCAAACACTGCCCCAGCAATGTTACCATATGTACGTCCAGCTGCCCATACTGATGCTAAACTATCTTTCCGTATACCTTTCTTTAGTGATAACCTGTACAAAAATTGTCTCTCGGAGGCAATCACAAAGAAACGCCACCACACGCTGAAGCCACGCTTAACGGGCGATCTCGGCTGTGGGCTGCTCATGTCCCTAATCAAGATCGTCAATTCTACATCTGGCAAGTGGAACCTTCAGAAACTCACAAAGTCTTCCAGAGGGGCAGAGTCGACGAAATCAGGCAAAGTCTGGGCATCGGACAAGTAGCTAGGCGTCTCGTTATCGCCAATAGGTTCATCATCGAGGCCTATGGCATCAAGTTCTGTGCGAGGTGTCAGCTTTCGGTCAGAATGGTTCGAATCTCTAGACTTACCGGCCATAAGATCGGCTTCGTCTACTTCGTCGGGAACACCGTAACTCCTGCCTAGAGATTCTTGGATTTCATTGGCTTGGTCGATGAGGTCTTCCATATCGTAGTGAATGTTCTTTTAAGATGGCGATACAGGTGAAGTTTGATGTGGCAGTGACAAACACAGACAAATACAAACGACGAGATGGGGGAGAATCAGTGAATGAACTACTTGATAAAGGAGCTCAAGATGATGGGACTCACTTCGATCTTGTCAATGTCGATGCCTTTATACTGTTTCTTCATCTCTTTGTTGGCGACCTTCATCGCATCGACGGTGGCCATCTGCGCCTCATGATGAGCTAATAATTCCAGACTCGTGACTCTGCGCCCCAATTAAGAGAAGGTTTCGTGTCAAGTTCCATTCCGGCTTGCCAAAGGAATTTGTTTACGCGGGCAGAACCATCCGGATGCGGTCTCCTTTTATTTCTCTGATGTAAACGTGACATACCGTATTCTTGAGATTCTCAGTCGTCATAGCAGCCTGCTCCATATTGAACGTCTGCTGCTGTAGCTGCCCCAGCTGCCCCTCATACATCTTCTTCTGCTTGAGCACTCTGAGCGCTCTCTGTTGCACCGCAGCTTTCCCTGGCCCTTCGCGCATCTTGGACATCTGGCCCTTGAAGACTCCAAGTTCGGCATCGAGTTTTTTGAGCTTGACTTCTAGGGATGAGATGCGTGTTTCCGTCTGTGTACGCGTGTCAGTGTGGGCAGGGAGGAGATGGGAAAGGGGCGTACCGAGCCGATTGCGTCTGTGAGAGAGGGTTTGGGCTTGGCCCGTCCTGAGCCGAATATCTGTTGGGGTCAGCATTGTCCCACGGTACCAGGCTTCTCACTCTGTTCATGGCGGATGGAGAGATGGGAAGAGATGGAGACAAGAGAGACTGCAAGAACGGCGAGCCGATGGAGGATACATGCGGAGGATGCCACGTGCCGCCTCCACTTTCCTCGCCCACTGCACTCTGAGCTTACTTTGGTTCCCTTATTCCGGATCATAGCCTTGTCGAAGGACGGTGACATCCCAGAGGGCATTCATCAGTCGACCCCACTTTCAAAACTCTCCTCCGCCATCAAGCCGCCCCCCAATGATGGAACGGCCGCCCCAAGAGTTTCTCTACCTCGCTGCGACTCTCCTTGATGCCTTGCCAGCCTCTGAACCCAGTGAGTTCCGCCCATGAGGCAGTGAAAATGCCGAGTACCTCGGATCAGATCTACGTACACGCCTGACATGACACATCTCAGTCAGTGATGCGCTTCTATTGCAACTGCACATGCTCTTTGGGCCCATGTTGATGTCAGCTCTGCAGCTCGTCGATCGGCGGGAGGGTGAGTAGCCTGGTTGGCCAGGATGAGGCTGATCCAGTGCAGTGGTGCGAGTAGAGTATCCTTCTTCTCGGCATGTCTATCAGGTATGTGGCCTGCAGTGCAGAAGCTGTTCATCTGATACGTGTGCCAGGTTGCATCGTCCACAGGCAAGAGCTACACTCTCTACATGGATCCTCCCAGCGCCACCGTCCCCTGCACTCGGGAGTCCTCGCTTGAGCTTGCGGTGCCCAAAGATGATCCTCCTGTGCACAGCTCGATGCCTGAAGAATCACGCGAGGAGCCGCCTCTTGCGCCCAACGATCGTTTAACGTCAGCTGCAAGCGTTGAGGACACGTTGAAGGAGGAGGCCGAGGCGGGGCGGAGGGACAGAATTCGGCAGCTTGCAGTGGACCTCGAGGGGTATTACTGTCCGTGTGCAGGGTACGGGCACAACACGCTGGGAAGCGGCCGCACGGTGGTGGTGAGTGGCTAGATGCATGCACGGCTGTGGCTGACGAGAGGCGCAGTGCAAGCATCTGCTGGCAGTCCTGATAGGCAGCAAGACGGGGAGAGTGGTGGCGAGTGCCGCCCAATGATGAATTACGTAATGAGCCATGTATGCAAACACTTGGGGTGTTGTGATTTCATTTCCTCTTTCATTTCTCAACTTCTCTCTGCGATGCCGCCCCGGGACCTCCCCGAGCCCCTCGACGCCGTCCCCCGCCTCCCCCTCGACACCTCCCTCCCCTCCGCCCTCGCCCACCTCGTACACCACCTCGTAGACCCCCTCGCTCGCCACTACCCCCAGCACACCACCCAGTACCTGCTCGAACAACTCAAGCGGGACCTATTCCGCCATTTCCAGCCTACATGGGATGAGGCTCATCCCCAAGTCGGAAGCGGCACCCGCTCGCTTATCTGCACCCGCCATCTAGGTCTCCCTATGCCGATGCGCGGTGCGGGGACCAGGTCTGGTGTCGAGGAGCGGGTCTGGAGAAAGGCCATCGCCGAGGAAGGGGGCCGATCAGGAGACGTCAACATGGGAGAGGAGTGGGAGGTCTGGTGTGACCCCGGACAGGTCGTCTGGAGGTGGGGTCCTTGGGAGTGGGAAGATCCGGAATTCGAGCCTTCAAAGATCGTTAGAGGTGAGCAATCTTGTCGTTCTCTTGTCCCATTGTACTGATGAATGCACAGAATCACTCCAGGTGATCTGGCAGTCTGCGGCAGACGGCGACAAGCTTTCTCCCACCACTCCCGCAAAGACGGCCCAAGGCACTCCCAGCCGACCGTCCTATGCTGTCCCTATCCGTGCCCCCACACTTCTCGCCATACCCCCCACCCCGTCTCGCGGCCAAGGACAGAATGAAGCGATTGCCGTGCAAGAGTCCCTTTTACCTGCCTTCTCTACCCTCGGTCTTGGCAGACCTTCGGACGGCGGGCAAAATCGGGTCAGCTCGGGCTGGTCGAGTTCGGAAGAGGCGTCGTCTCGTTCCACCTCGATGACTTACTCTGAAGAACAACCCGCTTCGCCCGAGCACCGCTCGGCGTCTCGTACCTCCCACAGAGGCTCCGAGTCCCAGAGTAGCATCTCTTCATCTGTCTCGGACAGCAACTCGGGTCATACGCAGTTGCTTACTCCTGCCACCAGGCCAAGCACCGCGGACCCATTTACCGTTTCCATTGTTCCCCTCAGAGAATCTTTCCGCCAGGAAAGTGTCGATGTATTCGGCGACAGGGAGAGCAGCGAAAAGCTCAAGACCACTCCAATCTCCCAATCCCGTGGGCGAGCTTCTCCCAACGCCCTTTGCGAGTCAAATGTTCAGCCTGCTACCCCCACCACCGAGAACACCATCACCCCCCGTGTTCCCACTCCTACTGTAACCCCATACGACGGCGGCAACGTGACTGTCCTCGGTGGTGGTATCAAACTTGGCGGTGGGGCGGGGTCTCACTCCCGTTCATCCTCTGTGCAGTCTTCTCACCGCACCCCCATCGACCGCACCCGATCTCCATCTGTCTCCTTTGCGTCTCGTGCTCTCTCCAGCGCTACTGGGCCCAATGGAGAACCCAGGAAACAGAGGACCAGGAGGAGGATCATGCCCACCTACCTTGGCCACTTGGGTCAGCCTGGTGTCGGTGGACCTGTCATGGGCGCTTTCAACGGGGTAGTCAGCCCCGGCACTAGTGGCGGAATGGGGTACGGGTTTGGAGCTCATGTTGGTGTTGGAGTCTCCCCCCCTCAGGTTGGAATCAGGGGACCTATGCCGAGAATGGGGCATTAGCCGTGTTTTTTTGTGCTTCGTCTTCGTGATCCCAAAGTGTAACCATCAGCAACGTCAACTAGCATCTTTCATTTCCATTGTTCACATCCGGCAGGCTCTTCATCAACAACTTCGTCTTTCGCTCTTGCTCCTTTTCAAGATATTGTTACCTCTTTCGAATTCGCTCTCTCTTTGAAAATCTTAAATTCATTCTCCAAGCCCGCCACTTTTTTTTTTGATTTTGGATCTTATTTTAGAATCATTTCAGAGGAATGAAATAGTCTCTGCTCTCACCATGTCAAACATGCTTGCATATACATACTTATGTGAGACAGCATGCTGTTTACGCGCCAAGTAGTAACCCCAGCCCCTTCCATTCAGCGACTTTCGGCTTGACCTCTCCCATGCTCTTTTCCAAACCACCCTCGAGCCCGCTTCCGCCACTCTCCAAGACCTCCCTCAGTACAGTCTCTCGATCCTCCCATGCCATGTCTATCCCATTCACCAACTTGACCCTGAAAGCCTTGATGGTCGACTGCAACGACTCTGCTAGGGCTCTATGATCGTCGGACGCCAGGACCAGGTGTCTCAATAACCCTACTGCCTCCCCACTCTTCTCCTCCACTCTCGTCCCCAATCTCCCCAAGCTCATCACAAGATACTCCCACTCGTCCACTGTTCCCCTCCTACCGGTAGCCCTCTTCTTTACCTTCTTCTTTGACGTCGCCGAGGTGACGCCCGTCTGGCCGGTGAATCGGGTGAGATGAGACATGGTGGAAGGCGCGACGGTGTAGCGTGTAAATTGAGAAATGCCGGTAGCTGTTGTGGCATTTGTGGCCACATCAACACCCTCGAGGTCAAGTTCGCGTTCGACAATGTAAAAGGAGTCTGGTATCGTCAGTCTTTGTCCGGATGAAAATGTGAAAGAATTTACCGGGATCTTTCTGACGGATGCCATTCAGCTCGTTGAGCCTCTTGACTTCCTTGTCCAATTGACCCTCCATCTCCTCGAACACCTCGATCAAGGTTTCTTGGGCCTCTTCCAGGCCAGGGGCAATCATAGCCTCGATCAGGTCCGAACGGTCATGGTGAGAAACGAGCCTGTAAGCCTCAGAGAACTCGGCGCCGCGGCAACAAGTGTCGACAGCACTGTCCACATCTTGAGTGTACTCGACGAATACCTGGGAAGCTTCCAGGTGACGCCCTCTCGAAGCAAGGTAATCTGTGCTTGTTCAGTAATTTTCGTGGGCGATTACATATAACATACCTGTAACTCTCTCGACCAGGTCCTTCCGGGCCTCTTCCGATACACCCTCCTTCTTTGCCAGCGAGAATAGTTCGCGCCAAGCGTGAGCACGTTCATACGCTTTGAGAGCCTTTGTAGGCTTGTCCGCCAGCAAATAGGCTACGCAGAAGTCAGCCATATCGCATGTCAAGACGGGTGTAATACTCGCCAAGGGCAGCATCAGTGAACTCTCGACGGTCATAGAGGTAATCGCCATGGAGGTCATGAATGATTGTTAAATGTTCTGGCTCGTTCTTGTAGAGCTTGAAGGCGCTGTCGTAAAGCTCGTATTTGGCAAGATAATTGGCGGCGTCTTCGAACTTTTCTGGGCCTATCCCATGGTCAGCATGTCTCAAAAGGATGCAGCGGTGAATCGTCGTACCTGCCTGCTTCAAGTTTGACAATGCACTCTCTCGTCTCGCGAGGTGATCATCGATCATAAATCTCTGGTCCCACTTGTCGAGAGCCCTGAGTTCTCTGAGGAATGGCAAGTATTCCTTGGGGTCCTGGATCATCGTTAGGTATGACTCTTCAATAATAGGACATGCGTACCTTCTGAGAGTATTGAGCAATCATCAGGACCAGCTGGAAATTGTACATTCCAAGAGCGACGTCATACAGTTTGTTGACGTCTGACAGGAAGATGATATACTTGATAGCGTCTTCGACAATCTCAGGATGGTTTGCTATGTATGGAACATGCAGTCAGCGTCCGTTTGCCTATCCAGTCGATGAAGGTGAGAGCATACCTTGCAACTGCAAAAGCACCCTCAACCCAGCCTCGTAATCCGCCGGAACCTTGCACACATGTGTCGTCAGGATGGTCTCCACGTACTGTTCAACCCCGCGAGCTTCAAGCAAGCCGCGAAGGGTATCACAAATGTCGTTGACTTTATTGTTGGTTGGCTGGGCAGATGTTGACGGCTCTGTTGCAATGGTAGGGTAGAGTGTTTTGGAAGAGTCCTCGCCGCTGAGAGAAGGTAAGCATGTGCGTCCGTACTGGAATAGGGACATACTTTAAAGATGAGACGAAAAGGTTGAGGTAATCAACTTCAGGGACCTGTTTGACAAAGTCTTCAAGGTTGCCCATAAATTTGGCGGGGTCCAAGTCATAGAGTATGTTGACATCTAATCTGTGCTTTCGACATGTCAAGAATGCTGCTCGATAAGAGCCCCTGTTGAAGAGTGAGCACTTGCGCCAACAACAGAAAGAAAGACATACCCAAGCACACTGCGTCTTACGACCTGTAACACCATTGCTCTAGGGTAAATGGTCTCCAGATTACCCCTCATGGCCTGCAGCACCAAGCTCATTTCACTCTCCGCCGCCACGACCACCTTGGCTCCCCGCTCAATCCGTCTCTCCTCCCACTGTTTATCTTGTTCCGGGACATCTTCCCCTTGGGTGAGCTTTTCGAGGATAGGGAGAGGAGCAAAGTGGCAAAAGTGCGCTGTGGTGGTGTAGATGAGGTGCGAGGATGTGAGGGTGAAGGAGGTCACGGGTTGTGAAGAGATGGAAATCGGTTCGGGATCGGCGGATGGAGAGAGGGAGGTGAAGTGGAGCTTGGAAGTTGGCGAGAGTGTAAAGAGGAGGTCGTTGGAGAGCATGATGGAGGTTGGCTGAGAGGGGAGAATAGTGTCGATACCGGTTTCGCTCGCGAGGCTGAACAGCCTGCTTTCCCCGTCAAGCGCGAGGATATCTCCTGAAGGCGCCCACAATACCCGTTCGACCCCACTCTCGACTTGCAGCTCTTCATCCTCCTCTCCGCCAAACACATTCACCCTCCCGCCTTCTTCTCCCGCAGCGAGACTGAGCACGGCTACCTTTCCATTCGGCCCGGTAGCGACAAGTCTGACCACCCGTCCATCTGCAATCTTTTTCTGGAGCACGACCTCTGGCTCGGCGACTTTGCGACCCCCTCGCAACTTTGACCCCTTGGGACCCGGCAATCGAGTGTTGAGCTTCCAAGTGAGGACCTCTCCATTGGAAAATACAGCAGACGCTGTATCGTCCCAATCCGATACACTGACATGCACCGGCGTCGAAGGTAGCTGGATCTGGTACGAGCTCATGGGCGGTGGGGTGTTTTGTGTCCTGAACGGGGTCACCAACAGCCTATGGCCATCCACCACCGCCACCGATGCCGTATCGTTCGGCATACCCAACCTCGAGACATACGTGTCCCAAGTGAAGGTGCGGTGTTGAATACTGTCGGCACATAGAATGTAGAGAGATAGAGGGTCTTCCGGGTGCCATTTGAAGGATCGGAATCGAGGGGAGGAGGAAGAGTGGGAGAATAGCTCTTGTTTGAGATAGTAGTGGTAGTTTTTCATTGACCAGAGTTGCACTGTTTGAGGTCAGAGCGCCCTCATAGGTCTCTCGAAATGACTTACAGACATCACGGTCTTCCCTTTCGAGCCACACTGCCAACACTTCCGAGTCTGAACTCCAGCTTAGTCCTCTAACTCTTCCATTGCCCCAGCTCTTTCTGTCTTCCCTCAGCTCGAAACCTCCATGCCTCAGACCATTCCTCTCGATCATGGCCACGTCCCACCTTCCTTCTCTTCCTTCCCCGCCTCCGGAATATCCATATCTGACCAAAGTCGATATGAGATTCCCGCTAGGCCGCCATGACAAGGCAGGTTCGAGACCGGGGAGGGATTCGGAAGTTGCTGAGAGGGTGGGGGCAAAGCCAGATGCGGCGTCGCGAGAGTATATGCGGATCTGTCGGCGGGCGCTGGGCTCTTGACCTGGCTCGGATGGGAAGGGGTCTAGCGACGAGACAGCAAAGAAGGACGCATCTCCCCGGAAAGAGATGGTAGGCAACCCATGATCTGTGCCATGTGCCAACGATGGGGCAACGCCACTAGGCAGCTTGGCCGCAGACTTGCCCAACGATCCATGGAACTGGGTCTGCTTTGACCCCCATCCAACGTTGATAAACTTGTCCTGTCCAAAGTCTTCAGAGCAGAGGGGCTCTTCGTGGATAATGTCGAATGTTCGGGTCATGGCCATGAGGGTATCTTCGCCGGTAATGATGATGATCTGCTCATCGTCCGGAGACCAAGCGGCAGCCTTGATTCCGCTGTCTACGCTGCCAACGACTTCGACCTGCTCTTCGTGAGCACTCTACCATTCGAATCGTATCGGGTACCTACCGGTGCAGGAGCCCCATCGGGACCTTCGAGGGCGAGAATCGCGATATCACCACCGGCCAGGAGGATAATGAGAGTACGGTCATCGGCAAGGTAGTGCAGGGAAAGGGTTTCGCCGATGTAGGAGGGTTTTGAAAAGGGGGCAAGGACAGGGGAGTTGAAAGATGCGATTGCCTATACACTTGTTAGTCATTGCGCAGCTCATGGGCGTATACGCACCTCGACCTCCTGGCCGTCCACTCTGAGGATGTGAATCTCGACACCCTCCTCGTCTATGCGCTCTACTGCGACATAGGCTGCTGCTGTCTCTGGGTCGACGGCGAGGTTTGCTGGAGACCCCTTGAGGCGGGCGATTGCGACTGCGAGGGGTGCGATGTTGCGCATCCTGGCCGGCTGGGAGTCCAAAATTGTTGAAAAACAAAAACAATCGATGATCAGCGTCGGCGATGGCCGCCCAGTTGTTTGTCTGCATACGTAATGCGCTGGGGCACGAGGCTGATGACGCCATGCCTCCACCCGCCTCCACCCTGCGTGACCGCCACTGCCATACACCCTTGTGCATCAATTGTGCATCTATTGTGCTATTGTGCATCGCAGCTGCATTTCTCCCCAGCCCGCCACCATGACACGCAAGAAACACAACAGCGCCAGCCCCCAGCGCCAGAGCAGTGATGAGCCCCCTTCTCCAGAGAGTAGCGACAGTCCTGATCTCGTTCTAGATGGCGGCGGCGTACAAGGAAAGCCCACTCCCACCTTCACTCAATCTTGCTCATGCCCCCACAGACTATGCCATGCTCAAGAAGGACGGCACCGGTCTCGACTCTGAAGCAGTTATCGACGAGGCCGGCAACATCAAGATCTTCCTGACACTCAAGAAGCCTCTTCCTGAGCTACCAGCAGACTATGCTCTGCCAGTGGAAGAGTATGCGCTTGATCTGCGCCCCGAGGCACCACCGGTGGGGCCAATGTACATTGTCGTCTACCTAGTGGGTAGCAGAGGCAAGTTCGCGATATCCGTGGCGCAATGTCGACTGACGGATCCATGTCAGGCGATGTACAGCCGTATCTGTCTCTGGCTCTACGCCTCATCTTATCGCACGGACACCACGTGCGCATCGCCACCCATACCACCTTCAAAGACTTTGTCCTCTCTGCAACCAAGTTTCTCAAAGGCAAGACTGGCAAAGATGGCGAGAGCTTGGAGGAGCATCTTTCGTTCTTTGATGTCGGGGGTGATCCTCATGAGCTCATGGCGTACATGGTGAAGAGTGAGTGTCCTTGCATCATGGAGACACATGTGCTGATAGCTACAAGATCCCGGACTACTGCCAGGCATCGAGTCTCTCACGAATGGTGACATTGGGTCAAAACGCAAAATGACGGGTCGTATGCTCGAAAAGTTCTACGAAGCCACCTACAAGCCCGACCCTCTCACTCAAAAGCCCTTTGCAGCGGACGCTATTCTGAGCAATCCCCCCGCCTTTGCACATATCCATGTGGCGGAGGCTTTGGGCATACCTGTGCACCTAACATTCAGTAAGCAACTCGCTACCGGGAAGCCAAGCACTTACGCAAGGTCTAGCAATGCCGTGGTCGCCGACGACTTCATTCAGCCACCCCTTGGTCAAAGTGCAGCAAAGTAACGCTGAGCCAGGCCTCACAAAATACCTCTCTTATGCTTTTGCTGAGCAAATGTACGTTGTCTTAGCCCAACAGGGGCAAGCTAATATGGCCCAGGACATGGCAAGGTCTCGGAGACGTCATAAACAAATGGCGCCGCAAGCAGCTCAACCTCGATCCTCTCTTGGGACTCTCAGGACCTTCCATCCTGGATCGGCTCAAGGTACCTTGGACGTATTGCTGGAGTGATGCGTTCATTGCAAAGCCAGACGATTGGAAAGAGCACATTGGTATGTCGCATTCCCATCACTGGGACTGAAACTCATGTTGGGTACTAGATGTATCGGGGTTCTACTTTATGCCCAGTGATACCGATTATGAGCCGACTGCTGAGCTCAAACGATTCCTGGCTTCCGGGCCACCTCCCATGTACATAGGGTACGTGATTCTTCTGCACATCATGCACGACTTGCTGACGATCGATGTAGATTTGGTTCAGTAGTGGTTGACGATCCCGAGGCCATGACAAGGACGATATTCGAAGCTGTTGAATCCAACAAGATGAGAGCTATCGTCAGTGCCGGTTGGGGCGGCCTTGGCAACACCAATGTCCCCCGAAGCGTCTATATCATGAAGGGTAGATTGTGCTACACAGACAAACGATCATTGCTGACGCGCAGAGTAGAAAGTGTACCTCATGATTGGCTTTTCGCAGAAGGAAGAGTATCGATGGTGTGCCATCATGGTGGCGCTGGAACATGCGCTATAGGTCTCAAAGAAGGACTGCCCACCATCATCGTACCCTTCTTTGGGGATCAACCGTAAGCTTTGTGTATATATACTCTCCAGTCCCTAACTTGTTTAGCTTCTGGGGCGCTATGGTCCACCAAGCCGGTGCTGGTCCCAGTCCTATCAAGCCCAAGAACTTCAACCTGGAAACTCTTTCCTCGGCCATTCGCTATACCCAATCACAATCTGCCGTCACTGCCGCCCGCGCCATTGCCTCCAAAATTAGCGCCGACGACGGTGAAGCCAAGGGTGTCGAATCTTTCCATAAACACTTGCCCCTCCTTGCCATGCGCTGCGACGTCGCCCAGTCAAAGATTGCTATTTGGTGGTCTGATGAGTTGTTTCTGCGATTGTCGGCGGGCGTCGCAGCGGTGTTGGTGGAGCAAAAGATTACGAGTTGGGAAAAGTTGAGACCGTATAGGTCAAAAGAGTATGATACGAGAAAGGCGATCACGGACCCTGTGAGCGGGGGAGCAACAGCTGTCTTGGAGATTGTGACGGATGCTTCTGAAGGCGTCTTTCAGATCTTTAGCACCAAACCGGTAGGTTCTCCCTCACACTTTACTCTGCACTCGCGCTCATGCAATCAAAGCATATTGGCATAATCAAAACAGCCACCATAGCTCCACGTGCCATCGTCACCGGTGTCCGACTCGTCCATGAGGGCATGGAAAACATGCCCCGCCTCGTCGGGTCCAAATCCCGACCCCAGGCCGATGTGACAGATACCAGCAGCGGGTTCCGTGAGGGCCTTCGAGGTTTTGCATACGGAGTCGGAGATGGCATCAGTAGTCTTTTGACTGAACCGTTCCGGGGCGCAAAGGAGGAAGGGGCCGTGGGGTGGGTCAAGGGGATGGGAAGGAGCTGTGAGTCACGCGCTGAACACGATGGACGTGTCTAACGAGATAATAGATGTCAGTGTAGCTATGCTGCCCGCCGCGGGGGCCCTTGGACTCGTCGCCTTGCCCATGAAAGGGGCCTCTAAATCGCTCCATACCTTCATGTACGGCCGCCAAGAAAAGGTACTCAAACCGCCTCGCCAAGCTATCAGCATCGAGCAAGGCTATAAACTTCAGCCGGCAGAGAAGAAGAGAATCTTAAAGTTGTATAAAGATGCGCTAGAGAGTGACGAGATCAAGGAGCGGCAAGAGGTGATGAAGAAGGTCGGAAAGTAGATGTTCAATGTATGTACTTTTAGCATGCGCAAAATCGACTAGGTTGTGGATGGCAACAAGATATGATAGCGTTGTATGCTAAGGATGTATGGCGGAGGGGGCGGTCCAGAAATCAAGACCATATTGGCCTTAGATGCTTACCTGATTCGACCCTTCAAAAGTTACCAGAGCAATGGAAGAAGCTGGTTCGATGACCTTGACAACTACCAGTCTTTCGCCCGCACAACTGTAGACATGTTGCATATAAACATTTTGGCCATCTATCAACATTGAAAAAGGATGAATGCACAATCTCGTTATAGTCGATCATTATGTGACGCGGTGTCTGCGCGGCTTAGATGGCCGGAAGAACGCCTGGAATAACATCAGCATATACTTTCACAGCGCCCAAAGTACCTACAATGCCTCGCTTTAAAAGCCCACCACGACCCCTCCTGGTCCTCTTCCTCACCTAACAATCCCCACCTCCCCTGCAATACCATTCCCACCAGTTGGTTACCCCCATTGACCATCAGACCATCCCCCTCGACCCATACCACGATCTCATCCGGCTCCTTGTCTTCCTCCTGGTTGCTAGCAGCGGGAGATTTGATAGTGACCAAGCGGTGAAGCTGAGTGGAAAATCGAGGCGCGTCGGAACCGGCAGGGAGAGGTGGCAAGACAGCGACGATGATTCGGCTAGCATAAGGGATGCTTCGGAGGAGGCGAATGTTGGAGTGGGAGCGAGGGGAGAGAAGGTCTTTGACGATAGGAAGCACTGAAATATTTGAGATTACATTTGGCAAAGTGGCGAAGCGACTGACCTTCATTGAGAGTAGGAGCAGAAGGCCTTTTATCGACGACTGGGTAGATAAGATTAGATGGGCTCAGCAAAGCAAGGTAAGACATGCACATACTGGGTTCAACTGTCCATGTAACCGCGTCTTCGTCATCCTCTTCTTGTGGCTCCTCCTGCGCTACCTGTCCCTCTACCTCCGCCGGCTTCTCCGGTCCCATCTCCTCAGGCCCACTGAACTCTCCGCCCCAGACAGCCCAACAGGCTCTGTTCCAGCCATCTTGCTTGGTCACGATGCCTTCCAGCTGGGTGGCTTCTTTCCATTTCTTTGAAGCCGAACGAGCAATGGAAGCGACTTTCTTGAAGGAATTGTGCAAGTTGGCTTCGGGGAAAACGTTGTAGTGGGCAATGTAAGAAAAGTAGGCGGCGGCGATCTCAAGAAAGTCGAGGACAGGTTCTTCATTCCTGGAACAAGCATCAACATCCCTTCCTCAAGTGTAGAATCATGCTTACCATGGACTGTCAAGCTTCATCCTTGCAAGTGTCAAAAGCCTCCGAACACTCCTCTCCGGGTCCCTCAACAACACGCACGCCTCGTCCACTCGCACACCCTTTGGGGTTGGAAGAAGTGTTGGCGCATTATCGTCGACATAACGGCGTTTCCTGAGGGGGTAGAGAGCTGCATTGGGACCGGACCCGGGCCAGTGACGGCCAAGGAAGAGACTTCGAATGCGAAGCTGGTCACGTAACTAGAGGCGGAATCAGAGAGCGCATAGAGAGGTTTGAGGACTTACAATGCCAAACAGGTGCCTGTTCTTCCGGGACTGAATCACGGCGTCACGAGAGAGGATGAATTCTCGGGTGGCATTGATCACTGTTCTACGGCGTTAGCACAAGCCACTTGCAATCCGGCCAAGGCGGGCCTTACGACGCGTGAATGGCGGTATGGAACTACCATGCTATAGTCAGCCGCTAGCCACATCCAAACAAGACAGCAGCTTACACGTCAATTTTTACCGTACTGGTAACAGAGGGCTCCACCCAATCAGAGTTTGGGTCTCCGATCTTCCAGCAGTCCTCAGGATCCAAGCGCGGGGACTGGCTCTTGGTCTTCGGGCCGTTGGGCAGAGTAATGGGAAAGTCTCGTTTGCGCTCTGTCGCAGCCTTGCGCTTCTCCTTTTTGTGTGCCTCACGTTCTTCAAAAGTGTGATTGATACCCGTGTACGGTCTTTCCATAGCCACAAGGGGAACGCCGAGGGCGTCGTGCGGTTGCGAGGGACCTGCGTGCACATGTCAGTATCTTTCGTAGGTCGCTTGTGCGGCATACCTGCTTCGCTGTTGACGAGTCCAGCCTTGGTCCATACTCCCTTGTGCTCGAACTGATCGAACGAGACCACAGTAAGTGCGGAAGGAAGTTTGGGGAAGGGAGGAAAGTTGAGCTCTGGGATGTCGACGTCGAGGTAGTCTTCCTGGTTGTCCTCGTCAAAGCCATCGACGGAGCCGGGGGCGTTGGTGGAGGGAGACTCAATGGAGACGTCCATTGCGGGTGTATGGTGGGTCCGCAAAAGGGAGATACCTGGAAGTTGTTGAGATACACCTCAGACAATGAGAGACCAGCAAGAGACCAGTCGCACTCACCAGCTGGCGGGCATCACCGCTAGTACAGAGACACCGTCCACTACACATTCAATCTGGTTTCTGTTCGATCTTGGTCTGGTCTACCTATGCGAGTATCATCCACTGAGACTCTGCGACATTGCTCGTACTGCTATCGACAACTGTAAGTTGTGAGAGTCTCTCGACTCTGGCAGAATTCTAGACGGAAGACGGTCGTTCTCCTCCCAAATCCTTCTGGGATACCAGACGACAGCACTGACACATACCACAGATATGGGCTGCATATATTAGCGAAGGTCTAGCTGAGTAATGGTCAACGTTCCGGAAGACGACAGCTCGCCACAACAAGCGTGTACAGTTTGTATCGTAATCCGCCGTTCTTTTCGATGTATGTGTCGTCTTTGCGATTGTATCCACCCCCTGTCTTGTAGCCCTTTGGCCGGGGCTACTTGGATTAACATGCTGCATTCTAGCTTTCTTGCGTGTCATTTGATATTTGCTCCATTTCAACTACAGGACACCCTTCTCCCAGTTCTTGCACTGCGAAGCAAGCTCCACAGCAGCAAGACCCCAGTCTTCTCCGTGGTCTACGTATAATTAGTGCATGTCCTTGCAGCCCAAACATCAGCTTACTATGTCCCTTGTCACCCTTTGTTCCAGCACCAGCCCTGACCAACGCCTGCTCATCATTCAGCACAGTCAAGACACCGAATACCACTGGGGTCCCGCTGTCCAGCTGCACTCTCATCAAGCCCTGGGTGACCGCTTCACAGATGTACTCAAAGTGCATCGTAGAACCCTTGATAAGACAGCCGATAGCAATGACAGCGTCAAAGGGTGCGGTGGAGGCGGTACCCGCAGCAGGGGCAGGGGTGGTAGACTGGGGGGTGGTGGGAGAGGAAGAGTCGACGAGCGAGAGGAGGTTGGTGGTGGAAGCGAGCATGGAAGGAGCGGCATTGGCGGATTGGGTCTTGCCGGCTTCGATCAATCTGGTAACCATGAGTCATCAGCTCCTCTTCATTTCGCTCCCCCATGCCATACGGACAGAAGCTTACTTTTTGCAGGCGAAAGGAAGCTCGTAGCTCCCCGGGACACTCTTCACCACAATGTTCTCCTCCTTGACACCTTGGGCTTTGAGCTTGGAGATGGTGCCCTCGAGGAGAGCCTTGATGACGGCGTCATTCCAACGGGCGTGGACGATGGCGATGCGGAAGTTGGAGCCGTCGTAGGAGACGGGGGGAGGGGGGAGACCCTTGATAGTAGCGTCGGCCATGATGGTAGGTGTGTGGGAAAAGTTGTAGTTGTAAGAAGGCAAGGTGATAGAGACCAAATAGAGACAAGGATGCGAAATCCGATCCCGTTGCATCGAGCCGGAGACCACCGCCCTTCGCATCATATCAATTCATGGTATTGCTATGTCGCATCTGTACTCTATCCCCACGCAATCATGGTTGTGAGTACCCGACTCATACTCTGCTGGATCGAGCTGACGACTGTATCCTTCCCTCAGAAATTGCGCGTCTCAATCTCCATCGAGTTGGAAGGTGTCACCAATGTCCGACCTGCCGATGATGATTACGAGTACTTTTTCACTGTACGTCCCGCCAGCTTCGTAGATGCCGAGGAGGGCAGTGCGAGGAACTATCTGGTTGGTCAAAAGATAACTGACACGGCTTTAGGTGATGTGCAGCTCATGCAGAGAAGTACATCCCAAGACAGTCGGCCTCAACCGTAATGCAAGTGCTCTTTCAACAATCAACACCACGCAAGGTGTGATCGAAAGCTTATGGTGAATGCAGGATGAACACGAAATATCAGGGTCCAAGGGAAGTGCCAACTTTGTCTGGAGATGCACAAACTGCAAAGTAAGCCATCCAAGCGCGATACAACGAGCAGCTCACGCCTCGTGCTGTTACAGAAAGAACACTCGGCCTCATTTCTTCCTTCTGCCCCCAAGTCCAAATCTACCGCCCCTCTGCCTTACTCCAACTCCTCCCAGTTTTCTTCATTTGTCACGTTAGATTGTCGCGGGCTCGAGTTTACCGAGTTCCATCTGCGTCGCGGAAAGTGGGTATGTGAAGGGGAAGACAGTGGCAAAGCCTTCGAGATTGATTGGGACGAGCTCGCGCAGGAGGGCGAGGAGAGGTGGGACGATTATGACGAAGATAAAGGGGAAGCTGTCGGGGTGAGTGAGCTGAAGAGCAAGGTTGAGCGGGCCTAAGTCGCCAGCGTCATGTTTGGCCATGTCATGCATTAGATATGTATTTCAGTAACGGTAGCAACAACTCGAAACATATGTACAATCACCTTCCTCTTTGTTCTTTGTGTCTATAATAGGCTTCTACTGCCATTGGGACTTTTCCCAGTTAGGGTCTTGCAAGAACGCACAAAGCACTTTGCTGCCTGTCTGCAGCAACGGATGTCCAGATACAATTTCCAAGAACCTCTGAAGCCCCTCTCTCCTTTGTTCAATCACTTCGTCCGAGAATCTGTTTGTAAAGACCTATCCCTTGACATCAGCCTCACCAGACTTGTGATCTGTCAGAAGGAAAAGGGCGTACTTTGCCAGGTAAAGGCGGTATGTTGACCCTCGTACTTTCCCTTTCCAATATATCCCGGAAAGCTTCAAAATCCGAGTAGCGGCGGCGAACGACAGAGTGGCGCAGTTTGAACGCGGGGATGTTGGTCTGTGACCAAGTGGGTCAGCTCTGGGTGCGCCGAGAGATGGAAGGAAGGCGCACCATGCAGACGATTTCATAGTCGGTATACATCTTACGACCCATACCGTGGGTCATGGCGTTGCGGATCTCGATCTCGAGGAATGACTCGGGGACAGAGTACATCTCGTCAAACTGCGAAGCAAGTGAGTACAGGGGTTTCGACCATGGCAGCTACCGTTCGCTGGCCATGTGGCGATGAGCCGAGGTCCGGGACTCACAGTCTGAGGTCTTCCGGCCATCCTTGCCATCTCTGAAAAGCTGACATTCTGAGACGAATCCGTCCTGACGAACGGCGAATGTGTCACTTGCACTATGATGAATGTCAGCCATTCCCCGTCGGACCTTGGATCATCTGAATGGCATATACCTGGAGGAGATTGGGGAGGGACAGCAATGCCTTGGTGATATCCATAAGGATCCACATAACCCTGAGGTTGCTGGGGTTGTTGCTGCTGCTGATAGTCGATGAATTGGTGGGGTTGCTGAGCTGGCTGATGCTGATAGCCTTGGTATGGCTGCTGCTGCTGCTGGTAGTATGCGTCTGCCCTGGGTGTGAGCAGGTGGCTGGGACTGGGAGAGACTCACCGTCCTGGGAGTGCTCCATGGTGCGCGAGGAAGCAGGCTGATGGAGAATCAAGGACGAATTGAAGGCTGTCCTTATTTCCCCCCCTCGCTAAGTCGCCATGATATAGTTCCGCTGAGATGTTTCCTGGCTGCTATGCACAATCTCTCTTCATCTCTCTCCATCTCATCTCCATCTCATCTGCCTCTGCCTCTCCACCCCTCCCACCGCTGCCCACCCCCCGCGCCACATCGACCCCCCGCGCCCTCGCCGCTTGCAACAAACATCAACATCTCCCGCGCCTCCTTCACTACCAGCCGACACCCTACACTGCCATCGGTCCGCCATCCTACACCCTCGACATGTCCTCCTCCTCAAACCCGAGGGGGAACGCTCCTATACCAGGCAGCTGGACGAACCGCCCAAGTCTCGACGACCCTCGGCCCAGCGCTGGCGCTGCTTCCACCTCCCGAAGGTCCATAGACCAGCGCCAATATAACGCGGGGCTCGATGCGTCAGAGGGATCACGGAGAAATAGCTTGGCGAGCGACTCGATACACAACAGCCCGTCGAGCATGAGCTCGATGCGGCATCTGGCGCGATATGACGACCAGCCCGCGGCCCCTCCTGGGTCCTACCCACAACAACCCGTCGGCCCTTCCATATCGTCTGCAAGACTACCCCGAATAACAACATCCTCAATGGTCGATGTTGACAAGCTGAGAGGAGAGGAAAGCGGGCCAAGGAGCGCCCCGGCGGGACATCAGGCTCGAGCAGCGAATGGGCAGGGGTCGGCGCCGATACGATCCAGTTCGTCGCCTGATCCATGGGCCAACAAACCGCGCGACAGCTCATCAACAATCTCGCCGGTAGATGCTCGTCCCAATCTTGCTGGAGGCGTCCCAGGCGGAGGGGTGACTCGGCAACAGGGTAGTCTACTGCCCTATGCTCCTTCAACAGATCGGCGCGCCAGTCCTGCTTCTGCCGGACGCCCTCTACCCCCTCGACATGGCTCCGACCGCTCAACCCATTCTCATTCCTCTGCTGCTGCAAACGCCGAGACGACCACGCCAAGCGGCGAGCCGTTACTGCAGTGGCCACAGCCGCGTACGACGCGTCGAGAAGGAGGCTCAACGAGCTGTGGCCAGTGTGGGCAAGTGGTCCATGGGCAGTTTGTGAGGGCGATGGGAAAGGTGTACCATTTGAATTGTTTCCGATGCAAGGTGAGTTGCTTCCATGGATGCGTCTTTTCAGGCGATGTCTGTGCGTCGACGCGGAAAGGGCGTGTGCTGATTCTTCCTCTTTTCCCAAAACAGGACTGTAACAAGGTCGTCGCGCAAAAGTTCTTTCCGGTCGAGGACGGCGACGGCATGTACCCATTGTGCGAGCGGGACTACTTTGCCCGTCTGGATCTCATCTGTACAAAGTGCGATCAGGCGCTGAGGGCGAGCTATATAACCGCATGCGGTGAGTCCAACCTTCGATCCCCACGAGCCCTGGTCATCTAGTCCGAATTCCCATGCGGAGCTGATGCGTCTGTGTTCAAAGGCGCCAAGTACCACGTTGAGCACTTTACGTGCCACGAATGTGACGTGTTGTTTGGCCCGAACGACTCTTATTATGAACATGCTGGCAGAGTCTGTGAGTGGCAACTACCTCAAACCTTGCTAGGGCAATGTACAGATGGCTGATCGACCGATGTCGCTGTATAGACTGCCATTACCACTACTCTACGCAGTTTGCCGTCAAATGTGTCGGATGCGAGACGGCTATTCTCAAGCAGTTTGTTGAGATGAACAGGAACGGAAGGAATGAGTGTTGGCATCCGGAATGTTACATGATCTCCAAGGTCAGTTCCAGCAGTGCCCGTTTGTCCACACAGTGCTAAAGGAGCGTGCAGTTTTGGAATGTCCGCCTCGCGTCCAAGACGTTCAACACACCCGCAGCGTCTGCAGTGGCCTCGACGGTATCCCTCCTTGAAATGGCCTCCATCACAGCACCCGGTGCCCCCGTCCTCTCTACCGACCCCGCTTCTCCCCTGCCTCATCAAACCCCCAAGCAATCCGAGTTCAGCCTGTCTCCCCAGGAATTGAAGGAAAGGCAAGATGCGATGGAGCAAAAGGTGCAGCAGATCTGGCACGTTCTCTCGGGATACGAAGAAAGCTCTGCAGCCTTGATTGGCGATATGCTGAGGGCAGTGAATGAGAAGAATCTGCTCGATATCATCTTGTTGGCTGAGAGGTTCATCTTGCATGTGGAGACACTCTTCGCGGTCATTGATGATATCGAGGCGCAGTTTGCTGTGACGAGAGCCAAGGGTGAGTGTCTCCGCAAGGCGTGGTGCTATCAGGAGCCGTGATCAGCTGCACAGCCGCTGACGTTTTTCTCAGGCATGCCTCATGCACGGGAGGCCAAGCAACTCTGTAGAAAGCTTGTCAATCTCTTCTCCAACATGTCTCAGCTTTCGCCATCTTCATCAGCACCATCACCTTCCAGCGAGGAGCTGTTTCAGCTCATCACACAGCTCGCCCATTACCTCAAGATACTGATCAGAATAGCCTTGACGGGTTCTATCAAATTGGAGAGGGACTTTGGGAACAAGAAGGCAATGGCCAATTGTTTAGCGAGGCTGAACCTGCTGGCCATGGACGGGGGTGATCCTAGCGTGAAAAAGCGGGGCGATTGGCCCGAGATCAACCCCAATGCCATTGGTCAGATGACTCCGGCCCTGGACGATGAAAGTGGGGACGAGGAACAGCTGAGGAGGAGTATGGAGGCCTTGACACGACGACCGGAGGGTTTTATTCCTAGCACGAGGGGTGTTGCTTATGGCTATCGCAGTCTGGCTGTGAGTATACTTCCTGTGCCTGAAATTGAGCTCATGTATCATAGCCCGAGTACACTGGCGAGACGACTCTACGCGGACCCCAAGGCGAAGACTTTATCCCTCCCGAGGGCTGTGCCCATTGTCGTGCTCCGATAGAGGAAGACTGTGTACGGCTCGGTATGTTTTTGCGGTGGCATTCATCCTGTGTTGCCTGTACGACTTGTGGCGATACTGCTCTGCAGACTATCACCATTCGAGACGACGCCACCGACGACGGCTCTGCACATTCCCATACCGACAGTAATAACGGTATCGTCGCTCGAGCGACTGCATCTATCGAGAAACGCGCACCACCCCGGGTCGATTACTTTTGGTATGCTCCCAAGCACTTTCCTGGTGCTACTCAATCACCTAGTCAGATGTGGTGTACTCCGCACAAAAAGGGCGAGGGCGAATGCTGGCAAGGGTTTGAAGGTGTCTCGCGGCTGGAGCAGTATGCGTTCTTACTGCACATTGCTCTGCGGCGGTTATACGTCCATTTCCGCGTGCACCATAACCTCAACAGTGGTCAGTGGAAACAGAGTTTGAATGGCAAGGCAAGAGCTGACCAAGCTTCCACAGTTCGCGATCATGGCATGTCTGACCGCGCGGAATCCGAAGTCAAACGTATGAAGTCTGTCACTCTCGACCGCAAACTCTCTTCGACCGCCCGTCTCCCACAGAGGTCAATGGTTGTCGAGTCCCCCGCCGGACGTATGGCCGACGAGAATGGTCAGGTCGTTTCTGCTCGAGTCGAAGGTGATTCGCCAACTCCCCCGGCACCAACGCCAAAGGAGAAGGGTGCAGCGGGCAAGTTTGGCATAGAGGCCCAGCCGGTGGTGGTTACGCCCAACAATGTTGACGTCCTGCGGCCGCCCTTTGCGCGAAACAATACGAATGTCATGATTGTCAAGGAGAACAGTGGAGAAGGGGCTTCGTCTCCTCCACAAGCGATGTTGGGTATGCGCAAAGTCAGTGCGCCAAAGGATGATGATGCCATCACACTGGCGGACATCTCCATGCTGGCAGGTGCAGGCAAAGACCGGCAGCCTGACAGTCGCCCTCTCATGTCAAGTCTCACCAACGTCCAATCTGTCATTATCCGTCACTTCGCCCTTCTCCAGCTCCAAAAGACTGCCCTGGCTCCGCTCTTTGACCTGGATGACATGCTCGAGCTGCTGGATGGCCGCAAAGGGCAATGGTGGAACAAGATTTTCAAAGGGAATGCGAAAAAGGACACCAAGAAGAAGGGGCTGTTCGGAGTGCCAATCGAGGTGCTCGTGGAGAGAACGGGGTCGGATAGTAGTCTTGGCGCACCAAACTCTCAGGTGAGGGTGCCAGAATTCATCGAGGACATAATTTCAACCATGCGGCAGATGGGTAAGTGCATGAATATAGAAAAAGCGACATGCTGATCGTCTTGCAGATATGGCTGTTGAGGGTGTATTCCGAAAGAATGGCAACATTCGTAAACTCCAAGCCTTGTCGGAAGCTTTGGACAAGGACTCTACTGCCGTCAACCTGTCGGAAGAGAACGTGATCCAGCTTGCTGCGTTGCTAAAGAGGTTCTTGCGAGAGATGCCGGAGCCCCTCTTGACATTCCGGTTGCACAAGTTATTCTGTGCTGCTGCTTGTAAGTGTCTATGAGCCCTTTGAGTGTCATTCTGACGTCTTTCTAGCTCTACCAAAGTCCGACGAACGGACCCGATGCTTCCACCTTCTCGTGACTCTTTTGCCACGCTACAACCGAGACACCGTGGAAGTCCTGTTCACTTTTCTCAAATGGGTTTCCTCGTTCTCCTACAGGGACGAAGAGACTGGTTCACGTATGGACCTTGGCAACCTGGCAACTGTCATCTGCCCTTCCATTCTGTATGCCAAGGGCTCGAACGTGGTCAAAGATGATTCCTTTACTGCTATCGGAGCTGTGCAGGAATTGTTGGAGAACCAAGACGAGTTCTACCGCGTGCCAGGAGAATTGCTGTTCGTGATTCAAGAGGGCATCTGGAAGATCTTTGCAAAAGATCTGGACCTCCCACCCAAGGAGATCCACAGACACTGCAGCAAGTACACTCAAGCCCGAAGCGCTGCCCAACCCCAATCTCAACGGCTAGGCATTCCCATGTCCACCTCTTCGAGTCAGGTGTCTAACCAAGCAACGAATTCTCGATCTGTCGAGCCTTCGCGAATGAGCTTGGTACTGAATGCTTCTGGCTCTGACCCTACTGTCAACAACGTGTTTCGACCACCACCCGTCCCTCTGAGTGGCTCTCGGCCCACAAGCTGGATTCAGCATCAGCAATCACACTCCCAGCAGTCCCTCCAGTCTCTGCCTGGGCAACGATTCCCCTCTCCCTCTCCAACCCATGCTGGCCCTGGCCCCATGTGGGGTCGCCCACCTGCGGCGCCTTTCCAAGGGCCTGCCGGCAGCAGCGGTTCACGTGGGTCATCTCGCGGGTCTGCTCCCAGCAGTCCGGCACCTGGCGATGGGGAGAGGCGGAGCTTCCAAATGGATCGCGAGAGGAGTTGGACACCGACGCAGAGCGAGGGTCACGAACCGCATTTGCCGCCGCAGGCGTATAGCGGATCAGGGCTGGGCCTCGTGCCCGGCCAGGCAGCGCCGCCGGCAGTTGTCTCACGACACCCTTACGCGCAAGGAGGAGCTGGCCATGCTCATTACAGATAGCCCAGGTGGGCACTGAGGAGCGATCAATGTAATGACGGACATTTTCAAAGTGTATAGCAGCTCAACGGACAATAATATTCCCACCCATATACCCCCTTATTTTGATACTTTTAACGATTCACGTCCTTTCGCACTTTCGTCTGTCTTTCCATAAGAGTCATCTCTACAAGTCTCTGAAAATTCTCTTGACTTGCCCTTTGAGTGCAGTCGCTGCCGATGCGCTTCATTTACATAGCATCTTTCTGCCTTTCTTTTGTTCATCGTGTCTCTTTCTTTCTCTTTCCATATCATACTTTTTCTTGCTTATACTCACCGGGAACGAACGTCATGCATATTGATCATGGGCGTACAGGTATACAACATATGTACAATTGAGGCCATTATTGCCCAGCAGAAGTGAATGATGTCGCAGCTATGATCCATATCACCCTTTCGCCTTCGTCCTGTTCGTCTGCCCACCCGAGCCCTTCTCTCAAGACACAATCGTCCAGCGCCACGTCTACCCGCACATCTGACCACCTGGTCTGAGTCTTGACCAGGACCCAACCCAGCTTGCCGCCTGTCGTCGCTGCGATGGCCAACAAGGTTGATTGATCGGTGTCTAGCGACCGTGGGATGGTGCGGACATAGGTGGTAGACGGCGTTGGGTGGTGTAGGGTATATCCTGCTTGCAGGGGATGAAGTAGCTTGAGAGTGCGCAGTATATCTTGGGAAGTGATACGCCCCGTGTTCTCGGGGGAGTCTTTGTAGCTGCTGGCGGACAAGGGGAGGGACGAGAGACCACCTGAGCGAAGGTGCTCGATACGGCGTATGAGGTCTGACATCTCAATGATCCCTCCATTGATGGTCCTCGTAGACACACAGACGTCTACCACTTGCACAGCAAGCTCATACTCCCACTCTCCGATGCCGAGCACTTCAGTCCACCACCCTTTGCCGGCTGCGCTCCCGCCTCCCCCGCTCGCAGGGCCAACGGCTAGGGGGTCCACTCCGATAGCCGCGCACATCTTCTGAAACTGGTGCCGGAACGCGGGGTCCTTGCGGATATCATCGCGGTGTTGGGACGCAAAGGCGACGAGCTGGGTGCGAAACGACTCGAGGGAGGATTGGAGGGAGGCGAGCTGGGAGGAGGTGAGGGAGGATGAGAGGGAGGAGTAGGAGATCTGGGTGTTTGTGTGGCGGGAGAGCGCTGCGATGCCTGCTCCCTTGCGCATGGTGGCTGGGTGGGCGATGGAGATGATAGAGAAGGATGGCGCGTCTGTTGATTTTCTATTTCTCTGTACACGATGCCCCCCTCGCTCTCCGCCCCCATGGCCAGGTGTATCCCCCGCTCAGCACGCTGTGTCTCCTCAAACACCCCCGGGGGCGACGCAGACCCAGCCATCCTCCTCCGCCAAGTCATGCGCAATGTCGCCCAGGTCAGTCTCTCCAGCGCGTACGACCCGTGACTCACACTCCCAAAGCCGGTAGCTGTGGCAGTCGCTTCTGTCCCTCCTTCCTCGCCACTTGCCGGCGTAGCAGCGTACCACGGAACCACCCTCACGTCCTTCACCTCCCTCACCCTCCACCCTCGACCACTCGTCGCCTTCTCGTTGAGATTGCCATCCCGTATGGCGGATTGCCTGCGTCCATGGAGGACAGGAGGCGGTAGAGACCCAGGGCTGCCGGAATATGAGAAAGCGGGGTCAGTGGGAGCTGCAAGTGGCGATAGTGGTCTCCGGTTACCGCCCAAAAGCGATCTACCATGGCCTCTATCCAAACTGCCAATGCCAGAAGATCCTCCCATATGGGCTCAGTCTCTCTGCTCCCAGATCCCTAATCCAACTTCGCCTCCATCAAATCCGTCTTCGCTACCGCCATCGTCCAAGATGGTGGGGTCTGCAAAACCCGTACCCCCGACACCCCTCACCATCTCTCTCCTCTCGACCTCCAACTCTGCCATCGCCGACGCCCTCGCACAACCACGAACAGACCACTCCTCTATCTTTTCTCTCCCAGATACCTGGGTATCTCCCTCTTCCTCTTCCCCTGCGCACCCACCATCGTTGAAAGGGTGTGTCGGTAGTTTGCAGTGCCAGGTGGTAGGGAGTGTGATGTTGAGAGACCTCTGCGAACCCGGGGAGGTGGATGGGGCGGGCAGTGAAATGTTCATCTGTAGGGTTGTGGGGGTGGAGATGGACAGCGAGGTGGACGAGGACAGCTTGCTGCCTCTGTTACATTGGCGGAGAAAGTATGCTGGAGTAGAAGAGCTTGAATGAAACACGACGTTCCTACGACCAGACATGCATGGTATTTTTACAGTGGCGAGAGCAAGAAGTACAACTAAAATCATCTCCAGAAATCATAGCCATTCAGTTTCGTCAAATGTCGTAGATTCAACGCCGGCCACGGGCGCAAAAGATCACAATAAAGATATCCCTTCAGCCCCTCACGATTCTTCCACACTCTATACCCCAAAACAGCCAGGCAACAGTCACCAGTAACAAACCTCCTACTCTCCAGCCCACCTCTCTTGCCACGCTATCCCAGTCCCACCTCCTTCCCCACAAAAACTGCTCCCACCAGCTCAGGTGAGCTGGGGGCGGACCCATTGGCATGGTGACAGAGGGCGCACGATGATGCTGTTTAGACCCCCGACGCGAAGATGGATGTATGTAGGAGCTGGGTGAGTCATTCGGGTGAATGCCCAAACCCAATGCGGTGGTGGAAGCGAGCGGCGACAGGTCGGAGGGAACGACGTTGGACGTGACCCACATCTGCACCGTCCGGGACCATCCGGTAGTCACGCCGATGACGACCCAAGCCAAAAGCGGCCTAGAGTTTCTCGCTCCAAGGACCCATAGAGTGAGGTAGGTCATCGGCCAGCACAGACATTGGAGGGAGGTCAGGCGGGTAATTGTCGATGGTAGAGAGTAGTACGATAACCATCGGTGGGTCAGACCGGTGGTTAGGCAGAAACAAAAGTAGCCTGTGCAATATGCCTAGAGAGATGTCAGCTCCGCACTCCATTATTTGATCGGAAACATACCCATGCAATACAAAGCAATATGTCTCCCCTGTTTACATCGATCCATTTCCCAATCATCAAGTCACCTCCATTGACCAGCCTCTCCAACGCCTCCTTACTCAGGTCGATCCCATAAGGCCAGACATCCACATAAAGCCCGCCTGTCACAAACGCCTGCAGTAGCACACCTATACTCCACGCGGCAGGAAATACGGCAAGTAGACGTAGATAGAACAGGGAAGAGCGTTGGAGAAATTGGTCAAAAGACGGGGGCATTGGGGTCGATTGGCTCTTTGGAGTGGCATCGGGGGCGTCGTGAGCGCCGGATGAGCCCAAGGCCGAGTTGAGAGGTGAAAATGACCGGCTGCTGGGTAGAGAGATACTCTCTGTAGACGTGGTTGTCGGAGCCGATGAAGGAGAATCGAATGATAGCCCGAGGACATCACTGCCAGTCGATGAACTCCTTCTCAAAAACCTCACTCCGCCATCCTGCCCCAGCCGCTGCCTCAGCTCGCCCCCTGGCAAGGCCCGTCTTTTCGACACAAAAGACAAGCTTCCGTCAGACTCTGAGTCACCATCTCCCTCCTCACTCGAGATATCTCTATCCGCAGAGGCTACCACAGGGAGAGCCTCTAACTTGAGAGACCTCGGCGAGAGGGACGGCTCTACGAGATTTTTCTTGGAGGTGATGGGCGACATGGTGGGAATTGCCAGGGGAGTCGGACGTGGAGATGGACTCTTCCGCATAGAGGTCAACGACGCGTGTGAGCGGGAGTGGGGTGACCTGGAGGGAGCTGCCGGAAGCCATGGCTCGACTATTTGGCTCGATGAGACAATGATAGGTTTGGGTGCGTCGGGCACAGATTTTGTCCGTCCCAAGCTTGGTCTTCGTTTACCCTGGTCCACGTCCTGTTTCGGTTGATCTTGTAATGGTTGTTGCCGTTGTCCCCTGCCGACTTCGCCCACCCAGCCTTCGACCTCTTTCCTTCCCATTCTCTCCCTGCCTTCTCTCTCCCGCCCGCGAAGGGCTGTCAAATCAGGCTGGCTCATTGAGCCTTTGCTGATCGCTCTCCCTTCTTTCCTTCCTTCCCTTTCCAATTGTCCGATAGAAACGCTCATGACCCTCTCTGTCCGGGCCAGACCTGACGACGAGGGCGCTGCAAAAGGAGCAGCTGGTCCACCTCCAGGCCGCACGGTCGCATCTGAATCAAACCCCTCTTCCGACATGTACCCTTCTTTTCCCCCTATACTAGCATGTCTGGAATGCAATCTCGTCCTTGTTCGGGGCTTGAGCTGGGGCTGCCGCGGTGGGCCATTGTATGGCAGCTGTGTCTGCGGCAATGGTTGCGAATATGCGGAATAAGGGTGTTGCGGAATGTGTTGTTGGAGGGGCGCCTGTCCATGGAGCTGTGGGTCAGGATGCTCTCGCATACTTGTGTAAAGGCCGGGGATGCTTGGAAGAGGAAAGGCGTGAAAATCGCCCTCGTATGGTCGTTGGGATTTTATAGAGCCTACCGGCTGGGACGGCGACGTTCTTGACCTGATGGGCCCGCCACCAGCGGCCCTGGGGTCTATTGGGATGGCCTGTCCGCCGGGTGGCCATGGGGAGGACGGGGGCGCTGAGCTGGAGGAGGCTGGGTTCGGCGGCGGCATGGGACATTTGTAGGGGCGAATAGAAACAAGGGGAAAGCAAGAGATCATGACCTCCGCTCCCTCGGCCCCCGGAGATGCCTCCACTTGGCCTCCATCTCTCCTATCATTCGGTCATTCCTATCATTCCTATTATTATTGTGTAGACAGTCCATTCGCCTCCGAGCCAATACATGTACAACCTATCCCAGTTTCATACTGCCTCCCCAGCCTCTGCACATGTCAATCCCTGTCTCTCCTCTCGCTCGCCTTCCTCCTGTCTATCCTGCTCTTCCTGCGCCCGTTTCACAGCCTGTTTTGCAAAGTACGTGAGGTAGAAGAAGAGCGTAACGCAGAGCACAATCCCCACCCACGTCGTCCACGTCTTGGCGGCAGCAGTCTCGCCGTCCTGCGCCGGCAGGGCATCTTCACCCGAGCCTTCAGGGCCCTCGACGTTTTCCCGCCCCTCTCCACCTTCTGCTTGGCTGTGCCCGTAACTCTTGGAAAGATCGTGGATACCGCTTCCAATCCAGGTATGGAGGACGAGCTTGAACAGCGCCAGCGCTGTACAACCCGTGTATGTCTGCAAAGTCAGGGTGGGAGAGGAGGCGAGGATGACGTTGAGCAGGTTGTAAGGGTACGGTGCGATACGAATCAAGAGGAGCAAGTGGGGGTGCGTCGGGAGCACATGGAGGAGGGACATGGATATGGACGATCCCGCCAAGCTTGAAAGCGTCAGCACATTGCCAGCATGCACATCGAGTACGCGCACCTTTTGACGATGGTATCTTTCAGAGTCTTCCGAGACACTAGAAAGACAAAGACTGCTCCAGACAGACTGGCCACATAGCTAACGCAGAATCCTCTCCAGACTCCGAACGTATAGCCGCTCAACACTATCAATGTCGAGTACAACGGCAAGGGTGGTATTGTCGTAATAAATATCATGATGTAGAATGTGAGTGGGCCAAGTATTCCTCGATTGGCAAGATAGTGAGAGAGGTCGTCGAGAGCTGACACATGTCAGCTACCGGCCACATGTCTCTCATGCGCCAACTCACCTCTAAATAATTGGCCCCTCCAGAATGCTATAGCCATAAAGAAGCCGATGGTAGTAGCCACCCATCCCCACATCATTGCTTTGCCCAGCCCTCCCCCGCCATCTTGCCCGTCCGCGTCGCCTCGGCCATGGCTGCTAGAGCACAAGCTCGCCCTCCACCCTTCCACAAAGTCAACCACAAACGCTGGGAGCTTTTCGAGTATCGCGGAGAGGGCCCCCGTCGTTTGCGAGCCATCTGTGGGAAGTTGCGAAAAGGGTATGAATTGTTGATGCGGATAAGGATATGCCCCATGCTCATTCCGGTCCGGGGGGTAATAGACCACGGAGCTCTCTTTGCTTCCATATCTCTCTTCTTGCCCCGCTCTGCTTTCCGGCGTATGATAGGCTGTATGACTTGCCGACGTACCCCCCAAGGACGAGTGATAGCTCGTACTAGCATGAATGAAAGCCGGCCGATGGCTCATACTCGTCCTCGGTGTCGGTCCGCCCCCGACGCTACGTCCTGCGACAGGCGACGGCGTGTTCTCCCTTGATATAGACAGGGACGGCCGAACACTGGTCGACGAGGAGGAGGGGTGGAAAGACATGACGGGGCCGGTGTCGGTGCCCGTTGTTGTAGCGGACACGGAGCGGGGCGTGGGTGGCCGTGGCGTGGTGAGGCGGGGTGGGGGGTGCATGCTGTGTGGTGCAGGGGGGAAGAGTTGCGAAGGGGAGATGGGGAATGGGGTATGGATAGGAGATGAGAAGACGGTGGTGAATGTGATGGACAGAGAACGCGCCCGGCAGGATGCTTGTGAGCGGAAGGTCGGTCCATGGCAGTCAGTGTCTCCCTGCCTCTCAATCTCTGCTGTCTCCTTCAGAGCCCACCCCTGCACCCGCCCAACACCCCCCATGTCTACCGGCGACTGCCAGCATAGCTACGCAAAACATAGTGTACGAGGGCGCAATAACGGATGTCAGAGGAGTTTTCGGTCTATGTGAATCCTTGCATGGTGTTCTCGGCGATACGATACAGGCTCACTATGGGATGCGATTCTTGCAACGAGAAGGAGAGTCAGAAGTCATGCCTTGCCCGAGATGCTGCATTAACCATCATACCATAACGGTTGGGCTTTTGACAACACGTTCGAACCCTATCGGATCTAATACGCCATGCCCCGGCTCACACTCTCTCATAGACATACAAGTAGGCCAGACCTCTCAGCTCCTGCCCACCATCTGGCCCAGCCCTAACCACCTTTTCATCGTTGAACAACACCCACTCGTCCTCGGCCTCCGCATGACCCTCAATCCCGGCTTGCGGCTGTCTGATGGTAGCAACGTAATGGCCCGAGTGGATGGAAGGACCCTTGTGGGAGATGAAGGCTTTGAGGCGGTACCTGGCTGGGAGAGTGGCAGAACCCGAGACGCGTTCCTCTTTCGTAGACTCTTCCACAGCGACAGCAGCAGAGGCTTCCTCTCCGGGATCATCAGGGTTGGAGAACAGCCATTCGATAGCCCGTTCAGGGTTTCCGCCCTATGCGAGATCAGCAAAAGTCGTAAATCCTGGCAGGTCACCTACAGATTCCCGAAGCGCCTTACGAGCTTGGTTATGGTTGAAGCCCATGTCCACAATCATCGCAATTTGCTCATCAGATGGCCCTTCTTGACTAGCGCTGAGTGACGAAGTGACCTCGATGGGAGCGTCAATATCTACAGTTTGTCAGTACCGTCATGAGCTTCATCTCACAAAAGTGACGCACCAGGATCCTCCATATGTTCAAAAAGCCATCCCATGGCCACCTCCGCATCACTATTACCGGTCGCCAGCAACGCCTTTTGACACCTGACAGTAGGGAAGCCCATGGCCTCGAGCTGCGCCATAGCCGTTGCATTAAATTCTGGCACACCCCCATTGCCCCCCGATGAAGGAGCAGACATATCCAGCGCTTCTTCACCCGCTTGAAGGCCCTGAGAGAGTAGATGTTCAAGGGTGAGGTCGGAAGGGACGTTGACAGGGATCTCGAGTTTGGTAGGGAGCCAGTTGACGAGCTGGAACTTTCTCATGTGAAGAACCAGAAGGTCGGGGAAGGTCTTGAACTTGGAAGACCTCGATAGTGGGTCAGTCTTGCCCCATGTATGAAAAAGACGACTCACTTGTAGGCGGTAGTTTTCTCCTTGCAGTTTGAGCACTCATACCCCGGAACTTCCTCCACCGCGCACAGCCCTTCCAAGCATTTGGTAAGCTCCACCCTCTTGAACAACTTCTTCCCGTCTTCACCCACCCCTTCCTCTACAGCCTCCACAGGCAAACTCGCCAAGTCCGCCGGCTCAGTCTGCAATCCAACCCTCTTGCACTTTCCGCACTCCAGCCTCTGCTCCATTGCGAACGACAAGATCCTCGTGGGGTCAATATCTTGGAGGCCTTGGCGTTTGCTCTCTTCACGCAGCTTGGTGATGAGATACTGCAAGAACTCTTCACTGTCCTGTTGGCGCATGGTGGAAAATTCTTCATGGCCCTTCCCCACAAGTGCTTTGAATTGCGCAGGACGGACGCCTTCTTGGAACTTGGGCGCTTCCTGATTGACATCTTCTAAACCAGTGGAGGGAGGAGGAGCACTGGCAACATGCGAGTATCGACCAGACAGCAGACCATCGCCCAATTTGAGCATCTGGCACTCAAGGCATGTCGCAGGGAGTGGATTGGGACACTCTTTAAAGTGCTTGAACCGCTCCTGCTTTGCAAACCTCTCTCTGAAATCAGGCAGAGCAAAGAGCGTTTGCAACACCGACGCCATATAGCAACTGTTGCCCAGATTCTTGAGCCCAGTCAGGCCTTGTCCAAAGACGGGCTCGAGCGCATGCCCGTCGGCGTCAGTCATCGAGAAGTCAAACTTGAGATTGTGCTCGAGCTGCAGCTCGGTCATCGACTTTTCAGTCTTGGACTGGGAGAGGATGGGGATACCGAAAGTGGCGAGATGGGTCGAGAGGAGAGGATCGGTCTTGGCGTCATCGCAAGCGTAGCAGTAGATGTCTGTATGTCGTTATTAGCTCTGGGCTCAAGAACAGCTGGTCGACCTACCGGCATTGCCTTCTGGCGTAATGGTACCAAGCTTGACACCCAGCATATGTCCAGTCTCTTTAAAATGCTTGAGAGCATGGCCATTGCCGCCCACGCCGCCAAACTGTTGTCGGCCACAGTTTGCCAAACCGCAAGTGAGACAGAGCCAGAGATTGGCACCGAGATCGCAGGAAGTGCAGTGCTTGGGTACTGGAGTGGATTTAGCTTGATACTTGGACAGGACACGAGCGCATACCTTCTCCGGGAGCAACGAGAGACTCTTGTTGCAGCAACAGCGTGTGTTCACAAGCGACAATCTCCTCCTCCCATGCCTTTACCTCGCTCTGCTGGGCCGAAGAGAGTGCTTTCAAGACGCCGCGGACAAGGTCCTCAGCCTTGGAGTTTTCGGTCTCGACGGCTTGTCCGCCAGACGAGGGAGAACAGGCAAAGCAGTAGAGTGAGGTTGAGTAAGAAAACAATTCCTCATCAGAAGGAGCCGAGATGGCGAGCTTTTTCAATGGCGGCTCGTTCGAGTCCTACCTCCGATTAGCCTTCACCTCTCATCAACTTGTGGAGGAGCAACATACCCGTTTCTTCAATTCCCTTCTCGTCCGCTTGACAACGACACCAAGCTCATGTCCCGTCTTCTTGTAATGAAGCTGTGCGTGCGCTCGGCCTTGGGCAAAACAACCGCCATTGAAGCAGGCGAGGCAGACAAGAACGCCTTCCGAGCTGTCCTGAGTAGCCATGCGTGAGTCACCATACTGTACGGCAAGAATGGAATCGAAACATACTTGACCGTCAAAGCACAGAGTACACTCCTCTCTTCGACTCTGTCAGCGGACCTCGTGAGCAGTGGTCTTTGCAACACACCTGTGGACTTGCTGAGAGGGGGAAGGGGGCTTCAGGTTTTCTATAGCCGTATCGAGGTGGGCACAGGGCATGGTGGTATATGTGGTAGTTGAAAGTGAGAGAAGGCGGAATGATGTAATGGCTGATAAGAAACAATTGATTCCGCTAGCCCTACAGAAGGTCCCGCTAATGGCCAAAGACTAATGAGTAATGAGTAATGAGGCTGTCCGTCGGCCTGCTGCTCTTCGCACTGGGTTCACTTTTTCAGCCTGCATTTGCCTCCATACTGCCGCCAACATGTCCACCCCTGTAGAAATCCCAGTCGACCTTGTGGGTCAATCCAGCCTATACAATGTCCCCGACCCCATCCTCAGACGGTATGTCCACTGAGCTCTTCATCGCCCTGACTGACTCATCAAACTGATCTTGTATGACAGTCTGAGATTAGAGGACCAGCATGGCCAAACAATCAAGGATCTTGACAAGTACTTTGCTGAGAAGGAAGTCCTTGTGTTCTACGCTGGGGCAGTGTATGGAGAAAGTTGGTTTCTTGCCTCATCCTTGCGACGCGTGCTAATCGTGCGACAGTCAATTTGAGGCCTTTCCACAGAGTATGGATGCACACAGTCCCAGAAGCGGTATGCTGACTTGCCGGTAGGACCTGACCACATTCGCTCAGCAGTACAAGTCGGCTGCCGTGATCTATGTGTCTGCCGACACGGACCCCCTCGCTCCCGCAAGCGTTCTGCAAGGCAAACCATGGTTGCGCATGATCTTCAACGACGACTCGGATTTTGCACTTGTCCGCAAAGAGAAGGATGGTGGTCCACCAAGGATACAAGAGGTTGCCCGAGGGGAAAACTTTATCCAGGCTGGGGAGATGGAGTTGGGAATGGAAAAGGTCGAGTTGGGCGTGGAAGAGTATCAGAATGAGTATGTGAGGCCGCTCTCGAGAGCGGGGCTCACAAGTATCATGGATGTATTTGCTACACCCAGTGTCGCTGTGTAGTAGGTTTCGTTCTCCAGAGGAGTGATAATTGACCTTTAGCTGATTAATGTCAGCCACCTGGAATCACATCAATTTGTGGCCAAGAATGTCAAGCCGGCAGCATTCAAGCCTACCACGATCGATAAGACCTACGATACGTGGCGCAAGGGCGGAGAGCCTTCGTTGCGAGTGATTGGTGGGTCGCAAAAACATGCTGAAGTCGAGTACTGACTGACAAGGTGTAGATGTGGTGAGGACCCTCAAGCTTCCTCTTATCGGACTGCTCTTGGCTGTCATCTATCGCCTGCTAATCCTCTTTGGTGGTGGTGAGTTTTTCCTTTTCAGATTCAATCGCGCTAATCATGCAGATGAATACCATGTCATCCCGAGATGGCTCGATGGCGTATCTTGGAACCAAGGTGGACGAGGTCTCAGCTCTGACGCTCTTCACTAGCTGCCATAGATTTCATGTATCATACACCTACGTCACATCTATTGGCCACTCAATCAAGCATAACGGTGCATATTCGTTGAAAGGGACTTCGTACAGTAGCGAGACACATAAGGTCGTTGATGGTGTCGGATAGGGCATTTACTACGCATAGTCAGCATCATGCACGACTTGCACGCATGATTACTCACCAAGCTCTCCATCTGAGAAACGACCTCGTCGAGCTCGCGCTTGGACTGCTGGTACTTTTCGACCGCCTCGCCATGCTTCCTCTCCCAGTCGTCCCTCTCTTGCTCGAGGCGCTGCACCTGGCGCTCAAAGTGCTCGGCCTTCACGTCAACCTGTCTCAGCCTGCTCTCTGTCAGCATTTCCGTCTCATGCCGGGGGGGGGGCAAAAAGCATACTTCTCAGTCGTCTCCTTCAAGTCCTTCTCAGCCTTGTCCAACTCCTCTTCCAGAAGTTGCACCTTTCTCGCCAGGTTCTCCCCGGTAGTCCTATGCGTCTCGCCCTCATCACTGGCCGACTTGAGCTCTTTGACCTTGTTCTCATAGGTTTCGACTTCCTCCTCAGCCAGCTGGAGCTTGTGCTGAGTGGAGGCCAGTTCTTGGTCGCGCTCGAGAAGAGATTGGCTCAGCTAAAGGGCTCACGGTTAGTGGAGCTATGACGTGGCAGGGGAATGCTCCTCGCGGAAAAAACAAACCTTCTTGTTCTCAGTCTCGGCAGCCTCAGCGCGAGCCTCGGCGGCCTCGATCTTCTGGCCGAGAATGGTGAAACGCTGTACGGGCACCGGTCAGTCTGTGGTCTATGTGGTGAGTGACGCCACCGACCTCCTTGATCTTGTCCTGTGGGGTACTCTGGTCAGCACTGGGTGTATGGGACGGGGCGGGGGACTTGCCATGATGTAGGGAATGCAGCAGGTGGGGATGAGAAGAAAGAGAAAGAGAAAGAGAGAGATGGAGGCCCCGGCGCGTCCATCCCTCGACGCGTGAATATATCCCCCATTTCTTTCCATTTCTCCCGCCAGCACTAACAAATTTACATCCTCCTCTTCTTCTCTTCTTCTCTTCTCATGGTATGCTTCCTCGTCGACGGATCCATCCCCCAGGAGTACCCTCGCCGGCCACTCTCCAGGTGCTGATGGTGGACGATGCGAATGACGGAGCTAGATCAATCACAGCAGCCTGCAGGACCGCTGCTCCAGTCAATGGGGCTGCAGTTGTAAGGATTTGAAATGCTCACATTCTTCATAGCCATGCCTTCCCGATGCTCGCATGAATTCCATCTTCATGCTGTCCTTATCCGTCTACAAGTTTCTTCACGCTCGACCTATCCGCTCTGCATGCCTCTTTATCAACTTTCCGATTCGTTCACGTCGGCAGAGTTAAACTATGTGGCTAGATCAATCCCTCCAGCTCTTGTTTCGAGACTTGCAGCTGGGCGGGCTACAGAGCGTGTCTCTCCCTCACAGAGGTGTAAATGAGAGATGGGTTTTGAAGGCCTGCGACAGATAGTGTCGTAGATCAGAATGTACTGCTGTTGCTTGCAGGCCTCCTTCTCCACACATCAAATCTTCAGCGTGGAGCACATAGTAGCTGCCACCAACGAGAGAGTGAGCGACAATGGCTAAAGGAAATGCCTCTACAATGGGACGCCCATCGTTGATTGAATGAGCAAGCGGGACGGTTGGGCCAGACTCCCAGGAGAGGCGACTACCATGACTGCGTAGAAGGCTACCGTACTGCAGCAGCTAGAAGTACATACGAGTCCCAGCTTGAATGCACGAAATATGGTTTCACAGACAGCCTCCCGCAGGACGCGGCCCCTCGTAAAGCTGCGAGGCGTTCATTTCGCTTACAACCACCACTCGACCACTCACTGCCCCATGAGGTTTCTCGCCGTCCTCTGCCTCTTTGCGGCCCTCACTGTGGGCACCCTTGCGTGCGTAGTCTCGTCCCCGCGTCTCCAGCCAAGCTCATCCTGCATAGCTGGACCAAAGAAGACTATGAGATCTTTGACCTTGTCAGCGCCCTCGAGACCGCCGAAGGTTCGCACTTTCTCCATTCCCCTTGCTTGATCTAACTCAATACCTCCCAGGCAAAGGAGTAAACTTCTACTCTCATCTCTCCATCCCCTCGTCCGCCACCACTCAGCAAATTACCAAAGCGTACCGCAAAAAATCACTCGAACTCCATCCCGACAAGAACCCCGGCGTCAAAGACATTGAAGAACGTTTCGCCAGGCTCGGTCTGATAGCAGCTATTCTCCGAGGCAAAGAGTCGAGAGAACGATACAATGTCAGTCAGGATGGCGTCCTAGCTGTAAAGGAATAGCTGACTTGTCCCAGTTCTTCTACAAGAACGGAGTTCCACGCTGGAGGGGCACGGGCTACTACTATGCTCGTTACCGCCCCACTCTCTCTCACACCCTCGTGTTCCTCGTCCTCCTCTCCAACCTGTTTCATCGACTTGTCCTCCAGCTCAACTTCCAAAAACATCGGGCCCGTATCTCTTACTTTGAGACTGCCGCCAAGAGTGCTGCTGGCGTCTTGTCTGGGAGTGGGAAGGGAGGTGTCGATGCCGGCGCTATTCAGGGGAGAAGGAGAAAAGTAAAGGTGCCCATGGTAGAAGGCAACGACTACTCGGGAACCCTCGAGTTGATTGTTAGCGGAGACCACGTCTATCTTGTAGGTCATCTTCTCTGCCCCCATTCCTCTAGGAGCCTCGCTGACCTTCTTGGCAGCCCCAAGACGACGGCCACCTGACCCCTATCTCAACCCTTGCCCCCTCTCCCTCTTTCTCTCAGACCTGGCTCCCCTCTCTCGCCCTGTCTCTCGCCCGCCGTGCCGTGTCTCACCTTCCTCCTTCCATCCAAGAGTCGCTTCCGGCGTTCTTGAGGGACGAAGAAGGTGCCGAGGCAGACGAGCTGGAGCTGGATGACGAAGAAGATGAAGAGGCAGAATCCGAGGTCGGGAGAGGGACGCCGACACCCATGGGCCGTGCCTCTAGGCGGGCGCTCCAGAAGGGTAAGGGCCACACTGGAAAGGGCTCCAAGAACAACACTCCCAAAGATTCCCCCGCGGGCACGGAGGCTGAGAGCGATATTGCTCTTGACAACGAAGCCCCCAAGAAAAAGAAGAAGCCTGGACTGGGCAAGGCTGCTGCCATGCGACAGAGGAAACTGGCCGCTAAAAATTAGACGACTGACAATCAGCACGTTGAAACATGATCATGTCATAAAAGGTATGCATTTGCATGGGAACCGTCTAGCAGTCCTGCTCTGTACCAGTTTTACACAAAAAGTCTCAAGAAATTGTCCAATGCGCGTATCAAAACGAATATCTAGGTTACAAGTGGCAGCAGCATGATTATAGCTGTCACATACCCAACAGCTCCCTCAACTCCCTCTCCTCTTTTCTCCTCTCCATGGTCGCCTTCATCTCCTCCTTCCTTCTCTTCATGTCTTGCTCCTTGTCTCTCAAATCTCCTCTACTCTTGACAGCACTCAGCCCGTTCGACCTTGCCCTGTTTCGAGCAGCGACAGCGGAGATGCTCGCCGTCGATCCCTTCTTCATGAGAGTGGTTTTAGGCCCAGTGCTTGATTTTCCGTTCAAGCTGCCCTTGGTATTCGAGGGCGAAGGCTTGGACATGAAGTTGGATTCAAACGCATTCTCGCGAGAGGAAGCGTTGCCAAATGGCTGGATGGTATTGAAAGAGATGCTAGGACTGATCACCTCTATATCCCCATTCTCTCTCTTGTTCTCCTTGGCCTGGGTAGGCTGAATGGCAGGTTGAACCATCGCAGAAGGGGTGGAAGGCAAAGTAGGTAGGGGTCTGTCGGTACGAGGCTTGACTGTCGCCTGCATCCTCGCGAGAGAAGCGGCAGTAGGCTGAAAGAGGGTGGAGTGGCGATTAGGGTTAGAGGCTGCCTGAGGTCGGGGAGCTGCTGGGGTTATCAAGCTCCGAGTAGACGAAGAAGAAGGGACTCTCGGATATTCCTCTGCCGTTTGTGGAAAAGACGACGGCAGCTTTGGCTTGGTCTCGGGCGCCAAGACAAAAGAAGACAAGGCTCGATCCAAAGAAGCTGAAGTAGCAGAAGACGCCTTGCTCTTCTGCTGGAGATCGTGGACGGGCGCGGGTGGGAGAGGAGCAGGCCGGGCGTTGCGGAGCAGGTCCATCTGGCTCTGCCTCTTGTACGCCCTCGCAGCGGATGTAGAAGACGTGTTCGTCACAAACGATGTGGTCGATTTGACCACAGATGAGGATTTTGGCAAGCCCAAAGTGTTGGTAGCATCCAAAGAGGCCTGTTTGTCTTGCTTCGCGCTGGGGAGAGGCGGCACAAAGTCAGGTATTCGAGATCGCTTTGGTGTTCTACCACTCGCTTGAGACATCATGGTCTGGGCCGAAGTGGACCTTCCTCTGTCCTTCTGTGACTGACCATTATCGGTGCTATGCTGCACCAAGCGCTTGTGGGTGCTAGAGGACAGCGGGGTGTTGGACGCCCCAGTCTCGGGACCCGACGGCAGTGTTCTAGGCAAAGCTCGAGGATGGGAGATGCTGGGCAAGGAAGACGACGCAGAGAGTGAGTCGGGGCCCAGAGTGCTCTTTTTCTTCAGAAACGGGAATTTCATCGAATTACCTCGTCCGAGCATGCTTGCGCGCTTCTCCTTGCGATCCTTTTGCTTCCGGGGCGTGTGCTGGGATAGCCCTTTCTCTTCCCCAAGCATGTTGGCGAGACTCTTTTTGGCGCCTCGCAGACTACCCAGAGGATGTGTAGAGAGACGGGTTCGCTTGGATTGCCTGGAATCGACGTCCTCCTCAGCAGAGTGAAGAGGCAAGCCATTGGGAGCAGAAGGTAATTCGAGCGTGGAAGTAGACCCTGCAAGTTTTCGCTTGGCGGCCTTGCTGCCCTCAGCGAGAGGGATCATATACGGCCGGGTGACAGATCCCGAGGAAGCCGTTCGAGAAGGGCCTGGTCGGATGGATGATTTTGAAATGGACCTCATTCTAGGCAAGAGCGTTAGTTGAATCAAGTCGAGCGCTTTTGCAGGACTCACTTGGCAAATTCCTTTTGGTGGGCCTCTGCGTATCGGTCCTGAGTCAATCCTCCACCGCTCAGCCCCCACCCCCCGGTACCGACGTCCTTATTCACCTGCACCAGCTTGGCCAGCTCTGCATCTCTTCCTTTCAACAACTCTTCACCAAATTTGAAACTACCTTGGGGCAACTTGGCGTTCATTTCCTTGAGCACAGCCTGTGCGGCCTCCGAGAACTGGTGATTGGAGACCCCAGTACCTGTCCTGTCGCCAAAGAGTATCTGTGCCCTGCCGGGTGTAGGTGGAAGGGGAGGGAATGCCCCAGGGATCGGTGTGGCGTCAGACGCCGACTCTGATGATCTTATGAGAGAAGCATATTCGACGGGCATCGTGGGCAATGAGGGATACACATTACCCACACTAGCCGAGTTGGAATAGGGAAGTGCCGGCATTGATTTTCGTTCGAATGCGCCGAGAGATGGGGCGCCCGCTGGTGATCTCAGCGGAGCCATGGATCTTCGTTCCTTGAGGTCTCTAGCCTTTCCGACGAATGGAAGGTCGTCGTTGCTGTGATCAGACGTGCTGTCGCTAGTTGCTTGGAAGGGGGCAGGGGAGCAAAGCCTAATAGTGCTAGGCCTTTCCTGCAGAGTGTGACGAGAGTGGCGTCTAGGTACACCGACTGTGGACGCCGGGGAGGGAGGCGTGTCCACGATCATCTCCTGTTGCTCCTCTGCGGGCTGAGACTGAACGGTTTCAGGATCCGCTGGCGGCTCATATCCCGGTTCACCGTGAGCACGATTGGAGGAGGAGGAATCGCTTCGGCCAAGTAAGATTAATGACCCTCTTTTCGAGATTGAGGATGCGAACGCTTTCATGGAAGAATTGCGCTTGACGTGTTCCGGTGCCTCACCTGGATGGAATCAGTGAATGCCGCAGAAAAGAGGGATTTCTCTTACCTCCAAATTCATTGAGAGGCTCTCCATTGTTTGCACTCTTCCAGCTACCCATACTGCCGTACTTTTCCTCACCTTCCTCTTCTACGACGTCCTCCATCTTTGAAATGAGACTGGCGTTACCTTCAGAAAGAACATCCCAAGAGTTTGAGAGACGTGAGGCGGTGCTCATGAAGGACTCTTTGTGATTGAGCTGAGCCTTCGGCTTGAGCAGTATCTGTGGCAGATGATCGGGGGACGGGGCTGGACTTGTTGCCGACGGGATTGGATACTCGGCAGGAAGAGGTCGAGCTGGTGTAGGAGCTGGCTCTGGGATATAGAAGTCGAGGTCCCCAGCGTGGTCATCGGCGTCTACAGACTCATTAGTACCGTAGCTTGTCCTTTGTTTATAGCCATGAGTACTCACAAACTTGCAAGCGCCCAATCATCTCCACATTCTACTATTTTGTCAGGGACTCGCCACCCAGCCACATATCCCAGACGCACCTTGCCACTGGCCCTCAGTCCATACTTTTTGGACAGAGACACGAGCTGATGTCTCTTGAGAGCATTGAGTGCTGCTGAGCTATGCAGCGCCGGTGTCAGCAGAGGCCGCTGCTACGTACACCCGAGACCACTCACTTGCGGAGAATGTCGTCGCTCATGGCAGTTGTGATGGCGCTGCTGGCGTGGGTGATGGGAAGAAGGAGACAATATACAGCTTGTATTGTGACGAGAGGCTGTTGTCATAAGTGGGCTGTTGAGCGAAAGGAGCCTCGAGATGTGCGATGTTTGGTCGCTGCGAAAAGTCAGGCGCGCGGCGTAGATCCATTGCTTCAACCCTTACGTAAGTATCCTTCGCCGCGGTGATCCGACGACGACGAAAAGCTCACAGATATTTTGTTTGCCAACGACCGCCTGTGCACTCAAACCAAGCTATCACGGAGATGCCTCCCCTCAGCGTCAAAGACCTGACAATGCCGTGAGTACTGCTCGCTGCGGATGTCACTCGCAATAGCTAACCAACAACAGCGCTGCAGCCTTCACCATGGCTGTCGTTCTCAGTACGTTGCCGGCAGGGGGCGACAGCGATATATACACATACCCTTACTGATACCCTGGATTTCAGCTGGCCATGTGTATTCTTCTATCGGCCAAGCGCGTCAAGAGGCAGACATGAAAAGGGCCAGGATCGTTCAAGAGGAGCAAGAAAAGAAGACAGCAGCCCGACTACGGGCTATCAATCGTGGCGCACCGGTGTCTTCGCAAGCTGGACCAGAAGAAAAGTAGAACCGCCCCCTGCTTTATCATGGACAGACTTATATGCCTGAGTGAGTACAGAGCATTCCTCGGTAGGGTTTCGACACTGATAAGCTATAGATACTCCGTTTTGTTATCAACAACACGATGCCCCATTATCCGTCCGCTGAATCGCTTGCTTCGATGGTCTCTGCATACGTAGCAAGACTACAAGATACGCGGAATACGGGGGTCACTATCTTTACACATGGGTGGTACGCGTAGGTACAGCTCGACCTACTAACGGCGGAACCAGGGATTTATGATACAAATTGTAATTGTCTATGTAAATGTGCGTGTATGCTGTATGCTGGAGAGTGAGATGAAGACCGGTCTTAGAAAGATGCGTTAGCTAAAGCAGGAGCTGATGGTGGCCATGACTGAGTCGGGAAGAATGACCGTGAATCTACTCTCAAGACCAACGTGGTAGACCAAATCGGACGACGTTTTGGTTGTTGAAATGCCGCGTGAGTGGTGTCAAAGCTAGATGATCATGAGTTACAGTTTTCAGATGTAGCTTCTGCGCACGTACGGGGGGCAATATAGTCTCTGTTGTGGACAATTTCGAACGTCGGGGTGACGCAAACATTGATTGCAGGTCCGCTATGAGCAACGATGATATCAGCCGCTATCCACAATCTGAAAAGTGTCAAGAACGAACCCAGTGATCCTCATCAACATCGCTTTCAGTCTGAACCTTCCAACAAATCTCACACTGACGTCTGGAAAGACGAAATACACCCCTTCGCCTCCAGTCATGTCGTCCATCTCAGCTGGAGCCGCTACCAATGTACCGTAAAGCATTTGGACTGCTTGACCAGTGGGCGCAAGGACCATGGACGCGTCTCGTCCATCGGGTGTTTCAAGTGCGAGGTGACATACCAGGAAGGGGAGCTCGTCATATCTATCATCAACGTTAATAAACCGTCCATTCAGCATCAAACTCACGGTATTATCAGCTCGCCCGTTGGATCCCAACAGTCCATCTGTAGTATCAACAGCGGCGCCAGTGGCAGTCTCGAAAGATGCTGCCCTTCAAAAGCGGCGGAGCGGATGGGGGTCTGTATGGGTGTGATGCGATACCGCCTATGAACTCTGGTCAGCACGAATGCAGCGCTCACTTTCACAGCAGTCTGTCACGACACATGCTAAGGATGACGCCTGGCTTTGACCAAGACCACATGTACCGACACGACGAAAGGAGTATATTATAACACACCTGTTATGATTCCGGAAATCTCTCCTCCCAATGTTCATTTTGAAGGTAGTATAGGGGTAGGGACGATGTGTAGCGATGAAAGAGCGCGGATGGCGATGTGGATACAGAACAAATCGAGTGGCAAAAGTGCAAGCCGCGCATTCACGGCAAGCTATAGCACTGGATCGTTGCTGGAATACGCTGAGGACTGTGGGAGGGGCGACGAAAGGTTTTAAAGAGCCAGGGAGTCGGACCAAGGTAAGGGCGGAGATGGAGCCGTTCATGAAAAAGTAGGCGTTGGATCAAAAAGCACGCGTGAAGCGCGAGGCAAAGGAGTATCCATGAAGGGAGGTTGGCGATGGAAGAAAAAGAAAAAGGATGTCGGACGTAGCACCATCAACCCGATGTATTCGGTTGCCCGAGAGAAGAGACCGACAGAACAGAAGGTGGACACGAATAAGCGGTAGATGGTAGTAACGTCGGTGGTGGCAGAGGCGCGGGGGAAGCATCAGGCGGGAGCGCCATGTCGGACAAGAAGGGAGGGTGGGTGTGGCAGTCGACGTGATAGGGCAAACAAGCAGGGCGATGCGCGTTTAGAAGACAACGCGTTGCATCGATCGGTGACATCGGAAGCACAGCGGAGGTTGGAAAGGGAAGGAGAGAGCAATGATGAGCCACAGGCGTGCGTTCATGGGCGTGATGTGTTGCGTACCTTGCTAGTGATGGCTTCTCGGACTGCCTGTTGTCACCTTGTCACTGTCACTCTCCTATTATTCCCGGCTCTGAACTCTCAATAATACCGTTCAGACTTTAATTAAATCAGCGTTCAGCGTGCCCCTCGGCCTGCCTTGACTACTGAACCCCTTGATTGGACTGTGCCCTATGTTTTCCTCGCAACGAGGCTATGCAGTGCTGTGGCGGCTCGAAACGCGGATGACCGTGAAGGCTGTGGGGGGGGAGCAAGATTGAGAGCCAGTAGTATATGGAAGGCGATCGGCTACGCAACCATATAGCGGTCAGCGGATGCTATGTGTGGGCGTGACAGGTAGCCAAAGATGAATCTACAGTGGCTGATCATGGCATGACGTTGCACTCACAAGATGAAAGTCTTTCGAACGATGCGGCAGAAAAGGCGGCTGTGGATTCAGCGAGACACAACACAGTAGGGTGGCTATGATGTGCTGGAGAGGAGTCAGGAATGTTTACTGGAGGAAGCCATGATACGCACCGAATGGAAGATATGGAGCACTGGCGGCTGGCGGATGATGATCCTATAATTAACGGGAAGGAAAGTCTGTTTGCGGAGAAGACCTGAAAAAACCGGAGACCTCGAGGGATGACGGAAACCGGAAGAGCGATAGTTCCGATTGTAGTCAAAAAAGGCGGGAGGGTCGAGAGGCAGGCAGTGCAGCCGCTTCTTGAGTTGATGATCAAGTATGGCCGTCAAAGAGGGGAAATGTCCATGTAGCTTTGCTGTACAGCTTTTAAAGACCTCTTTTTCATTATTCCGAGCAGGTGGTGACCAAGGACTCATTAGATCACCCATGCATCCTCGAGGCGTCGGGCCCTTCTTTATCAAAAGTCTTCGGGGCAGGAGACAGCGTGTCTTACGGCGCCGCAGGGCGCCGCGAGATCGGAAGGCGTTCGGAGAGTTTTAATCGCGGTAATAATAATGGACCAAAAGAAGGGTGAAGAAGCAGCCGGAAGCTAGGGAAGATCAGCCAGAGGCTCCAGATCCCAGACCCCAGTGGACAGAGGCCTCAGAGGATCCAGAGGATCAGCACCTTTGGCCGCCTACACCGGCGCAAGCAGCAGCCATGCAGCGCCGGGCTGTACTGTAGACTGCATATGTCTTATAAACTAGATACAGATAGATCTCGCCGACACAGGGTCTGTCTGGCTTCTAGCGTCGTTCACCCTCATCTGCTGTTCTCCGTTTACCGCCTTACGCCTTCCTCTCTCAGTCGGTCCTCCCCTTTCCCCTTCTCGGCCGCTCGGCTCTCACGAGTCCAGAGTAGTGTATGTAGCAGCAGTCTCACGTTTCCGGGGTCCGGGGAATGGTTTCCGACTTTTTTGTCACTGCCCTTGATTCCCATTACTCTCTCAAAGCCTACTTTATATACATGAGACTCCGGACCCGGCAGTCAGACCGCAGACGTACCATTTTCTTGGTTCGTGAATCGGCCAGAATCGGTCTCGAACGATAAAAGCACCAATGGATTACCACCGCATAAATAGCGCGCATAGATCGCACACAATCCCAAACATCTATATCATGTACATATCTCTCTGCAATCGTCGTGACCCGCCGAAGTGACGGAACGCGGGAGAGGCCTCAGATATAGAGATCTCCTCTGGGGCCTCTGGGCTCTGAGCTCTGGGCCGGCTCTTTGGTATAGAAACGCAGATACGCTAAAAAAAAATCCGCCCTATTCTAACCCCCTACGTAGATCAATCATGATGCGACGAGGCCTGCCATATCATTATCCACCGGAGAAAAGGTAATGCCGGCCACGAAATTTTCAAGCTCGCTGCACTCGCTGCTCGAGGACGAAGGCCGGATGTAATACTTGACTCTTCCGAGTCCCGGCCTGCTTCGCTGAGTTGCTGATCTCGCTGGTGATTTTACTGCTGTACTTTTGCCCTCGGCCCTCGGCAGCTGCAAGCCGCAAGCCCGCAAACAAACTGCAAGGGCCGCAAGCTGCAAAACACCACTTCTCAAAGTGACGTCTCAAGATACCTCGCATAAGTCGATCATATCGTTATGATGGTGCGCCATAACCATGCTTCTTGCTTATTTTGTGGTCCTTCTCAAAGAAGGTTGCGAGATGAAGCAGAGGGTAGAGGGTAGAGGCCGAGGCTTGATTAAACAGTTTCTCCTTTTTTTCCCTTGAAGTTAGTTGTAGGCCTTGTCTCACCCTACCCTTACATTACATACCGTCGCCAATTTTCCAATGCAGCCAAGCGCCGCCTCAAAGCTTTTTTTTTCGATAGAGATGGCTAAATGTTATTCAAAATGTGGTAACGAGTCCGTACGTACATAGAGTAGTATGTGGTAAATTCTACTTGCGATTGACTTGATAGATTACCCCCGCTGCATTGTGTCCGTCTTGGAAACGCGAATGGTCGCTCGTTGCTCAGGCCTGGCGCCTGTTCCGTGATCGTAGCTCAAGGAGTAGACAGGTAAGCAAGGAAAGACAATTTAAAGTATGATACAAGTACATCCGGGAGAACAGGACAGATTGAAGAGATCGGCCGCGGACTCTCATCAAAAGGCCCGAAAGGAATGCAAATATTACCGAACAAGCTGGGATTTCAGGGTCGTTTTAAACACATGTACCGGAAAAATGCAGGTGAGAGACGTCACCGGTTTTCTTCGGATGCCAACGAACGTTATTCATCCTGCGCAGCTGCGTTGGATGACCGCGATTCGGATCTGTGCTCCATACTTACATTTGGGTTGGTACGCACTTTACTCGTACTCGAGTACTCTACAGTACGTACTTGTGTACTAATCTGATAGCTGGTGGCTGGAGTGCGATCTCTGCGCGGACTCTAGTATCATTCCCGAAGCGATGCACCTTCATGCAGTTTATTAGTCTGCAGTCCCGGTTTATAACGTACGCCTGAAGGTCGTCGGAAAAGACGAGCGAACTATTGAGTGTAGCATTTGCACTATTGTGATAGGGAGATCTATTGCCTTGCCTTCCCAAAAAATCGATGAGCCATCATTCTGTGGTGCATGTGAAGCGTCCCTCCTGGCAAGTTCTGGCGCCCTCTGGGGCCTTTGATTACACCATTTAGGCTTTGGTTCCCCGGCATCTGTAAAGTGCCTTGTGGCAGGAATTGCGCCACTGTGCTGCGTTATGAATGATCTGTCATGTTGTTTGAAAATTGACGGAAAATCAGAAATAAACGTTTGAAGGGAGTGGAGTCACCGAGTAGAGTACGAGTAGTGTGAAGGCCGTGAAGGAAGGCTGGAAGTGGACCGAAATGAACAAGGTGTGAGACAAGTCAGGTTCTATCGGGGACTCATAACTGGACTGTTTCCGATCATAGATTCGTGGTCTTTGTTTGCGGGCAGTCGAATTCACAGTCGTCGGGCGGGGTGAACATCAAGGAGTACAGAGTCTTGGCATATACAGCTGGATACATATGAGGAGGGCATCGAGCCTGTGTCAGATCACATTGTTGATGATCTATGAGTGGAACCTCATCATTGCGTGATGATCCGATGATCTTCACTTCTGGATCCTTTTGCAAGCCATTCGGATGCTCCGAAAGTTAAAAAGATGATGATGTCCATACTTGTCAAGCCGCTTCGATAAAAAGGTCTACATGCGGTGCATGCGGATACGTTGACTAGTCCCCGCACCCGCGAGTGATATGGTGAGCAGTACAATCATTGCGAAGCTAGAGTGCAGGCTACTTGTTGTGTACTGTAAATGTCAGTAGCAATCAATGCCAGGTTTCATTACGAGTAACCAGTTGGGGATTATTATAGGATTGCACGATGATGAATTCTGTCCTAAAACTACCCTCACGTTGAATGATGAACCTAAAAGGGTTTGTTGAGAAAGCCTTGGAGCGCTTCGTTGACAGTTCATGGAGAGATAAGACATAGATCCATGGACGTCTTTTTCGTTCATGTAGAGATACTGTCCAGACTTCTTCTTCGAAATAAGATTGATCTTAGACCTGTTTGTGTCGCTGCTATGCAAAGCTGTATCTATCATCCGATCGCACTGCGAGAGGCGAGCATCAGTAGGAGGATGGAGCGCCTACTGCTACTGTCCGCGCACTATCTACAGCGGGACCGTGATGATGATGAGCATTCGGAGTTACTAGACATTACAAAGGGACCGGGCGGAAGTCCAGCCTAGCAGCCAACGCCATACAGCTTTTATATACTGCCGACTGCCGCCGTTCTAGCCCTCGCAATCTGCATCCTTTTCGTAGGATTTACAGTCAGCTTGTAAACCTTTGACTCCTGGTCAAAGTCTTCGACATCGGTGAATCTCGAAGCCAGAAAGAACTAACTGCAGCGCCAGTGTCTATCAGTTTTTGCTTGCATTTGCGTTATCAACGTATCAGAGCCCAGTATAACGTGTATTGAGCAAGTCTAATGCCTCGTCGACGCTCCACAACTCAGCACTCTCGCCCCGACGATAGGCACAACGGTCACCGCCACCATCGAAGTAGTCGTCATAAGCATGAGAACAGGACAGGCCATTTGTCCCGGGGGACAACAGGCGAAGTACAAGTGAGTACGACGAGTGAAAGTGTGTCCAGGGCTTTTGCTAACTCTCTAGCAGGAGGATCAGCTGGATATTGAGGGATCGCTGCACGGACACTCGCCGACGAGAAGCCTCCCAGAGTCCAGCAGGAACGAAGTGCCCCCCACTTCATCTTGGGAAGTGCCGGGGGAGCCACGAAGGAGGAGAAGGAGGAAGAGCGAACCTCAAGATGGCATATGGCCTACGTTGTGTAGTCTTTGCCTTACTATCGGAATCCCTCTCATCATAGAGGGATTCGCAAAATCACGCCGGCGGCACCGGACGACCTCTACAAGGTACAGAGGGAGGAGCGAAGAGCCCAAAGAAACCACCCACTTCCGGGCCCAGGAACATGATGACTTTGAGCCAGAACCTGATGCTCGTGTCCAGGACTGGGTTGAGCAAAGAGCAGAAGAGATGGAAGAAATTCCAGTCGAAGCGCCCCCTGATACTTTGCCGAGTGTGCCGGACCCCTCCCAGGAGATCGACGTTGGCGAGGAGATACCAGCGGACACCGACCTACCCCCGAACGATGATTGCGAAGCAGCAGGAGCCACAAGTTCTTCAATAAGTACCTACTACCATGTGTTCACTTTGAGTATGACTGCCGAACGCCTCGCTAGTCTAGGAGGTAGAAGTGGAAGCCGGAAGTCACAACACGAATCATCACGTCCGAGAGGCTGGAACAAGATAGTCAAGGTTCCAGACACGTACGACTCGCTTCCACTCGACAAATGGATGAGTAGCGTGGGGTGGTCCTGGAAAGACCCGGAGGCAGAGGGCTGGACGCCAGAGGATAGTGTGCCGGAGGAATTAAGATTGGGCAAGATAGACAAGTCAAGGACACTGAGAGGGTTGTCTAGACAAGACATTGACGATGTCAAGAGTAAGGTTTGGACAGGGTATGTGCGCTTCTACCAGGACGTGATAAGAGCGAAGCCGCCAGTGCATCTTGCAAGCGAGGGGCAAGAAGAGGATGTTGCTGAAGAAGCCGGGATGACAGTGTAGAAAGCCACCGCGTGGATATCAGGTTGCTTGTACACAGCGAGTAGCATGCATGCTACCTGGCTGGTGCGGGGGATGCATGCATGAATGATGCATGAGGATGCGGTCTGACTCTGCACGAGGTGGGTTGCCACATTCGGCGAGACGCGGTTGGGGTAACACCGGTAAGTGGGGGGAGAGGAGGTGTCAAAGAAGACGTGGTGGCTCAGGGAGGTCGCCGTGCATGTATTGTCGCAGCATCCTCATCCTCATTCCATCCATCTCCCGTACCACCTGTGAGTCCCGCCCCTCCCCCCGCCCACCCGCTGACCCCATCTTCCCCCTCCTCAAATCTCCAAATCGCCGCCTGTCGCCGACCTTCCATCGCCTTCTCTCCCATCCCTGCCGTCATCGCAACAGTAGACCCAGTCTTACGAATAATACAAGATGGCTTTGAAGCGCATTAACAAGGTGCGTTCAGGAGAACCCCCCAATGCTGCGCCAATGATCCAGCGGCGGGGGGCGCACGGAATGGGCTCACACGACCCTTGATAATAGGAACTCATCGACCTCGGACGTGACCCGCCTTCCTCTTGCTCTGCCGGCCCCATCAACGAAAACCTCTTCCAATGGCAGGCCACTATCATGGGTCCCGTGCGTGTGATTCCAGGGACGATATTCGGAAAGGTGCTGACCATTACACAGGCTGACTCTCCCTACTCTGGAGGTGTCTTCTTCCTGTACGTGTCTGATTATTATTCGCAGAAGCACTTGTTAATCATCGCGCAGCTCTCTCACCTTCCCTACCGACTACCCCTTCAAGCCTCCTAAGGTGCAATTCACCACCAAAATCTACCACCCCAACATCAACGCCAACGGTTCCATCTGTTTGGACATCTTGCGAGACCAATGGAGTCCGGCCTTGACCATCTCAAAGGGTTAGTGCTTGATTGGTGCACGGAGGGACTAGAAGGGCCGTTGCTAATACATCTGCAGTGTTGCTGTCTATCTGCTCAATGTTGACTGACCCCAACCCTGACGACCCCTTGGTTCCCGAGATCGCCAACGTGAGCGGCCCTCTTGGAATACGTGTATCACTGCTTACATTCTGTTACAGACCTACAAGACTGACAGGCCACGATATGAAGCCACAGCGAGGGAGTGGACAAGGAAGTGAGTTGAACATTCGCTCTGCATGGACACGGCTGATGATCCGCAGATACGCTACATAATCGATGTGTATCTCCCTTTCCATGGCCTCTTGTGTATCTTATCATTCTCCGACCAGTCATGCGATCATTACAAACCTTTACCTCGAACATCTCTCATTACATCGACACGTTGTTTTGGGATGTTATCGTTGCGCATCTACCTAGTCTTTGGCTGACCCGTGGTACTGACCTCATTGCTGACTAATGAGATTATGATGTCGAGTCTTACTTGGCAAGTCGTCGCCGTGTCACAGTACCTTGAAACGCTACGAGGCGGTTGGGCCCAGACGGAGATTCGCCAACCGTCCTCTCCATTATGACCATGTCAGGCGCCCTACAATGCGGCTTCAGCGAGACCCTTGACGCTACTTATAAGTATCATAGGACGTCTACGATGTCATCACAATGACACGAGGCCTTTTACTGAGCTGAGGATATGACGCCCCAATTCTGTCATGGGCGGCCATTGAGTTTGGTGGCTTGATATGGAAGGCTTCTTTCTATAGGTCGTTCTTCTGCATGTTGCATGCTGCATGCTTATTGACCAGATCTCGAAAGAGTCATAGTGTATACACCATGCCGAACGAGCCAGGATGCGTGTCCCGTAGAGCGATCGGGCAGAGGGCGGAGGCCCCGAGCCAGACCGGGGGCACGTCAACAGAATCGACCTGGTGGCTGTGTGGCTTTGCAAACTACGTGTCACTCTGACCTCTGCATATATAAAGCAGAGCTGGACGGGCGCTTAATCTCTCACTCTCAGCTACCCTCGCCAGTCGCCACGTACACCGCCTCGCCACCACAAACATTTCCATGGGTCTCGCCTCCAACCTCACCGTCACCGTAAGTGCCACTGTCGCAAGAGACGACATGATCAATAACACATATCATCAGTCGGGCGCGTGAGTGTTTGGCATACCTGGTAGCTAAGAGCTCGGCTGACTTGTGCGGATAGCTACGGCCAGCAGCTCCAGCCTCATGGGTACGGCGGACAGTATCCACAACAAGAGCCCCGGGGATACATCGGGCCTGGTTCTCTCCAGGAAGGTCCTGCCCAAGGCCCCGGCGACAGCAACAACGCCAACACTCAATACCTTATGAACGTGTTGCAGCAGTGTGTTCAGGACGTGCGTGTTGCACCTTCTCTTGACACTCACCTGACCTTTTCACTCACTGGGTAATTGTAGCAAAACCTTCACGCATTTTACAACCCTCAAGCGCTCAACATCGTTGCCCAAGGTGTCGCCCAGTCTGGGGCCCTCAACACAATCGCTCAAGAGTGGAAGATTCCCATGGAACTTGCCACGGAGATCGTCCGTCTCTTGTGTCTCTGAAAGGTCTCATCTCATCTGTTCCCAGGTCAAGCTTGCCTTGTTCGATGTGATCATCTATGTCGATGACTCTGGATCCATGGCCTACGAGGTGAGTCCATATACCATGACCGCCCCATGACCGCCCCTGGGCTAATCTATCACAGGACGGTGGGGAGCGCATCGAAGACCTCAAGCTGATCCTCTCCCGTGTCACATACGTCACCAGTCTCTTCGACAGCGATGGCATCCAAATCAGGATGATGAATTCGCAGGTTGAAGGCAACCACATCAACTCCGAGCAGGAAGCTTTGCGTCTGGTCTCGCGAATTCAGTTCTCTGGTGCGTCTCTCCTCACTAATCTTGTGCGTTCAATGGGAAATTGTACTCATATTACACACAGGGCTTACTCCCCTTGGCACTTCGCTCTGGCAAAAGATCCTTCAGCCTTTGGTCGTCGGCCCTGCGCATCAGGGGCGTCTCAACAAGCCCGTGCTTGTCCTCTGTGAGCTAGCTCATTGACCAAGATCGCCGTCCTCCGTGATTGACTTGCTGCAGGCATCACTGATGGGTCTCCTGCTGGCGAGCCCAAGGGACACCTGTTCGATGTCATTATCCGTGCCGACCACGAGCTCAAGCAGACTCGTTACGGTCCCGACGCCATTTCCTACCGTGGGCACTCCTTCGCATCAGCATCGGCAACGACTGACCAATATCACAGAGTTTGCTCAGGTTGGAGACGACACGAAGGCTTCCCGTTTCCTGGCAGAGCTTGACGCCCACCCTGTCGTCGGCTCTCTTGTCGACTGCACCTCCAACTTTGAGGCCGAGCAGGAAGAAGTGCAACGCAAGACGGGGACCATCTTGGACCCTACCATGCGGATCGTCAAGCTTTTGATGGGGCCTATCAGCTCTTCCTTTGACCTCAAGGGTGAGCACATCCACCGGAGCCTATACCTGGCCAGCGTTGACAACTGTTCTTCAGACGAGGCTTTCCACAAGCGATACTACTGATCAAATCAGATACTGCAGCTCGCCGTGAGCTGAACTGTAGACAAGGACTAGGAAGAAGGTCCAAACGACATCACTGCTCTATTGTGCTTATAAGACAGACCGTATCATTATGCAGTCATCTTGTCATTCCGTGCAAGCCTTGAGCTTACAACGCCGACTTGAATTTCGCTCCCCAGACGCTACGGCTACGGCGGCTACGTGTTCAATTCATGTTCTGAACTCTTTGCACAAGCAGTTTTCAGATTCCTGTGCAAGCACTTTTCCGATTTCTGGCTCGACACAAGCCCTTCCGATTTTGGTATTTCCGCATCAGTCAGGTGTCCCGATCGCTGTGCGTTCAGAGGCCATTCAACCTTGGAGTACCCCGTGCGCCTTTGCAACATATTACCTTTCCTTATACATGAGAATAGGAGCATGTCTACCTATCATGCTTCGTAACGTGAGTTGAGAGGCAAGATGACCCCAAGCGTGATGCATCCCCTACTGACCGAAGCCAACGAGAGCGCCCATAGCAGCGTTGTCGATCAACAACAGTTGCGGTAGACGACAAGCTGGTACCAAGCGTCGTTTCATCTCCGGATAGAGTCAAGATGAAAGCACCACTACTCCTCCCTGGTCTCTCAGACTGGATTTCGAAGGCTGCCTCTACAACCGACTTGATGGACCCTAGATGGGCTTGGGCTTGTGTTCTGCTTGTGTTCTTCTCTTCCTATCCTCCTATGCATTACAGGATCCATGTAGCATACTTTAGATTGCCCAATCTCTCAATCTATCCCCCCAGTATGCCTCTCAGTCTCGACTACATAGGTAAGGCCCTTCCGACGACGAGTTTCATCATTCACTCATCATGGTCGATGATGAGTGAGATCTCATCTGAAAGCCGGCAGAACTATATACGTCTGGTATCATACCATGCTCGACAGCATAGCCCCGTCGGTGTATATGTACATTGGCTGCAGAAGGTCGAGCAGTGCGGTTGAGATAGACCAACAACGAGAGGGTGGGCTGTGCGCGGCGGCTGGTGAAAGCATGTAGACGCACAGCGATCGGGACACCTGACTGGTGCGGAAATACATACCAAAATCGGAAAAGTGCATGCACAAGAATCTGAAAACTGCTTGTGCAAAGAGTTCAGAAAAATGAACTGAACACGTCGTAGACGGCGTGCCTTTGTAGGGACTGCGGATGCCGCCGGCAGTCCGAGGTCCGAGGGTCATGACTTTGACGACGCTCACGAAATCATTCTTGAACAGTACATCAACCTCACAGTCCCTCGTTTGAGTCAAGTATCCAGCTCAGGGTGGAACCTTCGGACGAACACCCAACTCAGTCTTCTACCAATTCGATCACGACCCACTGCACCCGCCACCACTTGCACCGCCTCCCTCCGCCTGCTTTCCGCCTTCCGCTCACAAAACCACAAGAGATACTCGTACATACCATGGGTCTTGGTTCCAATTTCCTTGCCACTGCAGGTACCGCAGCGGTCGCCGGGTACATGAAAAACAGCTCGAAGCTGCAGTCTAGCGCGTGAGTGTTTCGCCTGTAGAAGTGAAAGACAGGGCTCACTTGCCGGCGCGGGATACAGTCCCGGTCAGCAGTCCCAGTCTTATGCACAAGGCGGGCAGTATGGTCAACCTTATGGGCAGGGTGGGCAAAGCGGGCAGCAGTACGGTCAAGTTTACGCGCAGGGCGGACAATACAACCAACCTCAAGGCGCTGCCAGCCAGTACTACTCTCCACAGGGTCCACAAGGTGGCACTGCTTTTGCTTCCGCCTATGGAAGCTCTGCGCAAGGTGCAGGATCAAACAACAGCAATGTACAATACCTCTCGAGCGTGTTGCAGCAGTGTGTCCAAGATGTGGGTTCTCCTTATGCCAATGCAGCCGAATCTGACGTACTTTCTAGCAAGGTATCCAGGCATTCTATACTCCCCAATCTGTCGGCAATATTGCTCAGAGTGTGGCTCAGTCTGGATCTCTCAACAGGATTGCTCAAGAATGGAGGATCCCCCAGGAGCTTGCTACTGAAATCGTAAGACTCCTCATGCCTCAAATGCACCAATATGACTCGTTACTAGGTCAAACTTGCTTTGTTCGATGTAGTCCTCTATGTCGATGACTCTGGATCCATGGCCTACGAGGTGTGTATACAGTCGCGCCCTACTATGCTGACATGTATCACAGGGTGGTGGGGAGCGCATCGAAGATCTCAAGCTCATCCTTTCTCGAGTTGCATACGCCACCAGCCTATTTGACCACGACGGGATCCAGGTCAGGATGATGAATTCGCGTATTGAGGGCAACCACATCAACTCTGAGCAGGAGGCGCTGCGTCTCGTGTCTCAAATCCAGTTCTCTGGTAAGCACTCTTGCATTCTTGATGACTAGGTCAATATGATACGCCGGCTGAATACTTGCAGGTCTCACTCCTCTCGGCACGTCACTCTGGAAGAAGATACTCCAGCCCTTGGTCGTAGGTCCTGCCCAGCAGGGGCGACTTGTCAAGCCCGTGCTTGTCGTTTGTAAGTGACACTGGTATCGATCCATTCGCCTATGATTGACTACTTTAGGCATTACGGACGGATCTCCTGCTGGGGAACCCAACGGACACCTCTTTGATGTGATCCTCCGTGCCGACCAAGAGCTCAAACAGACTCGCTACGGCCCTGACGCCATTTCTTACCGTATGGACTTCTCCAACACCGCCTTCGACTGATCACTGATAGCTCATGCAGAGTTTGCCCAAGTTGGCGACGATATGAAGGCATCCCGTTTCCTGGCAGAGCTTGATGCCCACCCTGTCGTCGGCTCTCTTGTTGACTGCACATCCAATTTTGAGGCAGAGCAGGAAGAAGTGCAACGCAAGACGGGGACCATATTGGACCCCACCATGTGGATTGTCAAGCTCTTGATGGGACCTATCAGCACGGCTTTCGACCTCAAAGGTGACTTGACTTTGCTTAGACTGGTAAACAGCATATGCTGACGATGCGTTTACTGCAGACGAGGCTTTCCACAAGCGCTACTAGTGACCAGCTCCGCGTGAGCCAAAGCGTCATTTGATGACCTGCCAACGAAAATGAATTGAAACACGCATCGAATTGTCTTTATGCATCCGCTATCATGCCCCTGAATGACTGGATGACATACATGATATACAACTGGACAAGGTACGTAAGGTGGTTTATCATTGTGTATAATGAGATGCTTCGCTCCAGTCCGGGCTAATGCCAGGCCCCGACGACTGCTTCGCTTCAATCGGTTGTCGAACAGTTTCATCTGAAGAAGAGGAAGACGTGGAAACAAGAGACACTCTTGCCTCATGCCCTTTTGACTTTTCTCCCAACAATCGAGCGCCCTGGCTGATATCTCCCTCTTCACACTCGCGATGGGCGCTCCCAGTTTCAGTGTAGCTTTGGCCACCCCAGCTCTTGATTCTGGTGTAGCCAACCTCCCCACCCTGCTCCCCTAGGCTGTAACTGTTCCTCCGACTCTCGACGCCGACGTAGCTGTCTCCCCACCTCCGTTCACCGCTGGACCTTCTGCCATAGTCAAAGTCGGCTGTGTGCCACGATGATGTTGACAGCCGAACTTCGCGAGGTTCCCTCAATGAACCAGCCTCTTCAACGCACATGGAAGCTCGACGCTCCTGAACTGTAGGGATCTGGTCCCACCACTTCTCCACACTCACTCCATCCACCTGACCCGTCCTTGTATAGTCGTGCTCTCCACCGAGCAGGTTCCATATGTTCAAGTACATTCTGGGAATGCCATGAGGGGACGAGGTAGAGTGGGCGAAAGCGAGATACAGAACAAGGGCGAGCCAGCATGTGACGAGGGTGAGATGGGAGAAGGTGAGAATGGGTACGGCAGAAGCGACGCAGAGACCAGAGGCGGGAAGGCTTCCTGAGGAGCTTATACAGAGGGAACTGTTGGCGACAGTGATGCTGCCAATGACTAAGCCAGGAGTCAGCTGTATCCTTTGTTCACTCGTCATTGCTTACCGAGAAGCAGCGCAGCATGGCAGACGTGATAGGCCACTTCGACCACCACTCTGTTCGCTGCCCAGTCTGTGCTTCTGGTCCAGATCACAGTGGCACTGTACATCATGGAGAAGGCGAGACCGAGGGCAGATGGGACGATGGCCGCCAGGCTATGAGGGCGGACGGCAGCCGATATACTGAGGGTGGCAGCCCAGAGGAGTGCATGGATACTCTGATTTGATGGTCATCTCGGCTCGGGCGTCATGGGATGACTTACCAGTGTGGCATACCTGGCATACTTCCAGATGGAGTGTGCCCGTCCGTTCTCTGATGGGCGTCGCTGTCCCCTGGGAGTGAGGGGAGTGCGCTCTGTGATGCTGTACGGGTTGTGGGGGGTGACGATGGCTATGGCGGGTCTGGTCATGGCTGTATGTGGGCGAGGGAGGGCCAGCACTAGTTATCTAGTTATATATGCATGGTGTCGCGGGAGGCGATGTAGATGCGATGTAGATGAGATGCCGCTGTGCACACTTTGGTCCCGCCGGAAAGCCGACTTGCAAAATATTTGTGGTTGCCTTTTGGCGTCGTATACTCACATCTCTCAAAACGATGATCGAAACTCACTCGGCGGAAAAGCAGGAGGCCATGGACTGGGACATGGACATGGTAGACGACCCCTTAGAAGAAATCAGTAACCTCGAGTCCAAGTGAGCTTGATCTCTTTCGGGAACGATTCCCAAGCTTATCGTCCGTTCAGATTTTACAATCAAGGTTATGATTCTGGCCACGCCCATGGTAGACTTCACGGACTGTTCGAGGGCCGAGAGTTGGGAAAGGAGAAAGCGTGGGAGCTCTGGGAGGAGGTCGGCTTCTATGACGGTTGGGCTTCTATGTGGATTCAAGTATTGCAAGCAAAGGCTGCTGCGTCTGGTACAGCGGGTAGCAAAAGAGGGAAAGAGGCGAGGTGAGTGCAGCATATCATTCTCCAATCTGGCTGACATATTCTAGGGCTCTCAATCATGCTCAAGTCCTGGTTGAACTGATCAACACCTTCCCCACTATCAACCCCACTCAGTCTATCAACTCCAACGCTGTTTCCGAGATGGTCGACGACACCCCTGCAGCTGACATTGACCTGGCTTCTCTCCTGTCTCTCATCCGTGCTCGCTACCGCCTTCTCTGCTCCTCCCTCGGCACCAGGCCTCGTCTCGCGAGCGCCACCATCGTCGAGGCCAATCCAGGCTCCGGTGCTGCCGCGGCGGGAAGGACAGGATCGGATGGCGGTGAAGCGGAGGGAGTTGTACAAGGGATTGAGGGGCCCATGAAGGGTGTCGATACTAGGCAATTGAGGTTTTGATGGGCGCCAAAGGCGTCAAGAACACCATCAATGGCCATCTTCCACCTGGCCGCCTACGCAGTGCCGAACAATCCTCAAGGGACTGGGGCCCGTCGGGAACATGCTGTGTGCAATCCCGGCCCTACCTTCCCTTTGATTGTATGTCTCCTGCGTCTGACGGCCACGACGTGGTATTCGCTAGGTGGGGTGGATGATTCCAAGACTCTGGTGAGGGCAAGATGCTCGAGACGGGGCCCACCGGTCTTCAGACATCATATGATGTGCATGCCAATGTGTCTATCTCACATCTGTCTATGCATCTATATTCAACCGTGATCACCCCAACCGACAGGCCCTCATACGTCATTCCCTCGACAAGTATCTAAACTTTGCCGCTATTGATTAAGTCTGCCCAGCCACCAGATGGTCGTTTTGGCAGAAACTCCATACGACCCGCCATGCCAGGATGTGCTTTCAACACCGCAGCTTCTACCTTACTTGCGTCATTATAAGACCAAGGCAGACCCCCCGATCTCGCAGACTCCCACGTAAAACACCACACCGTCTTGTCCCTCTTTGCACACTCTTCGGTCGAGAGTTGCCATCTCCAGTGCTGCAGTTCGGGGTGCATGAATCGCACCACCATAACTATATAGCTGATGGAGCTCTGGACGTTGGTGGTAAACATGGCCGAAGGCTTGAGTACGTTTCGAGTGCCATAAGCGACAATTGGAATCACGTTCGAGCTGCCTTCGGGGGCATGCATGACCTTGGCAGGTTTATGCCCACCGGCAAATTCGAGTAGGCGCTGGGGATAGGCATCAATCTTGATATCGGGCAGAGAATAGCCACTCTTCATCACCATTTCTTCCGGCCGGCAAACTGAAGCGAGAGCCAAGTCGAAATTCCGAACGATAGGACGGAGTTCGGCTGGAGCTGTTGACGTCTCCAAGTATTTCAAGCTGGGGAAGGGTTCAATCCCAGAGGCACTTAATTCTTCGAATACACTCGTAAACGTCAAAAATCCGTCCGAGTTTCTGCTCGGCCGATCAGCGACTATGGACCAGAAAGGCATGCAGGCTCACCTATACGTGCTGGGATTCTCGAGGTTGATAAAGGTTACTCTTTTGAGAAACCTCAACTTGAGATCTCTGCCAAAAGGTTTCTCTTTGGTCGGCTTTGTGTTCTGCAAGCCCTCGAACAGTTTCTCGGGGCCATACCCTGGATGGCCTTCGCCCCGCCGAGCTATCAGACGGCCATCCCACAACAATTCGCCAGCGATGAATCCGATACGCTGAAAGACAGTCAGAGATCAATACGAGGCTCGAAACGCGCTGCTCACTTTACATGTGGAGACAAGGCCGAGCCTGCTCTCTGCCGGGACTTCCGAGACTATATGTCTGAGGAGTTCGTAAGGCAGGTCCTGAAACGACAGCCGGTTAGGGGATCGTGAGATGGCTCGGGGCAAGACTTGAGGGGTTATCTTGCCCGACTCGCTGGCAGAGTCGTCCATGGGTGGTTGTGGGCGATTGCTACATTAGTCGCTGCCAGCAAACAACAACGTGGACGAGCGCGGTTGGCGGCGCGGCGAGGGCCGCCTGTCGGACGGCCGTCATCGGAGCTGGCCGGCGTACCTGAGCACATGGTGATGGTGCCTAGTACGGAATCTCGCGAGCCTGACAAAGCGGCCACTTGAAGTTGAACTCGACTTATTGCGGACCCACTCAGAGACAAAGCACTGCCTACTCGCCGCCTAGGGAGCGCACCATCCCCTCCCCATGTCTGCCATCATCATCCAGGCATCAGCGTACCCCTCAGAGAGGACGCCCCTGATATCACCCGACTCTCGGTCAGCAAGCGCCCCTCCTAGCCCCGCCAAAGATGCCCCATCCAAGGCGCCACCTCTGAAAGACTCCATATCTTTCACGAGGTTTGTCACTGTCCTGATAGGTATATGGTCGGCGAACTTGGTTTTTGCTTTCCAAAGCACCGCGATTCCTACGTTGGCGCCCGAGATCGGCAGCTGGTTTGAACACGCAGAGTTGGCCTCTTATCTCGGGAGCATGTTTACTCTGGCCAACACTGCTGGTGCGCAGTCTACGTACTACCTTTGAGCTTGCTTACACATTTATAGTCATACCAATATATGGCGTCCTCATGGAAGTTTTGGGAAGAAAAACAGCGATCGTTATAGCTTGCGTTTTGTTTGGCTCTGGAACGATATTATGCGCGCTGGCAGGCAACATGTACACTCTGATAGGAGCTCGAGTATTTGCAGGGGTGAGATCAGCCAATCTAAAATGCCCACAATCTTGCTCATTCATGATAGCTGGGAGGTGGGGGCCTCTTGACGGTCTCTAGCGTCATCGTCACCGACCTGGTTCCTCTGCGAGACCGGGGATTCTACCAAGGTGAGTTTTCCTGGAATGTCATGCATTGCGTCTAAAACTTATACCACCTCTTGAGGCCTTATGATGACTGTCTTTGGAAGCGGTTCTATGTTGGGAGGGCCAGTGGCGGGATGGTTGACGGACGGATTCAAGGTTGGATGGCATTCGGCGTTCTGGGTTCAGGTGAGTTCCAGCTCTGGTACCGTCTTCACTCTGGCTGACCCTTCTTCGAGCTACCCGTCACGGTCTTTTGCTGCATCATAGTCGTAACATTCCTTCCATCACCTGCTATTCCACCCACCCACACCTCCCTCCTATCCGGTCTTGCATCTTTGGATTGGCTCGGCACCATCCTCCTTGTCACCTCCATATCAGCACTGATACTTGGATTCTCCTTCCACACCTCATATCTGAAGCCACTCACGTCACCCGTGGTGTGGGGGCTACTCTTGTTTTCGATTATAAGCGCGATCGCGTTCTTGCTTGTGGAGATGAAGGTTGAGAGACCAGTGCTGCCACTCCGGCTTTTCAAGTCGAACCATTTGGCTGCGGTCATGCTGAGTGGATTCTTCTTGTCGATTGCCAACCAGTCTTTTGTGAGTAGCATTTGTTACGCCCATGGAAACCACCAACTGACATGCATCAGACATATCAAATGTACAGCAGCCCGCCCCCATGGTCGAATACGGAAGCTGATCACATTGCAGCCCCGTCTACTTTCTAGTGATACTCGGCACCACCACTGCCAAAGCCGGGCTCATTATTTCGCTCTGCAGCGGTCTAGGTCTTGCCACAGGATCTTTGCTTGCCGGACAGTCAGTGTCATCTTTTTCCTCCTCTCGTCGCCGCTGATCTCAATCCTCTCTTAGATATATCAGAAGTGGATATCCCTACAGATGGCTAGGTCCCATTGCCCTTGTCCCAGCCGTGACAAGTGCTCTGATAGCTGCAAGCTGGACGGTCCAATGGCCATGGTGGGGATACTATGCGACGGTCTTTCCGTCCGTGTTGGGTTATTCGACCTTTCTTTGCGTTCAGCTGGGCAAGTCTTCCGTCTCCTCTACTACCCCAAGGGATACGTGCTGACTGGCGATTGTAGTGGCGATGGTGTCCAGTGTGGACAGTAAAATCATGGTACGTAACCCTGTCCTCTAAGGCTCTTTCGGCTCATCATCATCAGCCGAAAGCCACCGCTCTCTTGTACGCCACGCGAAGTCTGGGTGCCACGCTCGGTGTGAGCATTGGAGGCTCCATTCAGCTCGGTGCCCTAGCGACTCAGCTGCGCGCCCAGTTTCAAGGGGTGGATCATCAGGAGCAGGTGAGCTTCATACAGTTCAAGAGGAATCGCGCTAACAGTGATGGGCGACAAGATCATAGACGCCATCCTTCATTCAAAATCCGCCATCTCTCTCTTGTCCCCCTCCCTACAGCCCCTCGCCCTTGCTGCATACTCCAGCTCCCTGTCAACTGTCTGGCTCGTAAGCTCCGCGGTAGCCGTCCTCACTCTGCTATGTTCGTTCTTCATACAGGTTCATCATGTCGACGAGGAGGAGAACAAAGTATTCCAAGGGACCGGAGGAGGGCTGAACGATGATCCGCCTTTTGGACAGGCGTTGGGAGAGGCTAGCTCGGAAGGTGAGAGTCATTAGAATAGAGTAGAAAATACGCATGGCGCTTTAGTTCAGACAGGGTGTAGAACCAGTAGAGGTGCATTGTTACAGGATGATATCATCCTATATATACGAAGCATTGATAGAACATGATTGTATCACATTCGTTCTCATGAAAGATCCTCTCCGGCTTCTATCCTCCCCAGGATATTCTTGGCTAGCACTTTCTCCTCCGTATACAACCCCTCCATCATCTCCAGCATCGTCTGTCTCTCTGCAATTGATCCCTTCTCAGTCTTGAGTTCCTTGTCCAGCTTTTTCAGATTCTTCAACCTTTTCTCAGCTTCCTGGACCACCCTCGCGCAGATATGCTCCAAAGACGACATGACAGCGAGCTCGTTTGACGGAGAGACGTAGGTCGAGTATCCTTGTTGGATACCAGTGAGCTTGGGTGAGCCTTGAGGGAGGTGCAAGACACGAAGGGTCATGAGAAGAGAGTGGGAGGGGTGTGGAGGAGAGGGTTGTGCGTGTATGATGTTGGCGCTATTGTGGGTCAGCAAGGCCATGCAGATAGAACAGAGAAAGTAGACGCGCCCCCAGCATCCGATACCCTCCAGCGCCTTTCGCTTTTCACCTTTTTCTCCGTCTTCTTCGTCCTCTTCCAAAGACCCTACCTTTTCCGCCCACAACTCATCCACAATCCACCCCACATCGAGCTCTCCATACTTTAGATTCAACCACTTTTGATCATCGGCCCCATCTGGCTCTTCCAAGAAACCATACTCTGCCAGCAGAGTCGCGTTGTCATGCCCGCCGTATTCAAACATGACTTCTTCGCCTTGTGCCATCTTGCGCTCTGGGGCGACGAGTTCGAGATCAATCTTGCCTGGGACGAGGTGGAGACCGTTGCGGGAGTAGCGGGTACCGTGGCTGGCCCAATCGTCGGAACTTGTAGACTTATGGGATTTCTTGGCGCGCGTAGTGGATGACGCTGGTGTGGGGGTGGGAGCAGGGAGTTGTTTTACACGTGGGGCAGTAACAGAGGGATCTGAAGAATGATTGATCATATCGAGGATGGGAACCAGTGTGTGGTTCATCCTCTCTGTAGGGCCTGGTAAGCCGAGAGGGATGGATATAGATCGAGTATTGACTGCCAGTCAGATTAGCGAAAGATGAAACATAGAGGGAGGGGGGCATACTATTGAGCCATGCCCAGAGTAAATCTTCTTCTGTCAATGTTGTTGCTAGGGAATGAGATTTGAATGGTTCCTCGGTACGCTTTCATTATACGTTAGCGTATGCCACGGGTCAAGGAAGAGAGGCTCACCAGAGTGGACAATATCACAGCCTTGTCCGCGTCATATCGCTTCTTCACCTCTGCCACTTTCAATTTCAAGGTCGGTGATGCGTGATTTTCGTACAAATCAGCCCACCATTTCCAGCCTTCCACTGCCTCTTTTGTTCCGGGGTCTGGTTTGACGAGCCACGTTAATGGGTGCCAAGGCCTGAAATCTTTGGGAAGCGTTTCGAGGTATACCTGCCAGTCTGATGTATATCTCTTGTGAGGGTCTCGGCTCAGAGCGAGATGGAGCGTGAGAAGCTCGGTGGTGTCTAGCTGCTGGCTTTGCGACGAGTCAGTGCCAGCAGGCGAGGTTTTGAGGCGCTTTGAAGAGTTGGCGGCTGATGTGACATGTGATGGTTGGGGAAAGAGATGTCGGGGGATGGAAAAGTTTGGGCCTTTTGATAGGACTTTGGAGGTCGAGTCGGAGGCAAGGAGAGTGAGGGGGTTGAGCATGGAGGCAGCTGGGATGTGCAGTAACGTGGCTCGCTCCTGTGACAGGTCAGAGGTGTCTCTTGCCTGATATTGTTCGTACCTTTACATCTTCCGTGACAACAAGACCACGAAGAACACCTGGTGTGTATCAGAAGCTGTAGAGGTTTGGGTGCTGCATGGGACTCACCTGGGGTATCCCTCAACTCAATGTTCATGCGAAACCCCACATGGCATTCCTCGAACCATGCCACAAGACTGTCCCAATCCTGCGATTCTTTACTAGGCATTATGCTGGTTGGGTTAGGGGTTGGAAAAGCAGGGTACCACTGAAGAGTGCAAGATATATGACTCGAATGCATTCCAAATGCATCCACCGGATTACGGCGTACTGAGTCATCGAAGCGGTGACATGGAACTTTTGCGCTTGGTTCTCGCGCCTTCTCTCCGTCGGCCTCCTGCCGTCTTTCTCAAGTCTTTCTGCACATCAATATGGTCAACCCAGACGAGGACACGGAATTGTAGGTACACTGCACCACAACCACCGCCATTGTTGACGCATGACAGTAACGACGCCCTTCGGCATCATGGTATTCTGCCCCCCAAACCACCCTCGCGCTCGCCCTCCCCCGACATCCCCCACATCTCTCATACCGACGCTGTGCGAGCCGTAGCAGCCACAGCCGATGCGGACCAGCTTGTTACGCTACTAGAAGCAGATAACCTAGATTCAGACGATGAGAGGATGTTTGAAGAGTACAAGCAAAAGAGGCTGGATGAGATGAGGAAAGAGGAGAAGAGGGGCAGGTTCGGCACGATGGAACCCCTAGGTCGAGAAGACTTTGTGAGGGAAGTCACAGAAGGAAGCAAGGTGGATCCTGATGCTCCTGCTGAAGAGGAAAAGGAGGATGAGGAGGACAAGCCGTCGTCGAGATTAAAAGGCACTGGCGTTGTCGTCTTTTTGTTTAAGGACTCGTAAGTATGCCACTTTCAATTGTACAATGACTAACAGACGTACAGTGTGCCCCTATCTCAGCATCTTCGCCCCCTTCTATACCAGCTCGCTGCGGTCCACACTTCTACAAAGTTCCTCTCCATCCCCGCCGGTCTCTGCATCGCCAACTATCCCGACAAGAACGTCCCGACGTTGTTGATATATCGAGATGGAGAGCTGGTCAGGAATGTGGTCGCTGGTGCCGGACTCAAGGGGATGAAGACTACTGTCCGAGGTGCGTCACTTGGCACATTGATCTTGATCGTGCTGACCATTGAGAGTAGATCTCGAGGCGCTGCTCTTGTATTTCAAGGCTATCGAGAAGCCTTCGTCGGCTCTTCAACGAGCGGAACGTCAGGGCGATGATTCCGATTCTGATCTGGATCATGATTTTAATGACGGGGTGGGGACTATCAATGGCCGAGGCGGGGGTCTGAGAACGGGCGGGACGGGGGTGGGGACGGGGCGTGGGAAGGAGGAGAGCGATGACGATGACAGCGACTTTGACATGTAGAATAACGCAGCTGGCTCTGAGCATCCCATGCATATGTAACATCCCATGCATGGCTTCATTTGGTCCATAGCATCTGGCTGCACGCGAGAGCCACGTGGATCCGGGTACTGGTTGGCCGGTGATGTCGCCTCTTTGTTGTTTTTGCGCTGCAGCATCTCCATCTCCATCTACATCTCCATCTACATCTCCATCTACATCTCTCCAGCACATGTCCCCCCTCCACTTCACAGACCACGTCGTCCTCGTCACAGGCGCAGCCAGCGGCATCGGCAGGGTGTAAGTCATCCCCGCCCACACCCTCAGCGCTCACTTCCTCCAGCTACGCACGCTTCTATGCCGCCAGGGGCGCCAAAGTCGTCGTCAACGATGTCTCTCATAAATCCGCACAGGCTGTCGTAGACGAGATCAACAGCGGTACGTGGTCACAGACAGCGTGCGATCCCTACTCATAGGCCGTAGCTGGAGGCAAAGCCGCCATCGCCCTTGGGTCTGTCACGGAAGGCGACAAGATCGTTGCCCAAGCCGTCAAGGCCTTCGGGACAGTACATGTACTCATCAACAATGCTGGTATATTGCGTATGTCATGACTGCTCTCGCCACCCTGCATAGGTTGCTGATCTGTATCCAGGCGACAAGGCGTTCAAGAACATGACCGATGAACAGTGGGACCTCGTCATCGCTGTCCACCTCAAGGGGGCCTTCTCTTGCTCCAAAGCAGTGTGGCCTTTGTTCAGACAGCAGAAGGTGCGCGCAGTGTCACTGCGAGAAAGACGTGTGCTGACTTGCTCAGTTTGGACGAATCATCAACACCTCTTCAGCAGCTGGGCTTTACGGCAACAGAGGACAGGCCAACTATTCCGCAGCCAAGAGTGAGTCTCATACCTCAATTGTATCGATAAGATGTTGACCCTCCCAAAGGCGGACTTGTCGCGTTCACCCGGACTTTGGCCAGGGAGGGCGCCAAGTATGACATCAAGGCGAATGTAATCGTACCGGTAAGTTCTTCACTCATTCTCACAGGAGGTGCTGATCCTCTACAGATAGCTGCATCGGCCATGACCGAGACTATCATGCCACCCGACATGCTCAAAGGCCTGAGGCCAGAGTTTATCGCCCCCTTCGTCGGGCTGTTGACCGCCAAGAACGGGCCGGATGTGAATGGACGCATCTTTGAGCTTGGTGCGGGCTTCTTCTCTGAAGTTCGTTGGGAGAGGTCTAAAGGTTCGTTTCATCCACACTCCCACGCCCAAGACCGCTAACATGAAACAGGCGCCATCTTCAGAGCCGACGACACCTTCACCCCCTCCGCCGTTGCTCTCAAATGGGACCAAGCGAGCGACTTTACCCAATCCGACCATCCCCTCAATACTACCGACGGGGATATGGCAGGTTGGGCCAAGCAGGCTGCTACGTCTCCACCCAACAAGCAACTTTCGCCTCCTATCGACTTCAAGGGAAAGACTGTAATCATTACTGGGTCTGGTGCAGGCCTTGGTAGAGCTTATGCTTTGATGTTTGGCGGTCTCGGCGCGAACGTGGTCATCAATGATGTGGTGCAGGACAACGCTGCCAATGTCGTCAAGGAAGTCGAAGCTCGTATGTTCTCTTTCATGCTCAGCGTACGTCGCTGACTCGATATAGTCGGCGGAAAGGCTGTGGCAGCAGTGTGCTCTGCTGAAGAAGGCGAGAAGATTGTCAAGGCCGGTGTGGATGCCTTTGGCACCATCGATGTGCTTGTGGCCAATGCCGGTATCTTGCGAGACAAGGCTTTCGTAAACATGACTGAGCAAATGTGGGACCAGGTCATCCAGGTCCATCTCCGTGGCACTTTCAAGGTGAGATCCCTCCATCAATGCCAAGCTCGAAACTGAACGACTGGTAGTGTGCCAAAGCGGTTTGGCCCATTTTCGAGAAGCAGGGACACGGACGCATCATCACCACCGCCTCCCCTAACGGCATCTTTGGCACAGTAGGCCAAGCCAATTACTCTGCTGCCAAAGCCGCCATCATCGGTCTCACCAGATCTCTCGCTATAGAGGGCGAAAACAAGGGCATCCACGTCAATTGCATCGCTCCCAGGGCTGCCACAGCTATGACGGCGACCGTCTGGACCAAAGAGTTGATGGACATCTTCAAGCCCGAGACTGTGGCGCCTGTCGTGGGATTCCTCGCTTCTGACGCCTGTGAAGATAATGGAACGTTCCATGAGGTGTTTGGGGGTTATGTGGGAAAGATGAGGTGGGAGAGGACTTATGGCGCCGTCTTCCCAAATGACAAGGAAGTGACGCCCGAGCAAATTCTCGGCAAGTGGAAGCAGATCACCACCTTTGACGATCGTTCCAGTCACCCCTCTTCACCCTCTGAGGCTTTGCAGCAAATCGTCGAAAACTTTGAGAATACTGCCCGAGAAGCGAGCGAAGGTGTGGAAAGCTTTGAGGATCCAGAAGACACGGAGGAGATCAAGGCTGCCAAAAAGGTGGAACCAGAGGCGCACGAGTTCCCTTACCAGGAGCGCGATGTCATCCTGTACAACCTCGGAGTCGGCGCCAAGGTCGAAGAGCTCCAGTGGGTCTATGAAAACGCTGATGGGTTCACTGTGAGTCTACTGCCGTCGTATGCGGATTTCGGCTGACGCCAACAGGCTCTTCCTACTTTCGGAGTCATTCCCCAGTTTGGCAGCTCCCACACGATCGACATTGGCTCTATCGTCCCCAACTTTAACCCCGCGAAATTGCTCCACGGCGAACAATATCTCAAGATCAAAGCTCCGATTCCCACATCTGGCACCCTCGTCAGCTATGCCCGCCTTCTAGAGGTACTCGATAAGGGTAAGGCTGCTTCGGTGACTTATACCATCGAGACAAAGGATAAGGAGACGGGCGAGGTCATCTTTGAGAATCAGAGTACCACTGTTTTGAGAGGCAGCGGTGGGTTCGGCGGAAAGAGGAACGGTAATGGTGAGCTTGCACTATCGTGGAAAGATGTCTGGCTGACGCGTGTCAGACCGTGGCGCAGCGACTGCTCTCAATGCGCCCCCAAAGAGGAAGCCCGACGCGGTCATGGAGGAGCAAACAACTCTCGAGCAAGCCGCCATCTACCGTCTCTCTGGCGATTGGAACCCTCTCCATATAGACCCCGAGTTTTCCTCCATTGGTGGCTTCCCCAAGCCTAGTAAGTCTATTCCTGTCTCGGCTGGGGATTATACTGAAGAAATCAAGTTCTTCACGGTCTTTGTTCGATGGGAATTGCAGGCAAGCATGTACTCAAAGCTTTCGGGCCTTATGAGGATATCAAAGTCCGTTTCGCTGGGACTGTCATCCCGGGAGAGACGCTGGTCACCGAGATGTGGAAAGAAGGCAACAAGGTCATCTTCAGTAAGTTCCAAAGAGCTCATCCCGAGATTGGCGCTGATGAGATCGACTAGCCACCAAGGTGAAAGAAAGGGGAGCACCTGCTTTGAGTAACGCGGCCGTTACCCTTGTGGAAGGGGAGAAGCCCATGAAAGCCAAATTGTGATCTTGTTGGAAAGTGCCTGCAAATAGTCTCAAAAGAAAAGGAGGAGTGATTCTGCCTGGTAAATGTCTGGTGTCTATGTATTTCTGTCTGGTGATGATTGTTCGCTGCTCTTGTATCAATGCATGTGTTTTTCTAGTCACAGTACTTTAGTGAGATTGAAGAACATCGTTTGACTTGGCCATATATCTGGTCTAGATCAGATGGCCACTTCCCTTAAGGTGTATCTTTGTCTTTTACTTTCTACCCCTTGTCTTCATTCATGATAGTTCGCCATCGTTTCGCTGTTACATCCTTACACGAGTACGCTGTTCAATTGTTTCCGCCCCGATGGCTCGGCCGCCGTCCGCCGTCGCGTCAGTCTGCATATGATGTCAGTGTGTGCTCTGTAGCTTGATGTCTGAATGCGCTTTCTGACGGTGAATACAAGCAGCAACTGTATCATGTCGACTTCATCCAATTACATGAAGGCTCTGGTCGTACCACAACCAGGCGTGTCAGTACAGCAGGTTCCTAAAGAGACGAGTTCACTTGGCTAATGTGGGCCGGTCAGAGAGCATTACCACCTCCAGGACCTCCCCATCCCCGTTCCTAGGGCGAATCAGGCTCTGATCCGCCTCCGGGCATCTGGACTATGTCACACAGACTCGATAGTCCGTGATGGCAGCTTTGGGGCGAATTGGCCGTTGATAGGCGGCCACGAGCCTGCAGGTGAAATTGTGGCGCTCGGAGGTTCAGAGAGTGGGCTGAATGTCGGCGAGAGGATTGTTGCACTTCTTCCTAGAGATCTTTGCGGTTGGTCCATCTCATTCTGTCTGGATACGAGGACATACAAGACGAGAGACTGGGGGTTTATATAGAGCCGATACTGATAAAGATTTCGCCAGGTAAGTGCCCCGATTGCACACTAGGGGACTGGAAGTGGGTGACCCTTCTATCTCGTAAATACCTTGTAGGCTTATGGTGTCAGATACTGCAAAGAAGCCAGCCTTGGTGGTATCAACGCCGACGGCTACTTTAGTCAATACGCTGTCGTAGAAGCCAAATTATGTGTTCCATTGCCAGCCAACATGACTTTTGAGCAGGTCTGTGGTTCTGCTTTGTACAATGTACCGGCGCTGATCATGCCCATAGGCAGCCCCGCTGAGCTGTGCGGGGGTCACAGTATATACGGCTATCAAAAAGGCTGGCCTAAAAGCAGGAGACGTCATTGCGATCAGCGGCCTTGGAGGACTCGGATACCTGGGTGTACAGATGGCAAAAGCTTTGGTACGTATGTTCGAATTGGACTGAGGGATCCCGCTCATGCATGAAATCAGGGGCTGAAAGTTGTAGCAATCGATGCTCGACCAGAGCCGTTATTACTCGTCGGTAAACTAGAGGCCAAGCTTCGCCCAGACCTTATTGTCGATGCCAGCTCGACAAACGCAGAAGATATCGTGCAAGCCATCAAGACTCTTCGGGATGGCAACTATGTCGGCTGGGAAGGGGTTGACGGTGCGCATTGCCACGGGATGGCGAAAAAAAGCTCATCAATATCTTAGCTTCCGTCCTCACATCCCCCGCCCCATCATCCTATGGCTACGCTGCCAATCTCACGCGGTCTCACGGTCTCTTGGTCCTTATAGCCCAACCGCCAAAGCTCGAGTTTGAATATCCCCTTTTCCTCGCCAAAGATTTGACTTTGAAAGGTTCACTGCATGGCAATGAGGTTGATCTGAAGGAGACAATGGAATTGTGCGCCAAGTTTGGCATCCAATCGGACGTCAAAACATTCACGATCGATCAGCACGAATGGATGTTGGACGAGGTTCAGCACCACAACTGGAAGGGAAAAGCTGTCCTTCTGTTCTGATAGGTTGATATTCAGGCTAGTCCTTGATCATATATAGTCCTATGTACATGCACGACCTAAATGAAGACTATTCTGCAATCTCTGTAGCTCATGATGTGCACTTTTAAGCACCCTCAACCCTCTTCTTGTATACAGTCGTGGCAATGACGATGGCCTCGTCAATCTTATCAACTTCGCTTCCAACACCAGTAGCACTGTCGTCTCGTCCACCGCCCTGTTGATCATGTCAGCTGGACTCCGAAAAAAGAATGCGAGGCTTACCTTTCCACCAAGAACCTTGGCAACCTCATTCAACCAGATCTTTGCATCAAGCTTCTTTTCCGCAACGACCTCCTTGGGCAAGTAGTTGATATGGGCGATCTTGCCAGTCTCGGGATCGGCGCTGAAAGCGTAGATGGCTTTACCGGTAGACTTACCAGCGGTAGCAGCAGCAGCCAAAGTTTTGGAGTTGCCTCCGACGTCGAACGAGGCGGCAAAGACGTTCTCATTAGGGTTCTCCTTGAAGTAGGCTTTGATTGTCTCGGTCACCTGTGTGGTGTGAGTCAAGCTGGACGATAGAGAAAAGAAAGACTCACAATCTTGGAGTCGGCGGCGATCTTGGCCTTGGCAGCAGCCGCAAGCTCTCCAGCCATCTTCTCAAATTGCTCTTTCAAGGCGCTCTTCTTGATGAGGGAGATACCGCTCTGACCGAGTTCCTACACATCGTTAGTGCTGGGTCGTGACCTCACAAAACAAGACTTACAGTCAAGAACGGTTTCATCGCAGCCTCCTTCTCCTTGCCCTGCAGCCCTCGGATGGTCTCCAACTTCCTCTCATACTCGACAGCCCTTCTTGAGACTTCATGGGCATCGTGTCCGGTAACAGCAACCACACGCCTGATACCCTTGGCGATTGAAGACTCCTCAACAATGACAAAGTCCTTGATATCGTCCGTCTTGGCAACGTGTGTACCACCGCAGAACTCGATACTCGTGGTCGCCCACCTCTTGTCCTCGATGTTGGCAGCGATTTTTTCCAGAGAGAAACCAATGGAGACGACTCGAACAGGGTCGGGGTAAGCCTCACCAAAGACCGCACGAAGACCAGGAATCTTGTGCGCCTCGGCCAAAGCCATCTCCTTTGAGTAGACAGGGGCAGCCTTCTTGATCCACTCATTGGAAATCTCCTCAATCTTGGTTAATTGAGGAACGGTGATGGATTTGTTGTGGGAAAAGTCGAATCGGAGCTTTGTCGGCGCAACAAGGGAACCTCGCTGGTCGATGTGGTCACCGAGAACCTCACGGAGGGCAAAGTTGAGGATGTGAGTACCGGTGTGGTTATTACGGATGGGCCATCGTCGGAGCTAGACAGTGTCAGCGCAGCGCTATGCCTCTTTCCGCCCGACTCACCTCGTCGTAGGTGCAGATCACCTCGTCTCCAACCTTGATCTCACCCTCTTCAAGCTGACCAACGTGCAAGACATAGCCGTTGTATACCTGCACGTCGGCGACCTTGAACTCGGCCTGACCATCGATGGCGAGCACACCAGTGTCATACTCTTGACCACCAGACTCGGCGTAGAAGTTGGTCTTGTCCAAAAGGACACCAAAGACAGAGTTGGGAGGGAGTTCAGAGGTGGAAGAGTAGAATCTGGAAGAGTGGTAAATGCTCTTGACAGTGGCGGTAATGTCCTCGCGGCCGTACTTGGCAGAGTCGTCGGTTTTGGGGACGGCGTCGTTGGCCTCGAGAGCACCCAAGTCGTGCACATCAAGCTTGACCTGCGCGCCAGCCTTTTCCTTTCCGCCAGCCTTACTCGCCTCAAGCGACTCGAGCCTGGCCTTTTCGAAAGCTTCCTCGTCGACCTTCAAGCCACGCTCCTCCGCCATAATCTGAGTAAGATCGACGGGGAAACCGTAGGTGTCGTATAACCTCCAGATATCCTTTCCAGAGAGAACGGTCCTCTTTTCTTCGTGAGCAAGGGCGGCGTACTTGTTGAAGAGAGCTTCGCCTCGAGTGAGGGTTCGGGCGAAAGAAGCCTCTTCCTCGTCAAGAATCTCGATGAGCTCCTTGCGCTTGCTATTGACCTCGGGGAAGATGGGTTCCTACACACGGTTACACACGGTTAGCGAGGCTTCATGTGATACAAAGTACGCACCAGAGACTCGATGACAGTAGGCACAAGGGAAGAGAAGAATGAACCGATCTTGACGTTGAACTTGCTGCTCGCGTATCGCACACCTCGTCTCAAAATTCGTCGGAGGACATAGCCTCGGCCGTCCTTGTCGGGGACACCGCCGTCGGAGATGGCAATGGTGAGGGTCCTGATATGGTCGGCAATGACTCTATAGGCAGTGTCGATGCCGTCCTTGTCGGCCTCTCCAAGCTTGCCCTCGTAGGCTCGCGCACCAGTCAACTCCTGGATTTTGGCAAAAATGGGAGTAAAGACATCAGTGTCATAGTTGGATCGGACATCGTGGAGGACAGAGACGAGACGCTCGAAACCCATACCAGTGTCGACGTGCTTGGCAGGAAGGGGACGGAGCTCGCCAGATTGCTCTCGGTTGTATTGAATGAACACATTGTTCCAGATTTCGAGGACGTCGGGGTCGTCTTCGTTGACGAGATGGGCAGCTTCACGGCCGCCGATGCGGTCAAAGTGAATTTCGGAACAGGGACCGCAAGGGCCGGTGGCACCCATTTCTACAACATGTCAGCATTCTCGTTTTCTGGGAGCTCTTTCACGTACCCCAGAAGTTGTCCTTGGCGTTACCGGGTAAAATATGGCTCTCGGGAACACCGAGATCTCTCCAGAGCTGCTGAGCCTCCGTGTCGGGCTCCAGACCCTGTTTGGCATCACCTTCAAAGTAGGTGACATAGAGTCTGTCTTTGGGGAGGCCATAGACACGGGTGAGGAGATCCCAGGCCATGGTGAGGGCGCCGAGCTTGAAGTAGTCGCCGAATGACCAGTTGCCCAACATTTCAAAGAATGTGTGGTGGTAGGTGTCCTTTCCCACATCGTCGAGATCTGCACCTTATCAGTATCGGCTCAAAGGATGTCCGGGTATTTCGGGTACATCGAGTCGAATTAACTGACCGTTGTGCTTGCCACCCGCGCGGATGCATTTCTGGCTGTTGACCGCACGGACCAGCCTGGACAGGTCGCTCTTGGGGTCGGCGGTGCCCAGGAAGAGCGGCTTGTACTGATTCATACCCTGTGGGATGTCAGCGAGATCGAGTAGACGGGGAAAAGGACACGTACAGCGTTGGCAAAAAGAAGGGTGTCATCGTCAAAGGGGATAACTCCACTCGATTTCCAGAAAGTGTGCTCAAACTGAGGTTGCTTTTGGAAGTACTCGATAAAGGTCTGCCTGACCTTTGCCGCGGGCCACTGTTCGGGCACGGGCCAGGCGTGTGGGGGAGTGGTAGGGACAGCAGGCTTGTCGTTGGCGCCCATTCTGAGTCTGGTGGGGTGGGTGGTGGTAGTTGTAGCAAAAGACCTGAACGAGAGGCGAGGGAAAGAGCTAAGCTGAGTGGTGACTGTGCGAAGTGTCGAAGGGGGGAGCATGCACCGATGCTTTATAGGGCGTGACGATGTTTACCGGCTCGAGAAGTGGTATGGAGAAAAGCGGCCGGAGATGGAGGACGAAAGGAACAAGACAGAAGTGATGTTCGATAGCAGCGAGGAGTCGAAAGTTCGAAACCTTTGCTCGCCGGGTGTCCCGATCGGGCCCTTTGTGGTCATCGTTCTCTCGTCCTTCCTCGTTCTTCCTCGTTCTTCCTTTCTTTCTGCAAGGAATCAGGTTTGCCACAGCATAGTCCCAATGCTGCAGCCTCCGTGAGGCATTGGTAAAGCACATGCAGTTGACCCGAACCCCTCATCCAGTGATAACCGGCTTGCGCCGAAGATAAGATACGTTATCAACTCTCGTCAACTGACACGGGTTCTTGTGGTAATGCTGCTTAACAATTGCTCGCAGATTCACTCTCGTACTCTATAAATTGCCAACTATCTCGATCTGTAGCAACCAAAGCTCCTCAGACATGGCCGACGCCTGGCAGTCCAGAGCTGCCCAATATCGACAAGACCTCCAAGAGTCCATCCCTCCCGAATGGAGGATTTCGGTCACCCCATCATGCTACCCCGTTTCCGAATACCTCTCCCAAAGCTCCCTCTTTACCCATACCGAGCAGTCGATTCTCAAATCGGATGCCACCGGCCTTCGAGACGCCATCGCAGCTCGTGAATTCTCAGCATGCTCTGTTACGGTGGCATATGCCAAAGCTGGAGCGGTAGCCCATCAGACGACCAACTGCTTGTTCGATTTCTTTCCAGATGAAGCAATCCAGAGGGCAAAATGGCTCGATGAAGAGTTGGAAAAGGGCGGACCTGTGGGGGCTCTGCACGGGGTGCCGATATCAGTCAAGAGTGGGACTTCTTGGCCAGTGGATGTTCAAGGCTGATTTGGTCGTTAGGTTCTTTCGGCATCAAGGGGCATCGAATGACAAGGGGATTTCTCAGCGACGTCGACAGTGCGCCCGCAGAAGAGGATGCTACCATCATTTCTATCCTTCGGAACGCCGGGGCTGGTACGTATCCTCCCCGGTCTATCCCAGAATCATGCTCAAAATCTACAGTGTTCATCCTCACCACCGCCCTCCCCCAGTCCATCATGCACCTAGAAACAGACTCTTTCCTCGGGCCTTGCTTGAACCCGCACAATCCCAAACTGACTCCCGGCGGAAGCTCGGGAGGGGAGAGTGCCATTATTGCTGCTGGGTGCAGTGTCCTAGGGTGAGTCGTACAAAAATGTATTAATTGCTGTGACTGATGTGGTATAGGATTGGATCTGATATCGGTGGGAGTATACGAGCTCCGGCTGGAGCCGCTGGCATATTTGGATTCAAGCCCACTGCCATCCGTCTTCCCAAATCTGGCTGTACCGTACGCCTCTTTCCCCGCTCATGTTCCCAGCTCATCAGGTATAGTCGATGATGCCCGGCCAAGAAGCAATCCCAGGTGCCTTTGGTCCGATGGGTAAATCTCCTAGGGACATGGAGCTCTTTGTCCATACCGTCCTCCAAGCAGAAACGTGGAAGACGGACCCGACCCAAGCAGGGATGCCCTGGGTTCCTGGACGGGTAAACTGGGTGGGAGGGGACAAACCGAGGGTGGGGGTGATGTGGGATGATGGAGTGGTCGTGCCGCAGCCACCTATCCAACGAGCACTGAAGACGGCTGCAGACTCGTTGAAGAAGGCAGGGTATGAGGTGGTCGACTTTGAGCCATTCAAAGCTGCAGAGTCTTGGGAACTCGTCGTAAGCACTCGCGGTCTTGAGAGCATTCTGATGACATGACAGTCGTCGCTCTACTTTACTGATGGGGGAGCTCGAATCATCAAATGTGCGGCAGAGTCGGGCGAACCGGTCTTGCCTCTTACCAAGTGGATCATGTCACAGAATTGCCGAGAGAGGACGATGGAAGAGCTTCATGAAGTAAGCTCTTTCATGCCTACTCTACTTCAGAGCTGATTGTACAGCTTGTGAGAACACGAGATAAATTCCGAGCAAATTTCAATCACCACTTGTCAGCTTCTGGCGTCGACATCATACTATCTCCTACGGGCTACGGGCCGGCCCAGCCCTTAGAAACGACAGCCTACTGGTCCTATACATCCATGTGGAACCTCTTGGATCTTCCTTCGGCAAGTTTTCCCACCGGCCTCTTTGTAGATGTTGCATTGGATGGGAAGCAGACAAGGGAGATGTATCTTGGCGAGGAAGATGCAAAGATTCATGCTAGATGTAAGTAGGCAGTCACCCTCTGAGACAATGTCATGATTAACTGCCGCGTCAGATGACCCACACCTGTTGGTGGGCGCACCTCTGAGTCTGCAGATTGCAGGTAGTCGATGGGAAGACGAGAAGGTGATGGAGGCATTGAATTTGGTATCTCGGGTAGTGCAAGGGGATACAAAGTAGGATGGACGATGTATCTGTCATAAGAAGTCCAAAGCTCAAAGAGCGCTTGAAGAAGCGACGCGTCAGGCGACGCGTTCATGTTTTTGCTTTTCGTCGGTGCCTGGTTTCAGTGTTGCTGTCGCTGGGCATACGCAGCTTTTCGAGGGCCGAGGGGGGCAGCGGGCGGGGGCGGGAGGGGGCATGGGGGATGGAGGATGGGGGATGGGGGATGGGCAGACGTGCTCCCATGCATGCAGCCCACAGCCCCCCCCCCTGCAGCTTCTCTCTTCCACTAGCTCAGGGCGGCGTTGGCCGGCGAGCGCCCCCTTTTCTCCCGTCGTCGTCTCCCTTCTTTCATCCCTCTTCCTCCTCTCTTCTCTCCATCGTCTGCACCGTCCCGCCCCACGTCCACCCTCGCCTCGTCCTTCTCCTTCTCCCTTCTCCCCCTCGACTATACCCCGCCGCTTTCTTCCGCTTTCGCTCGGCACAGCACAGATCAGCCCTGGCAAACAAAGCTACCGACCTCGCGACGCTTCGCGATATCACGCTCTCTATTCCTCCTCCCGTATATCTGCCATGCCTAGGCTCCCCCTTCTTCTTACCACCGCCACCCTCGCTCTTCTCCCGGGCCTCTCGGCCTTCTCATTCTCTTTCAGCCACGGGCCAGCCTCTTGTGATCAGGCGGTGGTGACATGGTCGGGCGGCCAGTCGCCCTACTCTTTGACCATCATAGTAAGCTTGAGCCGACAGGCGGTAGAGTATAGCTGATGCGAATCCAATAGCCTGCGTATGACTATCCAACGACCGTTAGTATACCTGACAGCGCATACGATGATGCATCGGGCACTGGTTCATACAATTGGACGGCCAACTGTTTGTATTTCCAAGGATCGAGGAGATCGTGTTGCTGATTCACATCCCAAAGATCCTTCTGGAACGAGTTTCGTCGCCATGATGTCTGATGACTCTGGTACCGGTGTAGGTCGCCTCATGGACTAGCAAAGCGACCGCTGACGCTCGTAGACTGGCGGCGTATCTGAGCTATTCAACATATCTAGCGCATCTTCAGAATCCTCGTGTGATATGAGGTCAGAGGAGACTGATTTCTTGTAAGTGACTAGCTTCCCACTATAGACATAGCTAATATGCTCTAGGTTCTATCTCAATGAGACTTCTCTTACTGTGAGCCCGAGCGGTGTCAAGATCGGGCTGTGCTGATGACTATGCAGCAATGTCAAGGCGTAGAAGTGTATTGGGACGATTCTGCTGTGTCTCCCGTGTCCATCATCGGTGCCATCCCTGGTGGACAAGTTTTTCAGCTCGTATCGAGTGATGAAAAGACCACTTCCATGGGTAACTCGGCGCATTGTGAACACGGCGATTCAAGCTGACATTTTTTCTAGTCTGGAGTACCAACGTCCAAGCTGGGACGGATGTTATATTTGCCGCATTCGACTCTGGTACTCACCTCCAAGGAGGGTCGAGCGACATTCTGACCATCCAGGGATCTGGCGACAATTCTTGCATAGATGACGCTTCGCCTTCGTCAACGCCAGCGGCTTCAACGGCAACGCAGACTGGGGCGTCAGGTGGTACAAAGACGAATGCGGGAGGTGTCAAGACGGTCACTGCTGTTACCACGCAGACGGCATCCGCAGCGAGCGGTGCTGCAGGGTAAGTCTTGAATACTTGCATGTCATATCTCTGACATCCCCACAGCCTTTCCACTGGCGCCATCGTCGGTATCGTCATGTCTGCTGTAGTCGTTGTTGGTGCTATCCAGATTGCTCTCCTCTGGTTCTGCTGCCGCAGACAGATCCGTGCGCTCATCTACCACCGCAAAGAAATGCGAGGTACAGAGATCAAGCCTAGTGGCGGTGTCGATCTTGGGCTCGCTTCACGCGCTTCCTTTACTTCAGGGCGCGAGAACGATGCGGGCATGGGTGAACTGGCCGGTACTGAACGTCGTGGTAGTCGCTACAGCACTGTGCGATCTCACGGCGCTGGTGAAGATTTCGAGGCTGCGTCCTCCATCTCTCCATTCTGGGACGGCGCCGCCGCCATCCCTCCCTCTGGCTCTGTCATGTCTCTGAACGCCCTCGGCAACGGCCGGCCTCCCACGATAGGCTCACTGGGCTTTGACTCTGAGGGGGAATCCCTTCGCCCTCCCCGCGGCGCTTTCGGGAGAGATCGCAACGATTCGCTCTCCTCCCTCACCCTCACCATCCCCGAAACCATTGACGAATCCGGCCAGCCCTCGCCCGCATACGACGCCGCCCATCCCTCTCCCGCCCTATCCAACTCTTCCAATTCGCCTCTTGTGCCCAGCTCTGCTGCTCTCGGCGGTAGGGGCAACATGTCAAAGGCGCAGATGGCGGCGAGCCTCAGCGCACAGAATGCGGATAGAGAGGGTGAGAGGGATGTGTACTTTGGCGCTAGGGTGCCGCCTCCGGAAGCGCCGTCCGGTGGATTCAGGAGACACGTTGATGCGGGGGCTGTCGAAGATCTGCCGCCCATGTACCGACCAGAGTGGGAGAACAGTCCCAGGAATAGCCAACACGAGCGAGAATAGCGGCGCGACGTGCAAGTCAGACCTTGATGGGATGATTTTTATTTCACTACTTATCTAGACGGAGAGTTTGAAACATGGACCTTATAGTATACCTTGTAGCTATATTTATTATGACGAATCACCAACGATGAATGTTGCACACGCTCTTTTGTTCTGCTACCAAGCTTGTACAAGGACAACGTAGCATAGCGTTTCATAGATATGCATGACCCGGAAAGTACAGATGCAAGAGCTGGTTTTGGAAGGATGTGTAGGGGAAGAAGAAACGGAAGGAGTTGCTTAAAGCTCGTCCTTGTTGGCGTCGGGCTGCGGAACGATTAGCATTGAATACAACTGACTGACAACAAGCAACTCACCCTAAGAGCTCGGACGGTCTTACCGGCCCTCCAGATCTCCTGGTTGTCAATCTCGTCAAGCTCCTTCTGGAGGTCCTCTCGGTAGGTCTTTCGGCCGTTGAACTCGAGGGATCGTCGGGTCTCGGAACCGTCCTTGACGGACTTGTAGAGAGCCTCAAAGACGGGAAGGTTGGCCTCCTTGAACCTGGGGGCCCAGTCGAGGGCACCTCGTCGGGCAGTGGTGGAGCAGGCGTTGTACATGTAGTCCATACCGTACTTGCCGATGAGGGGGAAGAGGGACTGGGTAGCCTCCTCGACGGTCTCGTTGAAGGCCTCGGAGGGGGAGTGGCCGTTCTTTCGGAGGACCTCGTACTGGGCGAGGAACATACCCTGGATACCACCCATGAGGACACCTCGCTCTCCGTAGAGGTCAGAGTAGACCTCCTTCTCAAAGGTGGTCTCGTAGCAGTAACCGGAACCGACGGCAATACCAAGGGCAATAGCCTTGTCCTTGGCCTGACCGGTCACGTCCTGGTAGACGGCGATGGAGGAGTTGATACCTCGGCCCTCAAGGAAGAGGGTTCGGACAGTTCGGCCAGAACCCTTGGGGGCAACGAGAATGACATCAACGTCCTTGGGAACCTCAACGTTGGTCTGTATATGGTGTCAGCCGGAATCTTGTGTCTTGTAGATACGACTTACGTCGTTCTTGTAGACGACGGAGAAACCGTGAGAGAAGTAGAGAGTCTTGCCCTTGGTGATGAGGGGAGCGAGCTCGGACCAAGTCTGAGACTGGGCGGCATCGGAAAGAAGGTTCATGATGATGGAACCCTTGGCGATAGCCTCGGGGATGTCGAAGAGGGTCTCTCCGGGCACCCATCCGTCCTCCTGAGCCTGCTTCCAGGACTCACCACCCTTTCGGACACCGACAATGACCTTGAGGCCATTGTCACGGGCGTTGAGGGACTGACCGTGACCCTGAGAGCCGTAACCGATCATAGCAAGGGTGTCGTTCTTGAAGAACCTGCATAGTGTTAGCCGGCAGTTCAGTGTAGGTTGCGCTCGGGCATCCTTGTCAGAGCGATTGCAGCAAGCGAATCCGCGACCAACAAAAAAAAAATCCCCACGTCAAGAAAAAAAAAAAACAATGCTTACTCCTGGAGCTTGTCGAGGGGCCAGTCAGCACGCTCGTAGACGTCCTCCTTGGTGCCGGCAAAGTCAAGAGTCTTGACACCTCGGGTGGCCTGCAGACTTGTATAAGCGGATGAGATGACGAGATCTGGCGGTGACTTACACCGAGTCGGGTAGCCATGGCCCTGGGGGCGGCGCCGGTGAGGAGGGAGTAGGACCTGAGGGCGGCACCTCGGGAGGCCCTGGGGGCGGTGGTCCTGAGGGCCTGCTTGAGGGCAGAGGCAGAGGATCTGGAGAAGGACATTTTAGGAGGATTGGTGGAGAAAGAGAAATGATTTTTGTGAATTTGGACACTCCCATAGGTCGACTCAGCTTCGGCCGCAATTTGCTATCTGGGGGGCCGTATACCGTGCGGGGCTCCGATGCGGGCGGCAGGCCCCGCAGCGCTGAGGCGGCATGTGCCGCGGTGTGTACGACTATCGAAGCATCAGATCTTCTGTTTGTTTGTCTTCTGTTCTTGTGTCTGTCTGAATATATAACATATAGAGATGAGCGTGAAGGCTGAGTACGTAACACACCCCCGGGCCCACTGACGCCCCCAGACAGGACCTCTATCTCGACCCCTCCATCAGGGTACGCACTCCCCCATCCCGCCCATGCTGACCAGAGCAGGACTGGGTCCTCGTGCCCATCACCCTCATCATGCTGCTCGTCGGCATACTGCGCCACTATGTCACCCAGCTGCTCAACTCGGCCCCCAAAAAGCAGTCCGCCGCTGCTGTTCGCGAACAGTGAGTCGCATCCATCGTGCCCTGTATGATCGGTCTCACCATGGCTTGCAGACGAGCGCTTGGCCGGTCAGCAATCCTGAGAGGCACCTCTACCCTCTCTCCCATACCGCCTGCCGCGTATAAGGCCCTCTCAGTCTCTCTCGCCGCGGCCCTCTCCTCGGACGAGTACATCAAGCCAGAGGATGTCAAGAAGGAAGGCGATGCTCCGGCCAATCCTCTTGAAGGTGCGGGTATGGAAAGCGCTATGGACGGGATGAAGAAGCAGGCTGTTATGATGTGGGTTGTTTTCGGTCTCGGCGACCACAAGCTGATCTAGCAAAGGGTGCCCAATATGGTGCTCATGCAGTACATCAACATGTTCTTCTCTGGCTTTGTGCTAAGTGAGTGAATTTGATTCATTGTCGCTAGTCTGATTGTTTGTTAGTGCGATTACCTTTCCCCTTGACTGCCGGTTTCAAGTCTCTTCTTTCCCGTGATATCGCCATGGCGGATCTGGACGTGAGATGGGTCTCGTGAGTTGCCCATTCACAACCGCCGTAAAGCCTGACACATTCCAGCGCTCTCTCTTGGTACTTCCTCAACCTCTTTGGTCTCAACGGCGTGTTCAAGCTCATCCTCGGAGCTGACAACGGTATGAACTTGTTCATCTCCTGTGCCCGTCATCTAATACACTCGTAGCCGCGGTAGACACCCGTGACCTCACTTCCACCGCCTCCCTCTCTGGTGCCGGTGCAGGCCCTATGGCTGGTCCTGGAGGCACCCCCGATATGACCAAATTGTTCAAGGCCGAGGTGGAGAATCTGTCGCTCGCAGAGGGGTCGTACAAGTGGGTCGGTGAGGGGATCGAAGACAGGGTTCTCGCGGGATGGGGAAAGGTTTAGGGACTGTGCATGTATCACACTTTTAGGGATCGCGCCCATGGCCAGATTTGCGAGTCGAGACGTGGGCTTAACGGGCGTTTGGTATATGGACGGGACAACCGTGGTCGGCAATACGACACGGTGATGACTCGGCGTTGGATCAGCATGGTAGTAGAAAAGTCAGTCACCCCGAGAATAGCGCACCTTGTCATCTCCTTCCTTGGCCGACTTGAACCTCCTCTGCGCGTTACAGCTTATAGACATGGGGGCTATGCTCAATGATGGGCACCGACGCATCTGACGACACTCGTATGCCTTTCAAGTCCAGGCGCTGACAAATTCATGTGCGCCGCGGTCGAAAGTGGCCATGCTGCACGAAACGTGGACATTATTGCGCCCTGTCTGCAGACGTAGTCGATAGCAAAGGCCGGCGCACTTGCCGGGCGCGGCGCCATCATCTGTCATTCTTGCCTATTTCGAGCACCGAAGCTAGGGCTAGATGTGCAATGGGCAGCCAAACAAACGCAATGAATCAACAAGAAGATGAACAGCATGCGATCGGAATAGCACTCGTGGATAGCGCTTATGATATACAGCCGTAACCTGATCAAACTGACAAGCTGCGATGATGCACAGATTGAACATGCCTTGACCTGAGCTATCCCTATCAGGCAGAGCTGAGAGCTTTGCCGGCCGGCAAGGTAGTCTCCGGCCGCAGACCCAAACAAGCAGGACGTGTAGACAAACGCGTAAACATCTCGCGCATCTTACGAGAGAACCAATGTTCGAAAGCGGTTAGAAGATAAACAAAGTGTAATCACACACAACTGATTGAATTTTATACATGTACGGAATACATGGAGATAGGGCTGCAAATTGTTGCTTGAGATATGCACAGTACATACTTGAAATATGCAGGCTGCAGCCGTAATTTTTCATTGGCATGGCCACTAAGACGCCTGCCTCTGTGCAATCTCACTCAACTTCGAATGTATCATCGTCATACATTATCATTGTACATGTACACTGGCAATCCATAGAAGGAGAGATACCGGCAACCATGTAGCCAGCAATTCCTCGGCCGACCTGGGCTTATGAAGCCTCCGGCGCTGCTTACACACCTTTGCTGCATAGCCATTGAGGATGACCCACCAACGGCTGCCCTCTGCTTCCTGCGCCTCTTCTATGAGGGCCCGGCCCATCGGCCGCAAGTCGTGGACAAATGAAATCTAGATCTCATGACCATACATCTTCATCAAATACAACCTTCATGTGCCCCGCCCCGCTACCTGGCTCTACAGAGCGCCTGCAGAAAGAGTTTGACCCCATCGAACTTATGGCGGAGGGAAGGTGGTGGACGGTAGAGGTGAAGATCCGAGATCTGACGATCTGGCGATAAACAGCTGAGACATAAGCTCTAGGCCATATATGGATAGGGTTCATACCAGCCTTCGTAAATGCCGACATTAATCTCGGATTTCGGCCCGCCGGCAAGCCGGCTTTATGGCAATTGGCAAGGAAGACGCAAGAAGGAGCCAAGAGCGCAGAACACTAGTGGTCGGGCATTTGCGGTTTAAATCAGAGATCGGGCAGGGAGTTAGAGAGTGTTTATGCTCTGTTTACGGCGCATGCGAGATAAGTAAGCGAAAGCGATAAAGAAGCAGAAGCCGGACAGAGGAGGGCCATCGTCTCTACCTCGAGATCCTGGCCCCCCCGCGAAAGAGAAAAGCACACATATGAGACACGGGTACAAACCTCGTCTGCTGCATCCTGCATGACACGCACAAGTTGTACCATATTTCTCCCGAGGGCCTTGAGATTCAAGAGCGGCTTTCAAAATTATCGCCCATTCATCACATAAACATCGGACAGCCTCGGCAGTCGGCAGCCACAAGAAGTAAATACCCGGTGATCATTTACCCTGCGCAGCACAAGCTCTGTACCATGAATATGGAATGTACGATATATGATTGCTTCATCTATTATTAGGGACTATGCAGTGACAGCAGCAGACAGCAGATGTGTATACGTTCGATCGTACGGTAGCATCAGGTGATGGCATGTTGGAATAGTCTAGAAAGAAAGGAACAGTGGCTTGGGAGGACCAATCGAACACGGTTTGTTGGTTAACTATATTGACGATTGTTTCAAGTACAGTCTAAGACTGGGGTGTCACGCCTGGAAGATGAGCCATGTACATAGACTCATTTGCTGGATGTGTAGGGATGACGAGCGATGAGCAGTGCGCTCGCGATCCTCTGTGGATGGGCAGGCTGAGGCTAACCACTCGGCGCTCCGAGCATCTGTATGCACGCGCCCACCCTATAGTCGCGTGACTCGCGTCCAGTGTGTACCGGCGTGTGCTAAGGCCTAATAGGTACGACGTATGCGAGTAGAGAGCAGTTTCAGGGTGCCCTTTGGCCAATGCATGGCGTACGGCGTGCATGGCGCAAGATATGTGTGTCACTGATGTCGTCATTGCATGGCAGCAGGGCTTGGGTTTAGTGTGGTGAAACTGGTGATTATGTTATCAGATGCGCTATCTCCCCGCTTACGGCTTTCGGCTTTTGCCAGCAGCTGCCGGTCTCCTGGCTATTTGCGACACCTTCTCATCCGCCCAAAGCTTGCCTTTAGTCCTGCCCCTCACACCCTCCCTGCATCCCTAGCGCGCCCCAGCTATTTGGGGTCCTCCCTCCATGCCGACCACCGCCGACCACCAGCTGCCCCCAGTAGGGTATATAAACCCCCCTCCAGAGCGCAGATTCCCCTTCTTCATCACATCTCCAGACACTACTTTCAAGCCCAGTTCTTATAATCCACCTAGCACTCTTCCACCACACGCTCTTTATCCAATCAACCACCATGCGATTCTCCACCCTCTTCGCCGCTGCCATCCCCCTCCTTGGCTCTGCTCTCGCGGCACCCATCAACGCCGTTGGCGCTGACGCTCTCTACCTCAAGCGAGACATCGATGTAGGCGCCGACGTTGCTGGCGCTCTGAGCTTGAAGCGAGACCTCTTGGACATTGATGCCGATGCCAAGGCTGCCCTCAACGTCCGAGACGTCGACTACGTCTCTGTGCTCCAGAACCTCGAGTCCACTGTTGTAAGTATATTTATTCTCCCATTGACTTGACTGACATCTCATTCAGGGCTCCATCACTACTCTTGCTGCCAACGCCACCGAGGACGAGGTTACCGAGGTCCTCACCACCGTCAATGACGCTCTCACCACTGCCCTCTCTGACCTCGGCCTTTCTTCTTCTTCCAAGCGATCCGAGCGACTTGTTGCGTGAGCCCTCTGATTTTGTCTTGTTTGTATTGTTCTGACTCGTGCACAGCCGTGACCTCACCGACGATGTTTCCGAGCTCTTGGCTACCGTCATCCAGGACGTTGACACCATCGTGGCCCCTCTTGAGGACACCCTCTCTTCTATCCCCGCTGTCAAGGCTCTCCTCGACGAGGTCAACACTGCGCTCTCTTCTATCGTCACGGGTCTCGATGAGATTCTTGGTGGCGTCCTCACCTTGGTCAGCAACATCTTGAGCGGTCTCGGTATCGACCTCACCCCTCTCCTCTCTGGCGGTACGTCTCTTTGCTTTCCTCACATTTGCCCTGCTGATCCTTGCATAGTCCTCGGTCTCCTCACCGGTGTCCTTGGCGGTCTTTAAGTAAGCGCTGATTATCCACAATCATCGCTCCTGCTTGTCCCCTTGCCCGCTGTGCCGGAAAGTGCTCCTTAATTGTGTATAGTTACTATCATTATCTTTTCCGTAAGAACTCCTTGAAAGTAGTGCAGATCGTTGTCCGAATGAAAATAATCATCCCTTCACACACTGCGCTGCTGTTTACTGATAGGTTGCACCCCGGAGCATACGGCACATCAGAATTATACTCTTCCCTTTGACTATTGTGAGGCCACGCTTTTGCTCCTAGTGCTCGCTCATCGACTTGTATGTCACGCGCGAATGAAATCCCTCTAGATCCTGAGTAGTAAAGGGTCCGGCAGCGTGACATCGGCGTCCCGAGCGAGCGGCGGTCGGTACATACCCGACAGGTCACGCATACACATGCATAATTTGTGTTTCGAGTCTTTGATACCTGTGTGCATACAGTACTGACTGTACTGTACAGTACTTCGTCTGGTGGTAATCTGTATGAATCAGACAGGGGGCAGACACAAGGCCAACTGTACCCCACATAACAGTAACGAAAACAATGCGCGCGCAGCTTTAGGAGCAAATCCTCCCGTCTTTCCTATCCCAAGGCCATGCAGATACCGGTGAGGTGCCCATAGGCTTCTCGAGGTGGCGTGCAGTAGGGCCGGAAGATCTCCGGCGACGGGATGAGACGCTCGCATCTGATGGTGTCACTCGGGGATGCGCACTGTTGTACATACTTACTATAGACGCGAGGTTTCCGACGAGGTCGCTTGACGGCAACGCGAGTGCCAATGCTGCGCTCTTCTGTACCCAAGAAGGAGTCGGCTTTGAAATATTGCGCTGAGGCTTATTAAAAGCTCACTCGTTCGAGCATCCGACGGAGTGTTTCAACGGTACAGCGCTTCAGAGTCTACGAGGGTTGGTCATTTTGACAGATGAGTATCTGAGCTCGGCCGACTCTCGAACTAATGTGCTTATCTAAGGAAGGGCAAAAATGTACCCAAGCTGGAATAGAAATGTCTGAAGTGGTGGTACTGCGGACTAGTAGAGCATATACCATGACGGAATTGCCGTTCGAGGCGAGTTGCAGGATGTGGACTCGTTCAACATCAAACTCGATAGGCACGGGTTACGTAATTGGCGATAAGATAAGAAGGTGACATGACACGTCACCCACCCCAGTTTTGCGCCCGTTCTATGACCTCTTTCATTTCGGAATTATTTCACTGCCGCTTGAAAGACGGACAAACGTATAGTGGCTATGCCGAGAGCTCTTGGGAGCGATGACTTTTAATGCGTAAGCTATTCTTCGTTCTTCCGGAACCATCATGGCGCTGAATCTGGACAGAAGAGCGCTGTTGGTTTGCTTACACGCACCCAAGCGGCTGCTTCAGTCCTTGCACTGTACCCATGATATGTAGCTCATCGAGAATAGATGGCGCTGTGTAGTCTGATCATGTGTCCTCCCCCTAACCAGACTCTCCTTCGGCAACTCGATCATCCGGAATATACACCGACTGCAATGCTCTTTCTGCCCACCTCCGAAGAGAAGCCTTCATTCAAGATCAGGCATCATGCGTTGGATCATTGAGATGTGAGATGGCCATCCTGAATCTCCTCTCAGAACTCGCCACGCTTCCCCTCCATCTCCATCCGGGTGTGAGACATCCCTTTGGCCACCGGATATCTATCGCCGAAGTCGCCCATCTCTGGCTGATGGTGACTTGAAGCGAAAAGCTGCCAGCTGGTAGTCAACGATGAAGGATATTGCTGGTTGATGGATGAGATCTAGTTTGATTAATGGGGCGTTCAATGCTGATGGTCGGAGTGCGGTTGGCAAGGGAGATTCTCGGAGGTCGGCCGATGTGAGTCGCATCGGAGGGTGATATGCGTATAGTGCATGATCATATGCGTCTTGGCTGACAGGATACCATGTAGCAGTGGCATCCATAATGCAGCCTGTGCAGCTGACTGAGGCTTCCACGCGGTGGAGTATGGGCGGGCGCACGGACATGCGGTGAGTGGTGTCTGCTGGGAAAGGAGGTGTCGCTGAGTGTCAGCGTGTGATATCGAGTGGAATCAGATCCCGCCCAGCCATGGCAATCCATGCGATCCCATTCTCTTGCTCCTCTCCATCTTCTCTCCTTCCTCCCCCGTCCTCCTCCTCCCCGCCCCCCCCATGCCCGACGACGCCATCTTCGCCACCTTCCAGGAGGTCAAGTCTCGCAAGAAGGTTTGCTATTCCCTGTCCTTTTCTCCTACCCTCACCCAGCGTCCTGAGCCACGCTGATCTGCTTGTCCCTCAACCAGGCTCAAGCTCGCAAATCAGACCCTCTTGTCGCTTCCCCTGCCCCTTCGCATCCCAACGTAAGCACACAATCACACCCCATCCCGGCCAACTCGCACTTACCCACTCTTGTGTTGATCCACAGGATACCGACCATACAAAAGGCACAAACATCCCTTCCAGCCTCCTCGCCGTCTCCAAAACACCTCACCCGGCCTTCACGCTTTCGATCAGGTCCTCTACCGAGTTTCCAAGCCTCTCCAAGGCCGTCCGGTCTGTCCCGGCTGCCCCTCAAGAGGTTCAGCCCGATCCCGAGATGGCCCCTCAGCGGGAAATCCTCGCCAAGTCGCCTCTGGGCAAGGATGATGGCATTCTTTCCAGTCCTCCCGTGACCGACGACAATCGAGCCCTGGTGGCGACAAGGGGCAAAGAAATCGCACCGGTCAAATATCATGCAGTGACCGGTACTTCGACCAACGGTCAGCATTGGCCCCTTTCTCGTAATCCCTCAAACGGTACTGAGGGAGGCAATTTCCCTTCTCACCGAGAGGACACCAACCCGTGGGCGGAGGATGACGCTATAGCCTCAGTCGACTGCCGCCGCCCATTCCCTTCCTCCGATTCCGGCGCCAGATTCAACAGGCATCAGTCGTCTAGGGGCTTCAGAGGTGCGAGGAATGGGGGCATCAGGCCGAGGAGGACAGACTGGTGGAGAAGGGATCCGCACCCGATGTTTAGTCCCAAATATGCTGCTCAGAGGCTGCTTATCGAGTGAGCCTGCCGGATCTCTGCTGGCTGGAGTGACGAGGCTGACGTAATTTAGGTTCCCGTCGGCGATCAGTGTTGCTCATGCTAAAGCGGTTCTGGAGAAGCACTTTGAGAAGTATGGAGCTGTACACTCTGTGTAAGTTGTTCTATTCGAAAACCCGGTCTCAACAGTTGACGCTTCCCAAGTTATCATTACGATCAGACCGGCGACAGATGCTACAAAGGCTTTGTCGTATTTGAAGTACGTCCTATCCGCCGCCTGAGTACATTTCTAATACCGCTCAGGATCCCGTCAGCATTCAACGTGTGTTCAGCGATCCCTTGGCCAAAGTCTGTGATCTCACCCCCGACCCCGATACCGCCGAGTCTCGCGTAGACATTACCATTCGCCCCTCTGCTGCCTCAGACCTAGAGCGTATCGTGTTTATCCGCGTCACTGGCTCCCGTTCTCCCGAAGAAGCGAGGGACCGCCGTCAGGCGCACCACAAGCAGTACGATATCGAGCACAGGGACCGATACGAGGGTGCTCCTTCGCAGAGATATGATTCTGCGAGCTCGATCAACGCAGATGGGCTTGCGCTGGTTCACAAGGAGCTGTTGCCTGAGAGGGTCAATTTGGATCAGATTCCATTCAAGGTGAGGACCAAGGAGCATCACAAGCTGTTCTCGTCGATCTGTGTCCGTCAGATCAGCACTTCTTGGGAAGAGTTTGCGAGGCAGGTGGAAGAGGGGTGCGGTAGGAGGCCAGTGAATATCCGGGAGATCAGTGTGAGGCACTCTTCAGAGCATGAGGTCAGTTCTGGCAGTTGGAGTGAGGTGCATGACTGATGATCAGACAAGTTCATTCCTCTGCTCTGTGATCACCTTGGCGAGGTCTGCAGTCTGCGCCAGCCTAGCGATAAGTTCCCTGGTTGGCTGGTGACTGTCAGTGGGAGTAGAGACGGGAGACATATGATCCATGTTGGTGTTTGAGTGTGTTCTTCAGACCCCCTGCTGACACAAAAGTAGGAATTGCAGAAGATCCCCGGATTCTTCGTCCGCTGGGCTGACGAGCGCGATGGTCTATTCAGCGACGACCCTAGCGCTACCACCCTCAAATGGCCTAGCCATTCCAACGCCCATCGCCCCTTCCCTCAAGACCGGTCCTCTCCCTCGCCTCCTGACCCTGTCATCCACACCCCTACCACGCCCCACGCTACAATTCCCTCTTCATCCTCCCTGACTATCCTCGGCCCCAGTCCGACCCATCCGACTCTTCGTCGCGCACTTTTGCACTCGTATCGCGGACGCACCCTTGTGCAAGATAATGCAAGTGGGGAAGCGAGATTTTTGGATGAATCTGCAGTGTTTGTTGGAAGGGTGAATAAGGATATGGAGAGCAATGCGAGTTTGCAGACCAGGTTTGGAAAGTATGGGAGAATTGTGAGTCATGCTTGCAGCTTGAGAAGTAATCAGGAAGCCAATATAGTCACAGATATGCCTGGAATTCAATCCGAGGGGTGTGGCCCAACATGTCAACCATGCAACTGCAAGGGTGATGTATGACAACAAAAAGTCTGCTGCTGATGCTATCGCCGGCGAAGTTGGTCTATCTGCCTATCAACAAGAATCTCTGCTAATGATTGTCCCAGAATGGGGCGCACTCGTATGGGAGTCACCTGAGATGTGAGCTGAGGAAAGTCATCCAGTCGGATGTTCACGTGAGTACATTGGCATCGCAGTATGGGAGATTCAGGCTGACGCAAGGTAGACGAGAGCGATATACGTTGACGCCAATAATCGTCCACTCAGCCCGACCGATGTTGCCAAAGCCTTCCCCGACCCCAACCAGGGCTTCCCCGATCCGGCCATCGTCGACGTCAAAGTCGCTCCCAGCCCCGAGTCTACTGCCGCACCGCCCAGGGCAAAACAATCGCCCCTCCCCTCCGCACCATTCGATATCCTTTCCCCTAATAACTCCGGTTACCCGTATGACATACCCCTTTCTCCTCAATTTCCGGGGATGATGCAAGGTCAAAAAGAGGGGATCGAGGCCCAGATGGGCGCTCCGAGCCTTGGGCTGTCTGTAATGGCCGTACCAAACTTTGATCACAGTGCCATCTTGTCTTTCAACTCTATGTGGGGCTTATCTCAGCCGAACGGTGTCCCTGCGCTGCAGCCTGTCTACGCAAACGGTTCTGGCTCCGCTAGCAGGAGTGTGAGCAATCCCCTGCCAGCCCACAAGGTCCCAACGCCCGACGAGAAGGACACTCCGATCACTACGCCCGCCACCCCTTCTCAGGACATCCCTTTCGCAACCATTGCGAAAACAATCGAACCAAACTCCCACACTCTGACGCCTGTCGGATTCAAGGAGGAGAATGGTATCTTCACTGCCATATATGCAGACGATGAGCTCAAATCGTACTGCGAGACAAATGGTCTCCCTTACCCTCCGGAACGACATGTCACGCCCAAAAAGGAGGAGGGACAAGCGAAGCTTGGTCCGGCATGGCGAGAAAGTTTACTGCCTATCCAGACCGGGGGACACGACCCTACTAGTATCTCGCCGTTGAGGAGGGGATCAGAAGCTGCCATTTCAGGAGAGGATCGGCCCACCTTGACCAAGTTGAGGCTGAGGAGGTCGAGGAGCGATTATTCTCTGGACACGAGGCTCAGGGACGGGGACGTCTCCGAAGCTGTTTCGTCATTCGGATCTTCTAGGGTTCCTTCCCCGAGGGGCCTGTTGTCAAACCATCATCCTCATGGCAGGTTGACTCCCACCGGGAGCTTTATCGATGACCCTATACCTGGTCACCATGTGCCTTATGTGGCCAACACGCCTGCTGATATGTTCCAATTCCCGTCTCTCGTCATGTCTCCTCCCCCTCCGCCTGTCATGCCCCAAAACCTCATTCCCATTCCCATCCCTGTTGACACCCGCGCTTCGCCTGTGGACGAGCTCGGCAGAATGGGCCCGCCCTATATCTCAAGCCACTATCCCATCTACGACAGTCTTTCCTCCAGCGGATCAAGTGGGCCAGCGGGATTCTATTTGCACAGCATGAACGGGCGCAATGCCTCGAATGGGTATCCGAGCATGATGGGCTATGATGTGTATGCTCATCAGATGGCAGTGCAGCAACAACAGCATGCCATGGCGATGGGCTACCAGTATACCAAGCAACCCCTCCACGGGGGAAGGGAAGGGCCTGGAAGAGAGAATTGGGGTGGAAGCGGTTTACGGGGCAATGGAGGTGATGTTCACTGGGCTGGGGGAGACGACTCGGGGAATGGAGCGGGTAACATGAGGAGGAATGACAGCAGCATCAAAGGGAGGACCAACAACTATGGGAGTATGCGAGGAAAAGGGAAAGGGGGCAGGAGGAGGGGACAGCTTTACCATGGACAACAATCTAGCCGTCAGCAAGCACAGACGGAGTTCGCTGAAGGGGATTGAAGGTTCGAAAAATGTGTACAGGGGCTCTTTTGCAAGATTTCCCATTTTTTTCTTCCCTTTTGTTGATATCCCTTTCCCCTTGATTGATTATTTGTTCATCGCATCGATTTTGTGAAGGCTAGAGTATAGCAGCCTTCTTGTTTCTTAAATTCTTTTTTCACTTCGCCTTCGTCACACTTTCTTTTTCGGAAACGATACCAAAATAATAGAAGCCCTTTCGTATTAGTCTGTTGAACGTGACGGTTACTTGTGGTATCTGGAGCATACTTCGCAACTGAGGCCTGCTGTACATGTGCTCACATTCCTCGTGTTGCTATGAGAAAAAGGCATGATCATGGTGCCACGATCTTTAGCCAGCGCGGGACGATGTCTGGCATTCCAATTGATTCTCATAATAGCAGATATCACATCAGCAAGAGGACATGAGATCATCTGTCGCAAGAAAGGCCTACTCTGTGCAAAGGAGGTGATGAGCACTTTCGTAAAGTATGTCTGATCGATGGTGATGGATGGGCTCCAATCGCCAGCGTCCGGTGATCATGATATCATAGTACATTACTCGTAACGCACAACATATGCATTTACAAAAGGAGCCAGGCATGTGATCCAAACCAAGTTCACCCATCTTGGCAACAACATCAAAAACATTACGGACGCCTATACCAATCCCACTCGCCCTTCTTCTAAATCCATCATTGCTCTTCTTCCACAAACTTCATAAACACTTCCCATCACTCCATAACACTATGTCTGACTCTGCTCACCAGAACCATGTGATCAGCGGCTACAAGGCGTAAGTCTTCTCAAATCGCATACCGTTCGCTTCTGACGCCCTTTAGCACCCTCAACAACCCCAACGTCTCCGACGAGGCCAAATCTCGCGCCAGCGAGGGCATCGAGAACTTCCAAGAGAATGGTTCTTCCGCCATCGAGCAGTCCGACAAGAACAATGGCAACGCAGACCACCATGAGAACCAGGTCCTTGGTGGGCACAAAGCGTGAGTCTGTCTCTGTTGAGGACCAACCTCGCTAGTCTCCTTCCTCAGGATGTTGAACAACCCCAACGTATCCGAAGAAGCCAAGCAGCACGCCCGAGATGTTCTCGACCTATTCAGAAGTCAAACATGTATGAAAATCAGTACAGTACTGCAGATAACCCCCTTTCTATAACCCCCGTTCATGGGGAAGTGGTGTTTCCTGGGGTTAACTTTGTCTTCTTCGAATGACGGCGTTGGTCCACCCCAGGATTGTTTGCGATTACGTACAGCATAGGCGTGCATCGCGATGATTGAAAGCAGGCGTGCCGGAGAAATTTACTCCTCCACCCATGACCAGTGCCTATCTTTGTGTTATGCAGATACATATGCACAGAGAGCTGATGTGTGTGTCTTTTGCTCTGTCACCCTTCACTGTCTCGTCAAGCACTCTCACCATGTCAACAGTTCTTCTTCATCCGTACTCCTTGCCTCTCTCAGCAGCAGTCACCAGCAGCCAGCATGTCCGACATTGTCCAGCCAAGATCATGCTCCCGCTGCCGCCGCGTCCTCCCCCCTGACTGCTCTACTCGTCTGTGTGATCGCTGCAAGGAGGTCGGTAGGGCTTCGCGGAAAGCTCAGTATGCCCCAATCAAAAAGAAACCTGAAGCACCTATCGTAAGTCGCCTGCGCTTCTTTACGCATGATCATGACTGACGCCGTGACTAATAGATACAATATGACTCTTGGGAGGACCTTCGAAAGAATTTTCTCCAAGAAGTAGAAAACCATGCCTCTCAGCGACCTGCACAGCATCATCCCATCGAGAGCCTCCATTTCCATGGTCAATGCGTTCTAGAAGACGGCCTGCGACCTGAGAGTGACGACCACGAGACAGGAAAGACTTGCTTGCGCCGACTGGGGATTTTTCTGGCGGGTGTAGATTCTGGTTCGGACTATCGCTTTGGGTGAGCTCCTTAATCGCACTGAGGCTCCATTCGACAGTAAAGCTCACGAGCAGCAATAGATATCATGATATAGAGGCCTATAAGGGTCACCTGCGTGCTCGTTTCCGTTGCTGTCAGGATGAGCGTCAAGCCGACGGACATGTCCCCACTTCTTCAGGAGATCTTACAGACAACGTCAAGAAACGTCGACCTGGGCGACGAGGGATGGACAGGTTCCACTGTGGGTCTTCTTTAGTCATCAAACTATTTCCGCCAAGACCTGGAGTGACAATTGTGGGTTTTCAAGAAGTCTCGCATCGCCCAAATCCCGAAGTCGTCCGGACCTAGTCCTTCAAAGCAGCTTTCAAGGCCATTAGCTTGCCACCAGATAGGTATATATACTCACGAATGAAATCTTGCTTCCGTCAGAACGACCGTCTTCGTCTCCGCATGGATAATCGCTTTTTTTGGATGAATCAGCAATGATGGATTGTTGAATGGCAATGACAAAGCTCACCTTTATATCCATGGGGTAAGAAGCGGTATCTATCTGTCACCCAGTGACTGAAGGCATCGAAGAGATCGACCACTTCACGAAAAAGGGGAGGATAGACACGGGTTGCACTGAGGTCAGCGATCGTAGTCTTGCTCTCGCTGCTCAAAGAGGGGGAAGGGGAGCAGTTCTCCATATGCAAGGTCTCGGGCCGAGCAAAGATTGGTCGAACCAGCCAAGACCGGGGTGGTTTGGCCCCCCCTACTTCCCTTATCACAAAGCAGGACGAGACGGTGATCACTGATTGATGGTGGTTAGCGCTTACTGGTGCCCATTGTACAAAGATGATAACTCACCTATCTCCGACTTGACCTCTTCCCTGAACAGCTTGAACAAGGCGCCCAAGCGTCCAAGGAAACCCAGCTGTAGAAGCTGGCTACCAAAGGCGTCGTCTTCTTCTTGGTTCAAGGCCCGAGTAGCCCAGTAGGACTTCCCGTTCCAAGACAACTAATGACGAAGTCAGTAAAGACATCGTCTTCGCTACTGCAGGTTGCAAACACACCTTGTAAGTACCAAGTTGTCCTTCCACCTTGAAGGGAGCCTTACTCCGACCCTCTCCGAGCACCACCGATGACATAACACCAAACTGGCTTCTCCCTGTAGTCACGACCTCGGAGGGATTGGCCGAAATGGGGCATTCGGCATCGTAGACACGGAACTCGATATGTTCGTCCGCCCCGAACTGTCGATCCATGGGGCACCGCAGATCAGCCTGTGAGTACGAGGTGTTGGTCGCCTTAACACCCCCCGTGACGCGGAGAGTTGCCGTTTCCGGGCCCGCCTTGACTCTGATCGGAACGTCTTCGAGACTCCTGCAATGGTTCGAAGAGTCCCAGAGTCTGCAAGACCGATGATGTAGTTCACGATCTCGGTAGGCAGTGACGGCAGGGGTTTGTCGGGCTCAGGCGCCAAGGGTCGCGATGGGGAGGAATTTGGCGGGGTCGGAAGCTGGGCGTTGGGTGACTCTCTTGCACGCTTATCAGGCCGAGGTGTGGGAGGAGGAGAGTCTTCCTCTTCATCGTCAAACTTGCGTTTCACTCCATATGAGGTCTGCAACGAGCATAAGCATATGAGATGGGTGTACAACAGAACAGAAACCTACTTGCTCATGTGGAGGACTTCCAGGTGATTTGGGCGAAGTTGTCGGTGTCATGGTTGATCAGGGGAGGGGGCGAGTACTCAAGCTTGTCAGTGAGAGTAAGTTTGATATTGGAGTTCAGGAAGGAGAGGAATCTTGTCCATATTTATAGAGAGCTCTGTCCATTCGAATCAGTATCAAGGGGCAACTTGAACAATGAGAACAATGTGAGCACATGATTTTGAAACGATGTGAACAATGTGAACAATGGGAACAATGGGAAGATGAGCTTGAATAACAAAGAGAAATTCAATGGAAGAAGGTCTTTCTGACAAGAACAAAAAGCGTTCGTAAAAACATCATGATCAATCATGATTGCAATCAAAAGGGGCATTTGTGTTGATGGGACGAACTACGGACAAGTCGGCGATCCGACGGACAAGTCGGCGATCAACGTCCGATCAGGGTGCTCAATGCGTGCCTATATGTTGGCGCGCCTTTCACCGTCATAATCGTACGTAATCGCAAACAATCCTGGGGTGGACCACCGCCGTGTTTCTTCGAACCTGGACGGCAGTATGTACAATGGCGAGAACATGAGACGAAACGTTGCGCTGCCAGTGGGATGTAGTAGATGCCTTGGCATACGTGTGAGCATGACATGACACTGGCATATGCGGCACAATAACCCCACAAGATCAAAACTACTATCCCAAAAGCAGATGTGGTATGTGTAAGTTGTACGAGCGCTTTGAGTCCATCTATAGCAAATCATTCTTCTATCCAACCTTTTCTTCCCGTCCAGCCCCCGGCCCCTTTGAGATATCTATGTTTCAGTAACGTCTCCGCACCGGGCCTGTTCGCCGCATCAATCTCCATACACCTCCTGACAAGATCCGCTGCGTCACCCAGCCGCCCTCCACCGTCATCTTCCAGGCCTTCTTCTTCATGGCCATTTCCGCACCTAGCCATCAGAACCGTATCGGCCTGATAACCCTCTTCCAAGCCCTTGAGAACCTCATCGGGTATCTCTGAAAAGGGAGTTTCGGCTACTAGCAGAACGTAGAACACTACGCCGAGCGCCCAAACATCCTGCTCCTTCCCGCCATACATGTCACCTCTCAAAATTTCTGGCGAAGCATAGTGCAAAGTACCTGAAAAGGTATCCCACTTCTTGCCTGGCCGCCAGTGAGCGGCAGAGCCGAAGTCTATGAGCTGACAATGGCCGGAACCGTCGAGGATGACGTTTTCGTCCTTGATATCTCGGTGTACGATGCCATTGATGTGAAGGAAGTTGACCGCGTCGATGAGTTGGCCAGCTAAAGATCGAATTTCGAAAGCGTCCAGCCCCAACGGCCGGGTCTCTACGCGGTCGAAGAGATCGAGGCCGGTACCGAAGCGAGGCATGACCACTACACAGTGATTAGTCTCAAAACAAAGATCGTCCAGATAACAAACTCACGGTAGTAGAACTCCCTGTCTTCAAAAAAATCGACAAGTTTGCAGATATTGGGATGACCTCGCCTGGGCGACGTCTTGATCTCATCCGTAATATGCTTCTGCACCGTCGACAAAGGCGGGCTCAATTGATCTTTTTTGCCGGGCGAGACTGGGGTAGACGAAAGTGAATCGGCACTGTCAAAAGGAGGTTTGAATTGTCCAGGACGGGGTCGAGCTGGATCCCAGGGATTCATCGTCTTGGGAGGGGTGTATATCAATTGACGGAGTTGGTCCATCACATGAACTATCGAGGTCAGCATGATACGGTTACAAATCATGTGGGAGCCTACTCTCTACTGGAATCGGACCCAGAGTCTTGTGCCTACTATGAGTCAGTCCGAGGTTCTGCTATCAGATCAAAGTCACTCACTTCTTCCAGCAATCCGCCAGGATCCTTGCTTTGATGATGTACTTGATGATGACCTCGTCACCAACTGGTTGTCCGTTGAGGCCCTTCACCTTTGCCCTCATCACCAGCCCATAAGCTCCTTTACCCGCCTCCTTCAGAATGACATAGTCATCTATGCCCCGCCCTCCTATCCCGGCCGCCTTCTCTTCTGTCGGTGTCCCGCACTCACTCGGCACTCCAGTACTTGGAGCCGTACTGATTGTGCTGATATGAGAATCAAGACGAGGGAACGTCGTCGTTGCTGGCGTCGATGGAGCAGTATTGGGCGAGATGAACGGGGAGAAGGATTGGAGAGCTGGGCTCTCTGCGGCCGCCCGGGCAGAAGGAGGGAGGGCGGTGGAAGGTGGAAGAGCGAAAGGTCTCACCACTCGGCCAGCCACAAGACTGACGCGATTGGTATCACGCTTACGAGATGAAACTCGAGGTGATTTGGGTGGAGTGATGTCTCCAGGCTTGGGCGGCTGAGAACCAGCGATACCGCGAGTGTAATCGCGAATACTGTCTAGACCAGTGGATGTTTCACTGGATGATTCCGTGGTTGGACGGGTGTTAAACTGGGTAGTTGCTTCAAGGGTGACATCTGCCGCAGGAGTGGTAGCGGCGGTAGATGGTGTCACCGAGCCGTCTTCGGGAGCAACGATAGGAGACGCGTTGAGGGGAGAAGGCTTGAAAGGTGAAGTGAGCTGTTTCGAGCCGAGCTTCTTGGTGAAATGAGATTCAAATGGATTGGGCGGGCTCTTCTTGTTGCTCACAGCTGGGTCTTCAGAGCTTGGGCCATTGAGCGCATCGGGATCGACCCGCACAGTGGGCACATCCGAGGGAGGGGGGGTCCCAGGGCTTCTGGCACTGTCTAGGCTGAATCCCTTGCCGATAGACTGAACACCGCCGCCCCAACCCGGACTCTGAGCAGGTTCATGTTCAGCCTCGAGCTCTTCATCCACCATCTTCAACAGTTTCTCCCGTTCCAGCTCTCGTTTCGTCTTGGCTCGCTGAAGAGGCGGTGGAGCCTCTTTCTCCGTCACCGAGCGCAGAGAATCGCGTCGGCCTATACTATTCCACCTTGCAGGAGCCGCACCTCGATTGGGGTTCAAAATGACATCGTCGGGATCGGCCTCACCCGGCGTGGGGGTGCTTTGATTAACCGGGGAAGTAGGACAAGCGGAAGTGTCTTTGAGTCCCAGAGCCCCAGTGCTCTGCACACCATCCGGAAGCCCCGGGGACTCGGCAGCGGGTGAACCAAGAGTCAGGGGGGCGCTACACCGCCTGCTCAGGTTCGCCGCCATAACGGGGCTCGGGGCGATGATATTCGGCTGGTATACTGGGGCAAGAGGAGCAGACTTGTCGCCTGAAGGGGGAGAGCCAGGGTCTGGAGTATGAGTTTCCTCGGGCCCCAGATACTCTGCAGAGATGGACTTTTTGAGTATTCGCCTGGGTCTTTCTCCCTCATCCTTCTCCAGGCTATGATGCCGACTATGGCCGCTATCATCCTCATCACTGCTTGCAAAGTTGGCATCCACCCTCTCCCCGTGAGCCTCTATCCACTCCGGCGTCTCTTGCAAATCCTTCCACTCTTGCGTTGTAGGCGTGAAGACCATGGCGGCAGGCCCTTGGTATTCAGGGTAGAGCGTGTCTGGACTGGTGCCCGAGTTGACTGGAGATGGGAATGTCGGGGGTAGGTGAGATTGGAGAAAGTGTTGGTTGGGGGAAAGTGACTTGGCAGAGCCCGATACGCCTGCAGAGCCGTTCTGTGGCAGGGAAAGGTTACGGCGCACGAAGATCGGAGAGGTGGTATGGGACGCTACGGGCGATTGATCAGGGGAGGTGCAGATCGAAGGCGACTGAGAGTTCCTCCCAGAATGCAGATGGTGGTAGTACCGGGCTCTACTGACTGTCAGCGCTGGTCCATCGGAATTCATCTGGCTCACGAGTTGTCCCAGAATGATTCTCCATCGCTGTTGTGCCGGCCCTCGCTCATCACTCTCTTCCACCCTTCTCGGCTCGCCGGACGGAATCTTCCCCTGCCTTCATACCCTTCCCAAAAATCATCATCGTCTTCATCCGTGTCCTGACCCAGATGCTCCATCACATCGCCGTTTTCTGGCTCATCGTCGTCTCTCCTAGCAGCTGCCATTGAAACCAGGTCGCCATGGCTTTTGCTCCCTGAGACATCTCCTTGCAATCTGGTGGCTGATCCAGATGCTCGCACCCTAGACATCAATATCCCTGATCGATGGCGCCTCGCATTCGGAGGCGGTGGGATAGGTCTAGGGCTGGAAGGGCCAGCCGCAGACTCGTCTCGCCCTGGGATGCCACTGACCGTCGGCGAGGACGTGACTACAGTAGGGCTCATGCGATCCGGGGGCGTTGTTCCGGGCAGACCATAGTCGAGAGTGGGGGGTGGATGTTTGGGCGAGATGGGAGACAGGGCAGTTTTGAGTGCGTCAGCGGCGTCGGCGTGGTTGGGGTGAACGGGGGAGATAGCTGTGACGACCATGCTATCTATCGCGCTCGTGACTGCAGTAGTGTCAGTCGAGATGAATGAGGAGTTGGGATGAGATGGAAAAGAGATGTGTATGGGATTTTATATCTCATGACCCTGCGGTTATGTGGGCGACAATGGCGGATAACCCTTTGTATCCATTGCATTGCCGCACCATCGCCGCCATTGACCTCAGTCAAGTCGTGGGGGGCTGCGATACTGTCCGGGGCTGTTTCCGTGAACCTGGAAGCTCAAGGAAACAGGTATCCCGTCCAGTCCAATGCCCAGTGCCGAGCTAAGGGCTGGAGTGTATGTAACGGATGAAGAATTCTACTCACCTCTGCCGGATGCCTTGTCTCGAGATGCGGTTGCCGGGGGGTACCCTTGTGCGGTTTATGCTACAGTTGAAGACAGAAATACCGAGAAAAACGACGACTGGACCTCGAACGCATTTGATTCAAAGCCAAATTTAGCGGGACTGTGGAGTTACTCCGGCGAGGTCAGCCGGCTGCCGCCTATCGGGCCTATCTATGCAGTCCATTCATATATCTGCCATTACTTGCTATGTTCTTAAGAAGTGCTCGTACAATCGCATCGGCTACACCGACAGCGCCCAGGGACCAAACATGAAAAGGACAAATCATCACCAGCAACAATGGGAACGCCTCGACGCGCCGCCCTTCTCTATATATGCCCGTTCGCTTGCTCCCACTGCGTGCCCTGGGGGAAATCGGGCGTCGGGCACTTGTACAATTTGACTGTTCCAGACGTGTCGAATCCTCCAGCAGCCACCATCATCTCGACCTACACATCTCAATCAGTAACCCGTTTTACGTTACGGCGGGGACCAAACTCCGACTTACCGGGTGGAAAACCAGAGACGAAGCGCTGGGCAAAAAGTCAACAGGTCGATGTCGACGGGTGTTGTATGCTGGGGGTACCGGTATGGCGATTCGAGCAAGCCTCTTCGGTTCAACGGGGTTGCTGAAACCAGTTATTTCTAACTCCTGCTTGGTAGAGTAGGGGGTGATTGCGGTGGTGCTGTGAAGCATGAGTGACCGATCAAGTGGGGACAAGGGAAGCTTACCGAGCAAGAACAGGGGCTCCGGTATGCACAGCCAGACCCATGAGACCAGAATTCCTCTTGGGAAGAGTGTATAGGGGTTCATCAGGCTTTCGAACATCCCATACACGGACTTCACCATCCATACTGAGATGACGGTCAGCTTTGACCGCTACCCGGTTAATGAGAACTCACCTTCCACTGACGAGCTCTCTCATGCTCCCCTTCTGCAAGTGAACACTCTGAATCCAGATCTTATGCTGTCTCCATGTCCTCAGCACCACCTCATCCGCTTTATCTGCTCGTTTGTCAAACAGCCTAACCACACCGTCACCAAAGCCCGCCACAAAGACGTTGCCATTAGGCTCATCAGACGAGATCGCTGTGAGATTGGAGCCAGCCTGGGTAGAGATATCACGAAGATGCCGTTCGACTGTAGCATCCCACAGTCGGACAACCTTCATGTCACCACCGACCAGGAGGTGGCCCTTCTGTTGTTCCCAGGCGGTGAGGACGCCACTGCTGTGACCGACAGGGTATACGTCAGAAACAGCTCGGAAGGTCGAGGCGAGCGCAGTCTGGCCGGGAATGTCATAGTCTCGGAATACTCGTATGCTTCCTTCGGCTGTCACAAGCGTTAGCATCACCCGAAACCGGGGTAGAGACACATACTAGATGCGGTGAGCATCAAAGAAGACGCCATCTCGTTGACAAAATGAATCGACGAGATGCTACTGCCAGAGATGTTTTGGTTGCTAAACTTGTTGAGTTTGACACCATGTTGCCAATCCCATATGCTTGACAAGCGTCAGTGTGTATACTTCCTTGATAGCACGCAACTCACCAGACCTGATCAGTGTCATCTGTGACCGCCAAAATTGGGTCATACGAGTGGAAGGCCAACTGCAGAGGCCACGCCTCATTATGCAGTGTACCCGCTTCCGTCGCCCACGAATGAGTAGCCGCATACTCCTCGCCAGCCCGACTCTTTTCCACCATCATCTCGTTCCTCTGGTGCTTCCACGCCTGCTCATTATACGTTTCGCTTCCAGGCTCGTCCGCGTCTGGCGCCTTCATCTGTGGCGTCCTAAAATAGTCCATCGCCCAATCGTAGTAACCGCTCTTCAACGGAAGAACGTCGTCTTTGACTTCTTTCGCAACCATTCCCAGGCCGAGGTCTGTGGAGAGCGAGAGACCGTTGTTCCCGTATCGTCCATCTGAATCTTCACCCGCTTCACGACCCTTGAGTCTGCGCATGCGCAAACGCTCCATATCCTCAGCAGTGAGCGCCTCCAATACTTGGTACGCTTTTACAGGATTCTGGTCAAGTCGCGAGGGTAAGATGCCCAGGCTGGAACGAGTGTTCATATGAGAATTGAGATGGTTGCCTTGGTGGGCCGGTCGGCTGGGAGTGGAAGCGCGGCTGTCTTTGTCTGGCTGAATGCGTTGATGGGTAGCGCCGGGGTAAGGGGAGATGTAGCACGACGCAGTGAGATCTGCCACGGTAGGCATCTCCGAGTGCGGCTGTGCGAGCTGTTCCTGCTCGGGTGGCGCATCTGGTGTTTTCAATCCAGTAATCGAAGCCAAACTTCTCAGGGCGTGAGCCACAGAGCTTGAGCGCTTCAAGGACGCTATGTTGCCGGTAGACTTGTCGGTCTCGGTGTCAGATTTCTGGCGATTCAGAGGCGGAGGCACACCGTTGAGATGTGACAACTTTTCAGACTGCACTCGAGGCTTTGGTTTCGGCAGGCTGTGTTTTCGGATAAGAGCCCGTAAAGCCGACCCTTCGACCCGCACAAATGCAGAATCGACCAACAGGGCGATGATGTAATCCACCACAGTCGATGCTGACAACGCCACACCCGTATGCGGATCCACAGATAAATCGAGAAGCGTTTCAAAGAGCACCTTGAAGCTACTCAACAACGTCAAGTTGTGCTGATGTTCTGCGGGATGCCTATCCTCGTCCGATGTCCACTGATCCAAAGTCTCAGAAACAACATCTCTAGGCAGGGGTTGGTCCGACTCGGCAGCAGCCAAAGCCGCCTCCTGCTCAAAGTACACCCATGCAGCGGCTACGAGCCATCCGCGCCACTCGCGCACCACGCAGCTAATCACCACCACCAACTCTTTCCTCACCAACGGGCTCGCATCTTCCTTCACAGACATCATGCACGCGAAAGCAACGCCTGCCTCGAGCTCAAGTTGCTGTACGTCGGAGAGCCCTATCTGGGATCCGGTGCCGCCCCCGCCGATGCCCGCTGAGTCGGGGGGCAGTGCGGAAGCGCCGAGCAGAGTGCCGAATGCGTACAAAGCTGCTGCCCTGACTTCCACCGAGGTGCTCCTCAGCGAGTCGATCAAAATCTGCTGCCTATCCATCCTCCAGAACACCGACTTTGCCTCATCAAATCCTGCCCACAGCTGCCCGATACACAGCAGAGACCAAGTCTTCAACAGCCAATCGTCCTCGTGCAGCCGTTGCACGCACGCATCCAGCACGTGCGTGTTCAGACACGCCGTCTGACCTTGGCGAAAATCACGGCAAAGGACGGAAAGGATAAAGGCGGACATGGCGCGGTGCTCGTTGGCGTTGGGGATCACGAGGGAGCCTTGTTGAGGGAAGGCAGAAAGGATTTGAGTAAAGTACGTGAAACCGGAATCGCGCAAAAGATCTGCTTGGCAAGAGCGGTCGATGGCGAGGATACGGGCCCAAATGTAGATCAATACAGGTTTGAGCTCGATGGCAGGAGACGCTAGAAGTTTCTGGACATAAGGGAAAATGCCAATGGAGAGAGACAGGTGCACAGCCCATGGTCCGAGGTCAACAAACCTCGATATCAAGATGAGAGCTCGGAGACGGTGGGATTGGGATAGCAGAACTTGCAGAACGATGGGTAATTGTTCGGGAGGAGAGCGAGGGACTAGCCCGTTCGCGCCGCGCGCAGCTCGTTTGCTGTTCAGCGTCGCGCCGTGTTGAAGCCACACTTCAAATGCTTGCAAGTGTTGAGCAAAAAACGTCGAGGGCTTGTACATTCCCGCAGGGATATTGTAGGGCTTTCCGGGTTCGGGCTCGCCCACCTGGTCGAAGATACCAGGGAGTTGGGCAAGGCAAGAGTCTACCGCAAGATCCCATGATTCCCAAAGAGGATGGTTATGGGTATCAGGGATCTCGGGGATAGATGTCGGTGTACAGTGGTACGCCTGCATGATCCTCTGCGCAAGCAGGAAATTTCTGAACAGGGCGGCAACGAGCAGATCTTGCCTGAAGAGCTTGTTGAACATTTCTCGGGGAAATGAGAGCCAGGCGATGGTGTCGGTCACGGCCGTAAATATCCAGCTCAACTCTCCCAAGGGTGTTCTCCTATCCTTCAAGTCGCCCGGAATCCTCATGGCCAGGTCCACCGTGATTCTCGACCTCGGATCATCCGCGCTCAGGCCAGTGTTCCTCCGCAGAGGGTCCTGGAGTACAAAATGACGCAACGCCGTTTCGATGGGGGACGTGAGGCAGCATGTAAAGAGGTCGGCAGGGAGGTCGGGTGACATGGGGAGAATCTGGTTGACTTTGCAAGCGGCCAGGTGAAGGGCTTCGGTGTATGACGTGCGTGGGAGCTCTTCATGGCCGGCTTGAGAAGCTGCGTGTCGAGCCTCTGCATCTCGGCGTTCAGCAGACTTCATGAAGTTGTTGAGGATGTTGCCGGCTGCTGAGCATTCCCATATATAGATACACGGCCTATATGAATGTTAGCAACGAATGGGGGTAGAGGCATTTGACACTGACGATCCGAGCCATTCCTGAAGGTCGTACAAGCTGACCGGGATATATTGGGTGTAATCTGCAACTGTTTAAGCATGGCGATTGAATCAGCTGGTCAGACGTACTCTTGTTGAACACCCAAATCTCTCCCGAAGGCGTCGGCCTCGGTACACCATGCCCGTTGTAGTAGAAGACAACACGCTCATCTTTCGTGGTCTTCCTCATGCCAATACAGTGCTTCTTTGTGTCCTCTACGGATGGATCGAGGAACTGCAAGTTTGTCAGCGGAGCAATACGGTTAGTCCATGAGCAAACACACAGCCTTGTATTTGACCTTGGGGTTGAGCGTCTCGAATTGCTGGTGCAGATCTACAATGTTCAGGAGAGAAACGCATGAGCGCACAGTGGCACTCACTTCTTCCTATAGCATCAATGGCCTTGTTGGCTGGCAGTTGCGTCGGGTCAATCCAGCACTCCGTCTTCGCACACGGATTCGTCTTGACCACATCCGGCGGGTCTACGCCCAAATTCAGGCAGATAAACAGCCCAGCAGTGACTGTCTTGAGCTTTGACCGCAGGCGCCATGGTGATTTGCTTGCTGCATAAAGATCAGCTTCGTGACCAGATATACCTGCCCCACCTTCCCAATGTGCGGCACACAGAATACTGACCTTTGTCCTCATCCGTCTCTTCCCTCTGTTTCCCCTTGGGACTCATATGCCTCAGAGCAGTCCAGTACTGCAATGCAGCTCCGACATCAACCTCGCCGGGAAACTCATCGTGCTCATCGAGAAATGCCTCGTCGTGCTCGTACGCCTCGGCAGGAAAGGCCGGGTAGGACGACTGGAGTTGCGAAGTAGATCCCTCGTCTCTGGCGTATTGCAGGCCCTGGTGCTGGCCGTAGTAAGCCATGTCGCGAGTATTGTGGGAAACCGAGTACTTTGTGTCCCGGGCAGACAAGCGCGGCGGCAAGAGGAGATGGGCGGGGCGGTAGTCCCCGCTTGTAAACGCGCCCCCCTTTACGCGGGCATTTGCTTCCGTCTCGAAGATCTTTTCTGTCGAAATCTCACACCGCCAGAAGTAGGACTCAAATCAAAACCACGTCTCCGGCATCCACACAGCTCTCGTCAGCACCCCTCAGCCACCCCAACAGTCAACACAGAACAATCCGACGCCATGCACCTTATGTACACCTCGGACGAGAAGGGAAACCGGTACGTCGATCCATAGCTTCGCATTTGGATTGAAAGCTCACCGTTGTGATCAGAATCTACACTCTCAAAGTAAGCTTTCCACCCACGAACAAGAGTAGAGGCAATGTGAAGATTGAAGGACAGTTGCTGAATGATGAGGAGGCGGAAATGACTCGCAGGAGGATGGAGAAAGCAGATCCAGGAGCTGACGCTTTAAGCAGAAGGTGACCGCTGCCAACAAGCCCACCAAGTCTGCCCACCCCGCCCGATTCTCTCCCGATGACAAGTTCTCCCGACACAGGGTTACTATCAAGAAGAGGTGCGCAGTGCCGCTGTTCTGACTTGGGTCTTGAGAGCGAAGGCTAATGACAATCCAACAGATTCGGTATCCTCCCCACCCAACTCCCTAGCAAGCCTTTATAAATAATGTGGTGATCGATAGAGGGCGGTGCCGAGGAGATGCATGTTGTATGATATCCCCAGCAGCACAGGCATCGGTCGAGGCGCGAGCAAATATATCAACACTACTACTGATGAAGCCCTCGAGCAGTTGCAGACACCATCAGTCAATGCCATTGTCATGTACATCATTACGCATTATAACGCGATACCAAGATTATGTAAATATGCAAATAAATCCCCCAAGTATTCTTCCTCAGCTAAGCTCCGCACTCAAGGCGGCCCATGAACATTCCAACCCATTTCCTTCCCCTGCACATCCCATCCCATCTCCTTCTGCCTTTGCTGCTCCTTCTCCGCCTTCTCTGGCATGATCTTTCCCTTCTCTCTACTTTCTTTCGGGGGCACCCCGTTCTCGGGAGTATACTGCCTACCAGCTTGCGCCCAGAGGTCTAGTAGCCGAGCATGTTGTTCCCAGACCCAGTCGTCTAACTTGCACCAATCTGGGTGAATTGTCAGTTTGCCGCAAGCACAAGGAGGCAGAGAACGCACGTAAAGCGACAGTTTCTATTGAGACATCGAGTTGGTTCCAATCTCCCATCGTCCAGCCCATGTCTATCCGTTTAATGGGATCCGTGACAGGGTCGAGATGCCGCAGCCACTGTCCTGTACGGGCGTCCTCAATTTTGGCAATGTGCGTAAAGGTCATGTCTGCGGAACCTATCCATGACACCTGAATTGTCATTAGCATCTACACTCCTTGTAGAGATAAGGACAGGACTTGCCAATGGCCAACTCATAGCATAGGCTAAACCCCTGAAATAATCTCCAAAGAAATGTGACCTCCCAGCACTTGTCCCCCAGTACACATTTTTCGAACAATCCAGGTCTTTAAACGCCGCAATGAGATTGGGCATGACTAGAATGGTATCGTCGTCCGCTTTGACGACGAAACGAGGACGGCCTGCTACTTGGCCGTGGGAGGGACCGGCGTAAGTGTGGGCAATGTATTTGAAGTATTCATGAGTTTTTCCGAGGTCGATGTTGTCAATCATCTGAGGGTGGTTGTAAGTACTCGAGCGTCGCCAATGTGACGGGAAATAGTTTACTGGGAGCATGACCATATCGCCGTGCTGCTTCATCTCCTGCCTTACATCCTTGAGCAACGCATCCCGCTTCTCAATCTCCGGGTCCGTTGGCGCATTAGGGAACGGTGGTGTCCCCAAAATGAATTTTACTGTAACAAGATCTTCTGGGAAGTCTGGTATGATCTCCTTCCTATATCTGCAAGGTCTCAAAGTTAATGAATGCACTGGCAAGACCAAACGCGCAAACAAGCAAAGGACATCACTCACAGATCCCTCCTGCCTCTCTTGTCCGCCGCCGAGAAGATGCCCAGGAATATCAGCACCCCGCTGTCTTCTCCCTCCAACGGCACATTACACCCAATCTCATGAGGCTGTCTCCCACTCAGCAGCGCAAAATCAGGCTCCTCAAAACTCCGCTGGATGTCTCCGTCCACCAAGTGCGCGTCCTTCCCCTGGGCTATATCCTTTCCTTCTCCTGTATCTGCGGGCGTATCCAGCTTCGGCGAGCGAGATATATCCCGCTCAGAAGTCGAGGGACCCGAGGTTGCTGCGTTCAGAGCGAGAACCAGAAAGAGGACGATGAGGAGGGTGAGGGTGTAGAGGGATGTCTTTAAGCGGATAGATGGGCGAAGGAGGTGGTGGGGGTGTTGCAGAAAGTGTTTCAGGCCTGGCCGAGAGGGGTAGGCGTTGGCAGGGGAGCCCATGACGGGGGTATAGGGGGTCAAGTGAAGAAGAAGAAAGAAAGAAGCAATGGGCGCAATGATGATGGTCCTTATTGATGGACAACGGCGTTTTTAAGGCACGTCGGACCATACCGACCAACTGACGACGAGGACATAACAACGTGAACCAGCGTAGAGTTGGGAGATGAGACTTCGGAGGTATTTATCTACATGCTCTGTTGACTCTATATTGTCTGTGCATCCGCCACCTTTCCCCAGCTAATCCTTGAGCCTAGAAAGCGAGCCGTCGGCATTCACAGTCGCCAGATGATGCCTGCCAATGTCCTTGACCTTGTTCACGCCCACCATGATCATGGTTTCGAGGAATTCTCTGTGAAGCATTTTGATGGCCAAATCGACACCCGCTTCGCCGTTGTACTGATGGTCGAGTCAGTATGCACACGCGAACAAGTTGGTTTTGACCTACTGCCAAGCCATACAAGGCCACTCGCCCAGCAAAGACGTGGTCGGCACCCAAGGCGAGAGCTTTGAAGATGTCTGTCCCTCTTCGGATCCCTCCGTCAAAGTGCACCGGGATGCGCCCAGCGACAGCGTCAACGACACCAGGGAGGGCAGAAAGGGTAGAGGATATGCTGTCCAGCTGGCGTCCGCCGTGGTTGGAGACGACAATACCGTCTGCACCGGCTTCCACAGCGAGCTTGGCGTCCTCAGGGTCCATAACTGGTAGGCTGTCAGCGGGATTGCGGGTTCGAGAATACCCTTAACTCACTGCCTTTCAGCCAGATCTCCATCTTGGTGTTCTCCTTGAACCATTTGACTCTCTCCCATGTGAGGCCTCGGTCTGAGGTAGTCAGTACTGTGACAACAGCAGACATGAGACAAACTCACCATACGCCATACGAGGGTCCGTCGCCGTATCACGCCAATTGGCGCCTGGAGGGAAGATGGGCATATCCAGATCGTCTGGGACTTGGAACTTGTTTCTGTACTCGTTCAAGCGACGACCAAGGATGGGAAGGTCAACAGTGATCCAAAGCACTTTGCATCCAGCAGCTACACGCGAGTCAGCTCCGGCCCCGGACAGATTGGAAAAAAGGGACTCACCCTCCGCGTTCCTCATGACATAAAGGTTGATTTCGGGATCTTTGACCACACTCAATTGCATCCCATAGGCATTCGAGTACTGGGCACCCTGATCGACTACCTCCTGGACACCAGAGTTAGCCCAGGACGAGAGACACATATTAATGCCGTTCTTTGCTGCAGCTCGAGAGGTGCCGAGTTCTCTGTCGCTATGAGCAACGCCGTGCATGCCGGTCGGAGAAAATCCCATAGGAAACGAAGACTACTCAACGTCAGTCAAAGCAAAAGATACGAAGCGACAACTTGCCTTGACTCCCCAGCACTCGCTAGAAGTGTCCACATCGTTGACATCCTTCATGACTCGGGGCAGCAGCCTGTATCGATTGAAAGAGTTCATATTGTCATTGAGGCTAGTTGAAGTGGTCAGCAATGTATCAGGTGGGCTTGAGAAGTGTACTCACGTAATCAGATCCATGGCACCCCCCTCGATGTAGTCGAGATTCTTTTTGGGTAGGTTCGCCCTCGCTGCCTCTTGCATGTCTGCGATACAGAAGACTTTGTCATCGAGTGCAGCAGCTCGTCCGGCCATATTGGTCTGTAGATGTTTGAAGGGAATACATGCTTGCGCTGACAGCAGGCATGGTCTTAAACCCGTCGTGGGCTTCGCGACAAGCGCTAATAGGACGATAAGAAGATCGGCAAAGTCATCGGTAATCTGTTGGTAATCTGACACGGCGCACCCGCGATGCAGATGGAAAGTTACGTTAGTAATCTTAATTAAGCAGGTGCGCGCTTCAACGAAGGGAGCGGTGTCAGTCATTCAACGTGCCGCAGTTGCTCATGTTTACGGTCCGACTCGGTTCTCCTATACGCATTGACCGTTAAGCACAGATGTGCGGTAACTCGAGACCATGTGTGTGGCGGCAGCAGCAGCCAGGAACGTTGATGGTCCTGGAGAGGCCTTATCAGGGCCTTATCATCCCAAGCGACCCGGCTCCCCGACCGTGCAAGCAAGCTGCAATAGGGTGTGATGTATCGTAATCGGTTAAGACATCGGCGGGATGCTTCGGTTCTATTGGGCCCATAGTATCGCAGTACCAAGGTAAGCTCATGAAGTTGAGTGACAAGCTACCAAGTATGACGACGCTCACTGTCTTACGATAAGCCGCTGCAGTGCAGCCGGCCAGCAACATGTGAAATACATGAAGAACAACCTCAACAGACCAAATCTGGAACTCCCAGCCTCTAGGACATAATGCCTACCGTCAATCAACAACACCCGTCCCCTGTTGGTGGAAGTAAAGATGACCTCGACAAATCCACCGACTTAGGCGCCACCATCGATGTGCAAGCCGTCGACTTCGACCCAGAGGCTCTAACCGCACAGAAGCAAACCAAACGTCACCTGAAGCCCCGACATGTCCAGATGACGGGCATCTCTGGCGCTATCGGTACAGGCCTCTTCATCGGCGTCGGCACTTCTCTGTCCAAAGCTGGTCCTCTTGGCCTGTTCCTGGCTTACACCAGCAATGCTCTCTTGGTCTTCTCTACCTACAACGCCATGGGTGAGATGGTCTGCTGGCTTCCCGTTGACGGCAGTATCGTCGTCTTTGCGCACAAGTACCTGGACGACGCTTGGGGGTTTTCCCTGGGCTGGCTATACTTTATCGTCAACGCCTTGGCTGTTGCCAGTGAGGTATCTGCTGTCGCCGCCATCATTAATTACTGGACGGACGCGGTCAACAATGGTGAGTTTGAGCCCCTTCTTCTCAAGTAGAGGACTGATGGTCTGACGCTTCTAACAGCTGTATATGTCGCTGCTGTCTGTGCTTCTCTTGTCGGACTGGTCAGTTCCCTTCTCACACTCAGATCGTCGGCATTCACTGACCTCTCGGGTTCAGAACATCTTTGGAGTACATATTTTCGGAGAGGGCAAGTTTTATTTCTCCCTGTTCAAAGTCTTCCTCATCATGGGCCTTCTTGTCATGACCTGTGAGTTCTTCTTCGCTTCGCGACCCGTCAGAGGTGTGGAGAAGAGTAATTGACCACTTCTGCAGTCATCACCATGGTCGGAGGGAATCCTGAACAAGATGCCTATGGTTTCCGATACTGGAAAGACCCAGGGCCTTTCGTCGAGTACCTCGTCCCAGGCAACACCGGTTAGCTGATTGCAGCTTTGTTGACGCGACATCGCTGCTGACACCTGCGTGAAGGCACGTTTCTTGGCTTCTGGTGCGTTTTTGTACAAGCAGCATACGCCTATGTACGGGGGCCCTGACTTTGTTGCCTTGGCGGCCGGCGAGACCCGTAACCCCAGACGAGTTCTGCCTTCCGTATTCAGAAGGGTCATCTACCGACTCATGGTGTTCTACCTCTTCGGTGTTCTGGCTGTGGGCGTCCTTGTATGCCAACACGATCATCGCATTTGCATGGATGCCGACTACCAAGCAGTGTCCTTCCGATGATCCCGACCTCATCAGTGGCGGAGCTGGTGCCGCCGCCTCCCCATTCGTCATTGGCGTAAAGCGCCTCAACATCCCCTTGCCCGACCTCATAAACGCCCTCCTCATGAGCTCCGCCTGGTCTTGCGGCCTGGAGTTATTCTACGGATCCTCCCAAGCTCTTTACTCTCTGGCTGTTGACCACAAGACCCCAGCTCTCTTCCGCTTCACCTGGCGAGGTGTCCCCACCTTCTGCGTCCTCGCGGTCTCTGCCGTCTCCCTGTTGGCGTTCATGTCTGCCTCCAACAGTTCGGTGGAGGTGTTCACCTGGCTCACCAACATTGTTGGATCGGGTATCTTACTGCAGTATATCATCCATCACATCATCTACATCCGCTTCCGCTGAGCACAGATGGCCCAAGGCATCCCCGACATCGAACGCCCCTGGTACCGCAAGGGCCAGTACTGCTTCTCCATGGTCAGCCTGTTCTGCTACATCGTCATTTACTTGACCAACGGCTTTGCAGTCTTCCTCAAAGGCAACTGGTCCACATCAAACTTCATCTTTGCCTATGCGTCTTTGTTGTTCTTTTTGGTGCCCTGGGTGGGGTACAAGATTGTGCGGAGGGGGTGGCTGACGCCGTTGGAGGAGGTTGATCTGTATGCGGGGAGGACGAAAGAACAGCTGGACTCCAATGACGATGTCGAGATGGAGCCGGTGACAAAGGGGCAGAAATTCAACAAATGGCTTTGGGGATAGTCCTCTCCCGTCTTGTGTCGGTGTTCGTCTTGTTGTGAAGATTTTGACTGTCTCAGTCTGTTCGATATCTAAAAATGATTGCCGGATGCGAGAAAAATGCTGTAGAGGAGCTTTGTTTCATAGAAAATCCTGGCGTAGCAGTAGTATTGTTGAATAGATTGAATGGATGTGATGTGAAATCTGCTGTGAATTCACTAAATAGAGAAGGATTTGCCGGCGTCTCAATCCTCGACATCATCCTTGTATCCCTGTCACACGTGCACTATACTACTGTGATAAGATGATCATAGAAAAGCTGGAAGGGATCGAAACCGGAGTAAGCGTGAGAGACTTCTTATCCTAAGAATCATCTCCTCTCTTCCCGTTTTCCTTCCATTGCTAGGTCTTGACTCTTTGCCATGTTAGACCCTGGTCAGAGGCATCCCGGGGACACTGCCTGGAGGGATCGGAGACCGTTGAATGCGACAAGTCTTCTTCATCTCATACCACGTACGACATCCTAATGAGACAGAAAAGAGTATACACGCTAATTGCTACATGATCACCAGACACATCTTCCACGTCAAAGCTCTCTGTCCTCCCGGTGCAGCTCAAACTCTCGACTCAACAGCGCTCGACCCCTTTGCGGCATCGGCCATCAACTTTCGCAACAGCTGCACATCCACATTCACTGAAGCTTGTCCGTTCTCCAACGCCGCGAATAGCGCCCAGGGGTCTGATACTGGCGCTGCCGGGATCGAGGGTAGGGAGAGAGCAGAGGATGTTGCTGAGGAGAGACTTGAGGGAGATCTTATCGGTGGTGCGAAGGCTTTCACTAGCTGTTAGGCACGAATCGGGGACGTAAGGGGAAACAGGGTGCTCACAAGTTTGAGTCTGGCTCTGAGATATAGACGCGGCGGCTGAGTTTGATTGATGAAACAAGCTCAGCCATTGATCCATGTAATCCTGGTCCAAAGCCGGTGTTGGTATGACTGCTCAATTCATTAGTCAATTTTCTTTCGTCAACAATGCATATGAAAATGTAATGAAGCGGACGTACTATTTTGAGCATCTGACATATTCATTTGGTCGTTATTCCTCATCAAGTCTTTCCATTTCTCTGGAGCTGATTTGGCTCTGGTCATTTCAAGCTGCGGCGAGTTATCTTCTGGAACGCTGCCAAGGAGGGGAGCGTCAGGAACTTCCCAAGGAAAGAGCCCGGGAGTGCCATCAGGCAGGAGTTCTTCAGGGAGTCCCCATGGGAAGAGCCCGAGGGTGCCCTCGAGAGGAGGTGTGTCTGCTGAACGGAGGGTAGTGGCACGGTCGCCCTTGGGTTCGACAGTATGATGATGCGGTGAGGTGTGTCTTGCAGCGGCTACATGGCTCTCAGTCAACACATGCACAATTCTGCCGCAAACTTGGAAACAGATGACTCACAAGCGCTAACCTTGTTGTTCCCACGAGTAAGATCAAAGTACTTTCGACTTCGATTTCTACACGCCAGAGGGCTCCTGCCCGGTAAACTGTCTGATATTACACTCCATTTTGCGCCATGTGCTTCGAATAGTTGGAGGAGGAGGGCATCTTCCAAGGGCGTCCAAGCCTTTTTGGACGTGAGAAATGGGTCCAAGACGTCTCTCCACCGCTTGGAACATTGATCATCTTTTCGCCCGGGAATCAAGAGAGCTGTGACAAGCTGTCAACTGGGGGGGTTCGACGCAGGTTTGAAGAGCTCGCAGGCTTACCAATTTCCTTCCATTGCGGCCCCATCTCCTTATGTAATCGCTTGAGAGCTTCGTCCTCCTCTCTTGACCACCTCCCTTTACGCAGCGATGGGTCGAGCGAATGGAACCATCTCTTTCGGCAGTCCTATGTGGGTTTAGCAGAGATTCCTCGGGAATACTGATAGTGACGAGACGCACCTTGTTTGTTCTTGTCCCACCCACAATGCTGGATATCTCCGACCACGCTGACCCGGGCCCTCTGGCAGAGCCCAGTCGATCGACTGCATCGATAAGCAAGGCGTCTTCTTCCAGAGTCCAGGGCCGTCTCTTTGCGTGTGGCTCTGTGGGCTGCTGGGGCGAGGGGTGGTCTGAGGAAGACGAAGTGACGCTCATTCCTGGTTCAGCATAGACAAGATGCAAGAGTCGGGAAGATGCCTTGCAGCCTATGCAGGCGATGGTGCCTCTAGTGCACTCCTCGAGACCCAATCCTGTTCCCCGAGATAGCAGCGTCTTATCTAGAGCCGAGTCACTCAGAGCCGGTCAGCTCCGCCGCGTGTCGCCGACACGAGCTGACGAGCGGGCAAAGAAGAAGACCAACCAGATAAACGAGTCTATGAAGGAATACATGACTGCAGTGCGCGAGAAGGTCGATGGCTGACATGTTGGTTCGAGTATGAGTCTTGGGAACGTGTAGGGACTGACTGTGGCAACACATGGAAGTTGGGTACTCGCGTCCGCCCAGCGGCTGCTACCAACGTGAATATCTTTGCGTGTCTTGAGTTTGCAGGGGAACGAGGAGGCTCATAATCATGTATTACTCGTCAGAAGCATGTATGAACAGTCCAGTAAAGTTTGGCCGCCACCATCGACAGCATAAACCGAGTCGTCCGATGTCTAAGATGAAAGCGGTCCCTTTTCGATGCCAAAAGGAAAACGGGCGGGGCACGCCTAAAGGGAGGGCGCGCGTGGGGGCATACAATGCGCCTATTTCTGGCGACGCCTATTCCGCGGTTGAACAGTGACGAAGCGCGTTCTACTCATCCTCCTCCATCTACTAACCATCTCCTCATCTACTACTACTAATCCATCTCCTGGCGCACCCGCAATGTCCAGATCATACGACAGAGGCAAGTCAACCCTCCAATGGCATCGGAGAGCAGAGCATAGGATGGAAACTGACACAGTCCTGCAGCTCTTACCGTCTTCTCCCCGGATGGACACGTAAGTGTTCGACTTCCCTACAGCCATGCATGCGCTCATACAAGCTATAGCTCTTCCAAGTAGAGTATGCGCTCGAAGCCGTGCGCCGAGGAACATGTGCTGTCAGTCTCTACCACCGCGCCTGACGACCTCTCACTGACGTGCCATTGCTTCCAGGTCGGTGTTCGTGGCAAGTCCTGTGTGGTGCTCGGTGTCGAGAAGAAGTCTACTCTCCAACTTCAAGATCCTCGAACTGTTCGCAAGGTCGCCATGCTTGACGACCACGTCTGCGTTGCCTTTGCTGGTACGTCTTACACTAAAGTTGCAGAAAGATGAGCAGCTTACGGGGCTCAACAGGTCTTACGGCGGACGGACGTATCTTGATCGACAAGGCTAGAGTGGAGTGTCAATCTCACCGATTGACTGTGGAGGACCCCGTCAGTATCGAATACATTACCAAGCATGTTGCTGGTATCCAACAAGTCCGTCATCTGCTCCATCTGCTCTACTATATCTGATATCCTGCTGTAGCGATACACTCAATCAGGTGGTGTCCGTCCATTCGGTATCTCTGCCCTCATTGTCGGCTTTGACCCCAACGATACTATCCCCCGCCTCTACTCTACCGAACCCAGTGGTATCTATTCTGCTTGGAAAGCCTGCTCCATCGGCCGAGCATCCAAGACTGTGAGAGAGTTTTTGGAGAAGAACTATGAGGAAAACTTGGAAAGGGACGACTCGATCAAGTTGGCGGTGAAGAGTCTTTTGGAGGTTGTGCAGACGGGAGCCAAGAATATTGAGATTACGGTCATGGAGTCTTATGGTGTTGTCAAGGTGAGCCGTCGATCAATGCCAATTGGAATGAAGCTAATGGAGCGAGTAGAACCTTGAGCAGGAAGACATTGAAAAGATCGTTGCCGAGATTGACGCGGAGAAGGAGGCCGAGGCTGAGCGTAAGCGCCAGCGACTTGCTGCCACACAAGCCGGCCAAGCTTCCATGGCTATGGGCTCATCAGCACCCTCCGGTACTCAAACACCATCTGGCGCTGCTGGTGGTTCCCAAGAACACCATTCGGCTCCCGGGGGTGACAGCGGGGTGCAATAAGCGTTGTACAATGAAACTTGGAATTGGGCGCTGGTATACATACCCGAAACGATGCATGATGTAGGATATGAAACACTATGAGGACTGCCGGGGGAGGACAGAGTAGGCTTTGCGGAGGCCAAGGCGGTCTATGAGGTCTGCAGGCATGCAGTAGACGGGGTCTATATCTTGCAGTCCTGGGTAGCCGAGTAGAGACAAGCCAGCGACACCGAAGAGGGTGTGGAACACGTCTACCCAGTTTCCGGGGCGGTCCCCAATACCTCCTTCATCTGGATCCTATCCGGGGTCAGCTGATATAAACTATCGTTTCCAGTATGCTTACCTGGGCGCTGAGGATAAAGTTGGTCAGCTTCTCAGCGTTGATCCAGTGGATCTTGCCGATAATCGATATTGACGCCAGACACCACCACGAGTAGCATACCTTTGACTTTATCAGCCTGGAATCGGAATAGCCCTGCAGTACTTACATCTTCAAGTTTCTCCGGCCTCCCATTCAGTCCCCCGTTTGGTAATTGTCTCTCCGACAGCCAAGCGCCCAAAAGATCCACCTCCACCAGATCCATTCTGCCCAGAATCGCCAACGCCGCCGTACACACCCAAACCTGACCCGAGTGGCTCTCCGTCCCCGGCTCGAGCCCAAAACCTCCGTCAAAGTTTTTACATTGTTCAATGTTGGAGGTGATGGAAGAGAGCTGTGCAGGAGTAAGGAGGTGAAGGCGGGACATTAGGGAGAGAGAGGATAGGAGGATGTAGGTGAAACGAGAGTCGGATTCGGGGGACGGGTCGCCACGGACTGATCCGTCGGCATTGATGAGACTTAGAAGGACTATTCGAGGCATGAGTGATAGAACGGGGGGACCCGGCTGGGAAGAGACTTGCAAGAGGTTATCCGTTCGACGTCGGCCCGGTCGAGGGCATCTTGCATGAGTAATACTTGAATACCCGAGAGCGTCGCAAGGATATGCCCGTCATGGTCCGGATGAGGCCCAAACGTGCCTATGTATATTGATCAGTGCAATCTTGGGTCTTCAAGCCAGAGTACACACCAGCTTTGTCGTCCCAGCAAGACAAGACATATTGTATCACACCTTCACGATCAAGCGCTTCAGGCTGACCCATGATATAGAGGGCGGTGAGGCCCCAGTAGATACCATTGAGCCGTAAATGAGAAGTCAGGTGGTACGCAAGATCCTGTTTCTGTTTTGAACCGTCAGTGTCTGATGGTGTGTCCTGCACGTTCCCGAGCAGAAGTGCTGGCCCACTTTGTCGAGGTCCTGGATGTACTTGACGTGGAGAGGGATGTTGAGGGGCGGGATTGAGGCGGAGGAGGACATGGCGGCCGGTGTTGTTGTTGTTGTGAAATGCAAGAGAAGATGGGCGGCAATCAAGATTCAAGAGGTGCGCGCGGGTGGAGGTCATCCACTGCATCGATTGATCTGAAATATCTATCTTCTGTGTTTTCGAACAACGCTTCCATAGCTTCTATCCAGGCCATGACTCCATAATATGCCCCACATCGCCCACCTCCCCCGGTACACCTCCACCACCCTCCGCTCCTCCGTCATCCTTCCCTCCCTCCCCCAGATCCTATCCGAGCTTCTCCACAACTCGCTCGATGCTGGTGCAACAAAGATCGACTGCTATATAGATCTAACAAAAGGAGCTGAAAGCCTGAGAGTAGAGGACGATGGGGGGGGCATTGACAGAGAAGGGTTGGAAAAGGTCGGGAAAAGGTTTCGTGAGTGTCAGCCTTCTTCATGTTGGCACCCAGGCTGACAATCATATAAGGCACTAGCAAACCTACCAATGAAGGTGGCCTTGGTCCCGAGGCGTCTTATGGATATAGAGGAGAAGGTATGTCCGTCAGCACATGCCCCAAGCTTGATCTGACAACAGCCTCAGCGTTGGCATCTATCGCATCCCTATCTTTACTGGACATTACCACCAAGACGCGCTGCTCTCAGGTTTACACCAAGATACTCAAGCACTCCAAAGACCTATTCTTCGGGCCCAATGCCTCTCGCCACGTACCCGGCTCTCACGGCACCCACATCGTCGTCCGTGAAATTTTCCACTCCATCCCAGTTAGAAGACAGGAGTTGGCGCAGAGCAGTCAGAGTACAATCATGGGCCAGATCAGAAAGGTAGTCGAAGGATTGATTTTGGGTTCGAAAGGAGTACGTTGGGCAGTCTGGGAAGACAGGGGAGGTGGGGCTGGAGGTCTGAGGAAGGTGATCTCGATTGGCGAGGTTGGCAACATTCGTGTGGCAAACGTGAAACGACTGACGATACTTGTAGACTGAGAGCTCTTTGGATCTGTTCAAGACCCTTTACGGGAGTGCACTTGTACAACGAGTCCAAAATATCCGTGTCACATCGGGCAAGAGAAGGATAAACGGGTTCATCAGCATATCGGGCGATGTATCCAAATCTCATCAGCACCTCTGTGGGTCTTCGCCTGGCTCTACCTGAAGCAATACTGACAGTGCATGTCAGATATAAACAACTATCCCATAGACAGAGGAGAATTACATCTCGCGATCGCGAAAAGGTTCTCGAACAGCAGATTCGCTACTGTGGCATCGGCTGGAGGGGCTGATGAAGAGGACGATTACGTTGCTTGTGAGTTCAGTCCTTCATTAGCATATATATGTATCCTGACGCGACCTTAGCTGGTCGTAGATCCCCCCGTCGTTTGGAGCGGCACCCTGTATATGTTCTCAGTGCTTCGTTACCTTCCGCGGAGATTGACGTCTCCTACGAGCCACAGAAAGGCATCATGGGGTACGAAGTGAGTCATTGATGGAGAAAGTTGACTGGAACTTGCTGACATTGTGCCATAGAACATGCCCGGCCTCAAGAACATGCTCATCGCTGTGGTTGACGAGTTCTTGCGACGGAACGGGTATAGCTCCGGGCGCATGGCCTCTTTAACCCCAAGTCCTACCAAGAAGCCGACTTCCCCGCTGTCCAAAGTGTTTCCGAGACCAGAGACCTCTTACGCCAAACCCTCCCCACTGTCTATCTCTTCACTGAGGGCTACCGTGACCCCTATTTTTTCTGCCGCTGGTGTACCAATACCCAGGCCGCCTTCCACGAGCTCGCAGCTCCTCGGGCTCAAGAGACATGCGTCACCCGTCTCCTTCTCCACCTTTTCAACTCCCAAGAAACCAAGATTGGGTGGCACCACCCATTCTGCGTCTCCCAAGATTAACGAAATAGGGAGCAGAAAGTCAAAGTGGATTGAAGAGCTCTTGGCTGGCGTTGACACTGGCGTCTTGCCCATCACCCGTCCCAAATCCGCTCTCCGGGTCGCAAACCCAACATGTAATATTCACGAGCTCCACGAGGACACATGCTGTAGTCACTCGGCACCCGATATCCCTCTAAACCTTCCACCAACTACCCAAACCACATTACAGGTCCAATTCGCCAAGTCCTGCCTTTCCTCCGCCATCATACTCTCCCAGGTTGACCGCAAATACATCGCTGCCGTCCTCACTACAATGAAAGGCGCCAAGGCTCTGGCTCTCATCGATCAACATGCCGCTGATGAGAGGGTTTCTGTTGAGGGTATTCTCTGGGAGCTGTGTGAGGGGTTCCGCAAGGGTGATCTTGCCGCGGAGAGATTGGAAGACGGGAGTGAGGTGGGAGTGGTCCTTACAAAAGGCGAAGGGGAGGTTCTGAGGCGGGATGGAGTGATCGAGGTCTTCAAGAGATGGGGTATGGATCTCGCCCTGGATCATCATTGGATCGACGGAGATTATACCCAAGTCATGGTCCGCTCCGTGCCAGCGAGCCTCACCAGTCGGCTCAAACGAAAAGAGGCCGTTGAGATGACGCGGCTTATCAGAGGTTATCTGCCTGTCTTGGAAGAAAGTCTGGGCCAGATTCAGGTACTTGTCAGAGATCTCGAGAAAAAGTTCATCGATCAAGATGATGAAGGGGAAGGATATGGGGGGACTTGGGGGAGGATCATGAGATTCATGCCAAAGGAGATGTTGGAGCTGGCAAATTCAAAAGCATGCCGAGGTACGCTTCCAAAGCCTCGCATCGTCTCTACGCCAGATAACACTAACTCGATCTTCACAGGAGCGATCATGTTTGAAGACCGCTTGACGCAGGACCAATGCTCCCGTCTAGTACAACAGCTCGCCCAGACCAGGTTCCCATTCATGTGTGCGCATGGAAGGCCAGCGATGGTACCACTCGTGGTACTGGCGGAGCTGGAAGAGGTGCCGCAGGACAAAGGGAGGAAAGGCGCGGGAAAGGCGATTAATTGGGGAAACGTTGGGCAGAGGATGAAGGAAGCACATGAGGAAGAAGAAGAAGAAGAGAGCAGCGTGACAGAGGTACGGCAAGACGTTGTATGACATATACTGTATCCTTTATCCAACTCCGCATCATATTTGTGCTGTTGACATCTGTAGCCTATCAATGCATCATCAATCTTCAATTCGGGTACCCCCCCTGAATCTCACTCACGGAATACCAGCGAGACAAATATCATTTAGTACCAGAGTGCATTGGTGAGGTGCGGGTGGGTATACATGTAAACTGAGCCTATGCGTCCACGAACGGCGAGGTAAACGTTCTCCAGCAGCTGACGCGAAACCCTCGATTTAGGGGACTGATGCTACCAATCCGATCGCATACATTCAATATATTAATCTACTTATTTAGAACTTCTACTACGTCAACATATTCTAACAAGACAAGGATTTACTTTAACAACTACCCATGGCCATCTTTCTCTCCCTATAAGACATCAGAAACTTTTTCACAGCCACAACATACACGACGTCGGTATCACAGGTATACTTGTAGGTCTATCCCCAGAATCATTTGTTGAATTTTTGCCCCTTTGTGACAGCTTCCATCTCCGGATCATCATTGAAATCCATCTGTTCCCTTGTCCTACCCGCATACAGATCAACCTCTTTCAACGGCGTCAACCACCCTCCTCTCCGCACAATCTTGTACCCCACCCATGGGACCAAGAGGGACAGTAGAGAGGCATAAGCGAAGATGAAGCTCGATATCGACCATTGACCCTTCATGAAGACTGAAAAGCCGTTGGTCAAGAAAATGATGATATAGCAGATCACGGTGACGATAGAGAAAAAATACTGGCCCTTGCGGTACCATGGGCGGTCAATGTCGGGGATGCCTTGTGCCATTTGGGCTCGACGGAAGCGGATGTAGATGGTGTGGTACATGATGAATTGCACCAAGACACCCGAACCGACAATGCTGGTCAGCCAGGTGAACACTTCGATTGAGCTGGTAGAGGCAGACATGAACGCCAGCAAGGAGGAAACGGCAAAGACTGCGAGGACGCAGAAGGTGGGCACGCCTCGCCAGGTGAAACGGAAGAGGGCTGGTGTCTTGTGGTCGATCGCGAGGGAGTATAAAGCTCGAGAGGAGATGAAGAACAAATCAAGCCCGAAAGACCAGGCCAAGGTCATGAGAAGGGCGTTGATGAGGTCGGGGAGGAAGGAAATGTTCAGGCGTTTTACGCCGATGACGAATGGGGAAGCAGCGGCACCTGTTGCGCCACTGGTGAGGTCGGCATCGTTGGAAGGACACTGCATGGTTATCAGAGCTCGGATTTCGAGGATGGTTGGTTTGAGCTTACAAGAACACCAGCTGCGAGAACACCGAAGATATAAAACACCAACAGTCGGTAGATGACCCTCTTGAACACGGAAGGCAACACTCTTCTCGGGTTACGGGTCTCGCCTGCAGCGAAGGCCACACAGTCAGGACCTCCGTAGGCATAGGCTGCCTGTACGAAGACGGACCAGAAGCCAAGGAACTTGCCTGCCATGCACCCATCAGCATCGAGATCCCAAGTATGGTAGAGGCTGACGATGACTAACCGGTGCTGCCAGAAACAAGGTACTCAACGAAAGGCCCTGGGTCTTTCCAATATCGGAACCCGTAGGCATCATGAGCAGGGTTTCCTCCGACCATTGTAATGACTTAAAGGGATGGTTGTCAGCTCTGGTGAGTGTCTTCAAACCACTGATCATCCGAGGAACTTGCAGGTCATGACGAGAAGACCCATGATGAGGAGGACTTTGAACAGGGGGAAATAGAACTGCCCTTCGCCGAAGATATGTATGCCGAAGATGTTCTGAATGATCAGGTCAGTCAGTGCCGACAATGTGATTATTGGTGTGAGGACGGTGCTTATGTCACGCCTGGGGAGTGCCCTTGACGTGCTGAAGAGAGTTTTGTAGTAAGGGGCAAAAACCTTTTCGTTATTGTCGCATATGAAGAAGAAGAAACTATGAAAAAGACTCTGATACGGGTAACAACGGAGAGCACGGTCCACAAACACACAACTAATCTATTGGATGAACTAATTACACAGATGACTCCTTTAACCATGACAAATCTACCCTCCTCCCTCATCGCCGACGTCCTTTAACCATGACAGCTTACCAGTCCAACAAGAGAAGCACAGATAACAGCCACGTAGTAGACAGCTTGTTACCGATCAAAGGGTCATGTTGCGCCAGCTAAAAAAGCTTACTCTCTTCCCCTTATCTCCTTGTCTTGGGCGCACCGAGTCCACCTTCCCTCGTCCATTTACACCATCATGTCCGGACTGGAAAGAGAGAGCGACACAAATATTCCCATCACCACCAGTCAAAAGAACTATTTTGAAGGTTATGCCCTTGCAAGGCCACAGCGCCCTGCATGACCATCAGAGAGTCGAGATAGTCTATAGATCTATACAGATGCATGTAAGAACCAAAAAAAAACAGTCCCAAAAGCACCATCGCAGTAAACCGATTCCTTCTTTTTCTACCTTTTTTACTTGGTGCAGCAGCTGCCGCCGTTCACCTTGACCGTGTCACCATTGACAGCCCCGTCCGCGCCGACTTGAAGAGTGGGGTCGTATCTATCGCAATATCAGCTTGGCATCCTTCAGAGGAGGAAGGGATGGGCGCGAGGAGGAAAGAGGAGGCAAGACTCACTTGACACTCTGGTTGATAGCCTGGGTGGATAGGGGAACGTCCAGCGAAGGGTTGTAGTTGAAGAACCCAGAAGGCTTCAACATGATCTTGACACTCTCGGCGGCTATTCACATCGTCAGCTCTTTTCCGAAATATGAGGCAGAGGCAGTACTCACGCATGATAGGGAAATCCTCAGGCCTAGGGTTGTGCGTAAAGGTATAAGTGTGCCACAGAACGACATCGTGGTTCTCCACAGCATCTTCGCGGGCGACCCATTCACGAATACCCTCAGTACCATCAGACTGGCAGGTGTAGTCACCCGAGGGGTAGAGCTCGCGGTCCTTGTACTTGGTGACCCAGATGGGGGCATCGCCAAAGTGCGATCGCTTGTCGTGCCAAGAGCCCTTCGCAGCCAAAAGACCCTACTTGAGTGATGAGCGCCAGCCTTTCAACCCAAATAGATGACTTACCTGCGAGCTGATAGGAACAAGCTTGTAGGCAATAGGTGTCAAAGAGACAGGGTTGATCTTGTCAGGGTTACTGATCTTGATGATCCTTGCCTTGAAGGGGTCAGTCTTGAGGGTACCAGACTTCGTGATCTTGGTCTCTTCAGTGTAGTACCCAGTCCCAAAGGGGTTCAGGTTCTTGTCTTCAGGCATCGGCAGAGAGTCGACGTAGGAGACGGTGTTGGAGTAGCCGTCGATGGAGGGGTCGATACGAAGGTTGAAGATGTGCTGGTGGTACGGGGCAAGGACACCGTCGCCGACACGGGTGGCAAAGTTGACCTTGTCGGTGCACTTGGGGTCGATGGGAGTGGTGGAGAGGATACCGGTGGCACCTGTGAAAAGTGTGAGTGCTTGTACACGCAGCTGGAGAATGCGAAGGGACGTACGGGTCTCAAATTCGATCTCTCCAGATTGGTCAAAGGTCCAGTAGAAGATGTACTCGTAGTTGGCGACTTTGCAACATCAGTATTATAAGATTGGGGGTTTGAATCAGGAAACTCACCAGTCAAGATTGTCTGAAGCTGGAGCTGCCTCTTTCTCACAACAGATGCCTTACCAGTCCGGTGGTTCGTGTGCTTCCACTGGATACCAGAGTCGATCTCGTGACTATAAATCGGTTAGCCACCTGATACGACTACCAAGAAAAGATTGAGTACTCACATGCAGACACAGTTGTTCTTCGGCACGACTTCGCCCCTGGCGTGAATGATGTGACCGTCGAGGTAAGCGATGGTACCCAAGCAGTCACAGCCCACTGCAGATACGAGTCAGATCAGGTCCAATTCGGTCGAGTTGAGACGAGTACTCACAGGAAAGGTCGTTGGCAGTGGCTCCGGCGCCGACGTTTCCGAGGTCGAAGGCGCCCTTTCGGTGGAGAGGGTCTCGGGGGTCACCGTAGGGGACAAACCTATAGATACGTCAGCGTGGCGGTCTCAGCTTCAGACACGGGACGTAGACGCACATCTCGGAAAGGGAGAGTCGGAAAAAGACTGGTCGGCCATCCAAAGTGACGTCGTAGAGGATCATACCCTCTCGCCAGTTGAATCCCACCCTGAACCTCCACTTCTCCCACTCGATGAGTCTACCAGTGAGCTTGAAGCTGGCTCCCTCGGGCTGGACAACCTGCAAAGGCTTCATGGTGGTCCTGGCTGGCTTGCTCTGGAGGCGGTGGTCGTACTCGGGCTCGATGGGCTCACCAAGCTGTAACGAAGGTCAGCAAAGTTGAAGCATGAGGAAAGAGGAAGAGCATACGATTCTGGGACCATTGTGAGGAGTAGCGATGGGTTCAGCGCCGATAGGGATGTGACAAATCTTGACGATCTTCATCTGCACAAGGTCGATGATGGCCATAAAGTCGAGAGGGAAAGCATAGTGGTTGGAGTCGGGGTCATTGTTCTTGGGGCTATGAAGAATGTCAGCGGTGACAGACAAAAACGAACAGCACTACTCACTTTCTAGTGTAGAAGAAGATCTGGCTGAGACGCCTGTTCGAATCGAATTCGTCCTTTCCATAGTCCCAAGGGTCACAGACAACTACGCTGTCGCCAATCTGGCAACGCTCGAGCTCCTTCTTGACAAGGGGGTCGTTGAGAGCGACTTCAGCAGCCTCGTTGTGCTCCACACGGTCGACAGGGGCGTAGTGGTCGCGGGACATCTCCTTGTTGTGATCGATTTTCCCGTCAGTGACATCGATGGTGGCCTCAAACAGTCGGGGAGTGTTCTTGATGTAGTACATCCTGTGTCACGAGTCAGATAGCAAAGAGAAGAGTACATAGAAGACTCACATGAAGATCAATCTGTTGGGAGGGGCGATAGGAGTACCGGCGCGCTCGGCAGTAAGGTACTTCTTCATGACCTCCTTGGGAGGCTCCTCAAGACCTGCGACCTTGAAGTGGATGGGAACATCGTAGAGCGCCTTGATGAGGTCGATGGCGGCGGTGAGCTCTTGAGGGCTGGCGGGATCGAGGGGGTGGGGGGCAGACATGGTGGAGGGATGGGCAATGGAGTTGATGAGGCATTTCTCAGCGAGTACATATATCTGGCAGTCGGGCAACCGAGTCAGCGTGGAGGATGACACCGTCCACGGCTCGTCGGTCCCACCCGGTTCCCGTTAGCACGGCGCTGTCCCAGCAGCCTGTCCATTGTGCCAGGACTGCGGATATGCTCGAAGAATATCTGATTACAACTGCATTACAATTTGAACTTTTGAAGAGTCGCTGATTGTTAACTCTTGACACGGCTCTCGCCGTTTACGTAAGGGTTATCTCGGCGATATAAGCGCGGTAACTTGATAACGGTGTCAGCCAAGATGCGAGACTCGGCTCCCTAATAATAAGCGCGTGGAATGGTCTCGCACACGGCTCAGCTCACCCCTTATATATATATGTACTCCCTGCATGTCTCCCTTCCTCTTCATCCATCCACCATGTCCTCATTCATCCTCGCCTGTACCGTCTTCCTCGAGCCCCCTGTTGTTGAGAGGCTTCACAAGGCATTCGCCAAGGTCCACTACCACCCGGATGGCGTCCTCCCCAAAGAAGCCTTGCAGGAGGCAGATATCCTCTTCACAGAGATGGTCGGTGTCCCCGCGCAAATCACAGACCTGAAGGCCGAGATCCCCAACTTGAAGCTCATTCAGCTCGTGTGTGCCGGCTCCGAGAAGGCCCTCGCTTGCCCTGCTGTCAAAAACTATGTTGCCCAGTCTGATCGCTCGATCACCTTGGCCAATGCGAGCGGTATTCATGTTCTCTCCATCCCCAACTATGTTGTGGCTTCCATCTTGGGGGCTTACCACCAGCTCTCTCGGCAGATCATCTTTGGTGCGGTGTGTACCTTTTTATTCTTCGTATCGCGCAGGGCTGATCAAGTTTGCAGGTCAACAAGCGATGGGCTACACGAGCCGAGATCGAAATCACCGACAAGCCATACTACGCACGAAGTCCCAGGGGACGTACTGTCGGCATGCTTGTGAGTGGTCTTCTTGTGAAATCTTGTGAAAAGGACAGTGACTGATTGCCTATAGGGCTACGGAGCTCTGGGCAGGGAGAGCGCGAGGCTTCTGTCGTGTCTTGGTATGGAGATCATCGCCGCCAACACCTCTGGATCTGCCACCCAGCAGACAGGCGTAAGTTACTTGCTTTGGAAGCCTTTGTCGACCTGCGGACTGAACTGTCGATAGTACATCATTGACGGCACTGGCGATGCTGATGGTTCCATCCCCGAAACATACTACTCTACCAAAGACCGTACATCGTTTGAAGCTTTTCTTAAGCGGTGTGATGTGCTCGTTTCCAGTCTTCCCAACACTTCTGCCACCCAGTACATCATCGGACCCAAGGAACTTGGCAAGTTTCCTTCATCGTCCATATTGGCTTTACTTTACTGATCCTTTGATATAGACCTCCTTCCAAAGAACGCTTTGCTTGTCAACATTGGTCGGGGCAACCTCGTCAAGTCTGGTCAGTTTCTGTCTCTTCTCCCTGCACCTCTTGTCTGACGTAGGTCTTCAGAGGACCTCCTCGCGGAACTGAACAAGCCTGAGGGCGAGGGCCTCTTCGCCGCCCACGTCGACGTCACCGACCCCGAGCCTCTTCCCGAAGGACACCCCCTCTGGTCCCACAGAAAAGCTACCATTACACCGCACCTGACGGGCGATACCGAGGGAGAGTATGATATTGCGGTGGATATTCTGATCGCGAATGTGAAGAACTTGGCGGTGGGAGAGCGGTTGTATAATGCGGTCGACTTTGTGAAGGGGTACTAGAATGTATATAGAAGGAGCACAAAAGATTATGCAACCACGCCTAGTCAAGGTTTTCTATGTTCTTTCTTTGTGGATCAACAAAATGAATGACCCAGATGGCCAGTCCATAAGATAGTAGATACACTTGCGGCCTGCTTGCGGCAGAACGGGACCAAATTTCGTCGATGTCACAATCACTCAAGACGAGCGGTTGTAATGGTGTCAATGGCTTCTTCCATCTATTCTCTCTTTACACTCTTTTACGCCCAAAAGCTCGATGCCATTCCGAGCACGCTGCAACCCCGCAGCCATCCTCCAACGCAGAAATGCCGCCCTTCTCCTGAGACCGGACTCCGTGCGCATATCATCGGTGGTGACCCCGCTTGTAGCCCCAAGTGAGCATTTTCATCTGTCCGGCGAGCTATGCTAAACCGTCGTTAGGACACCAGGTGCAGCAGTACAGACATTCCAGCTCTTCATCACCCCTGCAATCACCTTTCTCCTCCTTCTTCTCCCGTATTCGCCGCGCCGACACTCCGGAAACAGCCTCCAAAGAGTTCACGGATGCCCTCGTCTCGTGCGACATCAACTCTCTTAGTACAGCCTACTACACCATTGGTAAGGCCGTGCAGCCTGCACAATGGATATCAGAGCAACAGCTGCTGGCATCCATGCGAGCTTTGGCGGAGAAGACGGGCAAATCGCCCCAGGGTCTGCGGCTATTAAGCCGTATGTACGGCGATATCTCCAGGCGCTTTGGGTATCCCAAAGAGAGCGCGTACGATGAGGCGATGATCCTCGGGCTCATACGTGCTGGGGCTGTCAAGGAGGCGATTGATTTAGCTGCGACGTTGAAAAAGGAGGCGGTAGATTGGAGAGCGATGCTACAGGCTACCCTGCGCTCAGGGGGGGCGGTGGAGTATGAGCATGTTGCTCGAATCGTTGAGCCTTTCCAACGGCAGGCATCGCTGTCCCATGACGACTATCGGCTACTCCTTAGAGTCCTTCGCACCTACCCCGATCAGAGTAACTCCTCTCAGCTCGTCACCCTCCAAAAAGATATGTCCGCCCGAGGCATCGCACTCGACAAGTCTCTCGAAGCGGTAATTACATCTGTATACATTGCTTTGGGTGACCTGGAGGGCTCAAGAAATATCATTGAAAAATGGAGTCTGCTCTCGACAGAAGAGTACGAGCTCGACATGTGGGACGCCATTGTCAGTCATCACATTGCTACCAACGATGTCCCAAAACTTCACGAAGTAGTTGGCAAGATGCGTGACGCTGGTATCAAGATCCCTCAGCGCGCTCTGCTGGTTCTTGCGACAGCTTGTCTGGACGGTTATATCGACTCCAAATCGAGAGTCGGCTACCGAGATGCTGCCGCCGCGATCGACGAGGTCGGACAGTTGTCTGGCGACTTGCCGGGCACAGAAGTGTGGACAGGCGTCATCCAGCACTATCTTGACAAGGTTGACGAGCGAGATTCACTCGATGTCGCCCTGCAGCTCTTTGATGAGTCCCAAGGTCGAGGTATACCCCTGACTGCCGAGCTCGTTCGCACCATGATCGTCCCCCTCTGCTCTTCACGCAAAGGTCAGTATACAGAGGATGCTCTGCGAATTTACGACGAGTACATGACCTTTGCGCTCAATTCTGAACTCGAAGTTGAGACGGTTCGCCGGCGGTTTGCTGGGGTGTACGGAAAGCTGTTTTACGCTTGCGCTCGTGCTTCCCCTCCGCCCATGGCCTCCGTCATCCGTCTTTTAGACGACATGCGGACCCTCTCCATAGACTTCACACCCTCCAACCTCATTTCATGGCTCGTGCTCCTGATGCGAGCGTCTCCAGACCATAATGCCGCTTTCACCCTGTACTCCAACTTTCACTCGCTCAATCCTGCTGCGATTGATGAAGAGGGTTACAATGTCATCTTGACAAATTTTCTGGGATTGAAGTGGGAAGGGCGAGGGGAGGCGCATGCACCGCCCGACCTATTCGTCTCAATCATGAAAGATATGGCGAGGGCGGGGTACCAACCCAGTTCCCACGCCCTCACCTCTCTTCTCAAGACGTACGGTCATACCGCCACCCGTCTTCGCCGCTCTTCCCGTCGCCCCGCTCTCTCCCCGGAAGACCCCCTCTCGCGGCTAGGATCATCCATATCCTCCATTCATACCCTCATTAAACTTGACCCTCTTCTTCCCCCCGACATCCCCCTCCTCACCTCGCTAATGGACGCTTACAACCGTATTGGCTCTACCTTTGAGGCATTTGAGGTTTGGGACGAGATAGTCCAGAGACGTGGCAGAGAAGAGGAGAGGAGAGGGAAGGAAGGGGTGAGGGAAATTTACAAGCCCGCAATCAACGTGATGCTCGATACCTGCGGGTGGAGCTATCAGCTCGCCAAAGCCAGGAAATCTTGGTCCTGGGCTCGCCGTTTCGGCCTCGCCTTTGACAAGAAACATTACGAGGCATGGGTGGAGTGTCTCTGTCGCTGCGGCTCCCTTTCAGAAGCCGCCGATGTCGTCCTCGACCAGATGGGCAAGGAGAACGGAGTGCCCAGGGCGGATAGGGATACACTCAGATTGTTGTGCAAGTTTGGAAGGAAAGAGAGGGATAAGGGTAAGCAGGTAGCAGTGGCACAGGGAGTGCTGAACAGGGTCAAGGAAGCTTATCCTGGCTGGTGGGACGAGTTGAAGCAGGAGGGTGGAGGCAAGGGAAGAAGGGGACAGGCAGGAAGTCAATAAAATTACATCATATCGTATGTACGAGTCAACTATAAGCCTGGTACGAGTACACCATAATACATGTTCCGGTCGATACAAGAATCTCGTCAGTCACCAGTCGTCATCAGTCGTTATCATTCATGGCGCGGGAAGAGACAAGGTCGGAAGTTTGTCCTGACAGAGCGGACACAAGGGCTATGTTGGACGTCAGTCTCTGTCCTCACTCCTCAGGGCCACCAAGCTCACTTTGATCTCCAACCACCCCTTCAAGCATCTGTAATGGTACACATGCCCACAAGGCGCGACCACATGCCCTTTACTAGTGTGCAAAGCGGGATCTACAGGCGTCTCTACCGCCTGCTGATAAGTCTGCTTCTTCCTGAGACTCCTTATCTTGCCTCTCAGTTCAGATGGCTGAGGTGCAAAGATGACGAGCTCCATCTCGTCAAGGCAGATGGGACATTCGGTATCCGCCTCGTCGGAGAAAGCCCGCGATGGCAGGGGGCGGGGGCAGACGATATAGGCTGCTGTTGTGGCAGCCTGCTCGTCTAAGCGGCCGCTGCGGCTGCTCTGTTGGGAAGAGGTAGAGGAGTTTGTAGACGTCGGTGTGAGGTTGAGGTTTGGTTTGCGAGGGGACGACATCCATCCCCAAACGTGGCGGAAGACCATAATATATGCTGTGCTGTATATGTGATAGTGGAGGGTGTGTGGCGACTGATCAAAGCAGATACCGCAAATACCCTTCCTATATCAATTTGAGACCAGAGGAGTACGTACACTGCCCCCGGATCTTGGCCAGACGGTCCATCTTATAAGCGGTTGTTGTTGCTTACCGCTGCTCTTAAGCTAAACGTTATATTTGCAGACTAGCCGCCGGCCGCCCGGCAGCGCCGGCAGGGTTGGCAGCATTGTATGAAGATTAAGCGTCAAGCGTCAAGATCGTTGTTATTTCATACAGCATCATCAAATTTATACCCATCTTATCTATACAGGTTTGATCGTTCACCCAGGCTCCTCGCCCTCCCGACCAATCCCTCCAACCGTCTTTCTAACCTCCTCTCCTTCTTCTTCCACTCTCCCACCTGCACCTCCGGGGCATTCTTCCGGCTCTTCCATCCGACCTTTTCTCCACCCAATTGTGAGATATCGACAATCTTGGGACTGGCTTGAAATTTGGCAATCTGGTAGAGGAGTATTCGCGATTCCATCTCGAGGGCGTGCTTGGTAGGCGGTAGGGAGCGAAGAGGGGAATGTGTTGGCGTACTTGGAAGAGAAGATTCAGATTCGGATCCTGGGGTGGCAGGAGTCTCTTTGTATAATGAAGAAACAAGTTCTGGTACGTCAGGCTCAGAGCGGAAGCCCAAAGTAGGCAAGGAATGTATTTCCTTGTACAGTTCTTTGGACTTGAGCAGGGCATTCTCCTGGCGGAGGAAGCGGACAGCGCTCTTGAGGTTTGCAACCTGTTCCGCGAGCTGAGAAGATTCGAGGCCGGCCCCGGAACCGACTATGATGGGCTCCCCGAAGCTAGGGATACCTTGGTTCGCGTTCACTGCGAAAAGTAGTCAGCAGATGTAGGCGGCCAGTCAGTGTGGTGGCTCACCTTGCCTGTCACCACCCTGGCCCTTCCTAAGCTCAGCATTCTGATTCTCCAAGGCATTTACTTCCTGCTGCAGTTGCTCTACAGCATCCGCATACACCTTCTCCTGCTTCTTTGCTTTGGCCACATCGTTTTCGAGATCGACAATGTCATCGGCCTGCTTGCGGGAAGTTTCAAGTCTTCTTTCGAGGGTTTCGACTTTGACGCCCGCCTCTTGAAGGGTTTGATCCTGATCAAAGCGTTAGAACCAACAAGGTGTATGTAGCGTCGGAGAGAAGCGTACGCGAATTTTGATCTCTCGGAGCATATCCTTGACTTCTTCGGTAAGCATGAGGACTTGCTTTTCGGTCTCGGCATTGTGCGAGGCCGCCTCTTTGATGGCTGCAACTCTGGCGATCCAAGGAGCCGGGGCGTCGTCTGGTACTCATCAGCGCTGCCTACTTGGTCGTAGTTGCAGTATACTCACAGACCATCACTCTGCCTTCCTTTACAGCCTCTTTGACTTTTGGCACAGCCGCTCCGAGTTCCTCCCCGAGCTTCGCGACGAACGCTCCAATAACTTCCCAAGGATGCGCTTGCACACCCGCCGACGCCGACTGCGCCGTGACATCCGCCAAAAACCCTTCAATATCTGACAATTTCAATGGCTGCTTGGTTGAACGGAGAAGTGCAGTGTGCTGGCCGATGCGCTGAGCGAGTTGGACGGCCAAATCGACGGCGTTTGAGACGGAGGCGGTGAGGTCGCTCAGAATGAGAGTGATCTCAGGCATGAAAGCAGAAGAGGCTTGTGCAATCTCCTCAATTTGGTGAACAAGTTTGCTAGAATTGAGGTCAGCAGTGGTTCACAGGAAAAGCATGGGTCACGTACGCGGATGGGACTTGGACACTCCTGACCAGATCCAGTATCCTCTGGACCGGGTCGTAGACACTTTCCTCCAGAGATGACTCTCCGACATCGATTTCAATATCTGACAACCAATCAGCCCATCCTATGGAGTTGTATGAGTACCCACCTTCTTCGGCGGCCAAGCTGGTGATGGCATGCCTGGCAAACCCAACAGCTGCCGCAAAGTTGTCCAGATCACAATCAAACACATGAGCCAACCCCAGCTGCTGCTCCCCGACATCCAACTGCGGGCGATGGAAGGCAGTCTCCGCCAAATGATCAAACTGGGCCACCAAGCTCCCCAAGTCTCGAGCACAATCGCACTCGCTGAATTCGTCGTTCTTGAGGGCGGCAACCCACGAGTCGATACGGGCCTCTACACCGGTGATTTCGGTGAGGAATTTGCCATAGGCAGACCAGTCGTCGGTGGAACCGCGTTTCATGACGCTCGAGAAACGCTTGTTGAGGGTAGAAAAGTAGCGCAATTTGCCCTTTAGCTCGCAGATACCCACGAGGGCTTCGGAGGAAGCCGAATGCAGACTGGCTGGCAACCCGTGGACCTGGCTGACGACGTTGACCAGCATGTCCACCTTTGCTCCAACCCTGTTGAAGAACAAGAACATGCTCGCGGAGTCTTCTTCCGTCTCGTGATAGGCTTCGGGTAGGTAAGCTTGTACGATACGGAGGTGTTCAAAGAGCTGAGTAGCCTCCAGCTTCTTCAGTTCGAGGTCAATGGTTTTAGACTGAGCTTTGGCAGCTGTCGATTGGAGTTTGAGGTTGAGGTTCATGAGAGCTTGTGAATCTTTGGTGACCGTGGCCGTGTCGCTCTCTTGGTTCATCTGTTGAAGGCGGACATTCTCCAGATCGCTACACAATGTTAGAAACACAGCATGTCAATCAGTCCGATCTTACCCCTGAAGGCTTTGCACCAGCTCCCTGAACTGCCCAATGGTACTCTCCATATCCAGAGCGACCTCCTCCAGCTCGGCTGCTCTCCTCTTCTCCTCTCTGAAAGCGATCTCTAGCGCCTCGATATCCTCATTCAACTGCTTCTCCGTCTCCACATGCCCTTCCTCTAATTCATCGTTCAAGTCTTTCAATGCTTCCAAGTCTTCGATTGTAGCCCGCATTTCTTCGAGGCGCTCGGACAATTGAAGGTTGCGGTCTGTAAGCTGCTCAAGCATGTCTTCGGCACCGAGGGCGTCATCGAGCTGGAGCTTGAGGTCCTCGATCTGTGACTCGGCGTTCGATAGCTTGGCTTCAGCTAATTCGAGGTTGGCTGAAGGACTATCAGCAGAGTACTTGTAATGGTCAGTCGGGCTTACTGATGAGCTCTTCCTGAGAAGTCAGCTCTCGTTCGAGCTCAGCCATCTTGGTCTTGTGATCCTTTTCGGCCTCAGATGACATATCACGAAGCCTGATGAGAGCATCCTTGAGCCTCTCATTATGTTTTTCCAATTGTACGAATGCCAGGCTCGTCCTTTCGCCTTCCACACCGGAAACCGGTCGCTCATACTCGGCTGATGTCATATGAGCTTGGTCTTCAATGATCAGGAGTCTACGCACCATTCTCTTCTTTCAAGATGGCCACTTCCATCTCCAACTCTTCCACTCTCTCCCCGAGCTTGACGACTTCTGAATCAGCCGCTTCTGCCTTTTCCTCTGCCACTTCTCGGTCCAGCGCGGCCATCTCCAGCTGATCCACAGCCTCAGCTGCTCGGTTTTCCAACACTCCATTCTCCGCCTGAAGATCCTTCGCCGACCTCTGCGCAGCCAAGAGTGCCGATTGAATTTCTTGAAACTTGGCTTGTAACCGGACTCGAGCCGTTTTCAGCGAGTCTGCCTCGCCTACACGGCCTTCGAGATCTTTGATCTTTTCGCCATCTTCGTGCTTTCGCGTTTCGAGAATCCTGACTCTGATCCGCAGCTCTTCAAGCTCGCGTTTCATTGCTGATTCATGGATTGCCCCTTTATCGGGGGATGGAGAGCGAGGAGTGGGATTGGCCGCGGGGTGTGCTTCGGGAGAGGGTAGTTCGGGAGGAGGAGCGAGGGTGGCAGAGATAGATCGAGTGCCCGTCTGATGAGATAGACTGGGTACAGGAGAGATGACTCGTCGAGTGGGAGATATCACCCTTTGAGGCGGAGGCGATATCACACCGCGGACAGGTTCATCTTCTTCCTCTTCCGCTGTAGTCAGCGGCGTCGGCGCTCTGTCCAGGACGGAGGGTGGCCTCTTGAAGATGTTGCCTTGCCCGGGACGGCTGGACGTTGATGAGACTCGTCTAGCAGGCGGAGGAGCGGGAGCGGGAGATTGTGGTACACCGGTGGCGGAAGAACCGGAAGTGACTCGGGATGATTGACCAGGCGTTGGAGGGGCCCGAGAGGTCAGTGGTTTTTGGGGTGATGAAGCACGCGATGACTGTCCGGATGCGAGCCGAGACGTTGTAGGTGTTGCTGGAGGCCTAGCTGATGACGGACGAGGCTATCGAAAGTGGGGTTAGTGCAGAGCTCGCAGCGACACACGATGGACTTACAGCAGTCTTTGGTGTTTCCAAGATCTTGACCTGACTTGGTCGAACAAAGACACCATATAGTGGGGGACAATCAAAGTATCGTTCTCCTTTGACAGTCCCGTCGTTTTTTCCTGCTGGTTCTAACCTGGCCGGAAGGTCAGCATTCATTGCTTTACAGGCCGCATGACGGCTCAATGATTTGAGTGCAACATCGCCAGTCGGACCATGACGCTTAGATACCCTCGTCTACACCTCTCCCGACAATATCCAGCCGGAACATTCACCTTGATATGATCCGAATATCACACTCACAGTTCGACACCGACCCATTTGCCAACTGCAAACCCCGGATTTGTGCCAGTCCATCTGACATGGCCTATACCGACCGACACCTGGACTTTTGCGCCTACTGGCACTTCTGGCGTAGTCATATTGTCGGCATAACTTGGTGGCTGGAGAGAGAGATTGTAGGGGCTCCTTCGGAGGACAGGGTGTGCTAGGGGTCAGTAAAAGTAAAGATTGTTGAGAACAAACACTTTCAAGATGCAACGCGCCTTGTTCGCGTCGTAATGCGTGTCCGGCCAGCGAGTACAGCGTCCGGACGCGCTTTCTCTCCTCGTCAGAATTCAAAACAGTCCGACATTTCGATCTCACAGCTATACCCCAATCGCTCTTCTGATATTCCCAACAAAGCCTCGAGGAATGAGCAGCTCTTTATAATTAAATCAACGAACCAGTACGAAAAGACATGTCGGCTCTTCAACCACGACCTCTAGCTGCTCGAGCTGCTGCTGCTCCAGCACCCATAACAACCAAAATTGCCTCCACTGTGAGTCATTGACATACTTCAAAGCCTGTATATATCACTAACTGTCTCACTATAGCCTCTACAGAAAATTGAACGGCAGTATACTGTACTTTCTATTCCTTCGGAACGAAACTTTGCTAACATTCCAACCAGAAATTCCTTGCCAAACGATATATGTCTGCCTACTTGGGCAGAGTAGCTCTTTGGACGGTCTTGGTACTTGCCGGGGCATCTGTATGCGTTACTGGTACGTCAACTTTCCAAAAGTCACTGCATCACACACTCAATTCCTACCCCAGGCTCCGCCTCCTCCGGCCTTTACGCCCTCATCTACGCCATCCCCACCTTCATCTCTCTCGCCGTCATCCTCAAACTTCGCAAATCCTTCATCACCGAACCCTACCGCCCCGCTCCCCGAACCTCTCTCGTCCGACTCTTTCTTTCTTGTTTTTGGAACCCGAGAGCCATCACGTTGCTCGCGGCGTACTATGTCTTTGGGTTGACTGTTTCAAATGCGTGGTTGAGTTTGTTGGGAAGGAATAATTGGGGATTCTTCACTCCTACCATGTACGTCCATTTTGAATGTTTCTGTGGGTTCAAGCTGATTAGGAACGACAGTCGACACCCGTGGCAGCTCAACGAGCACCGAGTCATCCTCGTCTTCTCCAACGCATGCCTTCTCACCACCATCGCCGCCCGTGACATCCTTGGTGATAAACTCAAACCCACATGGCCGACAGAAAGGGTTCGTCTCATTCATCTTCTATGCATAAGTCTCGCGATACTCACTTGATTACAGAAACCTTTGGGCAAAGCCGTCCAGGCAGCTCTTCTCAGCGAAGTCTGGACGTCCACCCGGATCGGATTCACATTCTCATGGTCCGTCATTGCGCCTTTTGCCTACTGCTGGCTCGGTATCAGGACTTTTGTATGGCAGTGGGCCAACTGGAGGATCCTCGCTTCAACTGTCCGGTATGTCTCTTGTCGAACTTGGAAATTATACTGAATGAAAGGCAGACCGTTCGTGGGCAATTTTGCTCGCCAGACGTCCAAGACGCCTAGTCCGTGGTCGCTCCTCGGCCCGATGCTGGTGCTGAACTTTGTGGCGCTTGTCATTTTGCAGTTCCCTGTCAAGGCGTTGATGGCTTATACAACTCAGGTAGGTCCAACGCTTGGAAGAGAGTACATGTGCTGACAATCCCCAGCCTTTACACTTTGACCAGTTCTACAAGAAGAGTCCGTTGAGTCAGGATCAATACTTGATCACTGCTCTCAAGTCCAAAGACAAGTACTACCTCGTACGTGACTATTTTGACAGCCATAATCATGACTAAACATTGATCCCAGCAATTCACCCTCATGGAGCTTCTCCGCGTGGCTCACATCCCCGCCTCCCGTAAGGCCCTCTTTGACAACATCTCCAGATCTCCCATCCCCGTCCTCGCCCTCTGGCAAGACCTTCTTCTCCACTTTGGCACCGTCCACCACACCCTGATCACCCGCGGCTCCATCTCTCGCCCCCTCACCCCCGCCCAGCCTTCCACCCCTTCGTCTGCCCACGCCATCCCCATCAAGCAAGGCGACATCTTTCGTCCCCAGCCCAAAGCCAAGTCTTCATCATTCAACCTCAAAGCCGCTTTCGACGGACCTATCCGGCCTTCTGCCCCTCCTCCCGCTGTGGCAGAGAATATTTCGAAAGTCGGTGATCTGGCCAAGAAGAGGATTGGAGAGGCACAAGGCATGGCGTTGGGGAGGATTGAAGCGACGGGGGTGGGGGCGAGTTTTGTTGGAGAGGCGAGGGTTGCGCGGAGGGATGTGCATGAATGGGCGGGGAGAGAGTGGGCCAGGAGGTCGGTGAGAGTTGTGCTGGGAGATGCGGTCATTGTGCAGAGAGTTATTGACAGTGAGTATCTCCCCAACGTTGGGTTGTTCGCAGAAATAACCTTTACACGTCTAGTTATGGTGCTCTTGGCAGGCGCTTCGATCCAAGAAGATACCTACGGCAACGTCCAGCAAGTGCTTCCCTCGACCCTTGAAGCAATAGTCCGATTCCGGGATGCCGTCAAGCTGTTTGAGCTGGAACTTGTTGGCAAGGCGAGAGTGCTCGGGCCAGCGCAGGAGAGCGGCTTGGGAGAGATCAAGGAGAGTCTGGGAGAGATTGTCACCTGTATGTCCACTTGCGTTTACTCGACAAGGCGGAAAGATTAGGCGCTAACAATTATGCCAGACTGTGAAGACTCTGTGCGCAAGGTGGCTGCTGATTTCGGGCAGAGCCTGGGGGCATTCAGGTTCCCGCCTGTCATTGCGCATAGCTTGGGAGAAATTTGCAAGCCCAGCATTTGAGAACACGGGGTGCGGGGGAAGAGGGTGATTAACATGCATCTATTACATGTATGATTGGACGACGCTGGCTGAGACATGCAGCCTGATGAGCCGACGAGAAGATATTGAAGCGACGGGGACGCGTGTTGATAAGAAGACGGGCGATTTTCTCCGGGCCAATAGGAGTCCTTTCGGAGCGGGTGTTTTGTGCCTGCGGTGTTTAAACGGGATGGGATGACGTCATCTCTCTCTGGCGCCCAAAAACCGGTTCCTTATCAGCATCCTTATCTCACCCCAGCCACGTTGCCTTTTCACATGCATCCCCAGCGGTCTTAGCCTTTCTTTGAATTCTTTCTGCCACGCTCCTTCCGTACCTGGTGGTCGCACGCCCCTCCTTTCCCAACATCGCACGCCCCTCCTTTCCCCTGTCGCGCGCAAACTTTCCAGATATTCGGTCTCCCTGTCGCTCCCCTGCCTTGATCATGGCACCCTCTTGCTAACAACCCTCTGGTAAAAATACCACTATGCCCCACTCAAATACCGAGGAGACCAAGCATCCCGGCGCAGGGACCCTCTACGTCTACTCGGCCACCTCCACCAGAGGTATCAGCCCTGCCAAAAGCACCAGGAGGGGTGTATCGCCCTTTGCTGTGCCGACTGTCCCCAAGCGGTGGGAGGATGTCCCGAGTGTGAGTATCGTTGCGGCCACCCGTGGCGCAGTCTACTGATGAGGGCCTGTAGGCCAAAGAAGAGCCTGCCATTGTGGCCACTCTCGACAGTCTGCTGCGGCATGGCATTGCCGAGTATACATATGTCCCGCACTCCCTGACAGGTGTCCTGGGGCGTGGCAAATTCAGCACCGTATACAAGGTCACCGGAGCTGATGGCAAACAAGTACGTCCTCGCGATAAGCCATTGACCTGTGCTCATTCTTGTCACCAGCACGCCCTCAAACACACCCCTCTGTATCCCCATCATCCTCTCATCGCTGCAAGGTTGCTCCGAGAGCCCAACCTTCTCGCAGAACTACCCAGGCATCCCTGTCTCATAGGCGTCAATGGGTGGATACGCACACCGGGGCATTTCTATCTCGTCGGCAAGTGATGGCACCGCAATGACCCTATTCTTCAGCTGACAATTCACAGAACAATACGTGGATGGCCGTCTCCCTCTTTCCTCTCACCCTTTACCTCTATCACCGTCCAGAGCGGCATACATCCTAGACCAGCTCGTATCATGTGTGAGGGATACTCTACATGATAAGGGTCGGGTATGTCATCGAGATCTGAAAGGGGATAATGTGCTGGTGAATGTCGATACTGGTGATGTAGTCATCCTAGGTGAGTATCATGCCTACCATACTGGGGATACCTTCTGATCAAAGTAGATCTCGGTTTGGCGACCCGTTTCTCGATGAGTCAACCAAAATTGACTACCTGCTGTGGCTCTCCCGCCTTCCACGTACGTATACGTCCTATTCGAGCCAACACGGCTAACATTCTACCAGCCCCCGGAGATCGTTCTCGCCCTAGCTCGCCCACCCGGCGAAGTGACCTACTACGGCCCCGAACTCGACATTTGGTATATAGCCCTCACCCTCCTCTCTCTACTGCTCCAAGTCCGCTTCCCTCTCGGGCCAAAACATGTGTCTACCCATATCATGCGCGAACGCGCCATGGACCGTTTACAAGAACTCGACGAGCTCTACCCGCCTCATTCGCCTTGGCGCCTCAAATCGTCTCGGTCGTCGAGGATTGTGGGTGATGGGATGAGCGGGATGAGTGGCCAGGATGTGGATTTGGACTTTGAAAAAAGAGAGTGGAAAAGGGTGAGGAAGGCTATGGAGGATTTCTTGGAGATGGATGGGGTGAGGAGGATGAAAAAGTTTCGGGCGTACGAGATCGGGGAAGCGACAAGGCAAAAGGTGGCAGCCTTTGAAGGCGATCAAGAGGACAAGAAGTTCAAACAAATCAGCTTCGAGCCTGCAGACGTCAAGTATACTCTGCCGATATATGTGGATGAGGACGCCAAGAAGAAGCCTTCGGAGGTGATCACCCTGCGGAACCCTGTGGGTGAGAGTCATCGACGAGTTAAGAGCTACATCAAGTACCTATTGCGCTCCGCTGGTATCCTCTACCACGTCCTGCCCTCTCCCTCGTCTCTACCCGACACCCAACCCTCTCCCGGCTCTTCAATCGATTCGCTTGAGCAGCCCTGTATCCTTCAACTCGTTGTCTCGATACCAGACTCGGCGACCATCGAGCCTGACCCATCGCCGTCACCAGGCTGGTTGCCCTCCATACTCAGCAACTTTAAACGTTCTTCTACCCCGCCCGGCAACCCAAACACCAGATCTGTATCCGTGCCTCCGGCCAAGGGCAAATCTCACTCTCCCTCGCCCGCTCCCTTAGGCAGCCAAGGCGGCTCCAATGGCGGGTCAAAGAAGGACAGGGCGTTGAGATGTTATATACGCCTCGAGTTTGAAGATGCCCCTGCTCCGGCAGAGGTCTATCGTCGAGGCTCAGCAGAGACATTCACGTCTATGCGAGACTCGCTCGGCTTGACAGCTCTCCATCAGAATCAAACCTCGTCATCAACGTCCACCACTATGTCCATAACCCCGACGCAGTCCCCTCACCCTCCCCACCCCCAACGCTCCGTCTCTGCCTCCCGCACGACCTCTCAACGACCCCACCCTCGTCGAGCAGCGTCCGCAATCCCCAATACATCTACTCCCCGGCTCTCCATATCCACCCAAGGGGGTATGCCAGCACACAAGGCTACACTCCACAATCCCGCAATGATGCCTCCCCCGTCCCCTCTCAGCCGCGAAGTCAGCCTCGCAGGATCGCCTACTGAATCTGATCCTGCCCAGAGTCGTTCCCAGAGCTGTGCACCCAGTCGAGCATCTTCGCGATCCCGCAAACAAAGTGTAGCGAGGTCGAGCTTGCTCCTCCAGCACGGTGCTTATGGCTCAAACCAGCACCCTTCCAGACAATCCAGCCTCGACTCCAAGATCCATATCCACCTCTCCGACACTCGCGCCTACGCTGTCTTGCTGAAAGCGCTCGATGTGACGCCCGATGTCGGGGTGGGTATGCACCACGGGTATGGCGATCCTTCGCTTTCGCCCATGACGATCCGCCGCCCGAGCTTGGCGCCTAGTATGGCGGAGGGAGCAGAGATGGTGACCGAAGAGGATGAAGAGCCGCAGAGGGGGAGGGCAAGGAGCAAAGAAGACGGAAGTTCGTTGCTGTCGATGCATACCACACGGGGAGAGGCGAATGGGGGAAGGCATGGGGTCAAGGGCAAGCCGGCACCGGCAGCCTTGTCGCCTGCAAAATCGGTGGTGAAGTTGCCATTGACAAACTCGGAGGTGGTGGATGCCATGACGCCAGTAGAAGTCCTTCTAGACGAGCATGGGCGAGATCGCGACGAGGTTGTGGAAATGGAGAAAAAGCAGAGGGACCAAAGTAGGGGGCGACAGAGAGGATTGCTCGATGTGTTGTTTGGGAGGTCCGAGGGAAGAGGCGCAAGGTCGTCGAGTGTACCGGCGACCTTTGCTGGGGAGCCAGTCGGCCTTCCTGTGTGATCTAAACGAGTTCATCTTTCCGGTTGTCATATTACTAGCATTCATAGAAACGTTTAGACCAGTCCACGAGTTGTAGATGCGACGTCGTTACGTCTGAACTATTAGAGCTTCTCATCTCGACAGAGTACATGATGCTCAAAGCGAGCAAGCTACTTCACAAAGACCCCAAACCCCAAAGTAATTTCCTACCTAGTATCTAGGCCTCTCGTCGTACCTGGGCCTCTCGTCGCGTCTTTCGTAGCGGCTGTCGCGTTCACTACGGTAATAATAAGGATCGCTGTATGGGGGGTGAAGGAAGACAGCGCGTTAAACGCTGTCCCGTCTACGATCGGCGAAAAGCACTTACGGAGCAGCAGCAGCGGCGGGGGCGGCAGCAGAAGAACCAGATCCGCGGTAGTAGTCGTCGTATCTATCGTACCTGGCATAAGAGTGGTACTCTAGTCCTTGAAAGATTTTGCAAAGAGGACTCACCGATCACCACGGGGGGCAGGAGCCGCATAGCGGTCGTCGTACCTTCGGTCATCGTACCTGTCCCTACGGTCGTACCTGTCTCGCTCATCATCTGCAGCCAAAATGTCAGCTTGGATCCATACCTTGAATGTGACACTTACAGCCACCTCGAGGAGGTCTGTCGTAGTATCGAGAGTCGTAAGATCTGGGCTGGTAGGGTCGGTCGTAGCCGCCGCCGCCGTATCGGGGACCACCCCTACCACCACCGGGGGGACCATCGGCCTTGGTACCGTGGTATCGGCCAGGAGTGGGAGTACGAGCTCGTCCTCGGCGGGCCTGTGAGACAGTCAGTGAGTACATCGCATAGATGATCAAAAGTACGTACGTGGGCGACGGTCATGGTCTTGCCCTCAAGGTTGGTGCCAGTAAGCTGATCAATAGCAGCCTGCGCTTCCTCGCCAGTAGCCATCATGACGAAACCGAAACCTCGAGACTCCTCTACAACCAGTATGAGTGGCTGGTCGATTGTGTGGTTGCGTCGACTCACGAGAATGGGGGTCCATCATGATCTGCACCTTGACAATCTTGCCAATCTTGGAGAACAGGTCCTCGAGCTGACGCTCAGTAACCGAGCGGGACAAACCACTGACGTGAAGGTTGTTACCAGGGTTCTGTTGGCCGGCGTCGTTGGGTCTGCCTTCGTCAGTACGACGCTTCAGTTTGGCACATTTTGCACTCACCGGCCAGACCTCTCGGGACCACGTCCGGGGCTTCGACTTCTGTCTCTCCTGGGGCTCCTCGCAGGCGGCTGCTCCTCACCACGAGTCTCACGTCGAGGCGAGCTCTCTCTAGCATAGTCGGCAGCGGCAGCACCGTTGTTCTCCTTCCAGACTGTCGAGGAAAAGCGAAAGTGTCAGCCGTTAGTCGATGTGGTGCGGAGGTAGTGATAGTGGTGCGTATAGGCGGGAGATGAGAGAGAGACGCGAGCGAAGGACAAAGGAGAGACGGAGAAACACCAGACGCCCTGAAGCCGCCGCCGCCACGCCGAGCTGACACACTGGTGGCATCGACCGCCATCGCCGACGAGATTGGTCGCAGACTCGCAGCATCGAGTAGGCGCGTACTCGCGAGAGCCGATGTGAGTCGTAGAGACGACAACAAAGACGATATAGATCGCTACTACCGAGATGCGGGAAGCCGGTAATTTATTGATACTCGGTAGGGCGGAAGGCCGTTTTGGAGAAGGAAGTTGTAGTTGGAATTGAGCGGGAGCTGAGACATACCGTCGTTGGGGTCGGACATTGCTGTGGTGGGATGTATAGCGATGGAGGAAAAGATATAGCGAGATGAGGCTTGGTGTGAAGAATGACAGTCGACGAATGGCGGCGGTATTTCGGCGATATAGAAAAGTGGCGTTGACCCTTTCAACCTCTTCCATGCATGCGATGCCAATGTACACATATATATTGCAATGACTATTCTATGGTGATGCAATGCGCTAGGATAAACACATCGTACAAAGTGTGAAAGGAGACCGCTCTCAATCGTCACCACAACCAAGCTTCTGGAACTTCGAACGGACGGATGCCCTATGTAAAGTACGATGAGCCTGCGTTGCGGTGTTGAGTTAGCGGGTCGTAGGATAACAGGCGGTGTGACTAGTGATGACTGGTCATGTCGGTCTTTTGGAAGGCAAGAATGCGCCAAGCGGTATTGCGCTTCAAGCTGAATCACATCCCTCGATGGTCAGATTGTACACATGTCTTTCGTGCCAAGATTCCGGCTTACAGTGATGACTGTGGGGAACATTTCTAGCGTTGGCATGGGAAATGGGCATGACAAAATCGAGGAAACCGCCCCACCTGAAGTAGAATTGGCTGCTCGAATGAGATCTAGGGAAGACCTCTAGACTGAGAATCAGTCTCGTTGCTCGTGATCAACACTTGCGTACCAACCTGCTCTCGGGATCATCCCTCAAACTCACCAGCATCATTTCTCCTCTGAGCTCCATCATCGATGTTCATTCCACTCGTCTCCGCAGCCATGTCCACATCTTCAGACGGTTCGCGGGACAGGTTTGATCGACGGCGAGTGTTGAGGATCGTATTTTGTTTGGTCTCGTCATTTTCCGAAGACATGGCTCCACCGTCATCGCTGTGCTGTTCTTCCGAAGAGCTTTCCAGTTCAGAGATCTGACGAACAACTCTTGTAAGGCGGTCATACATCTCTCCTCTGCAACGTTTCGTCAGCATCTCACAAAACATCTGGGTGATGTCAAAGACTTACTCGCTAGTATACCCACTCACCTCCTCCCTCTCCTCTTCCTCGCAATCCCGCTTGTATACCCATGCCCTACCTTCCCTGTCCTCGCTACCACCCCTTACCAGCCTCTCCTTATCAGCCTCCCTTCTCGCCGCACCTCGCTGTATTTGCCGATCACGCCTAAAAGTCCATGCTTGGATATTGATCATCCACTGCTCTCGTCGCATCGGCAAAGGTGGCTTGGCAATAGTAGGAGGGTGAGGCGAAAAGCGGATTCGGTGGACGGGATCTTCGAGGACGTCAGGCATTTCAGAGTCTTCGTCTCCTGACTCGGAGAACTCTTCCTCTTTAGACTCGGCTCTGGCCTTGCCTTTGCCTTTCTGTTTGCTGCCACGCCTGTGTCCAAGTGTGGTGGGTGAGGGTCGCTTTCGAGGAATCACAGAGGGACCGCTTGCCGAAGGCTCGGATGGAGGAGAGCGGGGAACCGGCACCGTGGGCTCCACTGGAGCAACGGAAAGAGCAGATGATGAAGATGGCGACAAGCCGCCCCTGAACGACGTCCTGAGTGGTGTCGAAGGCCCTTGTTCCCTCAATGCAGCTTGATCAAGGTTCAGAGCAGCCGGGCGGGCTCTGATACGGCGCCGAGAGGTCGGTAACGAAGGTTGATCGGGCGCTGGCTGAAACGGCGTGAGGATGAGGGAGCCATCTGACAATGAAGGAATCGAGGAAGAATCAAGTACTTCATGAGAGGATGATGAGGATGTCATTGGGGGATAAGACGCCTCGGCGTGAATGTTCACCGAAGGGACTCGACCGGGTTCCGTGGTCATGCCCCCAACATTTCCAGGCCAACCGTAATCCTGCACCGAAACACCAGACCTCTTCATATCACTGTCCGCCAACCAACTCGCAAGGATATCTTTACCGAGTCCTCCCAAGCTTTCATGGTAAGGCCCATCCTGTAGTCGAGGGATGGATGGGGTAGGTGGGGATTTGACCGGAGTCGAAAGAGGGAACCCGCCTCCACGTTCCTCAGATCTCGCAGGCTCGTAAGGAACATTCAAAGCCCCAAACCCCAAACCCGTGCGCGTATCCGCAACGGCAGTTGATCCAGGGAGGATGTCAACAGCCGGGAGAAGGTTGCTTGGGAACACCAGAAATCGGGAACGGGGGTGGGGACGGGTAAGGAGATGAGAAGCGAGGGAGGGAGGTAAGGAGCTGGACGGGCGATAAGGAGGAATCTCGGCGGTAGGATATCTTGATGGCCGAACATCATTCCTCTCGTCTTCATCCTCTGCATCAGACTCGGACTCTTGCTGAGGAATATGTGATTGCGAAAGCGGGCTAGGTCCAGGTGGTCCCTTCCGCCGTATCAATCTTTGTACCAGAACAGGCGCGTCGCCCAGAGAAGGTATACCGGGAGAAGGTGTATCAAAGATGATGGTGTGCGCTGGGCGAGGGGAGGATGGAGGGGGAGGGGCTGATTCGCGGACGAAGGGAAGGCCGGATGTGGCTGCACGATAGTCGTCCTCTTCTTCTTCCCCTTCGGCTTCAAGGTCAGACATTTCATCGTCCGAGTCGGGCCTCCTGGCGGGGGAGGAAGATTGGAGATGCCGAACCTTTGAATCGTCCTCCAACCCTAGTCCAACTTGCTCAAGGATAGACTCTCCCGGCTTCAGAGTTCGAGCCTTCCTAAAGCCTCGCTCCCTTTCCCTCGCATCCTCCTCCTCGTTGTATTGAGTAGGAACACTTGGTTGAGGGAGGTCGTAATAGAACTCGTCACTGTCTGGCCCGACCTGTGTTCGAGAGGGGTGGGAGGTTTTGTGCGCCCGTTCTGCTTGTTCCTGCTGCCAGAGAGCAGCAATGTCGCCCATGACGCCCATCATACTAGCGCCGTTATCAGATTGATACGCTAGAGTGCGAATGGCTGACTCACATAGTACTAGAGAAGATGAGACTGCTGAAGTGTACCGGATGTAGGCGACAGGCGAATTAATATGCACTGTGAATGATATTACCATCGGGCAAGTAGACGGGACTCATCGCTAGCTTACAATGTTCAACAGAAGAGCGAAGATGCTATTCTTATTGGATGAGGTGTGGTGATGACAACAGTTGCGGTTGAATGCCTTCATGTCATCAGCATGGTTCATGATCGGATAGACTGATAGACTTACAGTATGCAGGAAGAATGAGATCAATCAACCTAAGCGACAATAGAGACAAGAGTTGCAAAAAGGCCTTTGCTCAACTCGGGAACAGTCTAGCACTCCTTACAAAGGGCACAGACCTGTATTTGAGATGGACTCGCAGAGTCGGCAGCAGCAGAAGGAAGATAGAAGAAGTATTGAGGACCTGATGGGGGGCGTGGAGCAGATATGTTGCCGACGGGATGTAGGGTGAGGGATGCAAGGATGTCTTTGTAAGACTTTGACGAGGAGAAAAGCTACCTGGTACCGTTCAGCCCTTACTAGTCAGGAGGCAGAAGCGCACGGAAAGAGCACAAATCTAGAACAGAGAAGGAATATACACTCACTTTGTGGGAGATCTCGAGTCCTACCTGCAAAAGACAACACAAAAGGCTTTCGAGCTGATGGATCAAACACCGAAACCAGGGTCAGCCCTTGCCACTTCCGCCTGTGCACGCTGCCCACCTGCTCTAGATCAACGACTCCACGAGGACCAAACGACTTACCAGGGTAAATGCTGTGTATTGGCCGTAGGCCGTCGACGCTTTGGCCACAGCGAGAACAATGGGTATCTGTGGGTACGTAAAAGAGGGGAGGGATCAGATTTCTATTGTCTTGCGGCAAGGAGAGGGGAACGGCTGTCCTGGACTGATTACTGCTGGGCGATCGAAGGGGCCGCTGCTATCGGGGGTTATGCACGCTGCTGCCTAGTGGGCGGGGGCTGGTGTGCATTACATGTGGAAGTGGAATGGCGGATTCCGGGACAACAATAGAGGGCGGAAACTTTCAGGGTGAGGGTTGCTTCATCCACAAAAAGGCCATTGTTCTCGAGTTCCTGGTGGCTTCTTTCCTCCGCGGTTCTTCGGGGCGGCGGGCGTCCGGCTGCATTTCGGGGATGCTTGTACGCATGCTGCATAGGGGCTAGGGGGTGATAGCGGCGGCATATGCGCCGAGCTGCCGACGGGAAGAGGAGCATAGCCATGCGTAGAGATCTCCAAGTAAATAGGGGTACCATTGCGGACAGAATGCGAAACGATTTTCGCAGGCGGTTCGGCCCACCGAGCAGGGATAGTTTCGCAGCCTGCACAGTGCAGTAGCTGGACTCCGCTGCAACGGGAAATCACTGGCATCGGCTGAGATGGGATTTGTGGTCATCGTGCTGCTCGACCCAGCTCCAGGCAGGCATGTTGGTCTGCATAGAAGAATGCCACAAGACCCCTCGTCGGCGCAATCCCCATTTGCTCCCGCTCCACGCGCTGTTTTGATGTGAATTCCTATCAGCCGCCACGAACACTGCCATCCACATTCTATAACTTGTAATCCCCCTATAATCATGTTTGGTATCAAGAAGAAGCTCTCCTCGCTCATCCCCAACGACGTGAGTATCCTCTCTATCTCGAGTATTCAGGCGCAAGCTCACGCGCCAAACCTTATCCTTCTCCTGATATATAGGCCAGAGCCCACCTTCAAAACGTGTTTACCGTCGAATGGGAAGACGGGAACAAGACCGTTCTCGTTGATGTGGCCGATACAGACAAGCAGCAGCATGAAATGGAAATGAGCGGGGTGGGGGCTGGAGGTGGAGGGGCCTATGGCCGGTTGGCGGACGATGAGGAGGTGAGTAATTCTTCAAGGGAGACGGCCTTGAGGCTTGTGGAATATGCTAATGTTCTGTAACAGGAGGACCGATACACGCGCCCCGTCCTTCGAACACGAAAGTCTTCTCAGAAGCTCAATTCTTCCTCGAAAAATATGCCTTCCCTGCCCTCCATCTCTCGAAAATCCACGTCCGAATCCCACGCCCCTTCATCAGCTTCCACGTTCCGGGCCAACCCATCTGGTCCCAGCCGCTATGGGAGGACGAACCCCTTTGAGGGCAGCGCGGACGATGACCCTTCTCCACAGACCTCTTCCAGCTCCACCTACACCTCTTCCCCTTACTCTACCACATCTCCCAGATTCCCTCCATACTCGTCCTCTTCTCAATCCTTCTCGCAGGGAGGAGCGTCAGGACACGGCTCGGGGCAAGAACGGAGAACAGCAGAGAACCCTTGGCAGACTTTTAGGTCGGACGAGGTGGACATGTTGGGTGGCGGCGAGTCTGGAGTCGACAGTCCCACGAGTTCATCTGGGACGCATTCCAATGGCAGCGTGGGATATGAAGTGTACAGGAGTAGCAGGACCAACACCCTCAGATGACGTTGAGGCTGTCGAGAGGGGTGCGTGGTGAATTGTGAATAAGACATTCCGGGAGTTTCTTGGGAGTCCCCATTCGATATATGCGTGTATCTGTCATCTTGTGGCTGTACGGTATCTTTTTCCATCCTTGTCAGTTGTAACCCTAGGTGTCATATGGTACTCTGCACACCAGCTATTCCTCTTTATCTTTTGCAGTTGGAAACGAGGCCAGGAATTCCCAAGGTGTATATTGTCGCCGCCGAGATGTTGAGCCTAAGTGTATCTCGGCCCTACAGTGCTCTATCTTTTCGATCAAGCAGTATGCTATATCACACAGACCTTGGCTACCTTGAGCCATATCTAGAGTCAGTCTCTATTCATGGGGATACTCTAGTGTCTGTATCGCTGTGCACTCTCGAATCACCCGCCATCTCGCCCTGCAGTACTGATACAAAGAGCCTGGTTGGGGTAGGACGATAGACCAAAGGAAGTGAGTATCCTAGGGCGTGTATTCCAGCAAAGCTTCAAGTGGTCTCAAGCGATATAGGATGATATTCATAAGTCGTGTCATACGTGATCATGGCCTGCCGAATCCTCCTCCCCATGCACCCACTCATGCCAACTTCCTTGACGACAAACTGAAGCCTACTCGTCAATGACGATGGCATCACCCGCGTTACCTCCCCCACTCGTCTTGGCCCTTTTCACCCCCCTCCCCTGACTCCCGGTACCTCCCCCTTGTCCACCTCCACTTCCGGCATGTCCATTCACTCTCGAGCTCCCTTGCACCACCTCGATATCTCCCTCATCCTCTGAATCTCCCAGTTCGATCGGCGGGCCTCGCCTGGTACCAGCAATCTGGGCTGGAGGCGCGGGGGATTCAGATGAGGGTATTGGGCGGGAGATGGCTCGGCGGGGGATGGATGCTGTCGAGGCGCGTGATTGTATAGGTGGTTTGGGAGCTACTTTAGGTGCTTGTTTCGGTTGCGCAAATCTTCCGAGAGTGTCAGCTTGGTCCAGTATGATACCACACACGACTTACTTGCGGACCCATTCACGAGCAGTCTCGTCGTGTTTCTTTCTATTCGACTTGTACTCTTTCGCAATCGGTGGTACGAGCGGGTCGGCGGGGTTGGGGTCGGTGAGAAGGGATGAGAGAGAGAGGATGACTTTGTACAGGGAAAGGGCTGGAGACCATGCTGTTTTCAAAAGCTAGCCAAAAGTCAGACATCGAGTGGGTGTGATCAGGGAAGGAAAGGCGTACATCGAGACCTGGAAGACGTCAACACACAATCAACCAAGACGGATCGTGTCGACTCACATATATTGCCGTTACTCGATACATTGCAATGATACACCTTTGTCATGAACAACAAAGATGGTGGTGAAAATCTACCATTCGCATATCAGCACAGCACATTCCCTGCCTCTCGAATGCTTACGGATAGTCGTGCGGCACCTTGATATCAATGTCAAACATGCCCCCTTCATATGGGCTCCCCGCAGGCCCCGGCAGGATCGCCTTCCAATGCAGTATGTTGGCCTCGTCTGGTGTGAGAGATATGTTGCCTAGGTCTTCTTTCGCGAGGTCTGCAATCTCCTTCTTGATACGCTTGGTGGCCATGTCGACGTTGGGCCGGCGGGACATGGTGGCGAGTGTCTGTGATTGGGCGGCGGGGGAGGGAGATGGGCTGAGGTCGGTCGAGGATGGGCGCCTGGGTGATGACAAGAGAACACAATCCGGGCTGTTGAAAAGAAGAACAAGATGCGAATTCAGGTTGACGGTGCTCTGCTCGAAATCTCGACCAGGCGCGCTCTCCGCCGCCGACCACGTGGCACGCCTCCACCGCACGTCGCGTCTTTCTGCTTGTTCTTATTGTCTTGCCTTTTCACCTCGCTGGTTGCAGGGGAAATCTCTGGCGCTCTGGATTGGGATACAATCGATGCGCAATATCTGGACACACCCTGTCTTCCGCCCTCTCCTCTTTCTCGCTCTCCTCGTACTGACCATGCACGCTCTCAAATCGCAATGGCACCGCCTGGGCGGTTCGAAGGGAAAGGCGCCTTACAGACCTGATCAAGGAGATGAAAAGAGACTGGTGGTCGGACACTTCATGGTGAGTTGTTTTTGGATCTTGGGGTATAAGCTGAATAAGCTGACAAATACAGTTGGGAAATACGTATCCTTTCACGGCAGATGATTGGCAGGCCACATTCGATCTCGCTGAGGATACGCTATTGTAATGCTTTTCATCATACAGATGCTCATCTGCTGACATATTCTGAAGAGATGCGATTGTCCTCAATATAGGTCCAGAGGAATGGCAGCTCACCCAAGCTCAGCTTGCCTACGAGCTCGCCTCCTCCCGCCGTATCAAGCTTCTACTGTCGTTGGATATGAACGTCCTTCCGCATTCCCCCGATGAGCTGTCTAGTAGGGTTGTCACTGCTATCAATGCTGGTCGCACTTCCCAGCTGCTATGGGACGACAAACCTGTCCTCAGCACCTTTTCCGGCCACGAGTTTGGCGATGAAAACTGGGTCGAGACCCTCCGCCTGATCTCACGTGGCCTCGAGCAACAAGTCATGTTCTGGCCTGCATTCTTCATGCCGCCAAGCGACTTTATGGCAAAGCCATATGTGGATGGTGCGTATGCTTGGATTAGCGGATGGGCGATGGACAATACGTCAATGAGCTTGAAGGTGGACCAGCCATTCCTGAAGGGCGACAAGCCGTATATGGCTGCCATTTCACCGTTGTTCTTCACTCATTATGGGACGGAAGGTGATTGGGCGTGGAACAAGTGAGCACAAACTTGTTGTATAAAGCTGTGCTGACGACTACTAGGAATTGGATTTGTAAGCACTACTTACGTGACTTGAACTACTAGCCTGACAATCTACAGACCCCTCGGACAATCTTCTTCTCCCAAATCGCTTCCTCGGATTCATCTCTCCACACACCCGTACACCGACCCCTCAGATCATACAACTCATCTCTCTCAACGACTACGGCGAGTCTCACTATCTGTTCCCCGTCCGCGGCGCACAGCCTGGGTCAGACGCCTGGACAGAAGGGATGGACCATGAGGGATTCAGAATCATGTGCAAGTACTTTATCGGCCGCTGGAAGAATGGTTTGAGTGAAGGAGAAGAGCTTGATGATGGGCATGAGGGCAAGGTGGTGATTTGGTATCGGACAAAACCAAAAGATGGAGTCTATGATGATGCGGTCGGTAGGCCAGATCGAGCAGAATGGGCAAGTCTTCTCTCCCTTCATTTGTCAATAGGCTCGCTTACGATAACGCAGGCCGAGGACCTCATCAACCTCTTCATCCTGCTTCCCTCCCACTCGGCACATTATACCCTCCACCTCACCAATGGTCCAGCCAGCCATACACGCTCCTTGAAGTCGGGTCGACTCAACCTCCTCACGTTACCTTTCATCCCTGGCAATGTACACTATAGTATCATGAAGAAGGAAGGGAGCGCAGAAAGGGTTATACTGGAGGGAGATGGGAAGGAGATCACAGAGGGCGGCGCGTGGAACTTTAACATGTGGAGTGGGAGCGTGTACTGAAGGAAGATCTCGTTCAAAAGGGGCATTATTCTGTTGACCTCTTGTATACTATGGGATGTCTTGGACCAGGTGCCACAAAGAAATGGAGATTCATACGTATCATCAAGATCATAAGGATCGTCAAAAGAGCAAGAATCATCATTCCTGATCCTCGCACAAAGTGTCCGTTCTTACTCCCATCCTCATCCATTCTTTGCTATCATCTTCTTCCTCGTTTTCTTTCCCTCTCCCTTGGGAAAGAATATAGGAGATACGATCAAGGTAGGACGAGAGGAGGGATCTTTGTTGAAACGAAGAGAATCGGGAGAAAGCCAGTCCAGTTGACCCACAGCGCTCAGCGCCATATGCAGAGGGCAAAAGCGCCCAAAGAGACCCGCTCTTCGGCTACTGACTTTCTGTCTTCTTCAAGAGGATGTGCCTGAGGTGGAGGAGTTGGCAGAGAATGTGATATAAGAGGGGCGTGTAGGTTGGCGCGTATTGTTGATATGGGGGAGAGAGGGAAGGGTGACATAGATCGGAAGCAGAGCCATAACGTGGATGCACACTTATAGCACAATTTCGTACGCTTACAGAGTGACCCTGGCCTATAGTTCTTGTCAGCCGTCATGCTTCCAGCAAGGCGCAAGAGGGCAAGGAACATACTCACGACAAACGTCATACCACGGCATGAGAAGACCAGAACCATATTTCTATCCTATGTAACAGAGAGTACTGAGCCAGTACTAAAGAGAAACACTACGGACTGAAGGGTAAAACTGAAGGAAAAATTTAACTAAATAAAAACCACGTCGAGATAGAGATAGAGATAGAGGAACGAGGCTAATCACATATTCACAGCCGTAGATACAGTTTCCTCCAACTTTCTTCCTTTCCCCATATCGACACCTCCAGCACCAGCAGTCCGTGTACCTGTCCCCCCAAGGGGTATTATCGGTACAAGCTTGAGCCCCCTGCCTCTACCCTCTGCGCACAAGGGAAAGAGGAGGGCGAAAGGTAGGATAACACTGCCATGCTGAAGAGTCGTCGAGAGGAAAACAAAGAGAAGAGATTGTGAGGAGTGGAAGCACCATCGGCCAGCCCATCATGCTGAGTGACAGGGAAGACCAAAGCAACGGCCAAGCAAACTTGGCAGCTAGCTTCCATATAGACAATATAGACAAGTCGGGTTGAAACGAGAGGACGATCCAACGTCACAGACGTAGCTCATCGTAGGACTTCGAAAGCTCGCCACTGGGGCAGAGGGAAGACCGGGACGAAATCGTTTTCTTAACGTTTCTTGGGTTGCGTATAGACATGGTCGATTGGATGGAGGATGGCGATATAGGACGGGTAAGTTATGGCTAGGCACACGTTTGGCACATATAGGCAGCCAAAGAACCAGAGTAGAGAGACGAGTTGAGAAAGATCGCGATAGAGTTGAGAAAAAGAGACCGGAACCACATGAGAGAGAGAGAGCCGAGGGAAACCAAAAACCACGCATGGTGTACACGGCTCCTTCCTGGAGCCTAGAGTCGTATGATACAGGCGCAAAAAGATAGGCTGGTTGTACTGCTGTACTTGACCGTACTAGCATGGGTGTGCGCGGTGTGTTATTCACACCCCAGCATAGCTTGCGCGTGGAAAGGAGATGATCGCTGAAAGCGATAGAAAGCCGGACCGAGAGGAGATGAGGTGATCGGACATGGATGAAAGAGAGCATGATGGCTTCTTTTTGTCGGTGGGATCTGTATGATACAGAGGTTTGCCGGGTGTGTATGTGGTATTTGCTACACCCCTGCGCGCTATGATAGCGTATATTACACTCTTCCTCCGCCCAAGCGCTTGAGCAAGGCGGGAAGAGAATGAGAAATTCGACCTCGAGAAAGAGTCGTCGAGAGGCACTATACACACCGTCGCTGCTCTGCACATTGAAGCGCGAGGATGATCTGAGATTGTTGTGCAAGTGCGTGCATGTTGTGAATGCGAAGGGGAAGCCGAAAGCGAGACGCAGAACAGAGGCCAAGAGAAACGGGGCGATTGGACCGGTAAGGGAACAGCGGAAGGTGAAAAGAAAAAATCCGAAAGCCATAATGCGATATGGTACATGCCATAGTTTGAGGCAAGAGTGTGTTCACAATGCCGGATAGGGGTGAGATTGAATCTCCTGTGCGCTGTGTGAGTGTAGATTTCGAAGCGATAAGAGAGGGGCTTGCCAGATATTCCAATCGTCATCAACAAGGATGAAGATAGCATCACATTTTGATTCCACAATGGAACCCCACAAGATAACCCAAGAAGGATACAAAGACCTCAGTGGAGTCTCTGTGTTTGCTGCTCTTGCGGACTGTTGGACGAAGGGCGGGTCAAGACTTCGTTATGAAGGATCCTACTGCCCACGTCAGCATTGTACCAGTGAAGAATAAAAGGACACACTCCCGAAGCTTAATGCACTCCTTGTTCTGGTCCTCGAGCTGGGTGAGGAGGAAGCGGTTCGCACTCTCGATAGCCTGGATGTGGGCCACAGCTGGATGCGGCGTCAGTGACGAGTGGCAAGGTGGGTAGGTGACGTACATCGATCAAGGAGGCTGGATTTAGAGGCTCTTTGATTTGTCTGGGGAAGAGCTTCTTTCAGTCTCTTGAAGCCTTCCCTGAGCTCGTCACGGCGCCTCTGTACGACACGTCAGCGTGGAATCGAATGGAGTGTTGAGATGACGCACCTGTTCGCTCTCGATTCTTGCCTTACGAACATCCTCGCGCTTGTTGGACACTGGCACGCGGTCGTCGTCGCTACTCTCGTCAGCACTGTCCGCTACCACGAAAGTGACGAAACTCACTTGGACAACCCAAGCCCTCTCGGACTATCCTCGTCCTCGTCATCACTCAACAAGTCCTCTTCCTTGACACGCCTACTCTTGCTACCCCTATCCCTATTTCTCAACGTCCTCACGGCACCACTCTTGGTTGGCGAGCCACCCATGAACGAGCTCGTTGGATAGGGGAAACCAGAGACCATGCTCAGCCCAGGTCCGGTAGGCGAAACGTTGGACAGGTTGGACATGCCTGAGAGAGGCGTTCCCGCGTAGAACTGGTACGGGTACCCCGTAGGAGGGTACGCCCCCGTGGGCGAGTCATTCGGGACACTCCCCACCAAGGACTGGGGCGAGACCAAACTGGGCGACACGGCCATGGGCGCCCCAAACGACAGACGATTCGAGTTGAAGCTGCCATGCGGGGAGCCGTCGATGGAATTTGGCGAGTGAGGTGACCGGGGAGAGCGGCCGGTGAAATCGCCGCCGGGGCCGCGGTAGGGATGGTAGAGGGAGGACGAGTGGCCCATGGAGGAGTTTTGTTGGTCGTACGTGAGGGCGTACGGGGGATAGGGGTACGCTGCCGCAGAGAGGTCGACGGCGTGTATAGGCTCTTTCATGGTGAGCGGCGATAGAGAGAACTGATTTGAGGCTGGGATTGGATGTCAGCCACCATGCTCTATGACATGCTCTATGACGACGCGTACTCACCCTCTGCGCTCTCCCCATGTTGCTGTTGCTGTTGCTGTTGCTGTTGCGGCTGTTGGCTGGTACTCGCCTCGGGAGACTTGGCACCTTCTGGGCTGGCGAGATAGTATTCCATGGTGTTGTCTGTGGTGTTCATAAAGGAGAAGGAAGAGTCGAAGAGTTCGTCAGAGTCGTTGAAGGCGGGGTCGATGTCAATCTTGGACATAGTTATGATGCGAATGGATGGGGTTTGAATTTCTACTGAGCGGTGCATGATGGGTGGGGAGGGGAAAGGAGGTGTATCAGCGCTGTTTGGCTACTGTGGCTTCACCGAGTGCACCGAGGACAACAGAGAGTGGCGAGGTACGGGATGAAACTCACCTGTGACGCTGCGTACCTGGGGCGATGAGCGGTGATTCGTGAGGGTCGTTACAGTCGTTAGTGGTGGTACAGCGGCTGCTTGCGTGGCGGGCGGAGGTGGCGACGAGATATGGCAGAGGTGGGGGAAGAGGGAGGGAAGACGAGCAGGGGGAATATATATACGGGTGACTCCCGGGTGACTGGACTCCCCACTCTCCGTGTCCAGCGAGGATCTGTCCGCCATCGTACCAAGGGCGCAGCCTGGGCGGACGGGGCGGACCTTGTTCCGGGACATGCACCTCCATACACACAAGATCGGTCAACACGGAAGGGAACAGGCACATCATCCCATTCTCGGTCAAACCAGTAGTCCCGACCCCCCACATAAGCCCCTCCTCCTCCAGCCTCTTCTCGTCATCCCATGCCGCCTGCTTTCCACGCCTCTGCGCCCTCTCGACGCCCAGTACAGGAGACCCCGCCTCCAGGCTTCGGTTACGACGCTTCTCGAACTTGTGCCGTCCTTTGCACTTCTATTGCAGCCTTCCACGCATCAGAGCATCAACAGAGCATAACGTCAGACGGCAAAAGGACCACGCATCGTTCCAACTGCGTCAACCACCCTCGTTCCGTTCGTTTCTCCGCTTCAATCGCGATTCCCCTTTTTCCTCGTGGGATTTTCGGCGATATATCTTACACCCGACCCTTCCAGGGAGTCTGCGTGATGGGTCCTGCGTGGCGCAGACATGGCAAGAGTGGGGGATGTACGAGTACAGTATGACCCTGTATGCCACTATGCACATATGTTGAGCGCGGGACCTGGGACATCGCACTATCCGGTAGCCTTCATTGCCTTCAATGCGTAGGTGGCACACTGGTCATATCCCTCCTCGTCGTTGAGACAGACAACAAGATTCGGCTTGATGGGGATGGTACGACACAGGAGAAACGCCACGAGGCAGAAGCCCCTTTTTGGCCGAGCCTAATTATTTTCCCCTTGCAGATTGATTTGGATTGGGGATTGATGGGTCTTGCTGGAATCGAAAGGTACCAGAGTGATGTGAATCGCCACTCGACCAATTGTTGATACCGCGCACATCCGCGTCTTCAAATCAACTTCAAATCATCGTTGATACATAGTCACATCCTTCGCTTTTGCATCTTCTTCATCCCATGCATAGCTTCAATTTGCCTGAGCTGTATAGCCTACTCTTCAACTGCCCGGGGGCACGAGCACATCGACTACAACGACCTCCTGATGTACTTGTCGCGCATGACGTACTCGTATAGAGACTTAGCTATAGTACGATCGCGATATATGCGTCCTATTTCTCATCTGGCCAGGTAACGTGAGCTGAAAGACTGCTATTTTACACTCGGAAAGATATATGTGGGGTGAAATAGTCCATTATTGTATTGTATGCTACTTCGTACCACTGGGGACGTTGCGTAGCCAATTTACGCTGCTTGGAATAGATTGCATTGAACCCGCCGATGACGACGACGATGCCATGGCTGTGTTGCGTGAAAACATAAACCTCGTCAGGTGTGACTAAATCTGCTGGTGAGGCCTACATGATACCCCTCACTGTCGGCAACACTGTAATAGTTTCCCGTGAAGCCAAGATGTCGGTCGATGCCGTCATGCCAAGTGAAGGTGGCCGAGGCCCGCCAGCATGAGAAAGGCCCTCTGTACATGTTGAGCGCATCTTCATCCATCCGAGCTGTAGGTCAATGAGCCGAGGGCGGAAGGGGAGTGCATGTATATACGTAGATAGACGCTGCGTCTCTCCTACAACTCTCCATCATTCAACACGAAATCTCATTATCGTCCTCAATCAACTGTCATGTCTATCAACGTCGCAGGTCACCAAGTCGGTCGGGTCGGGTGAAATTCTACAACAGACTATAGCGTTTGCTCTAATGACTATCAGCTTCAGGCTACGGGCTCATGCAGCTCACTGTCACACGTAGTAATTCCCTGAAGTGGCTTTGGCGCTGAGTTGTGTGGATGGTTGAAGGACGCGCGGTGTGCATACTCAATTCATATCTTTGTTCTACTCTTTCCTTATAGGGAATTACTACGTGTGACACTCACCATCTTCGATGCTGTACCTGATGAGCTCGCTTTCGAAGTCATGAGGTGCGTCTCATGATGATCTCTCTATAATTTACCTTTGTGTAGCTCTTAGGACGTGACGGCAGTCGACAATGGCTCAAACTGCTGGTCATCTGCAACTTTCTACGGACCTCCCCAAGACCCATATGTCAACATCAAGCTTCTCAGTCGTTTCTTTGACAAGTATCCCGAGCTCAAGGACAAGGTGGTCTTGGTGCTCAAAGGCGGAGTGCAGCTTAGCGCAAACGGTCCTGAAACTCGCGGTAGCGAGTGCGTAGCCGTGACTTGGTGGGTTTTACTACCTTTGTGACCGGACCGGAATGCTCCTGCAAGGCTGACCCTGAGTTGTATAGATGAAGTAAACATTCATCAGTTATAGTAGTTTTGTTTTAAGGTTGCGGTACTATACATGTACGAGTACACCATACACGTATAAAATGTATTGATCAAAGACCAAGAAGATTCGATCGAAGATGACAAGACGTTAGGTAGCAGTGCTTGTTGGATGTACGAGTACATGTAGTGCCTGCGTGGTAGTATGCAAACTCCTTGGGTGGGACCATATTTGCCAGCTTGTTCTGTCTCATCTGAGATGCAATCGGATTCCAATCCTGGAAAGTGACGCATTACTGTGTTCCAAAAGAAGGCTCAAGATGGAAGCGACCAAAACCTACTGCAACTGAAAGATCGGCCCTTTGACTCCAGAGTCTGGGCAGAATTCGAGATGCAAATACCTGAGTCATCCATTGTCACGTGGCTGTTGCCACTTGACCAAAGTAACGAACCAAACACCCGAACCTCCACCTCCGACGTCCGCGTCAACCCCACATCTTGCCACCATCTGGCTATAACATCCATCCGTTCTACCTCCACGGCCGAGCTGCACCAGCACCGCCTTCGAGCTCTATGCTTGCTAAGCCTTTGCGGGCAATAACGGAAATACGCGGAGATAGAGAGAGCAAACCCATTCCACCACTTTCGAGAACATTCTTTCGCCACCAGGTTCGCCGATGTAGTTGACTCTAGAGGATTCGACGGAGGATACGATGAGTAAGCAGACTTGAGGTGCCAGGGTATATAAGGACGTGTCTCCATAGCAGTAGATACTCCGTCGATCCACTATTGTTGTCTTCTCTAGTACACACTCTCTCTCTCACTCAACACTCTCGCACAAACGCTATCTTCCTTCGGCATTGGTCTGGCCACTCACTTCGAGTTCTCAGACCATTTCGTCTCTACACCTCGGCGACCTCTGAAGGCATAGCCTAAGGAAGGTAGCCCCCTGACATCCATCTCCGCCGGTGTCATGAGCCCGAAGCTATCTCAACTCATGACACTCGCGAATTTCTAATGGGGGGCTGCCAAAATGCCGCGGACTGTTGAGATATAGTCGGTTTGCTTCCGTGTAGCCGTGTATGAATGTGCGTGTAACGTAGCTCTGGGTTAAGCAGGTTGGACGCCGTGACTTATAGTCGGGTTGGGTTGACCCTCAAACCTGCGTGGCACCCGCACATGTGCGGGTATGATGTACTGACCCCACATAATTACCAGCAGTGTAATTACTACCACCAGCAATTATGTAATCACTCCTCAGTTGCGGGACGGCGGCATACACCACAGTAGTAAGTGGAGGCAAGTGGAGGCAAGTGGAGGTGGAAGTGAAGGCTCTTCGGCAACTCTTCGGAGGCCGAGGCGTCGCCGAGCACCGAATCTATACATTCAGTTTCTTTGTTCTTGATAGGCAGTCTACCATCCAGAAGTACATATATATACCAGCACCATGTGCCAGTCAATCCCCCATCTTACCTACCAGCTCACTCTTCCCCAATTTAATCCACTCTTCGAAATCAATCAACATGTCTTCCACTGTCAACGTCGCGGGTCACCAGGTCGGCCGTATGGGGTCAGTAACCACTGGTCAATTCAAAAGATGTCCACTGACGAGTTATTTACAGTTACGGGCTGATGCAGCTCACTTGGACCGCGGAACCCGTCCCTGATATCACTGCTTTCGCAGCTATGAAGTGCGCGCATCCAGCCACATTCGCTTGTTAGTTGCTGACATAACTTATTTGCAGAGCTGCTGCCGATCACGGATCCACTTGCTGGTCCTCCGCGACCTTCTACGGTCCGCCTGATGACCGTTTTGCAAACCTCAAGCTCATTCGTCGTTTCTTTGACACATACCCAGAGTACAAAAACCAGGTGGTTTTGGTCGTCAAGGGTGGTGTCGACTTTACCTCTCGTGGTCCGGTCGGTGACGAGTGAGTGTCATTGATGTGACGGTCTGATACAAAGCTGACAATAGTAGCCTCGATTTTCTTCGTGACGAGCTCAAGACTTCCAAAGACATTCTTGGCGACAAAGCTATCGACATCTTTTCCCTCGCTCGACTCCCCAATTCGCCTGTGGAGGATGTCTTCAAAGGCCTTGTGACTTTGCAGAAGGAGGGCTGGTACAGTGCCATCGCCGCCAGTGAAATGTCCGCCGCTTCTCTCGAGAAGGCTTCCAAGGTGAGCCACTCTATGCAAGTCTCCTGATATGTTACTAACACCATATAGATCACCCCTATTGCCCTCAATGAGATCGAAGTCTCCCTCATCTCCTATGAGCCCTCCATCCGCGCTGCCATCGCCTGGTCGCAGACCAACAAGGTCCCCTTCTTCGCCTACTCTCCCCTCGGCCGTGGCTTGCTCACGCGAACCTACAAGACCCCCGAAGACGCCGCCGGTCAGGTGGCCGGTCACATCCCCAGGTTCCAGGGCGACGCTTTCTATGAAAACATGAAATTGGTGGATCTGGTGGAAGAGATTGCTGGCAAGAAGGGAGTCAAGGCAGGGGAGTTGGCGCTCGCTTGGGTTTATGGGACTTCTGACTATGTGAGCTTGTGTTCTCAGAGGAGCCATTTTCAAGCTAATGTGGTGACAGGCTGTCCCTATCCCTGGATCGTCCAAGCCTGAGCGCGTGATCGAGAACATCAACGCTGCCAATATCAAGTTGACGCCCGACGAGCTCAAAGCTATCTCCAACCTTCTCGAGACTTTCGAGGTCAAAGGAGGCCGATATGCCGACCATGCTATCGCCCACTTGGTGAGTCTTGTTCTCTTCTTTCCTCAACTACCCGGCTGACAATGAATGGTAGATGAAGTAAAGGAAGGGATGCTTTTAGCCCGCGCTCAAGACCAAGACTGTGTATGATTGAACGCTTAGCCACAGAAAGTGAGATGACCACAGGCAGCACCGATAGAAATGCATCATATGTATATAGATTTTATGCAGAAGCAAAGTATAGCAAATAATTGCATTGGCTTGCGAAGAATACAAAGTAGTACTTGTAGAACTCAGGAACCATTCCAGCCTATTCCTGAACGCACAGCGCTCGGGACACCCGAAGGGACAAAATTGTCCCTTGGTGGCGAATGCCCTTCGGTGGTGCGTTTTCCAAGGACCGAAAGAGTGCGATGACACAGCGGGATAATAATAAAAGAGCGGGCAAGGGGAAGAACAGCTAAACGCACAGCGCTCGGGGCAGTCCCTATGCATGGTATGATGTTCTGCCTAGGCGGAGATAGACCCAGCAGCCTAATCGTGATATGCTGTCCTAACCAAATCATGCTGATTGGCCTAAGGAATGTCGGACTCTTATTGGACAATCGCAGAGCGCTTGATTGTTTACTTTCTATCTACATACAGTATATCCACGCATTCACCTGTACTCTTGTTCTCGATCGGAACAAGAGCCGTAACTTTCAAGTCGCAATCTCTCTGAAGTTCTGCTTGACCGTCAAGAGTTCTTTTCATGTACAGGTGCTGTAGGAGGATCACCGTAACGAGTCGGAATGATCGGTCATAACGAGAAACAAGACGACTGCTTGATCGGCCTGCACTGCTTGATCGAGGAGCATCACATACATACACGTGCAATGATCATTCCTCATCGCTCCCTTGCTCCGCTTCCTTCACTTTCCTCCGCTTACTAGCCTCCACCATCGCTTTCCTCTTCTTTCCCGCCTCCTTCTCCAGATCTCTCCCTCCGCCTCCAACAGCCTTCCTCTTCACCGGCGCCTTAGCCAGCTTGCGCTTCTCATTTTTGCTCGGCTTCTTCATCTCCAACATGTACTCTGGGACGGGACAGCCGGAAGAGCGAAGGACGTTGGCGATAGTACGGAGGTGTGGACCGTCTTCAAGAGTGAAGAAGGTGGTGGCTTTACCAGGGCGACCAGCTCGGCCGGTACGACCGATTCGGTGGATATAACTTTGAACTGTTTGAGGGAAATCTGTGGCAATGTCAGCGGGTACTGGGATTGAGATGGTAGCACAAACCATAGTTGATGACCACTTTAACACCCCTAAAGTCCATGCCTCTTGCCAAAACCTCAGTCACTACCAGCATCCAAACCGCGCCCGTCCTGAAATTCTTGATTGCCTCGTCTCGCTTCGTTTTGGCCTTCCCGCCATGCACAGCGTCGACTTTGATGCCATCCAGGAGCAAAGTCTTGTACAATTCTTCGGCACGTTCGATAGATTGGACGAATATGAGGGACGGGTAGGGAAGTTGGCCGGTGGAGATGAGATTACGCATGGCGAGCAGTTTACCGGCTTCCGAACCGGTGTACAGAAGGGACTGGTCGACTGTCGTGACAGCAGAGTCTCTGTGAATGTTGTCAGTACACAAGTTGCAGTGTTTTAGAGTAAGACTCACTTGACACCAACGACGACTCGAATACCGCCCTGCTTCAACCACTTCTTGGCCAGACCTTCAGCACCAGAGGGCATGGTCGCGGACAGGAAGCACTTTTGCACCTGGGTGTTGGTGCAAGCCGCGAGAATGGGTTCGATCTGGGGAAGAAAGTCGGGCGACAAAAGACGGTCAGACTCGTCCAAGACGACGTATTTTGTGCTGCTTTATATCAGTGGATAGTCAGAGGCTAAGATGATATGGACGTACTGGGCAAGAGACACCTTTTTAGAGTCGACCAAGTGGTGCAACCGTTCGGGCGTGGCAATTAGTATATCAATGCCCAGACCTTCCGGGTTGCCAGACTTTTTCGGAACAAATTCGTCCACAGATCCTGTAGACTCGTCGTCGTCTTCGCTATCGTCCCCTTCCATCTCCTTGTCCTCCCCAGCAGCTTCTCCCGGAGCACTCTCCCAGATGGCCTTTTCCGTCGCTTTACTCAGTACCAGGGCTCTCCAATGTTTTCCCCGGGTCACAGCCTTCACGACGCCCTGAATCTGGACCGCAAGGTCATGGGTGGGAACGAGGATTAACGATCTGATACCCTTGCCCTCCTCTTGATCCTTCAAGTTTCTTGAAGGTTGGCGGAGCTTGACTACGGTCGGCAAGACGTATGAGAGCGTCTTACCAGACCCTGTTGGGGCAACACATATCGTATCTCTATCCTCCAAGAGACAACCGCCCACGGCACATTGAACACCCCACAGAGAGTGGATATTTGCCGAAGCAAGCGCCGAGAGGAGGGGTGTGCCTTCAGCGGAAGTCAGGGGGTGGTTCTCGTGGCTGACTAGGGAGGGGAGGTTGGTGTGAAGAGATTTCGGGAGTGGGTCGGGACCTGTGAGGGTGATCTTTTGAGCAGGAGGCGCGGGGATTGACGCCGATGAAGATCCAGATTCGGACTCTGAGTCCGAATCTGGATCTTCATCTTCCGACTCTGGCTGCTGGGGTTTCTGCTGAGGATGATCGCCGAAAAAGTCGAGGGAGCTAGGGAGGGCAGAGGTGATGGCGACATTGTCTACCTGCTTGCTTTTGCCTTTACGGTCTTTACGTTTCTGTTTCTATGATAAAGCAATGATATAGTGAGCCGGATCCTTCGTGACTGTATTGTACATACCGTGGTGAACAGCTCGAGGTCGTCCTTGAACCTGTTCCTGTCAAACTTTGCTCCGCCTGCTGTGAGGATGCTGAATGCGGAAGCCATCTTGGAGTAGTCTACTGTTGAAAACAAAAGTCATTCAAGCTGGAGAATTTTGAACATATTGCGCGATCGGCGGCCGGTGGACCCGTCTTTTACGTAACGCTTTCTATATGATTGCATGGGGCGCGCGGCGCAACAACTCCTCATTGACAACTCAACAACAATTGCAACCGACAACAACGAACCGGGGGCAAGAGATGCTTTGTATTTGTGCATGAGAGAGGGAGACTGCTCAGCCGAACAGATGCACGGAATACCGTGCCCCGCGCAATTCCCGCTCTTTGTATCTACCATCGCGCGCCATCAGCTGCACTCGGTGTTCCCTCCGGTATCACGCCATCTTGCTCACTTGTAGGATCTGGCCGATACCCAGTCTCGCAACGAGGTGTGGTATTCCTCCGCGCACAAGACTTAGATATCGAAGGTCAAAAGTCTCTTGGTAGGAAGCTCGGTGAGCTGTCCGGCAAGCCCAAGGACTCAACCTTGCACGTCCACCCTACCACCGAGATCACATCTTCCAAGGGCGACGAGATATCCATGTAAGTAGCGCTTTCCGAATCAGAGCCTCAATCTGACGGTCTCCACAGTATTAACAGCGAGCGTCAGAGTCGCAATGTTGGTGACACCTCTAGGCTCGCCTCCCACCACTGGCATTCGGACATTACATTCGAGCCCGTGCCCAGCGACTATGCCATACTCAAGCTCCACACCATCCCCGAATCAGGGGGCGATACTGTATGGGCGTCTGCGTACGAGGCATATTCCAGGCTCTCTCCTGAACTTGCCAAATTCTTGGAGGGCAAGGAGGCGTTTCATGAAGCTGGCTTCTTCAGGAAGGAGGCTGAGCAGTACGGGATCGAGCTGAGGACCGGCCAGAGAGGGTCACCTTTGAACCAAGGCCCGTCGCTCTCCGCTATACACCCCGTGATTCGAGTCAGTAAGTGAATCCTGTCTGTCTTCGATTCGGCTGACATACTCAAAGACCCCGTCACGGGCTGGAAGGGTCTTTTTGTCAATCAAGGCTTCACTCGACGTATTCTCGGCGTTACCAAAGACGAATCAGACTTTCTTCTAGACTATCTCACCGTGAGCTGACTCTGTACCTGTTCAACAGCAACTAACTTGTACACAGAAACTTGTGACCAACAATCACGACCTTCAAGTTGGCACCAACTATGCTCCCGGCATCGGGGACATTGCCATCTGGGACAACCGATCCACACAACACTCGGTGAGCCTCCTTTTCACAATCTTTCCCTGTTTTATAGAGAGCTGACGCACATCTAGGCGACCTTTGACTATGACAACGCCCACCGCGTCGGGAGACAGGGTAGTCTCCATCGGGGAGAAACCCTACTATGACCCTGCTGGGGTGTCCAGGCGTCATGCACTCGGTCTCCCTGACCCTATTGAAGGAGCGTTGGGGGAGTTGTACAGGGACACGTGGCAGAAATGAGGATGGGGTGATGTCTAATCACAGCGTTTGTAAAGGAAAGTCGATACAGTCCAAGTTGTATGATATATGGGTCGCGTACTCCACTTCATGTTGCCAGTCTTTTCCACTGTACAATCAGCCTTATGGTCATAGGCCCAGACCGCTTCATGCCCAACCTGTCCCACTTGCTCACTCGGCATTCATCTATCGTCATTCACGGTCTCTGTTCGGTGATTCGGTCAACCGACGGATATGTGGACTGACATAGACCTCCCGATGAAGCGGCGCCCACCGCCTGACGCATTTCTTGCCACCACACGAGTAGTCACCCCGCCTTTCCTTTTTCTTCTGCAAATATCTCCATAACACACCTCCACAATGTCCTCGCCTCCTCGCTACTCTGACGAAATTCACGACCCTGTCAAGTCCAGCAGCGTGACCGAACCTCTCCTCGGCGCCTCTTCCCGCACCCCCAACGTCGCTGCTGCCGCCTCTGGCTCTGTCAGCGCCCAGCGCCTCGCAGAAGAAGGCTGGAGCGATGACGATGTCGCCAATGGCCTCAAACTCGGCCCCAATGTCTCTGACTGCGACGCCGAGATCCGCATGTTCTTCATCCGAAAAGTGTACTCGATCCTCTCGGTGCAGCTTCTCATGAGGACGGTGGTGTCTGTGTTGCTGTCACTGGATGGGGCGAAAGAATTCACGCATGCGACTCCGTGGCTTATGTGGATTCCTATGATACTCAGCTTTGTCAGCTTGGGATTCGTCTGGTGGAAGAGGCATCATCATCCTGCCAACTTGATACTATTGGGACTGTTCACGCTTTTCGAGTCTGTCATGATTGGCCTCGCCGTCAGCTACTATGAAAGCAGAATCGTGAGTCGTCCCGTCGCTCCGTTGTTGACATCGTCTCACAAGTGTTCAGGTTCTTCAAGCTTTGTTCATCACCTTGGGAGTGTTTGTCGGCCTGACTCTCTTTACCTTCCAAACCAAAGTACTCAACGTTCCCTTCCCGCCTGATCGCCTTGACTAACTTTTCGCAGTACGACTTTTCCTCTTGGCCACCCATCCTTTACATCTCCATCTGGGGCCTCCTTACCACCTCGCTCATCTCAGTCTTCCTTCCTTTCAATGCCACTTTCGACCTCATCATCGCTGCTTTTTCCACTCTCTTGTTCTCGGGCTTCGTGCTCTATGACACGCAGCAGATTATGCAGAAGTTGAGTGTGGATGAGGCGATCGTGGGAGCTTTGACGCTTTATCTGGATTTCTTGAACCTGTTCTTGAGTATCCTGAGACTGGTGAGTCGGGTCTTTCGGTCCGAATTGGGAATATGCTGACCAGGCGCAGCTTAACAACCAGAACAACCGATGAAATATACAAACGTCTTTGATTATTCACGAATGTTGCCATGCTCGATCTAATGTATGCCTGATCATGTACTGTTGCTCAGAATTGCCATCAATAGTTTCTCTACTGTGCCCAGTCACTTTCCCTGCGACGAGTTTTTTTTTTTTTTTGCAGGGACCCTACACTGTTATGAGACAGATCTCGGAACCCGTCATGGGTTTCTGTTGAGGGACCACAAAGCGGGGCGAGGCAGTGCGAGGTGATCGAGCAATGTAACGAGCGGTAGCATTGGGTCTTGCATAATGGATCGAAGGGGCTACGTCTACCGTCTCCACTGACAACGGTCATCTCTTAGCAATTGCATACATATAGTGTGACACCATTCTGTTGATCCCTAAGCGCGATTCATATCAATATGACTCTCTGAAATGAAGAACATTTCAGACAGCAAGGTGCGCCTCGTACGAACGACTCGAAGAACCCCTTCGTCTTCGATTGCCCCTTCTATCATGACCAATTGGATACCGTGAAGACACGAAAAGAAAACATCATTAAATTACTGAGATGACAACAAGAAAAGATGGAATATGGAAATTACAATATTGACGTGAAATGAGTAAGACGTATGGACGAGTGCTGGGTGACAGGGCATGAGGGTGTGGGGTGGGAAACAGGAAATGAGGAATCGTGAAAGAAAGATATGAAACACACAGCCACAGAAGACTGTTTTGATACAACGACCGCAATGGCCTGGCTCGTCTCTCGCGAGATCGTGCTATTCGAGAAGGATGCTCCAGTCCCTTCCTTCTCTCTCCGCCATCTCCTGCACCATTCTTCGCCCAAAAGCGACGACATGCGCCACAGGGCTAACCATCCCGATTTCGATCGGCCAACAGAACCTATCCGTCTCATCCACATCGACATACCTCGCACTTCCCAACGCATCCCCCGGCGCCGGCAGCGCATGGTCTGCGAGTTCAGAGTTGATGGCGTTTTGGTACGTGGTAGGGAAGGAGGAGCGGAGGATACGGAGGGTAAGATGGTGCCGCGAGAGGTGGAGGGATTGGGAAGACTCGGCGTTTTGGCGGAAGGAGGAGAAGATGAGCGGGAGGAGATCGGGTGGGAGGGAGGAGGTGGAGGAAGACGGTGAATGGGCTGGCGAGTGAGAAGAGGCTGGAGAGGGGCCCTGGACAGAGGCAGGTTGGGGTGGGGGCGGATTCGGAGACGCGGTGGTGTTTGACGCAGAAGGAGAAGTCTTGTCGCGCGGGGAAGTCGATGTCGTCTGCAACTCCTTTCCTCGGTGTTGCAGCATAGCAAGGGCATCTCGCCCAGTCTGATACTGAATGACCGCCTCAAGCAGGTACATCAGCCCCGCCATCGCCTTTGCTCTCTCCTTCTCATGCACACCCTCCTCGCCCTTGTACTCCTTCCTCATCTCTGCTTCCCACTTGGAACACACAAACTTGCGCAATCCGGCAGAGGAATCATAAGTGTTGGGCGATGGACGGCCCTTGGCCTTTTCTTCGCAAAAGTGCGAATAGTTGTATAGGAGGGCGGAGTCGGTGAGGCAGAGAAGACCCTTCAGGTGGTCGGCTGGGAGAGTAGAGGTATATTCTTTGTGAGCCGTGGGGGAGCGGAAGTAGGCATCGCCGTGCCGTTTCAGCAGTAGAGCCCGATCGCGATACCTGTACACTGTCAACCTTGGGTTGAGATTGACCATATATGAAACATACCAGGCGCTCATCTCTATCCACTTTTCCCTCTTCCAAAGATCCCTCCTCGCGTCCTCCCCACCTCCCCTCTTCTCATGCACATCAACCTCATTCCTCAGACCACTCTTCACCCTCTCCTTCTTTGCGAAAAGCAACGACGGGCTCCCTAACGGCGTCACGTTCCGTCCTTCATCCTCCGTCTTTCTCATCTTTGCCTGACCAGGGGATACACTCAGGCCCAAGCCGACACCGGCTCCAGACCGAGCCACCTGACCAGCGAGCTCGGGCTCGGAGTCGGAAGACTCGAGGGCGCGTTTGCGTTTCGCGCGGACATATTCTGAGAATGTGCGTGGGGGTGAGCCTGCAGAGGATACGGGCGAGGCGGATGGGCTGGGGAGGAATGTCGGTGGGAGTTCTTCAGGCAGGGGTGCGGGCAGGGATGATAGCAGCTGTGGGGGTGGTAAGCAAGATAAGATTACTGGGTGTCTTGGCAGCGGCTTTCTTGCGGTCGATCTCTGCGATCCAAAGACAGCCACGCCCCCCGTATAGCGCGAGCAACTCATTTCACGTGGGGGTTGCTCAAGAAAGCCGGCCAGATGTTACAATGACTGACCTTCAAGATTGACTTTGCGCTCTCCTGAGCCTCTTCGCTCAGTCTCACTGGCCGCATCTCGTACCGCAGCCTGCTCGATTTGCGTTCCAACGGCTGTGACGGCAATTTTGGTGTGACAGCGCTTTCTGCTCTGGAGGAGGAGGCGGACCGGGGGACGTAGGCTGGAGATCTGGTCTGGGGCACGGCAGGAGAAGAACTAGCAGGCCGAGAGCGGGGTACGTAACTGGGTTTCGACATTATCTGCAGCATGGTGGATGAGTATATGCTGTGAATAGAGGCGAATGCAAGAGATAGATGATGGCAGAGGAGACGTACGGCAGGATGTGAAGCGTGCTTGGGTCAGCCTCGTGTCTGCGAGTCAGGGTGACTTCCTGAGTGCGTTCTTTGTGGACCGGAGATGATGGGATGATCTTAAAGGAGGGAGGCTGACCGGGCCAGCACGGCGGGGGGTGAATGGGGAGCTGAAGGGCTTCGAAGGGGGCGAGATGAAAGGTGTGGCGATGGGAGGGCGAGACGGGTCGCTAGGTTTGCTTGTACAGATCGCTTTGCTCAGCGCGGTCGGCGGTCGTGGTCGCGGCCGAGCGTGACTCTGTGCGGGGGTGGAAGTGGGAGGAAATAGCTGGGGAAGGGGGAGGGCTGCAGGATGGGAGATGAGAGAAAAGCGAGGCAGAGATGGGAGACGGCCGTCGAGAAAGAAGATTATTGGGCGTCGCACTCGATGTGTCCATTATTATTGTGTCGGGCATCAATCTATTATGTCTTCGGCCCTTCCCCCGATCGCTCGAGGTGTCCACCTGTATGTCCCATCATTCCCATGCATGCGACCTGCTACCTGTGTACGCTGTCCATTCTTCCCCTGCCCCGTTCTGCCCTTTGCCACCGTTCTTTTCCCCAGAGGCCCCAGAAGCAGAGGCTGACACGGTGAGACCAATAAAACCATCCTCCCTGACGCCTCTTCAAAAGTTTCCCCTTTCAGCAAATCCGGCCCTAATCTACCCTCCGAAGACCGAATCTGACCCGTTGTCGGATGTTATTTTGCTGATAAGAACATATTAATTCCATACTTACGTCTGTGGCGACTGTAGCGTCTGTGGCGGTTGTGCCTTCCCAGACTTTTGGCTCGGAAAGTCGGAAATGAGTTCATTTGGTCAGAGATCCGTCAGCGGTTTTCCTTGAGGCGGATCTCGTTGGGTAGAGAGACAGCGGACACTGCGTTCATCACCCGGCCCCCATGTATCGTCGATATGTACACAGGACGAGCTGGACTGCTACACTTCAACTGCCTCTTGGCGTTGTGAAAACTTGAGAAGAGAAAAAGAGGAAGGGAGACCTAAATAATAAGCTTCACGGGAAAGAACAAGATTGTGAGGAACGAGCCGAGGATTCTCGAGAGTTGAAGAGATTTGCGCTTTTCCATGATACTTGCATGATGTTCAGGTAAATATGCAGTAGTTCTGTTATCCTCTATAGGTGGGTTTACAGTCTACAGAGCAATCAATTATATGTGTTCCTCAGTCAAAGCGGTAAAGGTGGCCGGAGGGCGGGCAGGTGTACAATTGCGCGTGCCGCCCACCCTGCCAACATGAACCCAAACGTCCATCCCTTTTTATAGAATATGATATGCAAAGTATATCAACAAGACCATACATTCAATTGTCCTTTCTCCCCTAGCAAATAACTGTCCATAGCTCGAGAAGCTTGCATAATCCGCACACCGTGCGCCACCTAAGCAGCAGCGGTGATGGGGTACCCAGTAAGAGGGTCGGTAGCATTCTGGTTGAGCTCGAGGTACCAAACTAGATAATCCATCAGCGATGACCCCAAAACGACAAGAAGGATACCCACTCTGGTTGGTGTTGTCAGTGGTGCACTGGTAAGTCTGGGGTCCGTCGTCGCCTTGGTCAAGGCATTGGTCGCCCCCGGTGATAGCGATTCGGTTGTCGTCGGTGTAGTACCAGCTGTGGAATGATTAACAGGTGGGGTAAGACGGATAAAAAGGCTTACGTCTGTTGGAAGAGACCAGGGTAAGAGGTCCAGAGCTAGAGAGTGTGGCATTAGCAAAACTCAGACTATATGACCCTTGGACTTACCTTGACACCCTCGTTGTTGTCGGTACCGGTTCCAGCGTCCAATGCCAACTGAGGAGTAGTGTTGCTAGGCTCAAGGATGATGCTTCCCGAACCATTGTCGTTGATGGTCCAAGTGGGCGCCTCAGAGCAGAGTCCGGTAGTGATGGCGGTGCCAATACCCCACTTGCCGCCAGCACCTGTGAGGCAGGTTCCGTCGCGGTAGGACTTGATGCGCATGTTCGTGGCGCGCTTGGCAAGGCCGCGAGGCTCATTGGGGAGAGGGAAGGCAGAGGTGAGGGAGGTGAGGGCGAGGAAAGAGAGGATAGATGCGACGTTGAACAACATTATAGCTGGGTTAGTAGTAGTAGCTAGATGGGTAGGTTGATTATACGAGTGGTAGTGAGTGTAGAAAGCGATGTGATGGAGAAGGGATGAGGCGAGGGTTGTGGACCATGGGCTTTCTCGAACCAAGTGGCTCCTTTATATACCTTTCATTTGCCCCGCAAGGTTTCGGCCTTCGGGCAGGGTAAGAGTGTAGAAAGTTGGGGGTGGACCAAACATGCCCCGGTATGCGACACAGCTTGGGGCGACCCACGAGGGTCATGAGTATCCAGGGGGGATGGGTATTAGCGGCCGTCGGTTTCGGATGGGAACCGGCTTCTGGACGTCGCTCCATGACGGGTGCTGTGGAATGGCTATGACGAGACGATCCGGGGACACGGCCACATTGCATATGATGAAGAAGAAAACCAAAAATTATCAAGTAATGCATCCTGAAATCCTCCGAGCACCGCCTCTGTAGCCCCGAACCATCTCGGCTTCAGCTTTTGCCGTCGGAACCTGCCGAGCTCTGCTTCTGCAATCACAGTTCACAGGGGGGGAGTATACGGCGGACACCAGACAGCGAGACAGGAAAAGAAGCAAGACGGGATGCAGGAGAATACAAACCGTCGTCGGCTATCTGGTCCAGGTCAAAGAGCCCCTGCAGGTCACAACTTTACTACCTGTCCACCTAGCCCTCAATATCACATGCATGCCCCTGGGTCGTCTTAATGAGCTGCCTCTCATGCCTTGCTCATGCCTCATCTCGGCCTCTTACATGTCTGATCCCAAGCCGTGACATCACGACAACTCACCTTTGTTGTATCCCGCATTAGCGCCTTTTGTCTTTCCAGCCCCTTCACCTCCCCAATCCACCCCTCTCCGCCACCTAAACACCCCCCAAAAACGTGTAAAAGATACTCGGTCCTCCATCCTGATATCCGTGGCTTTTTCACCGGCGCTCGGAAGTCGAGTTTGAGGTGTATCAACAACCCTCGGTGACCCGCCACCCCGCCCTCATCTCTTCATCAACTTCTCAAAAAGGCATACCAGATGCCGCTCAAGCTCAATCCTCGCTCCCCCCTTCCCCCATTCACCTTCTCCCTCTCTCCTTCTCCCCATTCCCAATCCCAACAACAGGATGCCTCCCCGCCCCGTCCTCCAGCAGACTTTTTGCCTGAAAAAGACATGTACCAATTCGGTACCTATCCACTTGTAGCGGACGGGGAGCCAGGCAGGGGACTCGTAAAGTGTGAGCGATGTGGAAAGGTTGGAGTGGAGTGGGCTGCTGGGGAGCATCGACGTGCGTATCCCGGACTTGGAACATGATGTTGAACTGATGTTGCATAGGCGTGTGTAGCCATATACTGGACGGGACGCCACTGGCTACTAGAAAAGGAGGTAAGGGTATCAAGACGGATCCAAAGAAACGGCGTGCTTCCGAGGGTCAGTTGTGCGAGACGCGATGGTTGTGCATCTATTGACGCAGGCCAGATACCCCTCTATCACCTCAAAAACGGGCCAAGGCTTCGCCCATCCTTCCTACCGTCGACCTCAACTCCCACGACTATCGAGGTATGAAGAAGAGCGATATCAAAAAGCTCCAAAAGGATAAGGCCAGACAAGAGAAGAAGGAGGCGAAGGAGAGGGAGAGGTTGGAGATTGCTGAGCGGAAACGACAACGAGGTGAGTAGTCATTGGGATAGCGGTGCTAGAGACTAAAACTGGACCAGCCAATAATCCAATCAACGTCGACCGACAGTGCGGTGTCATCAACGACCGAAATGTTCCCTGCGCCCGATCCCTTACGTGCAAAACACACACAGTCGGCGCCAAACGTTCTGTCGAGGGCCGTTCCCGCCCATACGACGAGTTGTACCTTGATTGGCAACGAGAGCATAATCCGAACTTTAAGGAGCCTGCCAGAAAAGATAGGGTGGAAAAGAAGAAGGAGAAGAAGAAGAAGGAATTTGGGGAAGAAGGCGACGACGATGGACTCGAGGGTGATGATGGGAGGAGGGAAGTCGGCGAGCTCATTGCTCTTACCCGGATGGCAGGCGACCGCGTCAAAAACCACATCACTACTCTCGGCAACCCTTCCTCAATCCAGTCTCAGCCGGGCTCCGCTACCCCGGGCCTCAATTCTTCGTTCCCACCCCTCAGCGCACTCGGGCGCAGTCAGAACAACGCGTCCAACAGGACGACGGCAAAGAAACCGCCTTTCCAGCCAGTGTGGCGGTCAAACGCTGTGGGTGGAGGAGATTTCTCTGACGTGGGGAGGATGTTGGTGCAGGCACTGGCGGCGAGGACAAAGCCTTCGGTGCAAGGGGCACAGGGAGTGGGGATGCCTGGGGCGGGGCTAGGCGAGAGCCAGGGATTGTCCATCTCGGCAGTGTAGTTATCAGTTGTATATTGCGTCGGCTCGTGTCTTTTCTTTGTATCTTTGAGCATGATATCCATGCATCTGTCTGTTTCTAGGCGAGCGCTGCTGTCGGACATGAGCTTTTACAGGTACTGCCAATAAAAGATCATCGATTGCAGAGGTAAGTGTTGGACTAGGCGCGTTGAAGATCAACTGTATGTACTATTGTACTTCCGTATATAATCGTTTTACCAAGATATAATACCAATAGACCATCTAAGACAGTACAGTCTTCCGATATTCTCTCTCTCTCTATAGCAAATGAGCGACAAACACTTTCTTATTCGACACAAGCCGCGCGATCCTGGCTGCCCAATGATCGTTGGGATGACTCTTGACCTGACCGAACCAAACAATGCGAACAATGGACTTTAGCTCATGACGTCATGCCCTTCGCCGTTTCATGAAATTGCCCCTCCAACAATACGGCGTGATCTTTCGACTATGATCTTTCGACTACATACAAACCACAGCAGCACTCCACAATGTCCGCACAGCCATCCGCCTCCGCTCCCCTCTTCTTCTCATACTCCCCCCGCACGCAGCTCATCCTCCACTCGTCCCTCACCTCCGCCCAGCTTTTCGCCTTTCTCGCGCCCCCCGCCTTCCTCGTTTCATCGCTGGCTCTCAAGCGGACCAGTTTCTCCATCAGGGGGCTGATGAGGTACTCTGCGAGTGGTGCGGCCCTCGGTGCCGTGGCCGGGGCTGGAGTAGGTGGAGCCAGGGCTGGCAGTGCGAGTGATTTGGAGGTCAACGCCAAGCTCGGACAGATGGCAAGTTTCGGGAAATCAGTGTGATGAGAATCTGACTATAGATGCAGTCTCTGGACGAGACATTGGTACGCAGAAACGACTACGCCACAATAGGCGCTGCCCTTTCGGCCCTCCTCACGCCTGCCATCTTCCTCAAACGGGCCCCTCTGCCAGCGTTGGTTCTGGGCGGCGCCAGTGTAGGCCTAGGTCTGGGTGCGGCGGGATACTATATCGAAGAAGCTACCAAAGGGGAGCCAAAAGCGGTTTGAGTGAGTTTATGACTCACGTTGCGACCCCATCGACGAATGCTAATGAAGGGCGTCAGTGGTCTTTGACGGTATTCGAGGGGAAGCAGGGCAAACATCAGTCTTTTGAGCCTTACGGGTATACGATGGGCGAGATTATGCATTGAAAGTCATCCTTCACAATCCCGGCCAGTCGATGATTCGGATGAGGGCTGCCTGGTGGTGAGTTCCCAGGGCGGTGATCTGTCTGCTGTGTTTGGTTCGGGCATCAGACGAGGACGCTGGCAGAGGGGATGCGGTTTTGCAGTTCTTCACCTCTCCCACTCTGGCTGCCCTCCCCCATCGGTGACAACTCGTTCGCGCGATTCCGGCGAAAACAGGACATGGAAAGGCCTGGCTGGAGGCACGGTACAAACAACCAGGTGTGCCCTTGAGGCTGTTGCGGCACACAGCAAGTCCCCCGGAACCGCACTGCCCCGGGTGACTAATCGACTCATTCCCGGCTGATCCCTGGGTGGCGCATACATGACGGTGGTTGACTCACCCAGAAGAAACTTATATATAACAGCGGCATTCTGCATCCCCGCTTCTCTTTCCCATCTCCAACGTCCCCTTCGCTCTCCAACCACTACGCTCACATAACTCGCAAGCTGCGGTTCAAGCGCCACAAACGGATACAGCACCCTACCGCTCTCGCCATGACTTATAACCTATATGGCTACCCTCCGCCCGATGCTAGCCCATACGCCTACGGTTATGCTTACCCCCCTCCTCCCCCTACCCTGAAGTACGTCTGTTCCCTCTCATTGCCACCTCGCGCTTATACGCTATGTAGTCCATGGCGCGACAACCCCCAAGGCTTCGTCCGTGACTGGGTTGAGCTCGACACCAACTCGGACAACATCCGCCCCAACCACATCTCCAAAGTCGAACAATGGACCAAACACCCCGACTGGCTCAAGGTCATCATGAGCGTGCTCAAGGACCGCCTCGGGTGTGAGTGGCCGCAAAACTACAAGGCAATCATGTACCTCGAAAAGGTACCCGAAGCCGAGCTCGCTGGCGTGCACGACGATCTCAAAAAGATTGTCGATGCCGGTGACTCTCTTCGTGGGCACGAACACTTTAAGGAGCAGGCCAAGGCACTCTATGAGAAGGCAAAGGTTCAAAAGAAGAAGGCGGATGTGGCGGCGGAGAAGAAGAAGTATGAGGAGATGATGAAGAAGTTCGGGGGTATGCCGTATAGTGGATGGGCGGGATGGGCGGGGGCGCCCCCTGTAGCGGGGGCATACCCCGGTGGGCAGCAGCAGTATATGGCTCTCTATCAGAGGCCAAGTCCCTACGGCTACTACCCCTACCCGCCCTAGTCTTGGTTGCCGACACCTTCCCCATTCTACCATACCAAAAATCAAGAAGAAGGCACATAGGCCGAGTGTATAGACATCATGTCTGGAGTGTAGGCTATGGCGTGAGTTTCCATACTGGATGACGGGACGTATGCTGACGCGATATCCAGCATTTGGCAATTATGGCATCCCCTCCCTAGCAGTACTGCCTACATATACGCAAGGCTCCCAACATACATTACGCTTTGCTACCAGAATCAGAGACAAACACGAGCATGAAGAAGTGTTGATAGGGAGGCGGAGCAGTTGGGATGATCGTTCACTTTGAGACTACTTGTACAGCTATCCATAAAAATTATGAACTAATAGATGTGTAAAATTTGTCGGGGACACAATACTTTCTTGCCTTCTGTAAGGTCACCCACGGCTAAGACGGGTCAGAGTCCTGCGCCGCCACACATGCGAGAATCAATCAACGCGGTAAAGGCCGCTTTCTCATTCGAAGGAACATGTCAACAACAATACATGTCTCATTGTTTCGTTCTTTCTTCTCTTTCATCGCACACTGAAAGCATACCGACTACTTGACATCAACGTAACATCACCAGCACACGCACAGTATCTCTCATCAGCAGATTTTCTCCCGGCACCTCCACCACCACTGTTTCCGTCGGAAGACACGGCGCCATCCCTCTCGCCCACCGCCATTTGCTCCATTCACAGCCCTTCCTGGAGCCTCTTCCTAGCCATCCCATTCATTCTGATGTCAAGGATACCCTACCTTACCTCCCAAGGACATCTGATACAACCGTTTGGCGCCAGATGCCCGATGTGCGGCGCCAGATGTTCTTGTGGGGGCTAAAAAGGCACTGCACAAACAACAAACAGCAACAGCCCTTGACATGAGGAACGCGCCTGCAACACACAGCAATCACCAAAATTTGCCTCACCCGCGCCACGTGGCATCAGTCTCGCTGCACCTCTGCAAATCCGACGACGGGCATGCCACCGCATGTAGATGCAGGCTGACGAGTAGCTGATGGGTTGCCGTGGTGGCAACTTTCTGGGTCTTCGTCTTGATCATTCTTTCCATCTCCTGTCTGTCTTTCGACTCACCCTTCTGCTCGTCGCCCCGAGACGCGCCTCCGCCCTCCCCGACACCGCCAGCAACTGTCAAAATGGCCTACTACGCCTATGGTCCTCCACCCATGCCGTACTATGGCTACGGCTTTGCTGCCCCTGCCCCTGTCCCCAAGTACGTCCATCCTATCTCTATGTAGCAGCCTTCCTGACGAGCCTCATAGTTTGTGGCGCGACAATCCCCAAGGCGCGATCCGCGACCTCATGGAACGCGAAACCAGCACCTCCTTCTCCCACCCCAATCATCTCGGCGACATGGATCTGTACACCAAGAACCCCGACTGGCTCAAAGTCATCATGAGCGTCCTCAAAATCCGTCTCGGTTGCGAATGGCCCCAGAATTACAAGGCCATTCTCTACCTCGAAAAGATGCCCGAAGCCGAGCTCGCTGGCGTACACGACGAGCTGAAAAAGATTGTCGATGCTGGCGACAAGCTCCGCGGTCATCAAGCTTTTCAAACCCAGGCAAAGGCACTTTTTGGCAAAGCCGAGGCAGAAAAGAAGAAGGCAGCAGAAGCGGAGGAGAAGAAGAAGTATGAGGAAATGTGGAAGAAGCACGGGGGACTGCCTTTCAGCGGATGGGCGGGTTGGCCGTTCCCTGCTCCTGGGGGTCTGCCACCTGGCACCGCTGCTCAGTGGGCGGGTCAGTACCCTTTCAAAGGTCCCGAAGGATTCTCACAGTATGTGGCTTTCTATAATGGTCCGGGTCCATATGGCTATTAGCCTTGATTCTGTCTCTGTAAGAGCTGATGGATAGAAAGAGTGACCCGCTGACCAGGCGACTTAGGACGCCGGCGAGCTATGTTCCTCAGGAGTATCCTTATTCGAGATCATTTTACTATGCGGGGCGACCGGAGGATGAGGCGAAGAGGCCTAGTATGAAATCAGAGCTTGCTTGGGCTTTGAACCATCAGGCCGCTGCGTGAGTGGTATTTGTGCAGAGGTGTCTGGAAACTGATAGGATCGGGTAGTGCTTAAAATGCTTCAAGAAACGGCAACTTCGAGCAGCTATTACCACTGCACATTCTATCGCCACGTCCCATCACGCCCACCCACGAACATGTCACGAGACCCAATGAAGCGGGAAGAAGACTGGGAGAAGAAGGAGAATCAAGAGGACATTGAGCGTTAAAATGATCCCAGTCACGTCCTCTACAGCCTGTAATGACAATCATGATACATCTAGCAAGAGTATGATATGGTGTCCCGAGCCTGGATTCGCGGCTGACAAGTCTTTCAATAGACCTAATTGCACTGCCACATCGTCATGTTGAAAGATGCGACCGGCGTGCGTGCCCGTCCTATGTACCTCTGATATTTATCGGCTCTATGCTCTATGACTCCTATACACCGCTTGCTTTTGGCCTACGTACCGACTGTCCCGCCTTCTCTCTTTGCAGCTGCATGCCCTTCTCCATCACATTCATAAATGCCGCTTGATAGCCTGGCCTCATGATGCGAGGGCGACGTGGTTGATCTGCCCCTTCTTATAGCTCTGACGATAATGCCATCTCCTCAAATGCCTTATGCGGATAGTCTGAACAGTAGATCACAACGTGATGGTCATGACAGCGAGGCGGCAGTTGTATGGGGAATACAGTCAAAGATCGTCTCCATCACATTGCGTACTCTAGACGACGACGGTATCCCCGACATGCTCTTTTTCCGCCGAAATACTTGTCCATGGACAATATGATCGTCAGCTGCTCGCCCTCTCGGAGCATCGTGCTCGCTCACCGATGGTGGGGGCAAGCAGCGAGGCTGTTGTATACGTGTGTGGCATGCTTGCCCCATACAATAGCGACAGACTGTACCGGCAAGGCACTCTGGCGCACGGAAAGGATTCGGACGCACTCGAGGCACACATTGACAACGTATGAAGGAGGGTACATACGCCGATCTTTGTGATCACTGCCGACGTTTGTCATCCCAACCCCAGCTGTGCGTGAAGCCATATATACCACCAGTGGCAAGTCTCGTGTCCCCCATCCTTCTCTGTTCTTTACTACTTGCCTGGCAACTTCTCAAGGTGTGGTTCAAACAGAGCAAATACAAGAAGCGCCTTTCTATAATGGCCTACCCGTACTACGGATATCTCCCTCCCCCGCCGGTATTTGAGACTCCTTACAGACCTCAGCCGTTCTATGGTGGCTATCCACCCATCATACCATCCCCCACTTTCTACGGCTACAGCAGCCCCACCTCATTCCAGCAGTAAGTCTAGAATCAACTTACCTCAGTTCTAATGACGATAGGGCATGGGCTCAAGACCCCCCGGGCACTTTCCGTACGATGGTCGAATGGGACACCAACTCTGAAAAGAACTGGCCCATGTGCACTCATTTCATAGAGCCCTATACGAAGAATGCCGACTTTCTCAAGGTCCTTATGAGTATCCTCAAAGGCCGTCTGGGGTGCGAATTTCCGCAGAATTTCAAGGCTATCGTCTATCTCGAAAAAGTGCCCGCCGCCGAGCTTGCCGGGGTGCACGACGAGCTGAAGAAGATTGTCGATGCGGGGACCTCGCTCCGGGGGCACAACCTCTCGCTCGAGCCGGCCAAGGCGCTGTTCGAAAAGGCCAAGGACGAGAAGAAGAAGAAGGAGGACGAGGGGGACGAGAAGAAGAAGGTGGAGGAGATGTGGAAAAAGTTTATGGGTGAGTCGTATGGCGGTGGGTGGCCGTATTCTCCAGCTGCAGCCCCCCCTGCGTGGCCGGGGTATGGGCCGTCGTACATTCCGTATGCCTTCTACCCGCGGCCCTCCTGATGACTTTTGATGCATGGACGGTGTTTACATAATGGGTATTCGGGTATTCGGAGGGTGTCCCTGAGCGATTAGATTATGGAATTTTTGCATCACGCCATCTGAATCAGCCAGCTGCGATCTCGATTCGGTCGTTTCTCTTTTGCATCTCATTCTCGTCTCACACAATGGCCCCCGTCGCCCTCACTGCCGCCAACGCCTCCCCGCCCCCGCTCCCAGCCAAAAAGGCCTACGCTGCCGCACAGCTCAACGCCGGCCTCAACCTCGACGCCGACGGAGCATCCACCCCCTACTCGGCCACCTCCACCGCCGTCTCAGAGTACGATGGCGCCAAGGACAAGGTCTCCCACCCCGCCTCTCCCTCTGCCATCGCAAAGGCCCTCGTAGAGTCCACCATCCCCTCCACCCTCCCCTCTCCCACAGACGACGGCTACTACGCCAACCTCATCGCCTCCTCCCTTCCCACCGTCGCTACAAAACCCGGCGCCACTGTCTTTGCCTCCGCCGTCGATGCCCTCGAGGCCCTCGCCGTCAAACACTCTGAATCTGTCTGGGTGTACGACGACGCCGCCCTCGTCGAGTTTGGCGCCCGTGTGAGCAAGTCCGGGTCTAAAAAGGTGCACGAGCTCCAAACCAGGCAAGGCGCCGGTCTCGAACTTGCTGGTTATGCCTCCAAGACCCAGGGCAAGTTTACCATCTTTGCCAGCATCAAGACTCTGCAGTACCTCTTGCCCAGCATTGACAAGATTGAGGGCGATGTCCTGATCAACCTCGCTACCACTGCCAACCATGAGTCGCTCGAGTTTACCGATGGTCTCTACGCTTCCGGTACCCTCAAGGCGCTTGCTTCGTTGCCCGAGGACTGGGAGGTCGTCTTTTCTTCCGGCGACAAGATCATTGACACTGCCTCCAAGCTCTACGCGGGTGAGCCCCGAAAGGTCATTCATGTTGTCGAGAGCACCTACTCTGGCCGTGAAACCGCTGCCTACACCTTCCCCGCTCCTCAGCCCGCTGCCATCGAGGACTTGACCATCCAGAATGGCTCTGCTACCCAGCTCTACCTTGCCCCCGCTGGCTACCTCGCCTCTGGCATCGCTGCTGTACTTCCTGCGTCTGCTGGTTTGGTTCAGCTCAACACCCTCAGCCCTTCTTCTGACGCTCTCTTTGCCGCTCTCACCACCGAGGGCGGGCGCAAGACTGTCCAGGTTCTCGGCGCCACCAAGGCCGATGCCGAGGCGCTGAAGGCTGTCGTCTTGGCGTCCCTCTACGCTGCCTCCGGCTCTAGCAAGTCCGTCTTGCCTCTTGTCAAGTCGCTGGTTGCTGCCTCTGTCGCCGCTATCCCTGATCTCACCACTGAGCAGGTCGCCAAGCCCGGCAAGGTCGTCTCCTTCTTCACTGCCCCTACCTCTCCTCTCCCCCAACTCCTTGCCCACCTCTTCCTCTCCTCCCCCTCGCTTTCTACCCGTCTCGCTCAGTTTGGCTCTGCATCTGCCCGTGGTGTCAGGTCTGTCCTCTCTCTTGCGCCTGCCAGCACTCCTGCTGCTGCCTTGAGCGTCGAGGAGCCCAGCGACGTCACTTGGTTGTCTGACGCCAACGTCCTCAAGAGCGCCGACGTGCTCGCCTCTGCCAAGCAGGGCTCTATCGTCGTCGTCGCTCTGCCTTGGTCCGAGGAAGAGTTGCCCGTCAAGTTTACTCGATCCGAGATCCAGACTATCCAGTCCAAGCAGCTCCGAGTCTTCCTTCTCGACCTCGCTGCCGCGCCCACCACCCCTATTCAGGAGCAAGTCGCTTTCCTCCTCCTCTACACTGGTACTTCCAAGCTCTCTCAGGGTGTCTGGAAGGTCCTCGACGCTTTCCACAACCACCAGGTTGCCCGAGAGGATGTCGAAGCTGCTCAGGCCGCTTTGTTCGAGGTGAACGCTGCCAGCTGGGAGATTCCCGAGCTCGAGGAGGGCAAGACTGAAAAGGTCAAGAGCCAGTGGGAGTGGGACGCTCTGCCCGGCCTTGCCGGCGTCGTTGCTTCCTCTGACGAGCAGGGGTCTGGTATGGGTCCTTGGGACCTTGCCGCCCGTCACTTGTTCTTCCGAGAGGCCTTTGCCGTGCCCTCCGCCAAGACTACCGACAACGCCCAAGGTCTTCCTGGCGTCTCTGCCCTTCGACCCAGCATGTCGGAAGAGACCTTCCTCGTCACCGTCTCTGAGAACCGCCGACTCACTCCCCAGACCTACGACCGAAACGTCTTCCACCTCGAGCTCGACACTGCCGGTACCGGTCTTCACTACGATGTTGGTGAGGCCATCGGTATCCACGGTTGGAACGATGCCGAGGAGGTGCGCGAGTTCTGCGAGATGTACGGCGTCGACCCGGACAGCCTCGTGACTTTCCCCTCCCCAACTCGGGCCGGTACCCTCGAGTCCCGAACCGTCTTCCAGCTCTTGCAGCAGAACGTCGACCTCTTCGGTCGACCCGGCAAGGCCTTCTATGCTGCGCTCGCCAAGGTTGCTACCAACAAGTCTGAGGCGATGCGACTCAAGTTCATCTCTGCGCCTGAAGGTGCCGAGCTGTTCAAGAGGATGGCCGAGAAGGAGACTGTCACCTTCGCCGATGTCTTGAAGGGGTTCAAGACTGCCAGGCCCACCATCGAGGAGTTGGTCGGTTTGATCCCCGAGATCAAGCCTCGACACTACTCCATCGCTAGTAGTCAGAAGGCTGTCGGTGACAAGGTCGAGTTGTTGATCGTGACGGTTGACTGGGTCGACGTTCATGGTGAGTTTTCATCTCGTTCTAAGAGTTGTTGCTGACAAGTCACAGGCTCTCCTCGATTCGGTCAGTGTACCAGGTACTTGTCCGCCCTCGCGCCCGGATCCAAGGTTACCGTGTCCATCAAGCCTTCCGTCATGAAGCTCCCTCCTGATGACAAGCAGCCCATCATCATGGCCGGTCTTGGTACTGGGTAAGTCGTCTCCTTCTTCCACCCTCCCTTCCACTGACACAACCTAGTGCCGCTCCCTTCCGAGCCTTCATGCAGCACCGAGCTTGGCAGCGAACTCAGGGTATCGAAGTCGGTCCCCTCATCTACTACTTTGGTTCCCGATACCGTTCGCAAGAGTACCTCTACGGTGAAGACATCGAAGCCTACATCGCTTCTGGTGTCATCGCCCACGCGGGTCTTGCCTTCTCCCGAGACGGCGTGGACAAGTCTTACATCCAGCACAAGATGTCTGCCGACAAGGCTTTGCTCTCCAAGTTGCTCAAGGGCAAGGGCAGCGATGCCGCGTACTTTTACCTGTGTGGACCTACATGGCCTGTGCCAGATGTTTACGAGGCTCTTGTGGGCAGTTTGACGAGCGAGGGTGGTATGGAGAGGAAGGCGGCCGAGGACTATATCGAGGAGTTGAAGGAGGAGGAGAGATATGTGTTGGAGGTCTACGTGAGTATTCTTGTTGTTTTACGAAAGGCAATGCTGACGAGTGTGATAGTAAACCGGGACGTGATTCATACATATCTGCATAGAATGGTTTCGTGGACTTTATGCATGTTGCTGTGCTTTGATTCGCCTCGTGTTTCAGAACTCGTTTGTAGACGGGCGCACGCTGACAAGTCGGTAAAACATCGTTAATGGTCATACATGAAACCCTGGTAATAATAATAATACAAATCGTATGGAGTACTACGTTGTCTCTATTCCTCTTCCTTCCTGCCACCTCCCAATTTCGACGCCTTCGGCGCCACCGCCTTGCCCCTTTTCTTTTCCTTATCTGGTGCAACATGGACAGGGTGTGCTGGTGCAGCGTCGAACCCTGGGATAGTCATCTCCCACGCGTGATCTTTTACCAAGTCAGCACAAACTCGCCACAACTCCCCAAACACTCACCTATATACCGAGCCATATCTCTCAGTTCTACCTTGTCGGAATTCCGGTGCTTGGCCAACCTCGCCGCACCCTCCAACCCCTCCTTCATCATTCTGTCAATGATATCCTCGACCACCTTTTCATACCCAGCCTCCACCGATAGTCCCGGCGCGATCTGTGCCAGCATAGCGTGGATCTGCCTCAATCTTCGCACATGTTCGGGCTCTGGCGGCGGGAGCTGCTGTTGGGGGCGGTTCATCCCTCCGGGGCCACTCAGCTGTCCTGGTGGAGGGCGAAGGGCAAAACCGCGCGCGTCGGGGAGGGCACCGGTGAAGGAGGTGGTGGCAGACGCATTGGGAGTGGTTGCAGACGCGTTTTGGGGAGGACGGCCAGCGTTGGAGTTGGTAGGGTTTTGCTGTGGGGTAGCACGGTTGGCAGGATTAAAGTTGCTCTTTGGCTGAGCACGCCAGTAGTTTAAAGACGCTTGGAATTGACTTTGTCGAGTGGGTTCCTACAGCTAGATCAGGGGGGGTGCCGACTGAACGAAAGGCGAGACGTACTTTGGCTAGCCAGGCATTCCGCACATCGGCAGGTAGTCGTGCCAGCTGTGTAAGCTCAGCATGGGTAAAAAGCCCAGAGGGCATTGGTCTTGGTCTCGGTGGTGTGGGAGCTGGTGTGGAAGTGGCTGATGAGCCGGCTGGTGTCGCCTGCCCCGCCGGCCTGACTGGCGCACTCGTTGCTGCCGGCCCTGGAGTTCCCGGTCTTGATACAGGGGCCGCTGGTACTGCTGCCGGCGCCCCTGGTGTTCCATTGGAAGATACAGCAGCAGCAGCGGCAGCAGCAGTAGCCGCCGCCGCATTCTGCTGTTCTCTCGCCCTCTTCGCTTCCACCAACGCTCTCGTAGATGTCTTGATCATCGCGTCGAATCCTTCTCTGCTGACTAGAGCCGGTACATCTTTGTACGGTATTGATGGATTGATGGCATCGGGGAGAGAGTAGAGGGGATTAGGGCGACCGCTGTTTATAGAGTTGGCTGTTATCTGGCGGATCTGGGTGTGGACCAGGGTCCGCAGCTATGACACGCCATGAGCACTTGTGAGCAGGGCACAGTTTGAGGTGGGCGTACTTGGGTGATCTGGGTATCGGAGAGCTGGCCTTTTTCGTACATGTTGAAGAGGTTTGGGAGGTTCTGGACGATGGTGTGGATGGGAGTGGTGGTGGCGGGGCGGGGGGTGCCCGGGGCCGACGGGGGGGCGGCGGGGGCGGCGGGGGGGCGGGACATGGCGGCAGCTGGATGGCGTGAACAGGAGAACGCAAGGAGAACGCAAGCAAGTCAAGAGACAGCTTCGGCGACCTCCGCCCAGCCAACAACTTATACAATGCCTTCCTTACTAGCCTCCTTTGAACACATCCTTACATGGTCTGCGACATGAGATACTCGAAGGGGCCGCAGCTTGACGAGGTGCTCCATCGAGCAGCACCCGCTACTGTGCTGGTGATCGTCTGGCTGCTCATTCACTCATCTCATCACAAACTCCTCATATAATCACATCAAGTGCTGGTTCACGCCAATCTCTCTTTTATCAACTCATCGTCCTTATACTATCTGCATTGCTCATCGCAATGGGTAGAGCATCTAGCAAGCGTCACATGACGACTCGGGGTCTTACCCTGGGGATCATCCTACTGGGCGACATTGTGGCGGCCAAATCTGCTGAATACGCTGGTGAGTCTCTCAGATCAAGGAGTCGTAAAAGTGCTCACGATATGTAGGCGAGAATAGGGGTATCGACACAGCCTCACTGAAGGATAGAGGCTTCATCTCCACAGGCGTTTTGGCTGCTGTCACCTCCATAATGGCGACCAGTGCCGCAGCCAGCGACACGATAGCCTCAATCTCCTCCATCGCCCAAGAAACCACCTTGACATCTCAGGACCGCACTCGGTCGATCATCTCCAACACTAACCCAACATCCGCTGCTACGAGCGAGGCAGAAACAACCGCAAGTCTACCGTCTCTAACGACGGCCTCCGATGGAACTCTTCACTGGCAGTCTGAAATCGTCTCCGAGGCAGACGCTACATCCGACGACGCACAAGTAGCGACTACTGCACTGGCTACTAGCACTGCAGGTGCTCTCACGTCCTCCGCTTCCCCATTGATCGACGAGCCTCACACTTCCAGCAACGAAGAGACATCCGAGTCTCTTCAACAAGCTTCCACGACAACTGCGCTATCATCGCTCGCATCTACCTCTCATGGCAAAAGCACCGTCGTTATTGCTGTTACTGACCATGGATCTGGAAGCTCATCTTCTGCTCTATCAGTATCTGATGTGTCTCTGTCTGGCCAGGTCTCGCAAACAATCCTGTCTTCCGGTGTTCTAGCTTTCGATGAGAACTCCTCCAGCGGTCTTGGATCAGCTCAATCCTCCACGGTACGCGCATCGACACACGCCACCTCTCGCTCCGTCGCCCTCGACTTTGGCGATGCCACGGCCAGCTCTCATAGCAGCCAGAGTGTTTCGACGACGTCCTCTAGGGTATCTGGCACTGCTTCGAAATCATCCTCCATAGATGGAGGGGGTGTGATTGCCGCAGAAGTTGACAGTACGACAAGGTCAACTAGTTCCAAGAACACTGCTTCGGATTATAATCTCGCTGGGTCTTCAAAGTCCACTGGTACGTCAGAGATTTACGTGCGCCATTCAATACTGATGTCTCTGCCATAGCATCGGCCCAGAAGAGCTCAAGTGATGCTCTATCTGAAAGCAGTTCTGCCGCCACTGCTTCTGCCCAGTCCTCCGCCACCTCTGACATCTTTGTCACCTCCGGAACCACCCTCACTGGCCAAGCTGCCATTGCCGCCCTCGCCTCAGAGACCAGTACCGTTTCTACATCTGGTTCCTCCAAAGCAAGTGCCGACTCGGACAGCGATACAAAGGAAGACAGCAGTTCATTGAGCTCGATCGCCATAGTGGGCATCGTGGGCGGAGTACTGGTGGGACTGATTGTGATCTACCTAATTTGGTATCAATGGGTACGTGATCGTGTTTCTTTGCGAGTGCGACAACTGACGAGGATGATGTAGCGAAAGAAGAAGGCTCGCGCATCTCTTGGCGATCAGATACCAGACGATCCCGAGGAAGACGATTATGACGAGAAACGTCGCCAAACCCGCTCAAGTTTTGGTGCGGACGAACCTTTCACCCCTGCTACGTATCGTCAGCGTGGCCGAGGCGCCTCGCGTCAAGGATCGAGAGATCGGGACTGGGAAACCGGTTATGGCGAAACCATGTACGACCGACAGACGTACTGGGACGAAGATGGGCATGAGCGGATGACAGAGTACGATGGGAGGGGATACTATCCCCAGTCAGAGTACTTGCAAGACTATGACAGGGAAGGAGGCGGAGGGGATGGTAGAACAGAGTATGGGCAGACCCAGTATGGCGATGGGATGACTGCTGTTATTGCTGATGGCATGGTCACCCACGCTCCTACTGCTCCCAGCCAAGCGGGCAGCGCCCAAAACCCATTCGTCCCCGTTCCTCCCGTCCCTAGAGTTCCTTCCGCCTACTCAATCCACAAGAATAGTACCGTCCGGACGAACGCCGATGGCCTCGATGTACCACACTCGGTAGCAGCTCAATCAGCAGGACAAGGACAAGGCCGAGAGACCGCATATGGAGCCAGCATCTACGATGCATATGGAGGCCCCGACTCGAGGCCTCAAACGCAATTTACCGAACCGAGCACGTCAAACTTGCTACCATGGCTCAACAAGGGTAGTCAGACACCCGCCCCGCCTGTGCCCGCTGTAGACGCTCAATATAGTCATCGTGTCCCTTCGTCGCCTCGTCAAGGGAGCCCACCACAAGCGTCTGTGCAGCAACGCCAACAGATGATCAACTTGGAGGACGAGTACGAGCCTCGGGCGCCGCCAAGGGCTGTTATGGCACAGACACCGCTCCCGATGGCGCAGAATGTACCGTTTGATGGAGGGCTAGAGCAGGCGCCCATTCCAACTTTCCGTTGAACTCGGAAGTGGAAAGGATACCATACATGTAATCGACAGGTAAAGGGGATACTCGTATGATGGTTGAGCTATCGTGATGAGAGTGATTATGTACAACCTCTTGTGAAGAACGTCATGAATGTCTGTGAAAACCTCCTTTCGCTACTCGGGATTGGTCGGACAATTGCCTTTGCTTACTGATCCTTTCGCAAAGATTGGAAGACCGCACCACCGTATATCAGGAGCTACCTATGTCTGCTTGATTGAAGAGTAGCTGTGGTCATCGCTTCTTTAGCCATCCATTGGGTCGCATATAAGAAGTACGCATACCGCCACGTACTCGCCGCTTTCCACTATTTCTTCACGATGTCGCCTTGGAACAGCACCGCTACAAGCCCCACATTGGTCCCTTCGCCCACCATGCCCAGCACCCCCGACCTTAGCTTGGCAGCTTTGTATTTGGGCGGTGACGCTGCTGTGCGCCGCTTACCTCGTTCAGAGCCCCTTAATGATGACTCTGACTCGAGCTCGGTCGACGTTCCTCGGCAACAAGCACCCGCACGGCGGTTGGGCCGTTCAGCACCCGCAGAAGATGATGATGATGATGACTCAGATTTCCTCAACAGTATCCGGTACAACAGACCCTCCGGTCGACTGCCCCGTTCAACGCCCCCTGAAGATGCCTCTGATTCAAGCTCTTTTGATGCTCCCCGTCAAGAGGCGGCGGACCTCCCCCGGTCCACGCCCTGTACCTCTCCATCTTCCGCCCAGCATCAGGCCACTGAGTCCTTTCCATCTAGCGCTTCCGCTCAAGGGCGCCCACCCATAATCAGATTCTCTCCACAAGCCGCCGCCGTCTTATTCGATGGCGCACCTGCGGATATTTCTGATCATCAGCGCTGGCAAGGAGACAATCTGCAGAGTGTGGATCAAGCACCGATAGACTCCAATATCTCAAATGGGCGCTCACAGGCTGTAAACGAGTGAGCTCATCTTTCGTGTTGATCCTGGCAAGGTAATAACGGAAGTAGGGCCCTTGCAGACTTGGCATTAACTGGCCTGATCCGGCAAGAGTTGTCAAACATGGCGAGCTCTGCGCAGAGTCAAGAGAACGAACGTCTTCGATCAGTTAATAGCGGTTTGGTGGAAGTGACTCGAATACAGAAAGAGACGATATCTCTGATGTCGGAATTGATCGTTGTACAGTCGGAGATGATGGGCAGAAAGATATCGGAGCCCGAGTACCGAGCTAAGTCACGGGGAATAACCTCCAGACTGAGAACATTGGTCGGTCGGGGTACCGTCGAGTCCGAGTGATTGTGGTGGTGAGCCAAATGGTGGCGAGTGCTGCAAAAGGTTGAACTGGAACTTGGATTCTGGATAGTGAGAAGACTGTATATATTATGCATAGATGTGGCATCATGACTGCTGTTGGGTCAGCAAGGGAACGGCATGCCATAGACGACACATACCTCGAAGCATCACGATACAGTCTATTTCTTCTTCTTCATCTGGGACCTCTTTCCTTGACCTGAACAACTATCAGTGACTGTCATGAGGAAGAAGACATCTGCCTTACCCTTCTTGGGAGGACCCTTGCCGAATCTTCTCCTCCTAGCCACCCTAGCAACACGCCTCTGTTCCACAGGGTTTTCTAACCACCCAGTTCCCTTACTCCTCTCCACCTCCGCGAACCCACTGTCCACCAATTCGCTCGCTCTCAGCATCGATCCAGCATTCTTCCACTGGATTTCGTCCAACAACACCTTTCCCTTCCTGTTTTTGATCGCTGATGGTAGAGGGTTGCCATCCCAGCCGGCAAAAGGGTTTGATGGGATGTTTTTGTTGAGGAGGGAAAGTTTGGGGAACGGGTTTGTCAATTCGGGGTAGTAGGAGGCTACTGATGGGCCACGAAGTCGTTTTCTGAGGTACTTTGTACCCATGCGGGCAGAGGTGGGGTTGGAGATTGTTTGGAAAATGGGAGATCGGAGGGAAGACAAGAGATTGTGTAGATTTGGCGCCATTTTTGAACAGGTTTGCGATGGAAAAGTATAGGGAGAAATGTTGAACGCGACAAATGAAAGAGGAGAGCGTGTGATGAAATGACACGTCAGGCGTCTGATAAGCTGGTCCCCGTGAACCTGAACTGTGAAACGTCTGTCTGTCCTGCACACAATCAACAATTGTGTACTCGAGTGTGGCATGCACTCCTCCAGTGTATTCGGGACACAATCCCAGGGCAGCTCTCGAGAAGGGAGAAGTGAGTGGTCTACGCCAACAGCTCTCCTTAGGTCCCCACCATCTCCTCACCCTATCGCCATGCTCATTGAGGACACAGCCCAACAAAGGTTTCAAGCTGACTGCTCAACTCCCTTCCCAGTCAATGTAAGGATCAGCATCAAGACGCCCATCTCAAAGGTCACATAGTGACACACAATCTCACAGCGGAGCAAAGAGAGCCTTCCATCAAATTCCCTCACGCCACAGGCCCCACAGGCCCCAAGCTCTTCCCAAGCCAATGTCGCGGAGACATGACTTCGGATCTCACTCCCCATTGCCTGAATCATATGTTATAACTGACATGAATCCGGAACCCCTTCACTGACTGCCATCGTCCTAGACTTTTCTTAACAGACGGCTCATCATTGATTTGCTCCTCACTCTCCTTTTACTTCAATAACCATCCAAGTGACAATCATGGCGGACGATGATTATCTTTCTGTATCACCCTACGAATATACCCCCACTGGCTGGGTATTTGTCCTCTTTATTGTCCTCTTCTCGCTCCTGGGATGTACCCACATCGCACAAGCGATTAAGGGCCAGTATTGGGTAGTATTGCCCACACTTGCTGTTGGGATCTTGCGTGAGTCAAATGAACATATAAATTTGCTTGCTCTTGCGGCTGTGGCCGTGTTCCACCCGGCCTTTTACCTTCGCAGGAGACAAAGCTGGCAAAAGGCTTAGATCGCTACCGACGCCGAGGCGCGTGTCCGTTCGCTCTCCTTATGACTTCATCAAGGACTTTATACTACATATATGTACACTGTGGCAATGATGTTATCATGAACACCTGCACGTATCAACTTGTAAGCGGTGCTTCCATATTGTGGCTATGACTGAACGAGAATGCCCGTCCCGGATGTTGAGGAACCAAAGCTTCGGGAAAGGCCGGCGGGTTTGGCCTCCACCGCGAAAGTTCGACACGTCGACGGTGTCCATGACGGGCGGTCGTGACATCGCCACTATCTTTCATCTGCCATCTCGCTCTGTATATACACTAGAATATATTGCCTTCAGCAGTCTTCGGGTCTTTCCAGAACGACAGCTCCTCAGCCAATCGACCTCACCACCCCCTACTCGCTCGATGCGCTGGTCATCGACTCTCGGCGGACTTGGTCTTCTGACCGCCGCCTCTGCCCAACTAGATGGCCTGAAAGGGGGCTCTTCATCCTCCGCATTGGGGCAGAAACCGGAAAGTAGAGTGGCACGCAACGTGCTGGAAGGCAAATCTGAAGGATATTGCTCTGTAAGCACCCACCTTCGTTCTCTCGAGCACCATCGCATCGATCAATTACTCATCTTGATGTAGCCATCAGGACCTATCGAGTCCACTCACTGTCTATACGAACAAGTAGAATCCCTGAATCAACGCCTCTTCCCAGCTCTGCATGAGCTCGTGACAACACCCTTCTTCCGACATTACAAAGTCGACTTGTATCGCGAGTGTCCCTTTTGGTATGAGAATGGCTTCTGCATGAATAGGAACTGTGGAGTAGAGGAACTGAATGAGGTACGCTTGTGGTTCATCTTGGGAAACCGAGCATCTGCTGATTGGCTTGCAGAGCGAGATACCTGAAAAGTGGCGGGCCGCTGCTTTGTCAGAAGTCCGAGTCTCGGGTAGCGAAGATGAAGGTGTCTCGGGTTGTTATTTCAAAGAGCAAGACTTTTGTTATGTAGAGGACGATGCCGATTTCAGTGAGCTCCAGGGATCATCATCCTGGCTTTGCTGACAAACGTAGATGGCCAATATGTCGACCTGACCCTCAACCCAGAGAGGTTTACCGGATACTCTGGTGACTCGGCACACCGTGTATGGCGAGCAATATACGAGGAGAACTGTTTCGGCCTGTCTGAAGCATCTCTCTCTGAGCTGTCCAAACCTTTTTCCGCTGCCCCTCCTGGTTTAGGCTTGGGATCAGCCAAGAGCAAGAGCGAACTTGCGTCTGCTGTCGTGGGGGCTGGTGGGGTCAGCAAGCCGGGAGATGGATCTAGTGCTCCAGGTTGGGGTTTTTCAAAATTGAGTGAGGGCTGGGGAACGGAGATGGTCAAAGCCCCAGCTACAGGGGAAGAGATGTGTGAAGAAAAGAGGGTGTATTATCGTCTCATCTCTGGTCAGTTTGTTGACACCTTGTTGTGTAACATTGCTGATACATTTACAGGTCTCCACGCTTCCATCTCTATACATATCTGCGCAGACTATATGGACCAAACAACAGGTGAATGGGCTCCCAACCTCGATTGCTTCATCTCCCGCCTAGCTACCCACCCCGAACGGCTATCCAATGTCTACTTTAACGCCGTCCTTCTACTGCGGGCAGTGGCCAGGGCGGCGCCGTACCTTGAAAAGTATGATATCAGCACTGCTCAAGTGGGGGTGGTGAGGGAGGGTGATGCGAAGGCCAAGACGTTGCTTGGCGAGGTGTTGGGTCTGGCAGGAAGCGAGGGGGTGGCCAAGGGGTTCGATGAGGGCGACTTCTTCGCTGGACAAGATGCTGATGTGAGTTTTACAACCACCATGTCAGACTCGACAACTGATTGCGGTGCAGATTCTCAAAGAGCAATTCAAGTCTCACTTCAGAAACGTGTCTCGCATTATGGACTGCGTTGGATGTGACAAGTGCAGACTCTGGGGGAAATTGCAAGTGACTGGTATCGGAACAGCGCTCAAGATCCTCTTCGAGCTTGACGACAAGGCTTTCGAGCAGGTTTTCTATTTCATTTTCCGTAAACTCAAGCTGATGTCGAAACAGCCCAAAGATCAATCCCGATTTGCTCCAGCGTTCCGAGGTGGTCGCACTTATCAACACCCTGCACCGTATTTCAGAAAGCTTGGCATCGGTTGAGCAGTTCAGGAAGATCTACGCGGATACTCAGCAGCTCGAGAGTCAGAGTCAGTCCAGCAAGACCAAGACCAAGACATTCAAGGCCAAACCGCCCAAGGCCGCCAAGTCTCCCATTCCTTCAAGGCCGCACATTTTAGACGACTTACTGGGCGTGCTAGGGAGTCTGATAGATAGTCTGAAGGACAGGTGTTGGTGGTGCTTTAATTTCTGCTTGAAAAAGGTGGAAAGTGGGGGTGGGGGATATAGAGAATTCGGTAGCTCAGTGAGACGGTGGGTAGGAGGTGTAGGACTGGGGAGGGAGCTCTAGGTGTCCGAGTAATTGTACCACATGGTTGAATGTCATTGTCATACCTCATTTCTCTTTCAATGGAGGCGCCGTTGAGTACAGGCGACTACAGACCAGACAAGTGGTAGAGCACTCTACTTGAAATTCAGCGCATACTTTCTCCAATGCACATGCCTCATGGCGCCCCCGTGTTACTACGATACTACATACTACCAGGACACTTGCTGTACCACCTGTACAGCCCTGCACACAAGCGGAAACGCCCCACTGAGTCCGGATCGCTGTGCGTCCACTTACATCTGAGCTCATTCGACCTCCAGCTGTGCATAGCTGTAAGTAGGCTATCGTTGGCCAACGAGGTACGTACAGTGCATGTTTTGCAATCCTCTACTATGTGACGGTACTCTTCCCCATCATCAAAGCACCTTCCTTCTTCTTCTCGCGTCAATGCTACATATACAACTTGTCATCTACATCAACAACCCTATGCACAGTCCATGAAGCGTCCATAACGTCCCGAGATTTATGCAACATCACTTTCGCCTCTTGAATCCCCTCTCATCTTGTCTCAAAGATTGTCCCTGCCCCGCACTTCCTCCTCTAACATGGCCTGTAGTCGGCCCATCTCCTCCAGCTTGCCCCGATGCTGGGGCATTCCCCGGCGAGAATCCACTCCCGTTCCCAGGTCCATTACTGAACGGCCGGCGGACTCCAGCGGCGGGTTGGAATCCCGGCTTTCCGCCTCTCCCTATACCTTGCCCTTGCCCCTGCCCTGGCTGCTTGGGAACGAAAGGTCGGGGGCCCCTACCCTGCTGAGCTGCTGAAGGACCTGTGGGTGTCGGTCTTCCGACAAATGAGGGTAGGCCTCTGGAAGCTGTTGGAGTACCTGATGGAGCAATGGCATTAGGGTGTGCAGTAGCGTTGGGCGCGATATTGAAGGGAAGGGGACCGAAGTGGTTTTGATATGTTTCGAGCTCGGCACGTGTGGCTTGTACAACGGAAAGATGGTGTGAGAGGTCGGAACTGCGTTCAATTAGCTCTGGTACTGCATCTGAAAGATCGAGACACATACTCTAGACTCTCAATGACTGCCTTGGATTCTGAGATAGCAATGTCAGTATGTGACTAGGCATCCCATTGTTCGGACTCACCTTCCAAGGATGTTTGCCAATCAGAACCACTTCCCCTCCCTGCTTCCAGCACCATCTCACCCAGCTCCTCATTCTCTTGTACGAGCGTTTTCACAGTCTCCAGTACGCGCTCCAGGTCCAAGCCTGCCGCGCTCTCTCGGCTAGGTGCCAAAGCCGAATGTGGCGACAAGTTCTCCGACGTACCGGCCTCTGGTAAAGCGTCCATCTCTTCGTCTTCTTGCAGTATCCCAGCTGCCACAGGAGGGGCCAGGGCGTTCGGCAGAGTAGCCGTCTGAGCGGTTATAGGGGTCGCAACCTGACTTATGGGCCCTCTTCTCGGTATGGCCTGTCCGAGGAACGTTTGCCGTAACGCCTGGTTATCTCGAGTAAGCTCAGCGATGTGAGTTCTCAGGGTATTCATAAGCGGGAGGAGAGGTGGCGGTATGTCCACTGGCTGATCTGTCTCGGGGGCGGAAGATGCTGAAGGATGTTGAATGGGGACCGTGGGATTCGCGTGAGTTGGTAAGCGAGACTTGAGAGCTTGTAATTCGGTCTGGGTATGGCTGGTCAGCGTAGGTGTTCTAGCGCAGGGTGATAGATCTCACAGCCAAGGAGTCGCGCTCCTTCTCCAGCTCCAGCACCCTTCGCCCGAGTCTTATTTCGTTTGAAGAGGGTGCCGCTTGGGTCACGGCTGATGGTTTCGGAGTGTCTCGTTTCAAGACAGACTTGAGAAGCGTTGTTAGCTACTATAGCCACGGTATGTGCTCCGCGTATGGCAGGATGCAAGCTGCTAGCTTACCTGGTCTACCTGCTCCTCGTCTGGGATGTGGTGAGTAGGGTGCGACACAGAGATTGAACGAGACGTACACGTTTCATCGCGCAAGAGATCCTCAAAGTCGTCGTCCATTCTAGGGGCCGGCTGAGAATTCTGCGAGTTGTGCGGGGTGCAGTCTGAGTATTATTGCAACTTGAGAAATCAGTTTGACACTCGACAGCCGCAACTCGACTTCGGTGCCCCGCATTCCACGCTTCTCTTACACCGCGACTTCTTTAGTTTTACAACTTCTTTACCCCTGGTCATCACGATTGCCACCGTCGCTATCCACCTTGAGGGCAGTGTATCGAATCAGGGCAGTACAATATGCGTCTGTTCGCTATCAGAATACCAGACACCCCTCTCGACGCTGCGGTACGTTCTGTGTGCATGAATCACCCCCAGCTTCACGGACCTGGCTCACCTCAAGCAGGCCTTTGACAAGCTTGCAACTCTCGTTGAACCGCCAGCAAGGGAGCGGATCAAGCGGTTCAGACTACCTGAAGACGCGCTTCGTAGGTATAGCTTGTGCGTATCGATTACGGACTGATACATGAAAAGGGTCTCTCGTCGCCCGCCTCACTGTCACTTGGTACCTTCATACCCAAGGGCTTCTCGCGCCCAGGCAGCTCCCTGTATTTGGTAGGAAAGGCAAAGGAAAACCCACCCTGGTACAAGTCATCCTTGCCCACGATATCATCTGCTTACCGAGCGTATAGTCAGTTCCTGCGCTGCAGCCTCGTCTCGAGTTCAACAACACTCACGAGGGGTCGTACATCCTCTTTGCCACTCTCGTCTCTTCTTCACCTCTTGCCTGCGTCGGCATAGACATTATGCTTCACCCGGAAGACCCTTTCCCAACTCAAGAAGGGATAAGCGAGCAGCTCACGCTTCTGGAACGACAATCTCTTGCCATCCCGCTCACCCCTAGAGAACGGTCGCAAAGATTGACAAAACTCTGGTCGGTCAAAGAGTCATATACGAAAGCCATAGGGGAAGGCATCACGTTCGGCCTCGAACGGATCGAGGTCGAGCTTGAAGGGCCTGGGGAAGGCAAAGTGAAGACGGTCAGAGTTGACGGAAAGGGTGTAGGTGAGAGGGGTTGGGAGTGGCGGCAGAATGATCTGGGAGAGGATTACGGGTATGCCGTCTGGTGGCGTGGGGACGACGCGGAAGATACAGGGGAGCCCCAAATGGAGCATGTATCCTGGGAGGAGTTTAGCGGGCCGTTGTCAGACCTGGCTGACAAGCTAGCACAGTAGATACATTTATTACGACACTCTCATGATAATTCAATGATACTCTTATGAGATAACAATAAGCGCTAGACCCTCTAATGCATACTAGCAGTAGCCTCCAACAACCTCACAACATCCTCCAGAGTAGCCTGTTCCTTGCCGTTCTCGCCAATCTTGCTGATATGCTCATGGCTGCTGGCCCCTTGGAGGACCTTGTCTCTTTCCTCAGACTCATAGAAGAAAGGCTCCAGGAAGTGTTGAACGCTATTTGCCGTCAGCCTACTACTCTGACAGAGCTGGGCATCACTTACAAGTCGCCATCCACAAACCCTACAGTCTCTTTCCCTACAACTTCCGTCCCAGCTCTTCTCCAATTCCTCCACCCGACCTCACCAGGACCTTTCCATTCCCTCTCCATGTTTCTCTGCAAATCATCCAAAGTTCTTGCTGCAGAATCGGTGAGCTGCCCAATCACCCCCAGGCGCCCGTCACGGGTAGTGAAAAGCACGTCTGGGGTGATGACTTCGGGAGCAGAGGAGGACGGGACAAGGGAGCCGCTTTGGAATTTGGAGACTTCCTCGTGCAGGCCAAAGGTGGCAGCTTTCTCGAGGGCAGAAGAGAGACGATATGTCATAATATTTGCGTGAGACTGACAAACTTCTCAGCTCCGCCCAGTATCTTTGAGAGAACACTTACATCGGCAATCACAATACCTTCCCCTCCATCTTGTACCCTGCCCAGAGCAACGACCCCATGTGTCGCCATGTCTCGCTCATCATCATATATCTTCCCACTCCCTTCATCAACCTGCAGCACGATCACGCTCCGCATACCATCACCGACGATCAAGTCACCATCTTCTCTTGACCCAAAGGGCGGGATGACAGCAAGGTGAGATATGACGAAAGCGGATGCCCAGGAGGCTACTCGGGTGAGAGAGCGGTTGATGTTCGGGAAGTTTGGAAGCTTTGGATGTCCTGGGTTGACTTCCGTGCTGACACTGAAGAGCACGAGCTTCATTCACGTCAGCCTTGTGCACCCCTCCTATATTTGACACTCACTTCGCTTCCGGCAGCAACAGCCAAGAACCCATGTATCGTTTCCAACGCATACACAGCTCCCACGGTAGATACCTCCATCTCCAAGCCCAGTCGCCATTGTCCACTTTCCTGCTCGGCTTTGAACAACAAAACACGACCCTCTTTGACGACCGCCAAATTGCCCTCATCCCAAGAGTCTCCTTCCTCTTCTGGTAGCAGGGCTGTGCCGACCGCGAGGTACTGTGTGCCGTAGAGAAGGACAGAGCGGATGGAAGTGACCAGCTCGCGTTCTTTGAGAGTATAACTCGCCATGAATCCCAGAGTCGACTCGTCTCGGACCTCGACCCAGTTCGTCTCTTCAAGATCTCCGTCCTCCAGGACCAATCTTTTCGTAGCCCCACAAGCGACAGCTCCCAAGTGTTCGACATGAGCGAGTTTGGAGGTCGACGTAGAGCCCATATCGCAAGTTTGCACATGCAACTTCTTCAGAGACGTCACTCTCACTAATGAAAGTCCCGAAGAGGCAGAGTAGACGGCAAACACGGGACCAGAGGAAGTCTGAAGGTCGGTGACGGCCAGAATGTCCTTTTTATTAACGGACGAGAATTCTGTTTTCGAATTGGATTCGAAGATGACCGACATGCGCTCCGTGATACCTATGCTAATGATGCTGGGTTCACATTTTGGGGATGTGGTTGGGAAGAGGACAAGCGGCTGAGAACCAAGTGAATTGGACTTTCTGGACTTCAGCACCAATGCCCCATTATCGATCGAAATGTCGTATGTCACTAGGGTTCCACTGCTCAAACCTGCAAGCAGTTGCGCAGAGTGAGATCCCGCGACAGGAGATTTCAGTTGGAGGGAGGTGGCATACGCTTCCTGTGTCAAGGCGACGGGTTCGCTAGAGTCAGCCAGCTGGGAGAGGGTGTAGAGGTATATTTGGGTGGTCCAGGTGGCGATGGCAATGACAGGGCCCGGTAAAGGACCTTGAAAGATGGAAACGGCCGAGACTTCATTCGAAAGGACTTTGGTCCTACTCAGGTAATCAGCCTTGTACGAGCTACAGTTCTGTCGACTCACGCTTGCAGCTCAAAGCCATCGGTTGTAGTCTTGAAGACTGACACCCCGCCCCCCCGTTTGGCGATCACGACCCACTTCCCCACCACCTGCGCACATACGATCTGCTCATCGATCTCCATCTGCCCGCCGAGTACTCCAGCAACCACATCGGCCCACACGTACAGCCCCTTGGGGATCACCTGCACCAAACGCCCGTCCTCGGAAGCGATACCAGCAGCAAGTGTAGGGCTATTGGAGAAAACTTGCGAGGTGTTCTTGATGGAGATAGTAGGCTCTATCTGGAGCAGGATTGTTGATGTCGGAGTGGAAAGGAGCAGTTGAGAGATGCCAGAATTGGTTATGGGCCACATTCGCTCAACAGAATCAAGGCCGAGGATATTGGTAAGCTCTTCCAGACCTACTCCGCTGCGTATGATTCGGAGCGAGTTGCTCTCTGACGCCCCAGAGGCAAGCAGCAAGTGTGACTGTAAAATCGTTAGTAATCAAGACGGGCAATAGAACGATACTTACTAGACCTCCAGACGCGTCTTTGACTGCGCACATATCCTTGACAGGTGCCACGTTCATCCACCTCTCCAGGACCTGTGCAGACCCCTCTGCGGCCACCTTCTCTCGGCCTTTGGTGTAGATGACGCTCCAAGCCTCACTTTCGTCACCTTTGGCAACCTGCTTGCTCTTGCCAGATTTTGCTGTCTGACTGTCGCAGCTGTCGCCTAATGAGGGAAGACGGAGAAGGACGGAATCCGCTACGGCAGAAGAGACGAAGAGGTGCGATGCGCCAAGGTACGTCAGTGAAGAGGGTGGGGAGGTCTATGACTGGTAAGCAAAGTTGATCTATCAACAAAATTACTCACCGAGTCCACGGCTGTCTGCAAGACCTGTACGGTTCCCAAACGACCTCCGCCATCGCCCTTCCGGAATTCCCATCCCACAGCGGTCAATGCCCCATACTCATCTCCTATAATCGCACTAGCACCAGTACAATGATCTTCCAAAATCTCAGTAGCAAGGACAGTGCCAAATCCTTGCCTGATCCTCCATCTGGGAATCAACTCCAGACCCCTGCCGTCTGTAGGAGCGGTAGCAGCTTTGCTCCCTCCCATGCTGGCTTTGCGGCGTTTGACATTACCACTGGTCAACTCCTCTTGAGGACTTCGTCGAGCATTTGCACGAGGTGAAGTCCCTGGCCCCGATGTTGCCTTCCCGGCATCATTGGGAGACTCGAGTTCCCGAGGGCTAAGGGTATAGAGAACGGTGTGTTCGTCGCCAGTGACGAGTAGACTACGCACACCATCGGGCGTCACACTTGGGACAGGCACAACACGCCTGGCAGCAGGACACGAGAATGGTATGTCGTTGAAATCTGTGTCCTCGGAGACTGAAAGCTTGGAAGCCGGTTGGACAACATCGATGGGTAACGAAAGGTCGGCGAGAGAGTGTGAGGCGGTCATGACAGATCGCGCTTGGAGGCGCAATTCGTTGGTGGCGGTAAGCCAGAGAAACGTGAGGGTCGGGCCATAGGTGGATATCGGCAAGAAGCTGATGTGGAGTAGATTATGCTCCCGGATGCTACATCGAACGTCAGTGACAGGTGGTTCGTACAAGACCATGACCTACTTGATGTTGTAGTTGTCTCTAAACTTGAGTATCGCGTCCTCATCAGAGAGGACCTTGCTCAGTCGCTTCTTCTTTCCTGAAGACTTTCTATCGACGTCGATCTCCAAGCATGAGATGACACCGATCCACAAGCTGACTAGAGCAATTCGCTCCTGCGCAACGATGGCGGAGAAGAACTCGGCCGCGCGCAATGTGGGTGTTGGAGGGGACAAAGGTTGAGAGGAAGTGACCACCAGTACAGAGGTAGCCTTATCGAATGCTACCATGAGGGCACGAGCATTGGGCGGCGACAGCAAGACCACGATATGTGGCCGCGAGCCCTGCGATCAAGATTAGAGACCACACATGGGGTCGCAAGGACTGCTCACTTCGACCGACACTTGATCTATGCTGACTATCGTGCCCCATACTTTGAGTTCGGCGACCCATACTAGCCCAGTCTCTGTGACATCCCAGACCTCGACTCTGTCTGGTTTGGCCACGACGAGGGATGTGTGATTGTCCGTGAGGGATGTGGCTCTGAGACTGGCGAGGACGGGGGTGGGGGCCAGAGCCTGGGAGGGTGAGCGGTGTCCAGGAGCTGTTTGTACGCACCGATGCGATGTACAGCATGTTGCTCAGTATACGCTGCAGGAAGATACTCATGCTCGTTATCATCGATGGCCATGTGGAGGCGTGTCCGGACACCGCAGCCGGACACCAGCGCGCTTAAGTTCCAGTCGGACACGCAGACTGTTTTTGTCTAATTTTGACATCCACACTTCGCCCAGAGCCATTATTGTATTATTACCACACACCATGGACCCGGAACAGGATCCATACAAGCCAAAGTTCAAGCGTACGAGGACAGGTATATATGCCTTTCGTCTATAATGGCATCCGCTTACCGATAGTGTGTAGGTTGCTTGAGATGTCGAAGAGGCAAGCACAAGTAGGTTCAGTCATCCTCACAGGTGGTACTGTAGCTCACGCTGTCACTCAGGTGTGATGAAGAGAAACCTGTCTGCAAGAGATGTCGCAATGCCAATGGAGAAGTAAGCAACAAGACGGGCGTTTGCCGCTGTTACAGCACTGACGGTTGATCAAAGTGTGTCTGGCCAGATAGTGCCAAGTCGACACCCAGCACTTCCTCCGCCGTCACCTCCTCCAAACGCTCGCACAATTGTATCGAAACCCAAAGCCCCACAATACAAGAGTTGAACGAAAATAGTCAAGTTTGCGTTTGCCGAAAATCCAGTCGTGCGCAAGGCAACGACCGATTGGCAGCCGCTTCTGGAAATGAGCTTGATGCACTCTTCAGCAGTCTCACTCCAACCGACTATCTTACTTTGACATTCCCCGACTCTCAAGAAAGAGAACTGGTAGGTGCGACACAATCAGACTTGGCACTCTTCTGACACCAATTGCAGATGAGTCATCTCCTATGCTTCGGGACAGTCATCATGTACGCCATACCGATCATAGACCGCCCGGTCCTATTTCTCGACATTGCGCAGTGTTTATCCAATCCTCGAGGCTCTTCCATCGTGTCCGACGCTGTACACCTCTCCCTCATCTCCATCGCCGCCGTCCACCAATCTTCCCTCTTTATGCAGCAAGAGAAGAAATACTTGGCCGAAGCACCTGTCAACCATTTCGGCTCTTCGCCGGCCTTGGCGCACGCATCTTTTCCGGGAGACAATCAGCGGCGCATGCGGCTGCTTGGAGACATGTTTGCCCGAACATCCCTAGACCTCTGCCGGACAGGTATCGTCTTTCAATTAGAAGGCCAACAACACTCGACACCGGTGTCTCTTCTCGCCACAGCAGAGTCGTTATTATCCAGCGCCATGGCCGTCATGATCTCTCAATCACTTGCGGGAGGAAAGCTCTGGCAAGGGGCTTTTGATACGGCGCTGGAAATAGTTACCCTGTGCGGGGGCCCTGCCAAGATGCTCGATAATCTCAAAGGAGATCCCGCCAGACTGGCTAGGATGAGAACATTGTTGGAGAACCTGGTGGCGGTTGATGTGTGCCGGTGTCTCGCGTCCGGCAGTGCGCCGAGTTTGATGAATGAGCCTTTTGCCCCTTGGTGGTGAGTTTTGGCTGATGACCAAAAACACTCTGGCTCACATAATGCAGGTTCGAGCATGCGCCTAATCCACGAATATCGGGTCTTACCGACACTGTCAATCATTGCTATGGGATGGATCGAGGGTTCCTCGAGCTTGTGGGTACCTGTAGACTGGAATAAGCATCGTGCGCTAATGTTTCGCAGGCCAATCGTGTCAACATCCTGGTGCACGACGGCTTGTCTCTTGAGACGCTCCTTGATGAGTCGCAGTTTGCCATCCACCGACAAAAAGTCAACGACCTCCTGCTTGAAGTGGATATATGGGAGCTGGACGCCAATGGCGCGCTCCCACACAAACGGGTGCAGTATGGAAATGCGATCATGATCAACGCTCTGAAAGTGAGTCTTGTGTCTTATTGCCCAATGCTTTGGGCTAATGGAACATAGGTCGTGATATACGTTGACCTCGTACACTACCCGCACGAGCATCCGTTAGTGCAAGCCGCAGCTACTGCAGCGTTGGAGGTCCTCGAAGACTCTCGCACCTTGGGCTTTGACATCGGGCAGCTTCTTCCTACAGTCATCACCAGTATATCCATCTTTGCTGATCTCGTCTCGTAAGCTAACACCGAGACAGGTTCCATGATGATGACTGAAGATAAAAGAGACAGGGCGCGGGAGGTCATTACCAAGTTGAGGTCGACTGTTGCTTTCTCGTACGACATAGAAGAGACGCTGGTCATGCTTGAAAAGGTGGGTCACTGTGTGATTACAGCGTGTACATACACTGACGAGCTATAGCTGTACGACTTGCGCGATAGCGGTAATATTGACCCATCGTGGCGCTTAGCCACAGATACCGGGCTGCTATTCTTCTGATGCGTCCATCAATCGACCGACTTGTTGCCACACTGTATATTCATCTTGTAATATTTTGTATCATATTATCTCTCACAGGGATACCGAAACGTATACAATATGCATGACAAACGATCTAAAGCCCAAGAAAACCCAGTCTTCTATACTTTAGGACACTCTACAAAAAACCATGTCTACATATTATACCTGCACCTGACTCTCTCCCTGACATGCCTCCTGATCGCCCCCATCCTCCTCTTCCCGGTCTTTGACCCTGAAACTTTGAACGGTCGCCACGATAGCGATGCCACCAAAGAGAATCCAGACGATGGGGATATGCTTTTCGGCGCTTATGCCGTACAAGATTCTACAAGTACATCAGTTTGGAGCGGGTCAAGAGAGATCAGAAAAGACTTGCCCGAATGTGGCAGGCCCCATCGTCCTCGCCAGTGCGCTCACAATGAGCGAGATGCCATTGAGAGCGCCGAGTGACGAAGGCGAAGGAGCAGCGGCGTTGAGGGCCATCATATTCAACCTGGACCCATTCTTCAGCGGAGTCTTTCCTTGTCGTAAAGGCAAACTCACGGGAAACACAAATCACCAAACACATACAAGATCACCAGAGGCCCCATCAAAAACCACAAACCCTTCAAGGTTCCGTTTTCCACCCATGCCCCACTTTCATTCCCGGCTGCAAGCACATTCATAAGTGGTGGTATCGCAAAGATGCCTACCCAGCAGGCTGCAAACAGCCGATAGAGCGGCCGCATACCGAATCTGCGTTGAGCAAGGGGGAAGAGGAGCAAGCTGAATGCGATGGAGATGAAGCCTTTGATGGAAAGACAGAGGGCAATGGACGATGGGGAGAGGGCGATGCCGCCGAGGGGGATAGGCGAGTAGGTGAATAGGACGAAGCCGGCATCGAAGGACATTGCTGTCAAAGTGATGACTGTGATGAAAGTTAGTGAAGGTTTGGGGAGTGGAGAGGGACGTACGGAAGACGGAGACGAGCACTTGGCGGACCTTGGGGAGGGCAAGAAGCTGGAGGAAGCTGTGCACCGGGGCTGGCGCGTTGAGAGAGTCGGGAGGTACCTCTGGCAAAAGGTGACTCGTCTCATCTGGCGTAGAGTGCTTGTCGGCCAAGTCCTTGTGGACATGATGCGTCTAGAACACTGTCAGACAGGCGTGCCATGTGAGATCCCAGAGACGTACCTCTTCCAGACAGAACAAGACCAAGAAGAATGATAGAAAGGACAATGCCGATATGAAAGCGCAAGGCAAAAAGTAAGGATACTTTTCCAAAAACTTGATCTGTCCTATCCAAGAGCTTGGATACTGAGAAGCAGGGTTTTGCAGCAGAGCGCCGAGGGCAGGTCCTATCACGCAAGACAAGTCCCAGCCGATCGTCCAGAGCGGGTAAACCCAGCCTTCGTCTTTCTTGGGTGTTATATCTCCCAACACTGCTCGCATGACCGAGGCCTATAACCGTCAGCTGTATCCCCTGAAAGGAAGAGTACACACATTACCACACAAAGCGCCGCCTAAGTTTGAGCGGTTAGTAAAAGGTTCACGACCTACTAGGTATCACTTACACAAAGCCCGGGCACCCAAAGCCCACCAAAAGCTCTTGCTTAACCCAAGCATACACAGACTGAATCCCAAGCCACAAAGCCCGGCCAAGATGACCGGCTTGCGTCCTATCCTGTCGCTCAGTCTGCCCCATTGGTACATGAAGAGCACCGAAGAGAAGGCGAAGATGCTCTCAATGATACCAGAATATTTGCCGACGCTTGACTTGGGGACATTTGGGAGAATGTCCTCGACCATGCGATTGACAAAGGGGAACAGGATCTGATACGGGAATTAGCCGAGCGCCTGGTATGGTGCTTCAGGACTCACAGTGTAGCTCAGAGGCTCGACTATGCGGGCTGCCAGCAAGACAGAAAGCTGTCTGACTTTGACGCCCATGTTGGTTTTGGTGCAGACCGGGAGAAGATCAGATGTAGAAGTCTTTTCTGGTCTGATCGCATTTTTTGGATGGTAAAACGGACCAGGATCTCGGAAGCGCGTGGGTCAAGCGTCGTTAATTTAAAGCGCCTGTAAGCACCCGGCTCTCTGGCCACGGAAGAGAGGTCGACGGGGGGCATGGGCGGGTCATCTATTCATCACAGTCGTGGGTTCTATCGATGCACAATCAAGCAGACATCTGCGCCGCAATGGCATCCCCTTCTTCCACTCCCTTGCGTCTACGGATAACCCCCATCAGCGCCTCGACTGCCGCTATCGCTCCTTCATCATATCTCTTCAAAAACTCCTCGTCCCCCTCTATCCTCTTCTTACCCATAATGAGATTGCCGGGGATGGCCACCTCTACCCCTTCCTCCACCACCTTCATGTCGAAGGACCCTCCACACATCACCTTCAAATCTCTCCTCAACCTGCCTCCGCCGCCCCCGCCGAGCGACATGATGGCGCAAGGCAGATTCAACCATTCGTGGTAGAGGTGGTCTAGGGCATTCTTCAGAGGGGCGGGGTAGGAGCTGTTGTACTGCGGGGAGAGGATGATGAGACCGTCCCAGGCTAGCACGGTCGCACTCCATTGGCGCACACGCTCATTGTCGTAGGCACCCGGCAGGCTCTCCCTCGAGTGTCTCGCGGGAGGCTCGTCAGAGAGGACGTAGGGCAGGGGGTGGCCTTGGGACTTTTCGAGGTGGATGACCTCAGGGTGGAGGAAGGGAAAGTGGGCGGCAATGAGGTTTGTGAGGTAGATTGAGAAGCCCTGGGTGTTGGAGAGGTGGCGGTTTGAGCCGAGGAGGACACCGATCCTGTAGGGAGCAGGGGAAGTGGGCGGGCGGTAGACCATGGTGCGAGGCTTGCAAGGGAGAGAAAATGAGACAGAGAGTCCAGAATGCGCTTTTACGCGCCAGGCACTCTTTTGCGAATCAGATAAGATGGCGAACGAATTTCCCAGGAGGCCATGCGACTCGCCGATGGATTGTCTTGGTACATGCTTCTGATGTCGTCCACATGGTCGACCCACGCCCATTCTTCTTTCCTCGTAGGTGACGTAGCGAAAGAGCAATGCAGGGCCTTGACCAGAACAGAACACAATGCGCGTCGGGTTGTAGTCTTGTGCGTGTGACTATTGGTGGCAAACGACGACACAATTGTACTCAACAAATGCCATCGAGCCTCCCAAACGATCCACAGGCCACAGGATAATGTTTCTATGTTTACATTAATATCTCCGGCTATGCTCAATGAGGCCCTGCATAAAAAGCTGACCCCTCTTTTGTCGGTCCATCTCTCTATAGCACTGGCAAAGAGCAAAGACATAATCCAATCCCACCTCGCTCCAACCTTTGTGGATCCAATTGGCTGGATTCCATGCTTCACAGCCCTCTGTGATCTTCGGCAGGTGTAGATGCCAGTGTGGCGCTACAGTTTTATATTTTTGACACTGTTCCTCGTCCACTGGGACTGGATCCCACAGCTCGATCACCATGCGTGCCACGTTCGGCATATCACCTTTGGCGGCCAGGAAGAAAACTTCCAGCGGCTTGAAGTGGTCGTCGCCCCAGCGCTCAAAAGCGAGCCTGCTCAGCCATCCCTCCAGAGTTCTTAGTACCAAAGGGCAATCCCATTTGTTAGCAAGCTCAATGGAAGCATGGAAGGTCTTGACTGGCTTCTGACCGAGATTCGCTTTGTCTCGAGGGAAAACGTCATTTGTGAGGGCGAATAAGAAGAAGGAAAGCGAATCGCTCGTTTCGCAGAAGGCATCCGTGAAAAAGATGGGCTGGCAGGCGAGGTGGTTGGGGTCGTTGTTGTCTGAGGGAAGGCTGAACATGTCATGAAAGAGTTGACTGATAAAAATGTCAGCCTCAACTCAGGACAAGTCGATATACGCTATACCAATGGCGCCCCATAAAGCTCTTGGGAACGTAGAAGGTCACACCGTCGCTACTGACAACCGTCATGTTCCCAGGATCTTGGTGATTGCTCCAGGAGGAATGGGACTCTGGCAAGACAAGCGGTTTGGAGCCACACGAGAAATTGTCGTCTTCGTGCATGCTGACAGGATGACAGGAGCGCAAAATGAGCAAAGACAGATGCAGGAAAAGGATACAGAGCTCTGGCCTCCTCACTTTATAATGGGCTTGATCCGCATCGGCGGCCGGGCTTATCTCCGAGGGTGTCACAGAAGCAATGACGTCAAAGTGTCGTCCACCATCGATCCCGTCGAGTCTGAGGAAGACTTACTGGAAGGTGCAGGGAATGTGACGAAATCACGAGAGGGAGTAGGGGGGATGGGGAGATGGAATTGATCGCACTTGTCACTTTGCATCTAATCATCCAGCCGGGACATCTCATTCAACCCTCGCATGTCCATCAACATCCTCCGATCTCTGCGACTGACATCGAGTATAACCCCCCATCGCCCCTCTCTTTCTCACTTTTACCTTTCCACAGCAACATTTACTACCATGTCCCGACGAAGTGCTAGAACAGCTCTACAACCCACAGCCGCCAACCTCGCGCCCCAGTCCACCTCCCTTCCTCCCGCTGAACCAGTCAAGGCCGAGTATCCGCCCAAGGCAGCGATCATGGCGGCGCTCATGACGCCCGAGGATGACGAGGAGCTTACCCCTCCACCTTCCTCGCCTGTGCCTCAGAGAGAGGAAGCGGTGGATGAGGCGGCCGAGAAGGTGGTAAACAAGCGCAAGAGGGCGGTTAAAGCCAAGGAGCCACGAGAGGAGGAGCAATATGAAGAAGAGAGCGAGCTGGAAGAAAAGCCAAAACCCAAAAAGCGTGCTATAAAGAAGAAGGCTGTCAAGACAGAAGACGAAGCGGAGGGTGGTAAACCAGAAGGAGACAAGCCGAAGAAGAAGACACCCAAGAAGAGCAGGATCGCCAAGGACGAGCCCGAATATGATGAGGATGGCAATGAGATTGTCAAGAAGAAGCGGAAGCCGAGGGTATACCCCAAGAAGGTATATGAAATTCCAGACGTGGAGCGAAAGACGACACATTTCAAAGGTGCGTCATCCCTGATTTGTAGACCCCTCTTTGACTCTTCAATAGGGAGGCTGGGATACGCTTGCCTCAACACCGTGTTGCGGGGGACAAAGCCTGACAGCATCTTTTGCTCAAGGACCTGTCGAATTGCAAGCATCGAGGAAGAAGGCATGGAACTGCCCAAAGGTCTCGCGATGATGAATGTCCGCGACCTCAAGACCTTGATCCAGGCGCGTTCTCTCGGTCTCTTCCTGGTATGTTTCTAATTAGAGCTGCAGTGGAACGAGGACAACAAGATCCGCTTCATGCGCATGTCTTCTGAAATGTTTCCTTTCGCCTCTCACGCCAAATACGGTTATGACCTGGCGTTCGCGGGCGAGGCGTTGAAAGAGGCAGGGGACTTGGCCAAGCAGTATGGACATCGATTGACCATGCATCCTGGACAGGTAAGCGCTTCCGCTCTATACTAGGGATGTTACTGATAATCCACAGTTCACACAATTGGGATCACCAAAGAAGGCAGTCATTGATTCTTCGATCCGCGAATTGGAATATCAGTGTGAGATTATGGATAGAATGGGGCTCGACCAAGACGGTGTTATGATGTGAGTTGTCCCAGCCATCGATAGAATCGGTTGACGTGAACCAGTATACATATGGGAGGTGTCTATGGCGACAAGGAAAGCACGTTGGCCAGGTTCAAAGAAAACTTTACCACGAGGTTGCCTGAAAATATCCGCAACCGATTGGTGCTGGAGAATGACGAGGTACGTCGTACCAAACACTGTTCAAGGTCTGAGCTGATCTCTCGAAAGATCTGCTACAATGTCGATGACATCTTCCCTCTCTGCGAGGAGCTCTCCATTCCCATCATCTTTGACTACCACCACGACAGCATTCACCCTTCCTCCTCTCCTCCTTCGGTTCTCATCCCAAAGATCGCCGAGCTCTGGAAAAAGAGAGGCATCAAGATGAAGCAGCATTTGAGCGAGCAAAGGCCTGGAGCCGTGAGCGTGATGGAGAGGAGGGCACACTCCGACAGGTGTCAGAATCTACCGGAAGAGCTGCCCGAGGACGTGGATTTGATGATTGAGGCAAAGGATAAGGAGCAGGCTGTGTTTGAGTTGTATCGAATCTAGTGAGTGGTCACCCGGATTCGCACTTCAGCATATTGACCCGTTCCACAGTGGGCTTGAAGATGTATTTCACGACAATTTGCGTCCCCCTGACCCCAGTCCCAGCATGCACACCAAGGGCAGGAAGAGCAATCTCAAAAAGTAAGCCCCTGCCGTCGTTCCTTGTATTGAATCTAACACTTGCGTAGAAAGGTCAAAGAGACGGGCGAAGTCGACTCGCAAGGGGAGCCCATCCAGCTCACTGAGATCGAAAAAGAAGGCGACGGAGGTGAAGGAGATGATGCTACTTTACCCGCAGCCGAGGATCCTGGCATGGAGGTTGACGGACTAGAGAAGGAGGGTGAGGGTGACGTCAGGCCAAAGAAGAAAAGGGCGCCCAAGGCGAAGAAGGAGGAGGCAGTGGAGGAGAAAGGAGAAAAGCCGAAAGCGAATAAGAAAGGCACGAAAGTGGGGGCGGACAAGACTGGCGATGAGGGAGAGAAGCCGCCTCACAAGAAGAGAGGTAGACCCAAGAAGAACGAGGCGCCAGTCAAAGCTGAATAGTGATTGATCCGCCAGATTATCGTTACAGTAACATATGCAGAAAGAAGCTATGCAGTGCCAATCGTTCCGAGCTACGCATCTCGCGGAATTGAAATGTCAGACAAACAAGGATTGCGCCGATGGCCGCCAGGCACATGAGTTGCACGCAATCAACAAAGACAAGGAGCGGTGAGATGCTGGTGAATACTCGTTCTCGCATAAACAGAGCCGCCGCCCACATCCCAGCAGCATGCCCGCCGCCCCCCACAGCCTGCCCCTCCCAGTCCGGGCAGTCCACCCCCCGTAAGCACACCCCTGCACCCTCCGCTAGCTGCTCACTTATCACTTTCCCAGACCCACTGCCCTCCCTCCACAGCGCTCCGTTCCCAGCGACGACGCATACCGGCCGCCCCCCTATATCCCAAGGGTCCGTGCTACTGGCTCCCGCTCAAGCCGCGCATCGCCTGCTGGTGCTGGCCTTGGAGAGGATATGCCCATTGCCATCGACCGCGGCGTTGAAGGTATTCCTCCCGGGCCCCGGCCTGTTCATCGTCCAAACGCCCCCCTTGCATACATTATGGGCCAAGCCATTCTCGCCTCGACCCTCAAAGGGCTCTCTCTCGAGCACATCTACCGATGGATCGAGACCGTTTTTCCTTGGTTCGCCCACGAAGATAATTGTGGCTGGAGGAACTCGGTCAGGCACACATTGTCGATACACAAGTTGTTTGAAAAGGTCGAGAGGACCGAACTCCACCCGCCGGGGAAGGGCGGCATATGGCAAATCGCAGATGGAGAGGAGTGCCATTGGGGAGAGGGGACGTCGTTCACAAAGGCGTTTCCCGTGGGCCATTTCCATCATGGGAAATGCAAACAGGTGTCGTGGGAAGAGGGCAAAAGTGGCAGAGGCAAGGGCAAGAAGAAGCGCCTGTCCGACAGCAGCGAGGATGGAAAGGTATGTCTATCTGTTTGTGCATGTGGTCCAGCGCTGATCATATGCAGTCGGCCAAGAGCGAATCCACGACTCCCCTCGTGCCCCGCAGTCCCGCGAAAATCGAGCGACCAGTCGCGCCCCGTCGAATGAGCTCTGGCACCACAGCCGTCTCTTCCAGCCTTCCCGTCACTCCTCATCTGGAGACCACTCCTACACTCCCCTCCATCACGGAGTTCACCAACTTTTCGTATTCTCCTCCGGCTTACACCTTCCCAGAGCGGCCTTTGGCTCACGGACGAACCCACTCTTACGAAGAAGAGCATCAAGCCAAACGCCCCCGTTTGTCCTCTGAGACTCTGCCACCAATCAGCTTGAGATCCCGCAATTCCCAGGGCGCCATTGTGCTGCCTCCCATTCCTGCATTTGCGGCCATGGAGCACCTCCCTCCTCGCTATTCGGCCACCAACGTAGACTCGTTCGAAGCGGAGGTGGCATTTGCCTCCCGATACCGCCGAATACCTGCCAAGCAGACTTCGTACGAGCGCTACTCCAGCTCCTTTGAATCCGAATCCCTTCCGGGGAGTTCGCCTGAGAGCCGAAAGTTTCAAGACTATGGCTACGGCAACGAGAAGGCAGCAAAGTGGAGAAACAGGGTGGAAGTGGTAGAGGTCGACGACAGGAATGATGAAGAGGCGACTAGGAGGACGCCTTGGAATGGCTTTAGGTTCTGGGTCCCTTGATCAATTGCCATCCTTGTCATATGGCCATGTTGATTTGTTTTGAGCCGCTGTATTTGCTTGTGTCACAACTACGCTATCAATCATATACAATGCTTCTAGTACGATTGCGAATAGCTTTTCTAGGCTTGAATTTCTTACTACGCCCACGTTATACATACCAAATTGTACTTTTAGTAGATCTACCCATTTGTTTTTGACTCACTAGAGATAAAGGCGCATAGAGTTCTTCAAGATCATATGTCTATTATGTATGTCATACTGCCGTCATCCAGGAGCACAACATCCATCTTGATGCGTCGCTGGACCCCGTACTAGTGTGCAGGACCAAAAACAAGAAGGATCGCTCAGCATAAGAGTGAACCAATTAGCGGGACCAAATGCGATTAGCGGAGCCAATCAGCCCTTTTACATCTTGACCAGATCAAACAGCTTTGCTCGTCTTTCAAGCTTTCTCTTCCTCGATCATACACCGAAATGTCCTCCCGAGCTCCCCAGCAGTCATCCTACCACGATCGGTCCCCGAGATATAACCGCGATACTCGCGGGGGCGACTACCAAAGAGACCCAAGAGATCCAAGAGAAGGAGCTGGAAGGGCGAGGAGCCGGAGTCCTACAAGGTCCCGAAATGACGACAGTAAGAACCCCCCTTGTTCCCTGCGCTCGAGTAGCTGACGTGCTGTAACAGGCTTTAGGAGGGACTATAGCGACCGCGACAGGTCGGATAGAAGAGATCGAGACTATGACAGCTCTTCCCGGCGTCTAGGGGGAGGATACGAGCGTGTACGAGGCAGCGAGAGAGATAGAGGAGGAGAGAGAGACTGGGAGCAAGAGAGAAAAAGAGAGCACCAGAGGCAACGAGCAAATCCCACCAATAATCTGAATTATAGTCCTCGGAATGACGACAGGAGCGGTGGCGGAAGAGCCGGCTTCCAGGGCTCGTCAGCCCGGGGTGGAAGGGGAGGGTTTGTAGCGGGTCGAGGAGGCGGGAGTCAATACGGCGGCGGCAGAGGAGGGTATGGTGGTGGGGGCAACGGCAATGCAGGGTGGGACGGTAGGGAGCGAGACTACCAATCTATGGACAGGCGAGCTATCGAAGAAGGCCGTCGAAGAAGAGAAGAAGAACGAGCTATGGGGTCGGCTAGAACCGAAGATGGAAGAGTCAGCGATCCTCATGGTATGTCAACACCACACTCTAATATGTTTCTGGTCGCTAACGAGCTTTATAGACATGAAGAGGGGTCAAGGACATTATGGCAAAGCAGAGTTCTTCGAAGGAGATGAGCAGGAGGGAGAAGTCGAAGACGAGCAGGACGAAGCCGAAGCGCAGATGGCTGCTATGATGGGATTCGGAGGGTTCAACACTACCAAGGTAAGTTTGAGTGATAGTCCCAAACGATGAAGAACTACATGCTGATAGATCCGATAGAAAAAGAACGTGCAGCAGAATGTGGAAGGAGGGGCCAATGTGCACAAAGAGAGGACATGGCGACAGTATATGAACAGGCGTGGTGGGTTCAATAGGCCCTTGGACAAGGTCAAGGACTAGGTGTGTAATTATCAAGGTCATGATGCATCAGATGGTGCTACTGGCATTCAAGTCGCAACTATAATAGCAACAACACCAAAATGTACTTCTTCCGTTCTCTGTCCCCCTTACTATAAAGAGACCTCTGCACTACTATGACATCTCCGGCTGAGTGTTGGCAAACTTGTTGAGAATATATGTAAGGAACATTGTCTCATCATCCGGTGCACTAGTTTCTGAATTTCTGCAGAGAGTCAGCTGTCATCGATGGGCTATGATGATGTGTACGTACCCTTCTTCTGTTTGAGGAAGAGCGAAAGGATTGAAGCCGCCCCCGTTGTTCCTCACGTCCAGCCCCAAATCATTAAAATCGAATGACTCGAATGTGGCGTTACCGAATTGCGGGATTCCTCCATCCCCGAGCCCATCCACAGTCTGCTGACCTGGAGCAGTCGTCAACGACGAGGATGACCCAGCGGAGGGAGCCTGGTCCAAATTCGAGGGAGGAAGTTGGGATTGTAAGAACCCTGTAGCAGCATCAAACCCGCCCAAGGTCTCATTGCTAAAGGAAGGCAAATCGCTAAACCCACCATACGGCGACAGACTCAGATTGCCTCCTTGGTTTTGTGAAGGCGAGGTTTTGAACCCCGGAAGACCGTCAGTCAGCTGTTGCTGTGCCACTGGAGCCTGGGCGGAAGCTTGGATCTGTTGGCGTTGGGAGTTCTGAAGGGCGAGGGCCATCTCAGGGGACCAGTCGGTAGAGTCTGGGATGGACCCATCGGCTCGCCTTGTAGGAGGGGGCTGGAGAGGACGCGGGACACGCTGTGTGCTGTCGTTGCCGAAAGGCTGCTGAACGTCCAGTCCAGGCATGGATGGCGCGACATAACCCCAAGGACTGCTTGAAATCTGCCCAGCGCCGGCATTGCGCTTGGCGATCTGCGATTGCTCCTCCTTCTCCCTTGCAGCCTGCAGCCTCAGCTGTCTCTTTTCTTCCTCCGCTGCCCGCTTTCCGCTCCTGGTGGTAGCTAGGTTGAGCAACAAGTCCACAGGCGTCTGGTCATCACCTCCGGCGCCGGCTTCTGCGGAGCGGGGCGGAGGACGGGAAAGCTTGTTTTGGGGCTTGGCGGTAAGGAACTCTACTATGGCGAGTTCTTCTTTGACGAGGGGCTCGGAGAGACGATTTTGGCTGTCGGGCAGGCGACCGGATACCACGTTGAGTAGTTGTCGCAGCTCGTCGGCAAGGGCAGAATCTGGGTCGACTGGGAAACGTCAGAACAATCTCACGACTCGAGTGCCATTGCTCACGCTTGATAGTGACACCCAGCACCATATACGAATTCAACACTCGATACCCGCCACTGTTCACAATCAATTTGCCCTTCTCCATGACAAACTCTCTTCTGCTCATCAGATCTGCCCTTGCACTCTCGATAGCTGCCGTCTTGGAGTAAGAGTATCGGCTATCTTGAGGCTTTCTTCTGAGCAGATAAGGTCGGTTAAGCGTGATTCGCGTGTAATACCACTCGCACGCCAAAAGGTGTCTCTGTACAAAGAGGTATGGATGCGACTTGTCCAGCGATGTGTCGGGATTCTCCATACGGAAGAATGACGGAAGATTGTCTCGCCACGTGAGTAGCTCTCGATCCAAGGAAACGACAGTGCTGTATTCTGGCAATTGGATCGCAAAAGTGTGGTAGGCGATGCGGCCCATGATCTCGGCGAGTTTATGCCTGACAATCACGTACGTATACGACGTGGGCACATTGAGTGGATGACCAGCAGGATCAAAGTCTCCACTTTCCACCTCTTCGTCATCCAGATTGGCGGGCGGCTGCGTGTCGGTATGGGCATCAGAGATGGATGCCGGCCGGCCAACCAGTAACGAGATGGTCCTGTCGATATGATACAGCATCGCCCACGCCCTTCGCCTAATCTCAACTTCCTTCTTGTCCGTGATATTGAGGACGGTGCCATCGCGATAAAGACCGATTTGGAAAGCGGTTGTGACTGGCGCGCTGCCTTCGGCGGGCCGACGCGTGAGGAGCATGTAGCGAGAAGCGAGGAGACCGGCGAAGAGGACGTCGAGGGTGTCGCGTTGGAGGGCTTTGGCATATTCGAGTCCACTCCGGGCGGATCCGTAAAAGCGGCGCGACCAACCGACTTGTTCGTCTCGGGAAACCAGCTCATGGGGAGCGGAAAGAGCGGCGATCGCAAGCTACAAGGTGCGTTACTTTTGGTTTTGAACAAGATTCACAAGGGTACTAACCACGATAAACATCAAAGGAAGCCATTTCAGGGTGTCTGCGTCAATTTTGGGGCATGTTGGGTTCCGTCCTATCGAGTCGAAGAATTTGGTGTATCGAGACATGAATGAGAATCGATTGATCTTGTATCTCGTCCAGTCAATATCCCTGCTCAGAATCAGCTGATATGCAGGTGTGTATGTGACGTCAGGACTCACTTGAAATACAAGTCGACGAGACCATCTGCCATGCGCCTGCCCGGAACACCGGCAATCAACCACTCGAGATGTCCCTGCGACACACCACTTTCCTTCAGTGTCTGAAGTACTTCCCGGAGTTCAAAGTTGTCGTCCGGCGCTAAGGATATCCGTCTCCCTTCTCTCAGCCCCCAGCCATAGCCTGTCCGCCCCGGTGGGGTCGCATAGGACATGTTGGAGGGGAAGAGGCCAGATGGCGGGGGTTTATGTGGCATCTTTACGCGAGGTGCGGGGTCTGGCGGCGTTGCGTGGGGATGGAAGACATCTTCTCCCGAGGCAGTCAAGGAAGAGACGTCGGGGGAGCCATTGTCAGTGTATGCCCGGGCCACTGGAGCCACAAGTGCCGCTGTGGCTCCAGTGGCTGGCGGTGCCGATGACACCAGCCGAGCAAGAAGAGACTCGATATTGCCCAGGCGCGCGTTGACGTCCGAGTTGCTGGGCAGCATATCAGCACTGCAGTCGGTTTGAGAGTAGGGGCTTGACTCACGCATTGGGATCCTCTACGCCGTTGAGGAAAGGTCTGCACAGATGAGGAACACGTCGCGCGACACACTGCGAGCAGGGCTCTTTGCGGTCGCACTTTTGTTTTCTCCTGTGGCACTCGACACATGAAAAGTGCACCCTCGTGCGCTTTGGCTCGCGGGCAGGTTTGCTGTTTGACGACGAGGCGGCATCGTCGTCTGTGGATGGGTCGATGCCGATGGACTGGCGTCTCTTGTCTGCGACAGAGGTGAGGGCGGGAGAGGACGCCTTGCGTTTCTTCCCGGGGCCGGTGTTGAGGGGGGGCTTTGTGTCTGTGCGGTCTGGGGGCTGGAGTGCGGCGAAGTACTGGTGCCCGCCGAGGGCGGGTTGGTCTGGCATGGCGATGTTGAATGATAAAGTCGAAGAAGTCGAAAAAGTCGAAGAAGTCCTCCTACTCGCCCCGGCTACCCGCTTACCGCCCTGTTGAGCAGCGGGACCAGAATGCGGGACCTAATTGGGCAGCCCGGCCCTCGCCGCCACGCGTCTGTCTTCGCGTCCGTCGTGTTTGCTTTGTTTACTTTTCATCCAGCAACGACCATGGCATCTCCACCACGCTCGCCTACAGGGGCACCCACAACAGACTTTGCACTCATAGAGGCACAGAAGGAGAACATCCGCCCACTCGCCACCGGGCGCTCAGCTGCCACCCTCTCTGCCGTGCTCAAAGAACCCTCAGCCGCAGAAAAGGTTGTGCAAGAGGGGCACGACAAGCACAGGCAGGCTATTGAAGAGGCCGAGAAGAAGGATAAAGCTGGCCAAGATCAGGACGATGACCTGGCCTTGCTGGGTGATATCCTCGATGTCTACAACAAGTGAGTTGTTGCCGTGCTCGTTCAGCGCTCATAAGCCTCAGGTACATTCTCTTTACCGTACAGCACCACCCCTCCTCCGACTTTCACCTTCTCCCCCTTCTCGAAACCACCACACGCCGATTCGTCAATGACGCACGATACAAAATGGATCCCCGCTATCTGCGGCTTTGGGTCATGTATGCGCGTCACATTGAGCGACGCGAAGAGATCTGGGCATTCTTGGAGTCACGCAACATCGGTACCGACTTTTCCCTCTTTTATGAAGAGTGGGCGACAGCTCTTGAAGGTCTTGGGCGCCGCAAGAAGGCAGACGAGGTGTACAGAATCGGTATAGCGCGCAAAGCCAACCCTGTCGAGCGCCTCAAGACCCGACACAAACAATTTCTTGAAAGAATCATGGCACCTCCCTCTGGTGTCGTACCGGACGATGACCCAGTCTCCGCCTCGTCTGCCCGTACGCCCTCTCGTGCGGTTCTCGGCCAAGTTCGTTCCGGCCCTTCATCTTCGGTGGCTGGGGCTACCCAGCTGGCACCTTCTATGCGGACTTCGTCTGTCAACAACGGTCGAAAGATGGAGATCTTTGCAGATGCAGAGGGAAACAAAGATGAGACTTCGGCGCCAGAGTGGGCTGATTTTGGTACGCGAGATGAGAGGAGAAAAGAGAATACTGCCGAGGCTGGACCATGGCAAGGCGAGACCCTGCCACAGAGTGCCAACAGGGGTCGAGTGGCACCGCGGACACCGAAAGTTGCAGTCTTCCAGGACACTGTGCGTATTTCCCATCAAAGTCTTTGATGATGCTAACATTTCACAGACTGAACAAGAGTCTGCCCGCGTGCAGGGTGCTTCAGAAGTCTTTTCCCGACATAGGCAACCGCCAACCGAAGCAGAGCTCCTTAAATCAGACCCTTTGCGCCACTATGATACTTCAAGCCTCTCTACCGACCTGCCTTCACTCCCTGCCCCTCCCTCAGCCCGTAAGCCGCCGAGGCCTACCAAAGTGGCTGCTCCTGCTGCCGGCGCAGCACCAGCTCCTGCCAAGGCTGCACAGGCCAAATATGTGATGCAGCCCTGGACTTGTCCCACGGATGGCCCACTCGTCAAGATGGCCAATGGAAAGCAAGAAAGGCGAATGTTTGACTGGGATATGGTGTACAAGGATGGCGACGAATACAACTTTGAGCAAATTCGGGCCAAGCAGCGGGGGTTGTATGGGCGGGAGGGAAGGGGTGAAGTGCAAGCTTGGGAGAGGGAAATGCACAAACCGGGATGTGAGTACATTTTGAATCGTTGGATCATGACTGATGCAGACCAGCTACTTCACCGCCAAAATCCAAATCGGTAGAGTCTCGCAAACCCCCATCTCCTACCGTCAACACCAAACTCGCCGAAGCCGAAGTCATGAGCATGTTTGATCAGACTATTCACGGAGGCAAGATGAACCGAGATTCAGACTCGGAATCTGAATCCGAATCCGAATCTGAAGAGGATGGCGGAGTGCAAATCGCCCCTACGCCTCTACCGAATAGGACAGGTAATGTTCAGATGCTCGCCCCGACACCTGGTGGCTTTGTGCCTCCCACACCTACACCTTCTGCGCCAAGTCGCCTGTTCAGCGCTCCAAGCTCGCTGCCCACCATTTCGGATGAGAATGGCAAGCCTTCAAAGCCTGTGGTTTTCTCTGATGAGAATGATCGGCCAACCGTCTTCTCTGATGAGAACAACGTCCCGCCTCCCTCGGCCAAGAAGTTCAACATCTTCAGTGATGATGCCTCTGCCCCGCCTCCTTCGGCCTCGAAGCCTCGCGCTTTCGGGGTATTCTCTGATGAGAACCAAACCCCGGCGAGACCTCCTGCCGCTAGTCAAGAAACCCCTAGACAGCCATTGGCTGCGAGCAACATCTTTTCGGCTACACCGGCCGTCGCCCCCCCAAACCATGGACTGGGCCGTGTCACCGAGGCTATTGTAGAAGAAGAGGAGGAGGAGCAAGTAGCTCCGCCTCCGCAAACCGAGGATGTCGTCGAGGATGTCGTCGAGGATGTCGTCGAAGGCGTAGCCTCCGCATCACTCGATGAGCCCCCTGCCGAGTCGAATTACTATGACGAAGAAGAGGGTCAGCAGCCTCGGGGTATGAGGAGGTTCAACATCAACATGATGACACCCATTACCGAGAGGACGTGTGAGTATACGCAATTCACTGGCGCGTCTGGTGTCGGCAGAGAGAGTCTGGCGAGGAGGCTTGAAGAGGAGGAGGAAGATGAAGAGAATGAAGAGACTGGAGATAAGGGGGACTCTGCAGCTCCATCAGAGTTTGACGAGAGCGGTCTCGCTTCCGGTGACGTGCGGGATGATTTCCAACTTCCTGACGGATTTACCATCCACCAGGCTGAGGAGCGGTCCGACATACACACCATGGTGCTCGTCGACGGCAAAGATGAGGGTACCGCGACCACTTTGCAAGATAAGAGCGTGTACCACACTGCAAACGGCGACCAGATAGGTGCCAGTGAGCTTGCGGATCCTTGTGATCCCACCGCTGAAAGCACTGTCACTGCTCTACTCAACGCTATCGATCCTCCTTTATCAGAGCTCCCGGGGCTTGTCGACAACCGCTCTACTGCAATCAACAAACTGGATGCTCTTGAGAAGCACGCCCGCTCCAAGTTGCGTCGCGCGAGCGCCTCGTCTCGCACCTCAACCTCTGGGGACGACTCTTGCACCCTCACTCTCGCCGGGAATGACTTTGAAGTCCACGACAAATTGGGGCAAGGCGGCTTTGGGATAGTCTTCTTAGGTGTTGATATAGCCTTGAGAAGGGCGCAGGATGATGCGGATAGCGATGATGAGGAGGACGAGCCTGTGGACAGGTCGCAGGTGGCTATCAAAGTGGAGAAGCCTGGTATGATATGGGAGGCCGTTGTGCTTGACCGTATCCACAGCCGGCTTGACAAGGCATTGCGCCAGTCTATCATCCAACCTCGAAACCTCTACCTGTTCCGGGACGAATCGTACCTCATCCTGGATTACTGCCCCCAGGGCACTCTTCTCGATGTCGTCAACAAGTCTTCATCGATCTTTGGCAATCCCGGTCAGGGTGTCGACGAGCTGCTTGCCATCTTCTTTGTCATTGAGCTTCTCAGGCTTGTAGAAGGACTGCACAGCGCGCAGTTCATCCATGGTGACTTGAAGATTGACAACTGCCTTGTCCGTGTTGCAGACCTCCCCAACTCTTCGTGGTCGGCTGCATACTCGCGTGCCGGCTCCGATGGGTGGTCTCAGCAGGGTCTTCGTCTCATCGACTTTGGCAGGGCTATTGACCTATCTCTGTTCCCTCGAGGTACGGAGCAAACCTTCCAAGTGTCTCACACCGTTGATGACAAGGATTGCACCGAGATGAGACAGGGCAAGTCGTGGAGCTACCAGACTGACTACTTTGGTCTCGCTGGAGTGGCATACTGCATGCTTTTCGGCAAGTACATGAAAACGATGATCAGCGAAGGGAAAGTCAAGATCGATCAACCATTGAAGCGCGTAAGTTGATTTCCCGTATACCAGCAAGCTTCATCAAAGCTGACGTTTACATAGTACTGGCAGCCGCAACTATGGCAGCCACTCTTTGACACTCTTCTAAACCCAGGCCACTCGCTTCCCATCACCAGTCAACTCACCACTATTCGCGAGGAACTCGAGGGATGGCTGGAAGACAACTGTCAGAAGGGAGGGAAGAGTCTGAAGAGTCTCTTGAGGAAAATTGAGCTGGCGGCTACGACGGGGAAGAAGATGTGAACGATCTCTGGGCTTCTGGTTGGGTGATCGAGGGGCTGTACTAGTAGTACATAATGATGGACATTTTTGTTTTGTTGTATGAATTAGTCGCTGCGATTTCATCGTTGTACAAGTATTGAGTTGTATACTGTTACTGTACAAGTATGTTCATCTGCAGCACATGAGACCCCATGGGAGGACTGCTTGGAACCATGATCGTCATGCATATTGTGCGGACCCGCCGCCTGTGGAACACGAAGCAGGGAAAGTGCCCGTTGACCTTCGATCTCAGTCTCGTCTCTGCCCTGTATCAAGACCTTCTTCATGCCAGTACGTCTGTTCTCAGGACCCACTTATCGCCAACGAGCACTTCATCTCCTTCATGCCGCATGCAGCCCCCGCCACTGACCCCGTGCCAATGAAGTAGCATCCTCCCGGCTCTCGGTTCTACCGATATCTTCTCTGTTGGACCTTTCTTCGTTCCAACACCTTTGCCCTTCTTCCCTCTTTTGCCGGTATCTTCATGTGGGTAGAATATGGTCTCACCCCCTTTCACACCGTCTGATAGATAGACAAGTACCGTCCAACAGCTGAGCCTCCTTGACTTCGGGTCGAGTTGTGGCATGTCATAATGCTGACCGAAGAATGTTTTAGGTGGATAATGGTACACTCTGATATTCGGAGAGCAAGCTGGATTGGGGGATGTATATTCGGGTGTGATTTGCGAGAGATATGGTGACAGTAGACTGAGGAGGGTGGAGGCAATCTCGGGAGATTGTACACTGGCACGACCTACTCAAACAGAAGCTCAATACATGGCTCTTGCCCTGTAATACTGTAACACGCACGGCCAGTTCTCTCTGCTTCACCTTTAGCAGGTCTCTTGGGCCCTTCCAGCTCTAAAGACTGGGTCCAAGCAGAGATAGAGCGAAGCTCTTTTTGCGAAAGAAAGTTATCGACGACGTATATCTGGTTGGGAAGGATGGGTGTCACTGGGAGATGCGGTTTAGGTTGAAGCGATGGAAAGGGGGGCATGCTGAATTTATGTGCTGACAGGTTTCGAAGTTGAAGGTTGAGTGAGTATATGAGATTGTAGTAAGAAGCGAGGATAGCTGCAGCCACTCGATGGATCGGGCTGCTCGTGTGACGCGCGCCTATGAGATGCTATGAATAACGAATCACCTCGAAAGAAAGCTGACGCGTCGAGATACGGTTCTTGAATCGAGCTTAGAAGTATGCATGGACGTGCACTGTAAGTATTGTAAGGAGAACAGATAGGCAATACATGGACTTTTACACCGTGCAACCTTGATGTGTATAAAATGGCAAATAAGAACGACTGCGAGATATCTTTTTCCTCCATTCTACACATTCCTAATAACGTCTCGGGGGAGGGGCACCTCCATTTCTAGGCTGATACGCTCCACTTTGACCGCCATATGGGTTGTAAGCACCCCCTCCTCTTGGTGGGGCACCATAACCACCACCATAGCCACCCGCAGGTGGTCTTGGTGGCCCACCGTAAGGTGTTTGTGTCGGTGGGAATGGGGGTCTGGCACCGCCGTAGGGAGCACCATAGGCTGCGGAAGGAGGAGCACCATAGGCCCCACCTCCGTAAGGCGCAGGGGGTGCAGCGGCGTAAGGATTTTGGTACCCGTAGCCACCGGCGGGAGCGCCGTATGCAGCAACAGGCCTGGGCGGTGGCGCATAGCCATGAGTTTGAGGAGCACCATAGTCTTGACGAGGGGCTGGCGTCTGGCCATAACCTTGTCCACGCTGATGCGGCCCACTCTCGTATCTGCCTCTCCCCATCCCGGGGCCTCCCGTTGGCTGGTTGTACCCTCCACCTCCTCTGTGACCTCCCCTTCCTCCGCGTCCTCCTCCCTGTCCACCTCGACGAACAAAGTCCTTGTCGGACTCGGTCAAGCGAGGTGGAGCGGGCTTGAAGTTTTTGAGTAGTACGGATCGGTGAGGATGAGACTGGCGAGGGAAATAGTAGCGAACAGACAGAGAATCGTTGGGGTTGACGTCGGGGCAAGCCTCGATGGTTGGCAGAGGACTGTCAAACGTGGCGTTGGGTACACAGTTCGGGTCGGCGAGAACAGTACCTGTCATGCCATGGGAAGCAGTGGTATCGATGGGCACAGGCTATACACTTGTCAGACCGCTGGCTCGTCATTCAAAGTTTCTCTCACCTTTACTACGTCCTTCGCCCTCAATCCGTACAGTTTGTCACAGAACACGTCATACAGGTCACTGTTACTCGAGATAAACATCACCTGATCTCCCCAGCTGTTCCTCCTCTTTTCATCATCTGTTAATTCAGGTTCCTTGCTACCCAGCGCATCCAAAAGACGTTTCTGGTCAATAAACGGAAGAAGAGCGACACCTTGCCAAGCCATCTTCTTGCCATTCATGTCGATCTCAAAGTCGGGCGGGTAAAAGTCGAGAATGGGAGACTCTTCGCTGATCATGAGCGTTTGAAGAGGGTCGGGCAGATGTATACGACTGTCGCATCATGAGTATCACGTCGTGCGTTCGTGGCTGTAAACATACCTGGCAGCGGGGAAGACACCCAACAACTGAGCGAAAGGCTTGAAAGGTTGGCTGACCTCAAACTTGATATCAAACTGGTCGATGTTTTGGAAATCTTGCGCAAATGGAGCATAATGATAAGGGTAATACCAATCCCAGGCGGGGACGCCTTGGTAGTAGTATTCCAAGACCCAGCACAATCCCTCCATGTAACACTTTGTGACCCTAGGAAATCATTAACATCATTCAGACTTTGTGCGCAGACTTACGTGTCAATCAAGCTCCTGTCCGTTGATGAAACACCAAACTTTTGCTCATAGTATCTCTCTCTGTACCCAGGCTCCCAAAGTCTCACATCGTCGACATAGTCCACCGTACCATCCGGGTTGACGTTCATCTTCTTCTTTGGCACAGGCTGGTCGGCTTCGGGATTGGGAGGCGCCTCGACATCGTCATCTTCGGCCGCGTCCCCATCATCCTCACCATCCGATCCGCGCTTTCGCTTTCGAGGGGCTTCGGTAGACTCTTCTGTGTCTTCAGCTTCGGCCATAGTAGCGTCACCAAGAGGGGGCTCTCCATCTTCTTCATCGGCCTTGATAGCAGCAGGCACGACATCCTCATCCACGCCTTCGTCCCCTCCCTGCTCCTCCAGGGTCGCCTTGGCGCCTTGCTTGCTCAGCTGTTCCTTCTCTTCATCCTCAGTTCGCTGGACCGCGACCACAGCTTCGGCGTCTTCCTTTCCTTCAGCCTTCTTGGCCATCTCGTCTGTAACGGCATTCGCTTCGCCATCGTCACCTTCAAGCTCAGCTTTGAGAGCCTGGGCAGCACTCATGTTTGCCATCCTGATCGCCCTTCGGTTTTTGACGATATCAGAATTCGAGCCGCCCAACGCCTGAGCAGCCTTCGAAGCTGGTGCAGAGGCTGATTTCGCGTCAGCCTCCTTTTTAGGGACGAGGTCGAAAGCAGGTCTCGTGGGCAGCGACGGATGCAGCGCTCCACCCCTCGCCGTAGCCGCAGCCTGAACGGGTACATAATCTGTCCCGTTCAGACTGACAGTTCCATTCTTTGCCGCCTCTTCCCTAGCCTTCTCATCATCTTGCCTCCTGTGCTCATCCACCCTTCTCCTCTTCTGCTGATTCTCCTGTCTATCCTCGTCGCTTTTACGCTTCTGGAAGATTTCATCTTCGGCCTTGGCAAGGCCTTCCAGGATAACTTGGGCGCGGTCGAGGTTGACTTTACCGTGATTGGTCAGGTAGCCTCCCATACGCGGAAGTTCAGCGCGCCAGATTTTGAGCAGCATGTCAATGGCACCTTCACGGATCTCAAGCGAGGGCAAATGCGGCAAGAAATCATTACCAACAAAGAAGATCATGAAGATCCAGTCATCGATAGCCACTTCTAGGTCGAATGGGAAAGGAAGGCCGGGGAGATTGAGTTCGATGGCGAGGTATTCACGCAGAGTAGAAACATCGAGGAAGATGAAGGGCTTCAATTCTTCTGTTTTGGCCACCTCCACCACCTTCTTCTCATTCGGGTCTTTCATCACTTTATCGGCTTTGCAGTTGGCAATGATATGTCCTGCCTTTCCGCAGTTCTTGCAGACTGGCGGGCCCCTGGAGCTCTGGGCAAAGACATCCTCTCGAAGAACGCGGAAATTGGGTTCGTGCGTTGCAAGTGACAGCATGATCAAATCGGCATCAAGACCATAGATGACATGCGATGTATTCGCATCCCATGTAGGATAACTCCTCTGCCTCCTGATCCAATCCATGATTTTGTGTTCTCCTTCTCCGGGCACCGAGGAATCTGACAGAATGATCTTGAGATCCTTCCATCCCGGATCTGTCGAGAGCTTGTGAGAAACCCAGTACTTGAGAGAGATTGACAGGAGATCCATGAAGGGGGTACCGGGGGTGATGGCATTGGTATCCCATCCTTTCTTGTTGGCGGTTTCATCGCTGACGGTGTGACCCATGGCTTTGAAGAGTTCGATGGCTTCTTTGCGCTCTTCTTCCTTGTCGGCGGCTTCCTGAGCGGCTCGGAAACGACGAGATCGCTGCTGATTCATCTTAGCTCGGGGAGCGACACCGTCTGTAAAGTGTTAGAAGGTATCGAGGGAGCATGTTCGAGTACTCACCGATAGCCATCATCAAGACCTTTCTCGGACGACACATGTTGACGACTCTCTCCGTATAGTTGAAGATCTCCACCATCATCTCCTCCTCCGTCTCCGGTGCAGGCTTGCCTTCGGGGTGTGTACAAGGATGGACGATACCGTTCATATCCACTACCGACCGATCAGCTTTCTCCTCCTGCACAACACCTTTGAAAGCCTTACAATACAGGTTGTCGACCTCGAATCCGTTGGGATTAGGGTTCTCATAACGTATAGGCTCTTCTATCAGCTCCCCATCGGGACCTCTGACCTTTGTAGGTGTCTGCTCGTTGACTTTGGCAACGATCTTGGGATATTTTTTGGACAACCATCTGAAAAGAGCGGGAACACCCTGCGCCGCCGTGAGCTTTTGTTTCTCTCTCCGAATTTACTCACCATGTTGGGTGACTTTCGGGTTTGTGGATGTAAGAGAAGATGATCTGATTATCGTTGAAATGCCATCCAAAACTCGAAGCGGCAACTTCATGATGATCAGTTACGTAACAGTGTGTCAACAATGCTTGGACCGTGCCCCCCATTTATGCGCTCTATGATCTCTGAGAATGACTTGCCCACGGCAACTCGCAACTGACTAGCTAAACAAAATGGTCCGCTCCCTGGTCGACGTAGAAGAAGAACTGTACCGTCTCTGGTCTCTCGTCGGCGAGTTATCAGGTGGGACCTCAGTTCATCCCCTCGTCACTGAGCTGACGTTTGTGCTCAGAACAACTGTCCAACAACAGGGCGCTCGTCACACAGCTCAAAGCTAGGGCAGATAATGTTCAAGGCCAGGCAGTGCACGTTGGCACCGGATTCCCTCTCAGACGATTCAATGTCGATATATCTGCCGGTATGTTTCATCTTCCTTTTTTACTGTGGGGCAAAGGCTTATACAGATCACTGCAGAGGAGTTCCAAACTGAACTCGAGGCCTTCTCTTCTCACCTCGTACTCGAGAACCAACAACTGCAACATGAAAACAAGCAGCTGAATGCGCTGCTGAAAGAATATGAGCAGACGCTCGAGACGGTGATGAGCAAGTTCCGAGGTGTTGCTGTACGTCTTTACACCGTCATTTGGGTCGCGTGCTGACCGAATAATAGCATACATCTCAGCAACACGATCTTTCCCTCCACTCCTACTACACCCATCTTCTCCAAACTCTGCAAACCGCCCACTCTTCCGCCCAATTGCACGATTCCACTTCCCTCTCTCTCCTTCTCAACCGGCTGTCGACTTTGCTGAGGTCTGCTTTGCGGTCGATGCAAGGAGAAGACACTGGCGTCGAGGAACAAGAGGACATTGGGGCGATGGGCAAGGCGATCGAGGAGGCGGAGCGGGTTCTTGCCGGGGAGGGCTCTTCTGCGTTGGACCCGCCTGCGCCTGATGGGAGTTCGAGGGGCCCGTCCCCTACCTCCCAGCCATTACCATCACAATCAGCCAAGACTCTCCCTCGCGCGCCGCACAGACCTCCCCATTTCCCCGGGTTCCTCCCTGGCTCTTCGGGGGGATACGCCGGCACCGAAGGTCAAGCCGACTGGGCACTCGAACGGGAGATGGAGATACTTCGGCTGGAGGACGAGAACCGTCAATTGCGAGAGATGCTCGGTATTGCAGAAGAAAGCAAGCTGCCTTTGCCTTTGGAGCAGGAAGTGGTGGAAGAAGGCAAGGAAGGGGAAGAAGAGGCGCACAGGCGGAAGAGCTCGTTGACAGTGGAAGAGCTGGAAGCGGATGCGACAATGGAGGCGGAAAGGATTGACGCGCAGGCGGAGATGGGACTGGATATAGATCAGCTGCAGATCAGGCCCGATGAGGACGTCAGGGCAGAAGATGCGGCGCCGAGGAGACCGCTGCTCGTGCCGAGCGTGCTGGGTTTCGAGACGGATACGCCCCCACCCGAATCAGCTATTGTAGATGAACTGGACGGAGAGGGAGATGGGGTGGCGCCGTTAGAGAAGGCAGAGTCGAGCTAGGATGGGACATTTGTAATGTACATAGATGTATTATAGTAATGCAAAAACGAACATGATGGGTATCTCACAACAATGCATCCTTCTTTACAATTTATGTGCTCATGGCCACGTTACCCTCACTACCGCCGCCACCGCCAGTCCCCTCAGCCGCCACATCCTCTTGGGTACCTCCCAGCTCGAGCTTCTGGAGGAGCTCGTCAAGCTCGGAAGCACGGAAGATCTTGGCTAAGGGCTGCTGGGTCTTGCCGTCAAGAGTCATGGTCGCGAACTCAACTATCGCTTCTGTCAATCCTGTCACTGCGTCAAATACGAGGAGCACTTACGTTTCTCACTGCTCAACTTGGTAGAGTCCATAGTCTTGCTCATCACCTTCAAACAAAGCGCCTTTGCGTCCTCCAAACTCAGATCCTCCTTGTAGTCTTGCTTCAACAAACTTGTCGCCGATGAGTGGTTTGCGCCGACACAGGTAGCTTTCCATCCAGAATAGTTGCCGGAAGGATCAGACTGGTAGAGCTGGAACCCGTAGAGGGGGTCCCAACCCACGTAGAGAAGAGCGACACCGAAGGGTCGGAGACCTGTGTTGATCAGTATGAGTTTTGCAGAGCAAAGCTGTACGTACCACCAAACTGGGTATAGCCCTGCTTCATGTCACACAGTCTCTGCACGAGCATCTCGACTGGAATATCTTCATCATACGTGAACAAGTGCTGCTGAGCGCTATTACGGGCAAAGTTGACAAGCGAGTTAGCGTCAGAGGTGATACCAGCTAAACCGGCGAGGATGTTGCTGCGTCCGAGTCAGTCTGCGTTCGAGCTTCTCTGCAATGAACGTACTTGTTGAGGAGGAAGATTTTCTCTCCACCACCTCCCATCCATGCTTCTGTCCCTTCTCCACCAACGCCAGCTCCGGGAGCCAAGGACAGATCGAGTAGCTTTCCAGTCACTTTCTACAAGGTCGGTATTAGTAATGGGCCCTGGTCAAGTTCCATTTGGGGTAGATAGAGCTAACCTTTTCAGCAGCAAGAGCAATACCCTCCTTGGAGAGGACGGCGAGGACGGTACCGGCGTGGGAGATGGCCTCCATGGCGTACTCGACTGCAACGATGTCAGTACGAACACTCTTCTATATGTGGCTAGCGCACCCTGGTAGAGACGCCCTGCATGATTGATTAGCTCGACCTCTTCTCTGTAGTAGGACGACATACCTTCAGGCGAGAAGATGGTTGTCCGGCCTAGAGGAAGTCAGCCAGGGGTGTTCGTGGTTCGGATGAGCAGCGTACTATCGTATCGTCGAGCCTGCATGGGGTCAGCGGTGTTCTCTCTGGGACGGATGGACTGACCATGGTGTATACTGGTCGTCGAGGAATTGTCGAGGAATCATCAAAGCAGCGACGCGAGTGCGCTCATGCCATCCCTTATGTAAGCACTTTATCTGGCCCCCTCTGCTTGACACTGCTAACGTCATGCAGCGGGCACGACTCAGTAGAGTAGAGTACGAGTACTATGCATACATATGGTGATATGGCAATCTGTTCTACAGTCCCTTCACCTCCTTGGCTCTCCGCTTCTCTGCCTTCTTCTGCGCCTTCATCATCTTCTCTCTGTCGTCCAGCGAACCCCCACCGCCACTCTTCTCCTTCTTCACTTTCTGCTTGCCCCCCTCCGGCTCAATCTTTGCCTTCTTGACCCCCGCCCCGGACCCAGTAAAACTCGTCTGAGGGGATTCGGGCGGAGCTGGTCTCTTTGACGCTTTGTGCTTTTTGGACGATAAAGCAGTGTTGGGTTCTTGTTTCAGAGACGAGACGCTTTGGGTGGAAGACTTGGGGCGGGAAGAGCTTGATTTTGGATTTGAGGGTGGGGGAGACATGGCAGGGCGAAGGAATGTCTTTGGAGGTTGCTATTCTGGATTAGTATAGTAGCTAATGGAGTGCTTGCTGGGGCTCACTTGGGCAGGGACTTTCTGCTCTCTCTTGTCTTTTGCAAAACTCTTTCTCTTTTCCACACGAGGTTTCGCTCTCTTGTCCTGCACTTCCTCCTCCTCGCTATCCATGGCCGCATCCTCATCATCACCATCTTCGGCCTTCTCTTTCCCTTTCGGCTTTCCAAACCCGCCAAACACCATCCTTCCTCCTCCCGCTGTTCTCTCCCCTGCATCTTCATCTTCCTCATCAGAATCTTGGTCATCAAACCCAGGAAGGAATGGCGCATAAGAGGCCTCATATTCCACCCTGACATCACCCTTCTTTGGCGCCGCACCAGCAGTGGCAGGCTTGTTTGGCCGGGGGATATACCATTTCGCCGCTTCCTCCCTAGCCAGCGTCTGTGAGACCTCCTCCGGTCTGTCTGTCGAGTTTGGTGTGATGAGGGAAGCGGGAGCGGGAGAGTTGGAAGTGGAGGGACCGGCAGAGGCGGAGGGGGTGGGATGTTGCCCGGCCTTGTTGGTGTTTTTTGACGGGGTGGCGTTGCCGGCGGGGGCTTTGCCCCGCTGCATAAACTTGAGTGAGAGGGTGGACGAAGAGAGGGACATTGTGGTCGATGTATGGACGATGGAAGATGATGATTGTGCAAAAATGTTGGAGCGTGTTGATGGTGGAGGTCACGACTTTCAGAGCTCAGGTACGGTGAGTATGACGGCAAAGATGGCATTCGTTCTTGCTTTTCTCTCTTATATCATGACTGGCTCAATAATGTCGGGACTCAGCACCCAGAACCTGGTCAACGACATAGCCCTCCTCCGCACCATCTCCCCTTCATCCCTACCCCTCGCAAAAGCCCAGTCACCCACAACCTCCAACACGCCCCGTCAGACTCTCGAAGCGTTTGCCCCGTCAAAGGCGACCCCCGAGGATTCACAGAGACTTGCAAAGGCATATGTGAAAGAAATGAAGCGGGTCAATGAGACACAGGGGAAGGGGGAAGGAGAGGAGGTGGGGGAGCGTATAGATCAGCTGAGAGCACTTGGGGAAGATATCCAAAAAGTTCTTGGGGATGTCAAGGTATGATCGGATGGCTCGATACCAAGGTAAGCTTGTTACTTTTCAACGTTGGGCATAGTCGTATATCTGCTGATAGAACCCCGATGAAAAGCTAGAACGCGTCGACGATGTTGTATCAATGGCAGATTGGGACTAGTGTTGTATCATACTTCATATTTTAAGAAGAATGACGGGGACAGGCCACAATGCATAGGGTAGTCTCGTGACACACGGCATGGTTGAACCTGATGTGCATTGGCTCCTGTTGACTGTGGGTGTGAGCTGGAAAGCTGGGAGATGCTCTCATTACTCGAGCTTGCGGCTCTTCTACCCTCAATTCTCAACTTGGTTGAATATAGACGGCAAGACCTATAGCAGACATTTCAAGGCCACAACCACTGGCGCTAGTCCTACCCAGCTATATCTGATGATTATACATACAACTAGCACTCCGACAAACTACTTCTTTCCCTTCTTCTTCTTCTTCTTGTTCCTTCCACTATTTGACGCTCCCTGTCCCTGAGCCTGTCCCCCTGCTGTAGCGTTTGACTGGGTCTGTCCCGCTTGAGACTGCTCGTCCGCCCCAGCAGCAGCAGGCGCGGGAGTGCCTCCTCTCTCGGGCGTCTCGGTGGCCGATGTCCTCGACAGCAGCTTTGGCCGGGCGCGGGTATTGGACATGGATGTGAGAAGGCGGAGGTTGAGGGAATCGAAGCGGTTGAGGATTATAGAAGAAAAGGTCTTGTATTTGAGACACTGAGGACAGATGTCAGACTGAGGTATGGTGAACGAAGAGACAGCGCGCACCTTGAGATCATCTGTTATTTTGAGGACAAGGTGTCCTGTTTTGGGCTGAAACTTGACGCAGTATCGCACCTTGAGACTTGTTAGTACGAGTGAGGATTGAAGGTGGCTTAATGGGTATATTCACCTTGTCGGGCGACCTGGCATAGAGGTCGGTGGTGGCCTGGGTTGGGTATCAGCGACGGAGCAGTGTACGATACAAGGATTACTTACCGACTCGAAGTCTGTCCAGTTCTTGATGTACACCATGGCTGTGCTGTTCCCCTGTGTTGTACAATTGTAGAAAGATAGGTCAAATGTCGACGACCATTGTGCATTTACGTAAAGCGGTCCTCGCCGCCTCGCGTCGTGCTGCTGGTTCATCGCGCCGAGTATACTTAAGCCATCTCCATCTCTTCTCCATCTCTTCTCTTCTCCATCTCATCTCATCCCCAGGGTAGACAGCGCCAGCCCACGGAGTATATACACCCATAGACATGTCCGGCTTCCTCAACTCCATCGGGTACGTCTCAACTCCGCCCTGAAGTCACCCACCCACTGACCCACTCCGATAGTCGTCTCCGAGCCCCCAAGCGGTCGCCCACCAACACCCCCACCCAGCAAGGCTTCTTCGACCCTCTCCCTTCGCCTGGTGTTGAGACCACCCAACAGAACTCTCAGCAGCCCCCCTCACCTGGCCCCAAGCCATTGTACCTGTGTCAGCCGTTCGTCAAGGCTGCGTTGGTGAAGGGAAGCTTCAAGACTATCGTCGCACCACCCAAATACGTCGACGTGAATGAATGGGTCGCTATCAACTGTAAGTTTAATATCGGGGGTCAATAGGAGCCATGTATAGAGACTAATGACCGGTATATAGTGTTTGACTTTTACCACAACTTGAACCAGTTCTATGGTGTTCTCACCGAATTCTGCACTATTCACAATTGTCCCACAATGTCGGGTGGTCGAACGTAAGTCTATCTATTGCTTCGCTCCTTGTTGTATATCAGAATGAAACCTGACAACGCGCAATGATCAGTCTCAACTTTCTCTGGCCGGACCAGAATCAGCGACTGGTGTCCTTACCAGCCCCCACCTACATTGACTTTGTCATGAGCTGGCTGCAGAAGCTTTTGGACGACGAGAACGTCTTCCCTACTAAATCATGTACGTTCCACCGCCATAGCATCACGGGCATTCTCCTGATAACACCCCCTCTAGCCAAACCCTTCGACCACTCCTTCGCCTACACCGCTAAACACATCTACAAGCACCTCTTCCGCATCTTCGCCCACCTCTACCACGCTCACTTTGAGCAGATCCTCCACCTTTCCATTGAGGCACATTTCAACTCGCTTTTCGCCCACTTTTTGGCATTCGGAAAGGAGTTTGATCTGTTGGTGATGAAGGATCTGATGACTACCCAAGGAATGGGACAGGGTGTGGCAGAGCTGAGCGAGAAATGGAGGCAGATGGGAATCCTGGAGACATGATTAGAGACAAAGAGGAGAGTGATGACCGATGGATAGGGGTGACTAGCTGGGCTGGGTACCGTATTGGGGAAAGATACAGCTGTTGTAGACTCTTGTGACATATATGCATGCTCGGGACGAATCCTTACGTTTTGGGTGCTTCTGCACTGGTGGACGCTGCGTAGTGGATGCGTGAAAACATTCGAAATACATGACCGTCCATGTCGAGCAGAAGCCTATTTATAAAATTCTAGATATCGAAGCAAGGCGTTGCAGGAGCGTGTGATATCGTTAGTACTACCTGACAGTGTTCAGGACAAAAGAAAACGGGTATATATGGGGAGCGACCAAGAGAAAATGAGATTGTCTGCCTGTAATGCAGGGCGTTATTTATGATATCCTCCCCCCCAAAAGGAAAGGAAAAAAGTAGACAAATGAAAATATAAACAATTGAATCATAACGTGAAATTCTCGATCAACGAGGCAACCCATCTGGCCATCATTGTCAATCTGCAACTCTTGTCAGTACCGTTACCCGTCAACTATCTAGAGGGGGGTTGCTCACCTATCAGCCTTGACCTGAGGGAAAGCCAACTCTCCCAGGCCCTTCATACCGATGTCTTCCAACAACTGCTCTTTTGTCCCAGCTACGACGCTGGGGGTCGAGCTGATACTGGAGGCGTAAGGTTTGCCGTGACCGTGAGGAAGAGAGGTGCTACTGTCGGTACTGGGGATAGCAGAGAGATTAGGGAACGCGTAAGTGTCGTCCATAAGCGCTCGCTCGAGGATGACTGTAGAAGAATTAATGATCGAGATATTGGAAGTCGCACCCAGAGTGGACATGATGCGGGGAATCAACGACGAGTACCTGGTGAAAGTCAGTAACAAGTCAGGGCGATTCAGTTCTCACATACACCATGCGGACAACCTCAGGAAGTTCGGCGCTAGCATCGGCAAGTAGTCGATACAAGACGACCTTCTCGGCATCCGACCCTCCAGAACCACTCAAAAGAGCAACTACCAGGCTTATAAGCAGGACTGCCCTGCGATTGTCACTAGACGCAATGGTCAGCCAAGTTTCACCCAAGTCTCAAATAGGGGACCCACGGGACAGATAGCAGACTGAAAATGGGAATGGAACCCAAGTCAACAGCATCCTCGTCAATCGGCAGACCTGCGGCCAAGAAGACGCTCTTCGCTTCCTCCGGGGAGTTTGCCACAATCGAGAGCAGTGCTACAAAGTATGCGATGCCCTCTTCAGCCACTGATGGCTCGTCCTCTCCACTCTGCTGAGCTGGGCTGGCGGACATTCGTAGCAAGTCGAGTAAAACTTCAATTGTAAGTTTTCTCGTTGAAGGGTGTCGGACACCCTTGTAGATGATTGCAACGAGTGCAAAGCTGATGTCCACGTCGAAGGAGACTCCACAGACATGGTCCAGCTTCTGTGTCTCGTTTGCCACCACGCTTCTGGAGTCCAGTACGTACGTCATCAGCTCTGCGCATGGGACGTCGGGGCTGGCGCTGTGGATGAAGCGAAGGGCCGTGATCAGCAGCTCGAGTGCCGGAGCGAACAGAGGGATGTAGCCGAGTTGCAAGACGCCAACTGCCAACCAGAAGAGACTGGTGGCGTAGCGGCTATCGGGGAGGAGCCCAGGGATGATACGGCTGAGGCAGCGAAGCATGCTGATTATGAGGATGGAATGACTTTCAGCAAAGTGCGAGAGTGCCGTACTCATGGCGACAAGGATCTGGTAGATCAAGTCGTCATCGACTTCGTCCGACACAAGGAAGCCGAGGACGGTGAATGCTTGGGGTTGGGTGGCAGGATTATGTTGGAAGCAAGTAGCGGCAACGAGGCCCATCCACCGCGCCCGCCAGGCGTTAGCACAGTCTATGACCGGTCAGTGCCTATCCGTTGCAATAGACAATGTGACTCACCAACAGAGGTAGCACCAGCCGTCAAGACATCCCCGAGGAACTTTGACACCTCCTCAACCCTGTCCAGCAGATGTACATCGGTCTCGTTCTTGTTGGGTAACCCAGACAATTCGATATGACCATGGCCCTGACTGACACCGAAAGCAGTCATCATCTCCGGCTTTGAAAGCCTGTTTGACAGCTTTACCAAGGCCGGTCCATCCATCTCTCCAGATGTGGCGTTGGAAGCAAGGGAGTGGATTATACTCACCAGCAATCCGTAAACGGTTTGGCGCATTACAAGCGGTCCAGCACCGAGGAGAAGGGTGATTACGTGGAATGTCTCTGGCAAGAAAAGTTGGGTGTCTAGGGCGGTTGTCGGATTGAATCCCAAAGCTAGTGTGATGCGCGCGAGAGCGCACACCTCGTTCCAAGTAGCATTTTCCGTCAAATGATTGGAGGGCCGGAGATAGGTCTGGGCAAGCGATTTGCGAAGACGTGCGACGACCTTTCCCCGGACATTTGTAGATGATATGGACACGAGGATGTCGGCTATACACTCGGTTTTGTCACTACCCAAGCCAGCGTCGATGGCACCATATATGAGCTCGTAAATCATGATGTCGACAAGACTACCATGGCTTTTGGCCAAAGGACTCCAAAGATGCTCTTGGATAGTCAAATGCAAACGCTATGATGCGCGTAAGTAGACTTGTCTCATTGTGATCTAACAGAAGAGACTCACCCTGCGCTCTGCCACAGTAATGGAGATGAATGATCGGATGACCTCTTTCACTTGCTTGACGCTTTCCTCGGCATCATCGCGAGTTGGTCGACTGAACTGGTCAAGGTTCAGCAGCCACGGCCCAATATAATGGAGGGAGGCTGTCTTGTGTATGATATCGGCCTTCGAGAAACCGATCGTCCACTCTTTCAGGAACTCAAGGGTAAGGTGTGTGGCAGAGTTGGCGAGCGCATTGGAAAGGTCTCGGACCCATGATAGAGAATTGTTGGGAATCGTCAAACCGGCTTGGGCGCGTCAGCATGTGCAAGCCCGTTACCGAAAGAAGACTCACCAGAAACCGTGAGTACTCGTGCGGCAAGATCATACTTGAAGAATCGAGACAATTCCTGCACCAATATATATGCACCCATTCGAAGTGTCTCGTTGTCGGAGCTCAGGTTCAGAAGGGCGACATTCAAAAGTGTTGCCGGGACATCCGAGGGACGGAGGGCTCTAGAATTGATCGGAGCGTCTCGAAGCCTTGCACGAGCAGATTTGACGATATGAGCCATCTCATTTCGCTCTGAGCAAGTGTCAGCTTGATTCTTATGTCGTCCTTGAATTGACTGACTTCGTGATACAAAGATCAAGGTCTCGTTCTGAGAATGTTTGATGACAAGCTGATCTGTCGGAATGCCACCGCTAGTGACTATATCATCAATGTCCGCCAATTTGACCACATCGATAATGTAGGATCTGATGTTGGTGGTGAGATCTTGTTTTCTCCACTGTCATTGATATAAGCACTCATTGACCATCACACCGGCTGAGACTCACAGACGCGACTTGCAGACAATCATGCCCAAGTTTGACCACGACTGGTACTTGCATTCCATGTTCAGACAGACACACCAAGTTTGTGAAGACGTGATCGGCTTCGTAGGCCAGCACCATGGTGTGCTCCGGCAGCGCCAGACTGGTGAATTGAATGTGGTCGACCAATTCCCCCGGGCTGCTCGCTGCGGCGACATTCTTGCCCACGGGTGGGCTGACAGTCAAAAGCTCGGCAATAATCCTCTTGAGTCTCTTACGAGAATAAGTGTTGGGGTTGTACAAAACGAGGGTCTGAAGATAATCAGCCTTGGAACCGATCATAATCTTGAGACGTACAAAGATACTTGAAAGGATAGCAGAAGGGCATATCTGTAGAGACTTCTTTAACCAAGTCATCGGAAGCTCAGTGGAGGAAGAAAAATCAGTAAGATCGATAACCACATCAAAGTATTCTGTCACGTTGTCCAGCGACTATAATATGTCAGCGACGTCTCGGGCATCAAGCCGTCCAGCTATCTTACCTTGAAGACGTGATAGGCAAGTAAATCGTAATCTATCAAAGCCACCTTTGCGACAACGAAGTAGAAGATTCGACGCCCGTTCTGACTAGCTGGCCCTTCATAGAAGACGTCCTTCACACTATCGACATTGCGCCCTTGATTTTGCTGCATGAACCTAGATATTTATCAGCTTTGACCCTGGCAGCAGACAGCATTGTACTCACTCGTCGTATGCTAGAGCTCTCGCCGAAGCACTCATGAGATTCGTGTCGGCGGGCGGACCCGTAGCCTTCATGACCGCTCTCAGCTTTTCTAACGCATCTTTCCCATCACATTCTGTCCTCGCGACTTTTGAGGCGCTGGTGGAATGATGATACGATTTCGGCATGCCCGTGAGCGAGCCCTCCAACTTGGTTTGATTCTTGAAAACAAATCGGTGACTGTTGAGGTGGTGAGTTGAGGTTCATTTCCACGCAAGTGCTGCTCACATAATGGCGTCGTCTCCGTCCAAGTCTTGAGACTTTTCAGCATCCTCTTGGAAGGCTTTGGCTGCATTCTGGACATCGACTGTCTTGGGACGTATCTATGAGAGTCAAGATCAGCCATAGTACTTTGAGTTTGACGAAACACCCACGGCAACATCGGACAAGAATTTCGTGACCTGCTTGATGTTATCCGAAAGGAACGGATTCAGCATCTTCATATGCGGCTCCTTGAATACAACATTGTTGGCCAAGTTCTGGATGACTTTTGTAATCAATAACAATGCGCGCCGTGTCTGTGCGTTATCTGGCGCAGAGTCCAGATCGATAGTGTCGGGAGAGACGATTGCTGGGCAGAAGAATCGGAGGAATATGAAAGATCCAACAGCCGAGTGCCGAGAGTCGGGGAAACGATCATCCACAACCTCCCATATATGATGACACAGAGCTCGGAACATCCTGCAAAAGGCATCAGTTATGCACGACTGCAACCTCGTCTTGAATGGCGCTTACAATGGGACTTTGGGCGTGGATGCACATATGAGATCGAGAAGAGCTTGGCACATCAATTTGAGATGATCCGCATTCCTGTCGATATCATCGGTCGCAGATGCCTTCCTGGGGTCAAGCTCGAATGAGCATTCCGCCGGCTTTTCCGCAAGCGAGAGCACCAGTGGCTGAAGAGTCGCTCGTACATAGTTGTAACCATATGTTTTTGCAAACATGGTTATCATCCTCATAGTCAAGGAGTTTGCCCGGAAAAGCTCAGACTCGTGGTTTGTGACGGTGACTTCTCTCTCGATAAGGAGTCTCATGAAACCAAGCAAGGTCCCGTTGCCTTCGAACACTCTGAAAAGCAAGGTCGAGAGCTCGTCCATATCGGGCCCAGATTGGGAACAGACGTCCACCATGGCAAGGGCAAGTGCCATGTTGGTGCTCGTGAGGTTCTCCAAAAACAATTTGGGAGCGAGAGAAGCTCTTTTCGCGGCGAGCCCACCAAATCGAGTCCCCTGTTGGAGAATGTTAGTCAGTAACTGCATGAATACCGTGCGAAGAGCAGGGTCATCATGGTAACCAAGAGCAAGACAATGCTTGAGCCCGACATCGATGTTGGAGGACAACAGGTTTGACAGTGCCAGAATCGCAAGGGTAGGTGCGTCTTCCTGCGTACCAGAACGAGTTGATGGTTGACCCTGGATAGATGGAGGATGATTTGTGGATTGTGTCTACTCTTCGTCAACGGGCGGTCACTGATGTATGTGCGCATCTTACCTCTTCATTGTTTGTCTTCTCGATGACCTTGACTAGATGGTGATAATGTCGGTAGAATAGTCTAGATTTGAGCACTCTTTGAGGATCCTCTGCCTCCTCTCCCCCGAGACGTAGTACCAGGCCCTCAGTGACAGGCACCATAGCTTTGAGGCAAGCGTGGTCTAGCTCTCTCTGCGAATGACCATGCGACTCTATCGCAGTAGAGTAAACATCATCCTGATCACTTATCAGTAACAAGTCTTATCGGGGAAACGTCACTCACTCTGGAGGTGTCTACGCTCCATTCACACAACCACTCCATGACGGAATTCTTCAGGCCGAGACCATTTTCCGCCACGACATGGTCCTTCTTGGAGAGTGCCACTTCCACCAACTGACAGTACCTCGTCTTCAGCCGAATCGCAAGATCACTTCGGCCAAGTCTCTGAATGTATTGTCCGAGCTTGTGAAGGAGCTCGCCCATCTCAACCTGGACGGTAGGCATATCGTTGTCGGGGCCCATGCGGTCAATTTGGAGTCGGAGAATATTGACAGACTGTTCAACGAGGGTGTTGAAGGCGTCCGAGACGTTGACACCAGTAGGACCAAACGCGTGACTCAGGAGCCTGCAAGATGTCAGCACCTCTCACGAATGTCTTCGGGTCCTGACTCACTTGGAAATTTGAGTTACAAGCAGCCCGCACATGCTGGTGGGATACTCGGAGCCTAGGGCAGTCTTGACAGACTCTCTGATCGCTACAGAGTTGGTCACAAGTAGCTCTACGCATTGTTTGATGAACCCTTCCACGATGATGAGCGGTTCCGAGATGTCTTGATCATACGCCGCGGGAAGTAGACCTTCTTTGCCGATTGCTGAAGAAAGGGAGCTCGGTGGTGACGTGCAAATCCCCACTGATGTGATGGAGCATAAAAAGTACGTCAGGTTCTGCCACTCTTTCGATTCTTGCTCGTCAAGGCCTTCGATATCGGCGGTCATGACTCTCCTTCGATCTCTTGAAGTCATGGTATTTCCAGCATCGAATGCAATGATCTTGGTTGTCAAGCTTTTCCAGATGGAAAACAATCCGACCCACACGGAAGTCGTGAGCGTCGACCCTTTGGCCATGGGCCTCAAGGTGCGTCTGATCATACGCTGTTGCTGTTGGCGGCCGACAGCCGTGGGTAACACAGCAAGCCGTTCGAACACCACGGCTCGAGATTGCGGATACTGAGAGTAGGCGTTGGTGATGACTTCGCCAGAGGCCGAACGATGAGCCAGCATCGTTAGCTTTCCCAGCGCCATGAATGACGGAAGCGTGAGGGCGGTTTGTTCAACGTCTGGGGACACAATGCAGACATAGCCCGCTGCAGAAACGACCATCGCCGCGGGTTGGGCTTTCGAGGATGGGAAAAGGACTTCCGGATAGGCCTCTGCTAGTTTGATAATAGCATAGAGCATATCACGCATGGAAGTGGCAGAGATTGTGATCTCGTCGTAGTCGCCGTCGTGGAAAGCAAAGAGCATCTGCCGACCCACATCGAGCAGCATCTGCCACAGTCCACCCGCCGCATTATGGCCTAGATTCTTCATCGATTCGCCTTGTCCACAGCCCTCGCAGATGTGATTTATCAACGAAATGCTCGTTTTGGCTGTGGCAGTCCGGATGATTTCAGGATTTGGAATGACCAAAAGAGAAGCCAAGGTAAGAAAGATGGAAGAGACACTGTCGGAAGAGTTATCGAGGCGGACGTTGATGAGAGCGAAAGAAGGCTCCAGGGCATAAAGGCTGAGGATCTCGTACGCGAGATCGTTCTGGGCTCCAGGAAGTTCAATGCTTCCTCTAGGCCGGCGAGGGCCGAGTCTGTCTGCGGTGACAGACATGGCATGAGCCTTGAGAAACATCAGCAATGTCCAGTCATGGATCTATGCGCTTACCTTGATAAGGCCACGTATTGACGGGCCAACTTCACGCATAATGTCGACTACAGGCGGGTGCCACGGCAGTCTCCCTCCCTCCACCGCCATCAATATGCAGGCCTTCACTGCAACAACCTTGCTCGATTCAGAGTCATTCCAGAGCTTGGGAAATAGTAGACCTCCCGTTGTCGTGGGGTTTGCTCGGTAGAGAGCTACCAGCCCTTCTACAAGAACGTTCATGTCTGATATCTCATTCGACAGAGGCGAGTAGAAAAGCGCATTCTTGAGGTCGTTCTGAATATCGGGAATGAAGCTCCTGATCCCGGATCCGTCTAGCCGAGGCGTCAAAGCCATACCTGCGCTCATGAGCTCAACATAGCAAATCGCGCAGGCTTCAAACGCCTTGCTAGAGTTAAGACCCTTTTTGAAACTGTCCAAGAACGATATCTTTTTCGAAAAGCTAGAGCTTCCTCGGGCAGATTCTCCCATGACGAGTCGTTTGAGGGTGTCTGGGCAGAGGACCAAAAGCATAGACATGAGCGGGTAGAATGCCCTGGTGCGCTTGGAATTTGAGAACGAGCCAAGGTCAGACATCGAGTAGAGCACGTCGAACAAGGCATCGGGTCCACCATCCATTTTCCTCCCGGTCTCAATGAAGAGCTCGTACTCTTTTGGATTTATGCTGATCCAGTTTCGAATGGCCTTTCGCAGCATCGTCGCGACAGTAGATTGAGCCGGGCGCTTCGTATGCAGAAATGCGTTCGTGACTTCAGCTAGAAGCTGCGATAATCGACTCTGGTCGACATTGACCCACTCAACCAGCCGGAGCTCATTGAGATCTGGAGCGTCCTCAATAGTGGTGGTGAGGTGTTGTATCCGCTTCTTGGTCTGGCTGAAGACCAGTGGCCAGTTGGCAGCGGAGAGATAAAAGACTGCGCGGGCAACACATTTGGTCATTTGAGCTATTGTGCCCGTTGTTGTAGTGCAATTTGGCGAGATATGCCGCTCTGCAGACGGCTGTTGTTGAGTCAAAGGATAGGAGTGTTGCAGGAGAAATTTCGTTCCCAAAGAGTACCCGCTGGATGTAGCAGCGCCTTTGCCCCAGGAGGAAGAGGACCCTGATCCGGTACCCTTCTGTTCTCTGATGGACTGAGCGCCGATGTCCAGGAAATCTGATTCTAAGGAGACCAAGCGTGTATAGACAAGCAGTACGCTTAGGACGTATTTCGCAAGGCTTTCGTCAAACGGTGGAGGGTCAGACCACGGCCTGGGGACGTCGGAAGATTGAGGAGCGTTGGATTGGGCGTGTAGCCGCCATGAGGTGGAGAAGCAGAGATTCAGGACGTGGAGGAGGTATAGTTGAGAATGGAGGACTTCTAGTGAGATGTCCGCTAGGAAATGATACGGGTTGGTGTACTAGACAAGGCGTCAGTGGTGTCTCGCTCGAGCTTTATCGACCAAGCGATCCTCTCAGTAGGGAGCACTTTACTCTCAACAAACGCCTGTCCCTTGAAAGAGAGGGCATCGGGCATCAAGACACGCCCCCCCAAGATGCTTCGCCATCCAGTTACCCTTCGGTTTGCACGGCCTCCTCTACACGGCACACTGGTGACAATATGCTTACCTTTGATAGCGTTTCGAGCGCGCCGACCAACGCGTGGGCGACAAGAGGCAGCCGTAGACGCGACAGCTGGAGAATCGACTGGACCGTGGCCTTGACGCCAGCATCTTGCTCCAGGATGGTCAACTGGATGCCCGAATTGCAGGGCAGCTTGTGGACGAGCTTGTTGACGAGGGCATTGAGAGCCTTTTGCTCTCCCGCCGAATTTTCAGGCCTGCTCATGATGCTAGCGGCGTCGTTGCCGTGGTAGGCGATGTCTGGCTGACGGAAGCGGGGGGCGCTGGGGGAGGAGAAGGAGTGGTGGGGCGAGGCAGCTGAGCCCCGTCGGAGGGTGGGCATGGGGGGGGATGAGAGGCGGTCGAGGTGTACAATTGACAATTGACTGTTGCTGATGGATGCTGGTTTACTTTCAGGAGTCGACGCTTTGGCCCGCCCATTGTTTCACCCGATCGCGTCCCCCTTTTGTTCGGACATGTCCTTCGGAACGGCGAACCATTTGCTCCCGCCACATGAAACGAAGACGTCTACATGCATCTCTGCACATGTTTAACCCATCTGCAGCCTGCCCCTATGAGCGTCGCTTCGCTGGCAGGTCCCTCGACCGACAAGGCCCCAAATCTTCTCTCGTATCCAAAGAAACTGGTCCAAACGTGAGGTCTAACGTCTCTTCCATCTTCTGAGGCTCACGTCAAGCCAGGCTTGAGCACCAGGGCGCCGTCAACGTAGTCAAATACAATCATGGGGCAAAGTATCTTCTCACGGGGTCAGCGGACAGGACTATTCGGTTGTGGAACCCAGCCCTAGGCAAGGAAATCAAGTGCTATCGGGGCCATGCCCAGCCGGTGCTCGCCTTGGATATGTAAGTCGCCCAGCAGCTCTCTCGATGACTGCAAGTTGCTGATCAGTGTGCACAAGTGCTCAGGACAATGCCAAGTTTGCGTCTTCAGGTGTGGACAAGGCGGTCTTTCTATGGGACGTCCCATCAGGTGCTGTGACCCGGCGATTACAGGGACACTTTGGTCACATCAATGCCGTTGCTTTCAGTCAAGATGGTCAAGTTCTTGCGAGTGGTATGCCTGCTATCCTGATCTCGGTTCCCCGCTAACTGTTCACCAGCTGGATTCGACGCCAAAGTCATGCTCTGGGACATGCGTGCCGCCTCTCGAGACCCCCTTCAAACACTCAAAGAAGCCACTTCCACCATCACCTCCCTCATCCTCCCCACTTCTCCGCAGGTAATCACTGGCTCGGCAGACGGTTTCATTAGGACCTATGATCTGCGATTTGGTCTATTGACGGAGGACCTCATCGGGACGCCTATATCGTCTCTGAAATTATCGCCAACGGCCCCGGAAGAAAGCGTCTTGGTCGGCACCAATGACGGAAAGATGAGAGTCTTTGACAGGAAGGATGGAGGGTGCTTGCAGACGTTTGAAGGGCACAATGTAGGGGGAAAAACAGGCAAATGGGGTACAGAATGGGGTTACGGCGATGGGCTGGTACTCGCAGGCGACGCAGATGGAAAGCTGTGGGCGTACAACGTTCTTGATGTGAGTCTTGTGTCCGTTGTCGAATATTGCGCTGATTTCCAACCAGGCCAGACCCATTGACACAAGCCCTACGCCAATACATAAAAAGACTATCACCAATATTCAACTACATCCCAAGGGGAAGGAGATGATCACAGCGTCTGCGGACGGCACTGTCAAAGTGTGGGGTCACTGAATTAGTTTATCTTGTTGTAACAGTATGCCACACATATTAATATCCAAGCTATGGGAACCAGAACGCTTGCACCAAGCACAATAAATCGAGTACAGAGCACATTGACAGAGCGGGCGTATCAGCCCCAGACGGTTGTGTTTGAAGTAAGGTTCCATTTGAGCGTAAAGTGTAACAATACTCTTCCCGTTCGATTAGCATGGACAGTTTCCTATGACATAGACATGTTTGGCGATCTGCAGGCAATGTGGCTGAGAGAATCAGCAATCTCGTGACAAGTCAGTGACTCTGCGTGATGTCCGATGAACTGGTGGATCCGGGATTGACTTGACGATGAGAGGATGGTTTGGCCAGCTTTCCGGCGCGCGGGAGTCTTGATGTGCGCGATTGATAGACTGGAGAAGCTAAGCTTGTAAATGATTTTAATATGGTGATTGTGTCCGAAATGGCGCTGGAGGAATTGAAGCCAAAAAAGCACACCCATGTCAGTTGAGCGATTTCTGGTTGTAAATAGCGACAACTCTGCGAGACCTGTGCAAGCAGTTTTGTTGACCGAGGGGAAGCGGTAACGCGATGCTAACCATTGCACACTTTGGTTCGCTTCACTCGTGATTCGTGGCCGTTTAAACTCTTTCTTCCATGGTCTCAGCTCCCAATGCCACCTGCTGCCACGATCCAGAGTCTGTTTGCCTGATGTGCTGCATCTCCCGAAATGATACATCACAATCGTATCATAAGCGGGTTTGGGATATGTAGAATGCTGGTCGTATGCGGAGTTTAGATGTTGGAGGGGAAAAGCATCTGAAAATGCACGTTAGCCTTTCGCTTCATCGCACGCCCAGTGAATACTCACGATTCGGCAAGAGGCACCGAAAGTCTTAGCGGGGAGGTTGGTTCGGAACTTGGTCTTGACGACACCGTTACCACCGTGAGATCGAGAGATTCGGCCCCAGATGACTCGGACCTTGGAACCGTTGATCTCTCGCTTGGCCTTGTAAACGTAGGCAACTCGCTGCAAGACATGTTAGTGGTTGGCCGGAAGAATGCTGGCAGGGCATGGGCGTGGGTATCCTCGTTATCTCTCTCCGCCGACTCTGCTGCCCCATTCCTCATATCTCTAAACATCCCCCTAGCGATCCACATCCCAGATTCCCCGCCCCCATGCCATGCCTTCCTGATGGTCGCTCACCTTCCCCAAGTAAGCCCTAGCGGCCTCCTGACTGTCAACACCCTCGACCTGGACGAGGGACTGGTTGGGTCGGGAGTTTCGCTTTCCTCGCTTGTGCCCGATAATTCGGCCCTTGGTGTAGAGTCTGTGGATTGACATTGACGGTTGTGTTATAGAGACAGGGATTTTGTTGAGATTTGGTGTAAGGTGCAAGTCGAGACGGAGGGGGATTTTTCGAGTGGAGAAAATTGGAGGATGAATTGTAAGCACAGCACTATCGGGGGAGCGTGTAGACGTACCGGGAAGCCATCTTTGTGAGAGTTTTGAGGGATAAGGGAGAGAACCAAACTGGCTGTAAGCAGCTAAACGACACGAACAGAGCAAAGTGGTCCGGATTTACGAAAATGTGGCGCGCTCAACGGAATCAAATGTGCGTCTTGATGCGTATCACCGATAAATGCGTAGAAGCGGTCGTCGCCGCTCCCTTAAGTTGACGGACCTCAATGCACGCAACTTACTAGTAGGCATCCCACTCTAGCTATCCCAATCGCCCCTCGTAGGTGACCATACCATCCCGATAAGCATTCTGTTTTCTGCAAATTCACATCCTTCTCATGTGCACCCTCTTGCGCCGAGTTAACAAAGGCTTAACCCCTTGCTTCCTTTATGCACTAGGCCCGACTTGAATCTTTTGTATTTCCCTGCGGGCCCTCCGTGAAATCCGAGATGGGTTGTTTTCAGAATGTACATTCCTTCTCTCCATCTCAGTATTGCTACCAGCTCGGCAAAGCGAGAGTTTCGATCGAAATCGCCGGACGAAGAAAGATTGCTCATCGCCATCTCAAGATCCCGAAATCAACCTTGCATAGCTCTTGACGCGACGTCGACAAGAGTGAAGAGTGTCCGATTGGGCTAATCTCGAATCACAAAGTTGACATTGCAAAGGGCCGCTCAGACCCTCCGCACTCACGTCCCTCTGCACCGCCCCCCCGCACCAGTTGGGCCACGTCGCGGGTACGAAAGCCCTCGTATCGGCTCCCAATACCATCCCCTTCTGTGACCACATCTGGAGGACCACATCATCCTCGGCTCCCTCGCGTGTTACGCCTAGGTTCATAGAGAACAACAACAAGACAAAAAGCCAAGCTTCGCCTCGTTCAGGGTCATAACGTTCCTGTGCCTGTAGTGTCACTCTTGAGTCTTGTCGTGCTCTTTGATTTCGCGCCCGCGGGCCCGCGCCAACAACAAGAAGAGGAGGACGTGCCCTAGTAGATTAGTAGATTAGTAGATTTTGGGATGACGGGTGCGCGAGCCTTGCGTGCAAGTGCTTGCCTAACATAATTGCGTGACGTGGCAATATTTCTATTACCTTGCGCTACAACAATTATGCCCCGTTCCTCTGCCGCTTCCGTGGGATGCGGCATTTGTAATTTGGCTCGATGCCTCAATTGCGGTTGACTGGGCTTTGTTTGTGATGTCATGTGTCGTATGAGGTTGCGTGTTGGTTTCTTTTAGGTGGTGTGCTGGTCTTCCCCCAGTGTCCCCATATACGGCTGGCGGTGGTGCATGCCTTAGTGTATGCACTCTTGTAGGCCCCTATGTGTTCTTTGTTTTCCAAGTATATATGGTAGTCGGGCAGGTGGCCTATCCAAAACCTCGACTTGTTGTCGATCCAGGATTGGTTGTTTTCGAATAAGGTGTCGGCTATTCCCGTGTTGATCTTGAGCTTCCTCTCGTATTCTTTCAGTTGTGCCTTTGACTCTTCTCTTATATGTCTCGTACGCCTGTGGGAGTACGTAAGCGCACCGCACGCCTTTTTCATTTTGCTTCCGCAGGCGCGGTGTCCCTAGCCCCTAGAGGACAACATATAACGCTTACTTGAATTTGCATCACTGTCCTCTGTTGCATCTCTTCCTTCATCCCGACTGACTCACCCATCCGCCACTTCCCGTTTCAGCACCAAACGTACGTTGCCCTCCTCTGCTCCTCTCCCCATAAAGTTAGCGACGCGTCCCAGCAACGCCTGTGCCCCTGACTTGGCGCCGCCCGTCAACGCCGATTGGTACAGCTTTTGCTGATACACGTCGTTATCAGAATCCAACTTCCCACAGCTCTTCAGCATCTATTAATCCCCATCCCAGATCGATACACCCCAGAGTCTTGAAAACCCGTCCCTATCAGACACCTCACCATGGCCAGATACACCACTGCCCTCCTGCTTTCCCTCGTCGGTGCTATGGCGCAGACAGCAGACACCTCTGTCGACAGCTCCATATTAACCATCACCGCCTCCTCGGCGGGGCCATCTGGTTTTGCCATCCCGTAAGTCGATTACCTGACAGTCACATGCGCCACCAGGCCCGAGCTGTTCCCCTTGTGCCCTTTAGTCCCTCTAGTCGTATTTCAGGAAACCCCCCAAAGGGACGACTTTTGTCTAGCTGATTGGCTGACACTCCGTGTTCTCGCAGTGCATTGAGCGCCCTCACTTCAGGAGCCGAAACCGATTCTACAGTCGCCCTTGATACTACATACACTGCTGGGGCCACCCCCTCAGTCTCTGGCGCCCCCGTCCTCCCCACTTCTGCCCTCACTATCGCCGACTATCCTTCTTTGGATGTCACTCCTCCCACTAACTCGTCTCTCGTCACGGAATGGCTCGGAAAGATTGACTTGACCAATGCGCCCACCTACAACGTGACCACCGGTGACTGCTCTACCAGCACCGAGGCGACCACCGATGGTCGATGCTGGTGGACTTGTGGTGGATGCAGTAAGTCCCGCCTCTCGCTCAAGGACTGTACTGACAATGCGTAGCCCGAGACACTGATATCACCGAGTGCCCCGACAAGAACACCTGGGGTCTTTCTTACGACGATGGACCTTCCCCCTTCACTCCCCTCCTCATTGACTACTTGAACGAGAACAACATCAAGTCCACCTTCTTTGTTGTCGGTTCCCGAGCCCTGTCTCGACCCGAGATTCTCCAGACCGAGTACATGTCTGGCCACCAGATCTCTGTTCACACCTGGTCTCACGCTGCGTTGACTACCCTTACCAACGAGGAGATTGTCGCTGAGCTTGCCTGGACCATGAAGGTCATCAAGGATGCCATCGGTGTCACTCCCAACACTTTCCGACCTCCCTACGGTGACATTGACGACCGAGTGCGCTACGTCGCTGCTCAGATGGGTTTGACCCCTATCATCTGGACTTCCTTTGAGGACAACGGTTCGACTGTCAACTTTGACACTGTGAGTGCGGTTATTGGTTTGAAGATGCATCGCTCAAATCCCACAGAACGACTGGCACATCTCTGGCGGTTCTGCCACTGGTGCTTCTTCTTACGCCACCTTTGAAAAGATTCTGAATGAGTACGCCCCTCAGCTCGACAACGGTTTCGTCGTCCTCGAGCATGACTGTGAGTGCAACCCGTATTAACGTGTGATGGCCATTGACCTATGTATCAGTGTACCAGCAGACCGTTGATCTCGCTGTCGGCTACATTCTCCCTCAGGTTCTCGCCAACGGCACCTACCAGCTCAAGTCTATCGTCAACTGTCTCGGAAAGGACATCTCTGAAGCCTACATTGAGACCTCCTCCAACCAGACCACCACCCAGGTCACGTCTGCTGCCAGCACCTTCTTCCAGGCTACTGTTGGTACCGAGACTGGTTCTGAGGTCTCTGCTGCTGCCAGCGCTACCGGATCGACCGCTGCTGGCTCTGCGGGCGCCTCTAGCGAGTCTGGCGCCGCGTCCGGTTCGTCTTCTGCCTCTGACAGCTCTTCCAGCGGCTCGTCGAGCAGCGCTGCGGGCCGATCGGCTACTCTTGGCAAGGCTATTATCGCCCTCGGTGCTATCGCTGTTGGCATGGTCGTTGCTGCTTAAGTTTGTCTCATGATCTAGAAGTACACCGGGGGAGTGGCGGAGGAGAGATAGAGGAGGGACTTTCTGGGCGTCATTGTTTCCCATAGTCGGACTTAATTAACACTAGCTTTGCACCTTCATTTGTGCATGTTTTGATTTTCGCTATGTTCACGTTGAGCCTTGTCATGAAACGGATGGACCTTATGCTTTGCATGCCCCGCCTTGTTCCCGTAACGCAGTTAGGGTCTTATCCGCCGTTTTCTCGCCGTCAAAAAAAATGGGGGTGTCGGCGTTGTTGGTCCTACCTGCTTTCGGATTTACCATCTACAACTCGCAAGGTCGCTCCCTAAACAGTGCGTTCTGTGACTTGGGCTCTTGTACCACCAGTCGAGAGGTCTACGTCATCCTGTCTCGAGTGCGATACATCAATGGACTCATCATCGTGACGCCCCTGAGACGTCGCGAGCTGATGCAACAGCACGCCCCCCAGGAGGTCCGGGACGAGCTGAAGCGTCTTGACACAGAGGCCAGCAAGACGGAAAAGATCATCGAGAAGGAGTGTGCATGGTTCCCGATGGATTTGGAGTACGAGTCAGTCCTTCCCCTCTTTCTCTGCTGTTCTCTTGATAACCATATTCTACTAGAGCTCCATAGCAATCCGTTGATGCTGATGGTGATGACTGACTAGGTAGCACATTTTTGGCCATGCACATGTCTTACATGGTGCTTGGAACTCTATGACTCATGGCGCCTGGCCATTCCGTCGTCGCCAAAAGACACATTCATCATGCCCGTGATGACATCCGCTCGTCCCTAAACGTGTCGCCTCTTACCCTCATGCGACCCATATTGATGTCATTTCTCTTCTGTCAACCTGCGCTGCAAGTAATCGGTGATGTGTACTCTTAGTCGCTATAGCGTCCTTTTCGTTGGTATTGCATTCCTTTCCTCACTGCGCCGTGCTCGGTTGAACGAACGTTCAGTAATACGTACTCTTGATCATTGGCGGACTCTTGCTCGACGGTCGGGACTCTTGTTCGTTACTACGTACTCTTGATTCATGGTATGCAGTCGGTGTACTCTTACCCGCTACAGCATCCCTTTCGTCGGTACCACATTCATTCCTTCACTGCGCCATGCTGGGTTGAACGACCGTTCCCTAGTACGTACTCTTGTTCATTGGCGGACTCTTGCTCGACAATCGGGACTTTTGTTAGTTACTACGTACTCTTGATTCATGGTATGTACTCTTGCTCGACGGTCGAGGCTCTTGTTCGCTGCTACATGCTCTTGTATGATGATGTCTATTCTCGGTCTGGACTGGACAATTGGTCACTGATGCACACTCCACTGCGTACTCTTGGGCGGTCATTGGTCGGGGAAACGGGCTATCGTACTCTTGCTGGATGAGGCGGCAAAAGGTATAAGAAGATCCGGCCAAACGCACTTATCCCCACAGTGCCTCTGAAAATGACTACTACCACCACCTTCTCTTCCTGGAACGAGGTGAAAGCCAACGAAGGTTCCAACATGGACCTCCGTCGTGTTCTACCCCTTCTATCCTTCTTCACCACTTCCGAGATCGAGGAACAACTCTCCTCAAATACCTTCCTTCCCTTATACCTGAACGATAACTGCGAACTTCCGCCTATCAAATTCAAGATTACCGGCGGGAACGTCTCCGTCTGCGATGACGACGATGCCGGTGACGAAGAATCGACAAACGCTAAAAGGAATACATACCTCCAATGGCGATCGAGGTGTCTTGAGTACTCTTGACCACCTAGGTCGTAAACTCACGTCATTTTTACGGTTAGCAAACATGAAGACTTTTGAGCGGAATTCCAGTTTGGTATTGTAGAAACCAATGCCGTTCGGCGTGATTTCGTACGGCGAGGGGGCGTTATTGTTTACTTGCGTTTTGAATGCGTTGGCGATCGAATTGTACGCCTTCACAAGGTTCGCAAGGCCGGCGGACAATGGGCAAATCGCGAGGGAGTATTTGGCAGTGGCGGCGATACTGCGAGCGAAACGGCTGGAGTCTTCGGTAAATTGAAGTTTCTTCTTTGTGCTTGTTGCAATTATCCTAACTTGCAACGTAGGGGCACGTATCCGACACTCTGCAACGAGGATACCACAGCCACGATACCGAAGCCTGTACCGTCCTCTACAGGGACGGCCAGGGTGTAGACACCTCTATTCCCACGTATGTTTACTCTTGTTTACGTCTTCATGTAACTCACCTTTATGCTGACCCCAAACGTCTCCGCCTTCTTCCAACAGCCGCTTCGCTCGCAGTATCGCCGCTGCCAAATACTCCCTCGCGATTTGCCCATCGTCCGCCGGCCTTGCGAACCTTGTGAAGGCGTACAATTCGATCGCCAACGCATTCAAAGCGCAAGTAAACAATAACGCCCCCTCGCCGTACGAAATCACGCCGAACGGCATTGGTTTCTACAATACCAAACTGGAATTCCGCTCAAAAGTCTTCATGTTTGCTAACCGTAAAAATGACGCGAGTTTACGGCTGTATACTCTTCCATTATACTCGCTGACCTGGTGTTACCACCAGTACACTGGCGAAAACTTCCCCTGCGACTCCGACCTCGAAGAACCAGTGGTCACCGCCATGCTCAAGGGCACCGCCTACCGTCGTCGGCCCTGGCCCAGGGTTGTCGTCCGTGGCCCCAGCGTCGACCCGGAATCATCAGACGCAGAGGCAATTTTTGAAGCTGGGTTCCACTCTCTCGTATACCTGCCAGACGACGTGGTCCTCTCCGTAGCCTTCAACGTTGAAGTGAGTACCACCATCCTTCATGCTCATGGCTTGCCCCGCTCACAAAGTGCCTTTTCAAACAGGGCTACGTCATGGACGGCAAGCGTGCAGGTCTCGAGTGGACGCCTTCGACAATAATTGTCCACGGAAGGGTATGTTCATCTTTTCTGATACAACGGCTCGCAATGAGTTCCTGATAAGCTACACCAGGTCTCTGCCGGTAACACGACCGAATCCTCACCTGCGAAAAGACCTCGGCAGGATGCCCTTTCTTCAAATGTTTTGCTCGGGAAATCGCCCGTCAAGAAAACAAAGAGTGAGTCTTTTCCTAACTGAATAATCCGAATTCTGCTATCATATCTGACGTAAGATTGAATCCAGGTTCTTCCATGCCATCTGAATCACCCGTCGCTTCGAACTCTTCCTCCGCCGCTTCAAACTCTTACGCCGGCCCTTCGAGCTCTTCCACCGCCCCTTCCTCTTCCGCGGTCACCTCGAGCGACGTTTTCGGTGGGACTGAGCCGTTGAGGAAGAGCAGCCGCTCGAGAAAAGGGAAAGAGAGAGAAGATGATGATTATGAAGGTTGACTCTCGTAAAAAGATCGAAGAATACTTGTACAATAATATGATAATTTGAAGGATGCAAGCCGTGAATCTGCCATCCTCGCTTTACTTTGCTGCGTTACTTGTCGGCCACCCCCTGAGAAGGCTGAGATTGGTGGGTGGCCCGCCGCGGACTGACGCATGCCACGTGGGCAAGCTGGGGCCGCGATGTTACTGTTTAAGGGACGGAATAGCGTAAAAAAGATTGAAAGATTCTCGCGGCAAGAGCTGTCTATAGTTCTATACAACTACTTTACAATCCAATCCAATCCCGCTTTCTACATATCCCGCTGCCCAGCCATCCCAGCCATCCCAGCCAAAGGCACCGCCCCCGTGCCCGGTAAATGTCCCACAGCGTATCCACAACCACCCCACCCCGCCCCAGCTACTGCGCCCCTGGCCAACCCGCCGGGAACGCCGACCCCTCTGACCAGAACCACTACATAATACCTGGGCTCTGAACATGCCCAGTGGATATAATAGCGGGCCGAAAGGTGCGTCGCTGCAGCTGGGGAGACGACAGTGGCATGCTAACATCCGATCCTTTCCAGCCCTAGTATCCCCTACAAATTCCCTACACCCCTCGCCCGCCTCTCAGTATTCCTCCCTGCAGTATGCAAAAGCCGGCTCCTCCAAATCCGCTCCCCGCCCAAGACTGAAATCGTCCCACCAGCGTACCTTCATGTCCGACTCGGATTCCGACCTCACTCCTGCTTCTTCCGACGAAGACGAGGAAGACGATAGGTATGAAAGTCTGGTGACACCGAGGAAAGGGGCGCACAAGGGGCGACCGTCTACTGCCGGTGGGGGTTCGGGGAGTGTGCAGAAGAGTGCTACAAAGAAAGCGGCACCGAAAAAGGGCAAAAATCCGCAAGCGAAAAAGAAGAGCCATTCATCGAAAGATATCAATACCAAGACGACTACGGGTCCTTCGGGGAGAGACAAGAAGAAGGCTATCAAGCTCGAAGACTCGGAAATCAGAAGAGCGAGGGATGCCAAGTTTGATGTGGACCAGGACTTCGGAGATGGAGTTGTATGTCTCTCTCTCAACATCTAAGAATCTTTGGCTGACTTGATACAGACTCCCACACAAAGCGCCTCCCAACACCGCTCGATACACGAAGATGATGCCTCGTCGTATGGAGACGACGAGTCAGATCACGGAATCACTGACGAGGAGCACACCATTGCTGGCATTCCGGAAGCCTTCATTGGTCAGGAGATTGAAGATCTCGCATACGGTGCAGGAGACTTGGATGCAGAGATGGCATTCTGGGGAGGAGCAGAAGACGGATCCGACGACGAAGACGAAGAAGTGTGTCACTTTTTGCATCAACAAAATTTGACCCGCGGCTGACGATATCAACAGATGTACATTGACCAACTATCCGGATCCGAAGCCGACCGACAATCACAATCCTCTGTATCAATTCGCGACTCTGACTCGTCCACAGACGACGAGACAGATGATGAAGTACTCGACGAGTTCGGCTTTCCGGTCGCTTCTGCCCCGCACTTGCCGTTGGAACTGGCAGAGAATGGCGCAGAGGACCCGGGGCTGATCCTTATGGAAAACTGGGACGGGCAATTCGTACTCGTGCAGCCTCGTGTTGAGCGGAGTCGTTCACGCCACCGCGGTGACAGAGGTTCTCGCACTGGCGCGTCTACCAATGGCTCCGTTATGTCCGGTACCGAGCTCCACAATCTCACTATCGACGCCGACGCTGCCGACCGAGAGTTCGAATCTGACACTTCTTCATGGAGCGGTTTGTCAGACGAGGACGACGGGGGCGACACCACCGACTCGATGGCGGAGGAGGACATGCCGATGCTGGACAGCCCGGCGTTGAACGAAATGATGGAGCATCAAATGGCCGATGCCGTTCTCAACATGACGGTGGACGGGGGCGATATCAGCGGGATGGTGTTGCCAGAGGCTGTTGCGAGTGTCCCCGGGCCAGCCATCACTTTCACGGAAGCGGTCGGTGAGATTACCCCTGCCTTGTCGACAACCTCCTCCTCCGCCCCCTTCGAATCCAATACACTCCCAACAACTCCCTCATCTGCGGAGCCAACCCCCTCCGAGATGCCAGCCCCCTCGAATGTGCCTCAAATGGGCACATTCCATCCCCCTACCGGTGACCCAGCCCAGCACGCCGTCATTGACGGTTCGGGCCTCACCACCAAATCACCCTTCACCCACCGCCGCCGCTCTCGCAGAAATCGTGATGCTGCCAGCTTGGCTTCCTCCAGAGAGGACAAGGAGCGTAAACGGAAATCACAGAGTGACATCTTCTCTCCCTCTGCCATGTCTCCCTCCACACCCAAGCCGACTGCTTCTACCAAGTCCAAGAAGTTGAGGTACTCGTCCATTCCTGGTCATCCGCGCTATGTCGCGGCTCGAAGGGCTGCTGAAGCGCTCATGCCAGAAGAAGACCGGAATACCACAACGGATGACGAAGAGGATGGGTTCAATCTGGAAGATATGTTGGAGGAGGGCGTCCTCGTGGATGGTGCTGGAGAGGGCCTTGAAGGCGAACCGGTGGCGGCCGAACATCTGCGCCACATGCTCAGATTTGACAGAGTCGGTGTGTCGACATATCTCAGACGCAACTTTGGCACTCCCAACGCTGCTGCCGCTGTAGAACCCCGTGCTAGCTTCTCCCTCGGCGTTGCCAGTGCCTACCCCTCACCCGGAAACGCCCGTCTCGATGATACTCTCGTTGGGGCTATGGGCGGGAGGATGTTGATGTCTCCCGTGTTGGGCCCTGTAGAGGAGGGGCGCGGCAGGAGCGGGAGGAAGAAGGAGAAGAAGAAGAGAAAACAGAGCGCTTCTGTCATGCCTGAGCTGGCTATATGAGCTTGTTTCTATGAGCATCTTTTGGCATTGCGACACTGTATCCGTGTATAGCATTGATCGGCAATATCCCCTCCCCCTCTCCCATCGTACAACGTTTACAGTCACCCGTTCCCCTTCGCATAACTCCTACCACCATCAATTTCTTGTACTATCTCTTCTTCCTTCGCATATGTTCTATTACGAGATATTTCACACCGCATGGTCTCTTTCTCTCTATCTCTTCCTTCTTTCGGTAAATCTAGGTTTGAGACGAAATCGCAAAAAAAAATCAATAGGAAATTGTTTGTTTTATATATATATATCACCGTATGGCAACATGCATCATGAAATGTGTGTAGTATCGCGCTTCAATCAGTGGTGTTGGCCCATGAGCTGTGGTATCTCGTCAAGACTTGGGGTCTTCTGATGAGCCCCGCCTTCACACGGGTCCTCATCCAGTGACGGACCAGAAAGCAGCTGAATATAGATAGATGCATACAATACAGTCGTAATCCTCTTCCGTTCGTAAACTCCCTACCAGTCCTTCAGCATCTCCCTAGAGAGCGGCTCAGTCTCCATCTCATACTCGACATCCACTCGAGGCTTCCTGCCAGCCTTCTTCGCAGGCCCACCAGACTTCGGTGCCTTTCGCTTGGTACCAGCCACAGGAGCGGGAGCCTTTTTGGGCGCAGGAGCTTCGGGTGAAGAGGCGCCAGAAGCTTCGGAACCCTCGTCATCCTCATCCTCGTCCCCAGAGACTTCGAGGTCAGAGGGGAATGCTTGTCCCTGCGACCCCTCCGCCTCAGAATCGAACTCGTCAAACTCGCTCCCGCTGTAATCCTCCAGATCGCCCACACTCTCATCATCAGTGTCTTCCACGTACTCCCTCTCTCCTCCCTCCCACTCCTCCTCTTCCTCCTCGTCCATACTCTCGTCGTCCTCCATATCCATCTCGAGATCCCTGTCTTTGCCCTTGCTGTCCATGTCCAGAATTTGTTGCCAAACATCTTCGTTGACATTGAGAGGAGCATCGCCGTAAGCTTTTGAGCGGAGTCGCTCGAGGAGCTCTTTCTCAATATTCTTTTCGAGGTGGGCGGCAGCGAGGGCTTTGCGTTCACGGGTAGCTTCACGACGTTCGAGCTTCTTCTTGATGCCGACCTTCTTGGGCCTGGATAGAATTGTCAATCGGGTGATTATGGTCGAAAGCAGAGGAATGCTTACTGCTGGGTCATGCTCAAACGACGCATCTTGATCAAGTACTGGGTGATTTTGGTTATTCTCTGTTTACACTTGTGCGTGACGAAATTGGGCCAGTAGATTAATTCTTTGTCGATCTACAGTACCTGGTTAGCGATTGCTCGCATCTTAAGTCTACGGACTGACCTGTTCAAGCGCTTTGGTGTAGTTGCTAGAGAGCTTTATGCGTTCCCACATGTTGGCAGGAGTGTGGGCTCGTTCAATGGTCTTGACGTAGAGGTAGAGGACGCCTATGAGATATAGCAGTCAGCATAGTTTAGTGATGCAAAGAGACATCATCCACTCACCCTCCTTCTCACGGACAGTGGCATATCGCGAGTTGGCAAGAGGACATGATTGTCGGGTACAGAATCCAGTGAGGTTGTATTCGTTACGGCAGAAGTTTTGGGTGGCAGTCCTGCGCTATTGTCAGAGGCCCATCCTCGCGTCTACAGAAGGGCGTCAAAGCTCACTTGACTTTGTAAGAACAGAACCTGTCTAGAGTCAGCATAGGTACAGGGGCAACAAGGGATCACTCACTGATGGTTGATGACAGACCAGATAACGTCGTCGGACTGTCAAAGGTCAGCTCCTGCTACCGCAACCTACTAGTGTACCATCCCGACTTACCTGCATTTTGGAGAGTTGATTTTGATGTAGGGGCACAAGATTCGCAACTCTGGCACAAATCTTGTCGCCAGTGGACAGGCCTGCTCAAAATTATTTTGCTTCCGCTGCTGTCTCGTGTTTTGTTCCCGTACGCGGCGCTCGCCGACGGCCAACCAAGGCTGGGCGATGACAGCATGGTGCTCTCCATCTCTCTCATGCATCTCGCACAAAAATGGCCTCCCTTCTCTCCCTGCCCATCGCAAACAGGTCGGCCGCAAGGACCGCGTTGTGTGAGCTTCATTCGGCGTCATCCTGGTGCAGCAACTGACCTTTGGCAGCTCTGACACACACCGCTCGTCGCACATCCTCGCCCCCACTCCAACACCTTCGTTCCTTCGGAGTCTCGCCCCGGAGATCTCTATCGCATTTCGATACCTATCTGTTTGTGGAAAAACTTGAAAAGAATGGCATGACAAGGGAGTCGGCGGAGGGAGTGATGAGTGTTTTGGCGGAGGTGATCGAGGAGAGCATAAAGGGGATGGAAGCGAGCTTGGTCAGCAAAGCTGAACAGGAGAAGGTCGGTCTGCTATGTACGCAAAATAGCCTGCTTACACTGCACTAGCAACGTTACACGGAGAAAGTCGACTTTGCCAGACTCAAGTCCGAGCTTCAGCTACATGAGAAGAACGACCTTACTCTGATGAAGGCCGAGAACGACCGCTTGATGGCGGATGTCGAGAAACTCAAGCAACGTCTCCGTGAGGAAGTGACTCGGACGCAAGCAGGCGTCCGCCTGGATCTCAATCTGGAGAAGGGCAGAATAAGAGATGAGAGTAGTCAGCAAGAGCTAAAGATCAAGGAGGTGGACACGAGGATCGAGAGTGAGATAGCTGGTCTGCGAACGCAGATCGAGCAAGCAAAGTTTAGTATCTTGCAATACTTGGTTGGTGTCGCCACTGGTTCCGGAGCTCTTCTAGTAAGTGACAAATTGCTTAACCATGGGACATGGCTGACAGATCGCTCGCAATCAGCTTGCGTACATGAGGATGATGGTACGTTCACTCTTGTTGTCGAAGCCTGAGCCAACTTAACTGATGTCAGATGTAGCGCTAAAGTGTCAAGAATCACTGTTGTATACCGATACCTCGGCTTTGTACCATATGGACACATGCATCTCTGCTATGTCAAGCATCCCTACGAAGGAGACTCGCCGATACGGTGGAGGCTCTGATATCTAGGAGTCTGCATCTCTTCCGTGTACGCCTCAAGTCATGGCCCAGCTCGCCTTCTCTCCCCACACCACTTGAAGTCTTCCGTCACGATCCATCTACCTTCTGCAACTGAATGAACTTCCGTTGGGCGAGAACTTTCTCCAGCTTGATTAGATATACATGGTGGACTGTGAGACACACGTTCTGCTTATGCAAGTGGGTGCCTGTTGATAAAGGAAGAGCGGGTAGGATCTTCCTCCTGTCATGATCTCGGCACTAAATCATCGCAAAGGATCCGGACGTTTTTGACCCTTGGTCGATTTCAAAAGAAGCGGCTAACGTTAGTCCTTTCAAACCCCTAATTCATTTCCCTGTGCAATTGCCCCTGTTAATCGTCTCTGATACCCCCTGGCGAGATCAGTGTCATTGCCATTTCGGGTACGCCAAGCTTACTCCATTCTGTGCCTCTCATCCGGCCTACTTATAAATGTACCACAAGAGAGCTGATGTGGTCTCATAGCCTCCTCGTGCCATTTTTCAATCATGCGGTTATCTTTGAGCTTGAGCCTCTTGGGGGCAGCTCTGACCACGGTGGGGGGTGTCAGCTTGGAATATTTGAAAACTGGCCTTGCTACTGCTGGCGAAAGTATCAACTCCGAGTTGAGTCGACGGAACGACACGAGCAGCTCTGCTGAACGATATGTCTTTGCGTGAGTGGATTACTAACACATCTACCCACCACAAGGCTGAGATAAACAGACACTTCATGGTTGGCTTTGTCGACGCTTACACGCAAGACGACTGGACCCGCGATATCGAGCTGGCGATGAGTAAGGGGATCGATGGGTTCGTTCGTGAACCATATTCACAACTCTACTATTACACTGACAACGATGTTAGGCTTTGAATTGCGACGGTCAAGACGCCAATGCCCAACAGCTCACATTCGCCTTCAAAGCCGCGTCAGCATCGTCAACACCATTCAAGCTCTTCATCTCCCCTGATTTCGTGCATTACTCTACCGAGGACCATGAACCAGTCTCCGACCTTCTCAAGTCCTGGATCACAGAGGATGCTTACTTCCGGTACAATGACAAGCCTTTCGTCTCTAGCTTTTGGGGTGAAGGGACAGATTGGGAAGCTGTCAGGACCGATGTTGGGCAAGATCTTTACGTGGTACCGTACTACTACGCCAGTCAGTCTGCCGCTGGGACTAAGGGCGTGGACGGTCTCTTTTCTTGGTGAGCTGAACACGGTACCGCTTTGCACAAATGCTCATCATTCACAGGTCAGCATGGCCCGGTGAGGGAACCGAAGATGTTGTCAACCAGAACATGACCACGGACAAAGACAAGGAATATCTCGACCTTCTTGGCCCTCTTGATAAGACCTACATGGCCCCTGTGTCTCCCTGGTGTGAGCGTCTAGATGACCTTGTGCCTTTAAAGCTGATGACTTTCAGTCTATGCCCACCTTCCAGCGTCTACGGGTTACTCGAAGAATTACTATCTCTACTCTGACACTCTCTGGCCTACTCGATGGCAACAGATCCTCTCGCTCACCAAAAGTCATCCTGACCAGCTCAAGTTCGTCGAGATCATCACGTGGAATGACTGGACCCAGTCTTCTTTGATCTCTCCTTACAGGGGCACGGAAACGACTGATGGTAATGAAGCGTGGAGCAAAGATTTCGACCATTCTGCTTTCATGGACATGATGGGCCCATTCATCACTGCGTTTAAAGCTGGTTCGGAAGATGTATCAGTCACTGAGAATAGGCTTGTCTATTGGTACCGGCCGAGTCTGAAGGACGCAGAGTGAGTGGGCTTGACTCGTCACAGAAAGCTTTTTTGGTTGACTGAAAACCAGGTGCGACTCTACAGACAGCGTTGGAAGCAAGCCTAGTGGCGCCGAAATGGCAGCCGACTCTATCTTTGTCGCTGCGATGACCGTTGGAGCTGCTACGATCACAGTCACGTCCGGATCTTCGACCTCTTCGCAGATCGTTGACAAGGCAGGCGTCCACACGTTGTCGTTCCCCATGGAAGCAGGGGCTGTTTCGTTCGAGATGAAGATGGATGACGGTGGGCGAGCGAGTGGGAAAGGAGCTATCGAAGTGACATCAGGGTGTTACGTGAGCCATCGATCTTTGAAGTGTGGAACGAAACTGATACTATGGTCAGAATGACGTTTACAACTTCAACGTTCTTTCCGGTACTATCACTGTGGACGATGGTTCAACGGGAGATTCGGCGTCTTCGTCGCCAGTGGTTTCTGAGACAACTGCCACTAGCACGGGGACTGTCAATGATTCTTCTCCTTCCATCAATGCTGTTTCTGAAGAGCCTGGTCTCGCCGCGGGGTCTTCCAGCTCGAATAGTGCAGATACCATTCAGACCGCAGTGTCACGACCTAGCTGGGGAATTACTACGTGTGACACGCAGCCGCGAGCCCTACTACCGGAGTAGATGGTGGCGTAGTTGCTCTCGCCTCTCCCGAGACGTTGAACATGTCGGGGTGGGGTACGTCGGTCCAGGGAAGATGACAGAGAGATCGTCACCCGCCTCGGACTGTTTCAGTATATTGATCTGTAGATATTTTGAGTACCAGCGCTCCAAACTCGAATGTACTGCAGTAGACGTCTCTGAAGGATGTAAAGGATCTAGCTGCGGAAAGAAGTGCCTCGATGTATTTGTTGTACAATTGAGTACTCAAGTAAAGATACCCCGATGTCAGTTGGGACTATGGCCACCAGGAGGTCTAATCATAATTGGCGGGTCTGCCTGCCACGGTATACAGAGTCGCGCACATATCTCTGCTGAAAGAGAGCTCATACGAGCAGACGGCGGCGCAGACATGCACATATACATGCAACGGTCCGCACAACCGTTTATACTATAACCCCCTAGCCTTGAGTTTGCTCTCCACGATTCTCTCCACCATCGCACTGATTCTGTCCGTACTCCCCAGCACATACTTTCCTACACAATCTGCTTCGACGTTTACAGTGCGTCCAACTTGCTTTGCCGTCAAAGTAAGCTTCTCCTGACTGTGGGCTATCAGCATGATGCCAAAGGTCCGGCTTTCATCGTCGACTTCAGTGACTGTCAAAGAAGCGCCGTCGATGGTGACGTAGCCTTTCTCGATGATGTATGGGAGGAGGGAGGTGGAGGGGGCAAGCTGGAAAGTGTAGCGAATAGAGTCGCCGTCAGGGACCTTTCTCAGTATTTGAGCAGTCTCGTCCACGTGTCCCTGGGTACTGTTAGCTGGATCAAGTGTGCGGAGATTGTACTTGCCTGCACCATGTGTCCGCCGAATCGGGTATGCCCAGCCATAGCCCTCTCGCAATTCAGCTTGTCTCCCACCTTGACTTCTCCCAGGTCGGTCCTTCTCAAAGTCTCGGGTGCGAGACCGACGGTGAAGCTGTCTTGATTGAAGCTTGTTACAGTCAAGCAAGCACCGTTCACGCAGATGGAATCGCCAATGGAGCAGTCTACGAGTATGGGGGCGGCATCGGAGAGGGTGAATGTAAAGTGGTCAGCGCCTGTGGGGGAGATGGCGGAGATGGTGGCGAGGTGTTCTATCTAAGGGAGGATCAGCCCCTGCGCCGTACACTGCATGGGTACATACGAGTCCTGTGAACATGCTGCTATGAGGCTGAGTAGTTGTTGTTGATGAGAGTGGATGAATGAATGAATGATACCGCGGCTGAGTGAGCGAGGTGTCCCGATCCCCACCTGCAGACCACGTGAGGCTATCGAACGCGTTTCCGGGATGTAATGAACGCGTTCTCTCCATCAACCAGGCATCCCAATGCTCCCAAAACGAGTCACCACATACGGCAGGGCACACCGCCCCAGGCAGAGTAGACCCCTGGTGGCCAGCATGTCGTTCAGTCCAGAGAACTCCCTGGCAGCCCTTCCTGAGGGGGGCATGGAGGATGCGGGTGTTGACGAGGGACTGACGGCGGTCACGGACGATGTGGCGCCTCCGTCCAATACCCCTGCCGCCACAATGCCCAACAGCACACCAAAAAGAGCCAGAAGATCACAGGGCCGACCCGGAAAAGCAGACCCCGACCCGGACTCTGAAACCCCGGCTTCAATGGCTATACCGACGTCAATGACGGGGGTTGCGCAGGGTCTTGTACCATTCGAGGACGAGTCTGAGCTATCGGATCTGTCCGACTCGCCGATCAAACGACCCTTGCCAAAGCCAAAGACCGAACGCAAGGCAAAATCAAGACAGTCATTGCCCAAGAGACCTTCGGGACAAAGCAGCAGTGAGGAAGGGGAAAGCGATGAGAGCTTCGGGAAGAAGAAGCGTGCGCCGGCAAAAGGGAAAGCCCGGGGTACACGGACAGCGAATGCAACCCCAACAAAGGGTAGACGTGCTCGAGCAGCTGCCCCCGTTGAGGATCCCGACAGCGAATACGAGTCTGGATCGCATGAGGGGCAGAAAGATGAAAGGTCTCCGGAGAAGGGCAAGAAACGCCAGAGCTTAGCTGCCAAGCGTAAATCCACCACCGGAGATGTGAACGGGAGCGCCAAAAAGCCAATCAAGCGCACCAAGTTGGGGGCATCAAGTCCCTCTCTATATGACGACGACGCCAGAATGTCCTCTCCTTCTCAACCGAAATCGCAACACCGGAAGGCGGCTCCGAGGGGCTCCCAGGCATCTATGACAAAAGGGAAAGGGAAGAAGGTTGACAAGGATGAGGCCCCACCTTTGTCTGACTTCTTGAATAGTTTCCAAGATGCGCCGGATAATCAGAATCACGACGTATTGATGCGTATGTTTGAGGACTCGGGTGACGAGATGAAGGAACAGCAAGGCGGTGAAGAATTATCCAATGACGAAGACGTCCCCGCATTCAGGCCTACCACAAGACCGGACGCGTGAGTCTCATCCTTTCTCTCGAGATTTCGGCTGAACAAGGGGCAGGCTCTTTGATACTTGTTTTGTGTTTGCTAAATATCCCAAGACGGCCGGGAGTTGGTACATTGGCGAATTCTTGGAGTTTCGCCCCGCCAAGAATGAGGTTGACAAACAGGCCGGAAAGGATTATTGCGTAGTCAAAGATTTCAATGGCGAGGTGCACGAAAAAATCAAGTTGGAGGATATCGTCACGAGAAAAGACGAACGGATCGCTACGATCAAAGTGAATATTCCTCCAATACTTGGTTGATGAGTAAAGTAATTTTGTGTCATAGCTTGGGAATTACGATTTCACCGATAGCGGTGATCAAAAGTTCACTTCTGATGCCGACTTTCGCCCGCCGTCTCCTCCCCCCCAAGATCCTTCACCGGACGCCGGCCCCAGCCACCCCACACCGATTCCAACACAACAAGAGCTTTACCCCGACGACTACAGCGATCTTCCCACCGCAAAACAACTCTGTCTTATTCGCCCTCATCTCCAATCGGTGCTAGATGAATCCTACCCACCGGCGCAGTGGCGCATGGACGCGTTCCATCGTGGCAGGAACGACAGAGAGTCTTTGAAGGCACAGGGGAATAGCGGGGACTACTCGGAGGACGAGATTGTCGGTGTGCTGCTGCCAGAGCTGAAGAGGTGGGCACTGAGAAGGGAGAGGTGGAGGGAAGCGGAGGCAAGTTATATCTCACTGTCAACAGTCGACCATTTTCTGACTCCTGGACAGCAACGTCCACCAGAGCCCCCCCGACCATCTGGCTCGAGGCGTTACGAAGCCCTCTCGCCCTCTGATCGCGACCTCTTTGTGCAGCTCATACTCTTGCCCGAAGCCATCGTCGAGATTTGCATACGCTCGCACGCCCCCGGCGTGCTTGTGGAAAAGTTGAAAGAATTGCAGGAGGCGGAGGTTCATGGAGCAGATGACTCTGATGCTTGCTCGTTGATATCGTCCGTCCGAGATTCGGATGATGAGGATGAGGAGAGAATGGCCAATCGGGATGCGGGAACCCCAAGAGTAGAACTGGGTGCAGGAGCTAAAGTCGTTAATGAGAGAGACCCTCGTGAACAGTCACAGGTGGCGAGGGATGAAGAGCCGCCCACAGAACCTGAAGCCCATAGGGAGGGAGAGGATCAATCATCGAACGCGGGTACTGTCATAGCGAGCACTGCTTCCATCGCGAATCCCTCACTGCGAAGCCCGCCTCAGCCATCCTCGGTCCTCACTCCTGCCTCGCTCCCCCGGCCTTCTCCCGCCCCCGACTTGGCGCCCCTCGCAGAGGACCCCATGCTTCTTTATAAAGCCGCACGTGAGCACCTGCTCGATCTCAGCAAAGAGGACACGGCGAAACGCTGGAGTATGGGCGAGGCAATTTTGAAAAGGGCAAGAGAGAACGCGAGAGAAAGAATCGGGCTGGCGCCGGAACATCTAAGCAAGGAGGAGATGAAGGAGTGGGAGGCGAAGAGGGCGCAACCGTTCGGGAGCGAAAGGCCGATGAGGAGGGTGAGGAGTGGAAGGTCGAACTATCAGTAGATCCAGAAGACGTGCAGCAGTGACGCGGACTCTGCCTGGGGATAGAAGATGTATTCTAGCTGTAATGAGCCTGATACAATGCTTGATACCTGCCCGTCGCGCGCACATCGTACTGTATTTGAAAGCACATACTCGCTCCCAATATTACTCTTGGTAGATCTCCAATCGAGCTGCACTATGTATCACTGCGCAATGCCAGCGCAATGCACCGTTGCCGGTACAAACATGTACAAACAAACGGGCGGCGATGTCCGAGAGGCACGTGGGGTGATATTGGCTATTGCGCACGCATTTGACGCGTATCGTCCATCTATTATTGTCCCTCTTCCTCTTCCTCCTCCTTCTCCTGCCCCCTCAGCGCCATGGGTCCAGACACAGCGGTCTCTCTGCCCACTGTCTCTTACAGGATTATCGAAGATGACAACTCCCTCCTGCAGCCAGCGGGCGTCCAGTCTGTAAGTCGGCCTATATTTCCGCTCCAGCAGCCGGGACTCGGGGATAATGTACTGATGCATTGATGAATAGGAACAGAGCAGATCCTATGGGTGTCAGTACTTTGAAACCAGGGTGGCGCCGTATCACTGATTCCTTGCAGTCAATGATTACTCCGATTTTGAACGTCCTGAACACTACATCCGCTATATAGGTAGGCAGACACCGTTGTATGCTTATGGTGCTTACGCGGTGCTTCCAGAACCCATAGAATCGGAGCTCTCTGTACAAGTAGAGTATGACATGGATGAGCAAGGTGAGCAGATCGCGCGTCCTTGACAACATTACTGACGCGACGCGCCTACAGATCAGGTATGGCTGGACGCGCTGAACGTGGAGAGAAAGAAGGACCAGTGCGGACCGATATCATATGAGGTGTTTGAGATCATCATGGACAAATTGGAAAAGGAGTGGTTCAACCTGGTTAGTTTTCTTCGTCTCCTTCCTGGCGGAAACTGACTCTTGGCCCAGTCCAAACGTATACCAAAACCCGATCACTCTCTTCCTGCAGAAGACTCGAAATGTTCTGTTTGCGATGATGGCGAAGGCGAAAACTCCAATGCCATTGTCTTTTGTGACGGCTGCAACCTCGCCGTCCACCAAGACTGTTACGGCGTGCCGTATATTCCGGAGGGGCAGTGGTTGTGTCGCAAATGCACGGTATCGCCGGAGAATCCTGTTGTAAGTCAAGCTCAAGAGGTCAAGAGTATCAGGCTAACCAGAACAGTCGTGTGTATTCTGCCCAAACGAGGGAGGGGCTTTCAAACAGACCACGACCGGTCACTGGGCACACCTTCTCTGTGCTATCTGGATCCCCGAAACATCCCTTGGCAACGCCATCTACATGGAACCCGTCGAGGGTTTGGAACACATACCAAAATCCCGATGGAGACTTGTAAGGGCCCCTCTGCTGTGCGCGATAGCCCAATCTGACTCGGCATCGACAGGTCTGTTCCCTATGTAAAGAAAAAGTCGGAGCGTGTATACAGTGCGACAACCGGAATTGCTTCACTGCCTTTCACCCCACCTGCGCTCGGCAAATGGGGCTTCTCCAAACGATGAAGTCGCTCACCACAGACGGCGTACTGAGAGCGTATTGTCATAGACATCTCCCTGTACGTCTCTCTTCATCTCTGGCTGTGTGGCAAGCTAACGGGTCATAGGTTGAGGAAGCGGATGTACTACAGGGGTATGGGGAAGGTAGAGATGAAGAGTGGGACGCACGCTCTAATCTCGATCGTGTTTTACCTCCCCCGGCAAAAGCTCAAGGCAAAGCCCGTTCGCACAAAAAAGGCGCCTCCAACAGGTGCATCAGGACGCCCAAGGCCCCAATCATAATCGCGCCTTTGACAAAGAAATCAGCTCAGGCTCACTCCAAATCTTTTCGCCCCGGCCCTCCTGTCATTCCCAAGATGATTGTCAACAGAATCCTGGATTATGTTGGAAAGGTGCAGGTGAGAAAGAAGCCGGCGGTGGTAGAGATGATAAGTAGGTACTGGAGTCTAAAGCGGGAGATGAGAAGAGGGGCGCCGTTGCTGAAGAGATTGCACTTGGAGGTAAGTCTTTTATCTTGCGATCAGAAAGGGCTCTGTTGAACGGAACGGCATAGCCTTGGACGGCGTCGACTACCGCCAAAACGCAAACTGAAGCGGAAAAGACACTCAAGCTCAAATTCCTCCAGCTTGTTCGGAACGACCTTGAAAAGGTTCGAATGCTCGCAGAGCTCGTGCGGAAAAGGGAAAAGGAAAAGCTGCGACAGGTGCAGGTCATCAAAAATCTGGTGGACGGGTTCATTTTCCCCAACGGTGATAAGATGAGAGTTACTCTGGAGAAGATTTCTGCGTACGTCGTGGTGCTTGCTGAGGCTCGAGGCTAATGCCATCGATCAAGTCTGGACCGCAGAGAACTGTTTCTCAACCCAGTAACGGAAATAGAGGCGCCGGATTACTTTAAGATCATCAAAGAACCACGCTGCTGGCTCTACATAGACGACAAGCTGGAGCGCAATCTTTACATTGATGTCGCAGAGTTCAAAGCAAGTGTCGTTCATCATAATCGTATCGTGGACTAACATGGGCTGCAGAGAGATGTCACGCTCGTCATGGACAACGCGATGACCTACAACGGCCCCGACACTCCCTTCTACCGAGCTGCGGAGAAGCTGAAGAAGTCTGCCGAACCACTTCTGGCAGAGTTGGATGATATCTCTGCTGTCTACCAAGCCGCCTTACCCCCTCATGCTCTGGAAACCGTCAACGCAGGAGAAAAGTGGCCGGTGGGAGATCTAGAGGCGTCGTTGGCAAGGCTCTCACCGTTTTTGAACCCCACTCCTGTGCCTTCCCGGCCGGACGCCCCTCAAGACTTGCTCAGCTCCTTATTTGCCACCGAACTTGCTCCGCCTAAACCTCCCACACCCTCTCCCTCCCCTGCACCGATATCACGCAAAGGGCCCACGGTTGAGGAACGAAACGCCAAATGGCGAGTCCGCGAAGCGGAAGACAGGGAACAAGGTCTGGTCAGAGCCACGAGGAACAGGCAGAAACTGGAGCTGGATTTCGCAAAAGAGGCAGGCTTGGGGCTGGCATCACCGGGATCTGGAGTAGCGAAAGATGGCGAGGGTGAAGCTTTAATGATCGGCACTGCCATAGCGCAGAATGACGAGGGAAAGACAGTTCGAAGGAGCACAAGGGGAGGTGAGATTACCGAGAGCCCCAAGTTTATGCCCAGGAAGAGGGATAGAAGGCCAAAGGTCAACCCCACGCCCGCACCCACGCCCGCACCAACGTCAGCCCTCGCCTCTGCTCCCATCACAGCGACCCCAACTCAAGCCGCCCCCCAATCAGCCACTCGAGCTTCTTCCACCTCTCTCTCCTCCACTCATCCCGACCTCAAGCCCCTCTCGCGACCCCAGCAAGGTGTGGCGGGGCTAGAGGCTATTCCCATCTTGTCTGACCGCGAACGCAGGGAACAGGAGCTTGCCTTGGCACTCGAGCTAGAGGGGACTGATGTGGGCGGTTTGGATCAGTTCAAGAGATTCAATGTAGGATGGGTATTGCCGGAAGGGAGTAAGAGAAGGAGAACAAGTGAGGCGAGCTCAGTTGTGGCCGGAACCTCAAACTGGGAAGGGAATGGGCGCTCCAAAGGAAGCACCTCCAAGAGACCTTCTCCTGCTCCCAGTTCTGCTACATCCGCCGCGAGTGCGCGGGGCAAGTCGTCCCGCATGAGTGTCAAGACCCCCGAGGTCATCCGAGAGGAAGAAGAAGCTGTAGAGGATGATGAGGAGCTGACACCTCTCTCCTCCGAAGAACCGGAAGAAGTCGAAGAAGTCTCATCCCAGGCTCAGCCCGCTGCTGGGCCATCCAAAGTGATTGAACCAACCCCAGCGTTAGCCGACGACGAAAGCGACCTTTCTCCTCCTCCCCCTGCACGATCGCAAGCGGGCACACCCCAAGCTGGTACGCCCAGGACAACCAGGAAGAGGGGCGGTGTGGTGTATGTGCCGGACATGGACCTCGACCCCGAGGATATGTTGAGGAGGAGGACATCGAGACCGAAGGGACAAGGAAAAGGCAAGGAGAAGACGGTGGAGACACCACTGCCAGACCAGGTCGATATTCCGCAGGCCGGAGTACAAGGAGAGGCAGAATCCGAGCCAGTGGCGGAAGAGACTGCAGATGTACAGGAGCAAGAGACGCCGGAGGTCCCGACGCAAGGATCGGGCCCAGAGGAAGACAGGGTGCTAGACAATCTCGTCAAGGAGGTAGTCATCGACGAGTCTGCCCTACCGCCACCTACAAGAAGCAGCCGCAAGCGAAAAGTCGACCAGGCCGAACTCCAAGCACCGCATCCACAACAAGAGGCTGACAAGGACAAAGACTCCACCCCACGTCATGCCAAGAAGCAACTCGGAAAACACGTCATTGGGCGTAGCGAGCTCGCGTCTTTGGAGGTCGACATGGTGGACTCGCCGCAAAGGGCTGAGAGGTTGCCTGAGGTTGAGGAGGGATCGGCGTCGATACACCCGTCCAGGAAGGGGAAGCTTCCCCCGCCTCCGGCAAAGACGAAGAGAAAGGTGAAGGACCCGTTCCCACCAGGAACGCTCGTATGGGCCAAAAGTGAGACCTCCCCATTGGACGCATTCAGAAACTCACATCTCTACAGTCTACTCGTTTCCTCATTTCCCCGCAGAGATAGTCGACCTTGACGATCCCGATGACCGCTCGGAAGTGCCCGACCCCGTGCTCGCTGAAGAAGCTGCGGCCCGCAAGGCTGCAGAACAGAACGATACACGAGTTTGGCTCGTGAGATTCTACGATTCGAGCAGTAGTTATGGGTGGATTGCGGAAGACAAGTTGGATGATCTGGGGGAAAGTGATGAAGTGGACGGAATGTACCTTTCTGTGAGTCGCTTTCTCGAAGGACATGGAATGCCACTGATGGTTGGTGACAGGGCAAGATGAACAGATTCAAATCGCAACATATGAAAAAGATGTGCAAGAAAGCGTACCGGTATGTACCTCGTAAATTGACGTCGTGATATGGGGCTTATCGTCTTGACAGCGAAGCGATGGCGAGCATGGAGAGTTCCGACGAGGAAAAATTATGATGGTTGCTACCGATTATCTTTCTTGGCCTCTTGTACATGTAGCCAGTCTTCGACAGATGCATTGCGTTGCTCCTCGCTCCGTGGTCCTCTAGATAAAAAAAACAATGCTGTGTTTTTCTGATTTTCAGTTCTTTTTTCGCTACGTTTTTGTTTGTTACGTCGGCGGGAATCTCTACAAGGTCGCTAGTAAAAAGGTCGCCAGTGAAACGATCCCATAAACTGAAAAAGTTGAACTCGGAAAGTGTCTGTTTGGCACTATTCGGAAAAGAAAGGTCGTAAAAGTTCGTTACTGATGTTTCAGACTACCTCCTCTATATCCTGTACGACACTCTGACCGTATCACCCACCCAACATATTGATCGCCTTCCTCAACTCTGCCCTAGCTGTCTCGAAATCGTCAAACTCCATTGCACTGATTGCAAACTTTGCGTGCTTTTGAGTATACTCGATGTCTTTTCTCGACATGGTCTTTGGAGTGGGAGCGAAGGTTTGAGATGAGCTCGAAGACGTGTGGGGCTGAGACTGGGGCTGGGCATGCGAGTGCGAGTTGGAACGGCCACGTGAAATCGCAGGGACAGTCACAGAACCCTGCATCGGTGGTGGTGAGGACAATCCCAATCCCCCACCTTGGGACTGAGGCTGTACCATCGGCCTGGGTGCTGCTCCGCCGCCAATCAATGAAGGCGGGGGCGGAGGGGGCACGTTGCCGGAGGAAGGCAACCTCGTCGACCCTTGACCTGAACCAGACCCAGAACCGGAACCGGGGATTGGGACTTGTGCGGTGCGCTGACGAGAGCCAGAAGTGGCCCCGTTACCACCGGAAGGAGCTTGCTGAGCGTCATTGTTCGGGGAACTGTGAACGTGGGGCACGCCGTTTCTCGAGCTTGAAGAATCACCTCTTGGTCTGCCTGAAGGTGGGGGCCCCACCACTGGCAAAGTTTTCGGCTGCGGTTCCGGAGAAGGAATGTCTGTGGGAGGCGGTGCCGGCGGCGCAGTATAAGAGGATACACTCAGATGCGTCGATGCCGGCGAGAGCGGCGCACCATCTGGGCCAAGGAAACGCACATTCTTCTTTTCATCTATCGGAGTCCTCAAGGGCGATCGTTTCCCGCCCTGGCCACTGTACGAGTGAGCCAGAGGCGGAAGCATAGCGTCCGGCCGGTTGAGGTCGAAATGCAGCTGACTTTCGTCATCATCTGGCAGCCCCGGTGTAGCGATTGTGGACCAAGCGCCGGACCCGGTGGTGGAAGTGGTCGACCGCGGGGTGCGCGGGTCGGTATCGATAGGTGGTGGGTTGTTGCGAGCCTTGAGTGCAGGAGAAGGACGGGGAGAGATGATTTGGGTGTGCGTGGGAGGAGAGGGGGCAGGCGGGCGGGCATTGTTGGAAAAGGAGTTTTGACGGGATCCGCCTCCGGGGGTGTGCTGGGGTGGCGATTGGAGCAGCTGACTGGAGTGGCTGGGTGATGTCACAGCAGCAGCTGCTGGAGAAGAAACGTGGTCTTGCTCAGGGAAAGCTGTGTACCAATGAAGAAACGAGCAAGAGTCAGCATGCGGTTTGTTTGTGTGCGAGGGAAGTATGACTAACGGGGACCAGCTGTGGGCACCCGGCCTTCGCGCAGGGCCTTGGCTCCGTCCGCGGCCTTCCAGCGAGCATACAGCAGCTTTTGTTCCATCTGCTTCCCCCATCAGCGGCAGTTCCATCAGCAAACCATAAAGAAGCTCAGGGCGACTTACTTCTTCAGTCATTCCGTGCTCGAAGCATCGAAGCACTTCAATGAATTGGCCCGCGACGACGAATTTCCGAATAGTTGGCCTGCTTGAAGTCAGATTCGCATTCGCGTTGACCATAGAAAGGGACTTGCTTTCCGGTATTGCCAGCGCGGTCGTCATTGTCCGCCGACATGAATACTTTGAGCGCAAAGTTTTCCACGTAGGCTGCGCCTGCTGCTTCGCTGGTAATTGCTTCATTGGTGGCCAGGGCCACTTTCATCTGAGTCGCAGTCAGCAGAGCAGACAATGATAAGGGCTTGAACGCACGGTCTCCAACGCTTCGATAAGAGCCATGAGGAAGATGGTATCCTCTTTGGACCTGTTGGCCATCTTTAACGCCTTCTGAGCCGCAGAGAAGCAGCCTGCATGGTATCAGCCGCTACCATAGTTGGTGCTATCGGACGCACACCAGTACGAGATGACGGGCTCTGCGAGCTTGAGCTCCTTTGCCCTCTTGACGATCTGCTCGATGGGCTTGAGGTTCTCGGGGACCGAGTCTGAGGGGATGTTGACGGTCTGCATGTTGGCTTTCTGTTGTTCTGTGGTGGTGAGGCTGAAGCGGTTCTTGTAGTTTGTGCCCTGGCGGGAGGGGGCGGCGGGGACTGCTTTGGTGGATGCGAAGCGGGCGGAGAGGGAGCGGCGGGGGGGCGCTGGGTGGAGCATGGCGGTGGCGAGGGGAGAGGAGGAGGTCAGCCTTATGTACGCCGGCGGCAGTGTATTCATTTTCCACCCACCTTTGTTTCTGCGACGATCTCCGAAAAGAACACAGCAACCACACATCCATATAGCAACAGCACCACCCGGCCCCCGAAAACCGTGACATCACCCTACCTCCTCACATTCTCGGTATGCCACCCTCGACATCGAGGAAGCGCGCACTTTCGGGACTGCTGTGGGGTCGTGCAAGGATGTTGCGTTGGCAGAGTGCCCAATCTGCCGTACCTGCCGAAAGACGAGGTGTGGCGATACAAAGAGTGCCACATTCAACGTGCAAGAAGGATCATTCTGATCTAGCGCGCACGTAGCGAGTAACACGAACTGAAAACGGCTGATATGCATCGCAATACGCTCGCATATACGGCTATAGCAGTGCGCTATTATTTGAAGCCAGACATGCATCTGGAGATGGGCCTGTACTGCTGATCTTTTTTGCAAACTTCAAAGAGTCACATTCTCTCCTTTCCTTGCTAGTCATGACGCCAGCTCAGCTACCTTGATACCTCGAGGCGGTTAAAGCCCTTTACCCTGACCTGCAAGTGACCGAAGCAGCTGCATTGATGGAAGAAGCAGGCATCTGCCGTGACAAGCCGCGGCACTTTAATGAGCGGCACAAAAGGAAGGGAAGCTATCAAGGCGACAGCACTGTTTATCCGGAATGTCGGCTTAGCTGAAAGGTGCTCTTCTCTAATCATCTATAAAATCTTGTCGACATATTCTTTGATTGACTCCATCGTCTCGCGCATAGCGAAATGAAAGTCGTGAACGCCGCCCCAAGACCGACGAAGGTAGCGAAAGCCTCCCTTCCATTAACCATACCTCAAAGACAACGTCCACACCTTTCTGGAAGAAAAAACGGCAGGGAAAAGGCAGTCTACGGGGTACAAGCTAGAAGTCATTGTGCATCCTTTCCTGAACGTTCAACTTTACCAGCAATGTCACTTGAAACGCCATCATTCGCGAACCCATCAATCCATCAACGCCATCATCTGCTGTATCCCACGGAAGCTCGTGACTGCCCCCGTTCAGAGCCCGACATACTCGTCGTTCGGGGGTCGCCATCGGCAGCGTAACACGCTCAATCATGCGCTGGAGACACGGCATGTCCCCGCGCCTCGGAGGGCAGCAGGGCGTCTATGTCTTATGCAAAGAGTCAAACGTGCTATTGTTCATCCAACTTGATCATGCCATCAAAGCAAACTTGAGATTTTCATTTCATTTTTTATGTCCCAATTTTTACTCTTCCCTTCTACCTCTAATCACCGCACTTAAGCAGAGAAGTCGGCAACGTGGTTCTCGATAACCTTCTTCATCTCCTCCTCAATCTCCTTGGTGAGGACACCACCGCTGAGCTTCTCGAGGAGAGACTGGTGCTGAGTCTTGAGGAGCTCAGTGCTGGAACGGCGTTAGCAGAAATACCCCAAACGATGCAGACGATACTCACAAAGACTTCTCCCAGACGGTAATCTTGTCGACGGCGACAGAGTCGAGCATACCGTTGACACCGGCGTAGATAAGAGGAGCCATGACCTCGGTGGGCATGGGGGTGTACTGGGGCTGCTTGAGGAGCTCGGTAAGACGGGCACCTCGGTTAAGGAGGTATCGGGTAGAAGCGTCAAGGTCGGAACCGAACTGAGCAAAGGCGGCGACTTCTCGGTACTGAGCGAGGTAGAGCTTCAAGGAACCGGCGACAGACTTCATGAGCTTGGTCTGGGCGGCGGAACCGACTCGGGAGACGGACAAGCCGACGTTGATAGCGGGTCGGACACCCTTGAAGAAGAGCTCAGCCTCCAAGAAGATCTGACCGTCGGTAATGGAGATAACGTTGGTAGGAATGTAGGCGGACACATCACCACCCTGGGTCTCAATAATGGGAAGGGCAGTGAGGGAACCGGCACCGAGGGACTCATTCATCTTGGCGGCACGCTCAAGGAGTCGAGAGTGCAAGTAGAAGACCTATGTCACGTCAGCAGGCAGTCACAGCACTCCGACGTAATACTCACGTCACCGGGGTAAGCCTCACGACCGGGGGGTCGTCGAAGAAGCAAAGACATCTGTCGGTAAGCGACGGCCTGCTTGGACAAGTCATCGTAGATGATCAAGGCGTGCTTGCCGTTGTCACGGAACCACTCGCCCATGGCACAACCAGAGAAGGGAGCGAGGTACTGGAGGGGAGCGGCCTCGGAGGCGGTAGCGGCGACAATGATAGAGTACTTCATGGCGTCGTTCTCCTCGAGGGTCTGGACGAGCTGAGCGACGGTAGATCGCTTCTGGCCAACGGCGACGTAGACACAGTAGAGCTTCTTGGACTCGTCGTTACCGTCGTTCCACTTCTTCTGGTTAAGAATGGCGTCAATGGCGACAGCGGATTTACCGGTCTGTCGGTCACCAATGATAAGCTCTCGCTGACCTCGACCGATCTAGGGCATGTTAGCGTGTTTCGACATCAAGTAAAAAAGTAGACATACGGGGACCAAAGAGTCGACAGACTTGAGACCGGTCTGCATGGGCTCGTGGACGGATCGTCGGGGAAGAATACCGGGGGCCTTGAGCTGAGCCTTGGTCCTGCCAACAGAGTCGATAGGGCCCTTGCCGTCGATGGGGTTACCCAAAGCGTCAACGACTCGACCGAGAAGACCGGGACCGACGGGAACGTCCACAATCTGACCAGTTCGCTTGACAGTGTCGCCCTCCTTGATCAACCTGTCGTTACCGAAGATGGTGACACCGACATTGTCGGCTTCCAAGTTCAAGCACATTCCTCGGATACCAGAAGAGAACTCGACCATTTCCTCGGCCTGAACGTTTCGGAGACCGTAGACACGGGCGATACCGTCACCAATGGTGAGGACTCGGCCAGTCTCCTGGACATCACCACCAGCAGAAGCACCGGCGATTCGAGACTCGAGGATGGAGGAAACCTCGGACGCGGCTGTTCGGTGAAAAGTGGATTTAATCGGCCGAAAGGTGGGGTGGGGGGGTCGAGGGTGATGGATGTGGTGAAAGTGGTGAAAAGCAGAGGGGATGTCATGTCAGTGGCCGTGCTGCAGTGTGCAAGGGGTAGAGGGATGTCAACGTACCGGGCTTGGCAGTAGCGTAAGTCCTGACCGCGAGGGGAGCGACACGGGCTCGGGTCTGTGGGCGATGCATGTCAGCGGATGGTTCTTCTGGCGGTGCCGCGATGTGATGCTGCCCCCTCCAGCTGTCCACTGCGCCCGTGCTGGCACCTCTGCCTCTTTGCTGTCGCCTTCTACGCGGCGAGCCGATCTCGACGCCAACTACGTGTCCCCTCCTGGGGCTGCTTTCTGGGGATTGCGGTGGAAAAAGGCGGGGGACTCACGGCCTGGGAGAGGGCACCCCTGAGAGAGTTCCTGATAGCGACACGCATGATTTTGGATGAGTGGTGGATGTGGGAGGAGAGGAAACACGGATAGGGGGAGTACACCCGAATTCAGGTTGTAAAAACGCCGACTGTACCTCCGGACGTGGCACAGCCTACGTGGCATTCCCCCAGCGTTCTCTTCTTGGAGCAGCGTTGAGAATGAGGCATGGCCGCCAGTCCACCCGGGGCAAGCGCGCAGCCAGAAGCAGCAGTAGTGTGGATGCGCGCATAGGCAGGCCCTTGTTGTCCCAGTCATTCCTCCAGCGCAGTGTCGCCCTCTTTCCCAGTATGCAGCGCAACCATATGCATCGACCATACATGCTGCAGCCACGCACTGTGGAGGGGTGGCCAGAAGACTGATACCCTGGCTAGCCGCAGAGAAGACGGGTGTAGGCCTGTATGTATGGCATAATATAATACTATATAGGGGTTGAGGGAGGAAGAGGAGGGCGGAGGTGGCCGCTGTTTTTTCGAGACTTGTCTCTGCATCTCGCTCTGTGTCCACTCAGCCACACCACCATGCCCAGGCCAAACATCTCTCACGGTATGTCCTCTCTCCTCGCCATTCCCCCAGCTAACACCCCTCAGCCCTCTCACGGCTCTCCCTCGCTGCCCGCACCCTCCAGACATCTGCACCCCTCCCCCCTCCCACCTCTGCCCTTCCCCCGTCCGGCCCCTCCTCTTCCCCCCTCCCCCCGCTCCTTCCCGCCGCCACCCCTTCCCCCCTCCCGTCCTCCACCCCTTCCGCCTTTTCCCTCATCCAATCACAATCCACCCCCTCCACCGGGCGCTACATTATCGCCCGTCTGCATGCGCGCAACTATCTCCTCCACCCAAGAGACATCTTGACCCTGCCCACCCTCAAGCCCATGCAGGCCCCCGGTACCACCCTGAGTCTCACAAAGATTCTAGAAGTCGGTTCTAGAGAGTACGCCGTGCGCTCCCCAGCGGCAGAGGCAAAGGCGCTCAAAAAGGGCATGAGCTTTGTGGAGAAGCGCACCGTCGAGTTTCCCGCCATCTCGCCAGAGCTGGTGAGGTGTGAGCTCACGGTGCTGGAACACACCAAGAGTCCTATGGAGAGGCTTTTGAAGAAGAAGAGGAGAAAGGGCTACCAGAAGACGATCGAGCACAAGCAGGGGTGGACCAGGTTGAGAGTGGGAGATATTCTCTTAGGGAACAGTGGGGGCCAAATCTAGACACGATAGTAAAAGCATAGCATTTGGGTATGATTGTTTCATCCAGTCTCAAATGTCCATAAAATACACTATAACGAAAATATACTAGCGAGAGATGGCCTTCTTGGCCTGCCCAACCTGGGTCGTGTTGACCTTAGTCGCAAATCTTAGACTGCACAGCGACTCGCCCAAATGCGTAGCCAGAGGTGACAAGTTGCACATCATTAGGGTCTTGCTCGAGCCTGTTTATGGTCAGCCCGGTTCACGTGGTCGTGAGATACTTACCCGATAGACTTGTTTGAAGCAGCCGTGTCAAGGTGGAATTTCTGTATGGAACATGTCCTCCTTGTTGCCCCTGTCCCAAAGCACCAATGACATCTGCCAGGGCAGAAAGAGACTTGTTGATGTTGATCGTCTCCTTCAACCTATCCTTGTTTTCGCCCGCCCCAGATTTCTCGAGGCGCTCCGAACCAGCCAAGTCGACTGTCACACATTAGCTTCATTCCATGGTGGAGGGGCCAGACGCACCGAGATTGAGCATGGCCTCGCATTTTTCGTCGGTGAGAGGATTGACGCCCTTGACCTTGAGGGTGAATACAGAGTGGGATCGTGATGATCGTTCATTCATGAGGGTAGCTGCTACCGCTCGACGGCCTCGAGCCCGCGCAAGAAGATTGTGCACTTGGAGGGGATTGCTCAATGGGACTGTTGCCATTAGTTGTGATCGCGTAGACAGGTAGAGAGCGTACCGCTGACAGCATCAGTAACACTGATTTTGCCGTCTTTATCAAGCTTGATCTCGTGTTTTTTGGTGTCAAATTGACCGCTCCCCAGCAAGTCGTTGATCTACACCAAATCAGTTTGACTCGGTACACAAAATCCCAAACCTACCACTTCATTGTACACTTCCAAGTACTGCCCCTCCATTTGATACTTCCACCCCCTGTCCTTGAGATAGTCGCTAGTCTTGAAAATCATGTCTATCGCTCTCGGGATCATACCAGCCTCTTCTTCAGACTGACCGCCTTCCATTGTCCAGGACTTTCCAGAACCAGTCTGCCCGTACGCAAAGATACAGACATTGTACCCGTCCAGCACAGACTGCGCCAACATTGAAATCTCTTCAAACACGTCTTGCTGTCCAGCTTTGGGCGAAAAGATCTAGGCATTATCAGCACATGACAGAGTCATGGTAAAAAAAAAAAAACATACCTTGTCAAAAGTGAATTGGTTGATCTGTTCTCGGTTCTTGCCCGTAGCGCTCTCCGATTTGGAGGTGACCACAATCTGGCTCTGGCCCGTCTCTTGGGCAGTACGTTCGTCACCGTACGCGATATCGGCGATACCTTCTGGGTTTTGCAGTTCGTGGCCTACTGCCAGTCAGTACTGCCCATAAGACACCCTCGGCACTCACCCAGCACAGGTCTGACCCTCGCAAACACCCTGATGTTTCCCTTTAGCTCTTGCACTTGGTTGTGCAGCTTTCTCCTGATTGTCTCTGCATTCCTCAACTCTTCCTCAATCTCTCCTATTCTCCTATCTCTATCTTCCTCTGCTTGTCGGACCTTTTGCTCGGCCGCAAGCTCTGCTGCTTGAGCCCTGTCTTGGCCGACTTGTAATTCAGCCTTCATAGCGCTCACGGCGAGGGTCGCTCGTTCAACCTCGGTTTGCAGGATGGTGAGCTGTGTCTGAGAGGCCGACAGTTGCGCCTCCAACGTAAGGTGCTTGGTCGATTGCTCTGCAAGCTGCGCCTTGAACGTTCGGACGCTATCTCTCTCCCGGCTCAGCTCTTCTCGGCTATCGCGTACCTCTTCCTCGAGCCCGCGCTTCTCTCGGTCTTTGCGCAGGATGGTTCGCTCCAGTTCGTCCACTTCACGTGCATGGGCGGCGCGGAGGGAAGAGAGCTCTTCCGAGGCCGTGGAGAGATCGCGACGAGCCGCGCGTTCGGTGGATTGGGTGGACTGGAGGAGGGTTTGGAGATCAACATGAGACAGTTGAAGGTTTGAGACTGTAGGATGTTATTTCTAGGTTGTCAGGTAGACGTTAGGCTCACTTTTGGCTTGCTCCTTCTCCAAAAGGTCGTGGAATCCGCCCACCATCTTTTCAACATTTTCGAGTCTGCCGTCTTGGTCCTGTGATCCAGCATCAGTACGAATTCAACGTGGTGTTGAATTACCTTAGATGGTCCTGCGCCAGCATTGGACCTGGTGAGCCTTGAGGATGGCCCCATACTCCTCCCCATGGCACTGTTCGCGCGGAGATTCGGAGCTGATGGCCCAGAAGTGCTCGCCGCCACAGGTCTTCTTGCGGTAGGCGGCGGTGCCAACCCCGATCTCGCTCTGCCAGCCGCGGCCGTGGGCTTTGCTGCAGTCCTTCCAGCAGTACTGGATGAAGCAGAGGTAGAACTGCCAGTACTTCCCACTGCACGTCTTGTAGAGACTCCCATAGACGTCGCAGGTCGCGTAAGAGTCGTCGGCTTTCTCTGCGTGGTCGGTACAAATCCACCTGAAGGTTTCCTCTGACTCGTCCTGAGACCGGCACTGGCAGCGGCCCCAGTAGGCGCCTTGCCTACGCCCGAGCCAGAGACCGATCTCTTTCCCGTGGGCGGTCGCATAGGCGACTCTGGCATCTTGCGTTTGTTTGCGTTGTTGCTGGACGCGAGCGGGGCCATGGTGGAGGCGAGGGAGGGGAGGGGAATGCCGGAGTGTTTGGCGGCGGGGGATGCGAGGCGGGGGAGGCGTGAGGGGGCGTTGTTCTCCTGCTCCATGGTGCGATGTGTACGTTCGAAGCAAACAAGAAGCAAAGTCAGTCGGGCTTTGTTTACTCTTCTCGAATGCTCCCGTCCAGCAGCGGGCCCTGCCGCCTGCCGAAACTGTGTACGTAATCACTCTTTATCTCCTCTTCCTGAACGCCGACTCGGCTAATGTGCATCTCTATCTTCCAACTATTTTCTCCCATCCACCATGCTCCGCCGCACCCTCCCCCGCTCAGCCCTCCCGCGCCCCACCCTCCCCGCAGCCAGGGCATTCACAAAGCCCTCCGCCCCCGCTGCCGCCTCCACCCAGCTCGCCAGCTCCTCCAGGTCCGATACCAACGTCCTCTTCGAGTTTGATGCCCACAAGGTCGGTAATGAGATCCGGAAGAGGGGTCTCGCCAACGCCCAGCGAGAAGGTGGCATGGACCGTGTAAGTTAAAAGCTCTCATTGCGGGAGCGTCTGCGGAGGACAAGGGAATTTGGCTGAGCGGAATGTCTTACTGATTACGGTATAGGACACTATCATCCGATTGCTCTACTCTCTTGGGTCCAGGCATGAAGTTGAGCGATACCTCCGCATCTTCACCCAGTCCAACTCTTCCGCCGGCGGCGTCTTGCCTGAAGCCAAATTTGCTGTCCTCAAGTGCGTATCGTAATGTGCATCTGAGACATTACTTACCGAACGCGATAGGATTGGCGGCGCTATCCTCACCAACGAGATTGACGACCTTGCCCTCTCTCTCTCTTTCTTGAACAGGCTCGGTCTGTTCCCTGTCGTACTCCACGGTGCTGGACCCCAACTGTATGTCTGACTGATCTGAGACGCCATCGCTGATATGTCGTAGGAACGAGATTCTCGAGGCTGAGGGTGTCGTCCCCGACTATGAGGACGGTATCCGAATCACTGGTGCGTCTACCATTGTGTTTCGATTCCGCTGACACGGAGACAGACGCCAAAACGCTTGCCGTGGCTCGCCGCGTCTTCCTCCAGGAAAACCTCAAGCTCACCACTGCCCTTGAGCGACTCGGTACCCGCGCCCGACCCATTCCCACTGGCGTCTTTACCGCCGACTACCTCGACAAGGCCAAGTACGGTCTCGTCGGCAAGATCACCAAGGTCGACAAGGCCCCCATCGAGGCTGCTATCAAGGCTGGATGCTTGCCCATCTTGACCAGTTTGGCCGAGAACGCCGAGGGTCAGATCCTCAACGTCAACGCTGATGTGGCTGCTGGTGAACTTGCCCGTGTTCTCGAGGTGCGTCCTATCATAACGCCTCGGGCATGAACTGATGCCCCACAGCCCATGAAGATCGTCTACCTCAACGAGAAGGGGGGTATCTTCCACGGTGTCACCGGCAAGAAGATATCTACCATCAACCTCGACGAGGAATACGACGCTCTCATGAAGGAGTCTTGGGTCAAGTTTGGCACCAAGCTCAAGATCCGAGAGATCAAGGAGCTCCTCGACACCCTTCCACGAACTTCATCCGTTGCCATCATCTCCACCGACATGCTCCAAAAGGAGCTCTTTACCGATGCTGGTGCGGGTACCCTCATTAGGCGAGGCTACAAACTGTACAAGCAGCCTTCTGTGGAAGCTGTCGGTAGCAGCCAGCTCCGCCAGGTCTTTACTGAGCGTGACCCCGAGGTCCAGAGCGGCCGAAAGTCTGTTGCCGAAATCTTTTCCGACCTCAAGGAGTCTCCTCACACCATTTACGGTGACGAGCCCTTTGACGTCGTTGCCGTTGTCTCTCACCCCGAGGGCGAGTCCCCCGTCATGACCAAGTTCCTTCCTTCTCGAAACGGCATCCTCAACAAGATTGTGGACAATGTCTTTGATGCCGTCAAGAAGGACCACAAGCGCCTTTTCTGGACCGCCAAGGCCGATGACGAGAACCGCGCCTGGCACTTTGAGCGAGCTGACGGCTCCTTCACCAGGGCTGGCAGGAGCTTGTTCTGGTACGGCGTCAGCGACGTCAAGGAGGTCGAGAGAATCATTCAGGGTTTTGAGGAGAACGGCAGGATTGAGCGAGTCTTCCTCCCTGTCGGTCCCAGTGTCCCTCCCCACCGTCGAGCTGCTGGCGCCCCCGCTGGTGCTCGAGCCTTCTCCACCTCTGCTCGTCCCTCTATGGCTTCCAACTCTGCCGCCCAGAGCGCTCGAGGCTACGCTACCGTTTCCGAGGTTGCCCCCCGAAAGCGAGTTGCCCTTATCGGTGCTCGAGGTTACACTGGCCAGAACCTCGTGTCCTTGATTGACAGCCACCCTCACCTTGACCTCACCCACGTCTCTTCTCGAGAACTTGCTGGTCTCCCCTTGAAGGACTACTCCAAGTCCCCTGTCAAGTACTCCAACCTCTCTGTGGAGGACGTTGGCAAGATGGCCGAAAACAACGAGGTCGATGCTTGGGTCATGGCTCTGCCCAACGGTGTTTGCAAGCCCTTTGTGGATGCCGTCGACAAGGCGGTGGCCAAGGGTGGCAAGAGCGTCATTGTCGACTTGAGCGCCGACTACAGATTCGAAGACAGCTGGACATACGGATTGCCTGGTGAGAAGGCCCTTTCTTTATAGGGTCAAGGAGAGGAGGAACATTTGTCGACTTGTCTATACACAAATCTGACCTAGTTTACCCTACTCCTTAGACCCTAAGTATCAACTAGAACCAAGAATGCAAAGCTAAGACATTGAATATTCATAGAACTCTACGGTCGAGAACAGATCCGGGGAGCCACCAGGGTTTCCAACCCCGGTTGTTACGCCACCAACACACAGCTCCTTCTTGCCCCTTTGATGCCCCATCTTGACCCCATCCAGAGGCCTTCAGTCTTTGGTATCTCTGGTTTCTCTGGAGCCGGTACCAAAAGCGGCGAAAAGGACGCCGAGGGTAGGCCCAAGACTGTCCCCAAAATCGTACGTAAATTGACAATTTCAAGGCAACGCTCACTGTCTATAGTCTGCCGAGGACCTCAACGGTGCTATCCGACCCTACGCCCTCACCGACCACATTCACGAGCGTGAAGCTTCCCGCCACCTCTCCTCCATCATCCCTTCTTCGTCTTCCATCACTCCTTCCGACTTTTCCCTCGGCTTCATCCCCAATGTCGCCCCCTGGTTCTCCGGTATCATCTCTGTCCTCACCGCCCCTCTCGCAAAGTCTATGCGAGCTTCCGACATTTCCCAGCTCTACGAGGAAATGTACAAGGGAGAGCAGTTGATCCAGGTTGCCAAGGGTGTCCCTGATGTGAATGATGCCATGGGCAAGCATGGATGGAGGGTCGGTGGTGTCCAGGTGCACAGCAGTGGCAAGAGGGTCGTTGTGGTTGGAGCTTTGGACAATTTGCTCAAGGGTGCCGCCACTCAGGCCATGCAGGTGAGTGATTATATGACCGACTATAAGGCAGTGGCTGACGCGGGTTAAGAACTTGAATCTTGCCCTCGGGTATGATGAGCTTGCTGGTATTCCCAAAGACAAGCTCTAAGTTTGAGTACGATCCATCTGTTTGGGACAACAGGGACCATCACAGCCAAAGGTGTGCGGTGACCGTAAAGTAGAACACGATGCGTAGTTGCAATGCATTCGGCAGATATACTGTTTGCAATGTCGTTCAGGCGACTCGGTGTGGCATTCTTGGAGAGGGTTGGACAAGTGGAAGAGGGAGCCAAAGGATTTGAGTCGTTCTGCTAAAACTATATGATTATTGCATCTAGCAGGTAGCATCCAGCAGGTAGACTAAGAGTCCTTTTTAACAGTTGTGTATACACAGGGGTATAATGCTCGGTACAGGAGAAAACGCAGATCCCGGAATATATAGATGACCTCAAAGCGAACGATGACAAATAGAAGGTATTAGACCTTCTTCTTGTTGGTCGATCCTTTGGGTCTACCCCTCCCCCTCTTCACCGGCACCTCTGCCTTTGCCCCAGTCTCATCTACGACCCCTGCCGGGCCCGCGACAGCACTGCCTTCTTTCCTCGGCTTTTTGTTCACAGATCCCTTGGGTCTTCCTCTCGACCTTTTGACCGGGGGAGTGCAAAAACCGAGGTCGAGCGTTCCCGCACCGGGAAGCTTGCCAGCTGTCAAGGCTGAGCTATCAGTCTCGGGTTCTGCTTTGGGCAAAGGTTGGGCGAGGCCGGATTCCCCAGACAGCTCATCTTGCTCTTCTTCGCCTTCGCTTGTGGAATCTGGACTCAGTTGAGAAGATATATGAATATCTCCGGCCAATGGGCCCAGCGAGTCCGGAGGCGAGAGACTCGGTGCAGAGTCGTGGGAAGACTCGCCAGTTCGGGCTCTTTTTGCGGATGGCTCCAAGGCGCTCAAATGACTAGGCTCCTTCTTTCCCGCTCCCAGCTTGGGCTTTGGCCCCCGCTTCTTGCCCTTTCCTTCAGCAGCTCGGATTGCAGCATCAATTGGCTCTCCGTCAAGAGACCGTTTGTTCCAAAGTTCAAGAAGGGTAAAGTAATAAGGGTGGGCAATAAGGAAGCTTGCTGTTCAGCGCGTCAGTAAAGAAGGGAGGGCAGAGGGCAGGGCGCACCTCGAATCTGCTCCGGAATTTGATCAGGAGACCACCAGGAAGGGTCGACTCCGTACTTTTGTTGGTACCACCCATCTCTCATCCTCTTCATGAGACTGTCGACAAGTCAGCTCGGCGACCCGGGTTTCAACTAAACTTACAGGTGCAGTCTGTTTCGCACAGGGTGGACAAGCCCGCTTGTCCACATTTCTGTTGCCTCCCAGCCCTTCTCGCCTCTTCTTACCCACCCTTTGCTCTCCTTGTCTCTCATCCACGCTTCATCTCCTAGCACGATAAGACACAGGTCTCGCTCAACCAGCCATCTATCGCCGGCGTTGGCGAAAATACATTCGCGATAGCGGGGCGTTTCTGAGATCAAGGATATGAGGTGGGAGGTGAGGCGGGCGTCTGCACCCCAGCTGAAGAACAGGTCAGAGGGGACAAAGTCTATGGGTGGTATAGGACGTACGTGACGCGGATCTCCTTGTTCTGAGCGACCATGCGACTGCGTTGTCTGTCTGTGAGGGCTGTATTGCAACTCAAGGAGCTGACAGCTATATCTGGGAGAGAACAGTTGAATGATCTCTTGTGGATACGAGTACTGGCCTGGTTGTGACTTTGCGACAAAAAAAATAAAAATAAAAAATAACAAAGCTTTCTTCCTTTTTTTCCGCGGCCCCTCGGTAAGCCGGAGGGGCTTCACGGACCATGTGCTCCAAGGCTGGCAACTGCATGCATGCATGTCCCCTGAGAGCACTCGCAAGGGCTCACCGGCAGGGAGCAAGGGCATGGCCAACACTGATGCATGAGGCATGAGCGGCGCATCCAGAACTCTGGCGAGCGACCGCGTATCGTCCTCCCATGCAGGCATATGCCCCTTTCCACAGCCCAGCACGCATGCCCGCCCTACTCAGGCCTGCAGCCTTCTGCCGGTGCCCTATCCCAGGCATAGGCCGGGCCGAGCCAACATTGTACAAAGTAATTTTGTTCTCGTCAGCCAATCCTTTGCGTGCCACTTGACGCGCGTACCAAAAAATCCCGCCGTCCATAACTCCGGCTGCGCTCATGACCTCTTTCATTTTCCACACTTTTCATTCAACCCCTATACCCCTGTCCCTCACAGCTCACAGCTCCTGCCAGCAGCCCCAAGCCCACCACAACCAACACATCCAAAGTGAGCCCTTGTCTGCCGTCGCATGCTCACCCAGAAGCTCATCTCGCGCCAGAATGTCCATGCACTTTGCTCCCCAGTGGGCCAAGCCCATCAAACCTTCCGGCAGCTCCGCCAACACGACTCCCACCACAGAGAACCCCAGGAAGCTCGCCTCCAACTCGCCCTTCCCGGCTCTGTCCGCCAACCCCCGCTCTGCGTCTCCCACTACTGCGACACATCCCACCCTCTCGTACTCTCGCGTGACCCACACTCCTTCCTCGCCCTCGGTCGCAACAGATGGCTACTTTCCGCACCAGGATGCCAACGGAGAGGTCAACAGCCATCCGTTCAGGTATAGCCGGGAGCAGATCCTGGCCCTGTACGACGAGGCCAAGTTCAGGGAGCGGCCCATCGAGCTTGTACAGATGGCAGAAAATGGAGGCGTACTGGTCAGCAAGAATCTGAGCAGGCCTGTGGGAACCAGGGACCTGACGGAAGGCGAGAAAAAAGTGAGTGGCCTCGACTTTTTTCAACCGCGTCTAACACCTTCTCGAAGCTTCTTGCTACTTCCGTGCACCCCACTCTGCCCGCCCGTCGCCAGCTCAACCAGGCCAACTCTGCTTCCACCAATGAGCATGTTGCCAACGGCCTTCCCACCCGCCGTACCGCAGGTTATACTCGTGGCGAAGGCGGTAACGCCTTCAGTGGTGGTGCCTTGGGCAAGATGGGCCAATTTGGCGGAGGTGGAGGTGTCTTGAGTCCTGGTGGATTGGATCACAAGGCCCCTGGTGGTCTTGGAGGCGGTTTCGGAGGAGTCGGCAAGCGCTTGACCCGAAGGGGCGAGGATCCCAATAGCGCTGGTGTGTAAAATTCACCTTCTACATGATTCGGCTGACATTATTGTTGCAGAATCGAGGTCTTCTGGTGCTGCAACCTGGAGGTCTGGGCCCAAGACGCCTTCCTCTGGCAACTTTGAAGGAGTGCTCGGTTTTGGCGGGTCTTCCGCTGGCCTGAGCCCATCCGTGGAGACTACAGAGCAGCGAGAAAATGGACAGAAAAAATGGAGAATCTCGTCCGGTACCAGTGCCGGTGGTGACAAGGTGAGTTCACTGTCCATCATGGCGGATCTCACTAAATCGAATCAGACACTCGACTTTCCCGTCGCCAGTCAGACAGCTGCCTCTCTTTCCATCATCGCGACACCTTCGGCCACTCCCATTCCTGAGCGCGATGCGTCCATCCTCGATACGACCATGGCTCCTGCTGTCCCATCTGGAGTAACTACTCCTTTGCATGAGGCTCAAGAGTCCCAGGTAGAGGAACTTGGATCCATCGACTGGTTCTACCGAGACCCCAATGGGCAGGAGCAAGGACCTTTCAAGGGTGCCCAGATGAACGATTGGTACTCTCACTCGTACTTTGCAGATGACCTTCCTCTTCGTCGTTCGTCTGAAACTGCTTTCCGGCCTCTGTCAGACTTGAAAGCAGCGACTGGAAGCACGCTTCAACCTTTCCTGGTGCCTGCCCGCCAAAGGCAATTGCCACCCAACCTCCCAATCCCTATTGCTGCTCTCCAGCAACAGGCCTTGGGCAATCTGCCTGAGCATTTCCGAAACCTCGGCGTGTCTAGCCCTATCGGAACCGACCCTCGTATTAGTCCCCAGCCCGCTCTCTCTGGAGCTCGGGGCCCTCACCCGGGCTACGACGCCTTTGCCCAAAACGCATATGCTCCTCAGCAGCAGTCGCTTGAGCACATTGCTTCTCCTGGGTATGCCTCTTCGCCCTCCCAGGCGTGGAACAATCTCGCTCCCCAGCAATCACTCCGCATGGGCATGTCCCCCCTTGCGCCTGTTTCAAACCCCTCGTACGGCCAAATCGGAGCCCCCTCTCCTATTGGCTCTGCGCCTTTGCAGTACATGCAGCAGCAGCAGCAGCAACCCCAAATCCAGCAGCCCCAGTACTTTGGGCAACAACTTAGGAGTGCGCCTGGCGACATTTATGGTCAGCCTTGGGGCGCTCAGGGATACCCTCAGCAAGTGGCTCAACAGCAGCCTTTGCAGCAGCAGGCTTACCAGCCGCAAACTGCTCCTGTGCAGTGGGAACAGCAGCCTCAGGCCCAGCAACTTCATCAGCAGATTCCTCAGCAGCATTACACTCAGCAGGAGACTCGACAAGAGCATATCGAGCAGCCTGAGCCGATCTTTGCCCCAGAGTCTGAAAAGCCAGCTCCTGTCGAGGAGATTGAGCAAGGTCTTGAGCAGTACGAGCCTGAGCCAACGCCCGAGCCCGAGTCTGTGAACGAAGAGTCTGAGAACGACGAGGAGGAGATTGAAGACCAGCTCACCCCCGAGTCCCCGTTGGCGTCCACTCCCGCCCCTGTGCAGAGCGCCTGGAAGAAGAATGTTGTACCCCAATCCAGGGAGTCTGCTGAGCCCACCCCCGCCGAGGTCAAGGCTGCCCCCAAGATCATTCCCACCCCTTCCCAGCCCCCCAAGGCTGTCGACGTTGCTACCCCCGGCCCTGCCCCCGAGGCCCCCTCTTCCCCCAGCCCCCCTCCCGGAAAGCCCGCAAAGGTCAAGGTTGCCCCCTGGGCGGTCAAGAACGAGGAGCGCGCTGCTCCTTCTCCTTCTTTGAGGGACATTCAAGACGCCGAGGCGAAGCGACTCGAGGCAAAGAGGTCTGCTCTTGCTGAAGCTAGGGCCGCTAGTGCGTCTCCTGCCCCTACGTCGAGCAAGGATGAAGACTTTGTTTCCATGTCTTGGGGTCTTCCTTCTCAGCCCCCTCGTGGGGCCCGAGCTGTCTCTCCCGTGGTGTCTACCCCTGGTCCCACTGCGCCCGCCTGGGGCGGTGCCGGCGACGCTCCCAAGAAGACGTTGAAGCAGATTCAAGAAGAAGAAGAGAAGCGAAAGACCAAGGCTGCCCAAGCTGCTCGTGTGGCCCAGGGCCAATCTGCTGGTGTGACTTCTAGTTCCAGGCGAGGGTATGCCGATCTGGCTGCTGCGCCCGTCAAGAGGGAGCAGGAGCATTTGCCTGGATGGACTACCGTTGGTGCCAGCGGTAAGGCATCTGGTGCTGCTACTCCCACTGCCAGAGCTTCTACTCCCGCCAAACCTGCTGCTGCCCCGGCTCCCAAGCCTGCCACTGTTGTCGCTCCCATGTTGAAGAAGACTGTCGCGCTTGACGATGGTGCCCCCTCTGTCGAGTTTATCCGCTGGACCAAGCAGGCGTTGACCGGTTTCAAGGGAGACATTGACGACTTTATCTCTGTCCTCTTGTCCTTCCCTATTGACCCTCCCGCTGCTTCCCGGACGGACCAGATGGAGATCATCAGCGACTCTGTCTACGCCAACTCCTCCACCCTCGATGGCCGAAGGTTTGCTCAAGAGTTCACGGTGAAGAGGAAGCAGGACGCGGTGGCGCAAAGAGGCGGCGGTGGCGGGAAGAAGGTCACAAGCTTGGCTGACGTTGTAAAGACACAACCAAAGCAGCCGAGCGTGGATGCTGGCTTCAAGGTGGTCAAGGCGAAGGGAAAAAAGAAGAACTAGGGAAGGATCTGTGTTTCATAACGACATTGATTATAATGTGCATGGATCTAGCAATGGCATGGTTTGCATAGATTGAGCATCGCTCTCATATTCAGATACATCGTCCACTCAACTAGTCCCAATCCTCCGCTTCGGTATTCCAGCCAAACAAGGGAGGATCGACACCAAGTCCTCTCAGGACTGTCCCGTAATTCCATACCATGGGATCTTCAGCGATTCTGTCACGGCTACAGGATGATGAGCTATTAACTCTGTGGAAGCGGGCAACCTCACCGATCACACATCGGGGTCTCCTCTTTCTCATGAAACCTCCCATTCCCCTTGACCCTAGAACAGAGTCAGCCATGTCAGTGTACATCATTGGAGCAGCTCACTGGTCGCCATAGAGCGTACTCGACTCAATCTCCTTCATCAAAGCCCCCATATCTTGATCTGCCACATCAGGTATCAGAAGATTGCCATCCGCGTCCACTGGATCACCATCTTTGTTTCTAGGTGCTTTGGCCAGAATCTCTTCTTGCTCGGACGAAAGGCCGTTCGACGCCGATGACTCTTGCCAGTAGCCAGACGGAGTAGGGTTTGAGATGTAGGGGTTATCAGATGTACCGGGGTCAGGACGGGGGATGAGATCATACAACTTCTCAACCATCTCCCGTCCCGCAGACCTCCACATCACGATGAGTTCTTGCAAGCGGCCAGCTGAATCTTGAGCATCGTATCTGATCGCCTTTTTCAGCATGAGCACTTCATTTTGCAACGCCGTCAGGGCTGCTTGGCCTGTCTGTGGTGGTCCTGGATTGTAGGGCGAGGAAGGAGCGGCTTGTACAACGGTGACAGGTGAAGGGGCATTCGAGCGGCTCGAGCGAAGGGGTGTCCGGAATGGTCGAGCGAGTTTGGCTGAGCGTATACGAGTAGCTGGGGGTGTATTCTTGATGCCACGGGCAGGGGTGTCTGTGACGACTGTCCTTTCGCTGGATGAAGGAGTCGAGGGCTGACGTGTAGAAGAGTCCGAAAAGGGCGAGGAGGGTGCCGAAGTCGTCTTTTGCAGGACAACTCTGGATGGGGGTCTGAATGGCTTCTTCAATACTCGAGTGGCTGCTCCAGCAATACTCTGACCTGGCATCAGCGTAGGTCACGCGCATGGAATACGCTGCTCACTTGGCTTAGAGATCGCTTGTGCCCAGCATTGAACCCGCCATCTTCTCTCCCAGTGCTTGCTTTAACCGATCTGGAATGAGATCCTTGGTGCCCAGGTGTCTTGCCCACTCTCCACTGGCCTGCTCCAAGGTTTTCTCCTTCTTGGTTGTTGCCAACGTTTTGGCGTTCATTATCGGGCTCGAAAACGTCCTCGTCGGTCTGGTCGCCCACTCGGTGTACGGAGGATTGGCTGCCTGCCACCGCCGGAGGAAGTTGAGCAGGAAGGTAGTTTGATGGAGCGTCAGATGACGATGGCGTCTGGTAGTCGGGGAAGATATCGTGCAAGGGGTCATAGTCGTCCATAGGTGCCATGCAATGATCATCATCCGTAAAGGAAGTTTGCTCTTGACGGTCAGGACCAACAGAGTCGGTGGATAGCTGAGGTAGATCGTCGGTAGCACGAATCGAGGTTGGTGAAGTCACAGCCGGCCCGATAACTACACCTGCTTCCCTTCCCAGTGGTGAGTTCTGGTGCCAATGGGTAGAGTATGTGATCAAACGGTCTGACCGGTACCCGGGCGTGAACGAGGTTTGAGCAGGAGATGTCACGTGAGGAACAGACAGCGTGGCAGGGGCGCCAGGGTGTAGAAAGCATGAGGGCGGTCTCGGCCAGGTGGGGACATGTGAGCCTAGAGCCTGAATTCGTATCATGGACTCCCAGTATGACCTATTGTCAATGACATAAGGCAAGTGATCGATTGACGAAGCTGGGGACAGAGTCAGGTGGCTTGAACGAAGTCTAGGGGGCTTTGCTGGGGGACGATAGCGCCCCTTCGGAATCAACGAGACCGTAAGCTTGGGCCGCTTGATGAGAGCCCAGGATTCACTAGGGCGCGTCTTGGTTCTTTCCTCCTCGAGTCCCCCAGGAGTCTCACCTGCTTGACCCAACTTTCTCTTCTTGCTCCGGTTCGGCGGATCGGTGATCGTCAGGGTACAAGTAGGCATTGGGGTGTCGTGAGCAGCATGAGGCATAGCGAGACGCTCAGCTTCATCGATGAAAGCATCGATGAGCTGGGAGGGATAGTCAACCCAGGAGCGAATCTCTAGAGGAGAGGCGACGAGCTGGCCAAAGAGTCTGTTCAGGATGAATGTCGGAGCGTCGTCAAGCCTGTTCATCTAGATGATGGTGAGTAGGAGGTGAAGGGACGGGCATATGAGCTTACTTGACCATCCTGATCCGATCTCTCCCTTACAGAGCCCAAAGATCCGGACAAGCTGAAAGAAGGTGAGGTTGCGAGTGTCGCTTGATGAGTGGGAGGGCGCCAGGGAACAAGTGCTAGGCTTGGCGGGCTGTGCTCTGACGACATATCAGGTTCTATATGAAAAATATAACCAAAGATGAGATGCAAACGGGAGATGGAGATGCAATGATGGTGGTTGAGTCAACCGACGATCTGGCGCAGGTCGCCGCACGAGGGCCGTGCGCAAGACACACTGCGTGGGTAAGCTCCCCGGTCAAGTATATATGCATACAACATCAATTAGGAGCCCACCATGCTGCCCTGCTTCACCGTATCCGCTCATGCATCCGGAACTCTACGCTCGTGAAATCACTCAAGCCATCGTGGCCAAGCTGGAGAAGCATCTTTCCTTCGTCCGGGTCATCTCCATTTCCAACCAACCCCGCTGGTAATGGTTCTTGGTGGGTTGTCTCTTTTGAGCTGCCAAGCAATGTTAACCACTCGAAGGGTCTCAACAAACACTGGACTTACCCGGGTGGACCGAAAACCCGTAGACCTCTGACATGGGTATCCTTACCGTTGAGATGATTCGCAAAGATTACGATCCTCAAAAAGTGACAAGGTATGGGAGGACTAGAAGCGGGTCAGCCACAATAGCGAAGCGCATCCGGCGAGCCTTACCCCTCCTTTTCGCTTCCTTCCCCCGACATCTCCATGGGCCGTAGGGGAATGAGATGCCATCCATCCGGCTGCGTGAATTCCATGTACCTCACCTGGGAAACATCAGCAAGGATCTCTGCACGGAGTGAAGGAGCTGAGCTTACCTCTTGCAGATCATGTACACCTGTTCCAGCTCTGACGCCTATCTTTGAGGGAGTGTAGGAATCGTCTCTGGGATGTGACATGTGAAGACCGATAGCCTATGCAAGGGTCAGTTCGAGCTACGACGGCTTCTAAAAGGTCTTACCGAGATGTCGACTCGCCGCGAGAACGCCAGATCGATGGTATGTGGCTGCGCGCCCTCAGATCTACATAGAAGATCAGCGTACAATAACTCGACTAGTAGTCCATACGCACTGCCAGAACGTCGAGTCGTTTCCATCTCGCAGATTATCCACTCCAAAGCCATACTTGTGGCTTGAAACGCTCCAGTGAGCCAAATAGCCTATCTCGGTACGGTTCATCAGAGAGCTGACCCCCGCATCGTGGTCTTCTTCGCTGATTTGCGATGACGCATCCATCACGGACTGTGTAGGGGACGGGGGCGTGACGGGGGGAGGCATTGGTGAACGAGGCAAGCGAGGCAAGGTTGAGCATAAACATGGCATAACGAAGCTAGCTGTTTGAGCGTCGGCTTTCCGCAATGTTGTCCAGGTTCCACGTCAGCGTTTTTGAGAGGTACGAGTAAAGTCGTACATAGTCGTGGCAGAGTTGTGTTCCGCTTCGTTCTTCTCTATACCTGTGCACTTCTACTGCAGCATATCCCTCCTGGGCTATAAAAACGCTTTACCATTCTCCGAGGCTGAACTGAAAAGAGCTGGTCATTCAGGAGAAGGCGAGTCTTCAATCATTCTGGCTCGGACTGCCAGGAGACGACGGTACGGGATGCTTGGGCCCTTCTGTTGTTTAAATCGGTGTTCGTCCCGGATCAGCTTCTGCCGAGACTGCCCACAGCGTCACACAGGAGATCCTTGCGATCTTGCTAGAGTACGGAGTGGACGATGCCGCTGTTGAATGGCGTGAGGCCGCGCCAATGCAATGGCCGTGAGCTTCTATTACCGACTATTATTTGCCTGCTGCTCTTTTGTTATTGTTGGTGCATGCACTGGTCATGTTCGGCATATTACCATTCAAGTCCGTGTGAACTCTACACTTTTCGTCTTGACGCTGATTCCGACTCCAAACTTGAGTTTCTACCCGTCGTCAAATGCGCTTGTGATTAGAATCAAAGTATACATACGACACAAACATTGTCCAAATCCTCATCCTCATTTCTCTTGACAATAAAAGTAGTTGATAAACGGCTTGAGCCTCAGATTCAACAGATTGAACACTGGAGTAGTCGTGTTCTTCATCGTCGGTCAGCGGGGCCACGGCCGGACTTGTCTACACTTACCACGCGATTGTCCTTTCCTCCCACGACAACCTCTGACCCCTCCACCGTCCAACCAAGCGCACTAGCCCACACCGCCCTCCTCGCCTCTTGCCTCTCCTCTTCGCTCTTCCACCCTCCTTCAGGCGTCGAGGTCTTGACTGCAGGCAGTCCTTTTGAGGGGTCAAACTCGGCGCGGTTGGCGGCAATGGTCGATGGAGAGTGGACGAGATTGTGTTGGGCGATGGACAGACCCGAGAGGTTGTTGCAGGTGTGGTACTGGTCGGGTCGTCTGTGATCGTTCAGCGGATGTCGGGTCAAGATACGAGATTGCTCACTTTCCGGGCTTGTCGCGAAGACCGCCTGTGGTGCCAGCGTCTTGCTGGGCGGCAATCAAGGTGAATTCTTGCAGAGCAACTCGGTTGAAGACTGATGGGGAGGCTATGCAGAGTAAGCAATATTACACATTGCGGAGATGGCACTTACGAGCAACGTCTTCCCAATCGCTCTCCTGCTCTTCACCATCAAGGACCTCGAGCTTTTTGGCTTGTCCCTTGGCCTTTTTGGAACGCTCTCGTCGGACGAGTTCCTCTGCTACAGGCGCCCCACCACCGACCCACCAAGAGTAGCAGCCGTCTACAAGTTTGTTTGTCCTCCCCCTGAAACCGCCTCCTTCAATAGCTTCACCCTGCTGCAGTACCGTCCATCTCAGAGCCGCATCAGCATCGATGGGCGCAGGGAAGGACGGAAGAGGAACAGCAGTGAGGAGAAAGTGAGAGTTGAGAGAGCAGGAAGTGTAGCCGCCGTGAGCTTCGGACATGGGTGCTCGGGCAGAGGGGTCGGCGGTGGGAATGGCGGAGGCAGAGGGGATGATGGAAGGGAAAGGGAAGGACGAGCAGGCAAAGCCGCCTTCATATGTTTGACAAGCAGCGATGAATTTGTCGGTATTATAGAGAAGCTCGGGTGTGAGAATGTCCAGCAGTGTAGCCACAACCAAGAGACAATAAGACCCTCTGTTTGGCATGTCAGCATTGTCAAAAGGCGTTCTAATATACACACCTGACGTCGACCTCGCCCCCTTCACACACGACAAAGCCCCCATCAGGCCTCTTGCAGCGCATGAAAAAGTCGTATATCCCCTGCCTAGCACTGACGAGGTGATCCCATCCGCCATTGGGCCCAGCATTGCCGGTGATGGCCAGGGAACAGACAGAGGCATAGGTAGGAAGAAGATGGGGTAGCTGAGAGTTTGCGGGGCCGCCAGCAAATCCTCCGAGGGGCGAGAGGAAGTGAAGGAGGGTCGAAACGACTCTGCGAGGATCTCAGCTTATGTACAGAACTATCAGACACACTGACCTGTCTTTGGTGCCCTGGTCCAGAGCAACGCCCAGGATATCGAGAGAGTGCACGGTCCAGAACACTAGCCAAGGACGACTCGCATCGAGGCTGACAAACTTTCCAGGCAGCTGGAAGAAGCTGGAGGCAAGAAACTGGGTATGCTCGGCCTTCCTGAGGGTAGGATACTGTTTGGTGGTGTCTGGCGTGGGCACGGCGGGGTCGGCGGTGAGGTCGATGAGCTGTTTGATGAGGTGCTCTGTGTCGCGCTGCTCGTGGAGGGTGGGAGAGGGGCGGGAGTTGGAGGGGAGGGGGGTGTGGGGGAGGGCGTAGAGGGAGGGGCCGAGGGATGCCATGGTGGTTGTCGATGCAGCTGAAAGACAGGATCTCTTATTGTTCTCTGGGCTGCCTCCACCCTGCCAGGCACTCTATTTGGTCCCCCGCCAGCACGGTGGATATGCATGCATTATTGGGTCGGGGGTTGTCGACGGCGTAATAGACATACATGCAGCATGGATTCCAGCAGGGCAAGGACACTGGCCGTGAGTAGGGGACGGGCACTCCCACAGCTCGGGGCCCGCTACACCGCACGTCGCTTACAGTCCCATTCTCTGCGATCTGATTTCGTTTCTCTATCACCGCCATGTCCCTCGCCACACTCCAGCACCTCCCAGGCGCACTCGCAGCGGGAGTCTCATCTATTGTACAGAGACTGACCACCACCTCTTCCACCCCCCTGCTCCCCTTCATCCCCAAATCAGGTCAGCCATAGTCCACCTGTCACTCGTGGCGTCAATGATCACTGATACCCCCATAGTCAAAGTTGTCCTTCTTCTTCTCTTCATTGCCAACTCTGGATCATGGCCCTTTGTCTGGCATGTGCGCGTCTGGTGGTTCGGTGTCAAGGCTTACTACTTGGCATGGCACAAAGGTCACGCCAGGTACCTGTCTGACTGGAAGAAGGCGAACGACCAGTCTGGCGGTGTCAAAGGCTTGAGAGTGAGGCACAAACGGACTGCTGGCATTGACGACTGCGATTACAATCTCCACTTGAGCAACTCGTGCGTAGCCCCACGTCAAGTCTCTCATGTGTGCTGACCTGTCTCAGATGCTACGCCAAAAACTCGGACAGCCTCAAGATGGACTTTTGCATTCAATTGCTGTCTCCTGTGTTCACCCCTGGGGCTCGCATGGCTCTCGGTGCCACGCATTACAACTTTTTCAAAGAGATCCCCATCGGCATGGAGTATACCATGGAAGCCTACACCCTCGGATGGGATGAAAAGTGGTAAGTGACGTGGTGGAGTTGATAAGCACCTTTTAACACAATGCAGGCTCTTTTTCGCTTGCGAATTCGTCATTTACCCAAAGAACAAAAAGTCCAAGGGCTCAGCCGCCAAGGACAAGGCCATCACCCAAGCTTCTTCCGTCATCTCCTCTGCTACGCCCCAGATCATCCCTACCATCTCTGGCACCTCCACCCCTCTCCCTTCCGATGCGGCCATCCCCTCCAGCCCCTCGGCTCTTTCCAATCGATGTGAAGACCTCAAAAAGGCTTGGGTCGCCCGCCGTCAGGCCGAACCCCGAGAGGACGGAGGAGTTCTGTGCTGTCTTAGTATCAGCGAGTACTGCCTCAAAATGGGCAGGGTCACCATTCCTCCTAGAATCGCGCTTTGGCTTGCCCTCCAGTCGCCCGACAAGGCGCAGCAAGATAGGGCCAAGGCAATCGTGCTTGGGAAGGATGCCGGAAAGGCGTTTTTGAGGGGTGGGTGGAAGGAGGAGCCTAATGCCGAGACTTTAGGCCTGGACATTGGGCTTGAAGATGGGGAAGTGTTTGAAGATAGCTGGGTGAGGAAGGGTGCCGAGGCCATGGAGAAGGTTTTGGAGGGTGTCAGCGCATTCTAGAACGCCATAGATGGTCAGACATGGGTATCGGTTATTGTTGGGTGACGAAATCTTTTCAAAGGCATGTAGAGAAGTTAGGAATATGAAAGTATGATTTGCATGGCAGTCCGGCCATGAATCTACCACTCGGAATCCAGTGTCCATTCTCACACCCTCATTACATTGATATATTGTTCTGGCTCTGACAGAACTGTCTTTCTTCGTTTCAGTAACTTTTCGTTGCTCCCAACTCGTCATTAACTGCTTCGCAGAAGCAGCAGCATACCCCACCCCAGCACCCACACCACACAGACAACAACCATATACCCCTGAACCGCCAGTCTCAGTCTTCTCTTCCAAAGCGGGCTCTTTCTGGCACCCATCCCGACGCGCCTAGACGCAACGTCCGACAACCCCACCTGATCCTCCTCATCGCTTCCCAGCTCATACTCTTCCGCTTCCGCCCCAATCTTTTCGCTCTTTTCCGTCAACGGTTTCGAGCTGGAGAGTGTTGCTTGTAATGTACGAGTGGTGAGGGGGCGGGGGGCAGGGTGCCACTGGAGTAGAGAGGAGAGGAGTTGGGAGCCGTCGGTATAGGGTAAGGGGAGGAGGTTGAAGATGAACAGCGAAAAGGCGATCGTCTTGATGTATCTGAAACATTCGTCAGCAGCGTTTACATATGAAACGATTGGGGCATACTTGAATAAGAGAGCGCCGGCTCGTACGCCCCCAGTCCACCATCTCCCACTCTCCTTTCCAACCCTCACATGCCTCAACACCTCCTCCCTATCCCCATCCCAGAGCACCACCCGCTCTCTACCCCAACTCCCTCTCACGCGTATCCGCACGATTTCCTCTGATTTGGGCCTGACGCACACCCAGCGATGGTCCGGACAAGGGCACCCCTTACTGGGAATGTCTAGTATCGGGTGGGGCGGGAGACATCTCTCCTCCTCTTTCTTTGCGTCTGCGTCATCAAACTCGTTTGTGATGAATGCAATACTTCCTTCTCTCCAGCCATTGGTGGACGCATTGCAGGGGAGGGGCGAGAGCGAGAGGAACGATACAGCATTAACACACCAGCCACGGGTGGTGTCATCGGCCGTATCAGAGGCAAGGTACGAAGTCCATTTCTCGGTCGGCGAGACCAAGGCAGAATGTGACAGAGGGATATCATTGAGATGGGTAACGACCTCGTCTGGTTGAAAGTGCTGAGATAAAGGAGAAGTCCAGAGGATGTCTTGCACGACGGCGCCTTGGTATGAGCGGTCGATCCAGAACATGCTTGTCAGGCCGCTGGACGCGAGTAGCCACAGCGTCAACCATGTCATAAGGTTGTGGACGGGGCCAGAGATGGCTATTCTCATCTTGGCATTACTTTACAACATCAGCATTGGCATGTCACGTCTTGAATCTACTCACGGGTCGAGGTTATCCATGGAAGACCCAAATTCCACAGCCATGCTAGGGACAAAGTAGCTGAGAGTGAGGCTCAACTTTGATGGTTGGACATCGTCCAAAGCCGCGCTCAGAGCATGTCCCAGCTCGTGCACCAGCTGGTTGAACACCAAAGCGAGCAAGAATGCAGGTAGGTGGGACAAGGGCATGGTGATTCCAGGTATCTGATTGCAATCAGTCAAGTCGTATGAATTTGGCATGCGCAACTCACTAGGGGCTGAAGTCCACCTCCAGAACCTGTCTGAGTCTCTCCAGAAGGAAGTATCAGATCCACACTCCTCTTTGCCATCTCTACGCCCTCTACAACGGCTCCTCCTACAGCCACACCCACATGCCCTTCAAATTCTGCCCAAACTTCAGTCCATACAGCCCATCCGGCATAGCCCGCGCCGGCTATCCCTGCGACCATCCCCACCAGACCTAAAGCAATAGAAAGGTCATATAGCTTCTTGAGACGCTGCGAGTTCCGGAAATTGAGAAAGGAGAGGACGAGAGAGGGGACGGGGTTCAGGGCAGACGTCGACAGGCTGAACGTCCATGGAGGTTCAGCAACGACGATCCATTGACCTTTCAAGGGGGGCGGGGGGAGGAGGGTGTCTTTATTTGTGGCCCCCGTGACTGGGGCAGATAAGGGGCGATGGACCGGGAGAGAGGTGAAAGGGGCCGCCGATGGAAGGAGGATGGTGAGCTTGTAGACAGCGTAGAGGAGGAGGGCGAGGAGGGCGGAGGGGACGAGGGAGATGGCAGAGAGCATCTGGGTGGGGGAGGGGGAGGAGATGGATGGAGATGGAAAGAAAGAAGAGAGAACGAAGATCTGCGCTGGAAGACGGGGACCCTCGGAATGCCGCTGCCCTGGCGAAATCCCACAAGACTCTCAGGATTCAGGATAGTCACTCAAATCAGTGCCTCTCGTCATCTCCCGCTTGTCCTCCCATATGCATGCTGGGGCAGGGGGCACGAGTGCTTTCAATAGGAGACCCTGCGTGCGTCTGCAACGGCTGTCAGTTGAGATGTACGGCGCTCGCGATGCTGCTTTCTCTCACGCGCCACCCCTTGCCCTGGCGGCTGTAAAAGCGAACTCGCAGAAGACTTGAGAAGGAACGAAAGACGGGCAGCGCCAACTAAACTCAAATTGTATGGCCAACTCGTCATGAATGACCACAAGACGACTAGTGACTGGGCGCGCACACAGTTGCAGATGGCAAGAAGGCCCAGAAGGCCCAGAAGGACAGCTCAAGTACCCCAGTATCGGTCCGGTACAGTATCAGGGCTGGCGAGCCATCAGAGCATTACTACTTCGTATCGATCGTATGCAGTCGCTCGCCGTACGAGTACCGCAGAAGGGTCAACTGAACATTCACATTTGGTGTAAGAAGCATCCTCCTCCCTCCTCGACGGCGTCCCCATGCGAGAGTACGTAAAGTACATACCTCGGGCCTCAGGCCTCATACACCAGTCAACATGATCTGCATCACAGATTACCGCGTTCGGAAATCCGACATGGATAGCGCACCGTCTCTATTAGGTTCGCTGGTCAAAGTTTGTCTCATGCCGATAGAGCAGGTCCCAGGACCGGAGGCACCGGTGGGCGACAGCTCTGGATGGATGCAGTCTCGGCAAGTCCAGTATATATATCTCCTGATCTCCTGCATGCCACAGAGACCGAGCCAGAGAGACCAGAGAGACCACAGATCATAGATCCACAGCACGGGAGGCCACCGGCCACCGATCATCGGCAGCGACAACTCCCGACTGCTGACAGCCAGGCCATGTCCACGAGGGCTGGCTTGTCGTGGCGATCGAAACTTACATATCATCGTTCGAGAACAAAGGGCCCGCAAAGACAGGAAAGAGCGACGACCGTGTATGTACAATGCTCGAGTACTCGAGTACAGTAGATCTTTTAGACCTAACAGACGAGATATTAGACCTGATATCCTGCAAAGAAGTATCCTAGAGCCTGATCGCACGCTGGACGCATTTCGCGCTAGGCCTGGGTTATGGAATACACTACCGCTCATAGCCGACAGGTGTATGCATGTCAATATACTTATGACTGGGAGAAAGGCGAGAAGTACTCGGAGTCGAAGACGGGAAGGATATGGGCTTCAGTGTTGAAGATGTTTTCTGGGCAGGTTGGTCAGAAGAGACAAGCACTGGACACCTGTAGAGCTTACTGTCAAGGGAGATGTGGTCCGAGTCGTCAAAGAGCAAGTAGAGATATTCTACAAGAGTCAGTACATTTTCCCGGCCACCATCGCGTGACTTACTAAGAGTCTCTCCGAGCCAAAACGTTTCCATCCTGTCCAGCTGCTTGGGCGGCATAGCCTGAACATCCTCGATACCAGCGTAGCCTCCTTTCTCGACACGGCACCACTTGTTGAACGCCTGGAAGACCTTCCATCCCCAATCACGGTACTTTTGGTCACCAGTGACTCGGTAAGCAAGGAAGAGGGATTCAACAGTCTCCGGGCGGAGAATGTTGCGGCCGTCAATCAGAACGCCATTCCTAGCTATCGTCAGTACCAATAAACATTGTGCAAGGACAAACTCACTGGTTCGGCTTGATATACCAATCAAGGTCGGAAGCCCGGTCGTCACTCCATTGTACAAACATGGCAATTTCGGGGGCCAGACCACTATAAATGGATCAGTCAGGCCCATCACACTCCTCAAGACGTACGTGGCGGTCTCGTGGGTTTTCATACAACTCTCAACAATCCCCTGTCCAATCAGGAAGTCCTCTTCATCCCTCTTGTCCAGCTTTTCCCAGTCAACCTCCTTCTTTCCACCATCCGTCACGCCGAGCAAGAACGATCCACCCAGGAAGCATACAAGGTGGTCTTGCTTGGGCACAACTTGCCAGCTTTGCGTTTGATCTCTGGGGTGACGCGCGGGGTGCAGTTCTTGAGTAAAGATCAAATTGGACTTTTTGGTCTTGCCGATGAGATGTTTCCTGATACCGCCCATGGCTTCGTCGTACATCTAGGTTCATGTGAGTAGGTGAATGCGGATTCTGGTGAGACTTACGTCGCGGTAGACGGGCTCTTGTCGGTTGGTCTGGAGCCACTGCCTATGCGGAGTCAGCACAAATAGGAAAAGTAACAAGAGACTCACTTGAGTAGATACTCGTAGTAAGAGTCACCACGCGAGCCCAATCGGATCTCAGATGCCACGAATTGACCGTTCACTGGGTTGATAAAGATTGGGGCGATACCATCAAAGATAGCCTGGTTTCTAATGACTTCTGTGACCTTTTCGGCCTTCTTCCAGAAGATATAGTCTCCAGTGAGGTGGCTCAAGTATTTGAGCTCCAACTGCAAACTAGCCGCCTCGGCCAAGCTAGCGACACCTTGATTATCCTTGTCAGGAATACCAACTCGGGTGGCGAGGTTGATGCCAGACCAAGGGATACCGGATGGAGAAGAGAAGGCGCCGAGAAGACGCTCGCCGAGGTCTGTTGCGAGGTCGAGGTAAAGAGACGCGTCGGCCTGAATTTCGGGCGATGCGTGGGTAGACGACATGTAGTGGGCAGAAAGAAGCCCACCAAGGACCCGGATAGTGGTCTGTAGCCAGTCATCAGCAGTTCATGGTACAATCAACGGAACAAACCTCGAAAGTGTTGAATTGTGAATCGCGATCGAAATGGAGGTTGTCACGAACCCAGTCCCTGGCTCGCTGGTATTCGGGAATGAGGTCCATCAGAAGAAGCGAGTCGAGAGAGTCGACAATTGTATATCCTACTCCTCCTGACTCTGTCAAGTTTGAGCCGGTTTGAGACAGGGGTTGGTACTGCAATGTGATCAGTTTTGGAGCATGCCACGAAGGATAAACCAACCTCGTCAGCTCCCCAAGCGTGTCTTTCTAGTAGCAAAGTCAGCGTGATCTCAAGGGATGATATCTGCCGCACCATACGGATGCCAGCTCCACTGTACATCGAATCAGCATTCGAATCAAGAGGCGGTATCGCCACTCACCTCAAACGCTTCTTTGATAGCCTCCCTCTTCTGCACGTCAGCTTCGAGCTTGCCGCCAGCTTTCAGTTTCGGGACGTCGGATGTTTTGATTGAACCGTACTGGGTGCCAGTCAGCCGTGTCTGGGATTGGGCGACAGGCTTCGACTGAAGCATGGGCGTCAAAGTCTAGCATCTGGTGAGCTCGCGTTCTTCGTCTCTAGAAGATGGCCCACTTTGTAGCTAAACCACAGCACAGCTAGAAGACCAAGGCACGATAAGCCCAGTCTTACCGTCCCCATGAGCTGCACATTGCCGACTTTCGCATTGATCTACAATGTAGTCAGCGGCTGGAAAGAGTTCGGTTCGAACATAGGCGTACCTCCTCTTTGCTGAGTTTTTTCCCGGGCTGCTCTGCAGCCTTGGACTGGGCTCCTTTTCTGGGCCGTACTTCTGACATTTTGTCCTTGCACAATATCGATGGAAAGCTGTCCGAGATATCTAGCCCGCACTAGCAGCAGCCGACAGAACGCTACGTGGAAAGTGGAGGCAGCGGGATCAATCTCACGTGCGGTGTAATCAACAACGCGTCGGTGTCCATCTTCGCGTACAAATCATCATTCACAACATCAACATCGACATGTCTCTATCACGCCCTTCCACTGCTTATGACCTCTCAACACCCCAAGAATCACTTTTCGACCGGGAACGCGAGCGACTCATCGAAGAAATATCAACGGTCAGTCGCAGAGGTTTCTACCGCTGCACTGAGCTGACGCTGCCGTCTAGAACTTCGAAGAACTAATGGGGAATATGAACAACCTGAACAGGACTTTGGAGCAGGTTTATGGAGTGGGAAGAGAATTCACCACCGTTTCAGCGTTGTGGGGCGTGAGTAACGATGGGGCGTGTGAATGCAAAGCTAATCATCCGATAGAGGTTCAGCTCACTGATCAAAGAGCAACAGGTGAGTCTGACTCGTACTTGGTTATGATCAAAGCTGACCGTAAACATAGACAGAGCTGGCGGCTTCGGCAGACGTTGGCGTTCCGGGCACGGGAGGAGCCAACTTTGCAGCCAGTACGACCAACAACCCCTCCAAATCATGACCAGGCCTGCGTGGCATTGTATTCCATATCATTGTATGATCTACTGTATGTACTGAATGTCATTTATTGCCAGACTCTACGTGTCGCGGCTCCGGGCCAGGAGACAAGGCGAAGGAGGCACATGTTCAGGCAAACAACCAAAAGGGAATCGGGGCTTTCCTTCGAGCCGGAAGGTGGGAGGTACGCCGTAGTCTTTGGACAACACAATCAGCACGTTGGATCCTTGATGGATGATAGTTGAATGCATATGTTGTGCAGGCACTTGTCCGGCAGACGCTCCCAGTCCTCCGATGGGCGTGCCCACCCTTGTCTCCCCCGCAGCTTGCTGTCGCATAAAGGACCTCTTCAACCAACACAAGATCTGATCAAGAGCTTCTCCATCAAGCACAACGTCCGACGCAAGACGATCTTGTACGCGGCAGTCCAGCTCAGGCTTCGGTCCCAGCGCTCGACTGGAAGGCGGAAAGACCTATGTGAATGGGGTCGCTGGCATTCATAATCCCCTCTGGCAATCCAGAAGACCCGCCGGATCTGCCTGTATAGTCAGCACAAGAGAGGACACGTATAAGGCTACTGACCAACGGAGACAGAAGAGCAGGCTCTAAAGCGGCCAGGGCGGAAGTATCCTGACAATCAATCGGCAGTGGCAAAACTTGGGAACGCAGCTCCTCATCATCATGAGAGGGACTTGGAGAGGGGGCTCTGCCGGGCGCTTGAAAGACATCGGCACCACGACATATCCTTTGGCTGACAATCTTGTTCATCGAATAACAACCGAACAAAATTGTTTGAAATTTTCTCCTTTAGGATTCCGGTAGCCATACATACTCTCGGGCAAACCAGAAACGACAATAAAAAGTCAAAAAGCATAATAAGCAAAAAAAGAAAACCCATGGCGGGGATCGAACCCGCAATCTTCTGATGGACTTTTATTATTACAAATAGAAGTCAGATGCCTTAGCCTTTAGGCCACACGGGCACTTGGATGACAGAAAGAATTTTGTTGTGAGATAACGCGTTTGACGCGCGACCAGCCAGCCGCCGCGGCTACATATTCTCTTTTCTTTTCTTCTCTCTTCATCTCGCCACGCTCTCGAAAGTGGAGACTGGGCCAAAGACCTGAACGGTAAGATCACCTGACACCATCCCGTTGTCGTAGGATGAGGACGTTTTGGGATGTCTCGGTTCAATGGTCGGTGGGGACGGCATCTGATGGACATGTTGATGACAGTTGACGGACTCCCCTGGACGAAACATACTCGCGCTATGCATCTGACATGTTCGGAAAGCTGGGACAAGTACGCGTATCTGTGCATCGGTGCATGATTCATCCATATTTGGCTTCAATCTCATCAACTGGTGTAGCCAAAGAAGCCCCCACAGTCCATCAACCGGACTTCTCTACCCGGCGGTGACCTACACACGAACGCAGGGGCCTCCGACGCGTCTACATTATTGACGCGTGCAAACGCATTCTCCTTCTTCTCCCCGCCACAGCGATGACCAGCAGGAAGAGGTCTCTCGAGAATGACTCTGTTTGGCCGCCCGGTGGTCTCTTTGGGCCCTCTCCAGGCCAGGGACAGCCTGTAAGTTGGTACTCGCTCGTCAGTCTACCCGCTGATCATCCTGGATCATATCCCAGAAGCGGGACAGAGTGTACAAGCTATATTCTCACTCCCCAGCCTCCCTTCAGGCTGTCACTCTCCCAATAGCCTCTCCTTCCCCTTCTCCTCTGCGACAGAGCTTCATCCCAGAGAACAGTTTGCGGACGACATTCGGACCCGACGGCTCCCTTCCTTTGCCCCAGCTATCTGACAGAACGACAAGTCTATCGCGCGCGGGCTCTGATTACTCCAGCCCAATGTCGCACATCACCAATAGCTCCCCTGATGAGATTCAGCATTCTACGCCGCTGAGAGTCAAGTTGGCCTTGTCCGCGAGCTCTGATGGAAGGCCAAGTGTATATGAAGACTCTAGTGAGAAGTATCAGATAGATGACGGGATCATCCTAGGTGCAAGTCAGCCCTCCGCTGGAGGTTACAGAGCTGACATTCGCTACAGGTGACGCCTTATCCTTCGTTCAAGAAACGCGGTCTCACGAGCCGAGCCTCTCCCCGTTGGCAATCTCCAACATCTACTCTCGGCTTGGGTAATTTGCAGATCCGGGATTCTCCACCGAGCCTTTCAGGTCCGCTAAGCAGGTCCAGTTCTGCGCGGACTGGGATGACGGTGCAGACCCCTCCAAGTGGCACGTCCAAAAGGAGTATCTTCCGAAGCGGCACAGGTAGCTCTGAGTAGTGAGTCGAAGATATTGGCGCTGGGATCCCATTCACCGTTCATAGTGCCTCCTTTTCTTCGTCTCCTCCCGGTGCGCCCCTACGCAAACATCGATACATCGCGCCCGCTGTCAACCACGGCTCGCCCATCTCTCGCCGGCAGCGGAACTCGGTGACCCCAGAACAGCTGGCCCCGCAGCTCCAGACGTTGCTATCCGAGTCCGACTCTGAGCCGGAGATTGATGTGATTATGGTGGATCCGAAAGACCTGGGGTCGCCGAAGCTGTGGGCAAGAAGGGGAAAGAAGACCGGGTGGGAGTAGTCGGCGGGGCGTCGATGCTGTGGGAGATATAGTACATGATACACAGCCTTTGGTGTAGCATAGGACAGTTTCAAGGAATATATACGTATTCGACTTCGAGCTGTTTGTACGTATGATAGAATCAAGATCGTTTGTACCAAGCGAGTGGAAGTCACCGACGGTGATCGGTGTCCAGATGATATCACTTCCTCGCACTTGGCCGATATCCTTTTTGTTTCTTTTGCATTCTTGTCGCCCATACAGCCATGAACCCCGTGTAAGCACCCTCTCGACTGCCAGCGCATAGCTCACCCTCTCCAGCTCACCGCCCTCCACAAGAGGTATGCGGGACTATATCCCAGACGTCCCCTCAGACGGCGAAGATTACGACGCCGTTCTCACAGAGGAAGAGCCCATCGAGGGTGACTTCACCCCCCGCGCTGTTATCGCCGGGCTAGGAGTCGGTGTAGTGCTTTGCATGACCAACATCTACTTTGGTCTGCAGACAGGTAGGCTTCGCAATTGCAGCTTGATTCTGCTGACCATTCTACAGGATGGGTATCCATGATGTCCCTCCAATCGGCCCTCTTGGGCTTTGCAGTCTTCCGTATACCTGTCCTGCTGCCACGACTCTTTCCCAACATGCGTCCTCTTACACCTCAAGAAAACGTGGTCCTGCAGACAACAGCAGTGGCAACGGGGACAATGCCCCTTGCTGCTGGGCTGGTGGGGATTATTCCGGCTTTGGGGATGCTGACTGAGGAGATTGATGGACAAGGGCCAGTGCATATGGGATGGGGTAGTTTGGTCATGTGGTGTCTAGCTGTGGCATTCTTTGGGTAAGTACAGACCTAGGAGTGCGTGGCCTTGCTTATGATTGCCAGTGTCTTCCTCGCTGCACCTTTGCGGCGGCAAGTCATCGTCAAAGAGAAGCTCGTCTTTCCCTCGGGCAGTGCGTGTTAAATTAATATCAAGGCCTTGATGCTCACATTGCATAGCTGCTACTGCGCAGCTCATCTCTCTACTACACCAGATCCCTCCGCCTGCCGAAGTGCAAGGAACCCGTTCTCGGGCATACCGCCGCCTTCCTCGAACTTCACACTCTGTATCCCCTGCTAGGCCTCGACATGAAGAGGAAGGAGCAGCATCATTTGATGATGGTCGGAGAAGCGGGGCTGTGAGACTAGAGGAAGAGGAGAAAGACAAGGAACTCATGACGGGAAAGGGGTGGTGGGCTTTGGGATTATCTTTCCTTGCAAGCGGCCACCTAACGGTGAGTCAATATGAAAATCACGATTGTTCAACTGACATGTCTCAGGTGTTGTCATTCCTCTTCCCTGCCTTGTTTGCCATACCAGTTTTTGACATTGTGGGCCTGCCATTCGGCGCTCATCTCGCTGCCAACTGGATGTGGTGGTAAGCAGCCTATCCTTGTCAAGTGTAGAGCTGACACCTTTCTAGGTTCACCCCATCTCTATCATACGTCGGTCAAGGTGAGCTTGATCATAATCTGAATCATACAATGCTTATCTGCAACGCGTAGGCATCATCATGGGATTGCCCGTCACCTTGTCCATGAACTTTGGTATGCTTGTTGGCTGGGCGGTCCTCTCTCCGTTGTCCAAGCATCTCGGCTGGGCTCCGGGTCCAGTGTCTTCCACTACCGATGGTGCTCGTGGATGGATTGCAAGTCTATCTCTTGTTTCCGATATCAGCGTTGACCCTTCTTAGCTCTGGGTCGCTCTGGCCATCATGATTGCCGAATCCATAATCTCTCTTCTCCCCATAACCATCTCCCACGCCTCTACCCTCCTGAGATATTACCATCAACGTACCGCCCATTCAAATGTCTTTGTTTCTACCCCTCAATCTCAGACTCGAAGGCTGTCTTCCGAAGACGACTACTACGACCCTCCCTCCGAAGACCAGAATGACGATCCCGAATTCGAGCCTCCCGAGAGACTTGTACCAGGATCGTGGGTCAAGTGGGGCTTGGCGGTAAGTGCTCTGGGCGGTGTGGGCCTCGTATGGGTGGTGTTTGGGTCAGATGGTATCAAGCCATGGGCGACAGCTTTGGGGCTGGTCCTGGCGAGTGTCTTGAGTTTGATTGGGGTGAGGGCTTTGGGAGAAACGGATCTGAACCCTGTCAGTTGATCGGAATGTCTTGGGGGTGAAGCTGACCGTAAGGCAGGTCTCTGGGATCGGAAAGATCAGTCAACTGTTGTTTGCTGTCCTCCAACCTGGCAATGTGGTCGCCAACATCATCGCGGGTGGTGTCGCCGAGGTGAGTGCTATATCAATGACAAGCGTAACGATACTGACTCTTGTATTAGGCCGGTGCTCAGCAGTAAGGTCTGCAGTAGAACGAGAGATAACGCTGACGACTTATTAGGGCGGGAGACCTCATGCAAGATCTCAAAACAGGCCACCTCCTCCGCGCATCGCCTCGAAGTCAATTCTATGGTCAAATGATTGGCAGTCTCGCGAGTGTCTTTGTCGCCACCGCCGGCTACAAGTTTTACACCTCGGCGTATACCATCCCCGGTCCTGAATTTGCCGTCCCCTCCGCTGGTATCTGGCTCAACCTCGCCAGGCTTCTGAACAATGGGCATCTGCCGCTGCACGTCGTGCCATTTATGCTCGCTCTCGGCGCCGTCTTTGCCCTCATATCCACAGTCAAAGCGTTCCGTACATCCCTCCCGCCATCAGTCTCCTCCAGCAGGCTCATTGCCTACCTTCCGTCAGGTATCGCCTTTGCAGTCGGCTTCCTCAACTCGCCCTCCTTTTCCATCGCCAGGCTGATAGGCGGATATGTCGCTTTCCGGTCTGCAAAGCTGAGCGGGGCTGGAGAGACGCCGCTGTTGGCTATTGTGGTGGCGAGCGGATTTGTGCTGGGCGAAGGAGTCGTCAGTGTTGTGACTTTGGGATTGACGAGCGCTGGGTTTGGGGCTGCCAGCTGTTGGGGATGTGGCGTGGGTGGAGGCGGGTATTGCTCTGGGGGCTGTGCATGAGAAGGATCCAGTGATGATGATGATAAAGAATTGAGGAGAACAATTGTAGCTGCCAGTCAGTCTTGTATGAGGCATACCAGCATTCTAGATTTCCGATAGCTTGCATGTTGTCCTATGCACACATTATAAGTGTCCTTGTTGTTCAAAATTCCCAAACTATAACTTCAATATCCCAAGCACACATTTATCGCCTAAGTCGCGCGGCACCCTGCCTCTTGAGCATCCTCTCAAACTCCCTAACCTCCCTCTTGCGCTCAACAAGGTCGTGGAAGATGTTGGCGTTGTAAAGCCACTCATCTTGAGGAGCGATACCCGGGGCAAAGGTAGACTCCCAGCCGGCAATGATACCTTGGACGATGGGCAGACCAGCGACGTAGATGTTCTCAATGGCGGGGGTGAAACCACCCTGTTCGGCAAGGAAGGCAGTAACACTAGACAAAATCAGCGCAGCTCACCCTGTCAAGACAGACACTCACGCATCATCCTCGGCATGGGGAGCCCTGTCAAAGTCACTAGCAGTCCTCATCAGGACGACCCTAGAAAAGTCCATCTTTCCGGCCATGTGCGCCCGCACCATAGCCTCAAAGGTCGCATTGTCCTCCTGGGCAGTCAGGGCGTACTGGCCAGTACCGTTGGTCCAGAGTGCAGTAATGTTGCCGAAAGCTTCGTCGAGGAGGTTGCCGGCGAAATAGACGTCACTGGTAGAAACGTCGCCGTAGAAGATGGCGGGGGGAGCATTGGCGGGCGCATAGTCATACCTGGCTCTTTGACGGGATCAGCGATGCCCTGTATCTCTGGATCTGACGTACCGGTAAGCAGCGGCAGTCTCGCCGTCCCTGAGCTCGACACCATCGGTGAAAGCCCTGACGGCATCGCGCAGATTGGTGTTGAGCTCGTAGACTTCGGTTCCGTAAAGGTTGCCCGCAGCTTCTCCGGGCTCGCTGGAACCCAAGAGGAAGTAGCCCGTACTCCAGTTGGAAGGGATTTGACGAGAGTCAATCTCATCCCTATAATCCAATGAGCTATGCGCTTGTGGAAAAGATGGGATACTCACGCAAGAGCGACCTGGACAGCGTATCGGGCGAAGCCGACGGACCCTGTGGTACCCATGTAAGGGTTCACTCCACCGATACCAGCGACCAAAAAGTAGGTCTGCCTCAAGTCGAATTCGCTAGCCAGGACCATGGCGGTGACGGAACAAGCAGCATTGATTTCAGCTTCGCCAGTGGTCATCTGACAAATTTCACCGGCCTCGTTACAGGCGACGTTGGGGAAGAGGGGAGAGAGACCGGGAAGGGTGACGTTCTGGGTGAGATTGAGGGAAGTTCTCCAGACGTCCTCTGGGGTGAACATGCTGGACCATGGTGAGACTTGGTAACGGCAGGTGAAGAGAACGTACGAGATAATCATGACCTTGGGGGCGATGGGATACCACCTCTTTTCCTCGACATGCCCGTGGGCGACGGGGGAGGCCAGAACGGCGGCAGCTCCGATAGCCAGCGCGGAGAGGAGTCTAGTGAGCATGGTGAAGATTCTGGGGAGACAGGAAGGGTAGGAAAGGAAAGGAAAGAGGAGATGGGCGGCAGATATATGTGCAGGGTGCGGGAAGACCGGACCTAAAGCCCATGCGGACTCGCTTCGGTAAATTACAAATTACCTCTCTCGGCAACCCCACCTTGAAATTTCCTTATCAGCTCAGATAAGAAACGCCACGTGCTGCAAATGCCGAACGTCCGAGATAAGACCATCTTCTCTTGCATCCAGCTTGCATCTGTCGCTGATTTGTCCGTTTGAGCGGATAGAATGCATCAGCACACTCGGTGACGTCTGTGGGGCAACATGGCGGCGGGAGCTGGTGTATGCGCATAGAGCATTTGGAGATGGGGCGGAGGTGAAGATGCGGCTTGGGCGGAAAGAGGAGTAGTGACAATGTACCCGCCAGACCACTACCACAGCCCCGGCAGACATATATGGCCACCCGCTCTCGGATCCGCCATCCAACATCCCTCACTTTACATCCCCAGGCACACCCACACCCGCACCCACACCCACTCCCACACCACCACAATGAGTATGCGGCCTTATGGCATCTATGCCACCCCGCCTTCTCCCATGAAAATTGATCTTAAGTGCACCAACCCTGCAGACATTGCGAGTCTGGCCGTGTATTGTGAATCCGATACTCATTAGCACTCTAGGCTTGCCGCTTGAGTACAAACGCCTGCAGTGGTCTCTGCCACATCCACACTTCTTCGGGCGACTGCATTACCACTATCGCTCCCCGAACCAGCTTCCTGGCCAAGCACCGGGTACTCGTCAAGGAGCACCTTTCCGCATTCATGTCATCCCCGCAACGCACGCCACCGTCAGCCATACTTGCTCGACGAGGAGCTAGATAACTATGTCATGGTCGACATCACCGGCGCTCAATCCCTTACGACCCCTCTCAATGCCTATCATGAGACTATGGCTTCTCATAATGCTATTGTCGGCGAGAGCGGTAACCTCGATGCCGTTTACGAGTCGGGTCTCGAGGAAGACGAGGGCAGCGCCTAGGATACGCTGGCATGCTCCTATGTCGAGTACTTCGAGCCCACTACTCCCAACACTTGGGCGCCCGAGCTGCCAGACCTTGTATCAGATGATGAGGCGGTCTACCCCCAGTCCGTACATGCGAAGACTCCTCCTCGATTCACACCCAAGAGTCGTCGAGCGACGAGACCTCCGAGCTCCGGCAAATCGCCACCCAACTCCCCTTCATCAAGGAGCTCGGAGACCCCATTTGTCTCGACTGGCTGATCCCCCTCATCGACTACTCCCCCATCTCTTCCGGCCGTTCCCGCCTCCCTGCTCTCGTCTCTCCCTCTTCGTGCGAGTACTCGGACGACGACGAACCGCCTTTCTCTCCCACCGACATCTCTGGAGACTCGCCCAGGACTATGGACACTGTGCAGGATACAGGACGTTGAAGAGACGCAATGGGATCAGGATCGCGTCCGATGAGGTGTCTGATGCTTATGACTATGGAGAGGAATTTGGAGAGGGCAGTCAGGAGGATGGTCCGGTGGGATGGGCGCTCTAGGCGTGTATGGATTTTATATGTACATATGAAATGCAGTGACCTTCATCTACCGACTGTGCGAATCATCTCGGTGAAGCCTTCTCAATCTCGGGCTGCAGGGGGTGAGATGCCACTCGGCTACCCGCAGCACTGCCACCTCCTTTGGTCATGACATCTGATATATATATATATCTCTCTTTACATTCACATCTGCAAGATACACCAAGAGAACAGTGTATCAAGCAACACCTGGACCACATTGTTAGGGCTGCTGACCTGGCTCCAGACACGCCGTTTTCGCACGCGACCATCTCTGAAAAAGCTGTTTGTGAAGAAGGATAGGTCTACCAGAAAGACCCCAGGGAACAAGATGGTGCGTCTCGCCTCAAGCTGGACGACCGCCTCTGCTCACATGCATTTGTAGGGCCCTGCTCAGGCGATGACTTACAAGGGCCACAAGAGGCAGAAACCCTCCATCCCCGGTGCCATCTCTTTCCTCGCCCCGAAAGACGCCACCGCTTCAGCTTCCAGCCCGACAAAGCCATTATCTGGAGCTGTGGGTGCTATGTGGGAGATTCCGCCTCTACCTGCACTTCCGCCTTTTGCTATGCCCAAGACGCATTTCGAGCGGGCGCTGGAGGAGGTCAATAGAGACCGGTCGCAGGTGACGGAGACCGGCTTGGAGGGGGTAAAGCTGGTGAAAGCGCCGGAGGATTCATCTGGTGTTATTCAGGACAAGGTAACTGAGAAGAAGGGCGGGGGCGGAAAGAAGGTAGGAGTGTGACGAGCATACTAGAGACTGTCGCGCTGCAAAGTAAAGCTCCCAGATGGAACGCATGGACACTTGACATGATGAATGAGTGGACGTGGGATGTATCTGCGCTCTTTCTGATACACAGGTCAGCTTGATCCCGTTGGCTCTCCATAGCGAGACTCACAGGGCGAGGGGATGGTGGGAGGCGCCGAGGTCCGCCCCCACTCTCTACGGGAAAGGAGGGGCCAGGAGTTGACTCACAGGTATATAATATGGCCAGCTCCGGGTCTCCTTCTTCGTCGCCACATACACGGGCCAGCTGTAGGTTCGCCTCACCTATCCTACCCTTTACACCAGCCCATACGTAAGCACTCCTCGCCACGCCACACCATGTGCGAGTGCCACCAAGTCACCCCCGACACCGAGAAACAGCCCCCCTGCGCCTCCTGCGCCTCCCTCTCCTACCCGCCCACTCCCACAAGCACACCCCACACACCGCCCACACACCGGCGCACCCTCTCACAGAGGCACCTCTACATCCTCCTCGCCGCCCTCGTACTCGTCACAGCAGCCCTCGCAGGGGGTGCTTATGCCATCCACCAGCACGTCTCCCATCGCAAGCTCCAAGATGCCACCACGAGCATCATCGCAGACTCTACTGCTTCACCCTCTGATACGGTGTCGGCGACGAGCTCGGTGGCCGGGGCTGACGAGAGCGGGTACCATGAGAGTGGCTGGAACAGTGGGGCTGGGTCGTCACCCAACTCGGGCGTGTGGTTTGCAGAGGTGGGAGAGGAGGGAGAGGAGACGAAGTTGGAGAGAAACGTTCCGGGGTGATGGCGCGCACATCTGGCGCTAGAGAAGGGACAGTGTTGTATGAAAGAAGGGACATTTTACGTCTAGTTCGTTCTCTCGTAGGTCGCGTACCCTGGACATTGAACGTTGCCTGATATTGAATGAACTACAGGCTGTATCAGTATACCACACAGCAGACAACCATGTATCTCACAAAGCGAAACTCCAGGCCGTCTCTTGCCTCTCGATTCACGACACGCAACAGTCTGGGATCAGCACTCGTAAACGCATACAGATTTACATTGGCACATATTCTCTATATTAGCTACACATGTTCCGTTTACTCGCTCCCCAGTAACAGCTGCGGCGCCTTCAACAGCATATACTCTCCTTCATCTCTTGCGATCTCGTGGAACACCAATCTTGCAACCACCTCTCCCTACTAGTTGTCAGCTTTTTCTCCGAAAGACGGGTGTCAACCTACAGCTTCAACAAAACAGGCGACAACGATAAGCCAGATGACGATCCATGCCAGGCGATGGGTGGCCCTTTCTTCGATATATTCGTGGATGATTTCCAGCTGCATCTCATCAGCACTATCCTCTTCACAAACAAAAAAACTCACCAAGTCACCAGCCACAGCCAGCCTATCATTCAGTACCTGAATCCTCGGCGAGATCTCCAAGTACTCGTGTATCGCCTCATACAACGGGAACAGACTCGCCTCTGACCAGAACACTTCTGGTGTGTCCAAAATACCCCCACTCAGGTTGACATCCATTCTCAGCTTGAACAGTCTCCCCGTCATCTTGAGCGCTTCCCGCCTCGTGAGCTGGAGGTGTCCGGTGATGGAGAGCTCCTTGGGGAAGGAAGCGGTCAAGGAGAGGGTCTCTTGCATGACGGATTCGTAGATGGACAGTCGGGTCGACTGCGCGACGGCATGGGCGAGGGAGAGTTTAAAGAGATGGGAGCGGGATTTGAATGTAAACATGTCGTTGTAGATCCTAGGGCTTTCGGCATCAGGGTCGTACTGTGATATGATCAGCTTTGAATGGGACGAGGAGAGGGTGACATACGACATAGTGGAACTCTTCAGCCTCCCAGTCGTCTTCACTCTTGGGACTTTGCCAAGCCCCAGCAGTCTCACAATCCTCCATAATTTCCTTCTCCTCCCCTTCTCTGAATCCGAAAAAGACAGACACGCCGTAAGAAAAAAACACTGCCTCTGCGACATTATTCAGGTGTCCGTGGCTCTTGCGTCTGCGGATCTTTGGCTGTTCTTGTGGCTCCTTGTGAGAAACATGCTTGTGGCCCTCGCCGATAGGAGGATCGAGGTATCCCACGTGATACGTAGTGTTGCCCACCGCATCTTCGGAAGAGGGAGACGCCGGGGGAAGGTCGTCCGGGTTGAGGGCCGTCGAGGGGATGTGAGTGTACCCGTCCGTGGGAAAGATCTGGGTGCCGACTTCTGGCTCCGATACCTCTGAGGGCTGTTGCTCGGGAATAGACAATGGTGTAATACCCTCTGCAATCTCCTCAAACACCCCGGCATTCACCTGTTCCAACAGCGCCTCTTCCTCCCCCCGCTCTCTTCTCTCCCTCTCGCCCTCTCCATCTTGTGCCATAGCATCGAGCTCTTCACCAGCCTCCATACCTGGCGAAGTGGACAAGATGTACTCTGCCGGCGTCGCCTCGGTGGGGTCTTCGCGGGGAAAGTAGGTATCGTGGTAGCCGAGATCTTCAGCCATGGTCATGCGTTCCATAAGAGACACGCCGCCGGGAGACTTGGTGATGGGCGAAGAACGGACTTTGGTGGTGGCGCCGTAGCCGGGGAGGAGGGGGAGGTTGTAGACCTGCTCAAGAGTCAGCTGGAGCTCGAGCCCGGCAGGAGGACTTACCGCATAGACACAGTCGTCGTATACCCTCACGACGCTCACGCCATGCTCCCGCTTCAAGAACGCTTGGAGCAGCTTGAGACGGTAGCCCTCGGCAGTGGCATAGGCAGTGAGCCTCGGCAGCTTGTTTTCTTCTCGCTCTCTCTTGGTCATTTTCTCCGCATCGCTTCGTTCGTCGCCGTGGGTCATGGTAGGATGGTATCCACTTCGACCAGCGCCTGGTATTCCCCCAGAGCTGTCTCTTCGAGGGGGAGCAGACATGGTAGGCATATCACCCGGCGATCTGGGAAGAGGAGCGAGTTGTGGGTCTTCGGGCAGAAGGACATGCTTCTCCGTCGTTTTTGAAGTTCTTGCCGGCAGACTTTGCTTGAGCTGTCTTGCAGGGGTGCCCATGCCTAACGGCGAGGGAATCTTCGGAGTGGACAGATTGAGGCCTCGCAGATGGGCAGGGAGGGAGGTATGGGGGTGCACGCCGCCCTGGCGGAGGGACGACGCTGTACGGGCGAGCCCCGGGACGGTGCCCGGATTTCTCCTCGCAGCGGTTGCGGGCTGCTTGGACTTGGCGGTGCCGGCGCGGGGCGGGGGGTTGCTGGGGCGGGACATGGGGGGTATAGGATCTATAGGAGAAATGGAAAAAAGCGGAAATGCAAGAGGAAATGGGCGCTGTTCTCCGCGTCGTCATCAGCGCTCTTGTCAGCGCTCAGCGCGCATTTCCTCTTGCATCTCTGCACATCACCACCCAAGCAGCCATGGCATACGTCGCAGTGGCGAAAGCCCTCTACGACTACGCTCCCCAGGACCCAGAGAGCGAACTCGCATTCAGCGAAGACCAGATCTTATACATTGTCGACAAGGAGGATGACGAGTGAGTATCCTTATCTCCCGTGTCGCCCATAGCTCACACGCATCGAGGTGGTGGAAGGCCAAGCTGAAGGAGGAAGGCGGCGGAGGGGCCGAGGGCGGCGTGGGGCTTGTCCCGGCAAACTATGTCGAAGAGGTGGGTCCATGCTTTGTCTCTCTCGGGGCGGGGTGGGGCGCGCGTGGCGTGGTGAAGAGCATGCTTTGGCCATGCTTGAGACCTCACGAGGGGCATGCTGGCTGTAGATATGTGCATGTCTCCATGACGGACGGATGCCTGAGCAGACGGACATGGCACATCATCGTCTCGCCCAATGACAATGGCATCCCCGAACAAGACGGCTTGCTGACACCTGCCAGATTCCGCCCCTCAGTGCCACTCGTGCCATGTTTGCGTACGACTCGACGTCCCCAGAGGAACTTTCCATGACCGACGAGGCCACCCTGCATGTTTTCTCGATCGAAGAAGACTGGCTCCTTGTCCGCCTCGAATCTGACGGTACCGCTGGAAAGCTCGGTTTTGTCCCGAGAAACTATTGCGAACCGTTGGAAGAGTCTGAGGGGCAAGTCGAAGTTGCCGATGCGAGGGAGGCGGAAGAAGAGATGGAGGCGCAGAGGCAGAGAGAGTTGCAGGAAAAGCAGAGGCAGCTCAAGCTCAAGGACAAGGTGGAGACTTGGAGCATCAGTGAGCTGGACGGCAAGAAGAAGAAGAAGGGTACCCTTGGAGTGGGCAATGCTGCCGTCTTTTTCGCTTCCGACACGGACAAAGTAGGTGTTTCAAATGCTCAGGACTCGTAGGACTCGTACTGACATCGTTAGGCTGCACCCGTCAAGCAATACCCTATCACCTCTCTCCTCGCCGTGTCTCAGCCTTCGTCCAAACTTCTCTCTCTTTCCCTCGATTCACTCCCTCAACCGCTCGACTTTCACTGCGGCAGCTCAGATACCTCCAAAGCTATCCTCGCGAAATTGGAACAGAGCAAGGAAGCTGCCGGTGAAGCTTTGGAGCTGCTGAATGCCGAGGCGGGCCAAGAGTCTGAAGAGGAGGAAGAACCGGTGCCCGCCGCGCCGCCTGTCAGGAATGTGCAAGAGCCAAAAGCTGTCAGGTTTGCTTCTTCTCCGTCTCCATCACCGTCCCCTGCCCCGCCTTCTCGTGCCGTTGCTTCCGAGTCGGCTACCGTCCTCTACGACTTCGATGCCGCAGGCGATGACGAGCTGTCTGTGCAAGAAAACACCACAGTCGAGATCGTGGACAAGGAGAATGAAGAATGGTGGTTGGTCAAAGACTCGCACGGACAACAGGGTGTCGTTCCAGCTGCCTATCTTCAGCTCAATGACGGGTCTGCCCCCGCCGCCCCCGTTGAAGACGACTCTGCTGCTCAAGCTATCGCTGCTCAGGCTCAGGCTGACGCAGAAGCCCGCCGTCAGGCCGATGCCCAAGCTCAGCGTGCTGCAGCCGAGGCAGAGAGAAAGCGTATCCAGGCTGCGGCTCAGGAACGTCAGAGACAGGAGGAGGAAGACAGGGAACTTGCGGCGCAGATCGAGGAAGAGCAGAAAGAGAGGGCGGCAAGAAAGGCGTTGAAGAGGCAAGAGGAGGAGAGGAGGAAGAGACAGGAAGAGGCCCAGGCCGCGTGAGTATGGTCATCGTCTAGTTACTTTAGCTGACGTCTTCATAGCCGGGAGAATGCTCGAAGCGGCGGTCTTCAACCCCCTCAGATCACCAAGCGTCCCTCCGACAATGATGTCGCCCTCGCTGCCTCCCGTCTCCCCACCCGTACTGCATCCTCTGCCCCCGCCCCGCGCCCTCCTCCCGAGCAATCTCGCCCCAAACCCAACCCCAACAAGATCCGCACGTGGTCGGACAAGACTGGGCAATTCAACGTCGAAGCCGAGTTCCTTGGTGTCCACGCTGGCAAGATCAGGCTGCACAAGCTGAACGGCGTCATCATCGATGTGCCCGTCGAAAAGATGAGCGCGAGGGACAGTGAATTGATCAAGAGGCACGAGGCAAAGAGGGCCAAGGCTGCATCGGCCGCAGATGATGATCGACCTCTCGGGCAACAGAGCAGGAGGGTGCGGTCGCATGAGAGCACGCACAGGGCAGATGAACCTATTCCTGCTGATGTCATGCGAGCTTCGAAAGCTTCGGCTTCCACTCGCCGTTCGACATTCGACTGGTTTGAATTCTTCCTCTCTGCCGGGTGTGATATCGACGACTGTACCCGCTATGCGACCAACTTTGAGCGGGACCGAATTGACGAGGCCATTCTCCCCGACCTCGACAATGGTACCCTTCGAAGTCTAGGTCTGAGGGAAGGCGACGTCATCAGGGTCGCCAAAGCGATCCAAGGTAGATATGCAAAGAAGGACCCAGAGCTGCAAAAGCAGATTGACGCCGACGCCGAATACGCGAAGCAATTGCAAGAGTATGACCGAAACGGTAGCAAGGGGCCTGCACCCCAAGCTCCTCCTGGGTTGTTTACTGGACCCAACGGCAAACTGGCAAACAATACCCGCCGAGGGAGGCCCGAGAAAAAGTCGACTGGCCCCGAGTCTGTGGATGCTGCTGCTCTGGCTGCCGCGTCTGACAAGCTCAACAAGGTCAGTCTGACGCCGACACCCCCAAGCGCCCCCACGCCGCCGCCTGTGACTGTCTCCCCGCCCGTGCCCGCCAAGAAGGAGGAGGAGAAGCCCAAGGCTGCGCCGAGCGGGTTTGACGACGATGCGTGGACGATCAAACCGCTGTCCTCTAAACCTGCCTCGCCGGCTCCGGCTACCATCACCACTTCCATATCCCCGCCCCCTGCACCCGCCGCACCTCCTGCGACTTCGCCTTCGGTGGCCAACAATACCGATTCTCTACTCGCGCAGATTAACAATTTGAGACCAGCTAGTACGGGAGTGTCGGTGTCAAACCAGAACACTGGAGGCAGTTTTGGGCAGCAGACTCCTGTGCAGCAGCAGCAGCCTCAGGCACCCAATGCGTATGGCCTCGGCGTGCAGAACGCATCTCAACCGCTCAACATGCTTTCCCAGCCCACCGGCGCCAGCCCGCACCCCACCACCCTCAACTCTATGGCTACGGGAGGCCAGGGCCCGAGAGGTCCTTTGGCGCCTGTATCGGCCAACCAGAATTTGCTTAACCCGATGCAGCCGCAGGCTACGGGCATGTTTGTGCCGACCAGAGGATTGTCGCCCATGCAAAGTCAGCAAACGGGGTGGCAGCAGCCTCAACCAACGGGAATGCCCCAACAACCCCAGCAGACAGGTATGATGCCCCAGCAGACAGGTTATGGTGGGTATGGTGGTATGGGGATGCAACAAAGTAAGTGTCTGATCTGGATGGAAACAGGGCTGACTTGTGGCAGACTTTACCGGAATGCCCCAGCAACAATCAAGCTTCAATGCGATTGCATCCATTCCTCCTCCCCAACCTCCTCAGCAATCTGGTGGTGGTGACAAGTTTGCCCCAAGCAACATCTTTGCTGCTATGAAAAAGACTGATTTCACCAAGCCCGAAGAGCAGAGACCGCAGGAAGCTGGTACGTTCCATTCTAATCTGGGTGCTTGTCGCGCTGACGTATTCGACAGGTAAATACGACGCCCTACGTCCCCTGGCAACAGGGTACAACGGTGGCATGATGCCCCAACAGACCGGCATGTACCCCCAGCAAACGGGCATGTATGGTCAGCAGACTGGGATGCCCCAGCAACAGATGCAGCAGGGGATGGTGCAGCAGCAAACGGGGATGCCGATGGGTGGAATGATGCCGCAGATGACGGGCTGGAACCCGAACGGGGGGATGTATCAGAATCAGGGAGGGTACGGGTACCGCTGAGGACAATCTAGGGCGAGTGGGTGAGAGAATTGTAAACAATGTGCGAGCGTGTAAGAAGTGATTTTTTGATACCCCGTTTATTTTTCCACTTTACGGATGATTTAGTATGCAGTTTTCGATTCATAATACGCTTTTAAGCACCGGATTGCCACTGAGTTGAGTGATCGCCGTCGTACCCCAAGAGATCTAGCGTTTCGAAGAAAAACTTTTTGCATATTGATATGTGATTGACGGGAATTATAAGACTTGCTATGCACACCATAATTAGAGTCCATTGTGACTTGTAGTATCTCCATCGTTGATGCCCCTGAATTCACTGCGTGCAAATTAATCGAGGTAGAGGGTGGAGCGACGGGCGCCGTAACGGCCCCTGGCGATGACAGCGAGGGTGATCAAGAAGATCAGAGCCGCAAAGATGAAGATGCTGTCACAGAGTCAGCACGGGGTACAACAGCATACCACTGGACATACGTGTCAATCCAACTAATGACGACGAGACCCTTGACATATTTGCACCTGCTGAACGTCTCGGAAGACTTTGAGCAGCTGATCTTGTCCGTCAAGCCGGTCAAGGCAGAGACGCCGATGAGGAAAAGCAGGAAGGAGATGGCGATAGGAACGAGGTGGGTGATGAGGCCAAAGACGGCACTGGTTCCCATGGCCGCGAAGCCAATGATGAGGATCACTGGATAATGGAGTCAGCACTACTGTCTTTTATGTGGCGCCGAAGCGAAACACACAGGCCCAAGCCATGGTCCAGACACTCGCCACCAAGAGGATGCGGATTCTGTCACGGTAGGCGTGGGTGTGGTGACTGGGATACCCGTGCTTGTTGTAGTAGCCGACGAGGACGGCGGAGATGACGAGGGAGATGAGGGAGGCGATGGCGATGAGGGCAAAGAGGCCCCTGTGGGACCACCTGATGAGACTCTCGGAGGGCATGGTGGATAGTGTATAGAAGAAGAAGGAGATGACACAGATGCAACAGATGCAACAGATGTGGTTGATTTGTATGGCATACAAGAGCGAGTACAGACACCAGACGTCATAATACAGAGAACGGCGGGTGCCGCCTTTTTGGTTCCGCGCCGGAGTGCATACATACAATCGAACCCAGTATCAATTCATGCAGGTCTCTGCTAGGAGATCGAGGCAGTATACCCAGAGGATGTCCATGCATCAGATGCATTGCTAGACGCCCAAATACGATGTGCAATGCTCAGCGAATCGGTCAGCAACGCAAGCCAGGCCCCAGGCGGCGATGCCCACCGAACGCGGTGCTGTTTCTCGCGTTCTTTTACGCTTTTTGCTCTTCACTCGCCTCCACGACAAAATGCTGCTCAACTCGCTGACGCTGGCTGGACTCGTAGTGCTGGCACTCCCCGCCAGAGCAGCTGATCGCGCCAATACTTTCCAATACGTGGGGCTCTCGGGGGTTTCGGCTCAGCAGCTCTTCTTGGGCACGCTGAACAAGGTGTACATCGTGGACAAGACGTACGTGAAGATAGACACATTTCGCCTGGGCTGACACGGTATAGCGAGAACAACAATGCGACAGTCAACAGTCACCCGGCATGGGCAACAGAGTATGACCTGACCACCAATGATTTCAGAACGATGGACGTCCTGAGTAACTCGTTCTGTGCGGGCGGCTCTCAACTGGGGAACGGAACGTGGCTTAATGTGGGCGGCAACCAAGCTGTGACCTATAACGGAAACAGTATGGCCGACAATCTACAAAAAGGTAGGCAGAGTCAGATGATTTGCTTTGCATGGCTGACGATCACGACAAGGTCAATCACCGTACAAGGACTGGGACGGCGGCAAGGCGGTGAGACTGTTGGATGCCTGTGATGACGAGAGCTGTGACTGGATCGATGATCCGGGGCTGTACATGACTAGCCGGAGATGGTACCCGACTCTGGGTGAGTGCGACAAGGGATTCATTTCAACGCTGACCGGTCACAGAAACCTTGGAGGATGGAACCATCATCATCATGGGCGGATGTGGTGAGTGTATTTTTAGCTTCCCGTCCACGCTAAAACCATTCCAGAATGGGGAGGATATGTCAACTATGCCGACAATCAGAACAATCCCACGGTCGAATACTTTCCCAAGAAAGGCACACCGTTCACACTCAACTTTCTTCTCAATACCATGCCTGTCAACCTCTTCCCCCTCGTCTGGCTGCTGCCATCAGGCAACCTCTTTGTTCAGGCCGAATACCAAGCCGAGATCTTTGACTACAAGAACAACATCGAATACCCCATCAGCAACATTCCCGATTGCGTCCGTGTATACCCAGCTTCTGCTGGTACGGCCGTCTTCCCTATGACGCCAGAGAACAACTGGACGTCTACCATCATATTCTGCGGCGGCACCTATCTCGAGTCTGATCAGTGGACGACGGATTGGAACATTGCAGAGTATGCCAACAACAAGAGTTGTGTCCACATCAGTCCCGATGTCGACTTGACTTGGTATCAGAACGATCCTCTTGACACCGGAAGGTCTATGGGCAACGTAATACGATTCCAGAGCTGCTATTGTATACTCGCTGACTAGCGTGCAGTTTATCAACTTGCCTGATGGTCGTCTCTTTTACGTCAATGGTGCCGAGACTGGTACTGCAGGCTATGGCACTCAGGACTGGTGCGTCGGTGAATCCTATGCCGACAATCCTCTGTACCAGTCGTGGTACTTTGACCCCAAGCAGCCTTCTGGGTCGCGATGGTCCAAAGCTGGAGTGTCGAGCATTCCTAGAATGTACCATTCTACAGCATCTCTCTTGCCCGACGGAACTGTCATCATCAGTGGAGGTAATCCCAACGCCGATTGTAAGTTTTGAGCGCAGAAGAGTTCAGAGCTGACGATCAATAGACGTCAGCGCCGAGTACAATACATCCTATACCTACTTTACTCAGTACCAAGTGGAGATCTTCTATCCCGACTAGTGCGTCTTCGATAATGATGTGGACGATGTTGACCTTTGGTAGCGCCGACCGCAACAAGCCTGATCCTTCAGGTATGCCTAGCCAACTCACCTGTAAGCATCACCTCTATTCCATATGCGTAAGCTGACTACTATCAGATGGCGGCGACTATTTCAACGTGACCCTCTCCGCAACCGACCTCTTCAACAACCCCATCAACATCAACAACACCCGCGCCGTCGTGATGCGCACTGGCTTTTCCACCCACACGATGAACATGGGCATGCGCCACGTCGAGCTAGAGACCAGTTTCACTTCGACTGATGATGGAGGCGGTATTTTGCATGTAGCGCAGATGCCTCCGAACCCCGCTATCCTTGGTGAGATAGTCGCTCTATTGATAATACCAAGCTAATACCCTACAGCCCCCGGAAATGCGCTATTCTTCATCGTCGTCGATGGTGTGCCCTCCAATGCTTCTTGGGTCATGGTCGGCGACGGTATCGTTGGCGATCCTACGGTCAAAGATCGATCCGTGTTGCCTCGATCACAGATCAGTGCGCAGATCATGGCACAATACGGCTATGGCAATAGCTATGCCAAGGCTTCTACTTCTGGTGGCCTTGCAAGATTGGGTGAGGGGATGGGTGTTTTGGGCGCCGCTTTGTTGGCTTGTATGTTGGTTCTGTAGACTTAAGACATTTTTATTGATAGACGGACCATTGGGTTTCTGAGGGCCACATTTGTATCTTACGACCTCTCTATGCATTGACGAGACATGTTGCATTCTAGGGTGTCTATTCCTTGAGAGCCTCGGCCAACCACTCTCTAAGGTCTTCGATCTCCTTGGGCGACGAAGAATGGGCCATGCCGGGGTAAGACTCGAAGCGGACACCAGGACGGGCAAAGGTTTGGCCCTTGGGCACAAGGTTGTAGCCGAGCTTCTGGGTGAGCAGGTCGACAGATCGCTGGCCGTCTGATGCGCATGTCAGCAAGAGAACTTTAGTTGAGGGACACCTTACAAGAATAGTCGACGACCGGGTCATTTGTCCCGTGTCCCCAGAACACACTCGTCTCGTGAGCATGCGCAGATTTGAGCTGAAGGCTGGTCAGTACGCTGTGCAGAGAATGATGGATTTACTCGCCTGCTCAATCCTGTCACTCAAAGGCAACCAGCAGCTCAAACCCACGACCCCTCCAAGCTTTCTCTTTGTCGTCAACCCCCCGAGCATCGCAATGACACCTCCTTGGCTAAAGCCACCAAGGATGATCTTGTCCTCTGGGATTCCAGCATCCACCTCTTGCTGTATGAGCGCATCCACGCTCGCTAGCGACTTGTTCATTCCCGTCTCGTCGTCGTAAGCAGGATCGTCGAGACGCGACAGGTTCGAGAGGTCAAACCAGCCAGGCATGGACATGCCCTGGTTGAGAGTAATGGGGATAGGAGGGGCATGGGGAAGGATCCATTTGACATGGGGGAATGAGGACCAGAGCATTTTGGCAACGGGAAGCCAGCCTTGCCCTGAGAACGTGTTAGCTGCGAAACTAGGAGAGGGGCGTGAGCATACCACTATCTCCAAGACCCTGGTACAGATCAGCACTGGGGCGTACGGTACATGTGCACTTACATGCAGGAAGATGACAGTAGCCTTGTGCGCCTCTTTAGGAGCGATCTTGAGGTGTTTGAGAGGAGCAGCCATTGTCGGTGTCGTCTTCAGGGGGGTAAAGTATAGGTAGAGCGAGGCGAGTAGGAGAGCCAGAATCAAGTAGCCGATAGTCTTTGAAGCGGTCAACACTGGGGGCATCGATGGAGGTTGTCAAGAATTGCAAGATGAGCATAGTCGGCACGCAGGCCAATGGAAGTACTGACGTCATCGCTTTGGCTGGCAACGGATTCAAAGTTGAGTGAGGAAGTCATTTGAGCTGTACTCGAGTAGTGTAGGGGGAGGGGGCATGAATGAACGCAGCAACGCTTGATAAGAGGGTATCATAAGGATTCATCAGGAGTATGGACCAGACAAGATTTCACCTGACCAATGATTAACAAACACCAACCGGATTCAAATCAACCTTGCCAGTATGAGAAGAGGCGCTAATTAGGCTATATAAGAAAGAGTCTACCCAAAGAAGGAAGACACCCCTTAGAGGCCAAGGACGGAAAGGACGTCACCCAAGAGACCGGTGAGGCCACCGAGCAAAGTGGAGACCAAACCAAGAGTCTTGATAAGCAAGCCCTTGACGAGGATCAAGATGCCGCCAAGGAGAGAGTCGACGCAAGAGAGAAGACCGGTCAAGAGGGTGTCGAGCTCCTTGATGAGGGAGGTGGACTCCTGGCAAGTGCAGGAAGAGAGGTAGCTGTAACAGATCAGCGAGGAGCGATGGCGGAGATAGCACGAATTAGGACTTACGGCTTAGCAGGGGTAAGGATGTTTACGTTGATAGTAGCGATAATGTCAACCAAAACCTGGGCAACGACAGTCTTGTCGATAGCTCGCCTATACAATAGTTAGCTAAGCTGATGACAGAGGAAAGAATCGACTTACTCCTCAATCTCTCGCTTGAGACCGGCAATGGAGACACTCACTTCGGCGTCCACACCCAAGGAAAGGTCGGCTCCGAGGGCGGATCCAGCCTTGATGAGAGCGTCGACGGCGACCTGGACAGTCGCGGTGATGTCGACCTCGGCGGTCACACCGGAGAGAGAACCAGCGGCTTCCTGAAGCGGGGGGTCAGTTGAAGAAACAAGAAACGATAGAAGTACTCACGATGTCGGCCTTGAGCTCGCCAAGAATGTCGAGCAAAGAGCTGTCACGCTGGACAAGCTCGGCAGGAGCAGCAGCAAGGTCCTTTTTGGCCTCAGTGTTGAGGGGGGCAGCAAAGACCGAGCCGAGGATGGGGAGCGCGGCGACAAAGATCGAAGAGAATCGCATGATGGTTGGTGAAGTGTTTGTGGTTGGGTGGGGGTAGTAGGCGAGGTGGTAAAAGAGTGAATAAGAGTTGGTATAGGCCTGGTGTCTGTTGCTCTGGTGAGATGAAGAAGAGGAGACTGCGCTCTGAGAGGAGCATTATATATGTTTCCAGGAGGGTGGAGGTTGGGCAAACATCCGGCTGGGCCAGGGGCGAGACTCGTTGCCATGCTCCCGTTTTCGCCATGTAAATCGAGATGTTGACGGATGTTTTGGATATATGGGCGCCATGGGGCATTAGGAGGAGTCGTTATTGAATGGAACAAGTAAATCCGAGGGCTATAGACATTAGCTTTCCCGTGAGCCCTGACAACGGGATCAAATATGAATGGTGGGCGTCTTCCGTGCCGGCCCGCCGTCTCTTCAGTGGTTCACTTTGGGTTCACTACTGCCTTCCCGAGGACGCCAAGATCTATAAAATGTGGAATATATTTGCTGGAATCGCTTGCTAGTCTGTTTGCTGTTTACAGCGGACCGTGGAATGTGGAATATGTGGTTGAGACGCGCGTGACTTTTCGCTTGCCGAGACACGACGCGTTCGTTGGGTGACTCTCCTCTTCCCGCCAGCGCGAATGATTTGTTGTCCCGTTTCTTCCCAGGGGTGTACGACGTCTTGTTTGTGCGATCACTGGGACCTGGTGCTGAAGCAAGACTCTGCAAGAGTCCAGTCGCGGGCTCGCGGGTCAGTCAGAGTAGGGGACCATGCAATGATGCAAAAGCACGCCTTTGAGTCCTCGGGTTGATGTGTTGCTTGTTGGAGCCATAGTCGACGATTCCATGTCAATGAGCTCAGGTATTGACTTTGATTGCCCTAGCAGATATATTTGTGGGATAAGTTGATGAGTAAAGGCGCATATGTGGATGGATGAGCAAAAAAGATCATAGAACCGTGCACTGGGCCAGCAGGGAGGACGGGTTTATAGGACAAAATTCACCATGAGTGCAGTGATAGGCCGAGAGGCAGAGGCTGTCCCGTCTCTTCCGCCCACGAGTAGTGTACTCGAGTACAGCGTCTTGTTTCCGCGACGCCCAGTACAGCAACAAGAGGCCAATTGAAATCAGAGGATATCACGGGATTCATAGGAGTATAGTAGGGGACCATGCGAAAGCACGATTTCGAGATAGGAGATTATATAACCAGGCCAATGAATTATAGACAGACGCTACCCAATAATGGTCGACATTGCTAGCTGTGGTTAAAGATGATAAAAGAATGAAAGGCAAGTCCGCCAAACAAGTCTGCTATGTAAGGACGTCTTAGAAGCCGAGAATGGAAAGGCAGCCGTTGAGCAAGCCCCCGAGAAGGACGGCGACCAATCCCAGCACAGAGATCAAGAGGCCCTTGACGATGATAAGGAGGTTGCCGAGGAGAGCGTCCAAGGCGCAGAGAAGGCCGGTCAGGAGCAAGTCGAGTTCGGTGAAGAGAGAGTGGGTTTGAGAGCAGGTACAGGTAGAGAGAACCGGCTTAGCGGGGACCAGGATGTTTACGTTGATGATGGCAATAACGTCTACGAGCGCCTGAGCCACAGCTTGCTTGTTGACAGATCGCCTAGCGTTGTGTTAGCTTGGACGAAAGAGTACGAATGAAGACTCACTCTTCCAACTCGCGCTTGAGAAGACCAAGGTCCAAACCGACACGTGCGTCCACGCCCAGAGACAAATCGATACCAAGGGCTGAGCCACACTTGTTGAAGGCATCCAGCACAACTTGGATACAGGCGTTGACATCGGCTTCAACGGTCACGCCGGAGAGAGAGCCCGCGGCGATCTGGTGCTAGAGTCAGACAACATTGCGCGGGAGGATGGAAAGTACTCACAACATCTGCCTTGAGGTCGGCAAGAACACCCAGCAAGAGCCCATCACGCTCGACAAGGGCGGGAGAAGCAGGGGTGAGGGAGAGATCCTTCTTGGCTTCGGTGTTGAAGGGGGCAGCGAAGACGGAGCCAAGGATGGGGAGGGCGGCGACGAGAATGGAGCTGAAGCGCATGGTGTAGTGTTGAGGTGGGGTTGAGTTATAGGGTGGTATAAAAGGAATGTGAAGAAATGAGTGGGTGAAGAAGAAGATGGGGATTTGATCTGGGAGGGGCCTTCCTTATATATGCATTCCGGGGATGGTTGAGTCAACCGGGCGGTGGGGGGCGGGGGCGGCCGCCGGGGGTCTGTGCGCTATGAAGGTCTGTGGGCCGGAGAGAAGGCTATGATCGAGCGAGGGGGCGAGGGCGGGCTGCATGGACAGAGGGGCCAGCACTAGCAGCATCACGGGGACAGCGCGTCCTCTAATTCCAGCAACTCGGCACCGTACAACTGAGCCTCTCCTTCACCTGACCCGCCCACATCCCATGTCTCTTATGTAGAGGGCAGAGGTCGAGAGCTGGCATGTCTCCCATCCCACTTCCCGCAGTCCACAACGCCCATGACCCCATTCTTCTTCTCCCAGCCCCTCCTTTCGCGCACTGCTCGCATCAGGGCCTTCATGCGTTTGCGGGCGTAGATCAGTGGTGGGGAGGGCGCAATACCACTCTGCCCCGACACAGAGCATCCGATGCCGAGTAACGCTTCCTCGTCACTCATTAGTCATTATGGCCCCTGAAGCCATCTCGATTATTACGGCGCTGAGGACCACAGGACTGACCCAGACGTCATGACCCCGGAGTGACATTCCGTACTCTACTTTCTCCTACTAGCGACCTACCAGCGCATTGTTGTCGTTTCTTCGCCTCCTCATGACTGGTTGATCCTAAGGTAATTGAAGTGATGAAGCTCTGAAGTCATCACCATTACATACGATATTGAGGCTGTAAAGACCGCATCATGGGATGTCAAAGGGAGATGCGCATGGTCACTGCTGTGCTGCGTCAAAGGATCTCACTTGGGCTGTGGCTCAGAGCATGTTATGTTCAAGTCGGCTTGACAACGTTATTGGCGTTTGCCACAATAACATATCCTAATTTCCTTCCCTTACGTTCACACCACGTCCCTCCTAAATCATCACCCGCCCTCCTACAACTCCAACTACACAGCATGAGCTGCGCCGTCACTCCGACAAAGACCAAGACCGCCACCGCTACGACCGAACCAGCGGTCAAACCGACATCCACCGCCTCCTCCCTCCTCTCCCGCGCAGCAGACATTGTTCCAGAAGTCGCCGCTGCCACCGGACTAGACATAGGTATCACTTTCTTCACCCCCTTCTCCCAGTACTCGGATGCTCTCTCCACGGCTTCGAAGCACGAGAAAAGCTGGGCGGCCAGCCAGCTGACAGAAGAGTGGAAACAGAGTGGCCTAGATGAAGTTGTCGGTGGCTCAGTCCCGAGGGCTTTGAACTCCTGGGCAAGCATGAGCGGATCGTCCCAGAGTGATGGGGTACGAGATGAAGTGAAGGAGGCCTTGAGCAAGGCCAGGGATGCCATGAGCTGCTTCAAAGGGGCAAGTCTTGACGATGAAAGCTTGAAAGCCAGGATAAGTAACCTCCTCGACGATGCGTGCTCGTTGGCGTTGAGTGACGAAGAGAGCGAAGAAGAAGAGGTAAGAGCCGTGTCATCCTGCACTGTGTGCTGATAAATCTTTCTAAACAGCACGACCACATGCAGTCGGTCAGCAAGAGTCGTTCATCTTGGAGCAGCGCCAAAGGCATCTCTCGCCATACACCAACCAGCGCGGCTCTGAGCTTTGACGGTAGTAGCTTGCCTTCGTGGTGCGAGACGTTCCATACTCGTACTGTGCTATGAAGTGTGTCCACAATCCATGCAATTCTCATGTCCATTATTCGTATGATCTAACCTTCCAGCGCCTCCAAGCGCCTTTTCACCTCGTCTCGTAGTATCTTGGCGTTTCGTTGTACCGCCTCCTCGTCCTTTTCATCTCCACCTTCCGTAGCAGCAAGTACTCTGTCAAACAGATTGTATGGCAGGTACACAGCATTGCTCTTGTTTTTGGGTAACAGCTCGGGAGGAGTAGCCTGCCAAAGAATCAGCTTCGGTACATTCCACCGCCAGACCAATGACTCACCTGTCTGACCAGATCCAAACTCCACTCCACAGCCTCTGCAACCCATCCCCATCTGACAGCCTTTCCGATCCACCCCTCGGCATCCCTCTCCATCTCCCACTGCACCAACCACGACGGCATTCTCCACCCTTGCTTGTCCTGGTTGATCGAGAATAGTGTCTCGGCGACTGACTGGCGATACTTGAAGTTTGTTTTCGAGGAATCGTGCTGGGAGAGTGAGACACGAAGGTAGTGAAGGGCAAGTGCGGCAGGAGGCCCCTGGAGACGAGATGTTATAGACGATGTTTGCAGGAACGTAGCAATGTTGATGTCCCTGTGCCCATGTCAGAGGTGATGGATACAGCGAATGTTTGCTACTTACACGTTGTGTTCCTGTAATCTTGACAACTCGACACACTTGGCAGCCAAGCTCTGGAAAAGATCCGTCATATCTACGTGCAGTGAAGCAGCAGATGACAGAGCCACATCGTACATGCCTCGCTGGACAAAGAGGCCGACCGTTTCTTGCGGGGAGATCACAACTCCTGAGACTCATCAGCACATAGACATGTGATCAACCAGTCCACTTACCATGGTCGTACAGATCAGGTGTCTTACTCGAGAGCCTCAACCTTGACAACACTAGAGCGTACTCTGCCTGTATATCCTCCAATGTAATGATATCCACCGGTTTCTTCCCGGCCGTAAACTCCTCTTCCGGGATGTACGTAGTCATCCGCCGCCTTTTGATGCCCTTCAAATATCTGTTTGGCACACCCGGCACAGAGACCCAAGCGTTCTTCTTTTCTATCAATGAAAGGGCATTGATGGCTGCGAGATAGCTTCGAGCTTGCATTGCGGTGAGTTCGAAGGCGGGCAATCGGGAGGAAGAAGTTCCTTCGGCAAACCGACGACCTTGGAGGTACATGATTTCGCCAGCTGAACGCGCCTGATCAGCTCCAGCCATAACGGGAACATTATAAATCACTCACCACTCTTGTAATCTCCTCGTGTGATATGCCAGGAATAGAGTACTTTATAGTAATTGGGTGTCCGCAGAGGATCCGAGTTCCTTGCCTTAAATCGTAGCAGCTCTTCGACATCCCTCTGGAACCCAATGAAGCCGAGGGCGTTGAGCCGCCCGACTTCGTTCCTCTCGCACATCTCAGAGATAAGGTGACCCAAGAAATCGCGTTTCCTATAGTTGGTCAGCTTGTTTTCGTGATGGGATATGGTAACCTACAATTCAATGAAGGGCAAACTAGCCAAGACCGCGTAGGCTTCCTCGTATAAGCTTAGCTCCAGATTCGCCATAAACACCTTCGTCCACAAATCTTCCATGACCGCTCTTTCCTCCTCATTGCCGGTAGCATATTTAGCACTTTCAATGGCCAGCTTGCCAAACCTGACTACCGCTTCTTGTGCCCCGTGAGATCTAAAGATCTCACATATGTGGGTGTAGTATGCGCTTAGACCATTCGGCCCGGAAGTGGACGGCAAGATAGGTACGAGAGAGTTGTCTCGGCATCCGGCGGCAGCTCTTTCGAGGAAAGTGACGGCACCATCGACAACGTCTGCCTCCAAGTACGCACGACCCTTGACATACGCGATACCAGAGGAAAGCGGGTACAAATCAGTGAAAGCTCCAGCAAGAAGAGGATGGTCATCGGCATATATGAGGTTGCCGAGAACCACATCAGAAGCCTGAGCGCCAAGATCAGTTTGGTCCTCGGAAAGAAGGCCAATCTGGGTCAAAGCAGCAAGGGCAGCTGGGAGATAGGTGTCGATAGCATGATTCGAGGATGAAGCATCTTGAGGGATCTGGTGCGCAAAAATTGAATGGAGTAGGGAGTACTCCACACCGAAACCATCGCCATCATCTCCCTCTCCCGAATGAGACACCCCGTCGTCACCAGAGTTTTTCTTGCCCTTCTGTGCTTTCTGCGCTTTTCCGACACTAGACCTCTCGCCGGCTTCCTCCCCAGTCTGAGTCGCCACCCATTTCAGAACCCTATACCTGTGGTAGCTTGTCATTGACCGAGCAAGGATGGGTACCAGTTCCTCGAGATCCTCTTCCGAAGGAGGAGAATCGCATAGGAGAAAGAGGGAGGCTAGGAGGATGTGCAGGGCGAAAGCATGACGGGAGGCGATCAGGTCAGAGAGGGTGGATGTGAGCAAGGCATTGCCGAGCCCGGAGAAGGCTGCTCCGGGGACAGATTGGCTACTGGGGAATGAAGTATCTTCGAGGATATCGAGCGACTGCTTCAACCCCCTCAAGACGGAGTCTCCCTTTGACAAGACCTCCCTTGCCCTCAGCCTATCTTCTTCCGACAGGGACCCCTCCAGGAAAGCATCCCACAATCCAGCACCGATGTCTTCCACCGCCTCCCCTTGCCCTGCTCCCAGTGTATCTCCTACAGTCCGCTGAAATACGTCCAGTAGGGTACCTGGGGCGAGCACACCATCCTCGTCTGGCTGTACGTCGGTATGTGAAAGAACGGAGGAGAGATGGGATCCTGCAAGAGCGATGCTCGTAGCTGCGAGTCTGGCGCCGGGGGCAGCGAGAGCAGAGTAGAGAGAGAGGGCACCCGTAGGCAGGGCGAGGAAGGCGTCGGCATCGATTTCCTCCTTCGCCAGTCTGTCCACAATACCGGCATCGTCTTCTAGTACGGGCACAGATATGCCTTCCCTCGTCAAGATGTAGACCTCTCGTTCAACTACAGCAGTAGTGACTGGCCATCTGCCCTGCCTGTCCAACTCTCTCACGTTCGCCCAAACGCTCAACCATTCAAGCTTCAATTCCTGTCGATACACGTCGACTACCACAGCTCCCGTCTCCTGACTCACTTGCGGATGCACTTGCGCCCCGACAATGGCACCAAACCTCTTGGACAGAGACGTGTGAGCTTGAGGGAGCGCAAAGTGTACGCGTGGATGCTTCTGAGAGAGCAGGTGGATGTAGTCGTCCAGAGCTGTTTGGAGTGTGGAAAGGGAGAATCGCCCAGGGTGGAAGAGGTGTTCAATGAAGGTGGCTGGAATGTCGCCGTTATCTTCTGGTTCGGCAGGATTTGGAGGTTGGAGAGACAGAAGATTGTCAAAGTACGCAGCATCGAAATCTCTTGCGTCTGACGGAGGAAAGACGGGCTGCCAGTCGCTGAGCAGAGAAGAATCGTGAGAGGCGTGATAAGTCGTGAATTGGAAGATGTCGTCCACGGGGATGGTCTCGCAGAACGTAGAGCCTTCTCTGTCCCAAGACACCCACAGTCGCCAGCCAGAGTTGACTCCCTGTGCCTTGGAAGGGGCAACCACCTCCAAACCGCGAAGTTCTGAACCCGCCGAGAGGGATGAGCAGGGTCTCTCCCCAGCGACAGATAATTCGTTGACCCCAGAGCCAGAAGTGGACACACGATACACGACAAATGATCCAGCCGCTGCTTGACTGTAGGGTGTGGAGAAGAACACCACGACGAGATGAGAGTATCGAGAAGTAGTGAACGGGTGAGGGACCACACGAATTTGGTTGACGGTGTTGTCATCGATTGAGGTAGGGACCTCGGCACCTTTGACATGAAGAGCTTGAGAGCTACTCCGGATGTCAACCATCTTTAAGAAAGATCCATTGTCGACATTCCATGCACGCAGTCTCTTGTCTCGAGATAGGGTGTAAAGGATCCGGAGGTTGTCTCTGGTTTCATACTCGGCGAAAGAGGTAATTTGCTCTGAGGAGTTGGCGGAGCGAGAGAAGAGTGAGGGAAGGCGGAACATGGAAGATCCACGGTGATGGGTAGCTTGCCATTCGCCGAATGCTACTATAGTCAGTACAAGCTGCAAAGAACAAGGGTAAACATACCTGGAGCATAGGGACCGGATCTTGTCAAAATCACGATACCTCCGTCCCCACCACCCAGAACCACTGTTCTCTCGTCGAACACAGTTGTCGCACCTACTCCTCCACATGACCCAATCACGTCTTCTGGCACTTCCCATTCTTCTGACCATTGTTCGCCGTTCTGAAGGGTGAATGAAAAACGTTCGCCGGAGCTGGGTTCAAAGTCGCCCAGAGGGAAATTCAAGCGGTAGACGATGTTTGCCTGAGATACCACCAAGATATAGAGGCGTTTCTCTTGCGGTGATATTCTGACTAGTCCTGAAGACAGCGTCCTCAGAGGCTCGGGAAAGAAGACTCTGATGGACTCTGACCCCTCAGAATTTGGCAAGCGCGTCTTGCTGATAGTCGAGCCCATAGGGCGAAGGTCGAGGACATAGCCATTATAGATCGTTCTGGCAAGGATATTGTTCTCGACGTTGTACGCGACCGAGACTGCCTGCTCTGGATGCAGAGGCTCGGAGTAGAGCTCGTCGGAGATGGTCTCGTCTGTTGGGATTCGAAGCTCGGGAGTCGATACCGGGAGGGATGGAGGAGCTGGGAGGTGGGCGTGTACAAGATGGTGGGGAATATAGGACGCCATGCTGCCCAGAGTCTACAGGGCAAAATATATGTGGAAGACGGATGTTGCAAAAGGATATGAGCGCAAAACAAACAGCGGATCATTACAAACCATTTTCTAATGCATTAGGAAAAAGTATAACGCCGCGAGGTTTTCTATCTTCTCGTTCATTTGGACCCATCTACCAGGACTATATCTGCTTCAGTCTTTACGACCCCCCTCAGGCCGAGCCTTCCATCGCCCACCCCGTCTATCCGCCACGATGGATCCTCGGAGAAGAAATAATCAGCCTCCACAGCAATCTTACCCGCCCAATCCCTCTGGATACAACCGCGGTCCTCCTCCACCCCAAGATCGCTACGGGTCCTCCTACAACGAGTCCAGGTCATATCCACCTCAAAATGGGGGCTACGACACACCCCCACAGAGCTACAGAGGTCCTCCTCCGCCACAGTCCCAACCGGTATACGGAGGAGCAGGAGGTGGAGGCTATCCTGGCAATGCTCGCGATGGCAACTATCCCCCAAACATGCCCAATTTCCCTCCTAGAGATACGGCAGAAGGAGGATTCCGACCTCATGATCCCCGTTCACGGTACTCTGGTGCTCAGGCCAGCTACAACACCCCCACTCCGCCTCCTGGTCAGACGCCGCCCCATGTAGGCTATGGGACGCCTCCCACGGCGGCTGGCGCTCTGGCTCCTCAAAGGGCCGGGACGGGGACACCGCTGTCGAATGGGGTAAAGGAGGAGGCTATGGAGGAACATACGCCTGGGGGCATGAGGCGGCCATTGTTTTGTGTTGTCTGCGCTAGTAATAATGTGAGATCCCACTTTATCTTCTCGCTTTATGCTGACATTCTACAGAATCGTTCCATGGAAGCACACCACGTACTCAAGTAGGTCTTCAAGTGTCGGAAAATAGCACCTGCTAATTATGATGACAGTCAAAACTCGTTCCGAGTGATATCGGCGGGCACTGGTTCCGCCGTCCGTCTCCCCGGCCCTTCCATCGACCGTCCCAACGTTTACCGCTTTGGTACTCCCTACGACACAATCTACAATGACCTCATGTCCCAAGATCCTGCTCTCTACACTCGCAATGGCATTCTGCCCATGCTGGACCGGAATAGAAAGGTGAAGAGGGCACCAGAGAAATGGCAGGAGCTTAGGAGGGTGGGGGCGGATGTGGTGATAACGTGTGAGGAGCGGTGCTTCGATGCCGTCTGTGAAGGTGATTGGACATCCTCAGAAACAAAGACAGGAGGCTGACCTGACATAGATCTTTTACAAAGAGGTGGTGAATACAACCGCCCAATTCACATAATAAACGTCGAAATCAAAGACAATCCCGAAGAAGCTCTTATCGCCGGAAAATCTATACTCGATCTCGCTAGAGCTGTACGTATTGGGCCTTCACTTTGAGGTGATTGGGTGCTGAAGGCAGACGCAGATTGAAGCATCAAAAGACGTGGACGCCGATATTGACCATATTCTCAACGTCCAGGCCGATAAACACCCGCATACTCTTTTGCACACTGTGGCATTCTACTAGTACCCCTTCAAATGATAACTATCACTGTACTTTGATACCCTTCTATTGCATACTTTGGGCATTTGGTATCTGCGACCTGTAAGGTGTTGGAGAGGCGAGACGAGGAAAAGGACAGTGCAAGGCGGACAGTATAAAGCCATGCAGCATGAATGTGTAACGAATTATATCGGCGAGTGCTATGACAATCATATCACACTCATTAATACATTGCAACGTTGAAGTACAACCCAAAAAAGCATCAAAACAGGAGAGAACCCCAGAAACGCCGTTGAAGCGCTTCCTTTCTCACACCATAGGAAGATATCGACATGTGTCGACAATTATGATTACTGGTCGTCGCATGCGAGCCCAACTAGGCCTTGGGGACCACATCAGTCTGGGTAGTGAAACCCTCTTCAAACTTGTCCTTCTCAAGAGCATCGGTGATGGCGTTGGCCGACTCGACATCGATACCAGGAGCGCGGAGGCCCATCTTGGAAGTGTCATACCCATTCCTCTCCAGGTAGGCCCTGAACTCCTCATCCTCGTCCTTCATCGCATCCGGCTTGATGTTCGGGATAAAGACCAACGTGATGAGCGCCGAGACAAGGGCCAGGATGGAGCCGAGGTAGAAGATACCAGTGTCTTCAAGGTATTGGCCGTGTTTGCCGAAGGAAGCTTGGATCTGGGGGAAGGTATAGGTACCGATGAAAGCGCCGACTTTGCCGATGGCGGCGGCCAGGCCGTAAAGCTGGCCACGGGTGGCCGTGGGGCCGATGGCTTTACTGGCCAAGAGACCGAGGTTGTCTTGAAGTTTTATCAGTGCCGCGCCTTGGATGGAGTTGAAGTGAACAGCTTACTGCCAGGACCGACTTCACCGAAAGCAAGGAAAAGACCGTACAAGATGGCAAAGCCCGCAATCCTTGAAGGTTGAGTGAGCCTGTCTTCCGTTAGCTTGGTGCTCTACTGTTTGTATGAAGCACTGAGAGCTCACAGGTTGTAAGTTCCGGAGAGGACAAAGCCCAAGATCGACTGGACACAGAGTCCGAAAATCATACAATACTTTGGCCCAAGATAGTCGACAATGAATGCACCAAACAGTGTTCCGGGCTGAGTAAAGGTATCAGCATGCCATACGTTGGGGCAGCGAGAAGGGAGGTATGACTGACCAAGTAGAAAGCATTGATAAGGCATCCCCAACCGATAGCAGTGTACAAGGTGCCCTCTGTGTCGGCGGCAGCGGTGATGGGAGTCGCGTAGAGACCAAAGGCTAGGGCCCGGTGAGTATTAGAGTCGCGCGCTGGGCAATGGGGACTTACGATACGTGATCCAGTCGTACAAGAACCACGTGATGGACACAGCCGCCAGCTGAATCCAATACCTCTTGATGATCAACCAGTACCTGTCACCTTGCGTCAGCAACTATCGTTCTTCTTGCTCGCATGCCAGAATTGAACAGTGCAGGCGAAGCTGATACTCACGGGATGCCAGTATGCCTCATAGAGTTCTTCGCATAACTCTCCGGCTCCTTCATCTTCAATCGGAAGTAGAACAAGAACAAGGGCGGGACACAGCCCAGGCCCAAAGTCAATCGCCAGACGGCATTGAGATGGTTCATGCCAAAGATCCAGAGGCAGACAAGGCAGACAAAGTAGGATATGGCAAAGGCAGCGTCGATCATACTGTTCGTTGCTAATGTAGGTCAGCACTGGTAACGGCATTGGCGGAGAGGCGCGTACAGAGGACAAAGAGACGCTGTTGCGTCTTCTTGGGGATGTCGGGGTCTTCTGTGTTTTCTGCTGCCGCCACAGACCCAGTCGGGTACTCGCCACCGATTCCAATTCCGACCCTGTACCATCATAAGCACTGCAACTCATTGCAGTGGTGCTGCTGCTCACAAGAACCGATAGGCAATGAGAGCGTTGATGGTGCCTTGAGCGCCTGGACCTTTTGAGGCTGCTTGCAAGGCCGAGAACACAAAGACGATACCCGTACAGAGGAGCATACCAAACTATTCCGCGACGATCTGTTCAGCTCGTGCCCTCTGGACAGAGTGAGGTACTCACCTTCCTACCGATCTTGTCGCTGATCCAGCCGAAAGATAGTTGCCCGACGATGATCCCAGCAAATGCGATAGCAGGGAGTAGTCGAGAGTTGACAGGTCGGTCGGTGAACGCATCGACGTATATGTAGCCTTTGAGAATGGTGGTGGCAGGACCGATGGAGGCATTCGCATAACCATCAGAGAATAGAGATGCACCCTTGAGAACACCACATTAGCCACCATCGGAATGGCCACATGCGCGCCCAAAGCTTACCGCGGCAAAGATGCTATCATCTGCTGATCAGCGTTGGTATCACCTCAGCGGAATGCAAAACTCACGCTCCCTTCTTACTCAGACCCAGCTTCTTCTCCATAATGTTGCTGTCTTTGGGATGCTCGCCTGTAGTGGGCTCGAGATCCACATCCTTCTTGCTCCACGGAAAGCGCATGGTTGTCTGAAGGCCGCGTTTCTCATCAGCGATCTGTTCGCGCCGCGTCCGTGGGCGGCGACTCACCCTTGTTGGCTGTGGCGGGGGGTAATAAGCTAAGAGCTATCGACAAGATGGAAATATAGAGAACAAGACGATGCCGACTTTTTTTTGCATTCAGCCGGAGGGCCCTCGTGCGACAGGTTCATTCAATTTCCCGCACATGGCCGGATTTGAGAGGCTGTGGTTGGCTGACGCTGTCGCCCATGCGGGAGCCAGGCACGCTCTCCAGGAAAAGATCAAAACGGAAGCCCGAACAGGCAAATTCGTACTTATCGTTATCCGTTATCATCCCTGAGATGTATTGTCAACGTCCAGCGAACGTGGAACATATACTTTAAATTTTAAATAGAGCGGCCCCAGCGCCAGGCTGCGACTATTCAACCTTCGCGATGATCAGGTTTCAATACGCCAGTGGCAGTAGTGGAGCAAGGACAGCAGTATACTCGCCAGGTGTACGTGTAGCTGTCGTACTGCGTACATGTCAACTAAGATTGACTCTGCGTCAGAAATAACTCATCATTGGACTTGCGTGCCCCCGATACACTCTATGGACAACTGCATCTGGGATATACACACCCGACTCTAGATTGCTCTTTTCTACTTGCTCTCAAAGTACGCCTCAAGAGGTGCCTGGACCAGCTCCAACATCGGCCAGAACAGCGTCCACACACGGGCGACCCCTATCTCTTCTGAAAGTGGACACATCCCCAGTTTGGCGAATACTGGGGCATGCGCGGCTTCCAGTATCTTCTCCTGATCATCATCCCACCAAGTGAGCGATGCCTCGTCCCGTGTTTCGACGCACAGATCCCCAAACATCTGGGACTCTTCTTCGCCTATGATCCGCAAACTGGTCAAGCAATCAGAAACCATCATGGTAGGCAACTTCTCGTGATCCTCCGGATGGATTGAGGGCCTTTTCGCGTTAATTTTACCACTCTCTGCAGACCCAATGGAACAAGACACTGGGAGGTAGCGAGTGAGATGTGCTACTGTGTGGGTAGGGTAGCTGGACTGACCGATGGACTGGGTCATCAAAGGAGAAATCCTCCTGCTCTTCCGGTGCAACGTACTCTTCAAATGTCCTCAGGACGTTGCGCCAGATGGTACTCCACTGGATCTCGATACCGACGTGCTTCTGAGAGCGATGCTCGACGTTGGGGGAATGTTTCTTGAATTGTGTTTTGTTGAGAGGGCGCATCTGCCTGCAGACGTGACTGAGCCTTAGAACCTGGAGGTGATCACAAAGAGTAGACGCTTACCTGAACAATTTCTGGGTATCTCTCGTCAAATCCATTTCCTTCTCCCGGTTGCTTGCGAGCTGTAAAGGGAAGTATGAAGGAACATACTTTACATCAGCTGAGCAAAATCACGCCAGTAAACGGCCACAGTATTCACCTTGTCGATCATAGACAGCCCAGACGTAAACGTATTGCGCATTCTTACTCATATTGCTGCTGGGAAGCAAAGTAGCATCCAAGGTGTACCCAGAGTAGGCGTCGCGAATGCCATAGATCGAGAATCCCCGATTGCGAGAGCTTGTCGTTGCGATTGATGCTCCACTGCTCGTCGGGGCCAAGGCTGCCGGGAGGTGGTGTTTGCGTGTTGCGATCAGCCGGCATGTCGTATGTCTAGAGACATATTGTGGATGGAGACAGTCAACATGATGGTCTCCCTTTTATCCAACTTCCCACACCGGTCGAAGACGAGTGACTGACGGCCACAATACAGTAGGAATCGCTGAAACCAGGAACCTCGCCGTGTGTGCGCAGGGACGAGTCAGCCACGTCAAACGAGCGCCCTGCTGCGCCAGGGGTTCTTGCGTTTTCTATTGTCTTCTTATTGTTGAGTTGGCAAAGTTGTGAAGCGTGGGAGAACAATGAGGGGTGATTAGGGGAACGAGGTCGCCCTGTGATGGCACTCTATTATATATGAGCTCAGGACGCCACTGCGCTGCTTGCCCATGATACTGAACCTGCTTTCTCTCCAGCGTCAAAACGTATCATTCTCAATCCAAACCTTCCAGAACAACCACAGAGAATGTTCTACTCAAACCAACGAGACATGAGCTTGGTCACTTATCATTTGACATACCTGCTGTGTGGGACAGCAATGGCCTTCGTTGCCGTTTTCGTCATGAGTGAGTTAGCCGAGCGCTCGCCTCTTTCGCTTTTGCTGATAGGGTCTTGTTCTAGTCCGAAGTACGTTTCCTGTCGGATTGAGCTTGTTATGCGCCTCAATAGCGGCCCTCTACAGGCTGTGAGTGCTACGTTCGTAGTGAGAGGTCACAAGGCTCACGATACTCCAGCCAAACAGACCGACCTACTCCTGGCGAGGTGGTACCTCAACAGCGACGTCGTGATAGCCATATCTGCATCACTCTCCCCCCGTCCACCTCTATCGAGCACCGAGACTTTCCACGATCACCATACCCTCCCGTCGGTCCAGCTTCCAGCAATGTATACTTTTGTGACTGAGCACGATCGGCTGCCGAGTCGTATCCGCGAGGAAAGGGGGAGGGTGTTGTTGTACGAGCAGAGGTGCCCGAGCCATGGATGTGTTATACTATGCATTGACTCCTTACGTATGTCTTCTCGTACTGTGCTATACCATTATTGCTTCTTGTTGCCATTCTCGTCCGTCACACCAGACTGCTGAAGAGCCTGGGCCACAAGCTTGGCAAGCGAGGGGCTGACCTGCTCGACCTGCTTGACGAGGTCCTTGGGCTCGCCGGGGATAAACTTGCTAGCGGTCTTGAGCTTGCTCTCGACTTGTCCAGCCTATGAGATTGTCAGCTTCGTGCGAAAATGACAGACGATGGAGAAGGACGTACAAGTTCATCAGTGTTGATCTTGCCCTCATCAACCTTGCTCTTCAACCAAGCTTCAGTCTGGTCGGCGGGCAAGCCAGCCTTCTTGGCGGCTTCCTTGAGCTGCTTGATCAAGGCGTCCACATCGGCAGGGGCAGCTATACACTAAATCAGCCTTGAGCCCGGATTGGGAAAAAAGGAATCACGTACCCTCCTTGAGACCCTTGAGCAAAGCATCGGCCTGACCCTTGCCGTCCTTCCTGGCCTCCTCGACCTTGAGCCAGACCTTGTTGGCAGAAGATTCGAGCTGCTTCAGCTGGTCTTCTCCAACCTCCTTAGCCTTCTTGACGAGGTTGTCAATGTCGGCCTTGTCGGGAAGCTTGCCGATCAGCAGCTACACGGTGTGTAAGCTCGTGCACGGAGTATGAAGGAGAAGAAGACCTACGTCGACAATCTTCTGACTACCAGGGGGAAGTTCACCCTTCAAGTCCGCCACCAAAGCCTTCCAGTCGACATTCTCCACATTGCCCTTGGCATCCTCAATCTTCTTCTGCACCTTGTCGACTACCCGCTTCACATCATCACCGCCGACCTTTTTGAGCTCTTCAAGCACCTCCTTGAGGTCCTTGTCTTTGAGGTTGGAAAGGAAGCCATTGATGCCACCGGGCTGTTTGGAAAGGTGAGAGTAGAGGGCGAAGACTCCGGGAGGAAGGGCAGACTTGGCATAGCCGGCGAGCTCACTCTGCTCCCTCGTCAGTTCCACACCAACTTCTAAAGAGAAAGGGGCGCACCAAATCAGGGCTGTTGGTCTTGACCTGGTCGGTAACAGTGTTGGCAACCGAAGCAGCATCCCGCACGGGTTTCAGGTAGTAGTAGCCTCCAGCTCCAACACCGACGATCGCAGCGAGGACGAGCAGCATGGGGCCGTTACCACCGCCGCCGCCGCCGCCGGTGGCACCAGATGCCGGTCCTGAGGGGGGGACCTCAGTAGCATAGGAGCGGCAGGTAGCACGAAGGGCAGTTAACTGGGACTGGGGAGGTCTGGGGATGGATCGGGGGCGCTGAGAGGATGAGCGATGGTCTTGGCTCCGGCGGATGAAGCTTACGATGGCAGCTCTGGAGGGAGCGGCGGAAGCCTGAGCAAGTCGGAGGGGGGTGGTTCTGAGCATGATCTGTGAATTTGTTGATTTGAGGGGGAACGGGGGGACGGGGCCAATGCATCTCCGAGGTTTATATATCGTTTTGAATGGATGGGCAACGATGACGAGAGGGCAGCCTCCACCCTTCGCGGCATGACAATCAGGCACGGTCGGTTGCGCCCTTGACGTCAGTAACCGGTAGTCACGAGAGATCTGCTGGAGTCAGGCTGGAGCTCGGAGCTGCGGCTGCGATCGGGTACCATGAATTACATACCCATATGGTATCAGGGTCGTGGGGGTCAGACAGATTGCTGGATGAAGAGCCGACGACGCCGAAAGGTCGCAGACGCGTCGTTGAAAGACGGACCACCGACGCGACGAGGACAAGTTGTTCATCTGACTTGCAAAGATGCGGAGCAGATATCTTGATGTCTTGCATATACTTCTGATCACAGCTCGCCATGCTCTCCGATAGTTACGTCACGAAACGTCCAGCGCCTATAGCTTCTCGAGCTCTGCCAGAGCGTGAGCTTTACCTTCAGCAGACACGGTGGGGTTGTGCAAGGCGCTGCGCATGGTCAGCACATGAACCCAAGAGTATGAACAAGGTACGCACGCCTTGTATCCACCTGCAACCCTGTTCACGTGCTCAGTGTCGCCAAAGTGGTGACCCTCGAGAGCCCCGCCTCGCTCGTAGGCAGCAATCTGCTCTTGGGCATGAGCCTTGGCTTCGGCGGAGGTCTGTGTGTGACATGTCAGTACTAGTGGGGGTCATTGATAGAAGTCAACGTACATTGGGGTTGGTGATGGTGCTGAGATGTGGAGAGTCAGCGATGCCTGCGTCAACCCAGTGGAAGCGAGTGACTTACGCCTTGTAACCGGCGATAACATGGTGCTCGTGAGCGCCGTGCTGTTTCTCGTACTGTTCAATCTCTCTTTGAGCATGCTCCTTGGCCTCGGCGGAAGTCTGCAGGAGGCGGTCAGCCAGGAGAAAAGGGATGGGCGGCAAGAATACTCACGGTGGGGTTGGAGATGGTGCTGCCCGGATGTCAGCTGGTGAAGATGGCCAGTCACAAGCGACTCACGCCTTGAAGCCCGCAATGACATGCTTCTGGTGTTCGGCGTCGCTCATGTTTGTTGGTATGTATGGTGGTAAGTCAAGAGTAGGAGTGAGAAAGGTGGATGATGGGGATTTCGCAACCCAACCCGCCCCTCTTCATATACCCAGCTGGGGTGGTTGAGTCAACCATGTCACACGTGTCCTCTTGCGTCATACTCCCTTTATACTCCCTTTAGCGCGACGCGACGCGTTCTTGGCCTGGTGGCTGACAGCAACGCATCCTGGAGCGTTACCCGATGCATGTGGCCTCTAATCTGTACACAGCTTTTGTCTTATTACATGTTACAACTTGGATACTCTCCACCATGCACCCCAGAAGCATACACCCTTGTCTAAAACGCAGGTATCCCGGGTGCCATCTGCCCTGTCCACTGCCTCGCTCCACCATCTTTCGGCCCCAGCTTGTCGATCTCGACCTTGCCCGCGAGCTGCCTGACCTTGACTGCCGTTTCCCGGACAGCCAAGTATCTCGCCCTTTGTGCCGCACCACTGTCCCCAAGTCAGCTTTGGCCCGTTTGGTGGCGATGAAAACGTACAATTTGTCGAGCACCAGAACTCCTTGAACCTGATCAATCTTGCCCTTGATCTTGCCATCCAAAATCGCACCCATAACCAAGTTCTCCACCTCCCCTCGAGAAATCTGGAGCTGTTCTGCGAGATAGTCGAGCTCAAGTCGGGTGTAGGGTTTGGAAATGTCGATGATGTACACTGTGCGGAGGGTGGAAAGAAGGTCGGCGATGAATGAGGCAATGAAGGGGTCAGAGGTGATGGTAGCAGCGTTGGCTACATATGTCTTAGCTTTAGCCTGTATACACGCCTTGAACACTCACTCTTGAGGATCTTTTCGGCTGCCAAGACGTCTCGCTTGTTGAAAGCGTCGACCAGATTGGTCAACGCCATGATCTGGGGATCGTTTCGGTAAGGCTTGATCTCTTGCGAGTCGAAGGGATTGATATCGCTCGCGTTCAACATGGTGTTGAGCACAAGGTACTTGAGCACCTGTATTCTCTGCGCTGATCCAGATTCGTCGTACTGCTTGAACGATTCGAAAAGGTCTTCCGAGGCTCGACCAAACTCCCCTGTTCCCAAGTCATCAGCGTGTACTCAAACAAACTCATGGGTCACGTACGTTCATTCATCCACATCTTGCCACCACACTCCTTGATGACACCCAAGATACGAGGATGGGGGATGGCATTCTTGACTTGGGAAGCGGCATGGTAGATGGCCTTTGCAGGTCATCAGCACAGCGCAATATGTTACGAGTCACTACTCACCTTGAGCTTCTTGTTCTCCTTCAAGTCGCTGTACATTTGAATCTCGATAGCGTAGATCTCCAGTACTGCAAGTAGTCAGCATGGTTCGAGGACTAAATGTGATGACTGACATAAAGAGCCCTTGGATTGGTCGTCGGAAGAAGACACGTCGGAAGGTGTGCAAGTGGCTTTCAGAGAGTTGAGGATCTATCAATTGATCAGTCAAGACCAATCATACCAAATCCAAACGGCTTACAGGAGTCAGGCGGGTGTATTCTTTACGATCTAACCAGAGCTTGGCGAGTTTGAGGTTGCACTTTGTCGACAGTCGCTACACATACTTATGAGCGGTAGAGCACATCGATCGACGAGGTCCTTACCTCGTTCTTGGCCTCGTCACAAGCAACCCGAGTGACATCGTAAAACTTCTCCAACGTATCTATAGGCACCTTCGGCGCTTGTAATGCGTGCTGCCGGGATAGTCAGTCTTGACCTCTCCATAGCGAAACAGAACGCACCTTGCCCTCCCCTCCAACATAGTCCAAGATGTTGTTGATCGACTTGTCGGCATAGTTTCTCGTCACATTGTTCTGTTCTTGAGTCAGCATATCGTTCCGGGCAGCCGGCAAGCCGACAAACCTTGGTGTAGCCCAAGAGCTCTTTGTATGTCTCCAGGGCGGGGTCGGGTTGATGCAATTGGAGATAGTTGAGCTTGGTCATTTGCTTGAGTGCTTTGAAACCCCTATCAACTAATATCAGCTCTGACAAGCTTGAGTGGAGGGAAGCAACTCACCATTCACCCTTCTCCGGCTGGTCCTCCGCAATAGTCCTAAAGGCTTTCAAAGCCCCAGCCGAGTCATCATCCTTCAGAGCTACAGACACCCCTCGTCAGCCTGGCCTTGCAGAAAGAGGCCCAGGGGCGCACCTTTGGCTTTGTAGTACTGGTTCTCAACATCACCGCCGGCGTCGCCGTCGTCGGCATCGTCATCATCATCGTCGTAGTCAAAGTCATATTCCTGTGGATCCTCATAAGCTTATGAGCACGCTCATCAATTCACGTGCCCTCACCTCGTCGTCCGCGATGTCCTATGAATCATATCAGTCGGGTACGGTAATGCGCGGGGGAACGACTTACGTCCATCATGAATTCGTCGTCCGACATCTTGCTGAAGCTCTTCTAGTTGCTAATTTTGTGGTGCCAAGTAGTGTAGGTTCCAAGCGGTTGTTGGGCTGCCGTAGAGAGTTCCAAGGATAAGTTGGGAGGAGTATAGCATGCAGTGTGCAGTACAATTATGGGTAATAGTCGCGTATGCGTAAGTGGGGCTCTCAAAGAAGAACGTCTATCTTCACCCGATTCTTCAAGTCCAATTCAAAGTGTCAACAATACTCGCATCACCCCCAACCAAAAGAGTCTTCAAAATGGGCCGGTCTCACGCCAAAAACAACACCACCCAGTCCACCCTCACCTACTACGAACGGTCCCTCCTCCGCAAAGAAAGCGGCGCTCGTCGACTCGGAGGCGAGTCTTTCAAACCCCTCGACTCTTGCTACCTCTGCCTCTCTCAAGTGACCGATCCCGTTGCTTGCCCTCAAGGACATATCTACTGCCGCGAATGCTGCTTGTCAAACCTGATCAGTCAGAAAGCGGGCATTGAGGTGCAAAAGCGCGAAATGGAGCGGTGGGAGGAGAAGGAGAGGCAGGAGAGGGAAGACGCCAAGGCGAGGGCTAGGGACAGGGTGGTGTTGGATTTCGAGAAGAATATGGCACTGGGAGGAACAAGTGGACGGGGTCTGGTGAGGAACGAGGAGAAGAAGGAAGGCGGGGACAGTGTTGGAAGCAAGTTCAAATTGGACGGCAGTATCGTCGAAAAGGCGACTCAGGAAGCGGAAGAGAAGGCTATGAGGGTGTTGGAGGAGGAGCAGGCGGAATCTAGGAAGGCCAAGCTGGCGGCATTCTGGCTGCCGAGTCTGACGCCTGAGAGCAAGGTGATTCCGGTGAAGGATATCAAGCTGCAGACGTTGTGCCATGCGGGAGCTCATCCTCATCCCATCGCGTGAGTTGCACTGTTGGGCGTTCAAGCGACATATCTGACGAGATACAGCCGCAAAACACTCCTTCCAGTCATCCTCACCTACTCACCAGACTCCAAGTCCAAACCCATCTGCCCCTCATGCTCCAAAGAACTCTCCAACAACAACTCCTCCTTCCTCCTCTCCTCCCGCTCTCCTCTCACTGCCTCGAACGGAGACGCCGATGGCGACGAAGGAAGAAAGAAGAAGAAGCAAAAGAAGGACAAGGAAGATCCGTTAGTCTGTGGGCATGTCGTGTGTTCAACATGTACGGAGACGATAGTGAAACCCCAGGGGAGATGTTCAGTGTGCGAAGCGAAGGTGGAAGAGAAGGGACGGATACCGCTCGGCAAGGAAGGGACTGGGTTTGCGGCTGCTGGAGGAGCAGAGATCAAGAAGAATGTTACTGCCTTTAGAGTGTAAATTGTTAGATGATGTATACATATGTCATGTCGTAAAGTCCTTTGGCTACAGTCATTGCCTTGTCTTGAGGCCTCTGAGAATCATTACCCCGCCCAGCAAGAGTACGATGGTAAAGACATAAAACACTCTGCCTTCGCCTTTCCGTCCATTCTCCGGTTGTCGGGGGTCCACCGGGGATGACAGCAAGTCCCGCAGAGGGAGGAAGAACAGCGCGACCAAGAAGGCGGTGACCCAGTTGGTCGATATAGCGAGGCTGGAAAGCGCTGCCACGGCCTATCGCAAATCGTCAGCTTGGTCTTTGTGGTTGGATACAAACTGACAGGTTGGGGGACAAGCTCAGAGGTGAGCAAGAATGGTACAGGTCCAAGCCCGATAGAGAAGGAAGCGATGAAGGCGATGATCGAGATGGCACTGAGTGCTTGGAGGTGGTCGTTCAATCCGAAAGCCAGGAGGACGCTGGTCGTTGCCATACCGCCAATGGATGCCAGTATCAAAGTCTTTCTGCCGAGGCGCTACTTTCCATCAGCCTCAGCTCCTTGCACTCGCAGACAACACTCACGTCCATCAAGAAGATCGCGGGTAGTGTCATGATGGCATTGACCACAGTGATACCCACCCCGACCACTCCCACCGAGGTCGGCAAGAGCGGGCGCAGGACGGGGGTGGAGTAGAACATGACAGCGTTGACACCAGATAGTTGCTGAAGGGCCATGATAGCGGCGCATAATATGGAGGGACCACGTAGGGAGGGATTGGATAAGATTTGGGGGAGAGTCAGCTGGGTTTGGGGTGTGGAAGATGCACCCGGGAGGAGGGGCGAAGCTGCTGCGTGGTGTCAGAACGCGCTCAACTTTGGGATACGTGGGAGCTTTACCTTCATCACGAGGACCAGATTCGGCATCTACGGGGGATGCAGGAGCCTTGTGTTCACCAGTGGGTGAGGAGATGATACCAGCCGACAAGATCTGGGCGACAGCAACAGCGCCGCTAATAGCCGTCACATATCGCCAACTCCCCGGTACCTCCCCTTTCTATAGCCTCGTCAGCTTGATCTGTCTTCTGGTGTTGGTCAGAGGAGCCACTCACTTCACCGGTCAACAGCAATCCAGCGACCTGTCCGGAACAAATACCCAAGACGATAGCCAGCTGGTTCATGGTCCCGACCATACCAGACTTGCTAGCTAGCTCTGCTTCGCTCTTCGCAATCACCGAGAGGAATGGCGGTACCAGGCTAATGCCCAAGCCTGAAGCTGTACCCGCTACCAGTCTCCCCAAGGCAAGGATGGTCCAATGAGGCGCAAATGTCATGATTCCAGCACCGATAAGGTTCAGCCAGCCAGTCAAGGCGATACCTCCCTTCAGCCCCCGCTGTGATACGACGTTGGAGCTGGTCGATGAACCGAGAAGACCTCCAAGGGTGAATAAGGCGGTGATGAGGGAGTAGAGGGAGGGCGTGATTGAAAGACATTCGGGGAGGAGAGTGGTGGACGCGGAGGTGCAGGTGATGGATTGCTCCGGGAAATTGAGCTCGGGGAGATGAAATCCGTCTGCGAGGTTGCGATCAGCTATGAACAGAACTTGCAGGTTTTTACTGACAGTAACAGGAAGAGCTGCGCAGACTGTATGAGCTCAAGTCCCTTGTCATGTCATCTACTCACAGGCAAGCCCAGAATATGGTCAAGTACGCAGCTCGGGGCGACATGGTCCCGCCAACCTATTCCGATGTGTCTTCTTGAACTGAGGAGAGCTGGCCGTGGATATGTATGACAAAGCCGGAGTGCAGGGGCTAATCGATCAAAGTTGTGCAAAGTAGAATATGTCGATACGCCTGGGATACGCTAACAACGCATCACTCGAGTTCTGCGCGCCGGCCGCCGACGTGCTGTGGCGGTCTTACGTATCGCACATGCTTTCCGATTGGACGATGTTCTGGTGAGCTGACGAGCCGTCTTTGAGAGGACCAGAACTATTAGTTGATCGTGCACAAAGAACAGCTCAACAAGGCCAGAAAGAGTCTTCCCTGGAACGCCCGGGCCATCGCCCAATCTTTGCATCTCTGTGTTTGGTTCCTGCAGGCGGCGGTGGCCGTACCCAAAGTGATCGACGATTCCCGTAAATCTCGATGACGTCTGTGACTTGGCCGTTGGCAAGAACTCTGTCTTCCCTTTCATTCCAAATTCCTGTGCAAGGATGTCATTATTTGCTCCTTCCTGGGCGAGTCGCACGTCGCATGACCGGCGTGTTCCGCCACCAGTATATAAACCCCTGCACGTTCTTGTCTTCTTTCACTCTCCATAATCATCATCAACAGATCAACACAATGTACATCCCCAACTTCCAAGGTGCCCTCGCTGCCGGCCTCGCCCTTTCCGGTGGTTTCTGTGAGTATCCCTCTCACTCGTTCCGCCACCCCAGCTGACCCTCTTCAGCCGGCAAGGTCTCTTCCGGCAAAGTCCTCGACTATGCTGTTGAGAAGTGCATCGACGCCGACGGCAACCAGCGCTGCTCCAAGCCATTCCCGGTCACCAAATCGACTTGCTACGAGATCAAGTGGACCACCGATGGCAAGATCTCGCATACGACCGCCGAGGTCAGGGACGCGGGCAGTGATGAAATTATTTTCTACAGGGATACCGATGGAGAGTGGACTTCTGAGAAGAACGAGGTGAGTTACTAAGCCGTCAAAGGATAGAGTGATGCTGACATGGGCTCAGCTCGTGTACCTCGACTTCAAGCCAAAGGTGTGGGGCCAGGGTAACAGTACCGTCGAGTACGAGGTCTCCCAATGCAAGTAAGACAATGAAGGAAAGATGTCTGTACTATGAAATTGTTGTGCATATCTGAATAACCATGCGATTCGATCTCTACTCTGCCTTGTTGTAAATGTCGTTGTATTTGCCAAGAGACTTTGCCTCCAGCCCCTCCACACCTTCAAATCTCTTGGGGTCCACTGCCTTCCTCACTTCCGCATCCTTCTCCGCCCCTCCATTCAGCAGCTGGTCCGCCAGCAGCCCCGCCGCGCCCGCCGCATGCGTCACCCACACACCCACCGCACACCACAGTCCATCCTCCACCTTGCCCACCAACGGCAGCCCATCAGGCGTCACAGAGAACAGCCCGTTGAACTTCTGGCCCTGCTTAAACGTGTCGGCTGTCTTGGACGGCAAGAGCGTCAATGCATTTTGCAGGACGTCGTCGAAGGAAGGCTCCCACTTGCCATAGGCAGTGTCTGTGAGCTCGTCCTTCTTGACGTGAATGGGGGCATGGGCATAAGAGCCGATGCCGTCGAGCATGCCGTGGTCACGAGCATAGACGTGTTGCTTGGGCCAGCGGATGAAGGGAGTCTTGCTCTCGTGGTTGTTGGGCAGAGAGTAGTGGTAAGGGTGCGCCACAGACACGACAGACTCGGTAAACTTGGGGAAGAGCTGGGCCGCCCAGATACCCGTACAGAGAATGACGGAGTGGCAGTCAATCATGCCTCGGTCGGTACGGACGAGACGGCCGTTACGAGAGTCGGAGATGGACTGGACGTCGACGCTGAGGAGGGTGGCACCGTTTTGAGAGGCTTTGCGCTGCTGGCTGTGGGCAATAGCGATGGGGTTGGCAGTACCGTCCAGAGGGTAGAGTACTCCGGCAGGACCCTCCGGAATATCGTCCCTCACAAAGTCACCAGCAATCTTCAACACCTGCTCTTTCGACAACACATGTGCCTCCAGTCCCGCCTTCTTTGCACCTTCCGCCCTCTCCTCCAACCCTTGTCCAACTTCAAGACCCCCAACCTGATCAAAAGCGCCATCGATATGACTGTAGTACCCCACGGATCGCTTAGCGAGTTCGGTGAGGACAGGCAATTCGTTGTACTGCCCAACGAAGCCGGGGGCATGGCCAGTAGAGCCAGGGAGCTCCTCAATGTCGCGGTCGATGAGGACGATGTTGGGACCGAGGTGTTCTGAGAGAAGGGCGGCGAGGCAAGAGCCCACGATGCCTGCACCGACGATGACTATTCGTTGGGTCGGACGGGACGGCAGGGGGATGTAGGAGGACATGGTGCTAGGTACGTAGTGTAAGCTTGGAAATGCTACCCGATTGTTCTGGGACCTACTTGTTTCGCCCGTTCTTATTGGGAGGGCGACAGAAAAGAAAGATGGAGATATGCTGCGCTGTGAGGAAATATAGAAAGTGACTCAAGTCGGAGAGCCTTCCATAGCCGAATAGACAACTTTCTCACGGTTTTCATCGTGCGTTCATCGGCGCGTCTCTACAGTTTAGTACCAGGCAGCTACGAGTACTGACTCTGAACTTCTTGCTTTGACACATACCTGGACATTCAGTGGATAGTCGCCCAGAATGTCCAACAAAAAGGCTCTCAAGTCAATTCAAGGTCACCTGAAGGAAAAGAATGCCGAGTCGGCTCTCTATGAAGCTACAGAGCTGCTGAAATCGATCGATCATGAGGATACAGATGCCGCTCAATGGTAAGTACAGCGCTGATTGTGCATAGGCAACGCTCATGCTACTCTAGTCTTGTCTTCAGAGGTCTTGCGCTTACGCAGCTGGAGAAACTGGACGAGTCTGAAAAGGTAACGATGCCCCATCCGGAGGCTGTTTCGGCACTGACAAATTAATTTGTAGTCATATCTTCAAGCCTACAAGCTCCAGCCGAACAACCCTCTGGCCGCTAAAGGATTGACAATGCTGTATGAAAAGACGCAGGACTGGGACAAGTATGGATTGTTTTTGGAGAATCAAACTCAAGGAATGTATGACAGGTATGTCCGCCATGTCATGAACTGGGCGATGGCCTGACGATGCCCACAGTGGAGATGCCGAGAAACTTGCAGCTGCTCTTGAAAGGCTGATTAGTATAAGGCAAGAGCACGGCTCCGAAGAAAAGCTCTACAAGACGCTTGAGCTACTCTTACCTTCATCGCCCCTCGTTCCCCTACTGCAATCTGTTGAAGCTTCCAAAGACTCTTACGTCCCCATTGCCATCCCCGAATACCCTACACCGGCCAACAAACTGCCTGTCCTTCCACCACTTCCCCATCCATCACTCATCGCCGGCTCTCTTGCTATCGCCCTGAACGTCCTCATCCGTTTTGAAACGGCTCTCAGTGCCAAAATCGCCGCCCGGGTCGCCAACGACCGTAAGCGTATCAACGCTGGGTCTGAGGCGGAGGTACGAAAGAATGTGGACAGAGAGATTCTGGCGACAGAGGGCTTGAAATTGGCGGAACTTTGGAAAGAGGTTGGAGGACATCCTGCCGTCGAGGATGACATCAGGCGACAGGTGGAAATCAAGGAATTAAACTTTTGGCGAAGGCTTGTGGCTTGTCTCGATGCCAAACCCAAGACAGCCGCTCGACCTGCAGCCAAGCCTAGTGTCCCATCGGCACCAAAGTTGAAGCTCGCCGTGTCTGGGCTTTCTGAGCCGGCGTTGTTCCAGGAGAAGAAAAATCTGGTGGCGCCGACCAAGCAGGAAGCTCTGGATCATGCCGACGGGCTTGCCAATGGTTTTGTTCTTCTTGGTGTCAACAGCGCTGGGTCCGAAGAGGGGTGGTCTTGGGCTTTGGAAGGAAAGGACGAGGAGTCTATCTGTAAGCATTTGCTTCAAACCTTCTGCATGTTTCTGACGATAAACAGACTACGATATCGATCTCCTTCACAAATATGCCTGTGCCTTCCCCTTCTCGCCCTTGGCGGACTTTATCGACATCTACTGTCGCTGGTTCAAACGTCCTTCTCCTGAATACGAGCAAGAAAAAGACAACGCCAGCTTGCAAGAGCGTACTCAATTCAAGAAACACAAGGGCGGCAAAGCCTCGCGGGCGAGACGACAGGTGAGAAGGGAGGAGGAGGGGCAGGATGAGGGAAAGGTTGTGGTAGCGGAAGATGTAGAGCAGGAGGAGAAGGAAGAGATGATCTCACTTTTGACAAAGTTGATTGTCAAGCTGCCAAAGTCGCTGTTTGCGTACAGGGCCATGGCGAGGGTCTCTTTGCAAGATGAGGATCTGCCAAACGCCATCTCCTTCGCCGAAAAGGCCCGGAAGCTTGTAAAGGAAATCGAGTCTCAGCGAGGAATTGCTCTTCCAAACGCCCAAGCGGATCTTGATACCGTCTTGGGTGTTGCCCTCGTCCCCTACTTTCCTCCTAAGCACCACAAGCGAGCTACTCGAATCCTTGAGACTGTTCTCACCGCCAAGCCAGAAAATATCGAAGCTCGTTTCTCCCGCGCTCAGGTGTTTCAATATGCCGGAGACTGGACCAGCGCGCGCGAGCACTTTCAGCAGGTTCTCGACTCGTCACAGGATGAGAAGGCGATTATCACTGCAAAGGAAGAGGTTGGGTGGTGCCTTGTCAACGAAGGTAAGCTCGAAGCAGGTCGAGATGTCTTGGAGGAGGTCGTTGGGATCAGAGATGGGAAGAGTGAAAGGGAGAAGGAAGGAGAGGCCAAGGAGAGAGGTAGAGCTTGGTACAGATTAGGTCAGACTGAGTGGAGGATTGGGGGTAAGTCTATCGTAGCTTGTTCTGGGAGTTTGGCAACTGACGTTTCATAGACGATGAGGCGAAAGCGAACGCTGAGGAATGGTTTATGGCTTCCATCCGCGCCAACCCTTCCCACGCAGCTTCCTACACTGCGCTTGGTACTTGCTACTCCTCCGCCAACCCTCCCGACCACGAACGCGCCCTCAAGTGCTACCAGCGTGCTTTCGACCTCGATGCTACAGAGGCGTATGCGGCGCATAGGTTGGCTATCGGTTATGCGAACGAAGATGAGTGGGCGCAGGTGAGATTGATTGCTGTCAGGGTGATGGAGGGTGAAGGCGGTCTGGAAGGTGTCGCCGGAGGGGAGGCTCTTGGTACCAAGGCCAGATTTGCGCCGCAGAACGGGTGGGCTTGGAAGGCACTCGGTGCGACCGAGATGGTATGTCTTCAACCCACCATGAGATTCGTATATTGATCCCGCTGCAGCACTATAAAAAGTACGACAAGGCCGCCGAAGCCTACCAGATTGCCCTCCGTGCTGACCCCGAAGATGTATCAACCTGGGTTACTCTCGGTGAAGCCTACGTCAAGTGCGGACGTCATACCGCCGGCCTCAAAACCTTCTCCCATGCCCTCACCATCGACCCTGCCAACTGGCGAGCGTTGTTCAACATTGGTCAGACACAGAGTCAGCTTGGCGCGTTCGACAAGGCAATCGAGGCGTATGGGCAGGTGATGGACATTACTGGCGGAGAGGAGGTTGGGATCGTTGCCGCGTTGGCGGAGGCGAATCTGGCTTCCGGGAGACAGACCGCCGCTGGAGGATTCCGCGTCAGGTCTAGGGGTGCTTTCCACCGGGCGATCGAACTCGCTGTCAAGGTGCTCAAGACGGGCAGGACGCATCGTGCTTGGGCGTGGAAGCTCATTGGTGACGCTACATTCGAGCTCAGCTGGCAAGAGTCGAGCATTGAAGAGGCCCAGGCTTCCTTCGAGTATGTGCAGCCTGTGCTCCAATTCCTTGTTGAGGACGATGCCGACCAGCGATCCAATGCCCCCGGCGTCGGCCACGCTGCCAACCTCCTACAAGAAGCTGTCTCTCTCAGCACGACACTGAAGACTGCCATATTCGCATTCGCCTACCGGGCTCATTTGCTCAAGAACGAACCCCGAGTGGTTGATCCCGCCTTGTACGACTATGCTAGTGCTTTGCATACCCTCGCTGGCAGACTCGACGACGGAGAGGAGAGGAAGCAGTGCCTCAGGACTGCCATCAGCGCGATCCGGACTGCTCTTGACCGGGACGCCGGAGACGAGAGGCTTTGGAATGCTCTTGGCGTCATTTGTTCCACGGCTGGACCCCAACTTGCTCAGCACGCCCTAGTGGTCTCTCTCGAGCTTTACACGAAGGACCCCGTTGTTTGGGTCAATTTGGGGTACTTGTACCTCCGACTTGACGATCGTGAGCTCGCTGGGCGATGTTTCCTCAAAGCTCAGGTCTTGGACCCGGACTATGCGCGAGCATGGTATGGCCAAGGTCTCTTGGCTGATAGGAATGGGGAGAAGGAACAGGCGAAAGCGCTTTTCTCACATTCTGTCACGCTATCGGCTCAGGCTCTGCTTGAGGCGGATCTGGCTTTGGCAGCTGCCACTTTTGCTCGCTTCCTTTCGCCCACTTCTGCGATCGACGCTGGCATCCTTCACCAGCCCGCTTTCGCGCTTAAGCACTACTGTCACCAGAGGCCACAAGACTATACTGCTGCTCACCTTTACGCCCTGATCTGCGAGAGACTGGGCCTGGTCGAGGAGGCTGTTTCGTCGCTTGAGAGGACCGCTATCGCGCTGGAGGAGGAGTTCGAGAGGGCTGAGAGTGCAGAGATCGAACACTTCTACGCCGTTGCGTTGTGCAATCTCGGACGAGTCCGACTCTCTACTGGGCAGTATGAAGAAGCGCTGGAAGCACTTGACAACTGTTGGGAGCTTGTTGCTGGTTCCTCAGAGGCTGCGTCTGCTACTTTGAAACCGCAGTGTAAGCTTCTCCAAGGCTTGGCGCATTACTGGCTCGGGCAGACGGACGAAAGTCTCGAATCATTCCAGGCGGCTTTGGATGAAGCGACTGCGAACCAGGATATGGAGGTCAAAGAGGAAGTGGCGGTCTTGCTGAGTCGAACGCTCTGGGGCTTGGGCGGAAAGGATGCAAGGGAGATCGCAAAGAGCAATCTTCTGGAGTGGTGAGTCATGTTTGCATCCTATCGGAACTCTGCTGATTGAACATATAGTCTGTCTCGAGAGAACCCCTCGCTCAGAGTCATCTCGACCCTCGCCGCTATCGCCGTCGTTTCTGCTGATTCCGACCTCATCGAAGCATCCATGTCTGAGCTGCTTTCCCGACCCATCTCGGAGCGTGTACAGGACTCGTCCGACCAGGGCGATCTAGTCCTCTACCTCCACAATCTCGCGGAAGGCCAAGAAGAAGAGGCATACGAGGTGTTGCAGGATGCTGCCCGTGCTGCTCCTGGATCGCAAAGGATCATAAACAGGCTCGCGGAAGCGTTGATCAAGGCGAGCAAGGCTGGCGATGCTCTCAAGATCCTCGAGGTGCCAGGAGGCAAGAATGGAACCGTCGAGTCAAAGGCAGAAGAGGACAGGCTGCGAGGGTTGGCAGAGTTGCTCGAAGGAGAAGGCAAGGGGTTGAAGAAGTTGAAGAGGAGTGTGATGCTGGCCCCATGGGAAGAAGAGAATTGGCATGCCCTTGCATGGGGAAAGAAGGTGGCCGATGAGGCCGGCCTGGAGGAGGAGGAGCAGCAGCAGCAGGAAGAAGTTGAGCAGGAGGAAGTCCAGTCTAGTGTTCAGGTCGCTTAATCGAGCATGCATCATTGGTCTATAGTGCCTCGCCCCGTGTAGAAGACCTCTGTCCTACATCAAGCCAGGAGATAGAAGACATCCCTGACCTCCGAATTGGCCGCGAGGTGGCCGCATGTCTGATGTCTCATATCCATGATTTGCTAGACCACTGCAGGAGAGTATCCACCCGAGATATGAACTCTCTTGGGCAGAGATGCTGCTCGTTCACGTCATCCCAGTCCTTATCAGCTTGAGTGCATGCGTTCGTTCCTGGCCAGTGCCTCCCTCTCCCACCGGCGTAAACCCCACAACCACCCCTCCCACCGCCCTCTCCCACTCCCATCCATCCCTAGTCCCTTGTTCCTTTCCTTTCACTTATCGGCCTCCGTTTGATTCTGATTGTCTCCCGGCAAGGGCCGGCATCTCCTGAAAGTCTCGGTGGTCGCAAAAGCTGCTAAGAGCATTCTCCTTGACCCATACGATACCAGGCCTATAAAAAGCAATCACGGGAATTAGGGCATGTCCGCGCCCAATCTATAGCCCCGATCCGCAGTGATGCGCTGGCCGCTCGTTCGCACTATCGAAATTTACGTGTTCTTTCCCCATGGCGAAGCATGTGTGCGCATGATCCATGGTCATACGCATCAAATTAGCGCGCGTAAGCGCATGCATCATGCTGTCGAAGCCGGGATGGGCGACCGACAAACGCAGGTACTTATCAGCGGGCCTAAGATCGGCGGAAACTGTGCTATACATATAAGTAGCCACGGTTTCCACTTTCCGCTCATCCTCGGTCTTTCTCCTCTGGGCCCTTTTCAATTTTGCCTCATATCAGGTATTCCGACAAGATGTGGTCCAAGCTCGTAACTACCGCGCTCCTCACTCTCTCTTTGGTCGACACTCTGGCAGATGCCCGCGACCCGCAGGGTCTTCGAGGTCGAAAGCCCGCGGCTCTTCAAGCAAAAAAGGAAGCCAAGCGGGAATACATGGAGAGAGAAGCTTTGAAGCTTGAGGAGAGCCGGGCGTACTTGGAGGAGAGGGACTCTGACAAGAGGTACTACAACAACAAGACTTCCGGTGAGTATCCATCCCATTCGTCTATACTGGCATGCTGATATTCCGCCAGAGTTCTTTGTCGACTCTCTCCCCGATGTCCCATTCGACCTCGGCGAGCTGTACTCGGGCCTCATTCCCATCAACTACTCCGACACCTCCAGAGAGCTCTTCTTCGTCTTCCAGCCCAAGCTCGGGGAAGCGTCCGAAGACCTTACTATCTGGTTCAACGGCGGACCGGGATGCTCGTCCCTAGAGAGCTTCCTGCAGGAGACCGGTCTTTGGATATGGCAGCCCGGGACTTATGAGCCTGTATTGAACCCGTACGCTTGGGTCAACTTGACCAACATGCTTTGGTACGTTCCGTCAGATCATGAATTGGGGTTAAGCTGACTCTTCTGAAGGGTCGAGCAACCTGTCGGCACTGGCTTCTCTACCGGTACCCCCACCGCGACCACCCAAGAGGAGACTGCACAGGACTTTGTCAAGTGGTTCAAGAACTTTGAGGACACTTTTGGGATCAAAAACTATAGAATCTTTGTTACTGGCGAGTCTTATGCTGGGAGGTATGTGCCTTACGTCTCGGCTGCTATGGTCGACGAACAGGACAAGTCATACTATAACCTTTCGGGTGAGTCAAAATACACCCACAGGAATTTTAGCCGACATGGTGCAGGCGCTTTGGTGTACGACCCTTGTATCGGCGAGTTCGACTATGTGCAGGAAGAGATCCCTACCTACCCTTTCGTCGAAGCCAACAACAACCTCTTCAACTTTAACGCCTCCGTCATGGCCGAGCTCAAGGGCTTGCACGAATCTTGTGGATACAGGCAGTACATCGACGACTACCTCGTGTTCCCTCCCAAGGGCCAGCAGCCCCATCTGTTCTTCAACTATTCGGACCCTGCCAATGCGACGTGTGGCTTGTTCGACATCGTCAACGAGTTGGCGCTTCAGATCAACCCTTGCTTTGACATCTACGAGATTGTAAGGTGCCATCCTTTACCGTTTTTGGCCAGTACTAACGATTTCTCAGAACTTGATGTGCCCTATTACATGGGACGTCCTCGGCTTCCCCACCGAACTCACCTACGCTCCTGGTGGAGTCTACTTTAACCGCTCCGATGTCAAAGCTGCTATCCACGCTCCCGACTATGTCGACTGGGCCAGCTGCGCTGCTGAGCCAGTGTTTGTGGGAGGAGACGAGGGACCGCAGGCGGAAGGTGATTTGTCGTTGGATCCGATCCAGTATGTCTTGCCCAAGGTCATCGAGGCGACAAACAGGGTGTTGGTCAGTAACGGAGACTATGGTGCGTCCCTATTCTTGTTGCCTGGACTTTTGCTGACTGGTGCGGATAGACATGATCATCATCACCAACGGCACGCTGCTCGCTATCCAAAACATGACCTGGAACGGCGAGCTCGGGTTCCAGTCCGCCCCAGAGGAGGAGATCTACATTGCCATCGAAGACACCCAGTGGTCTACCGTCTTTGCCGAGAACGGTCTCAGCGGGCCCGGAGAGCAGGGTACTATGGGCGTCCAGGTAAGTCTTTCATCGCGGCTATGCAGACTAAAGGGAAAGCTGATGGGGTATAGCACTATGAGAGAGGTCTCATGTGGGCGCAGACGTTCCAGTCGGGACACATGCAGCCGCAGTACCAACCCCGAGTCGCCTACCGACACTTGGAGTGGCTCCTTGGTTTCACCGAAAAGATCTAGATCTTATGTTCTAAAGTTGGGGTTGTGGCCTTGTGGGTTGTATAATCTGTCAATCGGATGTGTTTTGTGGTATATGGGACGTCATAATTATTGATTTTGGTTATCGGCGTGTTTTGTATTGGACGATTCAGAAGGAGAAGGGATTCGCGAAGAAGAAAGTTATATTCAAAAGTCAATCGCGAAAAGTAAAGTAGTAATTGGAGTATGCAACGACGTCAACGTCGACAATTTGACCGAGGTCTCGTCGTGTGATGTGCTAAAAGATCTCTGGCGATCATTAACGATAGATTGGCTACGTCAGAGGGGATTGTTGCTGTCAGATGAGCAGATCGCAAAGTGACAAAGAGTGGGAGCGTAAGCTATATGGCGAAGTGGGGCCGGCGGCGGAAAGAAACCGAGCATGCGCCAACCACAGACCCCTCGGGGCATTCCCCCTCTGACCTGTCGCCGCATTGCCCACTGCCTGCACACAAAATGTCTGCATACATGCCCTCTCCACGCCACTTGGCACCTGATGCATGCATGATGCTGCCCTTTGTCATCACTTCTTCCTGGCTTTTTCAGCAAATTTACGTAAACCACCAAAATGACGTCGCGCATGACCGAAAGCGGCTGGTCTTCTATCCCGTCCTCGCTTTTTGTCTCCTCGCATTCTTTTCATCGAATTCTCGACAACTCTTCTTTCTATCGCATCCAGATTTTTCAACCGCCGCTAACGAGTCAGCATACATAACCGCCTCATAATCACTTGCACCCGTAACAGCGAAAAGGAATTGAGACGACATGGTCGACACTGTGAGTTTTCATTGTCCTCCAGAGTTGCCGCCGAGACATTTCGTTGTGTCATCCATGCACTTGCTGACCACCGTATACCTCCTTATCCTCGCCTTTTCCGTCCCTTCTTGCCCACGACTTTAAACACTCTGCTCCTATGCGCCTCCCATGCCAAACAGTCTTCTCACATTCGCCGAGGACACCCTATTTTCTTCGGTTTGATCACATTCTTCGCCATCATCGAAGGTATTATTACCGCTTGGCTTGGTATGTCTTGATTATTCCATGATGCTACACAGAGTATCCGCTGACGCCATATCTGTTATTTAGTGTCCAAATTCAACAAGTGAGCCCCATAACGGCATTAGCGACATGTCCCAACAGCTGACGTTTGCAACAGCAACGACACCTACCCCTCGAATTCTTACCGAGACCGACTCAAGTTCCTCGTGTTTGTCTCCTGGTGGACAGTCGTTTTCGGTGCTGCCCATCTTGTGAGTGTTGATCCCATCATATCGTGTTGTTTTGCTGATTCATTGTTGTAGACCTCGTTCTTGGTCGCTACGACCAATTTCGTTTCTTCCATCGCTGCTCACCTTGGTGTCTGGGCCCTCACGTAAGTTTACTCGCTCATCACTGCCTCGACTCTAACCCGGTGTTACACAGATGGCTCTTCTGGCTCGCCGGCGCCGCCTCCTTCACTGCCGCTCTCGGCGGTGGTGCCCGATGTAGTCACTCTTCCCTCACATACTGCAACCAGCTCGTAGCTGCCGAGGCGTTCGCGTGGATGGAGTGGATTCTGCTGAGTGTGCTGTTCATCTTCCTCTTGCTGGTTGCTGTGAGGGCTATCAGGCAAGGCGACAGCTTGGGCGGGGGGCTTGTCTAAGTTTGCGTGGGTTATTTGTAGAAAAGATCATGCGGATGTCATGGAAAATACAAGCCGGGGGGGGGGGGGGAAGGTAACATATAATATAGTGGCTCATAATAATACATATACGCATGTAGCCCTAAATGCTGTCTTGGCTGTCGACTGCTGCGCTCGAGATATAGCCAGGGCTCACGCGAGACGGGAAAGAGCCGCGGCCCAGGGGGGCATATAACCACATTTATTATTGATTATTTATGACCTCGTGGTGCCTTGCCTCCACCCTCGACGACGTATGCGGCATTGCGCTGTCTACCGTTGTTCGCACCAAACATATCACGCACCCGAAGCACACTGGGTACTGCAGATTCCCCTCCCACCCCGCCCATCCCTCCCCTCGCCGTCCCCTGCACCTAACCCACCCCACAGACGGGAGACATCTCTCCTTCCGCTACCCCACGACGAGCGGGATCCCCTTTTCCATACGTTATTCAAGCCATATAATTGGCCGACATGGGTGCTTTCGATGGGCTCAGAGGCGACCAGGCGACATCAGGATGTGAGTACTGACCTGTGGGCTCGGGGGAGGCTCGAAGGGTGCCAGGTGCGGAAGGCTGACGCGGGTGCCATCGATAGTTTGGGGAGAACATACGAGTACAATCGACTGGTACGCACTCCCCATATCCCCAAGAATGCCCAGCGCTGACCGTCCTTGGCACAGGTGCGAGAACAACTACACCCACACTCGCTACATTGCCGAGTTTGTCAACACGCTCTCCAACCTCCCGTCCATCCTCATCGGCTTTTACGGCGCCTACGCAGTCCTGCAGAACAAGCTGCCTAAACGGTTCGCGATATGCTATCTGGGTCTGAGCATGATAGGGCTGGGCAGCTTTGGGTTCCACGCGAGTCTGAAGTGGGAGTGGCAGTTGATGGATGAGTTGCCAATGGTGTGTTCCATGTTGCCTGTCATGCGTGGGGCGCATGTAGCTGACACGCCTACAGATCTATGTCGTCTCTTACGCGGCATACCTCGTGCTCGACACTCGTCCTGGATGGGAACCACGGTTCGGCGTCTGGGGACCATTGGTGATGTTGGCCTGGGACGTGTTTGTGACGGTGTCATAGTGAGTCATCACTTTCTGCTGTTTGCGGGGTCAGGGCCCTGAGGCCCGCCGCTTTGGGTCTCCCGATACGGCCGCCGGCGCGGGACACAAATTGCGACCTAATAATGGAGTCTTTTGTTGGGTTCTCCTCGAGCTGACAAGAACCTAAAGCATCTGTCTCCCGAACCCGGTCTACCACCAAGTCGCGTTCGCCTCCATCCTTATCACTTCGACCCTCCGGACGCTCGTGCTCATCCTCAAGCGTCTTCCCGAGGGCCACCCGGCCAGAGCGATAATAGGCAAGCTCATGGGATGGGGCGTGGGCATCTTTGCGGCGGGCTTTGCGATTTGGAATATCGACAATATTTTCTGTGAACAGTTCAGGGACATACGGGCTGCTATAGAGCCGTTTGACTTTTTGGTACAAGGTGCGTAAATGATGGTTCTGGTGCTGGGCGGAGCTGATGTTCCGGGTAGGACATTCATATTGGCATTACATGACTGGCTACGGAGCGTATTTGATCTTTACGGCTTCGATATGTGAGCCGCCTCATGTTGTTGTAGTGACATGACTGACTTTCAACAGACCTCCACTGCCTGATCAAGGACGACCCGGACGCGTACTGTATCACCGGCTACTGGCTCCCCATGATCAAGCGCAAAGCGACCATGACCCCCAAGCACGGCGAGAAGATGACTTTGGCTCCTACCGAGAAGCTGGACTAGGTCTTTTCGCCCCGCGCTTTGTGTAAACATAATATACAAGATCAGAGATTAAAGGACAATAGAGAGAAGGTTGGAGAGATGTGCATACAGTACTCGTACTCAAGGGTTTCCATTTTTCATCATGCGGCTCTTTCATCGCCATTAGAGCTTTCATTCTCGAATATACTCGTTTTGTTTATACATGCGCCGCAGACGCAGGTAGACTCTTTACACAGTTACTTTGGGCATTAAAGAGTTATGCAAGCAGCAATCATGGACAGTCAAGATACGGGGGAATAGGGAGTGACTTCATTGACTGTCTGCTGATGGCAAGCACACTTCCTATTCCCCTTGGCATCATGTATGCCACCCCCACTCTCCATCCACCATTTTCGGATGAATCCGTGCCAACTCCAAGAGGAGATGACGCGCGCGGAAAGATCTTGATCCCTGGTTCCTCTTGCAACAAATAACGAAAACACCCTCAGCTCCTTTCTCTTCTCCATCTCCCCTTCGACTTCTCCCTCCCTCCCCCCCAGCCATCGCTGCACCCCGACAATGTCCATCGGCAACCCGAACGGGCAGCCCAAGGGCGACTTTGCCGGCCTCGTCTCTGACCTCATGCGTCATAAACATGCCGAGAAGGGGGCCAAGGGCGTCAACGGAGACGCAACTCCTAGCAAGAGCAGCATAGGGCTTGCTGTCAGCAGACATCTCCCCGCTACGGGGTTCAAGAAAAATACAGAAGAAAATAGAGAGAAGAATGAAGGTAGACAGGGGACAGGGGTAGAGAGGCAGGAGAGTGGGTGGTCGTCGAGTAGCTCTTTGCCGTCCGATGCGGAGGGGAGGACCGACTCGCGGAGCCAGCAACAAAAGGAGGACGAGCAAGAAGGGGCGGAGGGCAGAGGTCCTGGGCGACACGAATCATTCATCCCAGATGGTCACGACGATCAACGCCCTATACACGACTCGCCGGTGGAAGAACTCTCCTCCTACCCTTCTGTGCCTCAACCTCGGGCCAATGGCCAGAGGGAAGGATCAGGGACGTCGGAGAGGATGATCAGGATAGACGACTCGGCAAAAGGCTCGCGAGATCGGGAGCGGGAGAGGGACGAGACGGAGCTCATGTCGCGGTCGCCAAGCGCAAAGAGGCAACTCACGGATGAGCTTGGCAGATCGCCTGTTGAGAACCCTGGCATGAAGGAGGAGGAGGTGCCAGGACCGAGGAATGAGATTGCGCTGGGACCGAGGATCACCCATATCCACGTGAGTATTGGAACGCCTCTCGAGGCAGAATAGCCTCGCTGACAATGCATGTAGTATCACGAAGAGCGAGAGCCTACTGTTGATGGAATTCATCATGGACCCATCCTCAAGGTTACCTCTGACGGTGAAGCCGAGCTACCCCCCGGTCAGACGCCACAGGCTTCACGGCGCCCAAGCGCATCACAAGAGTACCGTTCAACTTCCAGCAACGACCTCCACGCATACGAGAACGGTATGGGTAACACCATATCGGACGGCACCTGGAGGAACGCCCTCCAATCGTCCCGACAGAAAAAGAAGGGCAAGACTCCTGCGAGCTCGAGGTTTAGCAGTTTCAGGGAGGACGGTATAACCACGGGAGAGAGTGATGCGGAGGGCAATCATGGGGATAATGAGGCGCCGGATACACCGACGGATGCGGCGCAGAAGAGGTGGAGCATGCTCCGCCACCGAGTACTTCCCTCCAAGACCTCTGTGAATGGGCCGACACCCAACAAGGTATCCGCTCTGGCGCCGACTGTGATTGCCTCTGTTCCGGTCACCACTGAGCTGTTTGCTGGCCAGCTGCCAGTCATGATCCTCAAGACGTGGATAGACAGGGACGAGAATGGAAAGAAGGCTGTACCGGTCTTGCTGGGCAACTTGAGGTTCAGGGTGGGAGATAGTGTGGGGTTGAAGCAGGGGAAGGCGACGGGGAAGGAAATGTTCAAGGTAGAGTGCGAGTACGGGGATGGCGCGGTCAAATGGGTGCGTCGTGTTCAACATTTATCCCGAAAAGCTGCTGATGGAATGACAGGTCATCTACCGTGAACTGCGAGATTTCCTGTCGCTCCACGCGCACTATAAAGCTGCCAACTTTGGTACCTCCGTCGCTGGTCTACGCTCTACCCGACATGTCGAGATCCCCGACTTTCCTCGTATGAGTGTACCCTTCTTCAACAAGTTTGACAAGCAAGCGCATGGAAAAGAAAAGGAGAGGGAATCGAAAGAAGCAAAGGAAACGAAGGAGCAGATGAAGATTAGTAAAAATATGGGCAAGGCAGAGTATGCTCAGGCGAGTCGAGATGCTCTGCAGCGATACCTCGTGGATCTCATTCGTGCTGTCGTGAGTATTTACCCTCTCAAAAGTAGCACAAGCTCATATCAGGTAGATCTTCCGACCCGAGTCCAACCGACTCTGTAAATTCTTCGAACTCTCCGCTCTCACCCTTTCCCTTGCCCCTCGCGGTGGCTTCCAAGGCAAGGCTGGCTTCCTAATGATCCCCGGTTCCAACGCCTCTCGCCGCGCCAACCAACCTGGCCTCATGCCTGCCTCTTGGAAAGCCTCTCGTGAGCCCAAGTGGTTCATCGTAAGGGACTCTTACTGTGTGGCGACCGATGGACCAGAGACGACAGATCTCTACGAAGTCTTCTTGTTTGATCCCGACTTTACGATCATCAGGCCGAAGAGGTACTACAGGACCGGAATGGGCATCCTGCATCCCCACAAGAAAGACAGGGAAGACGATGAAATCGCGAACCATGTTGACGCGGACAATCCTTTCACGAAGGAAGTCATGATTGCCAGCGGAGAGGGCAAGGGATCGAAAGCCCAGAATTTGCAAGACGAAACGGAGCATGAGGCGAGTCAGCATACTTTCTATATCGTCAACTCGCAGATCAAATTGAAACTGGTCGCCAAGAACGCTGTAAGTGGGCTTTCAACGTGAGAGAGCGAGGCTGATGATGAACAGCGACAAATGCACCAATACATCGTCTCAATGGAGAGGATTGCCGCACAGTGCGCTTGGACCAAGAAGAACCGATTTGATTCGTTTGCCCCTCTCCGAGTCAACGTCGCTGCGCAATGGCTTGTCGATGGGGTGAGTCTTGGAAGGCCGTTCACCGTGTGTAGTGTGGTACTGACTCAATGAATAGCGAGACTACTTCTGGAATCTGAGTCGAGCAATCAACATGGCAAAGGATAGAATATACATCCATGACTGGTGGATCTCGCCCGAACTGTACCTCCGACGACCCGGAAATGAGCGCTATAGACTCGACAACCTTCTCAAGCGTAAGGCTGAGGAGGGAGTCAAGATCTTCATCATCATCTAGTAAGTCATCTAAGCTCGTCCAAAGAATGAGCTTACCTATTCTTCTAGCAACGAAGTGTCCGACAAGACCACTCCCGTCGACTCGACATATACCAAACGCAGTCTCATGAACCTCCACCCCAACATCCTCGTTCAACGATCCCCTTCGCACTTCCAAACCGGTACCTTCTATTGGTCGCATCACGAAAAGCTTTGCGTGATCGACGAGACCATCGCCTTCATGGGAGGTCTGGATCTGTGCTATGGAAGGTGGGACACACCACAGCATGTGCTGCTAGACGAGAAGCACACGGCAGATGATGGACCGGACGGACCGGTATGGAGGGGCAAGGACTATTCAAATGAACGGGTCATGGAGTATGCGAACTTGGACAAGCCTTTCGAGGACATGTTTGATAGGACCAAGATTCCTAGAATGCCTTGGTGAGTCATTTGAGTCACAGATGCCGAACAGGACTGATGTGGCGTAGGCACGATACTGCTCTTCAGATCGTTGGCCAACCCGCCCGAGACCTCTGCCGACACTTCGTCCAGCGATGGAACTTGCTCATCCGAACCAAGAACCACACCCGCCGCATGCCTTTCCTTTTGCCGCCCGCGGACTTTACGGATAGGGAGTTGCAAGATCTCAAGCTCCAGGGAACGTGTGAGGTGCAGATCTGCAGGTCTGTTGGGCCATGGTCTATGGGAACGCAGACAAAGATCGAGCATTCTATCCAGAATGCTTATTGCAAGTGTGAGTACGATAACTAAGGCATAGCGGGAGACGCTTACAATAACAGCCATTGAAACCTCTGAACACTTTGTCTACATTGAGAATCAATTCTTCATCACCTCTACCGTCGTGGACGGCGTGCGCGTAGAGAACGGCATCGGTGACGCTCTCGTCAACCGTATCATCCGCGCACACAAGGAAAGTGACGCATGGCGCGCCTGTATTGTCATCCCTCTCCTTCCTGGGTATACCTACCCTCTGGACTCCAATGAGGCGAGCTCGGTGAGGTTGATTTTGGAGTGTCAGAACAGGACTATCGCCAGAGGCACCAGCTCGATCTTTTCGAGGTTGAGGAAGGAGGGCATCGACGTGAGTTCTATTCTAGGGTCAGGCTTTCCGTGAGCTGATTGATATAGCCTGATGACTATATTACGTTCTTCTCCCTGAGAGGATGGGGCAAATTCGACTCTGGTGTGTTGACCACCGAACAAGTTTATATCCACGGAAAAACCATGATCGTGGATGACCGTCAGTACTTCAAGTACCATGCAAGTTTGAGCTGACCATTTATCCAGGTCTTGTCTTGACTGGTTCTGCCAACATCAACGAGCGTAGTCAACGTGGTGACCGAGACTCTGAGCTTTTGGCTGTCGTCCGAGACACCGACATGATTGACGGCACCATGGCAGGACGTCCCTACAAGGTTGGGCGCTACGCCCATACCTTGCGAGTCCGTCTGATGCGCGAACACATTGGTGTCGACGTCGACGGCATCGACGAAGAACAGCTCATGTCCCGCGAGCCAATGGCGGACGCGGATGATATCGAGACATGGGACCCGGACCACGAGCAACAGAGTGACGATGATGATCGAGGAGGGACGACGCAGATCAAGAGGAGGCTTGCAACTGATAGAATGATTGGCACCTTCCAGAACGGTGTTTCCAGCGGTACGTATCTAGCTTTGCATCTAACGGTAGACTGATGATTGGCTCTAGTGACCAAGGGAATGTCCGAGAATGCCATTTCCAACGTCAAGAGGGCTGCCGACAAGGTTCTGCACCCCATCGCCGTTGCCAAATCGGGCGAGACCGTTGCCCTTAACGATGGCGGCGCCAATCCCTCTGAGCGTGAAGACTTTAACCCTCACGGTAAAATTGACAAGGGCTTTGCTTCCTCCATGGTACCAACTCTCGAGGAAAAGACCATCTACGAGCGTCGACCGGATCAGAGTCACGCCAACGGCAAGCCCTTGTTTGACCACATTGACGAGCGAGGCGAAGATGGTCAGGTTGGACAGGCCAAAAGTGGAAAGGGTGACGACGAACCTGGGGAGGCCGAGGTGCCCACTGAGACCAAGAAATCTGGCTTGATTGTCGACTCGGATGGTGCCAAGGTGTCTGGTGTCCCTCGTCTTCGAGGCAAGGTATCCGATACCGAGCTCTACGGGACTCCCGCCAACGTCCCAGGTGACAACGACAAGATTCCTGTGCACGATACCGACAGAACGGTGGAGAACGAGGATGAGGAAGCCATCGACGAGATGAATGCGGCTGTCAAGGCCAGAAAGACACTGCGAAAGCATCTCAGTGCCAAGGTACAGATGTCGCCTTGGAGCATGGCTACGCCTACTCCCCAGATCAACCCTGCCAGGTTCCATGACCCGTTGGATGGAAGTTTCTGGAAGGATGTCTGGGTTGCCAGCGCTGTGCACAACACAGAGATCTTCCGAAAGGTTTTCCGTTGTATTGTGAGTACTTTACCTCATTGGAAAAGAATCGCTGACCGGCTGGTAGCCTGACGATCTGGTGACGTCCTGGGCACAATACAAGGCGTTCGCCAACCACGCCGAAAAGTTCAACAAAGCACCCGAGGAAGTCGCCGCCAACGGCCAAGACGAACCGGTCAAAGTCACCCACGACGGTCCCGGTACCCATGGCGCCGGTGGCGGTGGATCCGGTGGTGGACAGATCGGTTCTCACGGGGATGAAAGTAGTGGCAGCAAGGCGGAGACAAGCGATGCGGATGTGGTGGATGGCAAGCCCAGAGATGTGCCCCATCCCCATCACCCGCACGTTTCTCGTCCAGGGCACCACAGCGAGGGGAGCAAGAGTTCCTTCAGGGGCGGTGAGAGTAAGAGGGAGACAGAGAGGGAGAAGAAGGCCAGTGGGCCAGACGAGGGCTGGGCTGAGTGGGAGAAGGAAGAAATGGAGCTGTTGTTGAATGAAGTCAAGGGACATCTTGGTAGGTTGGAACCTGTATGCCTGCTAGGATCACTGCTGACCAATTTTGGAGTGATCTATCCGAACAGATTCTTGGAAGGGGAAGACCTCGCCAACAACTTCCTTTTCAACGTAAGTCTGACGCCGGCTGATGTGTGCGCTGCTGACGGTTTTCCTCAGTCCGACAAAATTTTGCCCTTGCCCATCTTTGATTAACGAACTTCAACGACTGTGCATTCATCTATAATTATTCCCAAGTATCAGTTCTTCCGCGCATCATGTTCCAAATCTCGATTGATATACCTAATTTCTTGATACACTTGACTCTGTCTTGACTCCATGTCGCATAAATACTATCTGAGTATGATTGGCACCCGATGTTGTCCTTCTAAAAAGTCCGCTCTAAGTATAACACTGTGTGCAAGATCTCAATAATGCATTTGATAGTCTATGGTATGTACAAGTAGATTACGACGAGACAAGGTATACCTGCCGGTTACACTATGTCTTCTGAAACAGTTTCCAACTCCCCTGCAACCATCTCTTTGACCCATAAAGCAGCAACGCAGAGACGATACTCATTCCTCCACAGAGCCCTATCGAAATGTAATAACTTTCCGGACCTGTGCGGTGCAGGTGATCGGTAGAGTAGTTCAAAAGAGCGATAGCAATTGGTTGACCGACCAAGGCGGGGATGACGAGGGATAGCCAGAACATGCTGAGCGCACTCGCAAGATGTTGAACGCCGACGACCTTGGCTGCAACAGGGGTCGCGGCAGACCAGATAGTACCACCCGTCATACCCTGCACCAGAGCATAAAAGATCAGCAATCCAAAATTCTTCGAGGGTAGCCAGATACACAGAGTCGACAAGCCGCAGATGATGTAGCAGATGATGGAGAGATTGACGCGGCCGCCCGTGTCGAGGAAATAGCCCCAGAGGGGTCGACCGATCATTTGACCGGCGGAGAGGATGGATTGGAGGGCTGCGCCTTGGGTTTGGGATAGGCCGATGGCGTGGGTAGCGAAGGAGGCAAGGGAGTAGATGGCGATAAAGTAGGACATGACTGGTTCTTGTTTAGCACGGCGAGTGAGATGTAGTGGGAAGACGTACTAGTGAAAGCGCCCCATAGCCACACCCACACGAATCCCTGATGCCACAGCCATTTAAACTCCAAAGGCGCCTGCCTCGCCTTCATCTGCTTATGTCGCCCCTTGAACAAGAACAGCCCCGGCGTAAGCAACGCTGCGGATATGAGACCGTTGACGATCAAAGCCCATTTGACAGAAAACTTCTCGATGATGACACGGGTGGTGTTGGCCATGAGAAGACCACCGGCACCAGAGCCACAGGCGGCGATACCTTGGGTGAGGGCGAGGCGGCGGTGGAACCAGTGAGCCATGAGCGGTTGGACGGGAATCATTGTAAGACCCAAGCCTATGAGGCGTGAGCGCGGAAAACAGAAAAGTAAGGGGGTGCGTACCGAGACCGAAGATGACACCTTGACAGACGAGGAAGGTACCGAAGCTCGTGCAGATACCTGCCATACATTGTCCGAGAACGACGCATAAAGCTCCTGTCAGTGTCGTTAGTACTGTCGTCGCTCCATATCTGTCAAGATTAGACACACCGAGAGCATAAGGAATCCTAAAACCAAACTTGGTTGTAAGATAGTTGGACACGGGTCCCATAGTCAAAGCGACGGCCACAGAGAGACCCCCGACCCAGGCATATCTCAAAGTGGATCCGCCTGAGAAGTAGTTGTTGGCCAAGTAGTATGAAGAATAAACACCATAGGTAGTGTTGACACCTTTTTCAAGTCAGCTTGAATCGTTCAGTTCAGGGGACTGACTCACCCCAAGTTCCGGCGTTGCAGCATGCATAACAGGCTACGATAACCCATCCATAGCCGCCGTCGGGAGCTGTCGAGTCGCCAGCTGTTGCAGGGACGGCAGGAGCAGGCGCATCTCCCTCGGGGATCGTTTTCTCTTCAAGCTTCTCGATAGGTGCGCTGGAATCAGGAATTGGGGCAAAAGTAGAGTACTGAGCCTCAATGTCGGATTTGATTTCGACAGAGGTTTGTTGTCGCGCCATACTCCGCTTTTTGTCGTTGCTGTAGGTTGGTATATTTGTGTCGCAAGGTGTCGTTTCGATACTATAACTTCTCCATCGTGATGCCCTTTTCGTATGCTGCTGGAGTAGAGTGGACCAGAGAGGTGGATGTCAACGCGATTGCTGAATCAGATTGGATAAACTGATAAAGTGATAGTGGCAGGGGCGCGGCACTCAACAGGCGGCTAGCAAAGAAATGCGGAGGAATATACCCAGGGTAACGAAGGAGAAATATGAAGAAGCTGAGGTCAGTCGATTTCGGTGTATTTCTGGGTCATGAGAAGCAGACCTGAATCAAACGACCGCATCTCGGCAGCCCACCGGCATTGCGTCGCGCATCTCCGAAAACTCAGCATGGCAGATATTTGGTCCTCAATATGCATCAGAAAGAGAATTTTGGAAAGTTTGGGCATGTCATTGCGCACCCCGTGTGTCTCCAGCATGTATGCATGGCATCGGACCTGCTGTTCAGCAGCTTGGGTACTCTGAGCCAAAGTTGAAAGCCGCACCTGATAACAGACCACGTGACTGCCACAATCGGCGAATCCAAACTCCGCAACAGTTTGGCTGCCACTTTTTCGCTGGACTTCGACGATTTTTTGGTTTCTCTCAACCTATTTCAAAAGCACCGTTTTGCAGAAATACCTGTAGACACAATGGTGCGTTCCTCTCCCCCTACCCATGTACCCCTCGCAAGCGTCCCAAACGAGCCATTCGCCCAGGACTTGCGCTAACGTCAAATGCCGCAAATGCTAACCTTGTACGAATGACAGCCCAAGATCACTTCCTCCAAGACCGCTCCCGCTCACAAGTTCTACGTTGACGCTTCCGTTCCCGTGAACGACTCTGTCTTCGACCTCGCTGCCTTCGAGAAGTTCCTTCACGACCGCATCAAGGTTGACGGCAAGCCCGGTCAGCTCGGTGACGTTGTCTCCGTCCAGAAGGAGGGTGAGTGACATGACCAGGAGTGATGTTTCGGTAGCTGATGGGAATGTGACAGGTGCCAAGATCGTCCTCACCTCTTCTATCCCCTTCTCCAAGAGGTACCTGAAGTACCTCACCAAGAAGCACTTGAAGAAGAACTCTTTCGAGAACTTCCTCCGGTTTGTCCTCCCTATTACATCGTAGATCTGTTGCTTACTTGTCTTGCAGAGTCGTTGCCACCTCTAAGGACACCTACTCCCTCAAGTACTTCAAGGTTGACCAGGACGAGGCTGAGGACGAGGAGCTCGCCTAAACGATTCCTTGATTGGATATCGCTGGGAGCATGCATTTATAATGGTGCACCTGACTGGCTTTTGTGTCTACTGCATTTTTAACCCTTCATATTCTGTCTCATGGCGTTCTCTGCTGCACTGTACTCTTTCAACATTTTTGCCTGTTTACATAATCGTTCATGGCCGAATTTGGTTCCGCTTAGTTAAATTTGGTTCCGTGTGCCTGTATCTGAATCTGATAACGAAAACGTCCGACAAAGTTCAAATCTCGGTCGTCAACAGGTCCATCTCTTATCCACCATGTCTGAGCAAGAAACAGCCACCGCCCCCATCCCCGTCGTCCCAGTCACCGCCAGTGCAGTAGCCCCTGCCTGGCCAGAGCTCACCCCCGAGCATCCTCTCCTCCAGTTTCACTCTCGCCTCGCGACCATCCTCTCTACGGCCGACCACTCTCAAATCTGGGGCGTCACCCTCTCTGCCGCCACTCCCCCCCAGTTTAGCACTTTGCTGATCTTGCAAAAGTATCTACGCTCCGTGAGCGGTGATGTCGATGCCGCGGCTGCGGCGTTGGAAAAGACGCTCCAGTGGAGGAAGGAGTTCGGCTTGGACAAGCCTGAGGGCGAGAAGCGAGAGGAGTTTGGAAGTGAATTAGATGGCCTTGGATATGTGACCAAGGTCAAGACGAGTGAGGGGAAGGACGAGGTGGTTACTTGGAATGTGTATGGTGCTGTCAAAGACTTCAAGGCGACTTTCGGGGACTTGGACCGGTAAGTCTGGCTCAATTGCTCGACCGCATCCGCTAATAGAATGGTAGCTTCCTCAAATGGCGAGTCCACCTCATGGAGGAAACCATCGCCCATCTTCACCTCTCGATCACCTCTACCCCCATCCCCGACTTCTCCCTCACCTCTCCCCAAGCCGACCCCCACCGCATCGCCCAAGTCCATCTCTACGAAGGCGTCTCCTTCCTCCGCATGGACCCCCACGTCAAAGCGGCATCCAAAGCCACCATCGAGCTCATGACCGCACACTACCCCGAGCTGCTCTCACGAAAGTTCTTTGTGGGCGTACCGCTCGTGATGAGCTGGATGTTCCAGGCGGTGAGGATGTTTGTGAGCGCAGAGACAGCGAAAAAGTTTGTGGTCATCAGCTACAAGACGAATCTTGCGGCGGAGCTGGGGGAGAAGGATGGTGTGCCGGTGGACTGTGGAGGGACGGGGCCTGCGTTGGCGGAGCTGCAAACGGCATTGGTCAAGGCGGACCCTGTTCAAGTGTAGGAAAGGTACTGTCTTGGAAGCTTTGCTGCGGTCCGGGTGTGGAATAACGATCTCAGGTAGGCCCCATTTCCCAGGCTTCTATTCAAAGGAAAAACGAGCTCACACCTATCGCAGCTGTTCATAATGAATGTCTGTCTTATGGATCCTTTATATCTTTGACGCCTTCTTCATTTCAGCCCATGGATTGATCAAGTCCGACGCTTGATCCTTTGAGGTCTCATGGCTAGCGCGGAGCAGATATAAGAGCGACACTATCTACTCACGCCCCTCAAGTAACTCACCCCCTCTTCATTCGATCTCGAAGACCACAAAATAATCAGACAAAGCTATAATGGACTACACTCCCGCCGATGACACTTTGGAAGAAGGCCCCCTGGACAGCCGAGATGAGTTCCATCCTTTCTCAGCTGTTGAGCATCGTACCGCCTATAGCCAAGACCCCAACTTTTCCTCGACAGCGGGACACGACAATTCGTTAGCAGGGACGGGCCATCATATTTCAATTCAACCAGGCGTAGGCCCTTCATCATTCAACAAACGTGGATATTCATGGCATTATGACCAATACATGAGCGGGTCGGACTATTGGCAGAATATGCCCCAAGATGGTGCGGACGATGCCTGTGTCAACCCGTCGGACTTGAGCCTCGAGCCAGCTCTTGATACTGATGGGGAAGCCCCGGAGATCGACTTAGAGGCAAGCAAGCAGCAGAGCACACCTTACGCGAGTCTGTGTGCAAGTCACCCCGGTGAATCCAACTTGCCGAGAGACAACCCCTTTGCTCAGCGGACTGGTAAAGGATGGCTGAAGAGTCACTGCGTAAGTGGCCTTGTCGTGGTTACTACCTCCAATGAAGAAGGAAATCAAGCTGACCATACTCGACGTTATAATATGTAGGGCCGCTCCCAGACATGTGTCTCGAGCCTCATCGAAGCCGGTGACCTGGATGAGACCGATCAGGAGATCATTGATGATGTACGCGGCCAGATGGTTGACGAAAGGAAAAGGAAGGCTGGTCATAAGCGCAGATAGGATGAGTGATACAGTATGAGAGACGCGGCGTAATTGGGCAGGATATGTGATCTTGCTAGAGATGTTCTTCATACTTGTTACTTGCGTCATCGTTCAACTTGAAAAAGACAGTATCCAACAAAATGATTATGAATTGTACCACAATGCCACACCTCTTTCATGTACGTACAAGTATAGTACGAGGAGGCCTTCGATTCACCGCACAGGTTAACCTGCATTGGACCTGTATGCCGTGCTAGGTGCTACTTCGAAGGTACAGTCGCCAAGTCTTACTGACATGGGTTTCACTCTTTCTACTTCCTTAACCCATCCGCCCAACTGAGGAACCAGGAGAAAGATGATTGAAATATACTTCAACATCAACAAGCCCGTTTCATGTTGTTTGACCCTACTCGCCTGCGTGAACTTTACGCGGACAGTTGGGGACTTTGATACAGACCCTGAACTGCATGTGTTCCCCAACGCTCGTCCAGATCTTGACTCTGATCGAGCGTGAAGCCAATAGCAGCCGATAGAATTGCTTGCAGGGCGAGGACAGCATAAGGTACGCAAGCGTTGAACAACGAAGTAGGAGTCGAGAATTGTTCTTCGTCCGGAGCGGAGTCGGGGACGCCTGGCCCTCTGCTATCTTATCAAATTACCCCGCTGCATATGCACATGCCGTCAGATGCCTTTTGAGAAGTGCAACATACAAGAAGTGAGTAGCAATGGACTGTCCAGCGTGTCGACAAAACCGGACAACAAGACACCCACGCGCGCCGCCGGCCTGCCGAGCCAAGGGAAAAAGGCACGGACAAGTTGACAAAAATCCTTTTGTTCTCTGTTTCGTCGTTGTTCGCCCTTGCCGAAGGTTGGCGGCAGTGGATATGTAAGTATGAACTTTCCCCAGATCTGCCCTGATAAACCCCTTGAGCTGGGTTTTGGGGTGTCTCATCCAAACCTCAGCGCTCTTTACCACACTGAAGACCTTAGCACTGCTGCGGCCGTTGCGGCCGTTCCTTGGATGTTGACAAACATGAGCTACCTATGGGGAAGTACAATCTTGAATCTTCTAGCAGAACTTCCTCTTTCAGCTAATCTTTCCCATCAAAAAAGTTCCCATGGGCGCCATCCCATGAGCCCACGCATCTCGCTAGTACTTTTCAGCCATAAACCTTAGCGGGAACGTCAGAACTTCACGTTTGGCTTTTCAGGATATGCAGATGTGCTAGAAGCCATGTATTCCTTCTGGGATCTGGACATTTGGTAGCGTCCAGCTGGTAGTCAGGTGATGGCGACTATGCACTGCAGATGTATTCCCGCTGCTACCAGGAGGTCCAGAAGCTAGAAGACAATCTTATACATCTCATCAACGACATCATCGGCCCGGCAGGCTACATAGGCCACATATCGGACATCGGCGATATGACCGTGCAGCATCGGAAGCCACTGGGAGTAGAGTAAGGATCACTTGACCCTACGCGCCACATGTACGGTGACGGACAGAGAGTCGCGGCGGCACATGATATGACAACTGTATGATCAGCTTCACCACATTGGGGTCACCGGCAGACTGCCTCTGCCGTTACAGGTTGATGGTGGGAGCCAGGACCAGACCCCAGCTGCTTTGGTAGATCTGGTACCCGATAGGGTTATCATCAATCAACCCTCAAGGCCCCCAACTCAAACGGCAAGCAAGCCACTTTGTTTCTGGTGACTACTATGTATCATGTATGACAACCTTTTCCTCCGGCCTCCGGATCCTGAGCCTTGGCACTGTGGAACTCATGAACGGTGGAATGTTCTGGAGATCTGCATTGTCAAAATCTCTGCCAGCTGAGCCAGCTGACAAAATATGGCCTGATGTAGCTCGAGCCCAGATGAGTAGGTGGCCATGACGACTCTTCCCAGTATCTGCTTCTAGCTGCATTTGTGGAAACCAAGGTCTTGAAGATTGACAGCGGCAGCAAGTGCCGAGGATCTTCTCGCAGCCGGAACAACCTCTGATCAAGAGCTTCCAGAGACAAAAATGGCCGGCAGGTAGTACAGGACTGAGGGAAGTACCCTTTGGGCGGGCAGGTACACAGGGACTACTGCTGCTAAGTTGTGAGTTCTCACAAGCCACAAGAACGATAGATAGATGGCAAGGGGTTGTCCAAGGCACGTAATTGATAAGGCGAACCGTGCGCGCCGTGCGCAAGTAGGCGCGAGGCACCGATATCCTGGTGACCTGGTCTGATTGTTTGTTGATGACGTTAATCGGAAGATAAGCCGGGCCAAACCCTGATTTCTCCCGTTAGTCTCTACCGGTTTCAACGCGTTTTCTTGTTGTTCTCTCTTCTCCATCATCCAACCATGCTTCGCCTAGCCCCCTTGTCCCTGGGACGAAGCACCGACCCTCGAGGTGACCGAGGACCGCGTATGTACCGTGACTGGCCCTTTTTCCCAGACGCTTCATGAGAGGTGTGCTACGAACGGAGGCTGCAGAGACCACGCGAGCTTGGCGAGCAAGCTGAGAGGAACTAGGGCCAGGGGTCGGCGAAATTGGTGCTTCTGATTTCTTCCCGCCTTTCCAGGGAGATGCGACCATTCATTCGTCTCTTCCCGCTCTCACTTATATTGCCTTCCTTGCAAAAGCTTATAAACCCCCAACCCGCCAGTCATCTTTTCTCGTCGCGCCCCATCTTTGCCTTTCTTACATCTACACAACATCAGATCTTTGGCGTACACACGAATTCACCATGTCCCACGACGAACATCGACGAGGCTCTACCTTGAAGGAGAGTATCGGCAAGCAGATCGACTTTCTCTTTCAGGACACCAACCACCTCATTGACGGCTCTTCACCACCCGAGCTTACCTCTGTCCCCGCCTTCAGTTCCGACCCCAAAGACCCCGACTCTTCCTTCCTCCACATGGAGGACAGCGACGATGACAATGAGGATGGCTCTGCTGCCCCTCTTGCCCACCTCCCTTCTCCGCCCCCATCCCCTCCCAAGGTCATACCGACATCGAAGGCAGAGTGCTTCGTTCTTCAGCCAGTGCCTGAGCATATGAAGTTTCGTAAGCGTAAGAGGTTGGCTTTGGGTATGGAGGTTGCTCCCAGGCCTCGGGTGTCTTCTCGTGCCTCTTCATGCTCCAAGGTGAGTGACATTCGTTGCTACATGCATGGAACCATACTGACGATAGTCAACAGTGGACTGGCCCGTCTTTTTCTGCACAATACGATGTTTTGGCCAACGCTGGTACCCCGTCTTACGAGGACATGAAGGAAGAGGCAAGTCGACCTGGCGAATACCTTCTCGAGTGGACGCTTACACTTCTTCATCGTAGATTGCTTCATGGGACATTGTTGACGCCAATGACGAGCACTTTGTGACTTTGGATATGGACGATGAAGACGTACGCCACTCACCATTCGGCCCCAATCACCATTTGCTGACGCCAGTACAGCCTTCTTCCCCTTCTTCTTACAACAGCGACTTTACCGACTCGGTTTTTCGACTGAGCCCCAGGATGACCTGGGGTCCGAGACCTGCGCTTTCTGCCACCTGTGCCCCATCTACTGCCTCCACCCTTGAGCACCCTCACTCTCCCACTTCCGTTACCGATATCATCCCCCACCGCCCCCGAGGCCTCGCCAGGCTGCGCTCGACCTTGCCTACCCACGCTCTCAAGTCATTCCAGTGTATTCTCGCGGCTAGCGATGTACTCAGCAAATTCTGCCCGGACGACATGCCCGCGGGTTCTTTCTACGGCTTTTTCGACGAGGACGAGTGGGCCTGGGCGTTCGGTGATGTGAACGAGGAGTCTTGTAAAGGAGCCGGTCGTTGGGATATCCGTTCTGGGAGCACGGAAAAGAGCAGAGTTGGGACATATTTCGCGGAGCCTTGGTTGAGAACGGAATTTGTACGTGTATGCTCTTTCTACTTGACGCGCTTTACTGACTCATCCCTGTCAGACAAACTACCCGGACCACCTCTCCCAGCTCTGTCATGATCATCACACCCAAGTCTACCAAGCCCACGTTTCCCCAGCCGACGCCCAAGCAGTCAGTCCCCAAACTGAGCGTGTGCAAACGGAGGTCATTGCTTCCCAAGCTCATGTGGACCGCATGACCCAAGAGCTAGTCGGGCTTCTTGAACGGGCAAGACACTACGAGAAGGGCGCCGAGTCTGATTATGATGAAGATGAAGAGGAGGAGTCTTGTCTTTGGGAATGGGAACGAGAGGCTCCAGTAGCTTGGGGATGTGAACGAGAGGCCCCAGCAGTGGTGTGGGCATTCGAAAAAGAGGCCCCAGTAGCGAGAGCTGAGAGTGAGTGTCTTGGGGTTGATGACCTTGACGAGCAGAAGGAGAGGAAGAGATTGATTGATGAGAAAGACCAGTAGATGTGCCGGACACATAAAATATACATGACTAGTTTACGTCCCTCGAATAGTTCTTCCTTGGCCAAGATTTCGCTCTTACATATATACACGCCCTCTCATGATCATTTCACTCTCACGCTTACTATACACGTACATCTTTCTATGAGCAGATTCTACACATGCACTATATCAAATCTCATAAAACTAGGACTCCGAGCTATTCCTTCATCAACATAGCCAGATCCCAGACAGCATAAAAGCACAACGAGATCTCCTTCATTCAACGCAAAGAAGTAAAAGTAGTAACATGAATCTGATTTTGATGACGTACTCCGGTAAGTGGTAAACCCGTAGTCCGTGTCGCGCGCTGCGGCTGTGTGTCGCTTTGCACTTGTACCACCTTTGGGCGACATAGCTGTGTGGGATCTGTGTCTAAACGGTCTGCGGAATGTTCTGTTCTACGTATAAGAAAGCGAAGATCAGGATCTAAGGCCACGCGAGAGCCACGCGCAGTGTCAGGGACACAAAAGCTTGTTTTTATACGTCCCAGTGGTAGACGCGTCGCCCTCATATCGATTGCAATTCTTCTTCTTGGCCCTGATCCTCAACTACCACACCAATTAACCATCTCCAGGACCATCCGTCACCTCCCTCACCTCTTCCATGATGCCTCGCTTGAGGGCGTCTCGCCTCACCTTCTGCCTCGCCCTCGTCGTCCTCATCACCTATCTCTACTTCTACATTTCCAACAACAACCAAGGTGAAGACCTGGAATCCATTGGTCACGATGGGATCCCTAGACGGCATTCTTCATCTCTGCTCAATAAGGGTAGGTCTCCGCACCGATCACTGGCCAACTGGTGGTCTCAGTCGATAGAGACTGAGCCAGTTCAAGTTCTTGAATTCACAGGCGATGGGCTCGTAAAGGGGTGGGATAGTACCTACGAGCGTTTACAGCAAGGCGATCTCACGAGAGCCGAGAAGAAGCAGCTTCAGCAGGCTATGGAGGTGCATCCCATTCTGGAGCTCATGGCTAGAAGTCAAGAGAAGTGGGAGACTCTGTTAGCATCGTAGGTGTCGTTCTAGTTTACGTTATCCTTGCGCTAACCCGCTATTTAGCCAATCGAAGACGTTTCCTCAAGCTGTGACAGAATACACGCGGCGGTATGGACGACAGCCCCCTCGTGGCTTTGACCAATGGTGGCAGTATTGCAAGCGCAACAAGGTCAAGATCGTCGACGATGTGAGTGCACCACGCTCCCAAACCTTAAATCCCACGCTGACCGCTTCGGGATATAGTATGACCAGATCAACCGGGACATCGAGCCATACTTTGCCCTCTCCCCGGAGATGTTTAGGAAGCGTGTAGACGATTTGACAAAGACAGAACATACATCGTGAGTCGACATGGCCAAGACACGACAGGTCTCAGCACACTGATCGGTACCTGTGCAGTCACATCACGTTATCACCCACAACTGCGTCCTCTCTCTATGGAGAGCGAGCGCACTCTTCCAGAGCCCGCTGGCTGTTCGAACTCCTCGAGCCCATCGCCCAATACCTTCCGGGCGAGGTTACTTTGTCCTTGTCGGACCATGACCTCGGGTCTTGGCTTCTGGGTGATGACCAAAAGCAGGCAGCGCTGGAGGCGATCGAGGAGGGGAGATACTTGACGGAGGAGGAGATCAAGGGGTTTGAGAAGAAAGACGGGAGAGTGTCGGTCAAGGGCACAGTGTCTGCTTGTCCTCCGGGATCTCCTGGGTGGCAGCGTGGTGTGGCTAAGCGCGAGGGGCGTGAAATTGAGCGTCCCAACAAGGGTGAGTGTCTCGTATATCTACCAATGACCCTTCGCTAATAATGGTATAGAAACCTCCTTCATTCACGATCCCCTGCTCACTTACGATTTCTGCTACAACACCGACCTTCTCGACGACCACGGTGCCCTCTCTTGGGACTTTGTCCGAGACACCACCCTCCGACCGATCTTTCAACTCTCCAAGAACGCCCGCAATCCCGAGTTCCTTACCACCCCGCTCGAAGCATACGAAAACTTCACAGACCCTATTGCCCAGAAGAAGTACTCGCCATGGGAAGAGAAGACCATCAACAAGCTTTTCTGGCGAGGCAGTTCGACCGGTGACTCCTACTCGAAACGTCCCGATGGCCACACCTGGAGACAATCCCACCGACCTCGGTTGGCGCTCATGACGCAGGAAACCGAGGGCGTGAAAGATGTCTGGGTACAGAAAGGCAAGATATGGGAGAAGGAGAGCTGGAGCGTCGCCAAGTTAAATGAGGCGTACATGGATGTTGGGCTCACGGGCCAAGCACATCAGTGTAAGAAGGAGGACGGGACGTGTGACGAGATGAATCAGGTGATCGAGTTTAAGGCTCGTGTGCTTCCTGAAGACTCTGCCAAGTACAAATGTAAGTCTACTCTGGGCATAATGGGAAATCCTTGAGCTGACATGTGCATAGTCCAATACGATATCGACGGTAACGGCTGGTCATCTCGATTCCACCGTCTCATCATGTCTGGCTCTGTCGTCGTCAAGTCCACCATCTATCCCGAGTGGTTCTCTGACTGGCTCACGCCTTGGGTCCACTATGTCGTATGTCTCCACCTCCGTGCTCCCCTCGGTTCAGCGCTGACTTGAAATGTAGCCGAGTAAAGTCGACAACTCGGATCTGTACGATATCATGGTCTTTTTCGTCGGTACTCCCGACGGCAGTTCGCCAGGACACGACGATCTCGCCAGGTCGATTGCGGAGCAGGCGAGAAAGTTTGGGGAGGAGCACTGGAGATGGGAGGACATGCAGGCGTACATGTTTAGGCTCATGCTCGAGTAAGTCTCATCTGCGTTGCCCAAAGATCCATGCTGACGTCCGGGTTCTCAGATATTCGAGATTATCAGCCGAAGACCGGGAGGACTGGAGTTATCAGAAGAGGTACGACTAGATGATAGGGATCTACAGTGGTAGACTCAATGTGGACAGTGGATGTACACGGGAGATCTCTTTCTCTATTTCTCTTCTTTTCGTATCTAAAATCAGCATCTTGGGGGTTTCTATAGCTTTTCCCTTTTGACCAAAATTATCCACGTACACACATTTATATATATATCCTCCATTCGTTTTTCGCTGTACATAGCCGTGTTTGGGATTTTGTATTGGGGCCTTTCCTGGGATGCATTGGATGCACTTGTTCTGTGATACAGGTATACGTGCCATTGAGCCTTCTTAGCGACGCAACCTCATGTAGGCCTCCGACATCTTCAACGCCCATACCAGACCTTGCTGGTGCTCGCAAACCGATTTCACGCCAGTGTATGGGTTTGAGGTCGAAGGAGCAAACATCATGGCTTCGTAGTGATTATCGAGCGTCCCATATAGCCGATAATCTTGTCAATCATCACAAGCGAGCTTCGTACAATTCACCTTTCGCAATTGCTGAGCCAGAAACATGCAGATTGTTCGAGATGCGATATTAGTGGATACATGAGACCAGAGTGACTATCTACCTGCAAGATCGTCAGCTCCCCGACTTAGCTTGAAAAGTATCCCCGAACGCGTATCGCCAGAGAAGAAAAGAGAGACATACGATGGTTATATTCCTTCCGGCTTGGCCACCTTTCTCTTCTCCTTCTTTCCCGTAACTTCATCCTCCATCTCCTGGTAGCTGACTGGTACCAAAGGGTTGCCTTCACGAGAATCAGTAAAAGCTCGGGAGAAGAGGTAAGAAGCCGCGTTATGGGAGGACGTACCAGCTTCAGACTTGGCGTAGACAACACCAAGCTCGTTGGCTGCTGTCGTAAGGTAATAACTCCTCGCATCTCCCAAACTCAGCTATCACCTCCGTGAGCTCTTCGGCCTTGGTGTTCGAATGAGCGACGAGACTTACGATCTTTGCCTTGACGATATCGCCCAGCCTGAAGCATTCTCCCACCTTGATCTTGTCCCTTTCTGTCAGCCTGATATCCGTCAGACGGATGACGCCTGTAAACTCTTCGGATGATTCGGGGAGGGCGCGGTCGGCGAGAGTCGTTAATGTGAGGTGGGCTTGTTGAGGAGTTAGACGGTGGACCTGGAGGACGATTAGCATATGTCGATCATATGAAGAGAAGAAGCTTACAGTGCCAATGACCTATGGCAATGTCAGCTATAATCCTTCGAACGACAAACAGGGTGACTCACGATAGCATCCACATCAACAATCCCAACAGCCTCTTCTCTCCCCACAACGCTCACCACCTATTTCCAAATTAGCTTCCTCGCCTTCCACGTTATCACTCGTATGAGGGGCTCACAGCTCCAACTCTCCGCGGTCTCCCAACAACACTAGCCAAGATCTGTCCATTATGCTCATAACATCCTCGGCCGGCTTTTGGTAGAGGCGGAGCAGTCAGGTTTGAGGGTAAGGGCTGGCCGGGGAGGAGGATCGCTGCTTGTGACATTTTTCTGTATTCGAATGAAGTTGAGGGCTTGATGTATAGGGTGGGAGAGGTTGAAGAAGAGATCGGGGAAGTTGGAGATGATGATGCGCTTTCTTGAAATCGCCAGCCAAAATGATCTGCCTCCACCAAGGATGTCGAGCTTGGAATTTGATCCCGTTCGTGATGGCCCGTGCGTTGGAGTGTGAGTCTTCAACTTCCATCTTTTCTGCCCGTCAAATTTTCTTCGATAAAATTAAACACGGGAGCAGGTGCAGGAACCTGTGCATTTCTATAAGGTACGTATGCAAACGCCCAATATGTTTCGAAAAAGAGAGGAAACGAAAAGCACGAAAGACAATAAGGATAGGTCACAAGGGACGAAGAAGGGTATACTTTGTTCACGATCTCGATCTGGTGTCAAGCTGGGTATAGAAAGTAGTGAAGAAACGATATAGGATAAGAGAAACAGGAAAGATATACTGGTACGCGTTTTTTGTGGTTTCAAACATGAAGAAGGGAAGAAAGCTAATGGAATGTCCGTAGGCCTATACACCTCAAAGAAATGAAATTGTCGTAATACACACGCCCATTCTTATTGACCTTCACCCCATTGGATCTCGGGATTGAACTCCCACTCCTGAGGTAGAGCCCAGCTCTCTGGCAAAGGAGCCGAAGGTGGCGGGGCAGCAGAGTAAGCCGGAGGAGGCATGGGGTACAGCTGATGCTGCGGCAGGGTGTGGCGTTTCCGGGAAGAGTAGTCGGGGTTGACGGCTGAGCCGATGTGGAAGCCCGAACTTTCAAAGTCGGGGGTGGCTACCATCTGCTGACGGGGGAAGAAAGAGGTCCAGCCTTTTCTGTCGACCTCGCTCGACGAGGAGGAAGAGGAGATGTTTCGCGCGCGCTTGAATGGGGAGATGGACTCGTCTGGTACGCCTCGCTTGAGAGGGGCGGAGGAGATGGGGACGAGGACGGAGGCGTCGGAGACGTCGGAGAAGGCGGCGCTGCTTCCGGAGAAAGAGCGGGGGGTGCTGGAGCGGAGGGCGTCGTTGGTGGAAGAGGAGATGGATTCGACGCGCGGCTTGGTGGACGCGGTGGACGCCTTGGAAGCGGCGGAAGAGGCGGGCTCGGAGGCGGTGGCCTTGGCGATCTATGAGAAGGTCAGTATGGTCCCTAATTGAAAGCATGCCCTGCTCACCTCATTGACCCAGTCCCCAATTCTCTTCGTCTCTCTCTCCGTCAAATAATCCTGGCACTTCTCCACAGCCTTCAACACCTCCTGCCTCTTCTCTTTCCCACTCGCCACCCTATCCATCAATTTCCTCATCTTCTCCCTATTACCATCCGCCCACTTGTTCAAGATATCCGTCCAGCCAGCCCGGCGGCGAAAGTTGGTGAGGTCAGAGTCGACCTTGCCACGGGCGATACCGGCGGCGACGGCGAGCTTTTCTTTTTGAGAGGCGGTTGGGTAGGGGTAGGCGAGGTTGTTGAGGAACCAGAGACGGACGACGGAGTGGTCGCCGCTTGGGGGAGGGGGCTTGGAGGTGAGGACGGGGTTGGGGTCGCATTCGAAGGAAGTGGCGGGGGGCTCGGATGTGCGGTGGCAGGAGCGTTTGGGGCGGGGCTCGTGATCTTCGTGGCGGCGCTTATTGGAGGTATCTTGTCCAGGACAGATTGTTTCAGCTCGACTCTTAGAAGAATATACACCAAAGCAAGAACTCACGACTAATAACAAGGGTCCCAATCTTCTCTACCATCTCTTCAACTTTTGGGTCCGGAGAAGCAAAGATTGCCAGGTTCCTACATAACACCTTGGTATACTGAGCTACGGCGCAGGCAAGGCTTCTCGTGGCGCTGTCAAGGAGCCCAATGCCTGCGAGCCGACTGATCTCTCCTTCGATAGCCCTCCAATCGCTCACAATCCTCTGCCGACACTTCTCGTCGCTCTGAATGAGAGATTCTGTAGATTGTCTTTGGTGTCGCATCAGGCGTTCTTGCAGGAGAAGGGCCGCAGGATCTCTGGTTTGGTGGGGCATGGTAACAGAATTGGTGTGAATGACAAGTAGAAGTATGCATTTAATAGCATCCAATGTGCCCTTCACTCTCCTCTCACGAACAATAAGCAAGTGGTGATGGTAACTGAGGGGTGCAGTGCCTGGACACATGAAACCACACACCGCATTTCTTATTGTTCGTGCACGGGCCATACTGCCACTACCCCCTTTCTAATCGGGGTTATCTATCTTGCTATTGTTCTCATTTCGTCTTCTATCAACTTCGCATTCTACCCCCATCATAACGACAGCCACCTCAACATGGACTCCAACTCGTACCTCGAGGGCGTGGCCGCCACAGCCGACCAGATTATGGCAGACTGCTCATCAGTGGTGCCTATACCGAGCAAACCTATTACAACCTCTGGTTTGCAGCCAAGATTTGCCATTCCCGATTTGGGCTCCATTAGTAACAGAGCGAACTTGTCTTGGCTTTCTCCTCACCTTCAGCAAACAGTCTATCAACGAATACGCGTTACGCTTCAATCCCTTCGCGATAACATGCTGAAGACATTCAGATCGACTGCATCTGGCCTGCTATCCCAAGAGTTGCTGGGAGGCTTGAACGACAGGGAGATAGAATCACGGCTGGCTCAAGTGTTCGAAGAAGAATATCGCAGAGAGTCCGACAAACTTCTCAATGGGGTGGCACATATGGTGTTTCGGTTGGAAGGCCAATTAGTGGGCTCTTCAACTGTCATAAGCAGAAAAGGTTCTACATTCAGCACGGTGAGTAGTATCGGTTCTTGTCTGCGTACCAGCAGATCACAGGCTCATGAATATGACAGGATGCGCTCAACACACTCGAATCTGCCTACGAGCGCTGCCCAGTCTTGTCTCCAGCCGAGACAAACCTCGTCGCGTCGGCCGCCGGTATCACTTCTCAGCAGGTACGTCTCTCTCATCTCGAATTGCATTGTTCTCATTAGCTGACATTCTTGATAGGTTCGAACATGGGTAAGTCTTGTCTACCAAAATCTCGCTATTCTGGCAAGTCGCGTTGGGGTGTACCTCTGGGGTGCACGCGTGGGGAGGACGAGGGTCTGTCCTCGACGCGTCTATGTGTGTCCCGTATCGGCGCGACTTTCCGTTCCCCAAACTTTCTCTTTGATTGACTATACTGACGGCCTCTCATAGTTCCAGAACAAACGAAATCGAGGCAAGAAGTTGGGCGGTGGCAAGCCCGCCAAGCCGTCCTCGGGTCCCCGACTCGTCGCCTCTCTACCCAAACGCGTCCCCCGACAACCATCCTGCAGCTACTCCGCCTCCTCCGAACCTCTTAATCTTATCAATGACACTCCTACTCGTCGTCCTGTCCGAGATCTTCCTCGTCGCGCGCACTCCCAACGTCGAACCTCCTTCGACCCCTCCTTCGAGATCACCCCTGAACCTTCCCTCGTCGACGGCGGCTCCAACTCCGTCTTCTCCCCCGCCACCCTCTCCCCCGGCTCTTCCTGCGACTCTATCGCGTCCAATGGCGGGTTCATCTCCCCATTCAGCATGCACATGGCGCAACAGCAAGGCCAAGATGGTGGGAGGCAAGAAACGCAGATCAATATCTGCTGGGACCAGGGTGTGCTGAATGTACCCTTCGAGGCGCTGAAGAGTAGCGAGGGTGTCCCAAACTTTGAGTTTGTTCCCCCTACGCCATCTCAGAACAACTGGGGCTCCTTCGACGCTATAACTCCCGACGCCTTATCCTTCCCGGGCAACTTTGGCATGGACGACCTCAGCCAGATGTCATACGGCGGCCAGTTCGACGACGCCTCCCTCGGACTCGACAGCATCGAGTACATCCTCAACGAAGCGCTCTCAGATCCCACTGCTTTCGGCGGATTGACGCTCTCGGGCTCGCCCCAGTTTTCCGAGTCTTCGGCGCTGACGCCAGGGTCGGAGGCGGGTGCTTCGGAAGCCTCGTCGACGACTTTTGTGTCGAATGGGGTGAGGGGTGGGGATGGGCTTGATGGAGACTTTTTCTCGGTGCTGGATGGGATGATCAGTGCGCCGAGTCCGGATGGGGAACAGGCTTGTCCTATCTTCTCTCCTCAAGACCGATCGGTTTCGTCCGCATCGTCGTCTTCTGCCCTCTCTTTCACCTCTTCGTCTACTGCACCCACTTCCGTTTCCTCGTCTTCGGCGCTCAAGCAAGAGAACCAGTACCAGCATAACCAGTATACGAAGGGTCTTGGTAAGTATGACTTTGTATCCCAACGGCAACATGTTGCTGACGCCGATACTACAGATCTCTTTGTTCCTGTCCAGCACCAGCAGCAACCACGCCAAGGGTCAGGCAACTTCGACATGGGCTCAGTAGGGAACGAGATCGGCCACGCTTGGCAGGGACAGGGAGACTTCGGGGCGCAGCCGCAGCAGGGCCAGAAGCAAGATCAGAGCAGTTGGGGCTGGACCTCCGGCCTTCTCCCATTCGACTCGACTCCTTCCCCCTCCGACGAACACACACCCAACCCACCATTCCTCAACTTCCCCAACTCTCCCAACACTCCACCCTTCTCCCAGCATACCCCGACTCCCTCGTGTTTGAACTAAGGTGAATCTCAGGCCTCGCTCTTTGCGCCAATGGGCCAGGCGGCGGCTTATGGGTTCAACCCGACTATGCCGGTGGGGCAGTCTTATGGCGCGTCTGGCCGAGGGCAGGGGCTGTCAAAGGTGGCGAGCCAGCACGACTCGGAGAGGCATGGCGGATGGTGCGGAGAACGTCCTGAACTTTGGCGGGCTTGTGTGTACGAGCGGTGATCGCATATGATCGGGGAAATATGGGGAGGTTGTATAAGAGGTGTACGAGTCGGTGCTCGGCATCTTTACTTGTATCCAGTTGTCTTGCTCATTAGGATACCTTTTTCTTTCATTTTACATCGCTTTTTGCCTATTTTTGCTTCTTTCAGTATCAATCACGAAAAGCCATTGTTTCCATGCTTCTTTGAATCCATATAAAGTACCAGATCGATATGTGTATATAATATGCTTCTGCGTTCTGCGTTAATGTGACTTGATGCTCGAGATGTACATGTGCTTTGCTATCATAGACTCGAGAGACTTCTTCATCAACGAATTCAGAAGCCCCCTCGCGCTGTCACCTCATCGTCGTTCTTTCCCTCTGCATTACGGTGTGCCCTCTTTACAATCGACTGCGTTTGGAGCATCTCTACGGCCTGATAATGCGACTGGAGAGAGTTGAAACCCTCGGCTGTCCTTCGTCGTTCTCCCTTCGCTGGCTTCTCGTCTATCCCGTCTGACATGCCTGGGCTCTATTCTTCATCATGTTTCTGGTGTGTCGCAGCTTCATTCTTCTTCTCCCCATGGTGCCGTATCAAGAGAAGAGAAAAAGAAGAACAAGATAGGAGGCTGATTTGCGTGTTTTTTTGGGGTAGGATGGTGTGTTGGCGTTCACTGGGAGGAATGGGTTGCATGATGTTGTTCGGGGTGTGGGCGGGTGAAGGGAGAGAGAGTGAAGAGGGTACACCATATCGAATCCGCGACGACGAGCGAGGCTATTTACCAGGTTACGTTACTTGTACAGCTCGGCTGATGCATCCCCATCTCCAAGCGAAGAAGGATGAGCCTGTAGCGGAGTGCAGATTCAGAAAAATGTTGAAATTGTTGGAAAATCAAGTCCGATGTTCAAGGAGATGGCGGCGGTGTTGCCGAAAGAGATAAGAGAATCGACTTGGGCCGAAAGCGCTTCGGGTGAGCGCCGTTATCCATCTTGCCTCTTGCATCTTGCCCACCTCCCTCTCTCTATCTTTCCATCTCTGCAGTACAAACATCATCATGCTCCTCCCCTCCCTCCTCCCCCTCTTCGCCCTACTCCCGTCATTCACACCAACCCCAACACTAGTAGGCGCCTACGACACGGCCATCCACCCCGAATTCCAGCAAGGCCTCGCCATCAACGACGTCCCCTCCCACCGGCGCCTCCACTGGATGCGCGTCGCCAACGAGGCAGTCTATGCGGATGGGCATCCGTGTCCGCAGGCGCCGTTTGGGAGTGCGGTGGTTAATACGACGGGGGATGAGTTGGTTTGTGTTATTTCGAATCGGGTTGGGGTTACTGGGAGTGAGTCTCTTTTTTTTATTCTTTTGCGTTATGAAGAAGGGGGAGGAGGAGAGGAGAGCTGATGAGAAGGGGATAGATCCGGCGATGCATGGGGAGATTAGCGCCATCACGCACTGTACAGACGTCTTGACGAAGAAGGGGTGGACGCCGCAAGAGATATTGGGAGCGTGGAAAGAGTTTAGTCTGTATACGAATGGAGAACCGTACGTCCTCCTTCCCCATCTCAGCTCTACATGATCTGCCAAGAAGAAGAAGGAGATGGGGAAAGAGCTGACGGTGGAAGGTAGATGCCCGATGTGCGCTTCAGCAATTCGATGGGCTGGGTTCAAAGAAGTGATTTATGGGAGTAGTATAAGGACTATCGCTGAGCGTACGTCCCCACTCCTCTTCATGGGCTGGTGCAAGAGCTTACAACGGATGGTAGACGGCAGGAACCAGATATACATCCCGTCCTCTGAGGTTTGGGAGAAGAGTTATTCTCTGGGGCATGCTACGCTCATGTACGTTTTCCATCACGTCAAAGAAGAAAGAGAGAAGAAGAAGGGCTGATATGATGGGTAGGCTGGGGAATGTATTGACGAACGAGACGGACGTATTCTTTGCGCACCAGTTCAACGAGTCTGCTCCTTGTCGTACGCCCTTTTCTTCCTACAACTGAAGCAGAGGACTGATGACGGTGTATAGCGGTAGGATGTGAGCGCCAGCCGGTCCCAGGCAAGCGGGTGCAAGCTTGTACACCGGTAAATAACTGGGAGGAAGTGATTGCGAAGGCTGGGGTGGGGCTGGCACTTGGGCAGAGTAAGGTTCAAGGGCGACATGATGAGCTGTAAATGAGCAAGGGTTGGCTAGTAGGAGTATGCATTGCTCCGATGGCCGATGATTGAATGATGACCGAATGATGATCGAATGAAAGTGACGTGGTGGGGCTTGGAGTCACTTGTTCCCGCATGCCTAGGTGCCAGAGAGAGGGAGGCGGGAAGATGCTTATCGCGGCTTATCTGCGGCCAACCAGAGCGCGGGGTGGAGAGGGTGGAGAGGTGGAGAGGGTGGAGCCGCCTTCGCCAGTCTCTCTCTGCGTGTGCGTGCATGGCCATGGGAGGTATGCAGAGTACAGCTCGCAGCACAGGGAGCAGTGCAAGAGATGCATGACGGCCCCGGCTTGAGCGGGCTGGATTATCTTAGCGATGGGTGATGAAGCGGATTGGACGGCGTTATCTCTCCGACTCCGACAGCTCCGGTACTCGGTCTCCGGCTGCCAGATAACACTTTTTCACCATTACCTCATCCTCCCCGAGTATATAGCCAGCCAGCCCCATCCATTGCCCCCCACAGCCATGTCCAACATCGAACCAGAGTCCTCCTTCGACAAGAGCAAGGGCATCACCTCCGGTGTCCAGGTCCTCCCCTCCTATGAAGACGCCGACGACCAGGTCCTCGGGCCCCTCCCCACGTCCAGGAAGAACAAGGCCAAGCAGGTCCTCAAGAGTCTTGTCACCAAAGATGGGTGGTTGGGTGATTATGTGCGTATTCAGCTTTTATGGGGCAAGGATGCTGACGGGAGTAGGACTACGCAGCGTTGATGATCCCCTACATTCCCTTTGTCACCAAAAAGCAAAACAAAGAACTGCCGTTCTACACTGTCAACGAGCGTCTACCGCACTTGCTTCTTTTCATCCTCGGACTGCAACAGTAAGTCATCATCTTGATATAAAAAAAAAGGCAGAACTGACGAGAGTAGCGCACTGGCAATGGTCGGTGGTCTCGTCACTCCCCCGCTGCTCCTCGCCGGTCCCGCTGGTGCCAACCTCGGTACTGAATCCCAACTATACTTGGTCTCCGCGTGTCTTATCTGGTGCGGCGTCGGTACCGCGATCCAGGTCAGTCGATGGAAGATCCCCAAGACGGGGTACTTTTTTGGTACAGGTCTGATCAGTGTTACCGTGAGTCTTTTCCTCTATCTTGATGACCGAGGCTGATGAAGATAGGGAACATCATTCGCTTTCGCCAACATCGCCCTCGCCTGGCTCTCCCAAGCCGTACGTCCCTCCCTACCTCCATGAACACCACTGACAGCGGTGCAGTACGCCGACGGCACATGCTCCTACGACACTGACGGCGTCACTAAACTCCCCTGCCCCGAAGAATTCGGTGCCATCCTCGGTACCGCCACCCTCACCGGCATCTTCGCCATTGCCCTCTCCTTCGTCCCTCCCCGCGCCATCCGGAAAGCATTCCCACCGCTCATCACGGGTACCATGTTGATGTTTATCGGCGCCTCCCTCATTAAGAGCGGTGTGAACAACTGGGCGGGAGGCTCGGGGGTGACTTGTGCGACTGATCATACTGTCAAGTGTACTGCCGGTACCCGGGAAGAGTACTGGGGGTCTGCGACTTTTATCGGCCTCGGTTTCTCCTGTTTCGCAGTCATCATCGTCTGTGAACTCTTCGGATCAGCATTCATGAAATCCGCCTCTGTCTTTTTCGGGTTGATCATCGGTATGATCATTGCGGCAGCTACGGGCTTTTTCGACAAGGAGACGATCACGAGTGCGCCAGCGGGCAACTTTTTGTGGGTGCAGACGTGGCATCTGAGTTTGAGAGGGCAGTTGGTTTTGCCGATGATAGCTGCCTGGGCAGTCATCGTCGCTGAGACTATCGGTAACGTTACCGCCTCGTAAGTCCTTTCTCTCTCCCCTCCTCCTCCCAGCTAACACACTCCCAGTTCCGACGTGTCTCGAATGCCAATCAGCGGCGGCGAATTTGAATCCCGTATCCAAGGCGGTGTCCTCGCCGACGCCGTCATGGCCACCGTCGCCGGCCTCGCCACCGTCCCCCCCTTAACCACCTTCTCCCAAAACTCCGGCGTCATCGCCCTCACCCGCAACGCCTCCCGCTCCTCCGGCTACATGTGCGCCTTCATCCTCTTCCTCATGGGCATCATCGGTAAATTCGGAGCCATATTCTGCGCCGCGCCGGCGAGTGTCATTGGGGGTTTTACGACCTTCTTGTTTGGGGCGGTGGCGACGAGTGGGGTGAGGGTGTTGGCTTATGCGAGGTGGACGAGGAGGGACCGGTTCATTGCGACGGTGGGGATGGGGTTGGGGATGGCGAGTCTTTGTGTGCCCGATTGGTTCTCTTACTTTTTCACCTACACTGGCGATAATGGTACGTCCCTCCTTCCCTCCTCTCCTTCTTTCTCTCTCCCCGAACCAAGCTAATACTCTCCGTAGCCGGCAAAGCCGGCCTCATCCAAGCCGTCATCCTAATAGTAGAAGAACCCTACCTCATCTCCGCCCTCGTCATGATCATCCTCAACCTCTGTATCGCCGATGAGCTGCCGGAGGAGGTGGCAAAGGAAGAAGAAGGGACGACGACGAGTAGCGAGGAGGAGAAGAGGGAGTGGAATGAGCCGAATGTGAGGAGGACGGAGAGTAGGGTTGTTAGGGAAGAGGCGGGGCCGAGTGGGAGTGGGAGTGGGAGTGGGAGTGGGTCGGGTAGTGGGTCGAGCAGTGGGTCAGGGTCGAGGAGGGAGCCGGAGGCAGAGTTTATCGAGATGCGGTAAAACTTGAACGACGAGGTAGTCCCTTTTGTTTGTGTTCTCAATTTGCTGCTTCTTGCATAGTCTCTTACTGCTGTTTGGTTGGTACAAGTAATGTTGTTTGGGTGTTGGTTGGTGTTTCAGTCTTTGGGTTGTTATAGTAGTGCTCTTTTGATGGTATTTAATGCAGGTGATTATTCATATCGTGGAACTACCGTCTGTACAGCCGAGGAAGCAAGGTTGCCAAAATTGTTTATCGGACGAAGATTGGGTCCATTGTGGTGATGCGAGACGGAGAGCTCAGAAGGATAGTCGCATGGCTTTATCTGTATGCGAGTCTCGTCGTATACCAAGACGCGGGAAGCTATAATTACATCTGGGAGAATAAGGTGGGGCTCGCAAAGATCATGCTGACGAGAATCCACTCCTTTGATCAACATGATACGTTTTTGTTTTTGTTTTTCCTTTTTGAACGGGCTGATAGGGGATATGTCCCACCTCTATTTCGGGCTCAGACTCCGTCAAGCGAGTGTTTCATGTTGAACAGCCGAACAGTCCAGATCACATGCATGAAGCCGCCACTTATCCTGAGAAATCTCAATTGCCCCTTCCCAACAATCTCCCATCCACAAGCCCCATAAATCTGAAAAGCCGTCCACATCATGTCGTCTCCCCCTCTTTCCCCAGCTAGTACCCGCAACTCCTTTTCTACAGCTCGTGAGGACAATTTCACCTCCGCCCCTCAAAGCTTTGGCGCCGAGAGCCACGCAGAAGAAGAAGGCGGTGGCGAATCAACGCCAACACGACGCCTTCAAGTCGATACTTCTCACCAGCCTTCTTCTGCTGTGGATGATGTTGCAAGCGAGGGAGGACATACCCCTCGGTCTCCTATGGACTTTCGCTCGGGCCCTACCCCTGATTGGGATTACGAGGCTGCCAAGCCCAAAAAGGCGCAGAGGATGAGTTTCGTCTATGGTACGACAGCTGGGACTTCTAGTCAATTGCCGGAAGAGTCGGCTCCTCCTGCCTCTCAAGCGGGCGACGCCCTTCCCACTGGGGACGGTAGACGCATGCCAGAGGTACAGCGCAATTGGAGTGACGAAGTTTTGGTAGGCCGAGCGCCTTCGGTATCGCGCCAGTCTTCCCTCGCTTCTGGCTTGGTGTCCGCGTCGGAGGAGGACGATTCGGGCAGCGATTATGCGGGAGAAACGCGCAGGTCTGTTTATGTCCCATATCAAAGTGCCACTAGGAGTAGTGAAGGGGGAGAGGGTCAGAGTCAGACGGGGGAGGGGAGGAGGACGAGGAGGGGTAAGATGAGAAAGTACATTAGTAGTTGTTTCACTGGCGGGGATTGAAGTGGAGAAGGTTACTGAGACGGGTGGTGGAGAGGGTTTCGTACTATGTATTGAACGACCACGGTCCATATGCTTCTTCCCTCTGGACATCTCTTTGACAAGAGACATTCCATCCGTCAACCCATGCCATGGTTACTACGTGAAATGATTTCCCCGTGTGCATAGATCATTGCGATCACTCTGATAACTGAACCAGTGAAAGGTCACATATTTACGCATTTTTCCCGTAATCATAGTATAGTCTTGCCTTTCATTTAATATCCGGATGATGTGAGACAAGTCTCATCTCATTTGCGGCCAAATGCTACTTGCAGTTCTCATCGTTATTAGATAGTCTTGGCTGGAGTCATCTGCATATGGAGTCTAGGTTCCCATATGTTGATTCCCTCAACCCTGTTCCTCCCCGAAATCTTCAAGAAAAGAAGCCGGAGACCATGTCCACCCCTACTAATGACCGTTCGGCAGCTGATGACCGCAATTCCGTTTCAGGCGAACTCTCTGAAGGAGCATCGCAGTTCACTTCCACCCATCAACAAGTAGAGCGAGCTCCACAGCCTGATACTACACCCACCGAGTCACGCAACCCTCAGCCCGAGAGCACAGTGGGGCCGACTGTAGGCACGGATACCCATACTGGTCCAAGGGTTCGCTGGGACACGGAATCCTTAGCACCTAGGGGGATGCAAAGGAAAAGTTCTGCACACGGTGTGTCTTACGGCAATCCGACAGAACGGTCGAATACTTCTCCCACAAATGAAGCTCAAGAAATTGAAGAAAGGCCGGGACAGCCAGGGCAAGTATCTAGAAATCATCACGAGGTCCTTCAAGATTGGGATTCAACAAGGAGAGACCCCTCGACAGAATACAGCAGCCTCGACTCTCTCCGATGGGCAGACCATGTTCTAGAAGCGGATCCTGGGAATCGACATATTGCCGCCTTTGGTGAGGAGCGCCTGCTGGCTGAGAGCAGTGATGAGGAGCAGTTCCCAGTAGAAGGGACAAAGAAGAAAAGGAAGATGAAAAAGTACATCCGTAGCTGTTTCACTGATGATGCCGGCGGGTCGTCGGGGTGACAGCTACATGACAACCGTTCCTCACGGAATGCATTGGAGAAGGTTGGGCATATGAATGAGAATCAGTGTTTCTACTGGTAGGCCAAGCTGCGGTGGATTAGTATATAGCTGCTGCGCGAGTTGACGATGCATGACGATCAGGTGTTAAGGCTGAGGCTTTGCCGCTTCGCGTCGTCTCAAATGGTTTGTATGTTTGCGAGATAATGAGAAGGGACCTTACTGGGGCCTTTGTTGGCTGACTAGACTGTGAACGGTCGGTTCTCACACGACATCTCGTGAGAACATGCAGAGCTGCATGCCGGGGACGACTCTATAAAGTAAACGAAAGGCGTTGAAAACGTCAGGCCACATTTCACTATCGATCACCCTACATCATGTCTGCCCCCAACCCACCGATGGAACTCTCCCACATCTCAGAAGCGGGAACTACAGGACCTTATACTACAGAGTACCAGCCCACCGAGAACACTGCCGACAGTGAACAGCCCCGGAACCATGGACATGGTGGCGGAAACCTCAATCCTGGAGGCGTCGGCGGGGGTTGCTGCTCCTGCAACGATGCCCCTGATTGCAATTGTGATCCCTCTTGCGATTGCTAGTAAAGTGTAAAAGCAGATTTGGAAGAAGAGCTTTCAAAGAGATGAAGTATTTGCATTAGCGTCCTACTAATAGCGGTTGTCAGGCGTAATTGCCTCGTCTTAGATTATTCTCCCGGTGGTGTTGCCGGCGTGTAGTAGCACATGTAGCATTGTAGATGCCATATCTGTCTTGATAATGATCCAAAACACTAATTACAGCTCATCAGGGTATACCAATCGCCCTCCATTGATCTGACACAAATCCGCGGAGTCGAGACGGCAAATATGAACAGCGAGTGGAAGGACCACAGGAAGATGTCGATCTATCTCTCATCTTTTGCAAAATCACCACATGCTCACTTTCACATGCTCACACGCTCCTTCGTGCTCTGCCTACGAGATTGTGAGAAAGACACAAAAGTCGCTGTCTGTAGATTGTGAGAACACCATTGAGTGGGCTGCATATAAGAGAGGAAGATGTGGAAAGCATAGATGTAGGTTACCCAGAATCATTTCCCAACATCATGTCTGCCCCTAACGCACCTAACGCACCCACTGAGCAGCTCTCTCAGGCAACACTGGTAGATACGCAAGGACCTCATATGTCGCAGTACCAGCCGACCGAGAGCCCTGCCTATAAGAGCCAGCAGGATCAGAGTCAAGTCGGCGACGGAGGAGAGAGTCGTGCAGGAACCCAGCCCGGCCAGGACAACAACGGTGGCTGCAGCGTTGACGAGAAAGAGGGTTGTGGCTGTGTGATCGAGTGCCAGTGCATTCGACCATAATGGTATTGGGCGGAGTGAGAAAAAGAAAAGGGTGTTTATGATGTGTTGGATGATACTTTCAGGGTGGTTATGTCAATGACGCTTCGAATAGCATTAGTTCCATGCACCTCTTTCCTCCCAATTTAGAACTAGGAATGATCATCTCTCTTCGAGAAAGGGGTACTCGATCACTCTGTCACTGCATCATCTTCATGTCCCGACGTCGGCAGCGGTCAACAAAGGCTGAGTTGCCCCAAACTCTACCTCACTTATTTCTAAGTCTAAATTTCAACAAGATGCACAAAACGAAAATGTACCTGTTGTATTGTTGTACCGTCATCTCCTGCGAGCCCTTTGTACGCTGGCAAGAGGCTAAAGATAGATCTAAATGCCTTTGTCAACTATCGGCTGCGATAGTCATCTAAATTTCTGGATCAGGGCTCGAAATAACACCGAAAGATTGAGTCGTGTTGAGGTGACTCTACATAAGATATGGAATTCTGGAAAGCAAAAGCTCACTATCCGCTCCTCAAAACACCACAACTACCCATCATCATGTCTTCTGCCCCCGAGACTAACCCACCTATGGAGCTCTCCCAAGTCTCGGACACAGAGACAGGGTACCAGCCTGAAGAGACCCCAACCGTTCCCGAACAGACTCGGGACCAAGGAGAGGAGTCAGTTGGTTGCTGTCCTGCCGGGTCCGGCGGCTGCGGCCCAGTACCTTGTTGTGACTCTGGCGATTGCGATTGCGGTGGATGTGACTGTGGTGGCTGTTGATCTATGAGAGATGCAGGAGAAGCAGCTACTCTACGAATCAAATCATAGCCCAGCCTGATGCAAACGATGACTTTGCTGTCTCCCAACGATGCCATGAGAAATGCTCCCGTCGCGACGGGTCTCCGTCCGTAGCCTGTAGCTCATCCACTTTTCTTTGTCTCAATCAAGTCTCAATCCCACCAACAATCCTTGCAAGTGCATCATACACCACTCCCATTCCAAGCTCATACCATAGGCAGCCACCACCCATGTTCGACGACGAGCCCCGCCCCTACCGATATCGCTGCACTCACAGATGAGTGGTGGATACAGCACGAGCTTCCCAAGAACCCCGTCTTTCCATCCCCCACCACTAGGTCCGAGTGGTAAAGGATAAGGCACATGCTACGGGACATCTTCCTGCATTCTTGTATACGTGAGTGCCTTCGCGAGCGACATATCAAAGCATGCTGCACGGGCGTCACGTGCTGATGAGGTTGCAGTATCAGCGACTACCGACGAAACATCTGGGTACCCCCTCTACGCTGCAAGAAAGAACAAGAAGAATCCAACCATCGTCTTTGACTGGGAAGAATTCCAGAAAGGCCCGTTTGTACAAGCGATTTTGGGCCCTTGCTGGCGCTGGCCGCCAAGAAGGCATGCGACGAGTGTGGTATTAACGGTGAACTCGTGGAGCGCTATCCCGAGTATGATAAGCCGCTCGATGCCTTTGTAAGAATTTGAATAGTATGCGAAAGATGGAGAGGTTGAGGCGGCAGCTTTGGTAAAGAATGGCACGTAGATGGGGTGATGTGTGGGATGTAAGGCGTATTGTCCCGATGTGATTGTAAATGTCTGATTGTGGTGGTGGAGGATTTGCTTGCTTGTGAGCCTTAGCCCAAGAGCGACCGAGATAGGAAGAAAGGCAAACCTGATGTGACATGAGTATAGCCGATGCATAAAGTGTGTCTCTCAAGAGATACCAACCTCCCCGACTCCCAGCTTCTCCAACCTCGAAATGTCCATAGAGCATCCAGCCTTTTAACTTATACTGTACTAAAAATACGTCCCCCCACATCCCACCACTACCCCTAGACCTGATCATCTCCTTCGACTACTCGTTTGTTGTTGCTCGAAAATGTAAACGTATCACTCAACGCTTCGGCGTATCCAAAACCACCTTCTTCCTCTTGACCTTTCCCGTCCCCAACCCCGTCTCCCCACCATTCTCTTTCCCCTTCACCCCAGCCCCAGCCCCAGCCCCAGCCCCAGCCCCAGCCCCAGCCACACTCCCCTCCTTCCCGCCCACCTCCACCCCCCAATGATCAGGCGTCTCCACCCCAATAATCCCCCTCATCATCCCCGGCGTCGCCGGCGCCAAATGCGTAGGAACCAGCCCCAAACTCGCCGCCCCATCATCATCCCCCTGTTTACTAGGCGACGACAGGAGCCAATTCTTCGTATGCGAAAACGGCGCGCGGAGGTGCGGGGTTGTAGTGGATATGGCGGATCGGATGGGGGTGGCTGTGAGCGTTGTGAAGCCGCGGTTGGAGTTTGAGAAGGATGTCGATAAGGGGCGGAGGGCGGGGCGGGAGATTGCCTCTGCTTGGCCTTGGGTTTTGGAGGGAGGGGCGAATGGGGATGAAGGCGGGGCTTTCCTCTTACGCGTCGAAGCCGAAAGAGGCGACGGACTCGGCATATTCTTACGACTCGCGCGAGAAGACGTCACAGCCCTGGTCCTGGACGAACCCGTAGCAGAAGACGTAGGTCTATCGGGCGTCTCGCCAAAACCGAACGGATCATCATCCATACCCGGCGTCTGCTCGAAACTGAGACTCCGGGTGACTTCTGGTCGGGGGTCGCGGAAAGGCTGGAGAGACGACTTGCTTCTTGCAGGCCTGGGCTTGGTAGCAGGCCCGATGGAAGGCGCATCGAGCAGCTTCCAAGCGGGCGGAGCGGGGCGGGTGGCAGGGTCTGCTGTAGGGGGATCTTCGTCTTCGGGAGCGCGGATGGGGGTGCTGAGGTTGAGAAGACTCTCGGCAGCCACTTCGGCTTCGATATCCATACTGTCTTTGCTTGCGCCTCTAGAGCTTTCGTCTTGGTCGGATACGATCTCGGGAGCTGGCTCGAGGACTTGTGGCTGAGGTGCTTGCTGGGGAGGAGCGCGAGTCTCAGGATGTGCTGACGCGAACGCCACAGCCTCAACCGACTGGCCCGAGACTCCCTCGCCCGCCGCCCTCTGATACACCGGCATACTCATCTGCCCCTGCCCCACCATCACACCCTGCACACCCCTGGTGGGCGGCCCATACCCACCAGGATGCCTATCCGCCATAGGCACATCCGCAAACCCAAACGGCCTCGTCGCATGCTGCCTCCGCAAATGATCCAGCTGATGCTGATAAATCTCATGGTGCGTCGATTGCGGAGGCTGCGGGAATCGCTGAGGACTCTTGGGCGAGACGGTGAGGGCCGACATGAGCCGGTCGGGAGGTGTAGATGCGCGGAGGGGCATGGTAGGGGCAGATTCGGATTTGAGCCGTTTTTCGTTGGCGCGGAGGATGCTGACGGCGGTGAGGATCTCTTCGGGGATGACAATGCTGCCGTTGATGCCGTCGATAAAGGGCGAGTCGCCGGCTTCGAGAGCGCCGGACGGACCGCGGAAGCGGGGGGCGATGAGGATGATACCGTGCGTGGCGGAAAGGCCGCGGGGACCGAATTGTTCGAGAAACTCGGCGTGCGTTTTTTCAATCTTGCTCTGTTGGCTATCGCGACGTCAGCCAGCACCTCCAGATGTATGGATTCACGTACCGATGCTTGACAGCCCAGTCACGCTTGCTCTTCAGCGTGATCTCCCTAAGCTCCGGCGTATTCTTCTCTTTCGGCTCGGCTAGACCAACGTCAGCCCTGTCCAAACTCAAACGCTTTGACATACCATAATCCCATCGACTCCTCCTCGCCTGCAGACTCAACGGCACCCCATGTTTATCCTGCAAATGCCTCCTCGCCACACTCCTCGCATTCTTCCCATCATACGTCTTTGAACACACCCTACACGTATACATCTCCCACTTGCTCGTCTGCCCGTCAAACGACTGACTGGCGCTAGCCTGAGGCGGCCGGAGGATGAGCAGCTGGTTCACTTCGAGCTTGCACCCCGCCGGGGCAGGGAGGAGCCCGGATTTGCGAGCGCCTTTGAGCTGGATAGGCGGCTGGGTGGGGTTAGGAAAGAATGTGAGGGCCGTACTGCCTTCTTCACCTTCCTTCATCGACGCGACGGACTGGGACCTGCCCCGCGCATGTTGAGGCACAACTTCCATAGCCGTCGCTGGCGGTGTATCATACAGCGCGGGGTCGAGCGCTTCGATACCTGCTAAATCGTCTTCCGGTTCACCTTTCCGGGGAAAGGCGTCGACGGTGTTTAGAGTGGGAAAGTCGTGCGACGGGTGAGGGAGCGGGAGAGGGATAGGGGCGCCGGGGGTGCAGGAGGGGTCGGGTGGGGGGTGCATCTTGCGAGTGGCTGGGGCGGGGTGCCATTGGGCAGTCGGGTGCTGGGACGGGGGGTGGTAGATGGGGTGGGGGGGTGGGGGGAATGGGTGAGGCTGGGGATGGACCCTGGGGGCTTGGTTCTCCCACGCTGGGGCGGACATTGTACTGGGCGGTGTCAGAGATGGCTGCGACGGGCAAGAGGACTCACAAAGAGTGACTGGGTATGGGGGATGCTGGGTGATATAGAGAAAGAATAGAAAGAGAGAGTTGTTTGCGAGCATGTTTGCGAGAGAGGGGTCCTTTCGGGACACGCTCGGGCCATCCACACAGCCGAGGGCGGTGCGGCGAGTGTGGCACCTGGTTCAGTCTATGCATGCCCAGCCGAGGAAGGGAGAGCCGTCTGGGCCCTGTGCCGATCCTCACTCAACGAGGGGGAGGCTCAACACCAAACACGGAGACGCACGCACGGCCATCTCTCCGTCGCGTAAACAGCGCGTCACGCTGTGGTACTATACAATTCATCATGGATACACCGTATAACCCTGGAGAGATGACACTTATGGTAATCAGACCCTACGCCCCTAGCGTCTCTTCGAAGAAATCTATGCTCGCCAGCCCGTCCCGCGTAGCGCCCATCGTCGAGACCTCTTTCACCGCCTTTTTCGCCGACTGCAGTAATTGTACAGGCCCGCATACTACCCCCTGTCAGCTCATGCCTTACATGAGAAGAAGGGACTTGCCAGAAACGTTCATAGCCCCCTCGCACGCCCTCGCATCCTCCTCTACGATACTCCCCAAATCCGCTCGGCCCCTATGCCACTTGACCAGACTCGCAGCCTCCCCCGTCAGACCAAACCTGCCCACCCTGCCCATCTCCCTAGTCCCGCCCATCATCGGAGGCAGCGGCTTCGGCAGTAAGATCGTCTCATCCCGACTCTCCCCTCCACCCATCGTCCCCGGCGTCCCCGGTTCAGCCCCAAAAGGCGTCAACGGTATCCGCGCCTCATCAAACCTCTCTCTCAAATAATCCGGCGCCATAGCCGCCAGCCTCTCGCTTATCCCATTCGGCGGGAGAGGTTCGTCCGACGCATGACTCTTGGTGACATACACATCCACCCTCAAGTCTATCTCGCTTTGGCCGGAGAGGGAGGCAGCGAGGTTGAGGAGGGGAGCGAGCCATTCGATATCTTCTGGATGGCGGATATGCCACACCAGGTGAAGATGTTTGACGGCGGAAGCCCCTTCCTTGGCGTTCTGTAAGATCTGCAACATATGCCCCGACCCAAAAGTCACCCCAGTCCCACCAGCCAACAACACCACCACCTCATACCCATCCAACGAATGCGCATACCCATAAGGCCCTTCCACATACATCCTCACACCCCTCTCCACATCACCCCCCAGTGCCAGCCTCAGTCTTTTGGTGAAGCCGGAATGGATGCGGATGAGAAAGATGGCGTCGTTGGAGGACGGGGTGGGGACGTTGGCTATGGAGAAGGGGTGGGATTCGTGGGGGGAGAGGGAAATGCTTGGGGCGGATATGAAGCTGCCCGTAAGTCAGTTTTTGGTTCGAGAGGGGTGAGAAAAAAGGGGCTCACGCGTGTTGGCCGGCTTTCCAGCTCCAGTTTTGGCGGTTGATGGTTATCCGCATAACGTCGTGATCCAGCAACTCTACTTTACACCTTCCTCTTCCCCCTCTCCCTCCTCCTCCTCCTCCTCCTCCTCCTTCCTCTTCCTCTTCCTCTTCTTCTTCCCCGTCTCCTCCTTCCCCTTCTCCAATCCCTTCACCTGCCCTTCTTTCCCCGCTCTTCCTCGAGCCAAAAGCGAAGAGAAGGAAGCCATTGATATAAACAAACCTCCCAAACCGGATCGCCCTATCCACCCCCCAAATAAGGAGGGCGGGCCAGACCCAATAATGGAGCCATTTCCAGTGGAAGAGCGCGCCTACTAGATACATTCTGTTCTTCTTGTCAGCTTCTTTCTTCACGTCACATCACGTTTCCTCGCAATAAGGGAGAGGAGAGGGGGGGGGACGTACATGGAAAAGAGGATATGAGCCACCAAGAAGAATTCGTACGCCACGCGACGGATGATCCGGAAACTCGTTATCCAGAGCATCGTAAAGCCCGTTAACGCTGCTATACCCTATACCCTCTGTCAGCTTCCCATCCCTCTCCCTTCCCCTTTCCTCTCTTCTCATCGCCCGGGAAAGCAGACTCACAAACAGCAAATAAGGTCTCGTATCCCCCGCCGCCCAAACTCTCGGCGTCCACAACAACGCATGCACCCAGCTCGTCAACAAACAAAGCCTGGAAGAAGCGCGGTGGAGGTAGTTTAGTTTTTGGTAGGTGATACCGGTGAGCGAGGAGATGGGGTTGTTTTTGGATACGAGGAGGAGGATTAGGGGGAGTTGGGAGAATGACTGAAAGGGAGGGGGTTAGCTGTTGCGGGGAAGGGGTAGGGGAGGACAGACCATGACGCCGAATTGGTTTGCGACGTTATCGTTCCTCATCGGGAACCACGCTACATCCCCATCAGCCGTTCTCCTTCTTCTCTCCTTCTCCCTCCTTCTCCATCTGCTATCTCAAGATAGAGAGGTACTCCATCTGCTATCTCAAGATAGAGGGGCACTCCATCTGCTATCTCAAGATAGAGGGGCACTCCATCTGCTATCTCAAGATAGAGGGGTACTCACAAGAAGTCTTACTAAGCCCAAAGAACAGATACACCCCCATATACAGCAATGTCCAAACGGCGTCCGCTACTGTTTCTGGCATATACAGCCATGCGGGGAAAGAGGAGAGGTACATCACGTTCCTCCATCCCGCTCCTACTGCTCTTATCTGCCTTGTCACCCACCCCGCCCTCTTCCTCATCCCAGTCCCAGAAGCAGGGGAAGACGAAGGATCAGAAGTATGCCGATCATCTTCATCCCCCGCCACAGCCTTATACCCCCTCACTTCCCTTCTCAGACGTGTGCGTTGCCGCCGATGATGGTGCCGCAACAGACGGAGGAGATGGAGCATGACGAGGATGGAGATGGCGCTCAGGATCCATAGCCAGGAGTAGCGGGAGGCGTAGTAGTGGTATCGGGGGGTGAAGAGGATGTGTCCTGTGGGGGTGGGGGTGGTGGCGTGTTGGGTGGTGTTGGAGGGGAGGGGCGAGGTGGAGTTGAGGGGTGATGTGGAGTTGAGGAGGGTGGGCATGTCGAATGGTATCTGCCAAAGAGCCATGATGAGCCGTCGATCCTTCGATCCTTTCGGCTACTATGATCGTGTCGATATTCTCCAGCTCCAGCAAAACAAAAGACTCCCACGAGCCCCCCATCTGTCTGGGCAAAGAACCAAAAGATAAAGAGACAAAAAAACAAAACAAAAGTAATACAATACGCCTAGATCGAGAAGAGATACTCACCGGCTCAGCACATGGCGCCTTCTTCTGACCTTTTTAGCCTTCCCTCTTGTTTTTCCTTATCGTATTCCTAAACCGCTGACTGCGGACTACTAATCGTCTAATCCTCGAAGAAGCGCTTTGATTTGTTGGATATGTATAGATTTTCGGCCGGAAGGATAGGAGGGCTCGAGCGGGCGGTGTGGAGCTTTATCTGATAAAAAAAGAGGAAAGCTTAAGCGGCGGTCATAGCGGGAGCAAATGGGGGATCAGGGAAGGACATGTGGCGTTGAGCGCGGAGTGCGGCGCTTATTTTTTTTTCAAGCAACAGGCGCTTTGGTTCCTTGTGCATTCGAGTAGATTACAAAGTAAAGCTCGGTCTTGACGCTGGGAAAGTATACTGATGAACTGGCTTGACAGATAGTCCGAGGTGAAAGCAAAAGAAGATTAGAAGAAAGAGCGTAATCCAAAAAAAATCTAGCCCGGCATCTCGGCATCTACATCTACACTTGTGCGTCCTTTCCGTCATAATCTTCCTCCTCTCGTCATTATGAGCAGTAGAGTTGCTGACCTTTTACATGATAGCCAATCCTAGCCATATACCCCCATATACTTCCATCTTCAAACAAAACGAAGAATCAAAACAACAACATCAACGCAAGATCCCATCCCCAATGTCATCAAAGACCGGAACAGATTTCTGGTCCCCAACCTACTGGTCAACCCGCTTCACAACAGAAACCAACTTTGAATGGCTCGTACCGGCTTGTACGCTTGTACCGATTGTGAAGGATGTTGTGCGTGAGCTTCCTGCACCGCCGAGGATCTGGAACTACTTTGAGAATGGGGTTGAGGATGGAGAAGAGGGGTTTTGTGGCGTGGGTGGAGAAGGAGGAGAAGGAGGAGAAGAAGTGGGAGGAGAAGAAGAGGAAGGAGAAGGAGAGGGAGAGGAAGAGGAAGAAGTGGTGAATATCCTTCATCTAGGAAGCGGCACTTCCATCCTCGGTACCCAACTCCAAACTTACCTCTCTTCCCCTTCCCCTTATTCCTCTCCCCCTTCCCCTCCTCCTTCTCCCCCTTCCCCTTTCCCCTCCCCCTCGCCGCCTCCCCCAAAAACACAAGCCTCAAGTATCCCAAAATGCCAAGTCTACGACGCAGACTACGTCCCGCTCCCCTCCTCTACCGCTCAAGAAGAAGGGAGGGTCCCGTTTCTGTTGGTTGATGCGCTTGATTTGGGGTCTTTGTATGCGAGTCTACCTCTTTCCAAAGGACGAGGGGTGGTAGGAGGAGGAGGATGGGCAGGGGGAGAGAAAGGAGAAGGTGGAGGAAGAAGCGGGAAGGGAGGGGGAAGGGGAAGGGGAAGGGGAAAGAGAAAGTGGGATATGGTATTAGACAAGTCGACTATTGACGCTATCTCTACCGGACCTCTCTTACCCCCTCCCCCGTCCCCCTCTTCCTCCCCATCGTCTCAAAAAGCACCATCGGCTGAATTAGGGGAAGGAGAAGAAGAGTTACCAGCAGACCCTGCGGAGAGGACGCTGTTGAATGTTGGTCGGGTGGTTAGGAAGGGTGGGAGGTGGGTGAGCGTATCGTATTCTTCGACGAGGTATGATTTTCTTCCCTTCTGTCCTTCCCCTTCCCCCTCTTCTCCTGCCACAAGCTCTGCCCCAACCTCTCTTCCCAAATCAAATGACAAAGAAAAGTACGGCTGGAGAGTGATCAGGAAAGAGATTGTGGCTATGACTTCCCTCCCCGAAGGCCGGTTGGTGAGGGATGGGCGTGGGGAGAGGGTGGTCTATGAGCCGGAGACGGGGATATGGTTGTATGTTCTTGAGAGGGTATGATCTTGTAGTAGTGCTTGGCATGCAATAGTGTTCTCACATGGCTTTGGGGATGACAAGTTGTGTGGTCGTTGAGCCACTGGTGGATGAAGCAAAAGCGCAGAGAAGAGACGGCTGTCTCTTTGGAAAGATATCTCTAGCTGCATATCCCTCAAACGGTTCATTTTCGCCATCTGGATGCAACACCGCAGAAACCCGGTACCTGAGAGAGTGGAGGCGAGGGTGGAGGGAGGCACACGCGTTCGATATTTCGGGCTGGGCCAAAGGGCGCAGAAGGGGTTTGGGTGAATGTGTTGTGTAATTGTTTGGTGGATGCATGTGAATTTTCTTGGAGGTTTTGGATTGATCTATACATGCCCAGAGAAGGGCTCCTACATCCACTGAGCAAGAATGCAGTTTGATGCATGACTGAGAGAGTAGCAAGGAATGAAATGTATTCAGCACGCAGCCCAATATAGCGAAAGTGGGCCATGATGTGGGCTGTTGTGGCCGGATACTGGCGACATCTTTGTGGACGGAAGAAGAAGAGGCAGGCAGCGAAAGAGGCCGGCACGAGAAGGGAGGGATAACGCGCCGGCACCCCCCACCGCCCCATCCATTCCCATCCCATCCCCATCCATTGTCTTTCCCAGCCTCTTTTCTGGACCCCTACACCCCACCACCACATCCACCCAAGCCCATCAACACCCCCAACACCCACCCACCGCTCCCGCGAAAACGCCCCCGCCCCGCCCCACCCTCGCCCAATGGCCGACCGCCGTGCTTCCAGGGGCTACTACGACCCTGTCCGGGGCGGCAGCAAGAGCCTCAGCCCCAGGGCGTCGCTCAACACGCTTCCTATCCCTGCGCCCGAGGTATGTAACAGTGGTAGTGGAGTATGCGCATGAGCTAATGGGAGTGTGTGATAATCGTAGCCGTCGCCGCCGTCACGTTCGTCGAGAATCTCCATGTCGGCACTGATGAACGACGACCCAGCCCCCGTCCAGGGCGTGTCCCCTCTGCCCTCTGCGCCTGCGCCGGCACCAGCACCCTCTAATTCGGGCTCATCGGGGCGCAATGGGTACCCAGCGTATCACCCTGCTCCCACTCCAGACGACAGGTATGTCGAAAGGTCATACTCCCAAGGCCACTCTCAGCCTCTTTCTCCGCCGCCGGGGCAAGGGTACAGGTACACCTCGCCTGGCTTGGGGCGACGATCGCCTTTGCTCGCTGGTGGTACCGGGCATGTTCGACCGACGTCGATACCGACCGACGACAGCTCTTACCCTCCTTCCACCCACCCCCCTCCCGCCCTCTCATCATCCTCAACATCCAGAGCCCGCTCCCGCTCCCAATCCCAATCCCAATCCCAATCCACCCACCCCCATCCCGACCTGCACGACCCCGACCCAGAGCGCCGACACTCTTCTATCGCTGTCGCGCGGATGCAAGAGGAGTCTTTAGCGTTTGAGCGGGCAAAGAGGGTGGTGGAGGAGGAGGAGGAGGAGATGTATAGGCGGAAGAGGGAGAGGGAGTATGCTGAGAGGGAGCATGTGCCGCATTTGCCTCAACATCGAGAGGTGTATGACCGTGCGTACCCCGAGCCCGGGGCGGAGCCAAGGACGAGTGAGCTTGATGCTAGGCGGACTAGCGAGCCGTATGTTCGACCATCGTCTGAAGTGAGGGAGAGGTATGAGAGGGAAAGAGATGTACTTCCTCTTTCTACCGCTCCTTCAGCTGCTTCCCCTCCAAGGACTACCTCCCACTCTTACTCCACCCACCCTCACCCCCACACCTCTTACCCTCCCCCGCCCCCACACTCCCACTCCCTCGCCCAGCACCCCGACCGCCCCCGCCCAGCCTACGCCAAAGCCCTCCGCCCAAACGACCTCCTCATGGGGAACGAAGATATCTGGGAAAACACCCTTATCCACTACCAAACCCGACGCGAAATTCAAGTCCACGCTCTAGCAGACTGGGCTGATACTTACCAAGCCCAGCCTTCGGGGTTGGGGTTGGATGAGCATGCTTTGCCGCAGTGGCAGGGCCAAGTGCAGAATGTCCGCAAAGGGGCTGAGGGCACGCCGAAGAAGAGAAAGTACGGTAAAGGCAAGCAAGGTGCGGGGAAGGGTGGTTTGGATGAAGAGTTGCTAGGCCTCGCCTCGAGTCCTCCAGGCTCACCCTCCCAAACAAGCGACAAACCCCTCAACGGCCACATTGACCCTGCCCACCCTCCATCCCCTTCCACCCTCGTCTGGCCCTCCGGCCTCACCCGTGCCGAAGTCATCGCAAAATGTATGGCAAATGATGTCTCTGGCTTGTCGGAGGACGATGTGAAGGCGGTGCAGGATGAGATTTGGATGAAGGAGAAGATTGCGAAAGCTGAATCTGGTGCTGGGGAAGCGTTGCCTACGAACAAGGATGGTACGATCCGGAAGAAACCTGGGCCGGCGAAAGGGTGGAAGAAGATTAGGGGGATAGAGAAGAAGCCTGATCCGCCCAAGGCCCGGTCGAGGACAGAGGGGAGTGTGGCGGGGAGTTTGGTGGATGATGGGGAGGAGGGAGGGTTGGAGAAGGGGAAGAAGGTCAAGAGAAGAAAACTTGATGAGAGGACTGAGTCGCCTCATTTCGGGTATGGTGAAGATGGCGAGCACCCGCCCTCCGAATCGATGCACGATGAGCAGGAAGATCTCAGCAGGGCCGGGAGTGTGGGCGCTAGCAGTGCCATGAACGGTTCTGAAGCTGCTCCTGCATCTGTACCAGCAAAAAAGAAGGCGGCCAAGACGAAAGAACCTGGCGTCGGCAAAGGTCGCTGGACGCGCCCCTCCAAGCCGGAGAAGGAACTCGTCAAAAAGGCGGAAGCATTGGCAGGCAAGAGCAAGACGCCGCTTATGGTGCAGGATGAGGCGTTACCGCCGTTCAGTCTGCCGTTTGAGAATGAAGATGTGGAGGATGTGTTCCAGTATGCCGGGCAGGGGGTGTTCCAGCAGAACCCCCATGGTCAGGGACAGGTGGCGGCGCCGAATACGTTTGACCCGAGGGGTGTGACGGAGGAAGAGGCGAGGATTCGGTATGAGTTGGTGGAGGATTTGCAGAGAATGACGTGGGCTGCTATCGTCCGGGATGTGCCCCGTGTAAGTCTTTTTCTTTTCTTTTCAAGTGTGGATGGGGCTGATGGGGAGGCAGGTTTATCGAGTGTATCAAGGATACGACCAGACGATGAAGCAGATTGCTCAGCGCCGAGCTCAGGCGTGTGTGAGGAATGGCTTTGGGCAGAAGAATCAAAAGACTGCTCAGCGGGTTGGCGGGAAAGCGAGTAAGGAGGGAGCTGCCAAGGCCAAACGTGTCGTCAAAGAGGTACGTCCCCAACTCTCTATATCAATACAAAGCTGACAATCACATAGCTCGCGGCGTTCTGGCGGAAGAACGAAAAAGACGAGATCCTCTCGAAAAAGAAGGCCGACAAGGAAGCGCTCGATCGCGCCAAAGCGGAGGAAGAAGCCCGAGAATCCAAGCGTGCTTCGCGAAAACTCAATTTCTTGCTCACGCAGACAGAGCTGTATTCGCATTTCATTGGGAAAAAGATCAAGACGCAAGAGGCGGAGGCGGCGGAGGGGATGGAGGTGCCTGCGGAGGATGGGAAGCATGGGTTTGAGGATATTGCTATTGGGAGTGATGGGGAGGCATTGCCGGATATTGATTATGACAATGGTGAGTTTGGGTCGGGTTGGAGTTGGGTGGGGTGCTGACTGGAGGCAGATGATGAGGAGAATCTTCGACGACATGCGGCTCGAGGTGCTCAGGCTGCTATTCAGGCAGCCAAGGACAGGGCCAGTGCGTTTGATACCGACCAAGCTAAAGGCGGCGCCCCTCCTCCCGAGGACGATACCAGTAAGTGTTCATGCTGAATCTGTGAAACGATACTAAGAGAATTATAGTGGATGGCGAAGAGCTCAACTTTCAAAACCCCTCGCTGGGCGAGAATAGCGTTACCATCACGCAACCAAAGATGCTCATGGCTCAGCTCAAAGAGTATCAGCTCAAGGGTCTGACGTGGCTGGGTAATCTCTATGAGCAGGGTATCAACGGTATCTTGGCCGATGAGATGGGTCTGGGAAAAGTGAGTTTTGAATCCATCGCTTAGCAAGGCGCTGACAACTTGCAGACCATCCAATCCATCTCCCTCCTCGCGTACCTTGCCGAACACCACAATATCTGGGGCCCATTCTTGGTCATCGCCCCTGCGTCGACCCTGCACAACTGGCAACAAGAGCTCGCCCGTTTCGTTCCCCGCCTCAAGGCCATCCCGTACTGGGGCTCGCCAAAGGACCGAGAGACGTTGCGAAAACTTTGGAGTAAGAAGAATCAGACTTTCAGCGAAGACTCGCCGTTCCACATCTTGGTCACTTCTTATCAACTTGTACGTCCTGCCATTTGGCGCTTGAGAGATGGCTGATGAGACTGTAGGCCGTGCAAGATGAAAAGTATCTCCAAGGGCAGAAATGGCAGTATATGATTCTGGACGAAGCGCAAGCCATCAAATCGTCCTCTTCGGCCAGGTGGAAGTCGCTTCTGAGCTTGCGCTGCCGAAACAGGCTCTTGCTTACCGGTACACCCATCCAAAACTCCATGCATGGTAAGCCTTCCCACTTCTGTGTTAGGCGGAAGCTGATGGGTCGTAGAACTCTGGGCTCTGCTGCATTTCATCATGCCTCAGCTCTTCGACTCGCACGAAGAGTTCACAGAGTGGTTCTCAAAAGACATTGAGAGCTCGTCTGGAGGTGTTACGGGGACACTCAAACCGGAGCAGCTCAAGAGATTGCATATGATTCTGAAGCCGTTCATGTTGCGAAGAGTCAAGAAGCACGTGCAGAAGGAGCTTGGAGACAAGGTGAGTCATTTCGCCACATATGGGGTCTTGACTGACGGTGCGCAGATCGAAATTGATCTACTGGTCGATCTGAGTCAACGTCAACGAGAAATCTACAGAGCTATACGACAAAGAGTCTCCATTACCGATCTTCTCGCTACCGCTGACAACGGCTCCGACCCTGCTGCCGCTGGCTCGAAGAACATGCGCTCCTTGGTCAACTTGGTCATGCAGTTCCGAAAAGTTTGCAACCATCCCGACCTTTTTGAGCGCGCCGACGTCGTTTCACCTTACGTCTTTGGCACGTTTTCGCGATCCGGAAATCTAGCCCGAGAAATCGACCAGCTCTACCTTCCCGATTCTGGCAGAAATGCCATTGAAGCCCGGATACCCAAAATCTTCTGGACGGACGGCGGCAAGCTCGATGTCCCCGGGGAAGAGAATCTGGCAGGGAGTGACACTCGGGTGTTGCACAACCTCATGAACATCTGGACGCCCGAGTGGATCAGCGAGCGCGTCAAGGTTTCCAATAGCGAGTTTGGATGGGTCAAGCTTCTAGGAGAGAGCCCGTGGGATGTGTCGAGGAGAGCGAAATCGCCTCTTCTGGCCCAGCTTGTTGAAGGTGCGGCTGAGGAGAAGAGATGGCTTGATGAGAGCAGGTTCGTTGACGATGTCGACTTTGCTGCCTCTGCAAAGAAGGGCCTCAAGGTGCGACCGATGTTGCCGAGCATAGATCTGCCTGGTAGTCCCTCGTTACACGAAATTGCTCTAACAGCTTGGGATGCGTCCTATCTCTCTCGAGGCGACGCTAAAGTGGGAGACCGAGTCATCACGACCCCCATCATCCCGGATGTCTCCAACCGCTCTTTTGTCAACACGCAAGAACGGCTTCTCAACCAACCCCTCGTAAACACTGCGCTGTATGGACTCGCGCCGTCAGAATTGCACAACCCTGCTGCTGCTCAACGGTTCTCAAGACTTTTGCCTGGTGGTCCCATCGCAGGCCTGATACGACACTCATCGCCCTCCCAAACTCCCGTCTCCCCTCTGCGTATTCCTCCCACAAAACGTCTCATCGTCGACTCTGCCAAGCTCTCCCGTCTCGACTCTCTTCTCCGAGAACTCAAGGCTGGCGGCCATCGTGTACTCTTGTACTTCCAGATGACCAAGATGATGGATCTGGTAGAAGAGTATCTGATCTTCAGGCAGTATAAGTACCTGCGTCTGGATGGTTCTTCGCCCATTGCGGAAAGAAGAGATATGGTCACAAGCTGGCAGACAAACCCGGATATCTTTGTGTTTTGCCTGAGTACTAGGGCTGGTGGTCTGGGTATCAATTTGACCGCTGCCGATACTGTCGTCTTTTGTAAGTCTCGTCTTTGTGCAGATGAGCGATGCTAATGACATGTAGATGATCACGATTGGAACCCTTCAAGTGATGCTCAGGCTATGGACCGAGCCCATCGAGTTGGCCAAACCAAGCAGGTCACAGTCTATCGACTTGTCGCGTACGTTATCTCACTTTTACATAACATTTCGAGGCTAACCGGATGACAGTCGAGGTACAATCGAAGAACGTATCCTCAAGATGGCCCGCGGCAAGAAGGACGTCCAAGACGTTGTCGTCGGCACCAAATCCGTCTCTGACGTCGCCAAAGCCTCCGAAATCGCATCGCTCTTCATGGACGACGAGGAACTCGCCGAGTCTGTCGCCAAGCGGAAGCAAGCTGAAGCCCATGGTTATGTTCAGCCGTCACTCATCGCCAACGGCGGCGGAAGGGGCAAAGGCTTCGGAGACGGGCTGGATCTGGACGACGGGGATGCAGATGATGGCTTCTTCAATGCTGCTGCGGCGGCGAGAGCAAATGGCGAGGAAGAGGAAGGGCTTGGAGAGGAAGGAGGGAAGCCGAAAGGAAAGGGGAAGGGGAAGGCTGCTGGGGGTGGAGGCGCACTGGGACCGGTGGATGGAAGTGGAAAGAGGAGTCATAAGAGAGGGATGGGGAAGAAGGCGCAAGCTGCGGCCGCGGCTGATTCTTTGGATAAAGCTCTCAGCAAAACAGGTACGAATCATCGTCAATCGTTCTTGGCAAAGCTGACAAGTCACATAGTTTCGCCATCATCTTCCAAACCGCCTCCCAAGAAGAAGGTCAAGATAGCCCTCGGTCCCGACGGCCTTCCAATGTAACGAACAAAACGATGATGTGTATCTAGAATCAAATAAACGATTGGATCTCTGTAAATGATAGCATAGTTTCCACTCTTCCCTTTTCTTCTTTTCTCTGGCATTCTTGCATGACTGTGGCATATAGATCGACTAACTTCTTCGTGCATCTTGTGTCCGTAATAATGGGGAGAATGCACTGCATTACATCGTATTATCTTTGGCCCGAGTCCGTGCTCATTGTGGTTTCCTCTCAGCGAGCAACAGATGCGACCCAGCACAGTTTATAGGTACGAAAAGGAGTACTCTGAACGACATGATGAAGTCCAGCAACTACAAGTCTCCACCCACCTAGCGACTCTCCGGGCCGGGTTTTGATAGAGAGAGGGTCAGAGAGCAGCAAAAGAGGGACAGGACTCTTGCCATACTCCTAGTCAGGAGACGACACTCCCTTCAGCAGGCCCCGCTGGCCTTGTCACAGGCGTTGAATGAGATTGGACCTGAGGCTGCTCCGGTTATAGCGGAGATCTGCCACGGGTTGTTGCCGCTTGTCCAGACCGAGATCGACAGCTGTCACTTGACAGCTGACGAGCTGACGGCCTAGAGTAGTCAAAGAACGCTTGCATGTACTACTAGACTGTACCACCTGCATCCTTCCATCTCCGCCGGTAAGAGACATGACATGTGTACAGACTTTGTGAGGTCGCCTGCTGGGGTTCGTTTCCGGAGCTTATTGGGTTGGGCTCTTTCGGGCTCTGGAGACTGGAGATGGAGCTACTGGCACAGAAACCTCCCCTGTAATAATGCGCCGGTATAGCCGATGTCCCATGTGACATTTGACAATTGACCGCCTAGGCCGTCTATTGCCTGTATCATCATTGTTTTGCAGATCAATCGTCGCCCTTTCCCTTAGCGACTGAGTGGAAGTCGTTGAACCCAAATTCACCCGTGCCCCACCCCCACTGTACTGACAGGTTGCTCCTTGCCGAATTGACAAATGGCGCCTGGACTTATCTTCGCGTGGTGCTTTCAGTAGACGTTTCTTGTCAGGGATCGGGCACGGCGGAGAGAAGAAGATGCGCCAAGACCATTACTCATCGCCGTCTTCTCCTGTGCTATACAGGGTGATCTGTAAGCCGCACTAGTGACTCGGTCAAGAAGTAGAACCAAGAGGCAGTCTTTAGATGGGGTAACAGTACAAAAAGCGTATGCTGTCTTTCCCGGTTCTCCATTGCACCGCCACAACAGACAAGAGTATAGTAGTGTGGCTAATAACAATCTACGCCCATCATGACCATCAATCGAAGTTCGAGGTAAGCCCTCATGCCTTCTCTCTATTTCCTGCCGCTTTTTGATTCTTCGCTTTGATTCTTCGCTTTGGGATATTGGCTGATCCAAGGGTCGATAGCAAGAAAGTTGGTCATCAAGCCAGCCAGTCCAGGAGGGAGCAGTCTTCTACCAAAATTTACCTCACCGACGACTTCGCCACTTCTCGCAAAAGACTTCTTCCCACCACCGCACGCCTTACACGCAGAAGTTCCCAGCAAGGACATCACACGATGATTGTACAGAATGAATTCTCCGGTGATCAACTTCGTAAGCTTCTCGATTGTCATCCTTTCTTGCCTCACATGCGGGACGATCTGGGCTGACGTCTACTTGTATAGATCAGCTGCCATCGATGGCCTCTCTCGAAGGCAGTCTACTCGGACTGTCTATCTTTCCGAATGACCCGTCCTCTCCTCCTCGTTTCGTCTCGTCCGCCATGACCGACAAGCCCGGTCCCACGAAAGATTTGCTCCTCCCGGCTGCGCCTATCGTCTCCTACCAGGCCGCGGATGTCAATAATCATTTACTCCCACCTATCTCTGCTTGGTTTCCTTACCTTCCCTCTGTCGCACCTCTCCTCCAGCATCATCCTCCTCCCTGCCCCAGCAATGGAAGCGATATGCTGGAAAACCATCCTGGGCCGTCTTTCAACGTCCTGGCGCTTACCTTCGATAGCCCGAACTATGAGAGGGCGGACGTGATTAGAGGTGAAGACCGGGCTGGTCGAGAGCCGAGCATAGAGGTGTCTCCCCGGGATACCAGCAAACTTGGTGGAGGATGGGACTGGGGAGCTGCTCTTGAGGTTATCACGGTTTCCGCGGCCCCCGCTCTCCCTCTCCTCCACCCTCGCCTGTCTCCAACACCACTCACCACCAACAATCTCCATCCATAACGACAATCGCCCCTCCCACAACTCCCTTTCAGGTTCGCCCCGCCTTTACTGTAGCGGCGAGAGCCATACAAGAAGCTGATGACCTCTTGCGTCGTCGGCTCTCATCATCTCAACGGGCAGGAGAAGGGGACGAGGGTTTTGCCATGGTTACATGACGGATGAGGTACCTTACATTCGCTATCCATGATGGGAAGGTATACCGCTTATCAGGGAGTATAGAGCTCTCGATCCCACCTACTCTGGTACATCCGCCCTGCAAGAGAAGTTGAAAGAGAAAGCTGCCGAATGCCGATGGTTTGTTAGATGAGCCTTGTTTTGCAATATATCGTGTTGGCAAAATATTCTAGCCCTTCTTATGTACTGTATGACACCCGAGGTACATAACGCATGTGCGAGATCTCTGAGGCCTTTGCAGTACGGCCACCACCTATCATATCGTACTGCTGGTAGATGCGTGCAGTGAGACCTCCTCTCCTCGCTCATTTCAGCCCATTGAAGCAAGCGATGTAATCACCCCCGCAGGACGGTCTTTCAAACCAAGCATAGCTGCCACCCGGGTCCCCTCAAACGCCAGCCTTCGGTCGTCCTCCACCAACGAAGCCAAAGCCAGAACCGGCAAGAGGCCCCGGCAGTCGGCACACCGTTAGTAGTTCCTCTCCACCAGTCGCCCTTTTGTATGTCATCTAGGGCCCTTATGGCCACCGGCATGTTGAGCGATGCGTTGTGGAACCGGAAAGTAAGTCGTCATTCTGTCCCGACATGGAAAGTCATGCATCGCCATCGGCTCCCCCGTTCCATCACCACTGCGGTCAATCACTAGAATGTAGAATGCAAAAATGTTATGTGTGTACAGTACTCGTACGAGTACTGTACATGTAGTCGTAAAGAAATTCGATATGTTTCAGCAATCTCGTAGTGTCTCGTCCGATATAGTCCACCATTCACGCAACCTGGTTACCCCGGCCAACCGCCCCAGCCCGCTAAAGTTGACTTCCGGCAAGAGATCATGCCTTTCCCGCAGCATGTTTTTTCAACCCAAGCATAGCCGCTACCCCGCGCCCCTCAGACGCGAGCCTTCGGTCGCCCTCGAGACCGTCCTTCACCCAGCGAGAGGAGTCAAAGTCGATGAGAGCAAAGCGGCCGTCAGCGCGTCGGAGAATGTGGCGTGGCTCTATGTCACGGTGAAGAACGCGCACTGCATGAAGTTGATGGTAGAGGTCTCGGATAGCCTGTCTGAGGATGTGATCAGCACAAGAGCATTGTAGCTGCTGAAAGACACTCACCTATCCTGCAAAGGCAGATCCTGCAGCTTACCCTCTCCGGCGGCTGGCCCCCCGACATCCTCCATCAATTCAATGTGCAATGGGTAGCCCCCAGAGAGACGCCCGAGACACATGGCACCACTGAACGAGCCATACGATGCGGAGACAGCCCCTCCTTGTAGGCTTGCGAGAGGGCCACTGTACAGCGCCGCCTCGAGACGATATGCAGCCACTGCCTCTTTGGAGTCTTCGAAAACCCCCTTGTAATACTCATCTTCATCATCATAGGTATCAGGGCACATGGCCATGGGCCTTCGACGGTGAGGACGGAGCGGTAGACGTCCCACAGGCGCCCAGAGCTGATATAGCTACCGAGGGCGAGGTCGGCTTTAGGCTCGGAAGTAGGCAGTCCTGAGTGGTTGCTGTCGTCGTTGGTCAAGGATGCGATGACGGAGGGGGAAAGGCGACCTGTGATGTAGCCATCATTCAAGTTGCCTTGCTTAGAGACGTGGAGAGCGTCGGGGGAGCGATGGTTGGGCACAGAAACCTGCAGAGCGACGGGAACAAGTTGCTAGAAGAGTATGCATCAGCCATGAGGAAAATCAAATGTGAAATGGCACTGACATCCCTCGCAATGTTTGCGTCTCCAGCAATAGCATTGTCACTTCCAGCACCGCCAGTGCCATCAACTTGGTCGTATCCATGCTTTGTAGGAACACTGCTCGTGTCCCTCGATCCCGATGCCCCTGCCCCGCTCTAGTTCTGGTCATTCTGCGCTGGATCATTCCCCAAAGCTTCGGACAACGGCCAGACAGGTAGAGGTGGGAGTGTATAGCCGAGTGGGGGTGCGCGTTCCCTCTCAATCACGGAAGCCACCGCAAGTTCCATAGGCGACATCTTGCCGGGCTCGGGCGCAGTCTCGGGCTCCGTCCTATAGATTGGTTCACCCATGCGAAGCAGGTTCTTGATTTTGGGATCGCGCTCGAAAGGGATCCAGACTTCGTAGGAGGTGAGTATGGCGAGGTCGAGGTTGTAGCGATCAAGTTGTTCCCAAAGCTAAGCAAACATCGTCAGAAGTCAGAACAGCCATCATAGCAAGTCGTAGTAGTGCTCTGAGCGTACCTCGGACAATTCCATTGCCCAGTACATCATTTCCGGCACGATAGTCCCCTGTTGGTCCACAATGCGCAAGGCGGGCCGGACTTTACCATCTTTTCCTGTCCTACTGGCCAGGATCAGCTTCAAGCCCCCTTCCTGCCTGCACGCCATCAACAGTCGCTCCAACTTCAGCGGCGGATGCACAGAGATTTCCTCATCCAGCTTGTCCTTGTTGTCAGGCACTTTATCACTGTCTGAAACCTCCCTCTTATCGGCCTGGGACTGGTCGCTATGACTTGCGTTGTTTTGAGCCCCTCCCCTCCCAGCTGTATCACCTTGCGGACAAAGTTCCATTCCAACCTTTTCTGTTGATGGGTGGTCACGGTCATCGGTCTGAGGCACCGGACCTTCGCCAGATGTCGTTAGATCGGTGCATATCTTGACCTTGATGATAGCAATGACTACACCGTTGCGCATGAAGACCCAATAAAGGCCGCCGCTCTCCTCGCCTGAGCACGGCTTCCACTTGCCACGGAGGTGACTGGGAAGCCCGGCATTGATGGCGTCGGTCGAGCGATTGAAAAAGCTTGACTGTAGTAGGTTAGACCGTCCCAAGAAGCTCCAGAGGAACCCGATAGGCAAAAGTCAACCCAATACGATGTTTCGAGTGCACTCAGTTGTTGGAGGCTTGCGATTAGTTCAGAAAGGCTGAGATACGATATGCGTATACGATCTAGCAGAGGTAGCTCGACGTAGGTAGGATTTGGAAAGGTAAAGATAAAAGGTGATAAGGGAGAGAATTCCCCCAAGCCTCGGTCTTATATGCATTGGGGTCTATAAGAGAGGAACGAGAGAAAACTAGGGACAACGGTAAGGTGAGCGTCTATTGGGGCATATGGCCCTGATAGACCACGAGGACGGGCTTTCGGCGTTACAAGGTGTGGCAGCTATGGAGTGTGGCAGCAGGCGCGCTACATTGACATCATGACACCACGTAGATGAATCTCAGCACTAACAGTGGTACTTCGAGCATCATGCCGTCCCATTTCCAGACATATTTTCATGTTCTGAGTGACGACTCCTTCCCTCAGCGGCAGCTGCTGAGATCTGAGAGATGCAGAGATTCTTCCGTTCAGGGTTTGGTCATAGACGACTCTGATACCTTTCTCGTCAAAGTCTCCCCATATGCAATAGGTTTTGGAGGCGGACTTTCGTGTGCTCTTGCCGGTCGTTTCGATCTCGTATTCGAGAGGGTCCAAGGGAAATGACCTGATCCAGGAAGCGACTGACTCGGGTGTTTGTGGAGAGGCGTCGCCGATGTCTTGCATGTTGGCGTAGGACGTGAGTTGGCGTGGGCGTGCCACAGGGATGGATGATGGGTGGTAGTGAAAGATAGATGTATAACGTCTACCAACAATCAGGTAGTTTGGCAGTTTTCGGCAGAGCGGGATGAAATGAACAGACATATGATACGTGACCATAGGAGAGTGGACAACAGTTGTGTACTTACACTTATTGGGCCACCCCTATACTGTAATAGACCTACTACGCTGGAAAACTAACAAAGTCGAGTCTGAAGTTGGTCTGAAGTGTGCATTTCTAGAATTATACCAAGGAAAAGTGCGATGCCCATGCTAATGCTGTTACAAATACAAATACAAATCTAACCCTCTTGCCTCTTGCCTCTCGTCTGTCTAGATGCCACAGCTACTCTACTTTCCAGGATCCAACCTCTTCTTGACCCCCTCCCCTTCCTCTAAAAGCGCCACATCCTTCCAGATCCTCGCCTTCTTTGTCTTTTGGTATTCCGCCCCGCTCACCCACTCCACCCCTTCCCCCTCCCCTAGCCGATCTGCCTCGGCCTTCTTCTCCCACGCCTTCCCAGCCACATCCACCTGCGCCCCCTTCTTCATCTTCAACCCCGGCAACCTCTGCAAACACTCTTCCAACGCCGCCTCACACTTTGTCTTGAACTCTTGCGCCACCAACCTATCTGGGAAAGACACTTCGAGGCGGAGACTGAGCCAGATGTAGAGGACGAGCGATTTGTGGAGCGTTTCGAGTTTGGGGAGTGCGTTGATGATGAGGGGTGGGACTTTTTTGTTTTTGATGAGCCCTGGGATAGCTGTTTCGGATAAGGGTGGCAGGGTTTGGAGTGTTTCGAGGACGTCGTCAAGCGTTGGGAGGAGGTCGGTAGTAGAGTATATAGACTCTACCGTCACGCACCCCAGCGTAACATAATCATCCACCAAATTCCTAAACACCTCTTTCGCCTTTTCATCCCTCGAGCTCAGGGGCGCGAACGAAAAGAGATCGATCTCGCTGATGGACAAGAATGGACGGTACGGCTCGATGACGTCGGCGATAGCGAGCTTGTTGAATGGGTCGGTCACGACGGTAGAAGGAGGCAGCTTGGCGAGGGTGGAAAAGTGTTTCACCAAGTCGCCGTATGTCAGACTGGAGGGGAGGAGGGCAGCGAGCTCGATAAGGCTGCTGGTGGGGATATCCATCTTGGCCCTCGCGATGGAAGGGAGTTTCCAGTCCAGCACTTTGCGCAGGACGGGGAGGTCGGCGGGTTTGAGGGTGGTAGCGTAGCCGCCGGAAGCGGGCGCTTCGTCGGGGGTTGCAATGTTCTTGTCGGCGCCAGTCTTGAATCGGCCGGCGCGGCCGGCGATTTGCTTGACTTGCATGAGGGAGAGGGGGACTTCTTCTTTGCCGTTGAATTTGGAGAGGGCTTCGAATATGATCCTCTTAATCTTCCTGTAGAGGTGTTAGGAAAAAGTATTGAGTATGGGGGAGGACTGACAAGTTTAGCCCCATCCCGACGGCATCACTAGCCACCAAAACCTTGCACAACCCATTCTCATCATTGAAATCCTTTGCCTGCTCCGCCCTCGTCTCTGGCGGCAACGCCCCATACACCACCGCACACTTTTTCCCCTGACTCTCAATCTCCCTCTTCAAATTGAATATACTCGACCTCGAGAACGTGACGACACAGTCCCCATCTTCGATCTTGCTATAATCATTTTCGATGGATGCGTCACCGACAAGGAGGGGGGTGAGGCGGTTGTATTCGTGGATGGTGAGGGTATCGCCGAGGGAGGTGATCATACCGCGAAGCAGCTCCACGGTCGTTTCATCCCCACACAAATGAATCTCCTTTGCCGCCGTGCCCAGGACCGCTTTGGCCCAAGACCCGCCGCGGTTCGCATCGCCGAGCATCTGGATCTCATCAATGACCACCACGTCGAACGGTTCGCCGTCGAGACCGCCGAGAGGCAGCATCTCGACCGTACAGCTCAGCAACCCCGAATCGGGGTCGACGATCCTCCGCTCTTCGCCCGTGATCAGATTACAACTCCTCCCCTTCCCGTCTAGACCACCCACACTCCCCAAATTCATCCTCTCCCATACTTCATGCGCCAACAACCTCAACGGCCCCGCATAAGCCCCCGAACTCGCATTGCTCAGCGCTTTTAAAGCGTTATACGTTTTGCCAGAGTTGGTGGGGCCGATGTGGAGGTGGAAATGGCGCTTGACAGCGCGGGCGATAGTATACTCGGTATAGGCGATACGGGAGATGTCGGTGGTATTGAGTATGAGGGAGATGTGGGATTTCTGGACGGGAGTGAGGTGCGGGGTGGCCAGGGCGTATGTGAGGTAATGCCGTAGGGCGGAAGATTCGAGGGCTTGGGCGAATCTATCTTCGTGTAGGGCAGCGATGAGGTCTGGGGCGTCCCAGCCTCCGGCGGCAAGCGCGGAGAGCGCTTCGTCTTCTGTCGTAGCCGTCCCCAAGCCCTTTTTGGCCAATTTGAACCAGGTAGTAGCGATTCTCTTGGCAATATCGGGCGCTATACCATATACTGCGAGCGCTTCAAAAGCTCGATCGGAGTGCGCCCACTCGGGCAGCCTCTCGATGAGGATCCTAGCCACCTGGGTAGCTTTTGGAGGTGGTTTGGGACGAAAGTGCTCCGCCGTCATCTGTAGAGGTTCTCTAGCTTGTCGGAAGGGCCTGAAAGGGGGCCGCCTGTCGCCTGGTCTGGCGTCATTGCGAAAGCTGTTGGGGCCTTTTCTCTGGGATGAGGAGGCGTCCCAGGGTTTGTTGCTTTTGCCGACTTGCCTGGAGAGGAGGGGCGTTGTGGTGAAGGCGCGAGTGCGGGATACACAGCGGGGACATGCCGACTGGGCACTCGCCAGGGCTTTTCTTGCAAGCATGGGTGGTTTGGTGGATGGTATGGACCAGAAGGCAGATCGATGATACATAGAAGAGGCCGTGGAAATTCTGATCCCGTCCGGTGCGGGATCAAACGCGGACACAAACAACGGCTCATCGCGCTGTCCATCTCCTCTTTCATCTCATCTCATCTCATCTCCTGCCGCCATGGACAAGCTCCAAGCCATCCACCTCCCCCCATGGGCACCCGGCGCCGACCTTCTCCACCCCCTCTTCAGGTACACCACCGCCGCCCTCCCTGCTACCCTCCACGAGGCCCTCAGCCTCGTCGAAGCCGACAAGAAGACCCTCTGGGCATTCGTCGCCATGACCGCATTCAACCCCATCTTCTGGAACACTGTCGCGAGGAACGGTGCGTTCTGACAGCCATGCATCGAATCGCCTCGGCCAAACTGATGAGACGCAGAGTACCGTAACAAGACCATCACCAGGCTCGTCGGATCGCCCTTGGTCGGCACATATATCCTCGCCTTGACCATCTTTTCCATCTCTGCCTTTAGGGACCACCTGTACGTTTCATCTTTCTCAAATAAGCATGATTGAACGATCCCGCTGATTTCCCATCGCAGCTTCCTGAACGCCGTCAAAGACCAGCCCGCCCTGGCCTTCCTCGGCCACCCCGTCCTCCAAGCCCTCGCCCTCGCCTTCTTCCTTTCTGGCCAAACCTTTGTCATCAGCTCCATGTGGGCTCTCGGCGTCACCGGTACGCCCCCCTCCTTCATCCCTCTCCCTGCCCATCTAACCCTTCTGACTCTGGTGTAGGTACTTACCTCGGCGATTACTTTGGTATCCTCATGACCCACCGCGTCACCTCCTTCCCATTCAACGTCCTCTCCGACCCCATGTACGTCGGGTCCTTCTTGTCGCACCTGGGTACGGCTTTGTGGTTCCGAAGCCCTGTTGGGATCGCGCTGGGTTTCTGGGTGTGGGTGGTTTATGCTGTTGCGCTCAAGTTTGAAGGGTACGCTCTTCTCTTCTCCCCTCTCCTTACACTTTTATGGAACGTCGGCTGATTTTTGGCATTAGGCCTTTTACGGACAACATCTACGCTGCCCAAAACAAGCGCAACACCTCATCCCCTTCCCCAACCTCTTCAACATTCCCCACAACACCCTCCCGCCGTTCCGGCCGTATCGCCGCCGCCTCCAAATCCTCCGCACCCAACTCTGATGCCGATAGCGATAACGACCGTGCTTCCACCACTGCGACGGCGACCCCGGGTAGGAGAGTGTCGAGGAGGAAGTCGGGGTTAAAGTCGGAGATTGGGGCTACGCCGGCTAGGGTGACGAGGAGTAGGAGTCGGGGGGCTATTACGAGTGGGGAGGAATAAGCCCCTTATTTCCCCTTCCATATGGCTTGTGGTGAGGAAGGAAGATATTGTATGGAGAGGGGATCGGATGAGTTGGGAGGTGAGAAGCGGGAAGAAGGGAGGGAAGGGTTTTCGATTAATAATTGTTTGGTGTTTGGGAATTCACTTTCTGGTTTCTGGTTATACCCCCCGGTATCTCAACAATACCGTTTTCGTTCTTTCGATACATTGATACCCTATAGAATCGTCTTCAAAGAGTCATTCATCTGAGATGTAGACGCTTCAAAACTTACCCTTCCTAGGCTGCAACGGTCGTCACTTATACCGGTCTACTTCCAACCGAGCTATCCTGTTCTCTGCGTTCATGGGTAACTTTCGACTGTTGAAAGATGTTGCTCCTTCCCGAACCATACCAAAAACCCCAGTTGGCAGTTCAACACGTTTATGATACATAAAAACATTCGTCAACCATTCCATAGAGGAATGCACATTGTACACAACACTGCTGCTCTGCTTCCTGAACATCCCTACCGTATTCGTCAAATAGTTCGTTCAAAAATTACACACACCATCCCCCTGTCCTGCTCCCAATCCTAAATCCTAATGAATAGAACAAAAGCACGCGCCTTACTCCCCGCGCTCTCTCTCCGGATGGAACTTTCGCACCACATCAGCCACAGCGCTCTTGGCCGTATAGGTCGCGCTCCTCGTCCTTTGCGCCGTCGTCGCCGTCCCAGACCCAGACCCAGACCCAGACCCAGACCCAGACGCGGTCCCAGACGCAGCTGCGGGAGGAGGCATCATCGTCGGTACTCCCACCTCCTGTCCCATCTGCCCCTGCCCCTGCCCAGCCGGCCCCTGCCCGGCCTGGCCTCGTTCTTGTTGGCCGTGTTGTCCGAAGGAAGTAGCCAAAGCAGGTGGTCCAGCCGAAGTAGCCGCCGCGGGCGTCTCACCAGAAGGTGAAGACGGGCCGGCAGAGGTGGATACGATGGATGGGCTTAGGGAAAGGGGGGAGGGTCCGGCGGGGGTGGGGGGTTGTTGGGTTATGAACGGGAGGCTCAGCTTGCGCTGTGGTACCCCACCTACCGCTGCTGCTCCTCCGCCAGCCCCGATCCCAGGCCCGGAGCCGGCAAATGGACTACTGATCCCAAACCCACTCCACCCCGCCCTCTCCTGCCTCTGCCTCTCCAACAACGCCTTCACAGCCGCCAACCACTTGATCTCATCCTCCTCCGACGGCGCACAGAGATGATACGTCCTCTTTGCCGTGATGACCCTGAACACATGTTCCTCCGGGTTCCGCTTGCGCTGATGCTGGTGTGTTTGATGGGAGGAGGAGGGCTTTTTGTGGATCTCGGTAGAGACGGTGGATGAGCCGAGACGGCCGCGCATGAAGGGGCGTGAGGCGGGGGATTGGGGATGGTGCGAGGGGTGGGTGTGGCCGTGGAAGGAGAGACGGTCAGAGTCGTTACCGTCGGAGGCGGATGAGTCTTCGACTACTTCTAGGGCGTCGAGGATGGATGTGAGAGGGATGATATTTTGGGTGTGTTTGTCCTGCAACAGTGTCAGTGATAGCACCAAAGAGAGACCGGATACGCACCATATGACTCTTGGCGTACGCCAGACCAGCCGAAGTTAATGTGAAATACCGCTTTCTCCATACATCCTTCCTTCTCCGACTCTGCTTCATCAAGTACGTCTGTAGGATGACCTTGGTGGGGTCAATAACCGCCAACGGCGTCTCGGACCCCTCCACCTCATCTTCATCTTCCGAGCTGACCGGGGGCGCAGCCATAACTGCCGACAAATTCCCAGCTCGCCCAGCCGACGAAACGCTACTGGCCGATGGTTCACGGTTAGTCGACCCACTAGCGCCGCGCGCGGCAGAACTGATACCCGACGGCACCCTCGAGTTCGACTGCCCCAGCGCCGACTGGGCACTAGGCGACCGGCCCGTGGACAGTTTCGCAAACTGCGTCGTGAGGTTGTGGTCTATCGGGCTCGAGGGCGAAAAGACGCTGCTGGCCGTTTGGGCGGTGGACGACATGGGTTGCGGGGAGGAGACGGTGCGGTCGGCAAAGTAGCTGGAGGTGTTGGTGGGGGAGATGGTGTCGATGGCGTGGAGGCCGGAGGGGGTCATGCGCGGGGCGGGGATGGGCATGGATGTGGCTTTGGGGGCATAGTTGCCAGATTCGCCCTTCTCCCGCTTGCCGCGCTCTTCCTCTTCCTTTTCCGACAGCCGCCGGCGCATCTCGTTGATATCATGCACCCACTCTTCCACCTCGCTGGTCGTCGAGGCCTTGACAAAGTACGTGCGCTTGGGGACGACGATGCCGAAAGCGTTGTTGTGCTTTTTCATATCCACGGGGGCGACCGTGTGGATCTGCGTCAGGTCGACCACCTTTTTGAGAGAGTATTCCTTGTTGTCCTTGTAGTATGCGAGTTTGCCCGTTCGGAGCACAAACCATCTCTTCTTCCACGCCTTTCATGGTGTCAGCGGCGTTTGATCAACACAAGGCAGACTCACTCTTCTCTTCTCCTGCTTCTTCCATAAATAGCCACTCTTGATCACCCGCTCCCCCTCCATGCGCCGCTCCAACTCTGCCTGTCCCTCCCCATCTTCACTCCCGCTCTCCGCACCTTCCTCCTCTTCCTCCTCCACATCTTCCAGATCCATCATCGAATCAATCTCCTCATCCCCGCCGGATTTACGCTCCGCAATAGCCGACAACCCGCCGACAGATGTTGTTGCGGGCGTCAGGAGCGGGGAGGTGGGGTGGACGGAGAGGTTGGGGGAAGCGAGGCCTGGGATGGAAGAGGCGATGGACGAGTCGGATTCGTTGCCCGACAGAACATGGGGGTTCTGTTGCAGCGTATGTGATAGTTTCTATGCCAAGTCAGCACCTGCCGACGAGACAAGTGGATGCACGCACTCTTGGCTTCTTGGGCGAGTCCACACTCCGACTAGGGGGTGCAATGGAGCGGATGGACAGCTTCCTCTCGATCTCTGCTGGGGTGGGAGGGGGCGCAGCCTCGTCGGATACTGCGTTGGCAGGGATGGTGTTGGGCATGGTGGGGTGGTGGGTGGGGGCTGTGGGGGTGCTGGCAGACATGGGGTGGCGAGGCTGCCTCGGAGTGGTGATGGGGGTGGCAAGGGGTGTATAGGGGATGTATGAGAGGAGGATGAGAGGAGGCGGAAAGAGATGGAGACAGGCAACAGTCACAACACTGGGGCACACTCCACTTACGTACACACCCCTCATTTGACTCCGCACGGCCATCCCCGCTGCTCGCGTCATCACTTTTCGCCCGTCCATGTGCACCAACTATGCAATTGTCCTGAGCTTGTCAGGGGAGGCTTGTGTGTGATGACCATTGCAGGTACTCCCATAAGCTCATATCAATACAGGATCAGGCAAACTTATACATGCTCGATTACCCTTCGCCCCGCCCGTATAGACTCTCTGTCTCGCTCGCCATCTTAGCTTCAAAACATTTTCACCTCAATCTCTTGCCGAAAGATACCCCTTCCCTCCGGGGCGAAAGCTCCCGATAATCCAAAAGGCGTACACCTCCCTTTTCGACCATACAACCCCGCGAATTATGGCCTGCCTTGCCGCAATTTCGCCCTTTCTCCAACACAATCACCGCTTTGAAAGGACACCTCACCCCCTCCTCAAACCTATACGCACAGTCCCACGCTTTCCTTACCGCATCTTTGTTTGGGGCGGATTGATACAGCATTGTGAGTCCCAGGTCAGCAAGGAGGATCATGGGCACTCTCAACTCATCAAACCATTTTATGCGAGCGCTGGGAAAAAAAATGAGGCTACGTTCGGGACATAGAAAACTAGAGGCATGTCTTTGTCATCTCTAACAGTCTACACATCTAACGGTCATGCTCGTACATCCTTCTCCGCCGTTTGACACCCCCACCAAAGGTCAAGTTGAACCAAAAGTGGCACCCCGCCTCAAAGTCCAAAGCACTTCGGCCCCTTCCGCCAATTCCCGGTCCACCCGGCCCGCCCGAGCCGATCCAAACTCCCATCATTGTCTTGTGCTCTTCTGTTGAAGTGTGCCCGGGGCAATGTACCCCCGAAGCATGCATATAAGCATCCCCTATCCCCCCTCGACTGTCTCTCCTCATTCTCGACATCTCGACATACATTATGGCATCCGAGGCGACGAAAGGTAAACTTACAGGCAGGGTGGGCATTGTCGGTACCGGCCATCGAGCCCGTGTATGTCCTCTTCCTCTCTCTCTCCTGATGGGCCAAGCTGATAGAGGGCAGCTGTATACCCAAGCTGTAGCAGATCGACCTAATGTCACCGTCGTCGCTTTGTGCGATACGAACGAAGCAAGGATGGACTGGCATAACAAGATCTTGCTCGAAGCTGGCGAACCGGAGGCGAACAAGTATCCTGCTGTATGTTCCTCTTTTCTCTTTGGTGGTGGATGTATGGTTGATGGTGGTGCTAGGAGCAATTTGTTAAGATGTTGAAGGAGGAAAAGCTGGATATATTGGTGGTGACGACGATTGATTATACGCATGATGCGTATATCATCCCGGCTATCGAAGCTGGTATCAAGGTCCTCACCGAGAAGCCCATGACAACGTGCGCCCTCCCCTCCCATCTCACCCCACACCTCAGACTGAAAGACATATAGAACCGTCGAAAAGTCCAAACGCATCCTCGCCTCTACCAAACTCCCAAACGCCGGCTCCCTCACCGTCCTGTTCAACTACAGATACAACCCCGTGCACTGGAAAGTCGCTGAAACCCTGTCCAAACCCCCTTCAGAAGGCGGGATTGGCGAGATCAAGTCGGTGCATTTTGAGTGGTTGTTGGATAGTGTGCATGGGGCGGATTATTTTAGGAGGTGGCATCGGTATAAGGATATGTCGGGGGGGTTGATGGTGCACAAGGCGTCGCATCATGTAAGTACCGGGGGGTTTTTTTTTTGGTTGTTGGGGTACTTGAGCTTATGAGGGGTAGTTTGATCTGGTCAATTTTTGGATCCAGTCCACCCCTGCTTCAGTCTTCGGCCTCGGGTCTCTCGGGTTCTACGGCAAAGAGAATGGCCAGAAGAGCGGTTGGGCGCGTACCTACGACCGCGCTCTCGACGCGAAAGAGGCCGAAGACGATCCATTTGCGATCCATCTCGAAGATGAGGAGGGGCTTAAGGGGCTTTATGTTGACGCTGAACATCTTGGTAAGTCTTCATTCCCTCAGAGGTGGGCATGAAGCTGATGGGGGAGAAAGATGGGTACCATAGGGATATGAACGTCTTTGCGGACGATATCACTATTGAAGATGATATGTCTGTTCTAGTGCATTACGATTCTGGCGTCAACATGACATACCACCTCACCGCTTACTCTGTAAGCTTTCTTTCTGTCTCAAAACTCATTCAGAAAGCTGATACAGAACAAAGCCATGGGAAGGCTACAGAGTCATGTTCAACGGCACCCACGGCCGACTCGAACTCGAAGTCATCGAAAACGCCTTCCGCCTCCCCATCCCCAAAGGCTCCAACGCCTCCGAACACGTCCACGGCACCGCCGCCCTCCCGAACGAAGGCCACTCCAAAATCACCCTCCACCCCCTGTGGCAGCAAGCCCGAGATGTGCCTTTTGAGGTCGGAGAGGGCGGGCATGGAGGTGGGGATGAAGCGATGTTGGATGAGGCGTTTGGGCCGAGGAAGGGGCAGAAGGAGAGGAGGTGTCCGGTGAATGGGTTGGGGGCGGATGAGAGGGATGGGGCGTTGGCGATGGCGGTGGGGTTGGCGGCGAATGAGAGTTTCAAGACTGGTAAACAGGTGTTTATCAAGGATATGCTTGGTGATGTGTTGTAGACGAAGAGTGTGGTACTGTTATGAAGCGTCGTATGTTATATGCCAGAGGCCATGTGCGCGTTTGAGCTCGAGGGTCAGTAGTCTCTGGGTAGAATTGCAAAGAGACGCTACTGCCTGGCCTGTTGACGATGTTGCGCTACAGGCATGCTGAACAGTCTCGCAGGCGCAGCTGAATCAACCAACGTGGCGATCCTTATTGGGCCATTCCTGTAAGAGACCCACGACGGCTGCATCTGTGACTCACCCAAGTAAGTGTCCAAAACTTCCTCTGGCATGGGAAATTGGTCCAGCACAATTTGGTTCAGCATAATGAAGTCGTCCCCCCCCCCTCCCCTCCTCGGCTGCACCGAATCCCGCCCCGTTCCAGCTCGCCACATTCGCAGACCTACCGACCTTCCTCGATTCCTTCGAATATGTCATGGAGGACCACGAGACTCCTGAAGACCTGAAAGACCCTACATACAACGGACGCTCAGCCTCAAAGATCGAGCGACGCACCAGACTTGAGGATGAAATCGACGAAGCCTGCGAGTGGCTTGAAGACGAGCCTCCCATCCACAAAGTAGTGGAGAGTTTCTACAAAAGATTCCTACAATTGAATGTCAATTTGAGGGCTGCGATTGGTTGGAAGACGGAGATACTGAAGCAGAAGGGCTGTCGGTTCCGATTTGGAGACTTTGAGATTGGCGGACCGCAGGTGCGAGACCGGGAAACAGGCCTTCTCTCGTCGAGCTTCTTCGACAGTAGGCTTCATCAGGCTGACATGAGAGGAGAAGAAGGCAAGCCTGTGCGAGCTACGCGAAAAGTTCAAAGGCCTCAGGTTTCCGGATATGGTCTTCTTGGCGCATGATATGCATAGTGTGAGTTGTCGCGAAGTTGGTCAACTTTCCAGCTGAAGAGGTTTGTATAGGACTCTGAATTCCCAACGATCATCCCTGACATCAGCTCACCTGATCTCTCACTTTCCAGCCAGATACCACCCCCAGATCAGAAGTTGACTAGACAGCTCCACGTCTCGCCAGACCAGCATTACACCTGCTTCGCCCCTCTCATCGACAAAGTCAAAGCCAAAGACGAAGGCGACGAGGTCCTCAACTTTGTTTACGGGTTGCATCTTCTCATAGGATATGTTGCCTGCGCTTGTGATACCTGCGCTTCCCGTCTTGGTGTGTATCATCATTACGGCAACAAGATCGGACGACTGCTCTGTCTCGATAACTGCCTTTCGCAGAGAGGGCTCTTCGACGAGTCGGTGGCGCTCAAGCTTTCGACCCTTTCCTCCGAAGCCCCAGGACAGGACCACGTACTCTGACTCATACCTTCTTCTGCCGATACAAGGATTCTCGACGAAGAAGGTGCGAAGGTGTTGTACTCGATGGTTGAGTGTGCTTCGAGGCTGTTTCAGAAGCAGTCGCTTTGGGAGCCGCTCGGTCGTCTTCCGGATTTGCCTGCGGACGGTTCGGATTTTCCTCTCGAAACACTCTACCCTTCGCGAGAACAGCCGTCACTCAAGCTCAAGAACGAGAACGACAGTGGGAACATCAACAAGGATGGGCAAAAGAGGACACTGGAGCAAGATTCAGGCGTGTCGAAAAGGAGAAGGGCGGGGAAGAGGACGACGAGAGATGCGGCGACGGTGACGATCGGCAGGGCGAGACCGACAAAGAACAACGAAGCAGACGTACAACCGGACCTGGAGAACACGATGGCCTTGAAGATGAAGAATCGGACTATGACAGCAGCGACGACCGGTTGGACGCCTATATCATAGAGGAAAGGATTGCGAAGGAAGAGGCAGAGACGGTGGAGGCGGTCATAGACCAGTACATGGAGAGGTTCAAGAAGGAGTATGTGTTGGTTTCTCTGGGCGGTTTCGGATCGGTTGTTGGAGAAGTTCGGGGAAGGGAGCGCGAAGATGGGTGAAGCCGTTCATTGAGAGGATCATATATTGTTCATACATAGCATCGTCATTCGCCACAAGTCGTTACAAAGCCATGGACGCGTTATTTGTATCAGTTCCAGGTACGAAACGGTTACAGCCTTCGTGGATCGGCGCTTTGTCTCGTGCGGGGCCAAACAACGGGGAGACACCTGGGTGACTGCGGCGAGGTCCGGTTCTTACGTTTTACCCCAGCCTAGCTTGTCTTATCTCCCCGCCCAGAAGCATATTTATGAAAAAGTTACTCCACCGTTCGTACCATTCGTCATCGGCGTCATCCCTTCCCATCTTCCACTCAGTACACAGAGGACAAAGCAGTGCATCCTCTCCCTTTCCCAGCGACGGGCGAAAGGGCTACCAAGGCGTACCAAGGACACTTGGGTGTAAAAATAGGGACCAGGGACAGCCCCGAGATCTAGGAGAAAAAACCAAATTTCGGTTTCAGGCGGCAAACGGTCACGAGGCGGTGGGAGATGTGGATGGCTGTTGACATGAGAGGCGTGCGACTGCGGGCAGAGGCGGCGGCGGGATATTTCTCAGTGGCATACACAGGGCACAGGGTGTGGTAAAGAAGCGCGGTGGCGGTACCGGACGCATGGCGGAGGCGTGTTACGGCGGACACTCGAGAGGATGTGGTGATCAGAGTGTGGCAGAGTCGTATGCCGCTGTGCTTATCAAGTATGGACGCTGGTTGATAGCTATTGCCGGCGCTCTTTGACAAACTCTTTTGTTGTTTGACATCCATATCAATATTGTTTCAAGAGTTTCGACGGCCTTTTGACGCTGAATAAACGCAACCGGTACAAGGGAAGGACATTCGCCATCCAGCTGCTGCCGCTGGACCATCACCTGTTTGATATCGCTCGGCTTATCGCCACCTTACCCTTATATCCAACCACATCTCGACCACATACCAGGGCTTACAGACAAGACGTTCGACTCAAAAGCGACGATTCCTGCCAGCGACAATGGCACGTCCAGGTGAACGATACACCTCTGTATCCTCGGTGGAGAGCCAGAGCGCGGTAAGTCTTCCTTCCTTCTTTCCCCCCTCTTGGTGGCGAGTCTCGGGGTGGACGAGATGGATGAGAGGGAGGCCGGAGAGGTGTTAGGTGTCTCCTGTATCGTCAGCCAACTCGGCTCTGGTGCGAGGGCCGTGCGCAGGAACGTAGGGAGTATCGTGTTGGGCAGTCACACAAACATCCTCGTTTTCTCTTCCTCCTCTTTCCCATTCTCCACATTTCTCATCCTATACCCCTCTTCCAAAGCATACCCCCGCCCCCATGTCGTACCAGGCAGTGCCCCTCAACGACCCCTCGCAAGATCCCGCCCCACCGCCTCTCCCACCAAAACAGCCTTTCCCATCCAGCCCATACCAAGCCCTCCCCCAATCCACCGCCCGCCCCAGCTCCAGGCCTACTGGCTCATCACCCTCATCTATCCCCAGAGTCCCTGTCGTACATCCCCTTTCCTCTCTCGTTCCTTTCTTGGCCGAGCATCTAGGAATAGCGCTGACTTTGTCTTGTTATTGCACAGCCTTCATCAAACCGACGGTATGGTCCTTCCGCCAGTTCCCAAGGCTCCAGCCATGAAAGCTACCAACCAGGCCCCAGGGGGGCAAGTATGCCCCACAACGGGCGTGATCCGAGGAGAGATTCTCAGGCGAGCTCGAGTGCGTTGTTGGGTGCGCAAGGCAAAGGCGGCGCGGGGGCGGGGGTAGCAGACCCAGCTGGGTGGGGGGCGATGACGGGCGGGCCGGAGGATGATGATTGGATGCATAATGAAGATCCTGCTCATGACAAACGAGTGAGCCCCTTCCCCTTCTTGTATTGATGCCTGAGCTGACGTGAGGGGCAGTATAACCGCTTCGACGCTTTTTCGTCGAGAGGTATCGCCAACGTTGGCTGCCTTTTCATCGGTGCCCTCGGCCTCATTGCCCTTTTTGCGGGATACCCCATTATCACATTTTATACCCAGAAACACCAGTCGACGAATGGAGCTTACAACCTCGGCGGCATCAACAGTACGGGCCAGATCCCGCTTATATCCAACTTTCCGTCGCCGATCGACGAGGACACGCCCTCGGATGTGTATACGAGGACAGGGTTTGATGGGGAAGAGTATTCGTTGGTGTTTTCGGACGAGTTTAATAGGGATGGCAGGACGTTCTTTCCGGGGGACGACCCTTACTGGACTGCCGTGTGAGTTGTATCTCTACTCGTAGGGAGTTGTACGAGTGCTTACGAGTGGTAGGGATATACACTACTGGCCAACGGGCGATTTCGAATGGTACGACCCTGGCCAGATAACGACCCGCGACGGCGCGCTCGTCATCACAAACAACCAAGAACCCATCCACGACCTCAACTACAAATCCGGCATGCTCCAATCCTGGAACCAAATGTGTTTCCAATATTCCGTCTATATCGAAGTTGCCGTGTCGTTGCCGGGTACGAATAGAGTGGGCGGGTTTTGGCCGGGAGTGTGGATGATGGGCAATCTGGGGAGACCGGGGTATGGAGCGACGACGGAGGGGACGTGGCCGTATACGTATGATTCGTGTGATAGCGGGACGTTGGTGAACCAGACGAATGCGGCGGGGACGGGGCCGACGCTCGCCTTGACTTCTGGTGCCAACGACGGGCCTATCTCTTTGTATGTTCCCCTTTCCCACCCACCGTTGAGTCATGAGCTGATGAAGGGATTAGTCTGCCGGGTCAGAGAGTCTCGGCTTGTACTTGCGAGGGCGAAGACCACCCGGGTCCTACCGTCAAACACGGCCGCGGCGTCCCCGAACTTGACATCCTCGAAGCCCAGATCGACCTCGACATCCCCCAAGGCCAAGTATCCCAATCATGCCAGATCGCGCCGTTTGACCCGTCGTATGAGTATTTGAATACGAGCGAGGGAGCGATACAGTATGACACGGACTTGACATCGTGGAATTCGTATAAGGGAGGGACGTACCAGGAGGCGGTGTCGAGTTTGACGTATATCGATAATGCGAATTATGTCGAGACGAGAGGTGGGTTTGGGATCTACGGTGAGCCTCTTTCTCTTTTTTTTCGTTCCAGATGGCTGATGAAGATCAGGCTTTGAATACTATACCAACCCCGACGATCGGGAGAACGGCCATATTACGTGGGTCGCGAATGGTCAGAGGAGCTGGACGATGTACCCAGCGTCGGTGGGACCTGTGGAGGATATGGATATCGGACAGCGACTTATCACAGAGGAGCCTATGGCTATGGTACGTACCTCCCTCTCCCCTTCTCCCCTTCTCAACCCGTCTCGCCCAGACGCCCAGAGCTAACACATCAACAGATCATCAACTTTGGCATGTCCAACAACTTCCAAGCTGTCGATTTTGCAAACCTCGTAACGCCTGCAGAGATGCTGGTAGATTATGTCAGGGTGTGGCAGAGGTCCGATGGGTATATGGGCTGTGATCCGCCTGATAGGCCGACGGCGACTTATATTGAGAACCATTTGGCGGCTTATAGCAACCCGAGTGAGTCTTTATCATTTCCTTCTTGATGGATGGAAAAGGGAGGGGAAGGAAAGCTGATGGGAGATGTAGACTTTACGACGTGGGAAGAGGCTGGGTATACATGGCCTGTGAGTTCTTGTCCTCTTGCTGAATACAAGAGAGCTGTCTTACTGATGGAGTTTGTCAGAAAAACTCATTGATCGACGGATGTACCTAAGCCAACGACATCACTCACTGTAAACTGTGTGTTTTGACGACCTTCAACGACCCCTTTTGAGATGAGCAGGTGGTGGCTAGAACGAAAAGAGACGTAAGAAAGAAAGTGTAGACACGCGTTATAACTGTACTCGGACGGCACGTTTGGAAGTGTCTTGTTCTTGTCATGATATATTTGAGCAAATTTCTCTCGCTTTATGGGTGATCGAGTGATGGTGTTATGGCAATGTTATGGATAGGCTGGATGGAAGATAGATGTAACATTTTATGATGACTTGGCATGGTCTGGTCAGTGCTGTTCAGGGCAGGGTTTAAAGGCTTACGAAAGGGAGCGCGAGGGGGTGACGCTTCTGCGAGTTTCGAAGCCCTCTTGGACAAGATCATGAAGAACAGAACGCCCAGGCTGCCCAGAGAAGCGATGGCGGCAACGTCCACTCTTGAAGCTGTGACGTGTCTGGCTCGCGTCGCGCTGCTGCAAAGTCGTTTGCTGGCACTTCCTTTCTCATCTTCATCTCTCTTCTCCCTTTGTCAACTCGAATAGAACACTGGGCATCGCTTCAAAAAGCCCAGGGACGCGCAGAGAACCGCCCCAGCATCTGTACAGCTCTACAAAGAGCACTCGACAAGCATGTCACAACCACTCACCCGCCGCTCTCTTCACCCACAACCATCGCAACCCTCCACCTATACTTCAAAAGTCACTGTCGAATCTGATGCCGATGCGCGTCTGAGGGATCATCAGTCTGGGCCGCAGAGCCAGCCGTTGACGAAGGCGGCTTTTGGGGGCAGGAAGGGGTCGGCCGCTGGAGGCTCGGGCAAGATCACAAAGAGGGAGTGGATCATGGTGGGGGGGCTGGTGGTCATTGGGATGTATGCGAGACTGTGGAAAATCGCGACGCCTAGTAGTGTTGTGTAAGTTGCTTCTGAAATTGGAATCTGGGTGGAAGGCTGACAGACGATAGCTTTGATGAAGTGCACTTTGGAGGGTTTGCGATGAAGTATATCCGGCGCAAGTTCTTTATGGATGTGCACCCTCCGCTCGCCAAGCTCTTGATCACTCTGAGTGCATGGCTAGGAGGGTTTGATGGAAAGTTTGATTTCAAGGATATCGGAAAGTGAGTCGAAAGAGAGATAGTTGTCGACGGAGCTGACTTTTGCTAGGGACTATATCGAGCCTGGAGTCCCTTATATCATCATGCGACTCTTCCCGGCCCTCCTCGGTATCGCCCTTATCCCCCTCACATTCCTCACCCTCCTCGCTCTCCGTCTTTCCCACACGACAGCTCTCCTCGGCGCCCTCCTCGTCACTTTCGAGAACGCCCTCATCACCCAATCCCGATTGATCCTCCTCGACTCTTACCTCGTCTTCTTTACTGGCCTGACCACCCTCTTCTGGGTACGTTTCGCCAACGAAGACTCTGAAGGCCGGGCATTCACCAAGAGCTGGTGGATCAACCTGTTCTGTACTGGTCTCAGTCTAGGTGCGGTGGTCTCGTGTAAATGGGTGGGGCTCTTTACGATCGCCATGGTCGGAGTTGGAACTATCAGGCAGCTTTGGCTGCTGTTGGGTAATCTCAAAGTCACGCCCAGGCAGTACATTCGACACTTTTCTGCGAGGGTGCTCTGTCTGATCATTGTGCCGGTTATTTTCTACATGGCCATGTTCCAGATCCATTTCTGGATCTTGGATATGAGTGGTGATGGGGATGGATTCATGAGCTCCGAGTTCCAGCACACCTTGCAGGGACACGGGATGGAGGATACCTATGCCGGTGAGTAGATCTTGAGCGCGTAGCGGTGTCGCTGACCGTTCATAGATGTTGGATTTGGTTCCAAGGTTAGCATTCGACATGTCAACACCCAGGGTGGTTATCTCCACTCTCACCCCCACGCATACCCCGCTGGATCCAAACGTAAGTCGCGTCCATATCAAAGGTTCATATCTGACGTTCTACAGAACAACAAATCACTCTCTATCCCCACCGAGACGACAACAACGTCTGGCGAATCGTCAACGCTTCCTCCCCCGACGGTCCCGCTTCATTCCCCTGGGACGACCTTCCCTTCGAAGAAGTCCTCACCGGTACCAAGATCCGTCTGGAGCACGTCACCACCGAAAAACGACTTCACTCGCACGACATCCGACCCCCAGTCAGCGAGGTCGAGTTCCAGAATGAAGTTTCTGGCTACGGTTTCCCCGGTTTCGCTGGTGATGCCAACGACGACTTTATCGTCGAGATCACCAAGAAGACGAGGGGGAAGAGCGATAGGCAGGCCAAGCATAGGCTGAGGACACTGAGGAGCGAGTTTAGGCTGAGGCATGCGTTGAGCGGGTGTTATTTGTTTTCTCACAAGGTCAAGCTTCCCGAGTGGGGGTATGAGCAGCAGGAGGTTACTTGTAATAGGAACCCTACTTGGGAGAACTCTTTGTGGTATATCGAGACTAACCAGCACGCTCAATGTGAGTCATCTATCTACAGAGGGGACATGACTAACGCAAAGCAGTGCCCTACGATGCCGAAAAGGTCAACTACCAAAGACCCAGCTTTTTCGAAAAGTTTTTCGAGCTCAACGCCGTCATGTGGCGCACCAATGCCGGTTTGACTGAGCGACACGCATACGACTCTCGACCCCAGCACTGGCCCTGGCTCAGGCGAGGTATCAACTTTTGGGTCAAGGACCACAAGCAGGTTTACCTGATCGGTAACCCTGTTGTGTGGTGGAGCAGTACTGCGGCTATTGCTGCTTATCTTGCTGTGAGGGCGTTCTTGGTGTTGAGGGCTCAGCGAGGTTATAGAGATTTGCATCAACGTGAGTAGATTGTGATCTATCAGGTGCAGCGCTAATGGTCTTACAGCCAAGACTGCGTTCTACGACGAAATCTGCGCGTTCTGCATCATCGGCTGGGGGCTCCACTACTTCCCCTTCTTCCTCATGCAGCGTCAACTCTTCCTGCACCACTACCTCCCCTCCCTCTACTTTGCCGTCCTCCTCCTCTGCACCGTATTCGACTATCTCACCTCGACGCTCAAGCCCAAGGTGAGGCTGAATGTGGCTGCTGTCTTTTTGCTGCTCGCTTTGTGGGCTTGGAATCACTGGAGCAGTTTGGCGTATGCTACGGAGTGGACGAAGCATGGGTGTGAGAATGGGAAATGGTTGAAGACTTGGGATTTCTCTTGGTACGTTTCTCTATCCCAATTCTGAACTCGACTGATGGCGAAACAGTGCCGACTTCCACGACAACCTCGCCATGTACCAATCCACCCCCGCCATGTCTTCCGTCAAGATCGGCGGCGACCTCGGCCCTGACTCTGCTACCACCACCCTCGTCGAAGAGGTCCCCGAGCCCATCCAGAACGCTTTCGAAAAAGAAGCCGAGCCCGTGGAGGAAAAGACCCTCGCCCCTGTCGGGCCGGTGCCGGAGGTACAGATGGAAGAGTCTTCAGCGGTCTTTATCGCCGAGGGCGAAGAAGCGCCAAAGCAGGAAGATCTGAGAGCGCCGGTGGGGAATGATGCCGGGGATCCGGCGGTGACGGAGAAGGATGAAGCTGGTGGATGGCACGGCGGTGCGGAAGATGAGGAGAAGGGACAGGAAGAAGAGGAAAAGGTCAAGATCAAAGAGGCTGAGGCGCCGGTGGGTGCCAAGGTGGAAGTGAAGGAGATGGAGATGGATGCGGAGCAGCAAGAGTTGGTGGATCAGATTCTGGAGCAGCAAGATTAGAGTAATGTCTGCGATGTAATCATGATTGTCCTGCACGATGATCCCATGCAAATTCTGAGATAATACCTTGCATGCAAGCACTTTGTGGGGGCCGTGCTTGCAAGAAGATGAGGAGAAAGTCGAGGATGGAGATGGTTGTGGATCACTATTGATAGTTGGTGGATCAGATCCCCCGCAAGATCTGAGTAATAATGTCTGTGATATACGATGATCTAAATGAAAATCCACTACGATACTGATATTCTCCCTTTTACTTGCTCAACTCGGCCAACCTCACCCTAACAGCATTCGCATGCGCCTCCAACCCCTCCCTCTCCGCCAACCTCACCACCGTAGGCCCCAACACCCTCAACCCATCCCCAGTGACGAACTGCGACGTAATGTGCTTTTGGAATGACAGCGTGTTGACGCCGGAGAATTGACGGGCAAAGCCGTTTGTGGGGAGAGTGTGGTTTGTGCCAGAGGCGTAGTCGCCGCATCTACATAATGTCAGTGGGGTTCGTGGGGAGGGATGGAGACGCACGATTCGGGCGAAAATGCACCGACAAAGACACTCCCGGCATTCTCAATAAACTCTACAGCCCCCGGCGCATCCTCCAAGTGCAAAATCAAGTGCTCGGGCGCATACTCGTTGCTAAACTCGATAGCCTTCTCCTGACTGTCGACCAAGACGATCAATGACTTTTTGACGGCTTCGCGGGCGATGGCGACTCGGGGGAGGGCGTTGGCTTGGGTTTCGATTTGTTCTTCGATAGCTTTGAGGAGGGAGGGGGAGAGGTTGATACCAACGAGGACGACTTGGGAGTCGACGCCGTGCTCGGCTTGGGACAAGAGGTCGGAGGCGACGAAGATGGGGTTGGCAGTGTGGTCCGCAATCACCTATTCATCATCAGCTTGATTCACAGAAGGAAGAAGGACTTACCAAAACCTCTGAAGGTCCAGCGGGCATGTCGATAGCCACCAACGCCTCTGTGTCATTCTGCACCAACATCTTGGCCGCCGTCACCCACTGATTCCCAGGCCCAAAGATCTTGTCCACCTTCGGCACCTCATCCGTCCCATACGCCATCGCACCCACCGCCTGCGCTCCACCCGCCTTCAAGATACAAGTCACCCCCACAAGCTTGGCAGCGTACAGCACTTCCGGCGAGATGGTGCCATCGGGGCGGGGAGGGGTAGCCATGACGATGGTTTTGCAGCCTGCGACTTGGGCGGGGACACCGAGCATGATGGCGGTGGAGGGGAGGATGGCGGTACCGCCTGGGACGTAAAGACCCACTCGGGCGATGGGGCGGGCAAACCTCGAGCAAGTCACACCGGGCATGGTCTCGACGACAAGAGGCGCCTTTTCGTTCTGCGCAACGTGGAAAGTCTTGACGTTTTGGTAAGCGACGTCGATGGCTTCACGCACGTCGGCAGGGAGCACGTCTTCGCCGGGGGTGGCGAACGGAGGAAGCTGGACGTTGGAGGAAAGGTCGGCCTTGTCGAATTGCGCTGTCAAGGCGTGCAAGCCGGCGTCGCCTTCTTTCCTGACCCGCTCGACGATAGGCTTGACCTTGTCGATCATGGCCAGCGAGTTGAGGACGGGACGAAGGAGGAGCTTCTTTTGTTCCTCGGCGGGCAGCTCGGAGAGGACGGCGGTGCGCATGCGGATAGGCTCGTCAGAGGCGGGAAGCTTGGAAGGCTCGGGGACGGTCGACTTGACCTCCTTGTTCTCCACAACCTTCTCCCCGGCATTCTCCCACTTGGGCTTGGCATCGCCCTTTCTTCTCGTCACCTTCAAACTCTTCTTGTCCAGTGCCTTCTCGACATCGGTAAACGAAACGCCCTTGCTGATACAGCGGGTGAGCGCAAAGTAGATCAGGTCGGCGGCTTCGAAAGCCACTTCATCCTTGCTCTCGGCATCACAAAGCTCTTCCGCCTCTTCCATAATCTTGCTCCTCAACAGCTTTTCGTCCGTAAACAGTCTCTTGGTATAACTCCCCTCGGGCGCACTCTCGAGACGAGCTTGGAGCGTATCTTGAAGTTTCGCAACACCGTTCAACCCGCCGAAACAGGTGGTTTGGGGCAAGTGACAAAACCCGCTGCCGTGCTGCACCACCTCAAAGACGAGAGCATCGGCATCGCAATCAAGCTTCAACCCCACCAACTGCTGTACCGCACCGCTCGTCTCGCCTTTACGCCACAAGCCGTGCTTTCTCGATTGGTAGACGCCTTTTTGGGTCAGGATCGCTTCAGCCACGCTCTCTCTGGAGGAGTAGACGAGCCCGAGGGGTTTGGTGGAGTGGTTGGCAGAGGCAACGATGGAGGGGAAAAGCCCGTCTGGCCTGTCAGAGAGGATAGGGGCGAGGAAAGCGGCGGGGATGGAGAGGTGGGTAGAGGTGGTGGTAGCGTGGTTGGCGAGAATTTCAGTGGGGAGGACGTATGACGACGGGCGAGCCGAGCGGATGAGCTCTTCAAGCTCGGACACGTTGGGCGAAGGGTGCTGGAGGAATACGTCCACAGACAGACCGAGAGACTTGGCCGTGTGCGCGGTGAACGAGACGATGTAAAGCCCGGCAACTTGCTCGGCAAGCGACTTTTTCGAAGCGAGCTCTTCTTCAGAGAGCTTCAAGATAAGCCTCTCTTTGGGGATGGCGCCGTTCAGCGCTTCGAGCTGTGAAGGAGAGACGACGATACGCTGGGCACCATTGTCGAGCAGGGTGATGAGATCGCCATCGTACTTTTCAGCCTGGACGTAATAAGTGGCAGTAGTCGGAAGGTCGTGGAGGACGACGTTGAGGAGGGTGGCAGGGATGAGGAGGGGCGCGATGAGGGCGAGGGAGGGGAGGAGGGCGTTGGCGGTGGGGTCGACGAGGGGGAGGAACGGAGGGGTGCTCATGGTGGGCGATGGAAAAGATAGAGAAGATGGACGAATTGTCAGTCATGACTCGGATGAGATTACGTAAATGGCGCTTATTGCGCTTCTCATCATTCTTCCAGCGCAGATCGATACAACTATATAATACCATAACCATGGAATACGAGACCATCACATCAGGGAGGGCAAAGAGAAGCACCGCGGGTAACCGGTAAGTCAAACGTATTATAGCGTGACATGCTGACGCTCGTAGCATGCGAGAGCTGCTGGAGAAGGCGCACCAAGAGGATGACGATGAGCTGTTCCAAGAAGTCGAAGATGACGAAGAATTCGTCGCTCCTGGTGTGTCCTCTAGTATACCAAGGCAGCACTAACATCCCATAGTCGACCAACGCGATGTCTACCTCGACGAATTTGCGGATACGGACGATGAAGGTTCCGGCGACGACGAAGAACGCGCCCTGCAACGCGAAGAACGCCACGTCAAGAACAAAGAAAAAGGCAAATCCAAAGCCCTCTACGACCCCCTCGCCAAACAGCCCAAGAAGAAGAAGAAGACCGCCATCGAAGGTGCAGGCGAATTTAAACAGTCTGATCTCGACATGCTCCGCGCGGAAGGGATTGACCCTGCGACGATGGCGCCGTCGACGTTGACTTTGGAGATAAGGAAGAGGAGGAGGGAGATGAAGCGGCAGGGTAGGTCGGAGGTGAGGAGGTCGAATTTGAGGGCGTCGACGATCAAGAATGAAGCAGAGATTATCGAGCGGGAAAAGCTCTCTCTTCTCGCGCTCGAGCAGCCTGGGCGTAAGGGGCGTAAATCGCAACATACCACCGGGATTCCCCAGCCGCACAAACGGAAATTCACGCAAGACGAGCTTATTGCAGAAGCGCTAGAAGAAGAAGAGAGGAATAAGGAGGCGTTGAGGGATTGGTTGAAGAAGGAGGATGAGAAACGGATGTTGAGGAAAGTGGGGAGGAAGAGGGTCAAGGGGCCGAGGTGGACTTGGGTATCGAGGACGGTGGGCAAGTTGGTGGATGAAGTGCCGGAAGCCGCCAAGGATGTTGAAGATGACCCGCCAGAGGGCGAGCCGAGTGAACCTCAAGAAGCTTCAAAAGCAGTCACGACAGAAGCCCCGAAGGCAGAACCCGAGAAACCTCCCGTCCCCATCCTGTCCCCGTCTGAAAACGCCCCATCTCAGTATACTCGAAACTACATCATTCTCTCTCAAATCCCCGGCGGCTTACCAGCCGAATTTGGCCTGGTCCTGGGAGATCATGTAGCGTGGGACGAGCTCAAAGTGATCCCGGCAAGAAACAGACCCATCAGTGAGTCCCTTCAGTGTTACTGCAAGATACATGCTGACGAAGATAGATCGCATACCACCCCTATGCCCCTTCACTGGCCTCCCAGCGCGATACCGCCATCCCCTAACGCTCACACCCTATGCCAACGCCGAGGGCTACGCTGCGATACAAGATCTTTTGGCGGAGCGCTATGTATGGAATGGAGAGGGGATGTGTTGGATGGGAGGGGAAGAGGAGCAGTGGGCGGATGGGATGGAAGAGGTTGAAGGGTGGGCGGAAGCTGTGGGTTTGGGGTGGAGAGGTGGGGAGGAGTTGGTGAAACGTGAGGTCGAGTTAAACGGGAAGAAGAGGGGGAGAGAGGGAGAACCAGCTCCGAAAAGAGGCAGGGGCAGGAGGAGATAGCATCATCGTTTGTAGCATAGTTGTATCATGTACCGAACATTACTCTATATCGACGGGACGCGCTTGTTCATCGTCTCACCCTCTTTCACCCGACGCCTACCCTGAGGGACGCCTGGCAAGGGACTGCATCGGGGCCTTGATTCGGGGGAATGCGGATTGGCCCTCTGCGGAAAGAAACGACTGCTCTCTGATGGGACGATTGTTTTCCTCGGAACGCGCCGTGCCTGGGAATCGTGTCTCTCACAAAAGATCGCGCTCCGCTTTCCACTTTCCAACTACATCCACCCCTGCCCCCCATGTCCTCGCGAGAACCAGAAATCATCATCATCGGCGCCGGCATCGTCGGCACCGCCCTCGCCTACTCTCTCTCCCACACCGGCCGCAAGATCCTCCTCATCGAGCGCGACCTCGCCGAACCAGACCGTATCGTCGGCGAGCTCCTCCAGCCTGGCGGTGTCGCCGCCCTCGTCAAGCTCGGGATGCAAGACGTCTTGGAAGGGATCGATGCGAGTCCGGTGGAAGGGTACTGCGTGTGTAATGGAAAAGAACGGGTGGGCATTCCGTACCCCGTTTTGGAAGAGATGGCGAGGGCGGATGCGTCCAAGGGGCCAGAGATTCGGGAGAGTGAGGAGGCGGGGGTGAGGACGAAAAAGTGGCATGTCGATAGCGCATCGGGGCTGAAAGAAGGACGCTCGTTCCACCACGGCCGCTTGATCTCTGCGCTCCGCCGGAAATGTCTGGACGACGCGCCGAATGTCACTGTCCTCGAAGCGACCGTGCGCGACCTGCTCTTTTGCGAACACACCAACAAGGTCATCGGTGTCTCTGCCGCCCCCAAGGGCGCTAATGCTCAAAAGCACTATGCCCCGCTGACGATCGTCGCTGATGGGTGCTTTTCGAAATTCCGATTGACGCCTGGGACGCGGACGCGGGTGCCGGATACGCGATCGCACTTTGTGGGCTTGATCTTGAATGACTGTGAGCTGCCGATGAAGCATTATGGGACGGTATGCTTGACGCCGAGTGGGCCTGTGTTGTTGTATCAGATCGGAGACAAGGCGGGCGATATCAGGATGCTCGTGGACGTCAAGGGCAAGCTCCCTAGCGTTGCCGATGGTTCTTTGAAAGTAGGTCTCTTCTTCAAGCTGACGTTTATAGCTGACAATCGTAGAACTATTTGATTGACAACTACCTCCCGCACATCCCCGTCGAACTCCGTGACCCCCTCCTCAACGCCCTCTCCGCCCAACGCATCCGCTCCATGCCAAACTCTTACCTCCCACCCTCCATCCAAGGCCTCGAAAACTCGCTCCAGGGCGCCGTCCTGGTCGGAGACGCCTACAACATGCGTCATCCCCTCACCGGCGGCGGCATGACTGTCGCTTTCAACGATGCTATCCTCTTGACAGAGTACCTCCGTCCCGGCGGTGTGCTCCGGGGTAGACCGGCGGAGGAAGGGTTGGCCGAGGGACGGGAGGGTTTGGAGGATTGGGAGAAGGTGGCGGAGAGGTTGAGAGAGTGGTTTTGGGAGAGAAAGCAGGTTAGCAGTGTGGTTAATGTGTTGAGTATGGCGCTGTACTCGCTCTTTGGAGGGTCTGATAGTGAGTCTTTTTTTTCTCAATGTGGCGGAGCTGATAAAGGTAGAATCGGATTTGGCGATCTTGAGAGAAGGATGTTTCAGCTATTTCGAGCTCGGCGGCGATTGCGTCGCAGGACCCGTCGGTCTTCTCTCAGCGTACGTCCCCTCCCCTTCCTCCTCACTCTACTGACCCTTGGCAGCCTGACGCCCCGCCCAATGGTCCTCTTCTACCACTTTTTCAACGTCGCCTTCTACTCCATCTACCTCCTCCTCAAGAAAGGCCCGCCTAATAGGAGGAATGGGAACGTTTTCGCTGCGATTGTGATGCTTCCGATCAACTTGCTTCTCTCTCTTCGGGTCGTACGTCCCCTCCTCCCACCTCTTTTGTTGGAATGCAAAGCTGATGGGGTAATAGTTCTGGTCGGCGTGTGTGGTGTTGCTGCCATTCATGATCACCGAGTTCAGAGCATAGACTCCTTTTGCTTGTCGCTTTTTGGGTTTTTAATGGACACAGATCTCAATCTTGGCTGCATATCATGTTACTTTTCAATCTTGTAACTTTTATGAGGGGTTTTTTCCCATGTCGTATAGGCTCATAATTATTTGTCCATCGCACTACTCCCCACCATCTTGTACCCAAATGAGAGGATGAAGAAGACGTTTTGGTTTGTATATAGAAGCGAATAAAAATGCATTTGAGTCAAGATGTATGAACGCAAGCCTTTTCATTCCACTTATGCCCGGCCTATGTTCTCCCAGATAGTTCTCGATTATGTATATTCAGAATAGCACAAATTATATGCATCATTGGGAGATAGACGACAAGTCACCATGGAGAGTTCACAATGGGTGGTATGCACCTTCTCCAGGTTGAAATCTAGAAATTGGTTGAGTGTAACATGTTGGACGACCAGAGATACATTGATATCCACTCATCAGTAGACTTGGTGCTTCCGGGTTGATCTTGTGTTCATCCATGGGTCGTTCCAATTATCCGTCATCTGAATTATGTGACGGCCAAGTATTGGCTTGTAGAACTCGGCTAGCTCTATCTGGCTATGTCCTTGAGATACTTGATGATACTGCATGCGAAGTCTATAGATTCGTACAGCTAAAAAACATATATTTCAGATACCCTGGAACCCAACATATATTTTAGATACCCGTGAACCCAGGAGACAAGTATACTCCTCCCTCGTCGTCTTCTGCCTCGTCGTCTCCTCCCTCCTGTCGGACGGGTGTCGGGGCCGCCGGGCCATTCTCCTCCTCCTCGACCTCCGACCGCTTCTTCTTCCTCCTCCTCTCAATCTTCTCCATCTCTATCCTCCACTCATCCTTCTCCTGCGCCGGCTTGCTCCTCCAAGAATCGTACGCCCGCGCATACCCCGCCTCCGCCGCACGCTTGTTCATCGTAAACTCCTTGTCCGGCCGACTGGAGGCCAGAGCCTTGACCTCGCTTGCTCCCAGCACGTCCATCTCGGACCACCACTCCTTCCACAACGTCCGTCCCCACTCCTCCCAATCCTCCCGAATCCGGGCCGCCATCGGGGCACTAAAGCCCTTGGCCTTCTCGTTCATGGCGAGGGGTCCCTGCCCTATCGGCTTGATCTTGCGTTGAACGGCGTCCTTGATCTGTTCCGGGACCTTCTGAAGGGCCTGCCGCAACAACATCCAGCCATGGGGGCTTTGACCCTGGGTGTTCCCCAGGTGGTTAAACCCTTTTCGCGCCAACGTGACCACTTCGCGATGTTGGTTCGTGACATCCTGGCTATCCTCCGCCCAGGTGACAAGTGCCTCGTATATCACGCACGCGGCGGTTAGGATGGATGACGACCGACCCAACGCCGGGTATTGAGGAAGAAGTTTGACGCGAGTGGACCACAGGCCCTTACACTGGAGGGGGTAATCTTTGTGCAAAAAACGAGAGGCGACCGAGAGAGGGTCGCGCGGGCGGGAGGACACCAGGTCGGCCGACCAGGGGCGGAACAGCCGGTTGTATTCGTCGATCCAAGCAGTAACCTTCTCGGCCCACTGGACGGCGTAGTCTACTCCGGCCTCCTCCCGGAGGGGCCTGTTCAGTTTGCAGAAATAGGCCAAGGACTACTAGCATCGTCAGAGGTCATTGTGGGGAAAGGATAGCATTGTACGCACCATTACTTCCGCCGGGTCGGAAACGCCGTGTTTGGCCATCCAGAGGTAATATTCACGTGTATTGATTGGCCATTTGACGCGGTCCGAGAGATGGCCCGAACCCCGAACCATATGAAATTTGGCCTTGGCCACAGTCGGGAACGTCGCGGGACAGAAGTGGCAGGGGACTCCCCCGTCGGCGCTTCTCTTCATGAGCCACTCAGGTTTCTCTATGTGATATTTGGTGGGGCGGGGGGGCACGGGGGCGGGACGCTCGCGCCTAGCGCGGGCTCTCTCGAGGAAGGATCTTGCGGCTGGCATGGTTGATTGTTGGTTGATGAGTGTTGGATTCTGGAGTTCAGTACATACGGTCAAGTGGTTACGTAATGCAGCGGGACCAAATGCCCAGAAAGGTTGCGGGAACCGTTCAACCTCATTATTGAATACTGTTGTACATCTTCGGCTCCTATCACCTGGTAAGATGAAGAAGCATGAGAAAGCACAACAGGTTTCGCAATATAAAGTATCCCGCTGCGAGTCTCTGAATCAACTCTGATCTAGTAAGAAGGAAGTGAAAGTTCATTACGAATGCAACAGCATACGTCGATGGGCGCGTACGAGCTGTTGCAGCTCGAAAGCCACTTAATAAGGAAAGGGGAAGAGGAAGGGAGAAAAAGAACGGGGGGAGAGGCCGGGGAAGAGGGGCCTGGAAGATCAGGGAAGAGACAACAAATGCAACACATCTATCTCCATGGGCGTGGGCAGCAAGAAGGTGAGGCCAAGCCCCGAAAAGTAGTTGCACCCAGATGCGGCAGCCGTAGTGGCCAACCTACAGTAGAGTTAGCAGCTGACTTGGAATATAAGGCGATAAAACGTACGAACTGTTGCAGCTTGAAGGCCACTTCCTCCGGCGCCCACCGCTCCCACCGAGCCATGTTGGCACTCAACAAGCGGGCTAAAGAGGGGCCACGGAAAGAGGAGGGGTGACGGAAGGCCAAGGAGGGGCCAGGGAGGGACTGGAGCGAGGTGCGCCAGGGAGGAGGGACACCCATGAATTTCATGCTGCATATTCTCTCGTAATAGTCAGCAGTGTGCATGAAGCGAATAGAGGATAGACATACTCTGTTTGGGTCGGTTTTTGGTGGTCGTATAGGCTAATAATTATTCATTCATCGCACTACTCTCCACCATCCTGTACGGAAGGATGGAAACGAAGAAGACGTCTTGGTTTACATATAGAAGCGAATGAAAATGCATGTGAATCAAGATGTATGAAAGCAAGCCTATTCCACTTATGCCCGGCCTCCGAAGTAGTCCTTGTAAAGAAGACGCCACTGGACGGCCTGGTATGGAAGGGTCGGCTATGTACAGTCAGCAGAGAAGACGAGAGTCTGTGAGAACTCACGTCCGTCGCGAGGTCCTTGATTCTACGGGCTCGGTCGAACCCGTGCGCGTCCCAATGTCGCTCGCGCGGCTCCAGGATTTGGCGGATTTGCGCTGGATCAGCTTTGACACAAAAGCCTTCATCTTGCAGAAGATCAGCTCACTCTGGCCAGAAAGAAGAGAGAGTGTCCTACATGGTGCATCAAACTGCTCTTGCTGGATAACATCTTGTTACAGGTAGGGCAACAATGCTGCGTATCGGAATGGTAACTTTCTTTCTATTCACCAAGTCAGCCGTTGTGGTCGATCGTGCAGGGAGCGGTATCTTACATGGGCCCGCACTGCCCTCTCCGAAGGGAAAGGAGGCTGAGTGCAGCTCGGGAAATAGCAGTGAAACATATTGACTGTTACTTGTACGTGCTTTGAATCCTTCCGCACGACCACTCGTCTCCCCCTCATTCCAGCGCACAAGTCCAGTGGTGAGGGGTATGCTGTGGCCGATCAAGTGGTTTACGAGCTGTTCCCGAGTGTGGCAAGATTGCCCGCAGGTGACGATGGGGCAGGGGGTGTTGGCGTTGATTTCAATACAGGAGAGGTGAGACCAGACATGTGTGGAAAAGCCACCCAGGTGGGGAAATCTGTCGCTTGCGTGAGCAGACTACATGGCACCTCGACCCGACACTCACTGCCGCATGACGACCGAGTAACTTGACAAAGCTGGCTCCTCGAAGAGGCAAAACGGGCAGAGCCCCGGTTGGAACAGACACTTGACTCAAATTCAATCAGGTGCGGCCATTTTAGGTTCTCATCCCCGGGTGCCGAACACTGAAAGGTCTATCAGAGAGATCCATGATGAGGTTGGTGATACACACCTGGGCCATCTCGACCATTGGTTGCACGACCTTTTGATGGTGCGAAGCGCAATGGTCTTCCCAACGATGGGGATTCACAAAGCTGTTATCGTGTCTTAGTCGCTGGGCCTATCTGCTGAGAATGAGATGGCACTCACTACTCGCGACACCAGTGACAAAAGTTTGTGGTGTTTGTTTCGCCGGCAGTGGACACACCATGATCGGCCCAAAGGTGTTGCACAATCTTCCATTTCACTTCGGCGCTGTCAAACAGGGGTCAATACTGACCTTGTTGCAGGCTGAGTTGAGACTCACGGGTGCTCGCAGTCGGTAAAGGGGCATCCCCGTACGGCCGGGCCCTTATGCAAGTTGTCGCGAGCGGCTTTGATGAGTTTTGCCGCATCTACGTAATGCCTGGGTTCAGCCCATCAAGGAAGGGGGAAAAAGACCAGGGGGAGAGGCCGGGGAGGAGGGGCCTGGAAGATTAGGGGAGGGCGGGGAGGGGAGGGCGAGGATGAGGGGCGGAGTAGAACGTAAGCGTCCAAAGAGGGGCCACGGAAAGATGAGAGGCCACGGAAGGCCAAGAAGGGGCCAGGGAGGGGTTGGACAGAGGGGCGCCGGGAGGAGGGACGCCCATGAATTCTCACCGCCCCTCTCCAACTTCCCACCAAGGACGCATCGGCTTCTAAACTAGTGCTTGCGCCCCCTACTCAACTGTGCTTTCCATTAGCGTTTTGATGGGCAATCCACTGGCCGATACATACGTGTGCTTTCAATTGTCCGTTATCCACAAACTTCGTCTTACACCCCTTTCTCTCACATGGCACTGTTCTCTCTGTGTGGACATTCTTCACCTGTGCTTTCCATTAGCGTTTCTATGAGCTATCCACCGTCCGATACGTACGTGATTGTCCAAGCGTGCGTTGGTCGCAAACTTCGCCTTACACCCCTCTCTCTCACATGGCAACTGTTCTCTCTCCGTGAACCACCTTCATCTGTGCTTTCCATTAGCATTTTGATGGGCAATCCACCGACCGATACGTACATGCGCGTTCAATTGTCCGTCGTTCAATTGTGCGTTGGTCGCAAACTTCGTCTTACACCCCTTTCTCTCACATGGCACTGTTCTCTCTCCGTGAACCGCCTTCATCTGTGCTTTCCATTAGCGTTTTGATAGGCAATCCACCGGCCGATACGTACATGAATATCCAGGTACGCACTACTCGAAAAGAGCTTGCCACAGTCAGAACACTCGGGACTGGGGCGCTGGGGCTTGACTAGCTCCCAGAAGGCAAAAGGCTCTCCAAGGGGATCTTGGGCGTTCATTCCAGTGTATTCTCGTGGAGCATTTGCCCAGAACGTCTTGGGTGCATGTGCACAGCCAGGGTTAACCCGGTGTAGCGTATCACACGCCTCGTGGCAGACCGCTTCGCTCAGCCTGGCATTTTCTATACACGCCAACCTTCTTCTCTTGGTGGGATACACTTCCTCCGGCACCAGAGGAAGGGCAAGGGCAAGGGGAAGGGATTGGGGAGGAGAGGAAGCGAGAAAGAGAGGGAGAGCGAGGAACAGTAAGGGAGAAAAAGGACAGGGGGGGAGGCCGGGGAGGAGGGGCTTGGAAGATTAGGAGAGGGCGGGGAGGGGAGGGCGAGGATGAGGGGCGGAGTAGAATAAAAGTGGCCAAAGAGGGGCCACGGGAAGAGGAGGGGCCACGGAAGGCCAAGAAGGGGCCACGGAGGGGTTGAAGAGAGGCGCGCCGGGGAGGAGGGACGCCCATGAATTTTCACCGCCCCTCTCCAACTTCCTACCAAGGACGTATCGGCTTCTAAACTAGTGCTTGTGCCCCCTCCTCAACTGTGCTTTCCATCAGCGTTTTAATAGGCAATCCACCTGCCGATACGTACATGTTGGTTCATTGTTCCATTGCTCGTAAACTTTTTTTCGCACCCATCACATGCGTGTTCTTTTTCTCCACGGACCTCCTTCCTCTGTGCTTTCCATTAGCGTTTTGATGGGCAATCCACCGGTCGATACGTACATGTTGGTTCAACCTCCATTCGCTCGCCAACCTCTTCACACAACCATCATGCTCACATACAAACGTCTTGGGTCCATGGACATCAACCTTCTATGATTTTTTTTAGCGTTATGATGGGCAGTTCACCAACCCGTACGTACGTGAATATCCCGGTTCTCATTCGTCGTAAAGAGCTTGCCACAATCAGAACACTTTGAAAGGGGCCGTTGGGGCTTGTCTAGCTCCCAGAAGGAAAACGTCGCTCTAAGGGGAGGATGGGCGTCGGTTCCTACATAGTCACTTGGACCATTGACCCAAAACGTCCTATGAGTACGCGTTCGGCGAGAGCCTGGAGAGGAAGGGCATAGGGAAGGAGAAGGGGAAGGGCAAGGGCAAGGGCAAGGGGAAGGATTCGGGAGAAGAGGAAGCGAGAAAGAGAGGAAGAGCGAGGAACGGTAAGGGAGAAGAAGGTGAGGGGGAGAGGCCGGGGAGGAGGGGCCTGGATGATTAGGGAAGCGACCAATGCAATACATCCACCTCCGTGGGCGTGGCCAGCACGAAGGTGACCCCAAGCCCCGAGAAGTAGTCGGGGGGACAGGCCGGGGAGGAGGGGCCTGGAAGGTTAGGGGAGGGCGGAGAGGGGAGGGCGAGGATGAGGGGAGGAGTAGGATGGAAGTGGCCAAAGAGGGGCCACGGAAAGAGGAGGGGTCACGGAAGGCCGAGGAGGGGCTACGGAAGGCCAAGGAGGGGCCAGGGAGGGGCTGAAAAGGGGCGCCGGGGAGGAGGCGCCCATGAAATTTCCATGCCGTATATTCTCTTGTGATAGTCAGCAGTGTGCATGAAGCAAATAGATGATGGACATACTCAGTTTGTGTCGGTTTCTTGGTGTACTCGAGGGTCGTATGTAAAAAAAAAGATCACGTTGGGGTAATCCCGACCTCTTTCCAGGTAGACCACTCAGAACCTGACATGGCGCGGTGGCGTCCAGCAGACCGAACGAGTGTCGTACTAACAAGAAGTATGAGCGACAGTCTGGGTATGGAAGAAACAAAACTCACCCTCGCGATCATTCGTACCCTGACGCATACGTCTTGAGTAGATCGCCTATCCTTGAGCCGGAGTTGCCTTGTAGAAGGAGGGCGAGGAGATGAAGCCGCGCCGAGCGGCCGAGTTTTCCATGTAGGAGAAAGACGAGCATGACGGCGCGCAGGACCAAAGGACCAAAAGTGCGTAGTTGACGAGCAAAGAGGGGTGAAGGATCGGCGTGATTCGTTACGTGAAGGCGGCTGGTGGTAGCGTCGACTTGCAGCAGGGTGTCTAGACGAGCATCGATGACCGCTACATGAGGTCAGCACTGCTCAATAAGACGTCCAGAGATAAAGTCACTCCGGAAGACGGTGGCGTTTGGATCTTGCTTTTTGGAGTGCGGGTCTTGGAGCACCGTCTCGACCTTGTAGGGCTCTCTGATCTAGTCAGCTTTGATGCGAGTATGAAAAAGGGGAAGTTCTCACTCCATACGTAGCCCCAGGCGGAATTGCGAGGCCGGAGCCACGATTGGTATGGGCACGAGTCTGTCGTCATGTTAGCTTCTTGGACGACCTCGAGGGGCAAAAGGGGGCTTACTGGTGAAAATTACAAGCTGACAAGCCGTATCTATCCCCACCATCCATAAACATTGCTCCACTTCGACTGTACACTCGTCCGTATGCGTGTCATGCTCGTCTCCTGCAGGAAAACTCGGTAGCCCGAATCCGATCCATCCTCGAGACCTCTGCTAGGTAGAGGTGGGTGTTGTTGTAATGCAGGGGTAGGTGATGAGGTAGGGCTGAGTTGGTGGTAGGCTAATACATGTCAGCTTCTGAGCGGTAGGGAAGGGTGAGGAGGTTACTGACTGGAGTAAGCCACCGTCGGTATTGAGACGTCCAGAGGCGCGGTCGGTGTTGTATAGGCAGCGGCGTACCATGAAAGAAGTGACAGCAGGCCACTATGAGTATGGTCAGATACAAGCTGAAGAGGGGGGGATGGATTGAAGGATGTGGGAGACGAGTGGTATATATACATCGCCAGAAATTTTCGAAATGATGGGATGAGAGGGCGCAGAATGTGGGTGTCGTGGGGCGTTGCCAAGGGGATGTGATTGATGGATCGTCCATTAGCCCACACTAATCAGCTCAGATCTAATGAGCCTCATAGATGTGCCTTGCTATTACCATCGCCATCATCATGCACAACAGTCCCGTATCCGGATCCGGGTCAGGCTGTAGGGCGTGCCATTCATCTACGCTGCTAGTCCAGCATCACCAGAAGGCGACTACCGGGCTCCGTTCCTCGGATCATACACTCAGAGACATGCACTTGTCGGAGCCCCGAGTAGGCGGCTGTAGCCACATTCGCTGCCGCCGAAAAGGTCCCGCCTGGAGAAAATGCGAAAAATAGCGACGGAAAATTGCGGCAAAAAAATCCTCTCTGCGGAGCAGGCCTCAGCGCCATCTCCCGTCTCTGTCATCAATTCTTTCTTCTCCAACCCACTCTTTTCACAACCAACAAGTGAAAGAGCGCCCACCTCTCCCTTCCTAAAACAACTCTACTCTCTCCCCCCCGAACCCCCCCAAAAAATCATTCAAAATGGTGAGTCTGGCCCCGTTTGCCGCCCATCTCCTTATCTCTTACCAACGGACCGTCGCTGACCATACTTGTTGTGTATAGGTTAAGTGAGTTTGATTCAATCGTCTGGGACTATGAGGAGTATCCGAGGGGGCACATACGCACAAGAAAGAAGATCAAGAGCACAGGAAACGGACGAATTTCCCATGTCTTCGTTTTTCACCATCGGCCCTCTGGATTGCTCCTCGCCCCCCTATCTTCTGACATCTGCTGACCACTTTTTTGCGCTAAATAGCTTCACTGTTGACGAGATCAGGTACGCAATTATGAGCTCATCCACAGTGAAGGCGCTGACTTGCAATCTATAGGGCCTTGATGGGTACGCCGGACTCTAGACGCACGACTTTGGGCAGACACTGATTTCTTTGCAGACAAGCCCAGCAACATCCGAAACATGTCGGTTATTGCCCACGTCGACCACGGTAAATCTACCCTTACCGACTCTTTGATCTCCAAGGCTGGTATCATCGCCAACGCCAAGGCCGGTGAGATGCGATTCACCGACACTCGGTACGTTACAATTCAGACTCTATGAGGCCTCTGCTGACAGCTCTACAGTCAGGACGAGATCGACCGAGGAATTACCATCAAGTCTACTGCCATCACCATGTACTTTCCCCTCGACCCCGAGGATGTCAAGGACATCAAGCAGAAGACTGACGGTGAGCAGCTTTATTTCCCGAAAAGAACAGCGCTGATAAATCCCAGGTAACGAGTTCTTGATCAACTTGATCGACTCTCCCGGTCACGTCGACTTTTCTTCCGAAGTCACCGCCGCTCTCCGTGTCACTGACGGGTGAGTCTCTTGCAATCTTTTTTCGACCCAACTAACATACTCTAGTGCCCTTGTCGTTGTCGACTGTGTTGAGGGTGTCTGTGTCCAGACCGAGACCGTTCTCCGACAGTCTTTGACCGAGCGAGTCAAGCCCGTCCTTATCATCAACAAGGTCGACCGAGCTCTCCTCGAGTTGCAGGTTTCCAAGGAGGACCTTTACCAGTCCTTCTGCCGAACCATCGAGTCTGTCAACGTCATCATCTCCACCTACACCGACGAGGCTCTCGGAGACTCCCAGGTCTACCCCGAGCAGGGTACCGTTGCCTTTGGTTCCGGTCTCCACGGTTGGGCCTTCTCCCTCCGACAGTTCGCCGGTCGATACGCCAAGAAGTTTGGTGTCGACAAGTCCAAGCTTATGCCCAAGCTTTGGGGTGACAACTTTTTCAACGCCAAGACCAAGAAGTGGTCCAAGTCTGCCGACAACGGTGGTGAGCGTGCTTTCAACATGTTTGTCCTCGACCCCATCTTCCGTCTTTTCGACGCCATCATGAACTTTAAGAAGGAGGAGATCCCTACCCTCCTCGAGAAGCTCGAGATCAAGCTCAACAACGAAGAGAAGGAGCTCGAAGGCAAGCAGCTCTTGAAGGTCGTGATGAAAAAGTTCCTTCCCGCCGGTGACTCTCTTCTCGAGATGATTGTCATCAACCTTCCCTCCCCCGTCACCGCCCAGCGATACCGAGTCGAGACCCTTTACGAGGGTCCCATGGACGACGAGTCCGCCATCGGTATCCGAGACTGTGACCCCAAGGGTCCCTTGATGGTCTACGTCTCCAAGATGGTTCCCACCTCCGACAAGGGTCGATTCTACGCTTTCGGTCGAGTCTTCTCTGGTACCGTCTCTTCCGGCCCCAAGGTCCGTATCCAGGGTCCCAACTTTGTCCCCGGTAAGAAGGAAGACTCTGTCATCAAGTCTATCCAGCGAACCGTCCTCATGATGGGTCGATCTACCGAGGCTATCGAGGACTGCCCTGCCGGTAACATTATCGGTTTGGTCGGTGTTGACCAGTTCTTGCTCAAGTCTGGTACCCTCACCACCTCCGAGACCGCCCACAACATGAAGGTCATGAAGTTTTCCGTCTCCCCCGTCGTGCAAGTCGCCGTCGAGTGTAAGAATGCTGCCGACCTTCCCAAGCTTGTCGAGGGTCTCAAGCGTCTCTCCAAGTCTGACCCTTGTGTCAAGGTCATGATGGGTGACTCTGGTGAGATCATTGTCGCTGGTGCTGGTGAGCTCCACTTGGAGATCTGCATCAACGACCTCGAGAACGACCACGCCGGTATCCCCCTCCGAAAGTCGGACCCCGTCGTCGGCTACCGAGAGACCGTCACCGCCGAGTCTTCCATGATTGCTCTTTCCAAGTCTCAGAACAAGCACAACAGGCTCTACGTCAAGGCCGAGCCCCTCGGTGAGGAGCTCACCAAGGACATTGAGGAGGGCAAGGTCGCCCCCCGAGACGACCCCAAGACCCGTGCCCGATACCTCGCCGACACTTACGGCTGGGACGTCACTGACGCCAGGAAGATCTGGTGTTTCGGTCCCGACACCACTGGTCCCAACGTCTTTGCCGATGGTTCCAAGGCTGTTCAGTACATGAACGAAATCAAGGACTCTTGTGTTGCTGCCTTCCAGTGGGCTACCAAGGAGGGTGGTATCGCTGAGGAGCCCATGCGAGGTATCCGATACAACATTCTCGACTGTACTGTAAGTATCTGCTTTGAATTGGGATGGAGCTGATAGGCGTAGCTTCACGCCGATGCTATCCACCGAGGTGGTGGTCAGATCATCCCCACTGCCCGACGAGTGTGTTACGCTGCCCAGCTCCTTGCCTCTCCCGCTTTCCAGGAGCCCATGTTCTTGGTCGAGATTGCCGTTCCCGAGTCTGCCCAGGGTGGTGTCTACGTACGTCCCTCTCTCCTTCTAGTGTATTGCTGACATCTCGCAGTCTTGTTTGAACGTCCGACGAGGTCACGTCTTTTCCGCTGAGCAGAGGCCCGGTACCCCCATGTACACCCTCAAGGCTTACTTGCCCGTTTCCGAGTCGTTCGGTTTCAACGCCGACCTCCGTGCCGCTACCGGTGGTCAGGCTTTCCCTCAAGCTGTGAGTTTACGTAAACTTTTTTTGTTTGGCCGCGGACGGAAGCAAATAGTTGCGCCATGCTTCTCTTTCCGCCCGCGCCGCGTATATGCTTTCTATATGCTTTCCGACTACTTTTCTCAGCATGCTGACGCCTCTCTAACTAGGTATTCGACCACTGGGAAGGAAAGTTGCAAAAAAATCGCGAAAGAATGCTTGCTAACGATCCCTATAGAGCTCAGCGCCGACCCCACCGAGGTCGGATCCAAGACCAACTTGCTCGCCGTCCAAATCCGAACCCGAAAGGGTCTCAAGCCCGACGTGCCTCCTCTCGACTACTACTACGACAAGCTCTAATCGGGTCGATGGTGTCGAGATGGGAGTTGGACGCGATGTATATAGTGCATATCCTTGTATGCAGGAATTTCCGAAGATTGCTCTGTCCCGCGAAGGTCTACAAAGGCGGACGTCCTTCAAAAATCTACCCCACCGACACTCCTCTATCTACCCCATTGAGCCCCCATGCCACTACCAAGCCTTACAGCGCACCACAAACGCCGCCGTCTCATCAACCATCTTCCAGCCATACGGCCCTCGTCGGAACGTTCCCCAGTACTGCCTCGGTCCCCCAACGAGATGCATCACTTTCTTGGACTGTTTTCTCGCTCACAGTTATCTACATACACAGTATCCAGCTGCACAGCTCATCATACAATCATACCTCTTCCCCCCCTCACCACGTTCACTCAACAACTTCCGACTTCCGACAACCACTCAACGCCGCTGGGGTCACCACCCGCCTTTGGCTCGCCTCTGACTCTCTGTTTCCTTCTCCCATTGTGGCTATCATCTTGCCCCATCACTCGCTCGCTCCTGGCTCTTCCCTCCAAAATGCCGAAATCTGCCCCATCAAAATCCCACGGCGCACTACAAACGAGGGTCAACAAAGGCGGGAGTCCTCCCAAAACACCCCCGACCAACACCGCTCGATCTGCCCCATCAAAATCCCTTTTGACTGGCAAGCCCTACAGCGCACCACAAACGAAGGCCGACAAACGCGAACGTCCTCCTAAACCGTCCCCCACCAACACTCTTGCCCTTCGGTCTCATCCGGAGGGCGATGTGCCCCAGTAATCGGTCGGTCCCTGCAAATACGTATGCGAGAAATGCGGTGCTCTTCACTGGGCAGGCGAACGTCCAGCCACCGCCAGAAAGGCCGTGCTCGCTATACCCGCAACGTCGTGTATAAAGACATCATAGCTCCACTCTAGAGACGTTTGCATGATCCGAACATGTACTGAACTGTACCGATAGTCATGAAACTGTTTCCCATGCATACACTGATTGTGCCTTTCCAGTTCGACATCAGTCGACTAAGCATGCATGGGTCGAAAACGGTAGTCTCATCATTTCTAACAGACACGATTGGACACTGACACTCTGGTACCTCCAGCTCTCTCTACCTGGAAGAAGGAGCATGCAAAATTCCGCTGCAGGAGACTGGCGTATCCCGAGAACAGTACTCTGAACACAGCCGGTACATGCATCTACCATCGTCTCTGGCTGTCAAAGCTTTCCAGTCGTGTCATCGCCTCGCGCATATGATATGCAACTGAGTGTCCTGCCCCTCTCTTTCTTTCGCCTCGAATGACAGTCCGAGTCTTACCCACCGCCGCACACGGCATGTGTTTTCCACGCGCCCTTCACGCCGACAGCAACGCCCTCACGACCATCATTTGCAGCGAGGCGCAGGTTTTCATCCAGCTATTCATCTCTATCTTTCTCTAAAAGCTTAGCTTTACTCATTGCCGCCTCAAATCTCAGACCACATATCCCGCAGCATGGCCAGAAACCGACAATGAATCCTCTCTAGCAGTTCCGAGCTCTCCCCACCTCCACCTCCCCCTTCCTCTCCGCCGCCAGCCCCCAAGCGAGACCCGGAGGACTTGTATGAGGAGGCTACCGAAGTAGACACGCCCCCTTCGCTGACTGCGGAGTCTTCCAAAGGAACAAGCAACAGCCAGAAGAAGAAGAAGGAGAAGCAAGAGAGCAAGAGGAGGAGACTCTCAAAGGAAGCCACGCTCATATTCAGCTCGCAAGTATTTCAACCCAGCCCCGGAGGAGGCGATTGTAAGTAATATACCCAGCATGAATACCCACTCACGGCATGTAGCGGAAGTGACACTCGACGACAAATCCTTCCCAGCAGGCCAGACGTCTGAAAAGACGGTCAACGGCTCCTCTGTGCTGGTTGACAGATCCTCTTCCTCCACCATCGCAGTCATCTCTCGAAAGCCCTCGCAAGGCCTCTTCTCCAGCTCTATTCCGGCCCCGCTCCCACCCTCCCCCTTGCCCCGCCAAACCTTCGACGAGGCCACCGAAATTGGCACGCCCCCATCGCATGATGCACACCTTCTTCACCCACTCCTCGACGGGCGCCCCTCCGCTCGCCTCTCCCCTCCTCATCTCCCGACGAAGAGCGCGAGGTCTTTGATCCCGAGGTCAAGGACCTGGTGATATCCCCCCGGGATACTCTTCCCTTCACGTTGGATGACCTACCGACCTGCCCCAAGCCGATCTACCCGATTGACAAGCACCGCGGCAGCTTCAAATTTGGAATCCCCACCAATTTGGAAGAGTGCAGGAAAGCATGGGACTCACTCTGGGATGAGGATGTCTGGAGTGGCCGTAGCTTGAAGACTCTGAGCAGCGCTAGGCATAGGGTGCTTCTGTTAAAGGTCGAGAAGAAGCAGAAGGGTGCGGTCAAAGAGCTGGGCCGCTTCAAAGTTCATCGTGCTCGACTTCACCGATGGCTGATCAGTGTCTGTCGACCGTTCTGGACTGTTCTATCAGGCGGCATCCACTCCCTCATGGAGCCGGGAGATATCGGCTTCAATAGCGTCTTTGCTAAGGCGATATGGGGCAACAAGAGCACGGAGCTGTACCAGTACCTGCGGAAAATCAACTCCTACCGATCGGACATCGAATACATGTGAGAATCATAGTACAGTCTCGAGCAAGTCGCTGACCAGTACACAGCTCTTTCAAGATACACTGGACCATCCTGAAGCTGCAAACCCGTGATCTGGGATGGGACTTCTCCACTGGCCAGCCGAAGGACGCCTTCAAGGATCGCTGCCTTGTCAACCTCTTGTCGAACAAGAAGCTGAAGAAATTACTCGAAAACATCATCCACCAAGGGGCGTGCCTTTTGTTCTACTCCGGATGGTCTCAGAAAGCCTGTCTCGAAGAGGGTGCGGTGCGGTTCAAGCAGAAGGCGGTCCACGACTACTTGCGAGACGCTTTTCTGGAGGAAGGGATCTGGGAGCAAACGAGGGTCGACGTCTTTGAGCGACAGTGGGCGGATCCCGAGCGAAAGGAGAAGGTCACTCCGCTCCTCCAGAACACCAACAAGAAGGATCCTTCTCTGGAGCAAGAACTGGCGAGGGCGATCATCGAGCGTTACAAGGAGGCTCGGGAGGTGGGCGAGGATGTCTCGATCGAGAAAGTCGATCCCGGGGACAAGATTCATGCTCGAGGAGGTCGCGTCTTGGTAAGTGAAACCACATCCTTGTGGCCTATGCTGACGTTCCACAGCATCCCTTCGCCCCTGCGTACGACCGATTCGACCGCCAGAACAACGAGGTCGACCCCGCCGCGGCAGAATTCTTCAAGTTTGACCGCAACCTCCGCCGCCACGCCCGAAGCGAAGGCAACTCTTTCATGGAGAGTCGTCTCCCACCTGTTGCTGAGGGCTCCAGCCAGTTCGGAGGCCGAGATTGGCACCACGTCCATGGCGTCAAGATGGTGACCGCTGGTCTTGTCGTTAACCTCCCCGACCTCATCGAAACTATCGACAACGCCTTTTACGGCCTGATGCTCCCAAAGCTTCAGGAAGCGCGGCTCACCATCCCCAACCTTCGCCAACGCCTCCTCTCCATTGCCATATCCCTGTCCCCCTCCGACCTCCCCACCAAATCGCTCTCGGTCCCGCCTGGAATTGTTGCTCGCTCTGGTCTCGAAGGCATCAGCTCCGAGTTCCTTTACTTGGTGCCGACCGAGTCCCAGAAGAAGGCTATGGTGCTGCAGGTAGCAACAGAGATCCGTGAGGTTGAAGAGGTGGAGGCGACGTTCGAGAGCAAAAAAGCTGGGTTTCCAACGGAGGCCGACGCTTTTGAGCGGAACAGACGAGACCTTACCCCAGTTGACCTGGAAGCGGGCTTTGAGGCTGCTGAGAAGCTATTCAAGAGAGACTGTACAGCTCGAAGCGGTGAAGTCAAAAAAGATGCCGAGCTCGTCCTCACCTTCCTCGACGACCTCTACGTCCACCCCTCTCTCCAAGCCCCCCAGCCTCAAGCATCGTTCAGCCTGAGCCAGGTCTCGTCAGTCGTCTGCCGGCTCTTCATGCGAGTCGCGCACCACTTTTCCTCGCGCAACGAGCAAATAGCGATGGACTTTCTGGAGCTGGCCTTCGACGTGCTCTTCCTCGGCATCCACATGCGGACCCCGGTCTTTGGAGGCGCGTGGCTTGATCTGCGCATCGCCCAGATTGGCGATAAAGTGTGGGATGCTAAAGGAGTCCGAGAGCTGCCCGCCGTTATCGCCCGTCTCGTCGTCGACCTCGTTGCAGTCGACATCAATCTGTCTGTGCTTTGTGCAAGACATTGGCGCGTGGGTGGTGATCCGACTGTTCGTTTGAGCTGGAGATCTGTTCTGGGTGACGATGCGAAGAACCTTCCGGCCATACATGCCAAGTTCATCCACCATCTGATCCAGGACCAGGATCGAATCTGCGGCATTGGTCATTGTTACGAGCTGCTGACGGATGACCCGCGTCAGCGGCTCATTATCAAAGGCCAAAGGTAGGTCTTGCCCTTCCATTCGACATGAAGCTGACCTGTCGTAGCAACCCCTCGCGCAAGTCGTTCGTCTCGGTTCAGCAGCACGTCCCACGCAGCAACGTCGACCTTGGTGATGGCAAGCCTTCCTTCCCATCCTTCGACTGTGCTTGGGTTATTGGCTGCTCTCCCTACAGCCAGTCTGTAACAATCTGTGTCTCACGGTATGTTCAGATCATCCATACGACACAGCGAAAGGCCGGGGGAAAGGGCCATGAAGGTGCCTTGGTCAGGTCGTCTCGCAGATTCAACATCAACATGACCTCGGCGTCTGAAGCCCAAGACAGAAAGGTCGAGTTGGTGGATGACGAAGACGAGGATCAGGTGCTGAGACCGGGCGTTGCTGAGGGTGATGAGGACGAATACTGGGAAGCGGAAGGTCGGGGAAGGCGGTCGATGGACGATCTCGAGGAAAGGGTGGTTGTGGAAGGCTCGTCGAAGGACCACCAAGTGTCTAGTCTTGTGCCGGGGAGTGAGTTGAGGAGGCAAGGGAAGCCTGAGAAGAGCAAGCGAAAAGCTGCTCCGGAATTCTCGACCGAGACAACCAAGTGAGTTGGGTCATTGTTTTCCTTGACGCTGACGATGATTCCAGGCCGAAGAAAAGCCGAAAAGGCAAGGAGAAAGCAGAGTGAGGGTAGACGGCGTCCGTTGGTGATGTCAGTCGCTGGAGTGTCCGCAGATAGGAGACGTTATTTATTAGCAAGTATATGCTCATGCGAGGGGACAAAAGCTGATACGACCAAAAACCACTAGGATCTCCAAGACCAGCGCTTTCACGTTTGTGATTAGGAAAAGAGGACCTGCTTTATCTATAGTTCTTCTCCATTCTTGAAGCCGAGCGTTAATCAGTGAGTACCGTCTCACAGACATGATCCTGATCAGACGCTGATCACGGCTGGCAGCCTGCCCATCGCCCAGTCGCCTCTTCTTTATAGCTGCAGCCTTGTGGTTCAGCCTCTCGCTCCAGACTCGACTCCCCTTCTTCAACAATCTTCATCAAAGGCTGTGCCTAATGTGGCGACCGTTATTTCCAACCCGTAAACGGAGACGATGATTACGGTATCGCCAATCCTGCGCCTCATTATTGAGGATCACTCCAAAGAGTATAGCCGTGCCTACAAGACGGTAGGAGACTGGTACCGGTGCGGTCCTGCGCCATGGCGATGTTGAGAGGGAAATCTACCAATTCGCTGCAGTCTGGACAGAAGACCAGGCAATCGCTACTGGGCATCGCCAAGTTGTGTTCGACATCTTACTTGGTGTCAGAATACATACCTTGTGTTTGACGTCTTACTCGGTGTCAGAATACATACCTCTTTGCAGTACGTCTATGTATACTCATTCGCATTGGCGTCAGTTTTGGGCTGTCGTCCTATCGAGAGAAGAGTGATTACTCTACAGTGAGGACATAAAGGAGAAAGGTGATCGATACGAGGGCCAAGGAATTGTTGATAGGGGAAGACAATAGAACTGGTACTCTATGTATCGAGCACATGCTTTCCTTGAGAGGCGTCCGTCGCCAACGTGCTCTTCCTTCCTTCACACCATTCTTCCGCCAGATGTCCTCCTCCCTCTGGGCCTAGTCTCTAGTCATCAGCCAAGAGGCACCATCACCCAACAAAGGAGAAGACTCACAAACATACACCTCGTAAGCCATCCGCAAACTCTCCACATGGATCCTGCTCATAGCTTTACTTTATACTCGCCTCCATATCCCTCTTAATCTCTGCCCTTATCTCTTCTTTACCGGGCCCACTCGGGGGCTTGAGTACTCGCTCCGTTGTCTAGTATCTTCTTGGGCTCTGCGGTGGAATGTTTGAGTTTATGGAGTTATCCGGGGGTGAGGGCGGGGGTGTTGGGGGATGGGTGGGTGTTGGTGAGGGTGAGGGTCATCTGGGCGAGGGAGTTGGAGACGGGGGTTGGCGGACGTGATGAATAGAGTGTGCGCTTTGCGAAATGAGAGAGATTGGTGTCAAGAGCGGGTTGGCAATTGACAAGGCGAGAAGGCGGGAAGATGTGTCAAATGATCTCATCAACATTTCAACTTACAAGCAGCTTACAAGCATTCCGCCCCTGCTCCTCATGATTTCTCTAGTACAATCCTCGACGAAGGCTGTGTACAATGTGGAAGCTGTCATCTTCATACCCTTCTCTCGCCTTAACGATGTTGAAAGACCGTTTTAGAATTGCTCTGATCTGAAGGACGTGCTTCGATCCAGGCAGTACGAGTACAGTCTCTACTTGGCATATATAGCCAGAGTTTCGTTCAGCTTGGAGTGAGAGGCGGGGCAGAGAGAGGCTACTATGTCGGCGAGGAAGACTCTGAAGACAACACATCTAATTTGATTAGTGGCCACGGGATGGCAGGGAACGTACTCGTACAGTATGACGAGCAATAATACCGTCTCGCACGTCTCACGGCTGAGAGATCTGTTGACAAAAAAGGTCTTATATGAAGATCTTGAAAGAGTTTTGTGATGCTGGCTGGAATTGGAGAACAAGAGTCGGCGAGAAGGGCTTTGCAAGCCGGTATACACAGTACGAGTACATCCGGCGTCTACTGTTTTATCAAGAATGCATTACATATCACAATGGAAATGAACCACCCCACCCCCATCATCTCTCTCCACCTTCCACCTTGCGTTGTACTCTTTTCCCTCCCCCATCTATGCGCCATCTCTTCTCTAAGCCTGGTCCTTCCCATCCTTCTTCCCACCCCCACTCGAAGCAGCCGCCGTAGTAGCGCTCGTTGACGCTGCTACCATAGCTGCTGGGGGTGCCGTCGGGAGAGCCGATGTGGATGTTGATGAGGAAGCACCTTGGGCTTGGGCTGGGGGGTTGGTGGGGTTGGAGGTGGATGTGGAGGAGGAAGAAGGGGCAGGGGCAGGGGCAGGGGCAGGGGCAGGGGCAGGGGCAGGGGAGGGGGAGGAGGCTAATCTCGCGTCGAGGGCTTTCAAAGCCATCGCCCTATCTCACGTCAGCCCAGCCCAATAGAAGGAAAAGCCAAAAAAAAAGAAAGAAAGAAGACGTACCGACGTCGTTCAGCCTCAGCACGGGCATTACCAGCCCCACCAGCCCCACCAGGTCCTGGCAGGAGACCGTAGCTGCCAGCTGGTTCTTCCCAGGGTTGGACGAGGCCGATTTTGGTGGCGAGGGCGAATACTTTGTTGGCGGCGATTGAGATGTATGGTCTGTTTTTTTTTTTTTTTTTTTTTTTGTTAGTTGAGGTTCGAGAGGAGAAGGGAAAGGACATACCGGACAGGAGGAGGGAACCAATACTGAAAAGCAAACGTCTCACTCCGATCCCCCCTAAACTCACCCCCTTCCGCCAACTTGAAAAACCTCAAATACACCCACCCCACGAAAAACCCAAATTGGATGAGCATATAGGGGGAGGGGTCGAGGAGGATGACGAGGATGTTGGAGATGAGGAGGTGGATGCCGGGGAGGGTCTTGACGCGGACTTTGATGGTGCCGAGGAGCTGGACTTGATGTTCGGGGATGAGCTGGGTGAAGGCTACGAGGAAGGCGACTTGGAGGCCGGAGAGGCCGTGGTAGGGTGTGCCGTAGCTACCACAGGTTAGTTGGGGAGAGGGGGGGAGGAGGGGGACGTACATGGTGTCTTCTTCTTTGCCGGTGACAAAGAACATCAACCAGCTGAAACCAAAGGCGATAATGTTGGATCCGACGATGACCAAGATACAAAAGCGGATGAGTTCACGGGGACCCCAGACACGTTCGAGATATCTGCACGCCAGGGGAAGAGAGATCGCAGAGATCACAGCCTACATCCCTATCAGCTTTGTCCCTTGCAGTGGATTTTGACTGACGTTGATGAAATTGAGCTCAACGAGGCCAGCAGTGAACAAGGTCCAGGGATACTTCCAGCTCGTCTCTGGGACCAGCAAGAGCCAGTCAAGGGAGTGGAGGGTGGAGGCGCCATACTGATCCCTGGGGTAGAGGGCGTTCCAGATGAGGGCGGGGACGGTGACTGCGAGGTAGAGGGCGGTGATGGCCCTCGTCGCGAGGGGGACGGACTGGAGGAAGGGGAGGATGGTGAGCGGCGGCATCGCAGTGATAGAGGCAAAGAGCGCGTCGAAAATGGCGAGGGTAATTACCCCCCTGATGCGGCGGGGAGGGCCGCTGGGGTAATTACTACATGGATCTTTCTCCTCGTTCTTTTCCCTGTCACTCTGCGAGTCTGCGCACGATGCTCCCCCCAGATCCCCCAAAGCTCTCCCACCGCGACATCGATCCCAACGAAGACCTCTACGACGACGATGTTGATATCAACTCGGACACTGAAAACACGGTCGAACTGTCGTCTACAGAGATAAACATCCTCATCTATCTCGTACGTCTCCCCGATTATAGAAGCATCCATCCTGACGTCTCGCAGTATCTGCTGGAAAGCAACTTTACACATACAGCGTTTACGCTCTTGTCCGAGTCGAACCTCCCCTCGACGACTCTGTTCCAGCACTTTAACCCCTCCTACCCAACACCTTCATCCTCCTCCTCCGCCGCCACTTCCAAAGCCAACAGACTCAACGCCCGCGCCAAAGACGCCCACCACCGCCCAGACTCATCCCCCTCCGCCCCCGCCTTCGGCCGTGCAGGCGGCCGGATCGAGAGGGGTGAGCTGGTGAGAAAGTTGTGGAAGGCGGTCAGGTGGGAAGAGGTGGAAAGGCATGTGGGGTCTGGGGGGGAGGTGGTGGGGGGGCAGTGTCAGGGCAAGTTTCATCTGTTGGTGCCGCATGTTTGTCCGCAGGGGTTTCAGGCGGGGGGGTTGGAGGTGAGTGGGGTTGGGGAGGCGCCGCCGCCGAAGAGGCCTGAGGTTTTCCCTGCACCGGAGGAGCGGGAGAGGAGGGAAGAGAAGGAGAAGGAGGTGGAAAAACCAAAAACCAAAAAGAAAGCCCGCCGACCCAGCTCCTCCCCACCACCCCGGGACCGGGACCGTTCCCTCTCTCCTCCACCCAAGAAATCAGCACAAGAATCCAAGAAAGAAAAATCTCGCAAACGCGCGAGGTTGAGCGATGGTGGAGATTCTGAACCAGCCCCTCCAAAGACGAAAAAGAAGGAGAAGGAGAAAGAGAAAGAGGGCGGGCTGAAAGTGCCAACTACAAGCGCTCAAGCGTCTCGGGCTACGACGCCTGGGGAAAGTAGGCCGAATTCGAAGGGGAAGGAGAAGGAGCCGAAGAAGGTTGAGCTCGGGGAGGAGGTGGGAGTCTGGACGGAACATCGTGATGCTGCAAGTCCCTCCCATCTTTGCATGACACAAGACAGTGCTGATTAGGGGTAGGTTTCGAGTGTGGCTTGGAATCCCAAAAACGTCGACCTCCTAGCCAGCGGCTCTAACGACGGTTTCGTCCGTCTCTGGGAATTCCTCCCTCCCCCAACCTCCTCCTCCTCCCCGCCCAACCCGAACCCATCTCTAACCCTCCCAACCCGCCCAACCGGTATCTCCCACAAAGGCATCGAATCCAACAAGAAGACCATAACCGCCGTCGCCTGGCACCCCGACGGCACCATCCTCGCCACCGGCTCCCAAGACGGTGTCGGCCGGCTGTTTACGCCGAGCGGGCAGTTGCAGGCGATCATGAGTTATGGCAGGGGGGCGGTCAATGCGATGAAGTGGTCGCCTTCGGGGATGGCGATTCTGGTGGGGAAGGATGATTTTACGGTTTGTAAGTGGGTGGATAGGGGGGGGAGTATGGCTATGAAGATGTGTTTTGATGCGCATACTAGTAAGTCCCCCACACTTCTTTTCTAACAGGGAAAGGGGAAAGGGCTGATGGGAGGAAAAGAGGAAGTGAACGACGTAGATTGGCTCGACGACGACGTCTTTGCCTCCGCCGGCAACGACCATACCATCCTCGTCCACTACGCCGACGACAAACGCCCCAGATTCACATTCAAAGGCCATACCGACGACGTCACGAAAATCAAGTGGTCCCCGCTTGTACCGGGGAAGCAGGTGACGGAGAGGCTGTTGGCGTCCGTGGCGGATGATGGGAGTTGTATGATTTGGAAGTTGCCATATTATCCGTCGGGCCGGGGGGGGAGTGTAACCGCAGGAGGAGGGGGCGGGGGGCAGGGGCAAGGGTCGTTTGGGCCGACGGGGAGGTCGATCTCGCCAGTGAAGAAACATGATCCCCTAAGCGACGAGGACGACTATTTCCATCAATCCCAATCCAACACCCCTCTCCCCGGCTCTGGCGCAGGCAAGGGCAAGGGGACGGGGGTGGATAATTGCCTGCATAGGCTGAGTGTGGTAAGCGGGAGTGAGAATAAGAGGATGGACCAGCTCGAGTGGATGCCCGCGAACGACACGGGCCGCTTGATCCTCGCCGCGGGAGGGCAAGACGCCACCGTCAAGCTCTTCGACGCTCTCTCCGGTGAGACCCTCCACATCCTCTCCGGCCTCGAATCAGGGACAGGCAGCTTGGCCTTCAGCCCCAAGGCGTTCCTCGGGCTGGAAGGGGTGAAGGGGAAGGGCAAGGTTGGGAGACTGGGGGTACTGGCGGGCGGGGGGTGGGATGGGGTGGCGAGGGTGTGGGATGTGGAGAGTGGGAGGGTTATTTGGGGGATGGAAGTGGAGGAGGATGAGAAGAAGAGGGATATTAGGGAGAGGCCTATGATGGTGAGTATTCTCTTTTTTGTGGTGGACGTGGTGGAAGAGGGCTGACGTGGAGTAGCTTTCGATGGGATGGAGGGAAGATGGGAAGCATTTGGCGTGTGGGTTGTTCAACAAGACGTTGTATATGGTAAACGTCATGAAGGCGATTGGGGGAAAGGAGAAGGAAAGCAAATAGGGTAGTTTTTGGGTCTATAGGCTTCGTTCGTGCAAATCATATGCAAGTCCAAGTCATCATATGGTAATGGTCTAGTCTACACTTTATGATCTTCCGGTACTTGCTCTCCGTGGAATGCATAAGCCCTGACTGGCTTCCACGGACCTCCCAAATATTCCCAACTAAGTGAACGACCACAATCAGCGCGGTTCCCGGTTCTAGTACGCTCAGTCGATCGACTTACAGCTCGAACCCCACCGCTCTACCTTTATACTGGCCTGTCGCTTGCCCTTCTTGCTTCATATCCTCAAACAACTTGGTCACCTCGCTCAGACAAGTATCCACTTGTTCTTCATCCGAAGCTTTGTTGAGCACTGTCACGTGCGGTCGTTTCATGGGCTGAAGGTCTTGATTCGTCAAACGATCCTGCTCGTTGTTCACGCCTTCCTTTAGGAAGCCCAAGAGCTGTTGATGAATTCGAGGGGTCGTATTTGATGGTCGCTCTCGAAGGTTCACCATCACTCCCCTATTACCCATCTTGACAGGCTCCCCAATGAACACATCCCAACCTTGTTGTTCCGCACAGATACGATCTAACCGCTCCTCCAGTTCACCGAATCGATGGGCCGGGATGGCGTGAAAGAGTGTGACATGAGCCGTCAGGAAATTGCGGGACGATGGAAAGTACTTTGAGCGAAGATCGGTCAAGAACTTGTGAGACGCCTTGTCGAGGGTGAGTGTGAGGATCAAGGGACTCTGAGGGTGTATGGGCCCAGGCATCTTGGTGCTGAATAAGTGTTGTATGTATGAATGGGCTCAACTTTTATTTCGAAAGATACGTAGAGATCGTCGGTTATGTACCAAGACTCAGCGGTGATATCATCGGATTGTCATTCGCGCATCCCTCATCTGCCTCTCCACTCCACCACCATGCCGCCCCCAGAATCCCTCCCCCGCTCCGACAGCACCACCCCCGCCCCATCCACCACCAACACCCCGCCCATCCCCAACATCCCTCCCCGCCAGTCATCTAACACCGCCCAGGGCGTGCCCCGCTCGCTCGGCGCGTCGTTCAGGGGGCCTTCGCCCCTCTCTGCTCCCAGGGTCGAGGCTGATAGGAGCGCGAGCACAGGCAAGGAGGGCAAGGAGGAGAAGGGGAAGGGCAAGACGGCGTCGCCTGGGGCGTCGAATGAAAACTTGATCGGGGCCAAGACGGAACCTCGCGCCCAACACGCGGCGTCAGCTCTGACAGCTGCCCTTGGCGCGTCCCAGCCCTCTTCCCCCGCCGTCCCTGCGTCCGAAACCCTGGCCCCTACGCCGGGTCTCTCCAGGCAAGGCTCGTCCAACTTTGCGAGACCGTCCTTCTCCCGTGCGGGGTCGGGCGCATCGACGCCCAAATTGGGGGTCAGTTATTCCAAGACGCCGCAGAGTGGGCCCGGGGATTCGAGTCTGTCGAATCTTGTGGATGTGACGGATGAAGAGAAGGCGCGGGTGCTGAGGAGGCATTTGGTTAGTGCGGAAGAACGACAGGTGAACCCTTCCCCTTCGCCGAATGGGTCTGTGGCCGCGACGCCCTCAAAGGTGGACTTTGACGAGCCGGTCATGCCCGGGGAGAGCGGAGTGACGGGTTATGGTAGTACGGATAACACTAGAGATGATGCCGACCAGTTCCCCATCCCATACGATGCCCCCGGTGGGGATGTCACGTTCGTCCTCTTCTGTTCTTCACGTCTTTCGACTATTTTGCTGATTTATTACGGCAGACACGATCTTTATAAATGGCAGCATGACCACCGATCCCGTCCCGGCCGTTCCGCCTCCTTCTCCCACGTGCCCGTGGACCGCTCAGATCTCGACCCTTCGCTCGCGCATATCAAAGAGCCAGGAGGGTTCAGGAGGAATTTTGTGGTGAACAGGGCGCAGGAGCAGGGGTTGGAAGCGCCGGATATGGTGAGGAATGTGATTGATTTCTTGTTCCTCTATGGTCACTTTGTAAGTCTTCCCTTCTTTGCCACTATTACCTTGGGTGTGGTGAGCTGATGGGGGAGCAGGCGGGAGAAGATTTGAATGAAGACGAAGACGTGCTAGAGGAAGAAGACGAAGAAGCCTTCCCCGCCGGGCCCGGATCGTCCACCTATGCCCGCCGACCTTTCCCCGCCGATGACCTGGAAGACAACACTGCGCGAGGGCAGCAAGTGGGCGAGAGGAGGCCGTTGTTGGGGTCTACGAAGAGGACGATGAGTAGGCGTAGGAGGGCGAAGAGTGGGCCTGGGCAGGGGACTGCGAGTGTTACGCAGGCTGTTCTTATGGCAAGTTTTTTCACAAGTGTGAGGGGCGGCGCTGACTTTGGTGTAGTTGTTGAAGGGGTTCGTCGGGACTGGTATTCTCTTCATGGGCAAAGCCTTCTTCAACGGCGGTATCCTGTTTTCGGCCATTGTGATGGTTGCTATCGCCATGATCTCGCTCTGGTCCTTCTTGCTTCTCGTCGAAGCTTACATGGCTGTCCCCGGGTCGTTTGGTGATATCGGTGGAGCCTTGTACGGCAACAATATGAGGTATATCATCTTATTCTCCATCACCGTCTCGCAAATCGGTTTCGTAGCTGGTGAGTCTTGCCCGTACGTCTGGGGGCAAAGTTGATGAGTGTAGCCTATACCATCTTTATCGCGGAGAACCTCCAGGCATTCATCATGGCGGTGACGAAATGCGCTACCTATATCCCTATCAAGTACCTCATCTTTGCCCAGCTCATCATCTTCATGCCGCTGTCCATGATCCGGAACTTGGCCAAGCTTTCTGGTACGGCCCTTGTCGCTGATGCCTTCATCCTCATCGGCAGTACGTCTCCCCTCCTTCTTCTTGTGGCGCGCTGACTCGTGTAGTTTTGTACATTGGCGGCAACGAAATTTCAGTCTTGTCCAAGAGCGGCGTCGCCGACGTCCAACTATTCAACCCCGACTCCTTCCCCCTCCTCATCGGCACCGCCGTCTTCGCCTTCGAAGGTATCGGCCTCGTCATCCCCATCACCGAGTCGATGAAGGAGCCGAAAAAGTTTCCAAAGCTGTTGTCGGGGATCATGGTGCTTGTGGCGGTGTTGTTTGCTGGGGCGGGGGTGATGAGTTATGCGGCGTATGGGAGTGAGATACAGACTGTTGTTATTGTGAATTTGCCGCAGGATGACAAGTTTGTGCAGGCTGTGCAGTTTTTGTGTACGTCCCCTCCCCTCTCCCCTTCCCCTTCCCCCTCTGACAAGGCTACAGACTCTGTCGCAATCCTCCTCTCCTCCCCGCTCCAGCTCTTCCCAGCCGTACGTATCATGGAGAACGGCCTCTTCTCCAAATCCGGTAAACACAACCCCTCGGTCAAGTGGCAGAAGAATGTGTTTAGGGCGTGTACGGTGGTTTTTTGTTCGTTGCTGAGTTGGGCGGGGTCGAGCGAGTTGGACAAGTTTGTTTCGTTGATTGGGAGTTTTGCTTGGTACGTCCCTCCCCTCTTCTCCTTCTTCACCCTCCTTCTTGTCGGGATGTAGAACAAGGAGCTGATTCCGGAAATAGTATCCCCCTCTGCTTCATCTACCCCCCCATGCTGCACCTCCGCGCATGCGCCGATACCCGCCGCGCCAGGATCCTGGACTGGACGTTGATCGTGTTTGGGGTGGTGGTGGGCGCGTTTACGACGGTGCAGACGTTGAGGAGTTTGTTTATCCCGACGCCGGCGGGGCCAAAGTTTGGGAACTGTGAGTAAGAGAGACTCTGTTCAGGGTTGCCGCCCGCGGAGAAGGAGGATGGAGGTTGAAGGGTGGAGGTGAGAGGGAAAAAGGAATAAGAGGAGAGGTGGAAGGAGGAGGAAGGCATCTATTGCCATAAAAGTTTCTAGATCTTATTGCACGCTTGTGTAGCATGTTGTTTATGAGCATACCTGTTATTGTCATTCTCTACATGCTTTTTGTAGATATACGAAATGCAAAGCATTGTCTTTACCGTGCCTCGTGCTTTTGACAGAGTGCTATCTACATAACAGCGAAAGACATGATTTTACCTTCCTCCTTCACATATAATCACGTCATGAGCGAAGACCGAGGACGTGCGAGTTTACTCTCGAGCACTGATATAGCCGAAAATCTATAACCAGTGCGGTCATGAGCAAGGCGCCTTCTGGTGGAAATGAGGCTTACCGTCTAAAACTCGTTCGTCGTTCTGGAATCGGTCTGATCGTCCTTACGCGTGCCGTCAGTTGGTTGTTGATCCTGCGAGGCTTCTTTGGTTTACCACACCTCCGAAACCTCTTCTTCGTCCGGTCTGCATCACAGTCGCCGACGGGTCTACCCTTGTGGTCGCCGGGTCCGCCGACGTATGTCTGCTGAACCATGAGGGGGTGGTGGTCCAGGTCCGGGATGTCTACTATGTCCCTGACTTGCGCTTCAACCTACTGTCATCTGCTCGTCTCATGGCTATTGGTGCCACTGTTTCCCTCCATGACTATGCCGGTGTTGCCTCTCTGGATGGGGCCACCATTTTCCGCCTCCAGTACCGCTTCACCGCCTGGATCCTCGACGTCTCCAAGGTCCCTTCTCCCCAGGTTGAGTGTCCTCCCCGTGCCCTGCAGGTTGTCGTCGCCAAACTCTCGCCTCCTGCTGCTCGCTCTGGCAAGGCTGCTCCCCTAGAGATTTGGCATCGTCGTCTTTCTCACCTTGGGATTGGTGATGTCCGCCGCCTTCTTTCTCGCCTCAGCGTTGGTGGCTGACGTGACTGGCAATTAGATCATCTCGATAGCCCACAGACTTCAGACTGTGGCATACTACGACCGTATACTAGTCATGGATGCTGGTGAGGTCACCCAGATGGACTTCCCCCTCAGTCTTTTCGATGATCCTAACTCCATCTTCACGGGCCTTTGTGATGAAAGCGTACGCCGCCTAAGTCATGATCGGCATGGAAAACACAGAGGATTACGCGTTCGGAATTGCTCCGTATTAGGCGAGGAGCAGGTTTGGATGACGACACTGGGGCTAGATAAACTCTGTAAATGTACTGCATGTATATCTTCTTCCATGTTGATGAATGGAGAACAACAAGAGAAAAAGCCAAGAAAAAGCAAGGAGCGGCGGCGGGCAAGACCGACGGTCGGATTATGTAATCTCATCTCGGCTGCCGAAGCTCACCAGTAGCCGGCGTTGCCTAACCTCTATCATTTTGCTATCATTTGTATATCTACCTCCAATTACACATTCCCAGCTATGGCCAGAAAGGCGGCTGTAAAGTATAGATCCCTCCGGTCAAACCTGGTCAATCTTCCGCTCTCCCTCTATGCCCAGCTGGGTCAGCAACAAGCTGTAAGTTCTGGCACACTTTTGACCGACTCGCTAAAGAAAGAACCCCAGAGGCCACAGGGACTTATCCTTCACCTTTCACCGCTATCAGTCTCCTCCTCTTCGTCTTCAAGGCAACCCAAAGCTGCGTACCTGGGATGGTCGGGCTTGAACGCGGCGGTGTCTGCTTCGCAGCTCGCAGATGGGCTGGAGAGTGTGGAGGTGGATCCTGAAGTTGCCATGTCTTACGGCTGGAGCGAAGGTGCTATAGTGAGTACGAATTTGGAGGCACAGAGATCAATGCCTGACCCAAAAAAGCTCGAAATATCAGTGATACATAATCCTACTGTGGCCAGGTCGGTCGCTGTAACACCGCTTACTTCGGATGACTGGGAAATTCTCGTATGTGCATTCCCCAAGACTGGACTCATAGCTCATGCCGTGTGATGATAGGAACAACATGCGTCTTTCCTCGAGAACAATCTCCTATCGCAACTCCGAGCTGCTGTCAAAGGGCAAGAGATAGACGTCTGGGTCATGGGCAGGACAAAGATCCGGATACGAGTCGGTGCGTCTGCTTCTCTATCCTCCGACGTACTGTAGATGCTAATGTTGATCAGATGACACGGATCCTGGTGCAAGCAACAGCGCTGTCTTGATCAAAGCCGACACTGAAATACACGTCGCCCCTCGTCCTCGCACATCCCAACCCACACCTGCAGCTTCTTCCATCTTGCCGCAGCCGGCTTTACGGAAGACTTCCCTTCCAAATGGCGCAGCAAAATCAGAAGGGAGCGGACGTCCGTTCCATTTGCGGTTGGTGCCTCCTAGCATAGCGGGTAGCTGGGGAGACTTTGTACCGGCACCTCAGGCGCTCGCAGAATCTGGGGACGGAAGACTCGCAGTCTGTTCGCCCTTTACGATCTCACAAGTCTGCCAAAGCCTTTCCCTTCCACCCAATTATCAGATTCTCCATGTGGTCATTTGCTTGCACGAACTTGCCCCCGAAAAGCCTCCCGGACCAATATTGGTAGAAGAAGAAGCGAAGCCAAAGAAAGAGGTGAGGGTGGTGTTGACGGGTTGGGAAGAGATACCAGATGGGCTTGTTGCTTTTGCTGGAAAGGTCTTTGATTGGATGGTGGGGTGGGGAGAGGTATTGGTGTCTGGGGCTGAAGGGAAGATCAAGAAGCCAAAAGCAGGCAAGGGTGGACGTATACCAAGCATCTCTCTGTAAGTCGCTGTCTCTCTCATCCTTATTTTACTTGTGCTCACTCGCCATAGCCCGGAAGAGACGACACAGCGAAACATTGGATTTGACAAGATCACAGAAACAGCTCTGGGCTATCTTCAACGCTCATCTATCTCCGGGCTGTCAAAGCCCCTGTTACTCTTGGGCGCGAAAGGCTCTGGAAAGACTCGTCTCGCAAAGGCCCTCGCAGATTTGCTCGCGAAAGACATCAGCATTGTCGCTCGTACGCTCGATCTCCCTTTCTATGTCGAACGTCTGCTGACGATGGGTGTAGGTCCGGTGTACGAAGATGTCGGCAAACTCGACCCTGAGGAAAGGATCGCAAGCATCAGAGAAAATATGGACAAGTGGTTGGAAGATGCTTCTGCTTCTGCACCAAGCTGTCTTGTGCTAGACGACTTGGATAGCTTGATCGCTCCTGAAGCAGAGGTGAGGTTTCTTCTTTTTGTTGTGTTCGTATGCTCATGAGGGGTAGTTGCAAACGTCAAGCAATTCGCCGATCCTGGCAGACTATTTTACCCGCCTGTTCTCCCCTTCCTCCATCCCTCCCGGCGTGTTGGTGATCGTCACAGCGCTAGACACATCTACGCTACACCCGCTCTTGAATACGAGGCACATCTTTGGGGAGACGGTCAAGGTCCCGGCATTGACGAAAGAGGTCAGGGAGGAGGTTCTGAGGGGGCTGGTGGAGGAATCTCAGAGGACTGCAGATGGGCTAGTGAATGGAGTGGAGGGTGGAGGAGAGGAAGAAGAGGAGGAGATGGATTATGTGGTGCTGGGCGGCATGACTGAAGGGTATGCCATGTCGGACTTGAACGACCTTCTAGTTGGGGCAACCCAGCAAGCTGTCATCCGAACCACCAAAAGCGGCGAGACGAATGTACGTTGCCCATCAGACATAAGGCTACGGGCACTGATGACATAGCAGGTGATTTTGACAATGACGGACTTTAGGCTGGCGAAGGAAGAATTTACGCCAGTGGGGTTGAGGGGTGTAAAAATGCAAGGGTCGGAGGTGGAATGGAAAGATATTGGAGGTCAGTCATTCTCAGCTTCATCGTAAAGCCTCTAGCCGACAACCTTCTAGGTCTCGAAGAACCCCGGCGCATCCTCCGATCGACCCTCGAGCACCCCACCAAATACGCCCCTATCTTCGCTCAATCCCCTCTTCGTCTTCCCTCCGGCCTTCTACTGTACGGCTACCCAGGCTGCGGCAAGACCCTCTTAGCTTCAGCGGTAGCGAAAGAGTGCGGTCTGAATTTTGTGGCGGTGAAAGGGCCCGAGGTGTTGAACAAGTATATAGGAGCGAGCGAGAAGGGTGTCAGGGATCTCTTCGAGAGGGCTCAAGGAGCGAGGCCCTGTGTCTTGTTCTTTGACGAGTTTGATAGTGTTGCCCCGAAGAGGTGAGTCTTGCGACGATCGTGAGATGGAATTGAAGGCTGACGGAGATGCAGAGGCCACGATAGTACAGGTGTAACCGATCGAGTAGTGAACCAGCTCCTAACAGAGATGGACGGCGCCCAAGGTCTTTCAGGCGTATACGTCCTCGCAGCCACCTCCCGCCCCGACCTGCTCGACCCAGCTCTCCTTCGTCCCGGCCGTCTCGACAAAGCTATTCTCTGCGACATGCCGTCCCCAAGCGATAGGCTGGGCATCTTGGAGGCGGTGGTGAAGAAGGGCGGGGTGGAGCTTGGGGTGGAGGTGGATTTGGAGGAGATTGTGAGGAGGACGGATGGATTCTCGGGGGCGGATCTGCAGGCGGTGATCTATAATGCGCATTTGGAGGTCGTGCATGCGTCTTTTGAGCGGGATCTGGAGAAAGAGGAGAAGGGTAAAGCGTTGGTGAATGGGTCGACAGGACATGTGGAGAAGGATAGGGGAGACTTCAAGCTGGTTATGCCGAAGGACGGAGGGGAGCTCGGGTCGGCTGCTGCTAAGGCGGAAATCAAGGCTCGAGTGAGTGGTATCGAAACGTCTCTGAAGACTGTGCTGATATTGGATTATTAGATGGAGACTATCGTCAGCAATACTCGAGGTCTGGGCCAAGCCAATGACGAGAATAAGCCCAAGGAATCGATAAAGGTGGGCAAGCGTTGCTTTAAAAGTGTGTATGTAGCTTTCTAGCTGACCCTCCGTAAGGCTGTGATTCGCCAAAACCACCTGCTTAGATCCTTATCTGAAACCAGACCATCCATATCATCCGCCGATAGAAGACGGCTGGAGTTGATGTGTGTCCCTGTTCTCCTTCTGATTTGCGCGAAGCTGACATCAGATATAGATACAAAGCATTCATCAACGGGAGGGATGGAAAGATGAGCGACGGTGATTCAGGGCATGAGATAGGGACGAGAGTGTCCTTGATGTGAGAGGGAGAACAGCTTGCTGCGGGGATGTTGGCGTCAGAAGTAGCCTGTGTGGTTTCCATCAATCTGGCTATACATCCATACCGTACGTACGTGCATAATCCATCGTTCGGCATCATCACCATCATACATATGCATTCAAGCATAGAAGCACGCTTGCGTACATGCGAGTGGCTACATCGGCAAAATCGGGCTTTTCGATAGACCGAGATTTCGGGAATGCGGCTTTCAGAATTCCTTATCTCTGCTCGCGCTTGCCAATTGTTATCCTGCCGGCGCCCATGGAAAGCTCATATCTTCGGCTCTGACCGGATAGTCGTACTCTCGTTGAATCCCTCTTTATCCTCTCTTTCTCTTCTCCCTCAGACTTCTCCACTTCACGTCCGCTCTACACTCGCCATGTCCCACACGTCGGATATTATCGAAGAGAAGAGGGGGGCGTACGCGGATCACCTAATCGTTCCAGTAATGGACGCAGAGCACGACCCGAAAGAGCTGGCTGTCGCAGAGGATGTCATCCTCGCAGAGTCAAAATATACCGAAAGCGACTACAAGAAGCTCAAAAGGAAGTTTGACTTGATCTTGCTGCCTTGTATGATGCTTACCTATGGCTTGCAATTCGCGTGAGTGTTCGGTCTTGCGATGAGGTTCCAATGCTGATACGGAAACAGAGACAGAGTCTCGTTATCTTCTGGCGTGGTCTTTGGGCTCAGGACTGACACCCACCTGACCAGCCAGGAATATTCGAATCTTACGGTTTTCTTCTGTGAGTACTCATCATTTTGGCCACAGAGTGCGCGCTAAATATCGCACAGATGTGGCTTATCTCGCGGGCCAGTTCCCTATGGGATACATCATGCAGAAACTTCCTCTGGGCCGGTAAGCTATTCTATTACAGACCTCGCGCAGATATTAAACAGTCATCACAGCACTCTCGGCTCATCTGTAATCCTTTGGGGTATCGTAGTCATCGGCCTGGGTGTTTGCCAGAACTACGGCCAGCTCTCGGCGCTTCGTGTACTTCTTGGATGGTTTGAATGTGCCATCACCCCCGGCTTCCTCTTCAGTGGGTACTATTCCATCTGTGATCATACAGGAGACTGACAGTAACAGTCATTTCTTCCTGGTACAAGAGGTCCGAGTCCACTCTCCGAAGCTGCTTCTTCTTCGCTATGAATTCTTTCATGGGTGAGCTATCCATCACATTCATTGTACACGAGCTGAGCGACCATAGGCGGAATATTTAACCTCATCATCTACGCCATTGCCAAGAAGACTGAAACCAACGGCCACATTGCCGGTTGGCGCGCTATCAACTTTTTCCTCGGCGCCACCACCGTCCTCTCGGGTATTCTCCTGTTCGTGTTTGTGGGCGTACCGAAAGATGTGTGGTGGTTGAACAAGGAGGAAAAGAAGATGGCTCACGCGAGGATCGTGGCTAACGGAAGTAAGTCTTGGGTTCTTTTTGTCACCGGTTTGACTGCTGACGCAAGTGGTAGACGGCGATGGCGCGCAAAAACCCTGGAACTGGACTCAAGTCCGCGAATGTTTCCGTGACCCTCAGTACTACTTCACCATCCTCTTCAACCTCACCGCCACCATTCCCAACGGCATGCTTGGTACATTTACCAACCTCGTCTATGTCGGATTCGGTTTCACGCCTCTGGAGAGTGTCTTGTATGGCCTGCCGAGTAATGCGGTCGGGTTCACGGTGGTCATCTGTTCGGCATTCTTTGTGCATTATTATCCGAAGATGAGGTTCCCGGTGGCTATTCTGTGGATCCTGGTGGAGATGATTGTATTTTTGTATGTCGGCTTAGCGGCAGATGCTACGAGTGAGTCTATCATCTCTTCTTCGCCTCTCGCATGAGGGAACGGTGGCTGATGACGATATCGCAGAATGGCAGCTCTGGTCTTGTTTTTTGTTCTCCGGTGTCTTCGGTGAGTACATAGTCTGAAAGGCTTTTGTATCGCTGCTGATCATACGTTCGTTCTTAGCCTGTACCACCTTCATGCTCTGGCCGATCATGTCTATAAACACCGCCGGCCGAACCAAAAAAACTTTCATCTCCGCTACCGGCCTCATCGTGCGTCTCTCCCTCCTCTGGCCTCAGTCACTCGTACATATCGCTATGTCACAGGCAACTAACGTTTTCCCCAGGCATACTGCGCGGGTAACGTGGTCGGCTCCCAAACAATGCGCGCTTCCGACGCTCCTCGCTACCTCACCGGCCTCACCGCCAACGCTATCGTACTCGCCGTGGAAGTAGTTGTCTTGCTGTGCTGGTATGCGTACTATAACTGGGAGAACAGGAGGAGGGAGAGGGCTTTCGAAGAGTCGGGACTTGGATGGGAGGAAAGAGAGTACCAGAATAAGTTGGCTGGGGAGACGGATGTGACGGATCTTGGTAAGTTTGGGTCCTTGAGGGCTTTGATGGCGTGGATAAACCAGACGGCGCTGACGATGAGCGAATAGCAAATCCCCATTTCCGATACAGCTGCTAGACTGGGGGTTATACCTTCTGAGTTCATTTTCGCTTGTGTTTTTCGGGGTGTTCGACGTTTGGTTTGATGGGTTGTTCTTGGTTCAATGCTATATATCGAGCTTAGTGGGTTGTAATTTTTGAGTGTTTTATTGTTGATTGTGTTCCGGCGAAGCTGGCTTGTGTGGGCGGTGTGGCGGTGTCTACTCTTCCACTTTTATTAACCTTTTTCTCTGGTATGCAACTTTTTTCATGAAATGTGAGGTATGTAGGTTCTACTGACCGAATAATACTGCCCTACAAACGTGTCGACTCGTTATATCCTGAAAAGTAGGGAATATACCTGCCAACTAGAGGAAAGTGCAGCGTTGTTGAAAGAGAAGATGCGCGCAGCTTACGTGGATCGGATATGCCCGATGTGGTTCCGCGATGTACGACCTCTGTCTGACACCATCGAAAATGTCGCAATAGCACATGCATCTACAGCCAGCTCATTTGGCCTGCAGCCGGAGATTGAGTCAAGCTTGGCGAGCCGTCTCTAGAGCGCGATGTACTTATAGACAGCTGTAGCCGAGGAATACAAAAGATCCCCATCCATTTTCGCCTCGAATCACCGCTCGTTTGGGATCGCGATGGGCCACAAGACTGGATATAAGAATGCTCAGGCTACCGCTTACGTCGTAGCCAATAGCTCAAAAGCAGCTGCAGCGGTACTGCCAGTTTTGGAGGGGTATGTGCCTCCCCAGAGGACTTGGAAAACTTACCTGTGGTCAAGTGAGTCCCTCTGCCGTAACGTGTGGGAATAAGCTAATGCTGAGCAGCTCTGGACGTGTCGAGAGAGGAGGCAGTGTTTCTGACAAAGCTGGATGTGACTTTGATCACTTCTGCGGCGCTGGGTGTGATGATTCGTTATCTTGATCAGTAAGGGGATCGGGCAATGATGATGTCTCCAGAGACTGACATCCCCTTCAGAGTCAATATCACAAACGCCTTCAGTGAGCTACTACCGTTGATATATCTTACTCGAGCTGATCGAGATATCAGACAGTGGCATGAAAGAAGATCTCAATCTGTACGGCAACGAGCTCAACTACGCCAACGCTTTCTGGTCCGCCGCCTACGTGATCGGGCAAATTCCCAGCAACCTTATACTCACCAGAGTCAACGCTGCGAGATACATCGCCTTTGTTGAGCTTGCTTGGACGGCCTTCACCTTTGGGACTGCAGGAGTTACAAATATCAAAACGCTCTACGCCTTGAGATTCTTGTGAGTCCTGCGCTCCTGCTCGAGATCCCAGCTTACTCGTCTACAGTGTGGGGTTCTTCGAAGCAGGTCATTTCCCAGCGGTCATGTATGTCTGCTCCAGCTACTACAAACCCCACGAACTCGCCCGCCGAAATACTCTGATCCAGATATTCGTCTCTGTCGGACCGCTCTTTTCGGGATTCTTGATGGCTGAAGCCTAAAGTATTCTCCGTAGCTGAAATCAACATTATTCCTCTCGGCGTACGTCCTTTTCCTCACCCAACTCCATCCACCCCGACCGATGACTGACGTCGATTATACTAGATCAATATCATAACCATCTGCGGCTCACTCACGGCTTCCTGGATATCCGACGCCCTCCCAGGTTCCGCCCGATGGCCCATCATGGTCTTTTCCACCCTCGTCGGCGTTATCATACCCGCAGCTCTGGGGGCTACCCCGGTACATCCGCCTAATCGAGGAACACGATGGGCTTTGTTCTGTACGTTTCTTCCTCCCTGTTTCTTGGGGGTGTGAGGGTCCAGGCTGATATGTGCCTTCATTTTAGATCTGACATCGTTGTCGGGTGTATCGGCTGGTGCGACGTGGACCTTTGTGAACGAGACAAGCCGAGATGACCCCGAGAAACGCGCATACGTCGGAGCCATGGTTCACCTCTTCTTTTCCACCCCCCTTCTCAAGCTAACCAGTATTCAGATGAACGCCTTCGCCTACATCTTCACAGCTTGGATCCCCATCTTCACCTTCCCAACCTCAAAACAACCATACGTCGCGCATGGGATGTTTGCGACCTCGGGCTTTGCCGCAGTGGCGTTGTTGACGGCGTTGGCTATTGGGTGGATGCATCATAGGGATTTGAGGAAGGCTGCTAGACTGGGAGAGCAGGGCGCGGGGGAGAGGGGGGGAGAAGTGAGTAGAGTTGGGGCAGAGAAGGAGGATGACGGGGATGGGAGTGAGAAGGGCGATGCGTCTAGGAAAACGCCAGTCTTGGAGATGATCTAGTTTGGTAGATGATTGTGTTGACCGGCTACTTTGATACCTTGGGCCGAATGGGAAAGACTTGTTGTTTGGGATATGCTGTTTGTAGCATGTATAGGTGCATCTGCAAAGTCAACTAAGGGTATGCGACTATGCCGTTGTATGTTGAGTATCAGGGCCACAGACAAGGCCAAACTGAATAAAGGTCCTTGACAAAGAAGCTCCTGAGAGTCTGATCGCGACAAACAGACAGAACCAAACAATGAGCTGCATGACGGCGACGGAACCAAATTGATGCACCACGCGGGTCAAGCAAGGGTCTGATAAGCTTTTGTTACATCTTTCCTGCTCCCATTCTCTCTAACGCTCGTATTGGACCCGCAAAGATGCCCCCTAGGAAGAGGAACGTTGCTCAGCGAAAAGCGAAAAGTGAAGACGAGCCGCCGCTTTCTCCAGGTGTGTCAAAACCATTTTCTCCCGAACCACGTTCCCTGCTGACAATCCGCATAGCCGAGATCATAGACGAGCAGGGTGAGCTGCATGTCCGATCACGGAAGATTATGCTTACACTGTGCAGAGCAAGAGAATGAGATCGCAGCCCTGCGAAAGAAGAACACCGAAGAGACCAGGCAATCTCAGAACGCCTTGGACGTGGGTGTCTTGACTTCTATCTTCATGTACGTGATCTCAGCGTTCATTGACCTTCCACTGACAACCTAAATAGTACTGCGATCCAAATATACAACTTCAGAAATCACCCGAACCCTATCTTCCTCTTCCTCAACGTCTTCCAGCTCGTCATGCTCCCATTCTCCCTTACCCCCGAATGGCTTCCGTCCTCATGGAAACCCTATCTCCTCTCCCCATCAAACCACCTTCTACTCGTATCGGTACACCTCACGACTACCCTGTGTGCCTTGTTCTTGAGGTATCAGCAAACGCCAGTATTCGGGCAGGAGGGAGGATTGGAGTTTGGAGAAGTCGCAAGGTGGGCGCTGCCGACGCTGGTGGTGGGTGCGGTGGAGATGCAGAGGCGGGCAGAAAGGGAGACAGATGCCAAAATTAGACTGCTTGAGGGATTGAGATATCATGTGAAAGGGGCGTAGATTGATGCCAGGTATGCTGCTTTGCGTTCTTGATCGCGCTCTTTATGAATGGGTTCGATTGTCTTAGTGTTGTCTGCTGACCTCCTACATGACGGAATGCATTCATTTCAGGACGATATGGATAAAAAGAGTCACATTAGAGACATATACACATATCGCGGACTCGTAAGGCGGCTACAGAAGAAAAGAGAGAGCGAACACAATGGCGGGGAAGGGCAGCATAGAGCCTATCAGTCTCGCAGATACGAATCACAGTTCCCGTCTCATCTTCTCAGATCACCAACCCCTTGGCATCGAAGCCGGAGGCTTCATTGAGTACCATCTCACTGATCAGATGTTGGTGGCGGCGCGAGCTGTCAGGCGTGCCTTCTGGGACCTTGTATCGCTTGGGGTCATAAGTCTCAGGCAGAATGAGCTCCCTTTTATACCCCCTCCCCTGTGGGTATCGAGACTCTTCTCGTCTTTTCGGCAGCGACTCTCTATGAGCTTCCAAGGCGCGGTCATAAAGCGCTTCAGCCTCGGCATCATTCTTGTTGATGGCGTCACCCATGTCGTACTCGGAATGTTTGCCACACGTAGTAATTCCCTGAAGTGGCATGGGCGCTGAGTTGTGTGGATGGTTGAAGGACGCGCGGTGTACATACTCAATTCATATCTTACTGTTCTACTCTTTCTCTATGCGATAATACCGAAAAGGTCTTTTCCCCTCTACAAACACCTTTTCCAGTCCCTTCCCCGCTGCGTCCCAGCTAGGTCGTGACACGGAATCGGAGTCGGTATCAATGACAACATAAATATCGCCGGTGTCAAGCAGCATGTTGTGCAAGACTATGCAGGCATCAACGACGAGATTCATGAAATCGTCGTCGGTATCGACTCTGGTGGACACGCGCGCGTGTTTCAAAATACGCCACCTGCTGCTCAAAATGTCGAGGGCCTGCTCTGGAATGGTTCGGGTGGGGATGGCAATATGGTTGAAATAAGCCTAAATATTTGGTCAGATCTGGACTAGAAAGAGCAAACATCTTGGTAAAGACTTACATTGCGGCCCGTGATTTGTTTATCCGTCTCTTCCCTCTCGAATAATGCGAGCACATGCGTCGAAGTCTGGAAATCGGCATCGGCAAGGACATATTCGCCAGAGGATAGCATCGTGACTGGTTCGCTGATAGTATCTCCAGCCGTGACTCGATAGTCAGAGTCTGAACGTTCATATCCCGAGGACTACCAAAAGATTGTACTCGTAGTCGTCTTCGTCATCGTCCCCACTTTTACTGTCTTCTGATCGAATCTTCAGTGCGGATGTAGATGGTTGAATGTTGACCTGAATGGCACAGCCAGGAAGAGCGAACTTTTCAAAGATTCGCTGACCGATTTGGACGCGTTCTTGAGCGTCCGGCCACTTGACATGTTGGTGAAGTCGCTTGGCGATAGCAGAAACGGTGTGTTGTGTATAGCCCTCAATCGATCCATCTATCATAAGGGTCAGCCTCTGGTAATTTGATTATACGTCTGGCCAATTGTACGCACTGGGAAGGCCGAAAGTTTTCTTCAACTCTTTCAGAGTGGTACCGGTCGCAAGTCGTCGAAGAGCGACCCCGATCTGTACCCGCGGAGGGGCAGTACGCTTTCTCCCCTTCGAAGCGAAGACTGCATCCTCCCCAAACTCCTTCACTATTCTGTGAAACTCCCCATGGTCGCAACCGATAAATCCTCTGAGCTCTTCGGCTGGCAAACATGCTATTATTGTCGGAGTCGAGATAGTCGTGTTTCTTGTATCCCTTCTCGTCTCTGCCTCGCTTGAGATAGCGTCGGGATGCGAATGTCACCTTGGCTTCCACGTAAAAGATGTAGAGCTGTGGACAGGATGGCCGGTGCGGGCGTAGAGGCGACGGTATCTCGCGACTTGATCTTTAGGACGGAGAGAGTTTTGGCGCGGGGGCTTTTGACCATGGCGAATGCGAGGCGTGGTTGCGATAGTTGACTAGAGCTGAAAAGGTGTTCAAATGTGACTGGCTCCGACCAGAAGAGATTTGGGGCGAAGGACGCGTATGTACCGTCTGGAGCAGTTAGCTTCGGCAGCCGATGTTTCAGAAGGGGAGTCATTTCTTGCAACCGGTTCGGGACAGAGCATCTCCATGTTGAGCTTCATAATCAAGACGTTTGGTACACCGATAGTAGAGGGGAGCTCAGTCAGGGTAAGAAACAGGGACGAGTCGGCACTAGGACGCTCAAGAACCCGGCCTCTCTACCCCAGCTCGTACTCTTCCTCCCAGCAAGCGTTCCCGAGTCGCTGAACGATCATAATCAGCCTTCAAAGAGACACATGCACAGCTTGTAGTTCTTCATCAAGAGAGATTCACAAAGCTATCTGATCAGCCCTGAACCAGAAATTATACAAACAAAAACCACTTTCTACGCAAGCACACAGTACTGTACTCGTATTGCAGATATCTTCAAATTCCAAGCATGACCTCGTGTAAACATCTCCTGATCTTTTGATACTCTAAGCGGTGATACCGTGGGTAGATCGATACTTGTTGAGAGAAGCCTTGAGGGCGCCGTAGCGTTGTGTCAGGTCGTAAGGGTCCGGCACTAAAGAGGCGTCTGGTCAGCACAAAGCCCCTTCGACGAATGCTGGGATGTGAGAACGAAAACGCACAATGTATACCGTTGTTGATGATCAACACCTTCATCTTGGGGTGATATTCGAGACCGTTGAGGAGCTTGGGAGTGATCAGGAAGTATCTAGAGACAAACGTCAGTATGAGATGGCAGTGGATGGAGAGATATTGACATACTGCCCGGATTCAGAACCACAAGTGACATCGACAAGCTGGTTGTGAACGGCTCGCTCGGCGCGCTGGTCCATACCCTTGAAAAGACCCGTCAGTACGCGGTCTTGATCATCTCGAGAAAGAAAGCTTACCTGGTTAATCTCATCGACGAGCGAGAATGGCGTACGCGACATCTCCGACAAACTCATGAGATACGTCACCGTCGCCAGTGAACGTTCCTACACCCACGTCAGTATACAGATAGACAATGTAAGAAAAGACTTACACCTCCAGACTGGTGACTGCCACTCAACACCGCCAAATCATCCGAGTCTCGGTAGGCCACCATAATCTTGATACCCCATTTCCCATAGTCTGACCCTGCCGACCTATCCACCCCAACTTCACCCCTGCACTTGACTCGCTCAAAGGCCTCGGAGAACTTGTTGCTGACCGCTGTGACGAGGGTGTTGAGAGCGGGGTTGAATTTGGCCTATGGCAAGATCAGTTTCTCGTTCAACTCTTCTCGTAGGGTGGTGCTTACCAAAGTATCCGTAATATCCTCCTTCAATTCAGCAAGCTCCTCTTCTTCCTCATCCACAATCTTCTGCGCCGCCTCGAGCTCCTTTGTACGCCTTTCCCATTGCTTAATGACGGCGGTGGGGATGTTGACGGACATTTCGAGCTGGTTCTTGACGGTGTTGAGGTCGTTCAGGACTTGGTCGACGGAGGGGAGGGTGGTGGGGTCCTAGATGAACGTCAGCATCGGCCTCGGAAACTAGAAAATGATGACGGACCTTGGCACGTTTGGTCACTTCCTCTCTCACGGTCCTGTCCGTAGGCTTGAGCCTGGCCTTGATCTCATTCCACTTGTTGTTCGTCAACGCCTTGGCACGGTTGAACGCCTTGGAAGCTTAACACCAGACGTCAGCTTGTGTCATCTGAGGGCTATGATGTACTCACCAGTCTCATATCGATCACGCAGCACCATGCCCCGAGCACTCCCAGACTTGACCTTGTCATCAATCATCTTCTTGTTGGTAGTCGCTTGAACTTGGCGGAAAGTGGCGGCAATCAAGTCGGCACAGTTGTCCATCACAGTGTCGCAGTAGTTCTACATTCAAATCAGCACAATCTCTCAAGACGGCAGAAGGGCGTACGGTGGACGCTGCGAGGGGACGAAGTCGGTCTCTGGCATTCTTGATCCTTATATCATTCAACTTGGTGCGCTCGGCTTCGTAGGAAGGAAGTCCCTCGAGCCTAACGAGCTTTTCTTTGAAGAGTTCTGCACGAAAGCATCAGAACTCGGCTCGACATGAACAGGGGTAAAAACCTACGGATATCATGCGCTGCTTTGGTATATCGCTTCGAGCTATACATGAGAGCCTTGATCTTTTCCTCAATCGCACGCTACAATCCACGCGTAAGCACATAGAACAGTAAGCGCAAGACTGTACTCACACCCTCAGCATGGATCTCCTTCTTCTGACCAATGACAAGAGAGATCTTGTCCCTCAACGCTCCATGAGGCTGTTCCGCCTCTTCCTTCTTCCTCCTCAGTTTCGCAATCTCATCCACCTTTTTCGCCACAGCCTCCGTGTCAACTAACCCCCAACCTGTCAGCCCAAGAAAAAAAAATAGGAGAGGGAGAGGCTGGGTACGTACTGACGATGTTGAAACTTCGAGATTCCGTCTTGGCAGTGATGATCTGACTGTACGCCTTTCTACCATACGTCGACTGGTTGGATCGGGTCCAATCTTTTGCAGTACCCCATTGTTTGAAACCCAAACTGGGCAGTTCATCGGTCCTCACTCTTTCAGAAGGTTTCTGAGTGACAGCCTGTAAAGGGTCAGTACTTGTAACTCCAGTACTCAAAAAGAAGCTTACAGTGATGTGCATCTTGCAGACGCTCTGGAGGTATGCAATAACACCAGGATCGGCATCCACAAAGTCGATAGCGAACCCATCAAACCCAAACTCATTCAACTACCCAAAAAATGTCAATCATTTCACCACTCTTTCCCCTTTCCATGCTTCATTGTGAACTTACCCTTTCAACAGTACAAGGCCTGCTCGGATTAACAGTATCCGTCGTAACCTCCTGCAACGCCAAGTAGAGCTGTACTTTGGGCGGACCGCTGTTCCGGTGCGGGTTCCATCGACCAGTGTTCTTGATGTATTTCTGTGGGAGAGGCCTGCCGTTGAGGGCGATGAGGTGGTCGTAGTCGGCCTTCTTTTCACAGATAAACGTCTACCACCATCTCGTCAGCATACCCTCAGCAGTACCCTCATAATTTCCTTTCATTGGGGAGAAGGAGAAGAAGACGTTAAGTACCTGACGTTGGGGCCAATTAGTACAAGCCTCGACCTGCCAAGCATACTGCCTATTCGGCACATTGACAGAGATCATAAGCGGCTTGTGCACCTTGCCCTCAAAGCTATCCGGGTTATCTTTGAGGTAGTCGAGGAGGAAAGAGATGGAAGGGCTGGCTTGTCGGGCAGAATCTTCTTTGCGTCTTTCGACGCTTTCGAATGTGCTCTTCCTGTACC